ATGAAAAGCTTTCAAAACTAATGTGTATTCCCTCGTTTGTCAATTCTATCCCGGAGCTGCAAAAATTGGAACATCAATTTCGCTTTGCAATTGAAGATGAAGATGACGAGTACTCTCGTATGGAGATTGAGGATATATCAAGCGATTGAAACCGTTTACTGTTGATTATATAATATGTAATTTCGTCTAGGACTCAGACATAACATTTTAAAAACGAGGCTGTGCAAAGGCTGTGCAAAATGTTATGGAAATGTAATCCTAAGACCATCTCTGTAAAAAACATCTGTCTATATTTACAAGGAGAACGCATTCCAGAACGGCGAGTCAATGCTGGTGAAAAACTGGTCGAGATTGCCATCCGTGTTAGGAAAATCTCCGAGCGGGTTGAGCTCCGTTCCCGTAAGCAGCGGTGTTTGTTCTGTTTTCATCGACTGGTCGTTGTCTTGCGTGAAAACGTTCCCGTCCATGTAGGGGTACCATTTGTTGTTGATGAGCTTGCCTATCCAACCTGAGTCGATCACCTGGTGGCCGTTGATCGAGCTGTCCGTGTCTGGAGACACCTTTGTGCTTACCGAAGTATGTGGAGTGCTATCATTTTTGTTCATCATGGTGTCAATGATACACCGGAAATCGGCAGTATTCCACTTGAGCATCGAATTGTAGTCCAGCTTGTGCATGTCCATTTTGGGCTCTTTTGCACGATTGAAGATATCCTCCAGAATCAGGGGCATGATCTTGCGGTACGCAAAAGTGTGCACTTTACAGAAGAACCAGGCATTGAAATGTGACGCTGAAAGTCTTCCTTGGAAGCGGAAACCAGAAACTACCACCTTGTTTCCCGTCTCAAGCAGCTCCTCTAATAGTTTCTCTGTGTCCGGATCCAGCTGAGCGCGCAAAAACCGGTTGTAGGAAACGTGGTGCACACGGACCAACGTAGCAAACACAATACAACGAGTACGGCCAGTAGACTCGATCAGAGTAGAAGCAAGGATGTGGTCGTTTCCGGAGCCAAAATAACTCGAAAGATCGAAAACAATTGCTCCGACAAGACGGTGGATGTTGATGACCTGAGACAATGATTTTAACAGCAAGCGCTTGGCCTTCTCGACCTGTCCCTTTTCCTCATAAAACAAGAAAATATGATAGTTCATCAGCGAGGACAGTGTCTGAACTTCAAGGTAGGAACATAGACCAGATATCTTGCGCACACGGTAAAACTTATCCTTGGAACAGAGTGATCCTGGCTTCAAAAAATCGTCAATATCGCCGGTTAGTTGTTCCTGAAGGTCTGCAATATCATTCAAAGCGTCGAGAATCTGGCTGACTTTGACCTTTCCGTCAATGTTCATTATGAGTGTCGATAAATTGGCAAACTTCTTGTTGAATTCCGTGCGGCAGTTGATTAGCGCGATGGAAGCACGCTCGTTCTCTAGTTCGCTGACATTGGCATTGGTGGCACCCAGAAAAACCGGCAATTTGGTGTTGTACTGGGAAATTCGAGGCCCAAGAGCATCGTTCGTGAACCCCCAGCCATAGTCCACACACATGACCCCGTACCAAAGTTTTCTCCATAAATTGATTCGTTTCAAGTCGTCTCCTGAGCCAAGAATACAAGGGTCCCTGTTGAGTCCAATTGTTTGACTTGAACGCAAAAGCAGACCGATCAAAGCGTCTATATCAGTATGGTCTCCTTCTTCAGGAGAGTGTTTGAATGCGATTCTTGAGTACAACAAGTTTTGGACAGTCAACAGCGTGGGTATATCTGAGATGTTACCCCAGTACCCACAGTTGAGTGCAACCTTAAGCAATTTCTCGTGTAGCGGATGCGAGACCAAAAAAGCCAGGTCTTCATTGGTTTTTGATTCTGGAATTGGTTCCATGGTGATATTGTATAGCGTAAGCTGACCGAGATAAATCAGGTACAGAACTAAAGACAGAAACACCAGTCTGCTTCGGTAAATTCCATAGATATTAATCTGGACGTCCTCTGAAGTGCGCTCGCCAATGAGATCGACAAGGCTCTCAGTGAATTCTTTCTGGTCAAGGAATGGATACAGAGGATGCCAGAACTCGAAGAATCTATCGATAAGGAGCCACACGCTCTTTTTGCTTGGCAGCGCTTCCTCAAGAACAGATCCGTTGATCTCACGAGACTCACTCGTGGAAAACGGTCCGTTTTTAGTCATAACTGGTTCCTTGACCATTTTATGAGGAAGTCTTCTTAAAACCTTCTCCTCGAACTTGTCGTCCAGTTTTGAGTTTCGGGAGCCAGAGTACCACGGCGAAGAACAATGTAGAAAATCATTGCGACCTTGTGCGTGTCTGCGAAACTCCTGTACCTTGACGTTCTCCTTGAGGAACTTCATCAACGGATCTTTCAACATGATGGAACGGGGAGTAAATAGCTCGTTCGCATGACAAACTCTGGGATCGCTTTGATGCAAATACTCCAGGCCTTTGAACATTATAAATTCATCGTCATCATCCGCAAACGCTGACTTGGTCTCGGGAGAGATCGTTGGGGGCTGGTGTAAACTGCCGGTCTGGTTGCTGTTTATCTGCTGCTCCATTTGAGCAAGTTTGTGCTTCAAGGTTTCCAATTGGTCGATTAAAATAGTATCCATGGCTGCAGTTCTCTCCCTGGTGGGAAGTAGCCCTTCGTCAGCTGACTTACTGGTCGGTGGGTTGAACACCCACTCTGGCTCCATATACTCGCACTTATCACGAAGCCCACGCTTTATACAAACCTTGGACGCGTTAGCTCGATCGAAAAGTTCTTAACTTACCAAACATGCCGGTTTTGTTCGATCGCACCGCACTTTACGCTTGCGACAGCTCACACAGGCCGATCCAAGCCTTACGCGCTTGCGGACGGTGTCCTGGTTCTCCATTCCTTTTGTTTAGTAAGGGTAATTAAAATAAATTATTTTGGTGCGGAGGGGCACCGCCTCTTTTTATTACAGTTACAAATCAATCAAATTGACTGGCTCCTGGACCTTTGGCTTCTCAAGCTCTTGCTGGGGAGCAGGCGCAGAGGGCTCCAATGCAACCTGTTCGGGAACAGCGGCAGATGCAGGGTAGAATTGCGACGGCGATGACGGAAGAGGCTCAGACCCGGTGTTATTGAGCTGCGGAAGCGGAGCGTACTGCACAGCCGGGGATCCTGAATACTGCGGCGGAATCTGGGGCGAGGCGTAAACAGGGCGCGATGTCATGCTATACTGCTGTGGTGGTGGGTATGTCTGGTACGCATACTGGGTCTGCTGTGCTCTCAATTGGAGGATCTCGTCGTACACTTTGGAAATTGCAAACGTCTTCGAGTACAGATCCTGGAACCGGTCGAGCTTAGCAAACTCCTGCCTCAGTTGGTGGTCCAACTTCGGCTTGATCTGGTTGATACTCATCGACAGATTCTTCAGCACCTGGTCGTTGGCAATGTTCTGTTTCTTCTCGGGACTGGCGTTCTTCAGGTTTTGGACCAACTGTGCAAAAAGCACAATGTTCTGGTCCTCCACCGCAGTGATCGCATTGAAATCGATGGTTTGTGGTTTAGGAGCAAGTTGGCTCGGAGCAACGACTGGCTCTGGAACAGGAGTGTAGCTTGGGGTGTAAGATTGTATGCTCTGGCTTTCTGGCAGCAAGTTGCTGTAAAGTCCCGATGGCTGTGGAGCAACCTCGGCCTTTTCCACGGGCGGACTCTTCAAGGCCTCCTGGCTTTTAAAATCGGCAAGACTGGCTGCAATGGCTGCTTTCATATCCTCATCGTCGTCATCCACAGGCAATTCCTGCGGATCAGGTTTCTTGCTGTACGAAGGTGTGTCAATTGGTACTCCAGACTCCTTCAAAGAGAGCTCGATCGCTCTTCTCAGATCGTCGTCCTTATCGTCGCCTTCAAGCACAGTCGTGTTCTTGCTTTTGCGCTTGTGCTTCTTGGCCTTCTCCTTGTGTTCCTGGTAGCACGTATCACAAACACGAACAGGGATGGTGATTCCGAGCTCCGGGAGCTCACAAGTCTTGGAAGAATGTTGACCGCAAAAGACTCCGCCACACGATCGACAGTGGTGCTTTCTGTTCAAGAACGTAAAAAGAGTAGAACACAACATGCAAGCGTCGGAATCTTCCCATTCTGGTGCCACCTTCGACTCAATTAGCGTGCTGTCAAAGGCGTCTGTTATCATTGGAAACTGGAATCCCTCTTTTTGTAACCTGTTGTACACTTGGTTCACATATCCAAGTTTAGGGTTTGTGCTGAACATGATGGACCACGACTGGATCAGTTGCAACAAATATTCCTTAACTGTATGGTTCAGGTTCTTGTCGTTCAACGTGAGAACAATGGCATCTATAAACTCTTTGGAAGAGATATCCGACAAAAAGTGCTCGCCTCCATTCTTGATACAGAAATCTATTAGTTTCAGGGACGACTTTTGCAGGTTTGGGTTTTTGTTGTTGATGAACCGTTTCTTGAGTCCCCGCATCGCATCTTTCGATGGAACTTGCTTCGACCGGATCAAATCGCTGATCTCAAGTGCTGCGGAAAAATCAATGTCTCCATTAGGAATCGACTCCGAAGTTGCCTCTGCAATCTTCTCCTCGATCGAGGTGGCTGTGCCTGATCGCCCAAACCACGACATTTCAGTGTGTTGTGTTTAGTCGATTAGCGCTGAGAAACAACAATAGTAATTGCGTAGCCTTAAAATGCCGTATCTGTGGCAAATAATTTAATATGATAAAATATGCCTCCAAGCTTTAAATAATTAAAACAACAAACCGGCGCGCCGATCGACCCTCTCTTTTATTGAAAGCTGGCTCCTCTATTTAGTTGCTGGTCACCGAGATCGTGGGACTGAGCAGGTTATGGTCAATGAAACTGGACGTGCTCTTTGTCGGTCTCAAGGTGTTGTCGCTCTGATGGGCCATTCCGTCCTCGATCGAGCATTTGATGATGTAATCCCAGTCGCTGGTAACGACAAAGTAGCTCTGGCAGCACGAAACGAAAAACAGCGCAATCACCATCCCAATCCAAAGCCCAAACAGTTCCATGTGGAACCGGAATGCAAGAACAAACGCAGCGGGTAATGCCAGACAGTAATAACTGAACAAATTGAGCCAGCCACCAATGTACTGTCTACCTTGACCTCTCAAGATTCCTCCAGTGACACACGAAACAACGTCGCTCACTTGATAAATGGCACCAAGAATCAGCACTTTGCCCGCCAATTGGATGACAACAGGATCCTGAGAGAACAATCGAGCAATATCAAATCTGAAAGTAGCCAGAATGGTAGCATTGAAGATACCAAACATGCCCGCCACGCGGAAAGCTGCTGTGGTAGCCTTTTTCGCAGCATTCCTAGACGCCGACCCAACAAACCAGGCCACTCTCGTCGATGCTGCAACAGAAATGGCAAACGGAATTTGGTAGATCGTCACAATGGTGGTGGAAACAACCGATTGTGCAGCCAACGATGCAGTGCCGAATCGTGATGATGCAACAGATAAAATTTCGAACGCTAGCCACTCCGCCTCAATCATCATCACTCCAGGAGCAGCCAGTGCGATTGCGCGTTTCCAGTTGGTAAACACCTGCATCGAAAGTCTGCAGAAGCATTTAGGTCCTTGGACAAAGTAAGCATAAAAGACCAGCATCAATGCCATACACCAGTTGGTGGCCACAACAGCTGTTGGGGCCCCGATAAATCCCATACCAATATGCTTATCCCAAACAAGAATATAGTTAAGTAGCAGATTCAATGGAGCACAGATGATCAGCACGTAAGTTGAAGCTTGGAACGCACCCTGTGCTTGTAAGAACTGTTTCACCACTTCGAATGTCATGAATCCAGGCACTCCATAGATCAGCCGTCTCAGATACAAACTGGCCAGCTCACAAAGATGCTCGTCCGGAACAATTCTGATCAGAAGTGGATACGATCCCCAGTACCAGAAAATGAATATTGGAACAAACATCACCCATAGCATCAGGTAACAGCGGAGCACGTTCAGTCCAACAGCCTCGTAGTCTTTACGTCCGTAAGCTTGAGGACACAACGTGGACAAAGATGAGGCGATTCCTTGGATGATTCCATATGAGGATATATTTGCCAGTAAGTTGGAGAGAGAGACCGCGGCAAGCTCTTGAGACCCGATACTTCCAGCACTAAACACAGAAGCGATTGTAAGCGAGTATTGTAACAAGAATGTAGCAATCAAGGGAATGGAGGTCTTGAACAGTAACAGGGTCTCTTCTTTGATCGTCGTGGACACCTCGAGAATGGTGTCCCCGCTCTTGATTGGTGTGAGTCCGAACCCGTTGAATTTGGATGACAGTAGTGACGCTCTCCGTGTTTGGATGTACGACTCCTGGTTGCTGGACGAGTAATCTCTCGGGTTTTCTGGATCCAAAAGTGGTGTTGTTTCATTACCGTGTATGGAGCACAGCGAACCGCTGTGCTTCAAGAACACCGGGCTCCCCATTTGGGTAATCGATCCTCTTCTGGGACCACCACCGGACAGAATTGCTGGCGTTCCCGCATTCAGAGTTTCGTCAAGAGACATGTCATCAAATTAATTTTAAACAACACTTTTTCCCGGCCTTATCAGTATGCGTCAAATATTTCTGTTGCACCACTCGTAAGGCTGAAAAAATGTAATTTGATCACAAATCTTGTAATGTCACAGAATTCTCACGCGCCACGAATCAAATGTCTCTCTTGACCAGTTGGGTTGTCTAGAGGCCGGTTGGCTGTGAATTGGCCGGAGTCCATAATGGAAAAATCGTCGTAACTGCCCGGAACGTGCGACGTTTCCGACCCCCTGGATGAAAGAGTCAGAGATGTGAGACGCAAGTCTTCCAAAACAGACGTTCCAGGATCACTAGCCTGTGGCCTCGAAGAAACGTGTTTTTTCTTGAAGAATTCCCGCAGATCTAGCCGTTGTCTGCTGCCCGTTGTGTCGCAGTCCGACGAGCAAGAGAGCAGCGTAGAATATTCGCTGGGCGCTGTTTCAGGCTCGGGAGCCTCTAAGGATTCAAGCATGGTCAAGGTATTATTGAACTCGGTGGCTTGCTCGGTCTCTAACTCAGACGCTGGCGGGGAATGGCTACTCAACTTTGCTTTTCTGGGTTTGAATAGCCCGCCATGGAACCACCAGTTCTGGCGTTGTTTCTTGACCAGTTCTTTCCGCTTTTGCTTGAGAGTCTTGATCTTTTCGTCAATTTCGTGTAAGTCTATGTCATCGGTGATCGGAGTTTGGGGTTTTGGTGATTCACCGATCACCGTTTCCACTGGGCTAGCAGCATCTTGGATCCCAGGCGTTGATTTGGGCGATTCAAACAGAGGACTCAGTTTAGTACCTACAAATGATGCCTTTCCAAGCTCGTCCAATTTGTCGACCTGAGGAGCTTCGCGAATCTCTTCTGGAGAGCTGGCATCAAACACTGTATCCAATGTGTGGTCAACATTTTCAGGCGTGTTGTGATCAGGTTCAAAACAAAGCCCTTCCAGTTCGGATGACTCGTCTTTAAGTTCTGCAAGTTCTTTGCTTGTTGGTCGTTGAAACAAACCAGGATTCAACAACTTGGTCTGAACTGGCCATTGCCTATAGTTTCGTTTTTTATTCCCCGGATAGACATGGATAGATGTCGCCTTGTTCATACTGTTGAGCGAGTTACTTCGAACAGAGATCTCGTCTCTAAAGGAAACCGTCTTCTTTCTAAATTGTTCTTCGTCAACCACTTTATTTGGCTTCATGATTGATTTTAGAATAGAGGAGTTCATGTTTGTATCCGGATTGGCGATCTGCTCTTTCTCTTCCTGATCTTTTCCAAACATAAATTCGTACTCCCCCAGCCCCTTCATTTCGGCAACCTTGTTATTGTCGTTTACTTGTAAAACACCCCATACATTGAACATTTGGGTAGGATTGGAAAGGGGCTTTTTACTCAAACGCAAACTTCCTGTCCGTCTCCTCCTTCTTTTGGATATTGTGGAAATACTATTAGAGATAGATGCGTCATCCATCTGGTCATATGGATTCGTCAAACTAGTCATCGTGAAAGGAAGAAGGGTAAACTCTGTTGTGCTCCTTAAATTCTAACTTGGCGCGAAAAAATAGGGCAATATATGCGTCGATCGGCGCGACGGTATATAAATCGATAAAGATAGCAACTTTACCGTCATGAAATCCAGAGTTACTCATTTCTTGACCACCAAACAGATGACTCATACTGAATGAGTCGCCATGCTTGTTATGGCCTACTATATCTACAGACAACTGAATTAACAGCCAGAGTCAAACGGCCCTGTTACCCTGTTATCTTGCCCCGTGATTTTTTTTTCTTTTGGTTTCTTTGCTCCTGTCCGGGTAACAGGTAAAGATTGGCACTATTGTTTCAGATATGACGGTAGAATGGCATTGAACGAGGAACTAGTACTCAGAGAGCTACAGTTCAACAACTAGAGAGCGTAAAAACGAATTCCGGATAGCAAATAGCGCTGCTCTATTCCACCAGGGTGTCAAACGTGTGCGTAATTTCTGGCACGCAGGACTCAAGTTTTTTTTCTGAAAAAAATTTTTTTTTCACTATATAAAGAGGAGGGATTCCCACTAGGAGAATTTTTCTGATCTTCTAATTTGTACAGTTTGCAATGGGAAAAGAAAAGACTCACGTTAACGTCGTTGTTATTGGTCACGTCGACTCTGGTAAATCTACCACTACCGGCCACTTGATCTACAAGTGTGGTGGTATCGACAAGAGAACCATCGAGAAGTTTGAAAAGGAAGCTGCTGAGCTCGGAAAGGGTTCTTTCAAGTACGCTTGGGTTTTGGACAAGTTGAAGGCTGAGAGAGAGAGAGGTATCACTATCGATATTGCTCTGTGGAAATTCGAGACTCCAAAGTACCACGTTACCGTCATCGACGCTCCAGGTCACAGAGATTTCATCAAGAACATGATCACTGGTACTTCCCAGGCTGACTGTGCTATCTTGATTATTGCTGGTGGTACCGGTGAGTTCGAGGCTGGTATCTCCAAGGATGGTCAAACCAGAGAGCACGCTTTGCTTGCTTTCACCCTTGGTGTCAGACAATTGATTGTTGCTGTCAACAAGATGGACTCTGTTCAATGGAACGAGGCCAGATTTGAGGAAATTGTCAAGGAAACCTCTAACTTCATCAAGAAGGTTGGTTACAACCCTAAGACTGTTCCATTCGTCCCAATTTCTGGTTGGAACGGTGACAACATGATTGAGGCTTCTACTAACTGCCCATGGTACAAGGGATGGCAAAAGGAGACCAAGGCTGGTGTCGTCAAGGGTAAGACTCTTTTGGAGGCTATTGACGCCATTGAGCCACCTTCCAGACCATCTGACAAGCCATTGAGATTGCCATTGCAAGATGTCTACAAGATCGGTGGTATTGGAACTGTTCCAGTCGGAAGAGTCGAGACCGGTGTCATCAAGGCTGGTATGGTTGTTACTTTCGCTCCAGCTGGTGTTACCACTGAAGTCAAGTCCGTTGAGATGCACCACGAGCAGCTTGCTGAGGGTGTTCCAGGTGACAACGTTGGTTTCAACGTCAAGAACGTTTCCGTTAAGGAAATCAGAAGAGGTAACGTCTGTGGTGACTCCAAGAACGACCCACCTCAAGGTGCTGCTTCTTTCAACGCTCAAGTCATCATCTTGAACCACCCTGGTCAAATCTCCGCTGGTTACTCTCCAGTTTTGGACTGCCACACCGCCCACATTGCTTGTAGATTCGACCAGTTGCTCGAGAAGATCGACAGAAGAACTGGTAAGAAGATGGAGGAGAACCCTAAGTTCGTCAAGTCTGGTGATGCTGCTATCGTCAAGATGATCCCATCCAAGCCAATGTGTGTTGAGACCTTCACTGAGTACCCACCTCTTGGAAGATTTGCCGTCAGAGACATGAGACAAACCGTTGCTGTTGGTGTTATCAAGTCTGTTGAGAAGGCTGCTGCTGGTGCCGGTAAGGTTACCAAGGCTGCTCAAAAGGCTGCCAAGAAATAAGTCATTTAATACCGACTTATTGAATGGTATATATTTTTAATATATAAGTCTCGACTGATTTTTAAAAAAAAATTGTAATCATGATAAAACCGTGAAAAGCTATTTGCCGACTTTTTTCTTCCTGATAAGAAATCATTTTTTATTTGCGACCATGGGATCTTCTGACGAAAACCCGCTAGCTATCATAGACATCAGTGATCTCTCTCAGTATACTGCTGATGAGCTTCTCCACGCAGCATCCAGTCAAGGTTTCTTGATGATCGAGGGCCATGGCATGACGCAGGAGCAGGTTGATAAGTTATTTGGACTGTCCAAGGACTTTTTCAATCTCTCGGCCGAGGAAAAAACCGAGTTCAAAATGCAACAGGGTACCAACTCTGGGTATGTTGGCATGTGTGTTGAGAATCTGGAGGAGGACATGAAGGATAAGCCTCTTGGTGATCCCAAAGAGGCCTTCAATTTTTCCGACATTGATATGTTGAAGGGAGATCTGAGTCCAAATATTCCTGTGCCAAAGCTGTTCCAGGAGAAGGAGAACAAGGAACTGATCACGTCCACGCTGCTTGGATTCAAGCACTCGCTTAACAACATGTTGCGTTTGATGGCTATGGGGTTGCACATTGACGAAAAAGACGGTGGAGACGATTGGTTTATTGAGCGTCATAACCCTGCAAAACCGAGCGGAACCACCTTCAGATTCCTCCATTATCCATCCCCAGTGAAGAAGGGAATGACAGAGGAGGAGCTGGACGCTTGTGGAGAGATCAATGTCGCGGGAGCACATACCGACTATGGATGTGTGACTTTGTTGCTGCAAAGACAGGACGAGGACGGACTTGAGATCCTTTCTCCTGTGAGCCGGAAATGGGAGTCGGTCCCATTTGTGCCCGCCTCGGAGAAATACCGTAAGCTGGGCCAGGCTCCGCCTTTGATTGTGAACATCGGTGACCAGCTCTGCTACTGGACCAACGGTTTGCTCAAGAGCACTGTGCACAGAGTCCGGTTCCCTCGCAAGTTGTTGCTCGAGGGTAAGTCACGGTACTCTATTGTGCTGTTCGTTCACCCGGCACACGAGACTTTGTTAGAGCCTGTTCCAGCCAAGGCCATCAGCTCGATCAGCGGCCGTGGAGCCGCTTTCCAGTTGGCCAAGCACGGAGTTTCGCTGACCGCAAGAGAACACCTGCAGAAGAGACTTGCTTCCAGTTACAATTTTGCCATTGAGAAGGTCAACTGATTTAGGGTTTAGAAATTATTTGTATCAAATTAACGTATTTATATTTTTTTTTCCTTGTTTTCACCATGAACACCTTCCATCAATTTGTTGACCCGACGACGTGTTATGGTTCGGCGTACTGCAACTTCGTAGCACCGAAAAGTCACAATCTGGTAGTGTCCAAAGGAACTGTGTTCCAACTGTTCGAAATCGTCGAGCTGGAGATACAGGACGGTGATGACGAGCAGAGTGAAGAACAGATGGATCCGGTGCTGGGTGGGTCGGAGTCGTTTCTCGACGACGGCTTATTCGGTGGCATGATCCAGGACCAACGTTACAAGCTTCTTTTGGTAGGAGAGTACAGATTGAATGGTGAAATCATCAGCATACACCCATTCAAGTCGAATGAGAACGAGTCCCTTGACTACCTGATTGTTTCCACTAAACATGCCAAGTTGTCGCTCATCAGATGGGATTCTCAGCTCCATTCCATCTCTACAGTCAGTTTGCATTTCTACGATACAGCATTGGATGCTTTGACGGTGGATAAGTTAGCTAAAACCACTGTCCACCACAGAACAGATCCCAACTCCCTGTGCACCTGTCTGCGACTCAACGAGCTGTTTACCTTCTTACCGTTTTACAGAGAATTTTTGGACGAAGAGGAGACAAAGGAAGATCAGGGTGAAGTGAAAGACGTCAAAAAGCGGAAAAAGCTCTTCAATGAAAGTTTTGTCATTAACGCTGCCACCCTCCATGGCGACATCAAAAATATCGTCGACTACCAGTTTTTGCATTCTTATAGAGACCCAACGGTGGCCATTTTGTACGCGCCCGAAACGCTTTCGTGGGCTGGCCATCTCCCCAAGGCAAAGGATAATATGAAGGTGATAGTTTTATCATTGGATCTGGAAAATAGAAAAGCTTCAACCATCATGGAGGTTACCAATCTTCCATACGATCTCGACTATATTCATCCTCTCCCAAGTCCTACAAACGGGTTTTTGTTGGTTGGGTCAAACGAAATAATTCATGTCAACTCACTTGGATCCACAAGAGGTGTCTACACTAACCAATATTTCCCAGACATCTCCAACATGAAGCTCAAAGACCACTCGGCACTCAATCTGATGCTGGAGAACTCGCGGGTGGAATTGGTCAAAGACGATCAAGCCCTGGTGATCACCGAAGCAGGAGAGCTGTTTCAATTGAACTTTGAAAAAATCGGTGGTAATTCCACAATCACTGGCTTGCACAAAATTGACACTAAAAACTACAAAGGCATAACTGCAAACCATCCAATAATGATCACGCGTATTCCAGATTTAAATCTGTTTTTCGTTTGCTGCCAAGGAGGTGACTCTTTGCTCGTTCGCATAAGTAATAAGAGTGGTATCAGCAACGATGCTCAAAAATCAAATGGAACCCAAAAGAAATCCAAAGACGATGACGATTGGTTATACGATGACGACGAACAGAAGAAGGGCAACAGTTCATTGATAAGCTCCCAATTCAGGGTGATGGACTCCATTTTGAACTGCGGTCCGCTGGTCGATTTCACTCTTGGTCGGGTGTCCACTGAACCAAAGATCATGGGGCTTCCAAATCCGAACTACAACGAAGACGTGATTGTTGGATCGTGTGGCATTGGAGCAAACAGTTGCGCTTGCGTTTATTCTCCAACCATCAAGCCGGTTGTTAAATCGACCCTAAAGTTTTCGAATGTCGACAAGGTGTGGACTTTGGCGAACAAGAATGGACAGACAAAATATTTGATCACCACGGATTTCACTAACTTCAAGACAGAGGTGTTCCAGGTGAACAAGAATTACAAAAACTTGTATTCGAAAGACTTCAACAACAAGCAGTACACGCTTCAGTTTGGAACAATCCCTACAGAATCCGAAAATAAGATCGTTCAGGTGACACCTTACAAAGTTACTATATTCTCGTTCAAATTTGCCGAAGTGGTTGCGTTAGAATACGATTTCGAGATCAACACCACCCTGATCTACGGCAACTATATCATTGTCATCATGAAGACGGGTGAGCTTGATATTTTGGAATTCAAGGACGACAAACTCGAGAAGATGGATCTTCCAGCATTGCTAAACTACCTGATCTTCACTAACGGATGGATTTGCGAATCGTCATTGCTTAATCAAACAGGAAATGGGTCAGTCAAACGTGATCATGAGGGTGTTCCTGTTGATCAGGATGATCCTTCTAAGACGGAAGTCTTATTCTGGTTGGTGACCGCAGATAACAGACTGCTTGTGTTCAAAAAAGACCACAAAGAGAAAGTTGTGGAGTTCACTGATATCCATAAGTTCCCCGAGTACTTGACCCTGAATAAGATGGATGTCAACTACGAAGCTGATGTCGATCCAATTATCAAACAAGTGATGTACACGAAACTTGGCAATGCGTCCAACTCAAAGGACTATCTTGTCACACTAACATTTGGTGGTGAGGTCTTGATCTATGAAACTTTTTTCGATCCTGTGGATAGCACTTACAAGCTGATGAAGGTGAACGAGATGTGTCAGTTCCCGATTGTTGGAGCCCCAGACAATTCTTATGCACACGCGACCAAGATTGAAAGGTACCTCATTAATGTCGACAATTTCCAGGGATACAAAGCAGTCTTGGTGACCGGTGCTAGTGCATTTGTTATCCTGAAAGAACACAACAGTTTACCAAGACTCTTGGAGTTCACGAAAAGATCGTCCTTGTATTTCTCAGAGTTCAACACAGATAAGTGTCCAAATGGAGTCATTTCGATTGATGAAACCAAGGCATGTCGTATTTGTCAGCTAGACTCGGATAACAACTTTTCAAATCGTTTGCCGATTACGAAACACAAAATTGGTGACAAAACTATCAACAAGATCAGCTACCATTCGATTTCGGGATCTTACGTTATCTCCACCTTGGAAGAAGGGAAGTACAACCCTGTCGATGAAGATGGAGAGCCTTTGCCGGGGCTGAGAGATGACAGAACTCCAAAGGCCACTACTCTAAGAGGTGTGGTTCACTTGGTGTCCCCTGCTAATTGGTCGATTATTGATACTGTTGAGCTGGAGGAGAATGAGATGGTCACATCGATTGAGGTCACAGAACTCAAGGTTTCGGAAACCATTGCTACTAAAAATGTGGTGATCATTGGAACTGCGATCTGCAGAAACGAAGATTTGGCAACACACGGTTCATGGAAGATTTTCGAGATTATTGATATCGTTCCTGAGCCAGGTAGACCCGAAGTCAAGAACAGACTCAAGTTGATGACCTCAGAAACCGCAAGAGGTCCTGTGTTGTCGATCTGCAGTGTTAGTGGCAGATTTGCAATTGTCCAAGGTCAACGTATGTTGGTTCGTACGCTCCAGAAGGACGACAATGTGGCCCCTGTCGCATTTACCGACACGTCTATATACTCCAAAGAAGTGAAGACGTTCAAAAACATGATGTTGATCGGTGACTCGTACCAGAGTGTTTCTCTGGTTGGATTCGACGCTGTTCCTTACAGAATGATTCCTTTGGGAAAGGATGAGCAAGAGGTGGACCTCAGAGCAGCTGACTTTTTGGTGCATGACGGTAACTTGCACATTTTGGTTGCTGACGAGTATTCTATTTTCCATCTCCTGCAATATGATCCTTACGATGGAAGTTCGCTGAAGGGATTGAAACTGTTGAGAAGATCTGTTTTCCGGTCGAACTGCTACGCTACCAAGATGATTTCTGTTGCCAGAGACCGCTCGCTATTCTCCATGATTGACACTTTGACTAACACTTCCGACCTGGGCTACGAAATCATCGGTAGTAACATGGATGGATCGTTCTTCAAGGTGATTCCCGTTAACGAGTACCAGTACAGACGACTGTACTCGATTCAGAACTACCTTTACGAAAAAGAACTGCATTGGCTAGGACTTAATCCAAAGTCAAACGCAATAGGAGGACTTTCGGAGTTGATGCCGTCAATTAAACGTCCATTTATCGAACTGAACATGTTTCATCGTTTCGTCAACCTGAACGATGACAAGAAGCGCCAAGTGATGCAAAAGCTTGGTAAGAACTCGTACGTCGAGGTGTACAAGGATATAATTTCGTTACAATAGATGATATATATTTTCGGGCTGTGCTAGTAAAATATCATGGACTTAAGTTCATTCAAGTTCTTTCGCAAAGGGTCGGCGAATGCAATTTATCGGTATGGCGGCAGTGATCTAGAGCTGGTGGGGAAAGTCTTGAGGCTGCGGTTAGCAGGGCAGCTATTTTGCTCCGCAGAAATTCACTCCTATATGAGAAAGTTCAGGATTTTGAGCCAGTGGATAGTTCCCAATGAGTTAGTGGAGATTGATCGAACCAAGCTTCCGATTTTGGAAACAAGCGAAATTCGGCTGCTTGATGATGATTACGGGATCCTGATGGAGAATATCCTAAAAGGTACAGAGTACGAGACGGTAGTGTTAAATAAGCACATCATTATTCATCTCGGACAACAACCACTGCTCGAATTGAAACCTAAATGGCTCTACAAGCGAACAACAGCTGTTTGTCGGAATTGTGCGCTTGCAAAGTCTCGAGGAGAATCATTTTTGAACTGTCCCCTGAGGTTGCTCACTGCTAATGGTATAGATCTATGGAGCTCCATGGTGGAACAAGAGCTCCTATTAAAACACGATAAACAGGTCAACGGTTTACGAGAAGCAATGGCTGCCAATTTGAGCCTCTTTTCAACACTTCAAGAACTCCAGAATCTGCACTATGACGTTCATGAGAAGTTAATGTCTCTCACGGGCGAGGACGATGTGGATGTGCAGCTCTGCGATGCGATGACTCTGCGCGATGTCACTGTGTTTATTGATCTGAGCACTCAGCGTGCATCTATTTGCGATATGGACAGGAAAAACACTGCCAAATGGTCCAAGTGGAAAAATCAAGAAGAGAAGTTGCACACACTTATGCAGTAACCAGCTTAGATGTGAAACACACACGGTTGTCTTTAGTGGTCATCCACAGCTTGTGTGATGTAGCTGTCAACTTCTTGGTGCATATGTTGAGCTCGCTGTCAACAAATGACGGACTCAATATTTTATATCTGAAGGAGAGCAGATCAGCGGTGGAGTGTTTTGTATGCCAATACTGCAGTGCCATTAGAATCTGCAGCGGTGCAGATACAACAATGTTCGGGTAATTCTCCTCCTCGAGCGCATAGGTAGGATTGTAATGGATTAGATGCGAATTGAACACCAGGGCACTTGCCCGAAACACCCCCACCCTGGATGGGGTAACTGTGATGCTCGAATCTGGCGCTAAATCTTCTGTGAGTGGGGGCCATTCAGTTTCGTATTTCGACTGTATGTAATATAGTCGTCGTGTTTCTGTCACAGACGGCTGCGAGTTTATGCTGTACACTCGTTTGTAGTCAATACCAATCTGCTGGAACTGCTTATACTGCTGGATCTTGGCAACAGTTTCTGTAAAAGAAACGTCATCTCCAAACCTCAATGGGTTGTTCGTGTTGTATGTGAAAGATCCTGCCACCCACATACGTCTGCGGAACAGATCCGTGTTCTCATTCGTTGGTGCGTGATAATTATCAAACCCATCCATACCCAACTCATCTTCGGTCGATATCGGGTTGCAGTATATCAATGAGTATCCATATGGAACCTTTGCACCTTTTTTGAAAGTCTGGTCGAGTCTTGGTATATCGGTCGACATTGTTCGAGCTGATGGATCAAGTATAGACTGAACCGTTGCATACAACTGTTTGGCGGGGTATGCTGCAATAGAGTCGTCATGAAGATGCCATTGGGCTTCCTTAAGTCTACTGGCAACTCTGGAATACTCTTCCGGGGTCGGTTTTGCGCGTGTCCGCAGACATCGTACAAAAGTGGTCAGTACCATTGTATTTTAACTCTATTTAGTTTTTCAATTTTTCGATTTCGTCCTCGGTCATAATTTTATCCTTGAAGTGCACCCCATTGGTGATGAGTAGCGTACGAGGACCAGAGAACTCGATCATGTAGTCTGGGTTTCCCGTAAACAGTCTGTTGAACGCTCTTTTGATCAACCCTCCGGTCTTTGCGAAGGCAGATGACAGCCAAGGGTGGACGTGCACGGGAGGAAGCTTGAGTTTGTCAGAAACGTAACTTTTGAGAGAGGACCAGGATGCAGAGGCTTTGGTGAGCCACGAAATGCCAGGGACGCCAAAGTCGACAAGGCTCTTTGGTCCTGTTGGCTGGGTGCCCGTGAATGCTACCACGCTGGACGGACTCACACTGATAGACTCTCCTTCTTGCAATGAAAGCTGAAGCGTTTGTCCTGGAGAGCTCAGCACGAACTTGCCCGATCCTTCTATGTTGACAAGTTTTCTCGATCCGTTAAGAAGCAGGTGATTGCCTGCCCATGCAACGAGATTGTCACGCTTGACCGTCCAGCCAGCGTCCGGCGTCGCCTGCACCACACTGAAGTTGGCGTTTTGGAGCTTGTTAGCCATAAGAATCGACATAGGGCCCGATCCATTCAGACATCTCTGGAACACCAGGGCTCCATCAGTTCTGCCCAATTCGACCACCAGCTCCGACACTTTACCGTTCAAGGCGATTATGCTCTGGTTTGTGTTGTTGTAGCGCAAATTAAGGATCGACGACTGTGGAAGACGAATGTTGAGCATGCCGGATGTTTTACCTAGCACCTCAAATTCTGGCGACTCCACGAACGATTCAATGTTCACAGTGGACGGAAGTGTTGCTGATGGCTGCTTGACCGTCTCAACGGCATGTCCACCTCGAAACGACGAGAGGATCGTCTTGAACGATATCTTCCTGGAAACGGTGGGTCTAAACATAAATAAAATAAGTTGGTGTGCGGAGTGGAATATATTAAGTTACTTTCGATTAGCATAAATCATCCGAAGACACAGAGCCAGACAGACGAGTCCGATGCCAACGTTCACGGTGAACACGTTGTAGTAGCAGCGGTTTCCATGCATACATGCCCGGATGATCTTACCTTGTCCATCCTCAATGTACTCGCTCTGGGAGTCGTAAGCACGGCCAAAGTAGTTGCTTAGAAGAAGGAACGCAACGACAGATCCAGTTCCGTGGACAGACCACGTAGTGGCGAAGTGGCGTGAGCCAAAGCTCTCGGCCAGAATGGCAGGCATGGCGCCGTAGATTGCCCCGTAGCATAAGCCGTACAGTCCGGAGGAAAGCGACAGTGTCTGAGGAGTGTCAAATACAAGCAACGATAACGCTGCGCAGATTCCGACGATCACAAAGACAGTAATCACCCACAGTCTCTGTAACTTAAGCTTCTTGTGAAGGAAATCGCTAACAACACCAGATACTATACGGCCCAAAAAGTTGCAAAGAGAAAGAATGGAAACTTGCAACGCTTGGTACGCAGAAATCTTGCTGCTGTAGAACCCAACAAGGGGGTTCAGCTGGGCCTTCACAATAAAACCAACTCCAAAAATGTAGACCTGTCCCGTTCCGCAATAGAGTGCAGACAGGAAAAAGTAGCAGATGAATGTCTTGTTGCTTAAAAGCCAGTATAAATGTTCTTTGGTGGTTCGTTTCTGTTTGGTCCGTTTCTTCTTGAATACTTCGGTCAACGTTTCTTGTGGAGCAGGGTCGATGGTTTCGGATTGGGCTGATTGTGGGGGAGTCTGTGTAGTGGAGCTATATGTTGTAGATCCTGGCACAATTGGTGAATCTTCATCCACTATTACTTCTTCCTTGATCGCTTTCTTCGGTACGCTACCAAACCAGCTGGAAGCTCTTGGAGAATTGCTGAGCGACGAGGTGATTCGCGAGGAGTTTGCGCGAGCCAGTGCCTGTTTGGTTTTGAAGTCGGACGGAGACGAGGACAATGGAGAGTAACTGCTTGGGCGGGAGGAGTACGGAGAGTTTGTCTTGGAGCTGTAATTGATGGCGATCGGATGGTTTGCGACGGTGGAATTCCCAGACGACATTGAGGAAACGGAAAGTGAAGAGATTTCTGAGGTGGTGGAGAACAGCGACGAGCTGGAGTCCTTTCTTGCGAGTGTGAGCTGGGCAAAAGAACCACGATGTCCCTTCAGAAGATACTTCAAACCAGGCGACTCTTCTTCGTCCTGTTCGCGTTCTGGTTCCTCTGTTTCATAAATATCGATGAAGAAGTATCCCGAGCCGATGACGACTCCTGCGAAGATACTGATAAATCTCAAAAACCCCTGTGTGTCTTCTGCGAAGAAGATGGTCGAGATAGAGGCATATAGCAATGCTGCCAATCCGTATGAGGAGACGGGACAAGCGTTGGCCACTCCTCTGTGATGGGGGAAATTGTAGGTGGACACCTTGAGGGTTGCAAAGAACGGCAACACTGACCCAAAACCCACGTTAACCATGGCAAATATGAGCATCCAGAGGTGGTGGAGTCTGTATTTGTAATTGAGGTAGAGGATAAGGAACGCGGACGATTCGAGTGCTGCACCCAGCAAGATGGCGAACTTTGGCCCAAACTTGTCAATCAGCAGTCCTGCTGCCAGGCCACCTATCGAGGATCCGGCTGTCGAGCCAAATGTGAGGAAACTGGCGTCCTCTGCTGTGAAACGACATTGGGCCATCACCTGAGGCGAGTACATTCCAAACAAGTACGGAGTGCCACTTGCCATAGCCACCAGACACGAGGACACCAGCGACACAATTTTGCGGGTGCTCTTGTCTGGACCAATGGCTGATTGCCCTGTCACAGACTCGTTGACAGCGGACATTAAATAATAATAGATAATGTAATTTTTAGTCCCCTTGTTTAGAAAAATAATCTCTGCTCAAAACATCATGCCTAAAAGAAGAAATAGTTTTGACGACTACGAGCAGGACGACGACTACGAGGAGCCGGTGCGCAAGTCGCGACGGGTGCAGACGGCTGGGACAGACGACGTGTCGGAGGACTCTGGGTCGGAGTTCGAGTCGGATTCGCCAACCCAAATACCTAATTCTCGCGACGACCTGACGTCCAGACTGTCTATCCGCGAACAACGAGTCGAAAAGCTGGTCAATGCGTTTGTCAGGGCCCTTCTTCCGTTGGAACACAAACACCAGGTCTTAAACAAAGGGCTGGTTGCCAAGATCATGGAAATGGAAGACGAAAAGGGCCATGGAGTCCAGTTCAAGAAACATCTGCTGCCAGGAATCAGATCAACGCTTGAACGCGTGTTTGGACTCGAACTCATCGAATTGCCTCCCAAAAAGGGCTCCAAATCATCATCTTCCGATGACTACATCCTGGTCAATAAATTGTCTTCTACTTTGAAAGACGAAATATACAAGTATTTCCAAACGCAATCTCGTGCGATCTCGTCGTTGGCAGACCTCAAAGAATCATCCTCGTCCTCCTCGTCACTAATGAAAACAGGTGCAACTCTGCCCAAACCCGTCAACGAACTCATAGGCCAGGGATTCAAAATGCTAATCATAGCCATCATTTTGTTGAACGATAATAATATCAACAAACAGGACCTGCTTAACATCCTCAAGACAAAATTCCAACTCAACTTCAAAGAAACAAAGTCGGTCGGTTTATTGGGAATGACAGTGCCCGAGTTTCTGTATCTGCTGGTCAAACAAGAATATCTCGAGCAATTGGACGTTTCCCAAACCAGCTCCAAAAATAAACGACGCACAGTCATCTCCAATAAGTCAACTGACGATAACATGCTCATCTATTCGATCGGCCGTCGATCCATCGCAGAACTCGACCAGGACAACTTCATCGATTTCCTTAAAAAAATGTACCCAAATTGGAACGAAGAATTGGAAAAGAGCGCACTCTATACTTTAAACAACGTTTGGAAACCTCAACAGGAGGACGCTGATCAATCTGCATAGTTAATACATTCATTCCATATCGTCCCCGAACATGTTGTTCAATGTCTTTTCCGTCAACGGATCATCCATGACGTCTTCTCCAGAGCCTTTCTTGCTCCGCCGTTGTTGAGCACTTTCGACCTGTTTCTTCCGATCTTTCATCTTTTGTTCGTCAGAATCGCCATTGTTGCTCGAGTTCTCCACCAGTTGTAACAGACAATTACGTCTTTCGCGTAGCTTCTTGCAGTTCATCAACACCATTTCGAATTGGTTCATGTCCTTGTTACTGATATCAAGACATTTCTGGAGAATCATTGCAGGATAAGAAGATTTGTATCTCAATCCCATGTACAATATAGTCAACGTGTAGGCAGCTTCTGGATGAGCGTCGACATAAAACTTGTCCACCAAAACTCCAAGTAGAGTCTCAATGACATGTTCAGATAGATATTTGTCCACTGCATCGTTGTTCAAAGAAATCAGATCCTGCGCCATATGTTTCACAATCAAAATTGCGTTGAAAGAGCATCTGGTATCTTTAAAATTGATGATATGGCACAACAGGTTTAATAGCGGGGCCAAAAGGTTCAAGTCTCCAAAGATGATCTCTCTGGTTTTCAATTGTCTCTGGTTCAAGCTTGCTGGAGCTTGTTGGCCAACAAGATCGATCAACATCCTATCAACGACGGCTGTGAGCTGACGTAGCATGTGTTCTTCCATCATTTCTTCGCTCAGCTGTTCGTCACTCTCGTTTCCTTCCAATTGGAGTCCTTTTCTGAAAACAGCATCCCATTTGGAAATCAACAACGCGTCAATTGTATTGAGCACTTGTGGAAGCAGCTCGACCATGAAAGAGCTCAGATGTGATATTGGACAGTTCTTAATCACGCTTCTGATCACCAAGTTGAGCATGTGTCTCCATGAATGAAGGGTGATGCCAACAGGCTCTCCTGTTAAAGCTTTCCATAGAAGATTGGCACAGTCAGGAATCTCGTAAAGAGTTTCCTCCAGTTCTGAAATAGAACTAATTGTAAGATATGCGTACTCTCTGGTATATCTGACAATGTGTCCAACGCTGTCAGCAAAATCTCTCAATGTGTGCATGGCTTTGACACTTTCATCCATGAAAGACTCCTTGGATTGGATAGAGACCCCTTGTTGCCAGAATCTTTCCATACAACTATGTTTCACAAAAGATTGAACTTCCGTAGGAAGTCCTTCCCAGTTAGCTGGATTGTGATAAGCTTGAATCTGATAGATCAGTTGCAAAATGTGTGGTAAAATCGGCTTGATTCTAGGCTTCCATAACTTCAAAAGATCTTGATAAGTGTCCGATTGATGGTCAAGCTTCTCTATACTGTATTGGATAAAAATTCTGGTGGCACGAATAGGGAAAACCGAAGACCAATGGTCCTTGAGCTCGATCTTCAGTTCGCGTCCTCTCTCGTCCATCTCAGCCTGCAAAAGATCGGTACTCGCAGTAATTCCGCGCGATTGGAAGTAATCCGCTATCCGAACAATGCCCAATCTTTCCATAAACCAGTGAAGCTCTAACAAGCCTTTTTCGGTGGCAGTATTAGACCATGCAACCAACTCCGGGTCAACAATGTTTGCAAACCGTTGAGCTTTGTTGTCAATGGAAGATCTTTGCGAAACCACGAGAAGGAAAGATTTGAATGCGACGGCTTCGTGGTCGCTGAGTTTCTTGGAGCTCAAAATGGATGCAATAGCAGCCTCCAGCTCTGAGAGAATGTCTTTTAATGATTCGGGCATCAAGTATGCAAGTCTGTTCAGCTCTGTACCGCCACTGGTTCTGAGGTCTCTAATCAACTCCCGTTCATCATCAGTAGCATCAACAGGATAGTCAAATGTACATGATTCCATGACTTTTTCCAACACTTTGAACATGGTTCCAGAGGCATCCTTTAATAGAGGAGTGAACTGAACCAATGTTTGGATTTGTTTGCGCAACAACATTGGGTCTTTAACTGTCATGGATAACAGCATCTTGCATAGCTCGTCCACCTGGCCGATCAGATATTCTTTCTTGCTCTCCATATCCTCATCCTGGCACCAAATCAGCCAACGAGAGATTCCTCGAACGCAAGCTTCAATGGTGACGAATTGTGCGTATCCATAAACGAACGGTTCTGAGTTTTTACCCTTGTACACCAGTTTCGAGTCATTGAGAGCTTGCGATCCAACAGGTGAGGAATAAAACTTGTTCAGTCTGTTTGCAAGCCATTGGAGTCCATCATTTGGTTTCTTGCAAATGATTATCCTCACGATGTCGTCGCTCAACTTTTTGTAATTGCTTAGGAATGTGGTTGCTTCGGACTGACTTTCAAAGTCGATTTCAAGCATTTTCTTTTCGACGCAATCTTCATCGTAGTCTGAGTAATTGATGAGACGGCTGGCTGTGGTTTCGAGAAGGTCTGGCATGATTTGTTCAAAATCAGATTTGTCACTGAGTTCATCGATTCTAAGCATTGAACACCAGAATTGTAACGATAGCCCAGAGATCACCAGAGACTGATGCTTTGTGGTTTCGAGAACGAGTTTGAAATAGTTCAAGACGTCGGCATTCTCCGGGAGTTTGAACTTACTATTTCCATCAGATAATTGGAAATACTCACTGAGCCCCACAATCATCTCGACTAGTTTTTTCAGCAAGGTGTATTCACTCTCATCGACATCGTCTGGATCTAGACGTATTTCTTCAAAGACCTTGAAAAGCATTGCCAAGCCTTCGGTTTGGAAAATTGATCCAAGAACTTCTTTGAAGTCTGCCTCTTCCGAATACGATCTGGTAAATAGGACCTGCAAACAATCAACAGTAAGGGTTTTTATTTGCACATCGTCGATTCTCAATAAACGGCTAAGTTTTTCGAGCACTCCTGCAGAGCGAAATGCTATTGGTAAGATCCAGTACAAGCTGGTTTTGAAAACCTGGAGAATCTTGACGGCGAAATTGTAAAAGCTTTTGTAAGTTTCATCAGTTGTTGATTGTGGATGATTGAGCATATAGTCGATACATTCTTCGAGAAAAGTCGACCATTTGTTGAGCCAGCCTTCACTTGATGCGGCAAATATACGGAGAGACTCGTTTGGTTCGTATTTTAACAGGAGAACTTGTTCGGATGTCACAACTTCGGGGCATAGAGACGACAAAACATTGTTTCGCTGTGACACGACAGGATCATCGAGCAAATAAACGTCCTCGAACAATGCACGGAATATGATCAAAGATAGTTCCCTGGAGATGAGGCTGTGGTTCCATAGGTCTAGTAGATTGGAGTCCATTGATGCCCAACTTTCAAGTCTTTCTTGTTCTGAGTACGACTTATCTTTGAGAGCGATTTCCTCTTCTTCTTTTGAGAGACAAAGACCCCAGCATCTCTTTGCGGTCTCGACCCAGAGAAAGGCCACTTTCTCCTTCATGTAGTGAGGGTCTTGAGGAGAAACTTTTGTGGCCAGTTCGATCACCCAGTTTCTAACGGCAACTTGTTTTTCCAAGTCCCAGGCAGAGAAATCTTTCACGATTGCATTGGAAAGTAGATTTAACCCAAAATGTCTCACTATGAAGTCGTGTTTACTGTCTGGGAGAGCGAGTAGGTAACCCCAGAACGGAGACTCAGGGATCTTTTTTATTGTTTCCAGGAACTCCTGGGCCTTGTGTCGGTCCTCATTGGTTGACTGGGGATTGTAGATAATTTGTAGAGAACCAACTATTTGGTCGACTCCATTCTGATCCATGGTGGTGAAATGATGGTGAGTCGCACTTAAAAGATATTATAATTGGAGAACTGTTGCAGTGAGTTTCGCGTTGATCCAGATGGCGTTGGATATAAAAAATCAACAGAACTTGGAATACAATGTTGGACTTCCAAACTCAATCGATTGAATTCACTTGGGGCAACTATGAAGCTTTGGGATTTAAATTGAATCTATCTCCAGATTGGTAAACAAAAGGTCTAATCACCAATAAACTTAAAAAAACTAGGAAAAAAAGTGTCAACTAAATCTTGCAAGGACAATGAATTTTGCAAAGAGTGGAGGTTTGCTTAAATTTTCTCTCCAGAAGCAGGCAAGATTTCCTGTTAGTGGGAGATCATTTGTTCGAACAGTCGCTGGAAGTTCGGGTAAACCTGAGTTCAGGTTCAAAACCAGGAAAATCAAGACTCCTGAGCAAATACGGGCAGAGGCCGAGCAGAAGAAGTTCGAGGAAGCTGTGAATTCTGGCTCCTGGATTAGAAAATACGGCGCGATCGTGGACACGTTTGAGTTCAACAAGAAGGCCACAAAGTACTATTTCGCATTGTACTTGGTGTTTTTCGTTTATGGTATCAGATACTTCAGTAAGCTGTATGAGAGAGACGTTGAGAAGAAGGATTTGTTGAATAAGAGAGATTCTGGTGCGGAACTCAGCGATTGGGAAAAGCTCAGATTACGTGAACTCAGCGGGGATCTGATCAGAACCTCTGATATGGCCAAACTCCATGCTTACCATGTTCTTAGAGAGGAATGGAAAAAGACACATGGAAAGGATGACTACTTCAATCCTGATCCCAAGGAAATTGAGGGAAAGGTGGACACAAGTTTCCAGGAATGTATTCTTCCACCAAAAGATCTGACAGAGTTCTACGACACTCTTGCAGACAAGTACGATAGCGACGTTTCCACCGAGGAAATGCTGTCGTTCATGGGTTCCAAGAGAAAGTGGCTCATGAAACACACAAAGGGAGACGTTCTGGAGATCGCATGTGGAACTGGCAGAAACATCAAGTACATGGACCCTGCAAAATTGGAGTCCTACACGTTTTTGGACACTTCGTCAAAGATGATGGAGGTGACGTACGACAAGTTCAAGAAACAGTGGCCGGCATTCAGCAAAGTCAAGTTTGTGGTCGGAAAGGCCGAAGACTTGCTAGATATGCAGGGTGAGAAGCCAATGAAGTACGATACCATCATTGAGACGTTTGGACTATGTTCTCACAAAGACCCTGTCAAGGCCCTGGAAAACATGATGAAACTGCTCAAGCCGGGCGGAAGAGTGGTTCTGCTTGAGCATGGAAGAGGCTCGTACGATTTCATCAACAAGGTGCTGGACCGTCGTGCACATAAACACTCGGAGGCATGGGGATGTCGATGGAACTTGGATATTGGCGAGCTGGTGGACAAATCCGGTTTGGAAATCACCCAGGAAAAACGGACCCATTTCGGCACGACATGGATGATTGTGGCCAAACGTCCTGGCGATGTGTTGGAGTTCGAAGAATTGGGTTTCTTCGAAAAGTACTTCACAACCAGCAAGACCAATTTCGACTCTTCACTGCCTGAAAAATAATTTATAGAGTTATTTGTATATATTTCTGGTTCTTGTACAAAGATAACATTTGATATATTCAACAAATATCAAACAAAGATGCCTCCAAAACCGAAGAAGATCAAGAAAAGAGTGTCTTTCAGCAAAATCGACTCGTTTTCAGACTCCAAAGATAAAGGAACTCCAAGTCCTGACTCGCGCTCGGTGTCTCCAGAAACTGCCGAGACCTCTGCAGATGAAATCACAGACGTGTTCAACGTTCCGAAACCGCGAACGAGTGTTTTGCTGATTCCGTTTCAGCTGCCGCTAATGGGCTACGCATTGTTCCACCAATTTCACATTAATTCGCAGGTCTTGGATGGATTATTATCCTCTCTGATTTCATTGGCGGCCTTACAATTCGTGCAAGGATCCATTCTGGTCAAGAACGTGACCAGACGCAAGAAGATCTCTCTGTTTGCGTTCCCCAACGGTGGGGAACTGATGTATCTGGTTATTTCTGCGTTCCTGACGGCCGTCGCAGCATTACCTATTTTCGTGGTACTGTTGGTGTTCGGAGCACCAATTGGCTCCCTGTCCTTGGAAACGTTCTATCTTTCGGGTCATCTGGCTTTTCTCACTGTTTTCCCGCTTCTGGCTACCTATAAGTTCACAGACTCGGATGCCGGCTCAATCTGGTACAACTTAGTCACCTTCCAGGTGCCAAACTTTTACGCAAACCAGGTGTATCTACAAGCAGTGGGGGCTATCGTTGGCTGCTGGCTGGGAGTGACGCCGATTCCGCTTGACTGGGACCGCGATTGGCAGCAGTGGCCAATCACTCTGGTAGTGGGCGCCTACGGCGGAAGTTTCGTGGCCGCTACCATTAGCTACCTCTACAATATTACAGTGCAATAAATTCGCGATTTGAAGAAAATTGTAAATAAAAACTTTCTTGGTAAATGTATCAGCCAGCGTCCAGTGCTCAGGAGTCACGCTTGACCAAGTACAAGCTGAAAGACAGCATCTACAAGGAGCCTGATTGGCTGAACTCCGGGAGTGGGGAACAGCTCAAGAAGCGAACGATCCCCACCACCTTGATCAAGAGAAGGGGGGAACTTGCAGGGGCAACTAATGAAGACACAGATGCCCTGAATCCGCCAGCTTTACCGTTCCAGTCGGATGTTCATCGCAAGCGACTTGCTGGGAAGATTTCCGAGGACCAGAGTGTTCCATTGACTGACGAGTTCCAGGACAATCCTCCTAAGATCTCTTTGTTTGATAGTGTCAAAACAGAAGACAGCTCGAGCAACGGGCTGTTGATCAACAATCCCGACTTTGGCAAGCTGGAGACTGACCCTAGTCATTACAAGAACGTTTTCAATAGAGTGCAGAGAAACAGAGTTCCTACAGAGTCGAATGAGTCGGGCAGACCAGATCTGCCGTTCGCAGTGACAAAGACAGAGACATTCAAGGACAAAGAGAAGGAAGCTGAGCCTGCGCTCCATGAGACCGCGGTGATTGTTTACGGGTACTCAGATTCACAGTTCCCATCAATTGTGAGCCAGTTCTTGAAGTACGGCACAATCCTGGAAGATTTCAACCAGCCTAGACTCTTCTACAATACGAAAAACTACCCTGTCTTTATCGGGCCGCAGTGGGTCAAGTTCACCTACGACAACTCGGCGTCTGCTGTGCGAGCTTTGCGCGAAAATAACCAGACCACCGCTTCTGGATCTACAATTGGAGTCGTTCCTTACACAAGGTCGTCGTTGGAGAAGCTCCTGGGGACGTCCATTCCGGACGAACAGGATATCGGGTGTTCTATGTCTTTGGTGAAACTTGTGAGCGATCAAAAACTACCAGACACAGAGCTATCGAGTCTATTTGTGGTTGATGGGGACAGTACAGAGGAGCGACAAGACGGGCGGTTCCGGCTGTTGGACGGCTCGAAACTCATCAATGTCCCCAAGCCGGCCAAGAAGGAGTCCGCAAGTGTTTTAGAACGCGGTTTCAACTTTGTGTTTGGAACCGGCCAGGTGTAGAATTAATTTACCAGGAAAATAAATACTGAAAATAAAATTAACACATGAAATTAATGCCGAATGGATCAATTGGAACAAGTACAAGCCCAATCCAACGCACTGATCTACAAATACGCACTTTCGCAACCAATCAAGGAGGATTGTTTGCAACTGATCAAACAGTTCGACCCGTCGCCGAGTGGCGGGGTCGATTCTGCGAGGCTCAAGGCTCTGGGAAATCGGCTATTGGATCTGTATGATCACTCGAGAGCAAACAAAGACGGATATCTAACCGCCGACGAAAAGATGAGCTGGATCTTGTCTAACAACGGCGAGTTTGTGTACCCATACGACGACAAAGTCGGCCTTTTCTTGGGAAAAGGCGATACTAGACCAATTGACTGGTCTTTGGAAGGAAGTTCCCATCTGTACCAGGAGTCTCTGGCCAATTGCTCTTTTGTTTCGTCCATGATCACAATTCTGGCACGGGGACTGGATCTGCGCACGCTATTACACCCAAACGAGAACTACACTCGTTTTGGGGTAGTGATAACTTTCAACGGCTCCAAAAGAGTGGTGGTGGTAAACTCCGAGCTTCCGAGCGATTCGTCCCGATATATCAAGAGTTCTGCCAACGCAGACCTGCTGTGGCCTGCAATGCTGGAAAAGGCATACTTGAAGATCCACCATGCCACTCATTTGACGGAACTGACCGGTTCCAATCTCGCTAACGACACTTTTATGTTAACCGGCTATTTACCGGAATATGTAATGATCCAGGACTTGACAACAACTCAATTGCGCACCATTGTTCAAGCATACAAGTCAGATCAGTTACTTTTGGGTATTGGAACCGGAAACCTGTCACCGGAGGAATGCAAGCAGTATAAACTTGCTCCGAGCCATGATTATGCGGTTCTGGACGTTTTTGAGAACGGAAAGGCCCAGTTCGGGTACTCGTTCCGGCTGAAAAACTCGTGGCTATCGGACGATCGAGAGGTCATTGTCAATGACTTGTATCCGTTTGGGACGCTGTATCTGAACTGGAACGTTGACAAATTTAAACACTTGGTCACCAAACATTTCACCGCAAGACCCGATTCAGCTGGCGTGATCGACTATGCACAGTTTCGTATTTCCAATAAGGAGACCCAGAATACAGCTTTTGTGCTGATTGAACGGCAGCTGGACCAGCCAGAAACCTATTTACGCGCTGAATGGTTTGACACCGCCGGAGAGAAGATTTGGGCCCTGGGCCAGCACCGCCGCGTGCTTTGCACTCCCAGCAACAAGTCGCGGTTCGTGCTATCCAAGCTGCACCTCAGTCCAAACCAGAAACTTACGGGAGTAGCTGTTGTTGAACCGGAAAAGAGAACAACGTACTCCGTGTACTTTTATTCGGAGCACGAGATGGAGATCACAAGAGCACCTTACAAATACAAAGCCACTCAGGAATTGACCGGTAGCTGGACACCGATGACCGGTGGAGGTAGCTGGGCCTATCCGACGTATATCGACAACCCGCAATGGGAGCTGACTGGTACTGGAAACGTGCAAATCGGGCTCTTCTCCAAACACAACGTCAATTTACTCGTTTTCAACAGTTCTGAGAGTTATGTTCAAGACTTTGACGAGAAAAAACTTGTTCCCGGGCAGAAACTCGAGTATAACGAGAACTCGTATGTGGCCAGACTAGTCTTAAAACCAGAAGCTCGGTACATCGTCGTGGCGTCTACAGATTGTCCTGGGAAGGTTGGTCCTTTCAAGCTTCTATTCAACAGCGAGAGTCCGGTAGCTGTCGCGCGCTTGTCCACCAGTTTGGGCCTTTTTACACAGAAACTGCATTTCAACGACACCGTCTACAAGCATAAGTTCAACATCGCGAGAGAGTCGCGGCTGAGTGTGCGTCTTCGCACGCAGAGCAGGTTCACCATCAGTATCTCATCTTCCGGCTTTCAGCAGGAAATTTCCAACCAACCTTCCAAGTTTGGCAACCTGTTTCAATTCGACCGCATCCAGCCTGGAACATACTCGCTCAGCGTCCGGCAGGGATTCAAAGCGGCCTCGACCATCGACATTGGCTGCTCCAACAAGCTGGACTGAAAATTTCAAACTGGGCTGTGCAAAGCACGATCAAAAATTTGAAACACTTTTGCCATGCGCAGAGGAAAAGCGGCTCAAATACGGTTTCTTGCTCGGATCATATCACGAATGGGACAGCACACGGCGAATTTCGAGGCGTTATCGTCGGTTGCGGAGCTAAACGACCGTATCGACACGTTGCGGCTCCAGGAATCTGTTTCCCAGACCGTCGAGAGCCAGATGGAGGTCGAGATGGAGGTCTTGAAACTGTATGAGGAAGTTCTGAAAGCCGGACCGGAGGGATATCCTGCTCTCAATCGAAAACGGACCTCAAAGTATGTGGAAACGTTCTTGACCCGGCCGTTACCCCCACCATTTGTGCAATTGGAAGCTTCTCAAACGTGGGTGGTTTACTGGCTAGTCAACTCAAAAGTGCTGCTAGGCGGCGAGGTCTCCGAGGAATTGCGCGAGGCAGTCGGGCAGAAGATACTGGAGTGCGTGGACCCGCGATCTGGTGCTTTAGGTGGCGGGTCTGGCCAAATCGCACACATGGCCAGCACATATGCCGGACTCCTGGCTTTGGCAGCTGCCGAGAGCTACAAAGCGTTGGAACACCTGGACAGAACACGGATCTACCACTGGCTGCTCTCCATGAAACAGCCTGATGGGTCTTTCATAATGCACAACAACGGAGAGGCCGACACACGGGCTGTGTACTGTGCGCTTTGCATTGCACAGCTGCTCAACATCATGGATGAAAAATTGGTGGAGAACACGGCGGAGTGGATTGCCAGCTGCCAAACTTACGAAGGGGGGTTTTCAGGAGCACCGGGCGACGAGGCGCACGGAGGGTACACATTTTGCGCGGTGGCAGCTCTTTCGATCCTGGACAGTCCAGAGAGCCTGGGTTCTGTGATCGATCTGGACAATCTCGTCAGTTGGACCGTACAACGCCAGTATGGAATTGAGGGGGGACTGAGTGGGCGAACCAACAAACTTGTGGATGGGTGCTACAGTCACTGGGTGGGGGGACTGAGCCCGTTTTTGGAGGTAGCCACGGGGCGCAAAGAGGTGCTGGACCGCACCCACCTGCAAAACTACATCCTGTGCTGTTGTCAGGACGACCCTGCTGGTTTGCGGGACAAACCAGGTACCCGCGCAGACTTTTACCATACCAACTACGTTCTGTGCGGACTTAGTATGACACAGCATTACCAAAATTATAAGGACGGTAAGTTCGTTGCCGATCAGATAGCCAGCACGTCCAGCTTGGTGGAACCAATCGATCCCATATACGGCGTGCGAAGCGATCTGGCGCTAAAATTGGCACAGTTGTATAGATAGAATAGGAATATTGATGAATTTGGCTTCAAGAGTGGAGGAAAAAAAAGATTGGAAAAAAAAATCACCATGGCGAGACTGGACAGAGAACAGGTAAGTTAAAAGGCGTATTGTTGGCGAACTAACGGGAAGTTCTTGAAGCAATTAAGCGCCCTGTTGGAGAAGAACGGCAACAAGTCGATTTACATCACACAGAAACGATTATCGTATAACCTCGACCAAGAGATTGAAGGACCATCCTCCACCGAATCAAACAACTACAACGTCCTGGTGAGAGTCACGGACGGAAACAAAGATAAAAGCAAGAAAATCAAGCTGAGCACGGTGGTGGAGCCAGAAAAGTTGGACGCGTTCTGGAACGAGTACACCAACGTTCTGAAAGCCGGGCTCAAGGGACTAAAGAAGAAGGACAAGAAGAAGACAAAGAAACGGAGCAAGAAATCATGAACATGTCATTATGGTTGGTTATTTAGCTCGACAATGAGGTTACCGTCCGGGAAGACCTGTTGGGAGTCGGCGATGGCGACATCGTCGTCGACGGAAACAACTTCGCGAGGGTAGACCGTGTATATTTGGAACTCGTAACGGTGTTCATACCCAATTGGACGTTCCAGAGAGTCGGAGTCGTTGATTTCGACGTCGTTCAGCTGGCAGCATTCGACGAAGGCATATATTTCTTCAATTTTGGCGGTTTTATCGAAATTTCTGCGCAACCGGCTTCCATTTGGTAGCCGGATCGCCGTGCGGGCTCCGCCAGAGCGCGGTTCTGGGAGTAACGTAGACTTTCTCCACTTGAGCCACTGGGTCTTGAGAGCGGCCAATTGTAGTTGTTCTTGGTGTGCACGCTGTTCTCTAGCTTCAGCCAGTCGGCGCAGTCTGTCTCTTTGGAGCGAGTTCTCGTAAGCCTGGTCTTGTAGCTGGCGCGTGTTGCGGTCGTGCTCCAGTCGTTCAAACTCCGCACGCAGCGTCTGCAGAGTTGGGTTGAACTTTGAGTAGCTTTTCTGGAACTTGGATATCACTTTTTCCACAGGAGTAGGGCCCTGTATCTTGCAGACCATCGACAAAACAGGACTCGACTGCTGGATTCCCGAGGCTGTTGGCGTCTCTGTCACCGTGAGACACAAAAGTCCCAAGAACGGCAGTTTGGTCACCTTGAACTGGTTAGCGACCTGGAATGCCTCGCTGTCCTTGATGTCTCCGCCCCAAACCAGCATCTGTTTGTCCTTGATATACTGCAGAAACGCAGGATTTATAAGCACATCGTCCACAAACGACTTGGTATCCTGGTTCTCCTCGCTGTGGATGTACAGAACGAGCCACCGGGCATCCTTCTTTGCGAAATGAAGAGCATGTGAGTACGCACACTCCAGAAAGTCGGGACGAGGGATCTCCATCAGCTCGTCCTGCCGAATCAGATCGCCCGTCTCTTCCTCCTGCGCGTTGTTCAAAGTCCGATTCCCAATCATATCATCAAACTCGATGATGAACCGACGGGCCATGTCTCCCGGATCAGCATGACGGCGTATCACATGATATCTGTTTGGATGTAAGCGCAAAATCAACGGCATCACTCCTCCAATCACAATCAGCAGCACAAATCCAAGCACCCGCAACAAAATATACGCAGGCACAACAACAAACAAGACCAGCCCGTCAATCAGATACTTCACAGCGTTGTTTGCCATTTGGTGCAGCTTAGATGGCTGCCGTTCCTCCACAACGGGGAAACTGCCCGGAACTAACGGCACGGTTCTCTCGTTTCGCACGAATTGAGTGAACCACTCGGGCCATTCTCTCTCGGACGCCATTATAAACAAGTTTACTTGGTATTTTCCTCTTGTGTAAAAAGTTAGGGTAACCAGATATTAATTTTAGATTTTGCATATTACGTGATCAATTATGTAGGTCAAAACAGAACTCGCACGTCGTTCTGTTGAGAGGGGTCTTGCGGTTGCTGCTGGGCAGGTTTAGACTTCGTCAGGAGTGACCAGAATCTTGACGTTTGTCTCCTTGTGTTCGATGAGCTGCTTGAATCCAAGCTCGACACCGTCTTTAAGGTTGACTTTTCCTGTGATTAGTTTGCGGGCCTTTTCAATAGGAATCAGTCCTTCGTCCAGGGCCTTGACAACGGCCTCAAAGTCCTTGACAGTGTAGCACATCGAACCGGTGGCGTATTTCTCCTGGTAGGTCAAAGACATAGGAGCAAATCCGATAGGGTGGTCACCCCAAATGGCAACGTTGACGGCCGTTCCAGATGGGCCGATTGCAACCACCGATGTTGTGAAGGTTTGAGGAATACCGGAACAGTCGAACGAGGCGTGGAAACCTTCGTTTTCCGGCACCATTGCTTTCAGAGCAGCGTTAGCATCTTCTGTCTGGGTTGGGTCGAAAACTTCTGCTCCCAGGTCTTCGGCAAATTCTCTTCTGATTTTTGCCGGCTCAGAACAGACAATTTTTCCAGCCTGGTGACCACGGAGAGCCAAAATGGTGGCCAAACCGATAGGACCTCCACCAAGAACGAGGGCGGTGTCGCCCGGTCTAAATCTTGCGCGTTCGACAGCGTGCCAGGCAACAGCAATAGGCTCGACCAGTGCACCAATATCGTCCGGAACAGATTCCGGCAACTTGACCATGTGATCCTCTCCGTAAACAACGTACTCGGCGAATCCACCGGAAGCACCTCCCAGTCCACAGAAACTGAGCGAGGTACAGCAGTTAGGAGATCCAGACTCACATGCCAAACAAAGGCCCAAGTCCTGAGCAACAGTGTCCTTGTATCTTGCTCTATCGGAGCAATGAGAAGTAGCCTCCACAGCGACTCTATCTCCCGGCTTCACGTTCTTGACGCCGGTACCGACCTCGACAACAACACCGCTGAACTCGTGGCCAGGACAAAGAGGGAGCTCGTAGCCGGAAATTTCGTTCTTAGCCCCGTTTTTCGGGAAGAAAACCGGGCCTCCAGAGTATGTGTATTCTTTCAAATCTGTTCCGCAGATTCCACAGAAGCTAACCTTTAGCTTGACATCGTTAGGATTTTGGATCTGAGGCTCTGAGACGGACTCAGAGTAGCGAATATCATTAGTACCGTAGTAAAGTAAACCTTTCATTATTAGTGAGGGGGATGGGGGTCATTGCGCTGTTTAAATATCGTCCAGCTACCTCCTAACACCTGCCGAGAAAGTTTCCTTTTTGGGCGTGTACAACTCCGGGCTATTATTACAGACAATAAAATTTACCCCGAGAGTGAGTCTCGACCGGTGGGGTATGCGGAGAACACCAGGTGGCTATTATGTGGCGTGCTTTTGTGAACATCAGCGAAATCAGCAGTTGCACAACTGGTGATTCTGGTCTGATCAAGCTGTCCATCATCAACACTCAGGCTCGACCATCTCTCAAATCACCCGACGCGCGTCTGTTGCTAATTTCACAACTTCACTAAGGGTTGCTATGGCAAGCTACAAATAGCAATAGCTGCTGTTGAGCGAAAAAAAATTCGAAAAAATTCCATCTATCGTTATCCAATAAAAAATTCTAATTTTAAAACGCCGTACATATCTTGACAATTACCCCCCGCGTCTCACTGCGCCATGATCCTGTCACGAATCAAAGACTGGTAGAAAACAACCCCAACCTCTTTGCTTGGATGTAGTACCCCTTGCTGATAAATGCCGCTGACCAAATTCTGTTGCGCAGCCTCGCATAACCAGATATCTTCCAAAGCAACCTGTCTGGCAAACTTGAAATATGCCTCGAATTCTTCGTCGTTACCGTCGAAGAAATATTCAAACTCCATGCGCGTTTTATTTCCATTAACGGGGTTCGCCCGGAAAATCCCCATTCCTCCCCCGTACTGATTCAACGTGCACGACGGGAAAAAATATAAAAATAAGCCCTCGTCTTTGGAACCCCCCACTGGGTTACAGTGGTGACGGCAGAAGTTGGTGTACGGGTCCACTTTGTAGAACTCAAACGGATAAACCTTGCTGAAGCCAGGGTGGGTGTACTGGCAATGCAGACACTCCTGGTATCCGTCGATGAAGGTCAAATAGTTGTAGTCACACTCATAAACAAGCCGTCTGCGGAGCGACCGGCTACGGAAATCTTTGCCGTCGATGAATTGGCCCAGCTCGTTACCGAAATATTCTTTGAACGATTTAGCCGGCGTCTTCTCGTGGCACACAAAAATTAGCCCGCCCTCGGTAACAACGTGGTTGACTGTTGGCAATTCGGCGATTTTTGCTGCCTTTTCTTCTTTTGTCTTGCACCCCCTAACAACGTCCTCGTACACCCCGTACCGCAGGTCAACCGAGGTAGCCTTGTACGGGTCGTCAACGTTGCAAACTCCGAAGAACGGGTTCCCAACAAAATTCAGCTGAAGCGCGTCTTCCAGCCCATCGTTCAGCTCCGGATGCATTGACAGCGCATTGATAGTGGAAACAAAGTGCCAGCCGCGGTTGTAGATTTTTTCTCTGGAAGCCTCAATAAACTTGTCGCTGGTGTACCAGGTGGCAGGAACAGTTCTAGGAAGAGAGGTCATTGTGAGATTACTGAGCAAAACAAACACCAACCTTGTTATATATACTGAGCACAAACAAGTTCGGAATCATTCCGATAAACGGTTGGTCGGTATCTGAGATCAGGATAAGGGAAAAATCCTGGAGCGAGTAAAATTCCGCACTTGAACTTCCACTTTGGGAATATCCACAGATATCAAATTGACACATTTCCGAAAGGGCGGTCGGAAATTTGCGTTATCAGATATTTCTATATGAGCATTCGAATCGCCTGGATCTGCTCTCACTGATGAGTCCAAGTGCTGGGATTTCGAAAAATGGACCCAAAACGCCCATTTACCCTACCCGTTGCCAAGCTTGCCTCTACGCCAATCAGCTGTCATTTCAAATTTAAGCGCAAACTTTTCAGCCCCCATTCCTTTTTATTTTGCTTACGTAACTTTAGTAAAAAAACCTCTTGGTATCGATTGCCGTGTGGAATAATTCCAGCAGCAGTGCTGCATTTTTGCATCCCACGCAGTCCTATACTGCATCGAAAAGTCGCTTATCGTTATCTGACCAGGCGATAAGTGATCTGGATAGCTTTGCTCAAATAAGCACAAAAGTCACAACTACTACCAAACGAGAAAACCTCTATTATGCGGTGTCTCATGTAAGTGCCAAAAAGTAGACGTCATATAAAAAGACGTACAATGGTTGAAAAATTTGAGGGGGGTCCAAAACTAGTTAGCAGAATTTTGGTCACTTGTCTCTTGACGCTTATTTATTTATCCCAACGAGATGAAGGCCTTTACCATATTTAAGGACATTTTCATCCCTGTTCCTCCCGTGAAAGCGGCTGGAAAATCCCAGGCTGGCCATACTGTCGAGGCTATCTCCTCAACAGCAGTCCCTGCAGGGGCTTCAGGCTTTGCAAAGGACGGTGACAAGGAGGCCGACATCAACTACGATGTTGTGACCGACTACTCCTCCGACCTCGACATTTACGATATTGGTCACACGCATAGACGTCTGAAAAACAGACACATCCAGCTGATTGGTATTGGTGGCACTATTGGAGTGGCCCTTTTCGTGAGTGTTTCGTCGCAGTTGCACAAGAGTGGTCCTTTGGGACTGCTTTTGGGTTGTATTATTTGGTGTATGCCGATTTTGGCTGTCACCGCAGCCTGTGCGGAGATGGTTTGTTATCTGCCGATCCCTTCGCCGTTTATTCGTTTAGCCGAGAGATGTGTTGACGAGTCGTTCAGTTTCATGACTGGTTGGAACTTTTGGGTGTTGGAGTGCTCCCTGATCCCGTTCGAGCTTACCTTGTTCAACACCTTGATCCACTACTGGAGAGACGACTATTCTGCGGCCATCCCTATTGCCGTGGAACTGGCACTTTATTTCCTCATCAACGTGAGTGCTGTCAAATATTATGGAGAGGCGGAGTTCTGGCTCTCTCTCGGTAAAGTCATTTTGGCTGTTGGCCTGATGGTGTTCACCTTCATCACCATGGTTGGAGGTAACCCTCTCCACGACGTGTACGGCTTCCGCAACTGGCAGCCTCCGATGGCTGAGTATATCCACACAGGTAATCTTGGTCGGTTCCAGGGTCTGCTCGGTGCCATGATCACCTACTCGTTCCTCATTGCTGGTCCGGAATATGTGTCCATGTCCGCCGGAGAGGTTATCAACCCAAGAATTATTCTTCCTTCGGCTTATAAACAGGTGGCATACAGACTGACAATTTTCTTTGTTGGCGGTGCTCTGGCCATGGGAACCGTTTGTTTCTGGAACGACCCTGGCCTCGCTGCGGCAATCGAGGAGGGAAAACCGGGTGCAGGTTCGTCGGCTTATATTGTCGCCATGAACAACATGAAGGTGAAGATTCTGCCCGACATTGTGAACGTGATGCTCTTAACCTCGGCATTTTCCGCAGGTAACTCATACACCTTCTGTTCGTCCAGAAGTTTGTATGGAATGGCTCTTGAAGGTAAGGCTCCACGTTTGTTCTCGCACTGTAATAAGGCAGGTGTGCCGATCTACGCCGTTCTGCTGTCTACCGCGTGGGGATTACTTGCGTTCCTGCAATTAAGTGAGAGTTCTGCTACCGTTTTGAACTGGATTGTCAACCTGGTTACTGCCTCGCAAATGATCAACTTTGTCTCGATCTTGATCACCTACTTACACTTTAGACGTGCGGTTCTCCAACAGGGAATCGATAGAAGCGCTTTCCGGTTCAAAGCTTGGGGTCAGCCTTACATCAGTATTGCTGCTGCCATTGCCATCATTTGTATGATTGGTGTGCAGGGATACGAGGTGTTTTTACCAGGAGGATGGTCTGTTGAGACGTTCCTGTTCTCCTACTTGATGGTCTTCATCGACATTGCCTTATTTGTGGGTTGGAAGCTGCTCAAACGTACCAAGTACATCAACCCAATGGACGTTGACCTTGTCAGCGGCCTGGACGAAATCGAGGCCCACGAAAAATTGTTGGCTCACGAACGTTCATTGTACGGCAGAGAGAAGGAGCCTTGGTATAATAGGGTGGTGGACTTCATTTTTGGAAACCCGGATCAATCGTAAAAGCTTTTTAAATATATATATTCAATCGAGATGTTTTTTTGTGCCCGTGATAAATTTTTCCCTTTTAGGTAGTTTTCGTACAATTGTTCCTTATCAGTTTTCTCCAGACCAACTTTATAGCTTATGCCTCAAGAAAAGCACAAACCAACAAGGAAGCGCCAGAAGTACTCAAGAAACGGGTGTCTGGCATGCAAGAAACGCAAGGTCAAGTGCGACGAGGCGCTCCCCACCTGTGGCCGATGTGCGAAAATCAACTCCGAATGTATTTATTATCGAGTTTTCAAGTTTCAAAGTCTCAACGTTTCGGATAAAAAGGCCCCCTCTCCTGTTCCCGAACCCACTTTAGAATCATCACCTCACGAAGAATCTTCTCAATCGGTTACAGAAGGTCTTTCCAATTTGTTGGAGCATCAGGAGCTGCTATTTGGTGACATAGCAGGACTCCCTGATTACTTCAAGAACGATGCAAATCCCGACGAGCTCCAGCTACTGCTGCCGGACTACGGTTTTCCTGCTCCGAAGACAAACAATGTGTCCTCTTCGAGCCGATCTCACCGTGCGTCAATGGAGTTCCTGGAAGAGTACCAGTATCTATTGAATCTGAGCAAAAGTTTCAACGAGCTAGATCTCAACAGAATCGCCGATTCGCTCGACATCAACTACTCTGAGTCGATGCATCTTCAATCGTTTGTCAAGAACGTTCATCTGATTTTGTTCCCGCTTGCTACCTCATATATGAGCTCTCCGTTCATTGTCACGTTTCTGGAGGAAGCAAAAAAGAGTAACTATTTGTTGAACGCCATGTTGGCCTCGGGAGCACGGTTCCTTACCGAGAAGGCCCGCATTGACCAGGAAACCTATCTTTCGACCACTTCCGGAAAGAGGGACCGCACATATCTGGACTCGCTAGAGAGCCAGATCGAGCTCAACGACAAGTACCGTGTTCACTATTTATCCAACTGTTTCCAGTCTCTCAAAGAGATCCTCGAAAATATGGACGACACCACGCAAAAAGTCGAGCCGGCCCTGTTGACCAGTCTGATTCTCGCTGCAGATCTCTCGTCAAACAAGGATTACAAGTGGTCGCTGCACCTGCGCGGGGCCAAACAGTTTTTGAGCAAATTTGATGGAGAGCAAAACTTACATTCTAACTCTCTGATTTTGGCTCGTTATTTATTCTCATCGCTGGAGATCAGCTCTGGAATGGCATCCACTGGTGGCAGCAGTTTGGACCTGGAGGAACTGGCCACATGGATCCCCATTCCGCTAAATCACGGACCAGTTCCTAAACTGAGCCAGATGGGAATGGTGATAGACGGACACACCAAAGACTCGTACTCGGTGGGGGGTTTCAAAATGTACATGGGATACAGCGATGGGGTGATGGAGGTTGCCAAGGAGATCGTTCTTGCCAAGAGAAACAAGATGGTTGACCCGTTCACCACCGCGCATATTTTCTCCGTCATTGATAAGGCCAGAGATTTTTACGTTGTAACCAACAAAAAGCCCTACATGATCCCAGTGGAGTCGCGGTTCCATCCTCTGTACGAAGGGGCCGACAAGGCCAAATTGACCTTATCTGGTTACTACCACCTAACCAATCCAAAACTAAGGGAGTTTGTCATCGGGACCAACAACCCAGATCTGGACGAAGAATCTTATTGTTGGTACTCCTTCTTCGACTTCACCCAGAACTTGCGTCTGGAGACGCTGTACATGTATGTCTTGACATCTGGCCAGTTTCTGGGCAGCAAAGTGGACAGTGCAGCGGTGCAACGACTGCTGAAGGTGTCTCTGGAGTCGTGCTCGTTTATGGTGCAACTGAACTACAAAGAGCTTGTGGACGCTGATTTGGAGAAACTCGAGATGTTGTACAATTCACCGATCTTGGTTGAAGAAGAAGACTTGAAGGTGGAGGTGAACTTAGAATCAAACACGTTTTGTGCTTCGACACAGGATCTGGAAGATTTCTGCTCCGAGTACATAACCACGGCTCCCAATTTGGAGTTTCGCAAGTATTTGAACTTTGATCTGGACCATAGAATCAGCATGATCCAGTGGTGCACCATCATGTGCGGCTACTGTTGTATCGATGCCACCGACAAGCTGATAGTGGACTGCTTGCTGAACAATCTGCTATCGTTTGGGCTCAAGAGTGCAAAGATGTATATTAAGAAAGTGAAGCAGATCTGGACACAAAGACGGCTTCGTTACAAGCACTCGTCCGGAACGATCATGGCGCTGGACCAGGCGGTGGATCAGCGTTTTTTCACGGTGGTGGATTATTCGTTCCCGTTTACTTAATATTGTGCTACGCGAAAATATATTATTTACTTTTATTTCATGTCTACAGAATCCATCAGCGTGATAGTGCGTTGCCGCGGCCGCAATGAGCGCGAACTGCACATGAAGAGTCCCGTGGTGGTACGTATTCCCGGCCAGAACGGCGCAAACCAGGTGAGCGTCAACACGTCGCAGGACATCACCACGAGCCAGGTCGCGGATACTCGAGTGTACACTGTTGACCAGTCGTTTGGGCCTGCGGCGGACCAGGGCGTGTTTTTCCGCGATGTGGGACTTCCCTTGGTGAACGAGTTCCTCAAGGGCTACAATTGCACGATCCTGGCGTACGGCCAGACTGGATCGGGTAAAACATACACCATGTGTGGAGACATCAGCGACAAATCAGCTTCCAGAGACTCGGGACTTGTGCCGCGCATTCTTTGCAAGCTGTTTGAGTTTCCAGACGCCGAGTTCATGGTTAAGTGCTCGTTCGTTGAGATCTACAACGAAGAGCTTAAAGATCTGCTCGCCGACACGAAAAACCAGCGTTTGAGAATCTACGACCGCAAACGGTCGTCAGGCACAGAAATCCACATCGAGGGTCTCGAAGAATTCCATATCAAGACCGCGAAGGAAGGATTGGAGCTGCTGAAACAGGGTCTCCAGCGTCGACAGACGGCAGCAACCAAAATGAACGATCTATCCAGTAGATCCCATACCATTTTCAGTATCAACTTGCTACAAAAGAAGAACGACTCCGAATACCAGTTTGCTAAGATGAACCTTGTTGATCTGGCTGGCTCAGAGAATATCAGTCGTTCGGGCGCAATCAATCAACGAGCAAAAGAAGCAGGAAGCATTAACCAGTCTCTGTTGACTTTGGGCAGAGTAATCAACGCCTTGGTGGACAAAAACAGCTACATCCCATACAGAGAGTCCAAGCTGACACGGCTACTACAAGACTCGCTTGGGGGAAAAACGAAGACCGTCCTGGTGGCCAATATTTCTCCCTCCAGCCTCGACACTCAGGCCACCACAAGCACTTTGGAGTATGCCACCAAAGCCAAAGACATCCGCAATACCGCGCAGATCGGGCCTCTTGTTTCCGACAAGGTGCTTCTGAAGGAGCTCGTAGACGAGAATCACAGGCTCAAACTCGACCTGAAGGCCACGAGGACGAAAGAGGGGGTGTACTTGAACGAGGCCAATTACAACGAACTGATGATCAACTACAGAAACCTGACCAACGAAACAGAGGAGCTGAAACGTCAGAACGAGCAGCTGTCAACCCAAGCCAGAGAGAGCTCCGAAGACCTGAACAACGAGCGTAGAGAGAAACAGAAGAGCATTGAAAGCATGAAACTCATGGAGTCTCGTCTGACCCAGCTGGAAAACAATCTCGAGCTTCAGCGGTCACGTGAGCACAAGTTGGTGAGTCTTACGCAGAAGGTTGTTGAGCATTGCCACGAAGAGAGCGAGCAGCTTGTGAAGAGCCAAAGCCAAAACCAGCTGAAGCTGACGGAAAAAATTGAGCAACTGGTCGCTCCTGTGATCCAACAAATCTCGAGCAAAAGCTTTACTGAGCCGAGCGTGGATTTTGGCGGTCTCGGAGACCTAATTTTCAACGAACTGCGAAAGGTCAGGGATGAACAGACCGAATTGGGAAACCGGATATTGGAAAAGACTGATGAGCTACGCGCGTTCCGCAAAGAGTTGGAAGCTGTTTTTGGCGGAGTGAAAACCCAGATTGGGTTGCTACGTTCGGGAATTAACGAAAATTATAATAATGATAGCAGGTTCGATAAATTCCTCGCAACGGTGTTTCAAGAACCCCACATTGCAAAGAAGGCGGCTTCCGAATCCGAGAAATTGGTGGACGAAATGAGAAAACAATTGCAGACGCAGTTCTCGCAATTTTCCAAGCAGCTCACAGAGATAACCGTGGAAAGCGTTTTAAACTCCACCAGGGAGAAAATTTCCGCGGAGCAGCAAAAATGGGCCTTGCGCAACACCACCATCAACAGCTCGCTTTCCGACCGCCATGGAGAGTTATCTTCTTCGTTCAACGAGTGCTCATCCACGGTCCAGTCGCATCTCGAAGCTAGCGTGGGGCATTTGAACTACCAAAGGGCCAAACTCTCAAATATCAATGCCTCTGTTGGTACAACTGTCTCCAATTTGGAGAAACAATCTGAAAAACAAACCCAGTTGGCATCGTCGTACGCATCGCTCAAACAATCTCACGAGGGATTGGAATCAACCATGAATCACGTCAAGCAAAGTCTAACAGGACTCCAGGGAACCATCAAACCTGTCCAGTCACAAAAGCCAGACCCTGCTTTGCAAGAGTTGCAAAAACTAATCGATCAGCCATTGCGGGACGCTGCAAACCGCAGTGAACCCAACAAATCTCCGCTTAAACGACCTGCACTACAGTCATCGCCTTCCAAACGCAGGAATGTATACCACAACCAGAATTAATGTATAATATATATGTTTGATCGTCATGGAAACCATGTCAGTCCAAGTTATCTGTCATTGTGGTCACTGATGCTCTTTCTAAACATCTCTAGCGATGAAGTAGTGGTTCTGCTGCTGGTGCTGCTACTGGAACGTCTTCTTTGTTTCCGTGCAATTGACGGCTCCACATGCTCTTTGCCAAGTGTCTTGGCCAAAAGCGACAGAATGTCGGTCAACGAAAGCACACCAACAAGCTTGCCGGAAGTTCTGGCCTCTCCGGCGTCTGCTCCTTGAGAAGATTGCGAGATCAAAGGAACAGACGATGGACCCGAAATTGATCCACTCTTTGGCTCTGATGGAGAGGGCTGGGTTGGAGAAATAGAGGATATCGATCCCTGGTGGTCCGGCTTCACAATCCACAAACGATGGGATTGTGTTGCCACGAGCTTGGCCATGGTACGGCCAAGTGACGACGAGGATGTAACATGGAAGATTGGGAACGAGTCTTTGCCGTTCTCCAAGCCCCTAGAATTCAAAATCACAGAGATAAAGTGCAAGCACGATTTGTAGAGCAAATCACTCTTGGAAGACTTCGACACCAGTCTCACGTCAGTGACAGAAATATTACCCAATAAATTGTTATTTCTGTCGACAACGGCAAGAGAAGATATCATCAAATCATGCATTTTCACAAGACCTTCAATGAGTAGTTGGTCTCCATAAATACTGATCACATTAGAAGATCCAATATTCAGACTCTGAATTGAAGAGCTGAGAAGTGGCTCCATGGAGGGAAACCGTCTAGCATTTTCCCATAGGTACTTGACCAACCGTCTTTGGGAAAGGATTCCAGTGATTTGGTTTTCTTTGGTAATGGCCACCCGATGAACTCCGGTACCCAAAATCTCAACAACAGTCGATAAAGTGTCTTGCTCGTTCAACTTAATAAATGGGTTTTTGTTGGTCAGGCGAATAACAAATGAGACAGGGACTTGATCCCCTCGTTGGGCACGTTTGATCAGCTCTGGGATCTCGTCGCGCGGTTCGTAATTGATTTGAAGTAGCGAGTCGGGTTTCAATTTGTTCAAAACTAGTAATAAATACGAGTTCAAATCTGTGTAATCGAATGTTAGGCAATTGATATCTTTAGGGAATTCTTCAACTGGAACAGATGTGAGGCCGTTATCTACAAGCGTATCAAACGCTTGTTCAACAGAAACCTTAGAGCTAATTGTTATCAACTTGTTCTGCTCAACAAGTTCACTCAACGTAACATGCTGCCACTCACCGCAGGTTCCGCCCATGAAGGTGGAATTTGAGGATGACATGGATGCATTTCTTGATAGAGACGATTGGATACTGGACTGTGGCTGGAGATGGTATAAGTTGGAACCATGACTTCCTGGAGAACCCGGAGTCGAGATAGAGCTATCAATCGACCCCAACTCCAAATGTTCGATAGGAGGTGGAGTCGACAGCATCTCCACTATGGATGTCTGCCTGGACTGGATTGTAGGAGATCCCGGGGTCCTAATTGTAGGAGATCCAGGAAACTTGCTGTTGGGCATGATAATAACCTTAAAATATGTTTTCTAAAGATTTTTGTCTTGACTCACCTCATGTGCGCTTTTCCGCAGCAGCGCATGTGGCTAGTGGGGAGGGGGCAAAAAATTTTCGGTAGCGCAAGCATAGTCTGTCAAGGCGATTCGTTGATAGGGGTGCATGGGATGTCAAAGTTTCCTCCTTTCACCCAATAGCAAAACATCACGCACCCTTTTTAATGCAATTGTGGGGTGACGGACTAGTGAGCAACACTAAAAAAAGTTAAGATGCTCTCGGCGAGAATCGAACACGCGATCTTCAGATTATGAGACTGACGCCTTAACCGACTGGGCCACGAGAGCATTAAACAGCCAAATTTGCAGGGGTTGCTTCCAAGTTGAGAAATTCTTCAAAGTCACGACGAGACCACTTCCTCAGCTCCGAACGAGGGATGTTCAGAAAGCGGGTCACATGGTAGTTGGAAACATCCAATTGAAGCAATCCGTGGTTGGTGTGTAGCTTTTTCTTTCCGTGTTTTCGTGAACTATCTGATTTTAAATTCTTATCGTTCTTAAACTCTTGGAAGCCAACCTTTTTAGTTGATTTCGAACCTGTTTGCCCAAATTTGGAAAGGAATTTCACAAACTGTGGTTCCGCTGTCAAACTCAGGTCTGATATCTCTGGGAGTTCTTGAATTGGAGCCTGGTACGGGGTAGAGGTGACAGACAAGTTGTTTTCGTTCAATATGGAGCTGGAGCTGTACACTAGCATGGGAGGAGTGTTGGCCCCCGGAAGGATATCTAGCGTAGACTGACCGATTACCTTGGAAGTTTCAGGAGATGCTGGATTAAACTTTTTAGGAATTGGAGCTATGATGTTGGTTGACTTTGGCTTCAAAACATTGTGTTTCCGTTTGTAGACTACGTTAGTGACTAGCAAACCAATACTCACCTCTCTTGGGTCTTGTTGAGTCTCGAAATACTGTTGTCATTGAAAAGAAAGATAATCAAGGAGACAAGGAAAAAAAGGGTCAGGGATATATTTACTTTATTTTGTTCACGGATTTAATATGCTACACCCACTTATTTCGTCTCGCGCTTAATCACTTGATCATCGAAATTGATCAAATAAACCGTTCTACCAGCGAATCCCTCCACCGGGACGGTATGTGCAGTGACCTCGCATTTGAAAAATGCCGAATCCAAAACCCCTTCCACTATTCCGGCCACGAAGGCTTCGCAGTTTAGTCCCTCGTACTCCTTCGGAACGGACACGAATTGCATCAGTAGTGGCGCGTTATCAATGATCATATACTGTGAAGCGGATTCTGAACTCTTCTCCAAATTGTCTGCCGGCTTTCCAAACAAACTGGGCCAAATTGTTGATGTTATGAAATGAAGAATCTCCAAAACTTTGATATTTCGTTTGGACATGTTAGATTTACCCGAGGAAGTGAGGTTGTTGTTGAAGTTTTCACGTAATGAGGCCAGCTCAAGCATCTTCAAACCAATCGAGTATCCCAGATTGTTTAATTTTCGTTCCAACTCCATCAAGCTCTTGGACTGATTCAGATTCATCGACACCATTTCCATAAACAAGAAACTCAAGCTGGACAAGCTGATGCTATGTCTTGCGCGGTGGAGATTGCGGTCATACACTGAAACACGAGCTTTCGTGGTCGAAACCGTGCCTGTGGTGCGCGGACCCATCATAGGATCGTATCCCGATGCCAGCCTGGACATAATTTATAATGGAATTTTTTAGTTATTTTTTTCTCAAAATCCATGGCTATCACCATCAGACAGGCGACAATTGAGGATCTTGAGGGCATGCAAAATGCCAACCTCACGAACCTACCAGAGAACTATACGATGAAGTACTACCTTTACCACCTGCTGTCGTGGCCACAGGCTTCGTTTGTTGCCACAACAACGGATCCAGAACTTAGTCATCAAGATAAACCATCAATACATTACGTGAAGCAAGATATGCAATACACTGGCCGCGGAGAGAAGATTGTTGGATACGTGCTTGGAAAAATGGACGACGACCCAGATGCAGAAGATAAAACCCCACACGGCCATGTTACATCATTGTCGGTCATGCGTACATACAGAAGGATGGGTCTTGCCGACAAGTTGATGAGACAGTGTCTTTACAGCTTGTGCGAAACCTACCAGGCGAAATACGTGTCCTTGCACGTGAGAAAGAGCAACAGAGCAGCATTACACCTGTACAGAGATACCCTGAAGTTTGAAGTTTTAAGCATAGAAAAATCCTACTACCAGGATAAAGAAGACGCATATTATATGAAAAAAGACCTTGTTCTCTCCGAGTTGGTGCCAAGCTCTTTCCAAGGTGGAATAGAAGACAATCTGGAAGATGATCTTTTGGAAAGCATACTAGAAGAAGGTGTCGACAAGCTAAATTAGCCAAGTCAACCATGTTCTACAAAGTCAGGAAACAATGGAAAGATTAACACGGTTCAGACAAAGTTAGTTAGGTAGCGTGTTTTTTTCCACATCAACAGAGCCAGTCGACACAACGTCTCCTGGTTCGTCTCGAGCCAAATGCACTCAAGTCATCATAATGGTGTTTTAATCTTTCCATTGGTCTCCTGACAAATATAAAGATGAATAAAAGTGTAAAAAATTTTCGCCCGAGATTTTTCATTTATGGAGGAGCTTGGACAATTTACTATTGATTAAATAGTAGCAGATATTTTATTTCATTATTAACCGTCTCATTCCTGTTCCTCCTTGCGATATGTAATTTTGTCAACTTTTACGTCACCATCGATCAATGTGTATAGATACAAGGTACACACTGATCCTTGAATATCTAATAGACAGAAACTAGGCACGGGATCCATGTATTCTTCGATTTCCAGGGTATTTTCGTCGTTTGGTTTCTCTTCCTTTTCCTCCTCCTGGTCCTTTTTTTCCGTCTCCTCGGGCGCGGCATCTGTGGATTCCTTCTTTGTATCTTTAACTTTGTGTTCTTCGATAAAAGCTTCAACCGTGTCTAAGTCTTCTTGATCCATATTACTGCTGGAGAAAGCACCGGTGGCACTACCCGGATTCACAAAGAACCTTCCGTCTAAAGTGTATGCCTCAACCTTGTGAGTCGACCCGTAAATAAGGATATCAACATCCATCAGTCTTGCTTGAGCCAAGAGGCTTAGAGGATCAGCTTTAGGCACAATTTGGAAACCGTTAACCAATCCAACTCTGAGTTTGTCGTATGTGAACACTAAAGAGAGTGGGAGATTCAGATCTCGGTCAAATTCGCCCTTCACTATCTGGAAGTCCAAAGATAACGACTTTAAGAATTCAACGGTGGATTGGGAGTTTGTCACATTCCCCAAACACAACACTTGCTCAATTCTCCCCGAAGGTTGCAGAAGCTTCTTGAACTTGTGCGGTATATCCACCGCTCTTTCAGGAATATGTAAATCTCCAATGGCTAGAATAAGCATTTTGGATAAAAAAATAACTGACACCCAAACTGCTGTTAATTTGGGGGAGATGGGGGGTGCAAGTGGGGGAGCACAAATTTTGGGATCCATGGCAACGGGATATTATCCATTAAGCGCCCACACTTCCTGCAGCTACCGAGCAAATCTACGCTATCGTGCCGTTCGTTACACGTAAAATAAGATGTATTTATCCATGTATTCTAGTTATTTATTCATGATCTACTCTTGCTTCTCGGATGCAAGGAAGTCACTGGCGTTAGTAATAGACGAGCAATATACTTACTTGATTGCCTTCTCAACATCGAGTTCTGGCTCAGAGGATTGAGCTGGGGCCGGAGAAGCTGCTGGAGCAGCTGCCGGTGGAGCAGAGGACAAGTACTTTGGACCGGTAATTCCTCCAACAACGGTCAAAATGGTGCCAATGGCAAGCTTTGAATTAGAGTTCAACACGTATGTCAACTTACCCAATGTGGTGGGACTTTTGCGCCAAAAATAACGTATGGGGCTGCCATCTGGAAATATCGATTCTCTAAATAGATTATTTTGGTTGGCTCGGATTCTTCAATAAGTCATCGATTACGTAATATTCGAACATTTGGGGTGATTAATAAAGCATGAAAGGATGAAAAATTCGAGAAAAATTATCGAGAAAATGGTAAGTCATCCCCGCAAATCGTGCTAACAAAGTAGTCCTTCCTCAAGTCTGCTAAGTCCATCATTCCTACTCTTGACAGAGTGCTTGTGCAAAGAATCAAGCCAGCCCAGAAGACGGCTTCTGGTATTTATATTCCTGAAAAGAATCAGGAAAAGCTCAACATTGCCAACGTCATTGCAGTCGGCCCTGGTATCCAAAACGCTCAAGGTGATCTTGTCAAATTGAGTGTCAATGCAGGTGACAAGGTGATTATCCCAGCTTTTGGTGGCTCTAACGTCAAGGTTGGCGAGGAGGAGTACCTCATCCTGAGAGATAGTGATCTGCTTGCTAAGGTTGAAGAGTAACTGTAAATAGAACACCATTCAAGACCTGATTATAGCGGCTTTCGCTTGGATCCAATAATTGTCCAATCTGAACTTGGCCAGTAGTGATAGGATGTCTTCCTCGTCTGTGAAGTTGTACATTGTCCATTTCGAGAAATGTAGATCGGCTAACTGCCCTTCCCACAGTAGCTCGAAATGGCTATCCCAATGAATCCGATGAAGGATCAAACGTTTGTACTTGTTAACCGAACGTTCTCCTCCTTCCACAATGACTAAACTAGGTCCGTCGCTCATATTCAGACACATTCCTCTAAGATCGAGTTGTTTTGCATTGATGTCAACTTTGTATCGGTTTTGTGTTTCTCCCAACTCTTGAATAACAAACACAGCAGTATAATAACCCTTTTCAAGGTCACTTGCGTGTTTTCTGGCAAGCTTTTCTGCTTTGTCTTCCTTTGTAGCTTTTCGTTCCAAATTGGTGGCTTCGTGGACTAAACGGCGTTCCTCTATTTCTCTCCTCACTCTAGCCTCAACTTCAGTAGGATTCTTAATTGCATCGTTCGTGAGAACGTTCATGAGATTTTTCAATTTCACTTTAGGGGCAGGAGTTGGATCTAACCCTAATTTCATCCTGTCCTGCTTCTCTTTTATCTTCTCCATTCGATCGTTTTTCCGTAGCCTTTTGATTTCCTTTTTGGTCAAATAAAGCGACATCGCTGGCTTCACGTGTTTCTCCCACGGTGCCATTATAGGAACGGGATGCTGGATATACTCTGTGATTGGATTTTTGACATCTGCTCGGTCAGTGTAGGTGAGCTTCGTTAAGTCAGCATACCGGCGGCCGTTCAACAAAGGCTGATCCCACCACTCAATCGCAGGCGGACGACTAGGGAGGAAAAATTGCTCGCCTAAGCTCTCATCGGGAGTCAAGCCTTGATCAGCTAGCTCTTTTATCTCTTCTTTCTCTTTTCTCTCCTCCTCCATTCGACGACGGATTTCATTTGCGCGCTCAATGAACTTTCCTTTCTCATTCAGATGGAACTCCCTTCGCGGACGAGAATACTTGATGTCGCTCTGGTCGATGTAAGGGTTCACAACAAATCCTTCTCTTTTGCGCGTATTCTTTAAAGGATTGACACTAGTCGGGATGGGACTGCCATTTCGTAAAAGGGGATGAATAGCAATTTTATCAAGCACAGTAGGAGGGGGAGAAGGGCGTTTCTCCCGTTTCAGACGTTCATTATCGCCGTCAGATGTATTTCGTCTTTTAGACATTAAAATAAATATTTTATTGTTTTTCGTACGTAATTTTCATCCGACTAGGCAAACCCAAATCCTTCATGACCCTCCATAATAGCTAAAAGGAGCGAGCCACGTAGCTTGTCGTAGCTCTCGTATTCTGGCAAATCAATCTGGTTGAAACAGGTGTGCGAAGACGGAAGACGGTCCGTTGAACCGTAGACTCTGTGAATGCTGAATTTCGAGACTCCAGACATACCAGCCAGTTCTTTGAACCCATTCAAAGGAACTTTACTGGTACCTGTAGAAAATTGAAGCAACTTAGCTTTCTCTTCTGCATCGAATGACTTGACAGCACGCCAGAACCATTGAATTTGAGGGGAAGATGCTGAGTAGTTTTGATAGATAGTGTTATTCTTCCAATCATCAACATCAATATCAGGAAGTCCAGAAATAAGTAGTTCCAGCTCCTGATCATCAAAGATAGCAATAAGATCCTTTGGAATGATCTCATAGAATCCTTGTAAGAAATTCTCCATTTGCTCTTGAACACTGGTCTTCAAACGGTATTCAACAATAGATTTGACATATTCTTGCTTGTTCTCCTCTGTCACCTGGATGTCACGGCCGTTAGGTCTCAAATCAATAACCTTTTCTTCTCCATAATCATTGGTCTCAACAGAAAAAGTTTCCACGATGATGTCTGTGATGTCGTTACCAAGCATCCAAACTAAAGACTTGTAATAATCAAGATCCAAAGATTCAATGTCTTTCAACGAGACAGGGCGGCCTAAAATTCGCTTGTAAACCGCACGGCTGAAGTGACAATCCAACATACACCCATCGTAAACGGCCTTACCGATAATCAATCCAACAAACTTGAAGAAAGACAAATGCTCCGGATTGACCCATGAGGTTCTGTTAGGATGGAATGTAGTCTTATCAGATGCAACAGGTGTGAAAAGTGCGTAGTCTGGATTGAACATTTGTCTCGATAGAACCTGATACCATTCTCTGGTCAGTCCACCTGCGTCAACACCTTGTTCACCTCTGAATTGGATATCCAGTTTAGACTTCCGAATATCTTGAGGAGATTTGAAGAACAAGGCCCTATACGAATCCAAGAACACTTGATCTCTCTTCACATTCACAGGTAGAGTTGGTCTTTCTTCATCTTCATTGTGAAGCTGATGGTCGAAGTATATTCTCTTGTTGTCAAACTCCAAAACCTTTGGATTTCTGATCAGCACAGAGAATGGGCCGCTCATCAGTTTCGGATTGTTTCTGATCATTTGATTCAAAATCTTCTTGTGCTCCTCGGTAAATGAAAAGAACAAACTTTCAATAGGTTCATTGGCAAAATCATACACCTTCTCCTGATACTTGAGAACATCACGAACAGGTAGATCTTCAACCTTGCTGTGTTTGCAGACAACCATCAATGCTTCGATCAGTGGAGATAGGATAGTTGCGATATGTGCAAGGCGTGGAGTGTCTCTCAAAATACACAGACAGTCACTCAATGCACCCCATAAAGGTCCAAGAGCGCTATTCTTGTACAACTGTTTCAGTTCATCCACTTCAGAGAATTCTTGTGCTCCATTCTGTTTAGATTGGAACAAGTAGTCAAGCGCAGTCAGAACACGAAGCAGTTTTGCCTGGTCAGATGATGCATTCGCAAAGCTAGCTAGAATTGGAATGTCATCGGACTCATCAGTACTTTGCATTTCATTGATCAGTGAGCGAAGGTCCTCGGAAATCTTCTGACTCAGATGAGTTGCTTTCTTTGAAAGCTCCCGAGGGAAAACGACCTTTGCATTTTCTATCAAAGAGAGGTTTTGAATCGAAGCAATTGTTTGTTGGAAAACTTTGCTTGCACATTCATCCGCAACCAAAATATTGATGATCTGCTTCAAGTTTCTATCTGGAATAACAGGCAATTGTGGGATCTTGGATTGTTTTTTGTCTGGATCATCCAACTCGTTCAGCTTAGCACGAATGGCTTGTAATGGACGGGTTGCAATTTGGAACGTTCTGGAGAGAATATCCATTAGATTAGTATCCTCCTTGATCAAGTTATTGTCCAACAGGTTCAGAAGAATGTTGATAGGATAACGGTAGCTGTTATCTTTCATCTTATGCTTCTTTGCAAGCTTTTTCAAAAGAGGATTGCTCTCTTGATCCATTAGGAAGTGGAACCGCATATGATTCTCGTTCTCCAAAAGATACTGAATAACATCTATCGCTTGTGTTGCAACAGTGAGAATTGTACAACCTGTTGGGAAACTAGAGCTTTTTGAGGAAGAGGCTGTTCCTGTTGTATGAGCGGATTTAGCAGGAGAACCGAGATGATCTGCTTGCAATTGTGACCTTTGACATAACTGTTGGTAGCTAGCTTCCAAAGAAATCTGATCATTGATTCCTTCTTGCAGGACATACAACAACATAGACACAATCTCGCTTCTTGTCTGCTTGTTGTAACAGAAGTATCCCAAAGTTCTAAAAAAGCTCTCACGCTTGTAGTACAACTGCGGGAGATAAATCATTTTCATCAACGCAGAAACACCAGCTTTATCGACCATTGGAGAAAAGAAAATCTTTTGACGTTTCTTGTCTTTAGATTCTTTAGCATCCTCTTCTTCATCATCAGCCCCCTCAACTTCATCATCATCATCATCATCTTCGAACTCATCATCTCTATCACCAAGAGAGCGCATAATACGGCTTTCAAAAGATGCACGGTACTCGTCCCTCATGATTTCGTTTCGCAACTCATCTGGCAATGCAGCCATAAATGCCGGGTCAATTTCAGGAATCTGGTCGCCGCTAGTGGTGGCTTCAGCCCTTCTCTCACGAACGTGCTGTGCAAAAACCTCCTCACGAAGGTCCTCTGGAAGAGCCTGAAGATATTCCGGATCGATATCAGTCTCACTGATGTCAACTTCGCGACCAGCAATGGTGACGTAAATTGGATCATGAACAACATCATCCTCTTGTTGCTGTTCGGCTCTAGCTTTTGCAGCAAGTTCTTCTTCCTCTCTCCGCTTGGCCTCCTTTTCTTCAGCAGCCTTACGAATCTTTTCTTGCTTCTCTTCCTCCTTACGCTTTTCCTCAGCTGCGATCTTCATACTCTTGTCGAATATACGATTCACAATAGATGGAATCACACGACAAGCATACTTTGTCGCGTTCTTGCCATAGAACAAAGCAACAGTCTCTGTCCAGCGCTGGACCGTGGACTTGATGTAAATGTTTGGAACCTGCTGGTGCTTCTTCGACGATTGTGTTGAGGAGTGCCCATTCAAAGCACGTAATATATCCGTTAAACGTCCACCATGGACTGGCAGAAGTTGGGCCCTACCACTTCCTTGTCTAGGGAAGATCCAGTGATGGAAGAACACGGACCCTGAACGATCACCAGACTCCCGCAAGCTTTCACTTTGCGGAATTATCGAGTTGCTACTCAATATCTGGAGCTCAGGGGTATCACTTCCACCAGTCTCAAACGGATTAGAATGGAATCTCTGGAAGATATCATCCTCTTCTTCTTCATTCGACAAGTCACCATCTGTGAAGAAGTCATTTCTAGTGGCGCGGATGTTAGATTGGCGAGCAAGGGATCCACGTCTGTGTCTTTCGCTGTTTTCGTGTTCAGTGATCCATTCCTCCAAAATCGCACTGTCGTCATCACTATTATTGAGGTCTTCGTCATCTTCATCTTCATTATCAAAATCGTCCTCCTCTTCAATGAGCTCAAATTCTTGTTCAGGATAGTCTCCATATTCGTCTTCTTGATCGAGCTCTGAGTCACTCATGTCTTCATCAGAACCACTAACGATGTCGATGACAAACTGTCCGCGGTCCAAAAGTTCATCAACGGACCCATCATCATTACTGTCATCGCTGTCATCGTCTCGATTATCATCGTCATCGTCAGCGACCTCCTCTTCAAAGACTTCGATATCAGAATCCATCATCTCGTCTTCATCTTCTTCGTCTCCTTCGGGATCATCGTTGTCTTCATCTTCTGAGTAAACAATTTCAATATCCTCTTCATCAAGGAAGTCATCTTCAACGTCTTCGTCCTCTTCATTCTCGACATCCTCAAGATCGTACATTCCTAAAGTGGAGTTTCGAAGCAAATCAGGAGTCTCTTCACGCTCGTAAAGCTCTTCCTCATCAAGATCTTCCTCTTCCACCTCACCTGAACCATGTTCACGGAAAAGTTCTTGCTTAGAAACCTTGATAGATCCCAAAGACGAAAGACAACGCATTATTCCACCAGATATCATTTCAGTAGCTGGAAAATTGACGTCCAGATCAGACAGGATGTTAGTCAAAGCAGAAGGAAGCTTCTTGTCCAGTAATTCACGGGCAAAGAAATAAGAGTCAAATTGAGTGACAGTTTTGTCAACGGCGGAAGAAACACTTAGTTCAAACTTCTCACCAAGTAGTTTGCAAATCAAATCGAGTATATCCACAATCTTACCGTAACGGTTGAAAGCATTTTCAGCGCCGGTGTTGGCTTCCTTGATTACCTTGATCAGTATATCAGCAGTGAACTTTCTGACAAATGACATATCAGGGTCAACAATCTTTGGATCATCATAATTAATTCCCTTGATCGGAACTGAGGACACCAAGGCAACAATACAGACGCTGGCCAATAATGTGATAAGACGGCGTCTCTTGACCTCAGCCGATGTCGTAGAATTGAAAGGATCCGAGGATATGAATTGATGAATCAAGAGATTTAGAGCAGTACTTCTAGGTTTCTCTTTGGTGGCAGAATCATTTTGCTTTTTGGAAAAGGTGAGGAACTCTGTCTTTGCTGGCCTATAAGAAAACAAGAGTTCGGCAATAGTCTGGAGCAAAAAGCACGCATACGCACACTCTGTATTCTTAAACATGACCTGCTTGGAATAAATGTCCGTGATATCGCCCTTCTTTTTCTCTTTATCTTGAGCGTCTGGAGTTTCATCTTCAGGGGAGGAGACAAAGTCCTTCTTAGCAACGCCCATCAGCTCACTCAGTAAGATCTGCATAAGTCCGGTTGAAGAACGCACGCTTTCGGTCTCTGCCTCTTTCATGATAACATCATTTCCAGTCAAGAACTTGCGCTGCTCTGGTGTCAAACTGCAAATGTTCAAGGTCTTGATTGGCGAAGTACACTGATGGAGAATGCACATTTCGGTGATTAAATCAACAAAGACCTGATCGGAGCGCATCACCATTGGAGAGTTTTCTTTTAACAGGCCAGCAAGCTCTCTGATTTTTGGTTTTGACGTTGATGAAAATTGCGACTTGCGAGCGTGCAAAAGTCTATCGAGCTCTTTCGAGAATTGAGCTTCGATGATTTCTCTAGACTCCATACAGCGTCTGACCAACGTGATGACTAGCGCTTGAAGATTAGAATCCGTGTCAGGATATTCCCTGATGGACTGGATCAAAGGACGTATAACTTTCGACTTACTGATCAGCAGGCCGCTCTCATCTGAGTCGCAGAATAAGATCAAGATCTTGGCAATTGCCAGACCAGTTTCGATTTTTTCAATGTGATCCACTTCAAGAACAGATTGAAACACTCCATTTAAGATATCTTGATCAACCGAGTACACCGGCGAGAAGTTGAATGGCGGCGTGATTGTGAATTTTGGCTCAAATGGCTCAACAGTAGGAGCCATCGGAATGCGTGAGAAAGTCATGACTTTTTCAAACACCAAAAGCGCACTTGGGAACCAAACAGTATTGGCAGCATCCTTGGTAATTTCACCACCAATCATTGAAAGAATGTTGTCCATGACTTCTGAATATGAATTAATACAGTGCTCATCGAGAAGTAATGCCAATAAGTTAAGCATGCTTGCCAACTTCTCAAAACTCGATTCGTTTCCAGAACCGAAACCAAATGAACAAATGCTCATGAACACAGAGTTCAGAATTTCTGAGTAGTCCATGGTCTCACCATACGATGACTTTGAAACAACAGTGCTCAAAAGGTCTGACACACGAAAAACAGCCTTCGGGAAAAGTTGACAAATCTGCAACCAGTATTCAATGAAATTACTTTCGTTTGCACCACGGAGGAAGTTGAGATCATCCAAGGTGCAAACATGCAAATACTGTGGTGCAACTGGATTAAATTCCACCCCCTGGTACTTTTGGGCATTGGCTCGAGTACTGACGATTTCCCAGCTGGTCTCGTCTCCATCGCTGATATTAGCCGAATCTGGGCTCTCAAACTGCTCATATAGTTCATCAACATCTTCAGAGTAGAGAACGTCAAGACTATTTCTGTAGAATGTTAAGAAATCTAGAGCTTTAGCTTCAGAGACTCCCAAATTCTTGAGATATTCAAGTTTTCCTGTCGAGGGAGAAACTTGTTCATAGGAAAGTGGATAAAGTCTTCCGTCAAAGGTAGGAGACTGTGATGTCGAAACCGAGCAGTAGAAATTCTTACTGATTGCAATCAACTTCTCAATTATGTTGAGAGGGATATTTTCTGCCTTGGTCTCTAAAATGCTCAGGTGCTCTGCATTGAGAAGTTCATTCAAAAGACCAAAACTTGCCAAAGAGGTTTGAATGAGAACAGAATTTGAAAGCTCGCGATAATAAGGATAACCGTTTTTGAACAAATCTGGGTACAGTTTTTCTTGAGATGGGATTGGAGCAATCATGGTTTTTGTCGCGATCGAGGTGTAAATGCTGAGTATTTGATTCAGCAGCTTGATAGTCGTGCAGCATGGATCAATGTCAATATAATCGAGCTCATCATTCTTCCTGATATCTTCTTTAGAAAATGATTGAAGGTACTTGAAATAGTTGAGAGCTAGTTCGCGTAAAGTTGTAATGCCTCCATTTTGAAGTAAGCATATAACCATCATCGTGTTGACCTGCTCAGTACTTCTTGACCTCATGTACAGAGTGGAGTACATCAAATTGACAATGACGAGGTAGTATCCAGTCTTGATCTCAAGATTGTCGGTCCAGATATTACGCAATACCTCAACCATAATGTCGGAAAATTCGACAACGACACGGGCAGCGTTCTTTGGAACCATTCCAAATCTAGTATCTTGTCTTTTGTCCGTACTGATTCGGCACAGAGAATTGAAAATATAACGGAGCCAGGATTGACAGCGAGCAAAGTGGAAGCACATGACCGATAAATTTTTGAATTTGGCACTTGATCCTTCCCAGTCACCGCTCTTCTCATTGGGTTTTCCAATTCTGATTTGGAAAGGCGAGAAATCGTTGCTGACAGCAGAAACCTCTTTGCAAGCGTCGGCCGGCGTTCTGGTGTGAATGATGATTTCCTCAAGTGTGATTCTTCTGTAGAACTTAGACAATTCTTTCAGTAAAACAACTCCTTTTTCTGATGCAAAGTAGGCAGACAGTTGCTGCATGCTACTAGCAGTCAGTTTGTTTGCCGATCCGTAATGGTCACTGAAGACATACAACAGACAGTTTAGAATTCCAAGCTTCGAGAACACTTTTCCACCTTCAAGTGCTGCTTCTTCGCTGTTCTTATCATATTGGTCGAAGAACGAAGCTTCATCGTTGTCAAATGAAATGAATTCTTTCAAATCAGCTAATGACTTAGATATAGCAGTCATGAGATCCTCAAGTGCAAAAGCTGGACGCTCGTGGTCCACAAACTTGATTATTGAGGTCAAAGAAAATAGGGCATTTGAAAAAACATAATCAAATGTCACATTTGGAATGCAAATGTACTTCAGGCAATCTTTCATCTCTATCAAAGATGCAACTTGCTTCCAATGCGAGCTATTTTCGAGCAGAGATCCGAGGAAAATTAATGCGCACTCTAACAAATCTCCCTGCGTACTCGATTCCCAAATATCTAGTTCGGATCCATTTTCCTCAAACTTGCAAATATCTTCAGTTTTGGAACGATAGAGAGAACCCTTGGGAGATTGATGGAATTTCAGTGGGGCAAATTTGACTAAATCCGGGGTGTTTTGTAAAAGAAGCAGCAGCTGCTTTTTCACCTGAGGTTCAAGCTCAGGGTGATGTCTTGCAAGTTCATCAAACATGAATCCCAGTGGAGATGCATTCTCCTCACGCAACAGCTCCTTGCAAAGAGCCGCTTGTTTGAAAATTCCAAAGAATCTTCCAATCAGGTCTTCGGACTTGACTCTTTGCAATCCCTCCTTGTTTAGGGATATTGCTCCAATAGCATCTGGTATAGTCAAAAGCAGCTCTGCAGATCTTCCCAAAAGTCCATCGAATTCGTCAAAGAATGCGTTGATGAAGCCTGCCTCATTGAGGATGGCATATGCTGTTGGCTCATTGTTGATGATTCCCGTCATGATGTTGATTGTGTCTGTAAGTAACTCGTAACCAAAGACTGTCGGGTTTTTGATAATCTTGATCAAGCTTTTCAGAATTGGCGAATCGTACAAATTGCGCATGCGGTCGCCTTGGTGGTGAATAATCAAGTGGAAGAAAAGTTTCAGTAGTGAGTTTATCGTTTTCACTTGACGGACACTGATTTTATGAGAGACAATAACATCTTTAGGAGCTCCACCATCATAGTCCAGATTATCCAACGCAAAATCCACTTCGTACGCAAGAAGATCAGTCATGATTGTAAACCCATTGCTGGCAATGAAGCTGTCTAGAATGTCTGGCAACGACTTCAGGAAAAGGTCAATCAATTGCAATGGCCCTGATCTGGTCATTCTAAAGGAGTTCTTGAGTGGTAAAAACTCTAGAAGGATGCCCATCAATCCAGCAGTACGTAGATGAGCCACCAAATTCTTATTGTCGATTAAGTTTGCAATCAAATTAAAGAAATAGTTGAGATATGAATGGTCCATATCTGTTCTATCCTCCTTTGCAGCCTTCAAAACCGAGCGCAAGATATGAAATAAAAGTCCGTGATTGACATTACCTCCCAGTGCTCTCATTAGATCACTGCCACCATTCTTTTTGGCAGAAATGCTCACAAAAGCACGTAGTGCAGCATAAGATGGCTCGAAAGGCACGATATTATCTGGATTGATCAAATCAGCCATGTAACTAAGCAAATACGGTTCTTCATCAAAAACAGAACTTGCCATGACCGAGTAGAAACAGCAGCACGAAGCCGCAGCCACAGATAAACATTTCATGGTGACAAGGCTTTGTCTCAATTGCACACTTTCGTAGGATTTGTTATTAAATGCTTTCGCAATATGCACTGCAAGAACGAAATCAAATTGGTTGTCTTTAGGAATCACATTGACTGCTTTATCGTATATTTGCTGATATGAGAGCTTCTTGATCGTATCTTCGTTAAGGATAAAATGATGCAAGCCTTCTTCCTCGCTTGCCAGATTTGAACTTTCATTTTTAGATCTCTTTGTCTGTGTGTTGAAAATCTGTTTAGATTTCTTCTTCGACGGACTTTCTTGACTTGGGGCTGTCTGGGACAAAGCTTGTGTTGGTCTCTTCTTCTTTGTATCTGGCGAGACGTTGTAATATTTGAAATCCAAAATTTTCCACTTTGATGGCAATTGGGACTCCACGTTGATACAGTCCAAGAGACTGATATGGACCAAGGAGGAGCTGTGATCTTTCTCCTTTTTGTGTTTTTTGTGACCATGAGTATCGATTCGTAATGGTGACGAGTACATTGGGGCCACTAGGGGCGGGAACGAAGTAGCGAGCTTCAAGAGGGCGTTTCTGACCCGTGCCGGTGGGGAGAATTTACTATTCTGAACAATTGCAAATCTCTCGCACAGCAAGCAAGTCAGTCTCAGAGCAGTGACTCTGACGACCATCGAGCATGAGAAAATGAGCTCAAAAACATGGGAAGCAGAGTTGTAAATCTCCTTATTGGAACAATGCTCGAGTAAAGAGTATGTATAGTTCAAAACGGAGCAAACAAGTTTCTCGTCGGCCGAGTTGACCATCAACAGTTTCGGATACTCCTTATCAAGATCGTACTTCTTGACATGTTGTTCCAAAAGCTCGTCCATTCTGTTCAAGAGGGGAATATAATGATACAGATCGATTCTGAGGCCATTCCAAAGCTCCTTTGATTTGGAATCAGCCGCCAGAATAAACTCGTCCAAACTGCAGTTGGTGAGCTTCTCGATCATCTCCTTCACCTGAGGTGAAAGTTCCTGTTTCTCGAGGTATGATTTCTTCGAAATGATCATGACCGCTGAGTGTCTTGTTTTCCCATAATTTTTTACTAATGCCAATCTGTACGTGGGTGGTTCAGGGGTGTACGGATGTTTGGGAAGACCAATTTTTTTTGTGTTTGGTGGGAGATGCAAGAGAAATAATAGAAAGGCAAACATAGAGTATTTTTCGTGTTTTACAAAAGAAAAGCCTAATGATCAGAAGCTTTGCTCTATGAGCCTTTTTTTGAGAAAGATACGCATGAACCCTATCAACAGATTGGATTCATCCATAGAGCAGCTAACAAGGGCTGGACTGAGTTCAGGTTCTCAGGAGCGTGTTCCTAAGATATCATCTGCTGATCTCAACTATTCCTTCACACAAGAGGCCGAAGAGGAGGAAGGAGTCATTTCTATAGAGGAGATTGATGTTCAGGAGTGTCCTAATTCAACTCCGACACATCAGAGCGCGTCGTCGGTCGCGGATTCGTCTCCCGTGGATCATCGCACGCGAGTTCTGTATCCGGAGCTCAAAAGAAGACAGCGCGATTCTCCCCATTGGACTCAAGGAACGCACGCGGGAGTCACTCTAGACCATATCAGAGAGTACTTGACGTGGTTTGGAACGCTATCTCCCTCTAACAAACATGTTGCTGAGACCACGGTGACAAAGATTCAAAAGTATTTTGAAAAGACCAAAGACTGCACCGATAATAAGGGAACCGTGGATATCTCATCGGATAAAAGCCCGGGTTCCATTTTTTCAGACCCCAGATCCAAGGCGATCATGGATACGCCGATCAAAAGAGAACGCAACGCCAATACTGGCATCAAGCTAGAATCCATCCACACTATGCCCCTGAACCAAAACACGTCGCTTGTGAACAAACCGCTTGAGGTGAAACGGATGATGAGCACGTCGGTTTCAAGAAATGCAAAGTTGGAGCTTCTCACTCAGAAGGAGAATCTGCTGAACGATTCGAAATCGGCGCCAGAGCTCGCTGCAAAGAAGCCAACAGAAGAAAAAAGGGTGCAAGCAATCACCCTTAGTGAAGAACAGAACCAAGTGATTGACTTAGCCCGGCAGGGACACAATCTGTTCTACACAGGGTCCGCAGGTACCGGAAAGTCTCTTTTACTTCGATCGCTAATCAAGGCTTTGAAAGCACAGCACAGTAACGGAACCGTTGGAGTCACGGCCTCTACAGGACTCGCCGCGTGTAATGTTGGTGGCCAAACACTTCATTCGTTCACGGGAATCGGATTAGGCGAGGCCAGCGTGGATATTTTGGTGAGAAGAGTGAAACGCAACCCAAGAATGAAACGCAGGTGGAAAGAGCTTGAAGTGCTGATTATTGATGAGATTTCTATGATTGAGGCAGAATTGTTTGACAAACTTGATCAAATCGCTCGCCAGGTTCGGTCAAATGATAAGCCATTTGGAGGTATTCAGCTAGTGATTTGTGGCGATTTTTACCAGCTGCCACCAGTCACAAAAGGTCGCGAACCGTCTTTTGCTTTCGACTCTCATGCGTGGAAGAGGGCAATCAAATACACTATTGTGCTCACAAAAGTTTACAGACAGCAATCTGACCGCGACTTCATTGACATGCTGAACGAGGTTAGAAATGGTAATGTTTCGTTTGCCACCACCAAGAAGTTTAGAGCTTTATCCCGGCCATTGGCTTCCAAGGAAGGCGTGACTCCGGCCCAATTATTTCCTACGCGTCGTGAGGTCGATTCTGCAAATAGTACGATGCTAAGACAGCTTCCCGGTGCCGAGATCGTTTTCAGGGCCTTTGACTCGGGATACCTGGAAGACGAGGAACAGAAGGAGAGATTGCTAGCCAATTTCTTGGCACCGGAGCGTATTGCGCTCAAGAAGAACGCTCAAGTGATGCTGATTAAGAATATGGACGAGACGTTGGTGAACGGATCGTTGGGCAAGGTTGTGGACTTCATCGACCCTGACACGTATGCACATTACCGTACGCTCGAGTCCGGAGAGTTTGACATTGACGAGGTGCAGAGAAAGTCCGAGTCCAACAAGGCGATGTCGGAAGACAACCAAGAGGATAAGAATCTGATTGAAAATTACAACGACATGGACAACGATCTTGACGAGGATGTGTTTTCTTTTCTTAAAGAGATGAAGCCTCGAGAAGGAGAAGAGTTCCCTGCGTCGGTCACTGAAAACATCGAACGAAAGACACAGCTGCTTAACAGGTTGTATCGGAACTCCAAGGACCGTCGAATGCCGCTTGTTCGGTTCATTCAAGCCGACGGAACCACGAGAGAAGTGCTGATCGAGCCCGAGCATTTCAGCATGGAAGACGAGTTTGACAAGCCCATTGTTGCCCGCACGCAGATTCCACTTATTCTTGCATGGTCGCTGAGTATCCACAAGTCCCAAGGGCAGACCCTGCCGTTTGTTCGGATTAATCTGCGGAACATTTTTGAACGCGGCCAAGCATATGTTGCCCTTTCCAGAGCCACTCACAGACGCGGTCTGCAGGTGATGAATTTCAATCCGTCCCGGATCCTAACGCACGAGCGTGTTGTCAAGTTCTACGAGAGTCTACAGACGATCGAACAGATCAAGTCCAACGAGGAGCAGACAAAAGAGCAGCGCAAATCGGAGTACGTGTCCGACACACAGCTGGACAAGCTAGAGAACCTTGCCGAGCTTGCTGCCGACCCCAACGATTTTATGCAGGGCCACAAGAACGTGGTTGACGAGTTCGACTCGATTTGGGCGAAAAACTGATGATATTATGCACATATGTACGGAACCTAGTTGAATTATTTAGCTCCCACGATCCACCCAATGATATTTTTACCGAGATCAATTGGCTGCTCTGTTTTTTCTTGGCTGGCCGCAGGTTTCTCTGCAACCACCAAGTCCCGAGCAGAGTTGAGCAGCTGCCATTGTTCCAGAACGTTGGTGTTGAACTCTGTAGGCACAATCAGCATCAGTCGCTGGAGAAGGTCGAGTTTCTGCGCCAGTTGCTCGTGCTCTTCTGGCTGCGGGTAATCTGTCTTCACCAATTGGAAGATTGAGAACCATTTGTCCTGGATGATATGGAACAGCTCTGGGTTCGCAGTCTTGTTCGAGGTCGCAAGCTGGATTAACGACGTGGCCAGCTCTAGCGAGTAGACAAAGTCGCAGGCAATTGCAAAGTCAAGGCACACAAGCTGGAGCTTTACGTGAGCCAGCTCGTCGTTCACTTCAAGACCAACCAGAAGGTGTTTCAATACAGACTCTAGCTGGTCGGACTCGAGATACGCATGCTCGTTAAGCTCAAGCACCTTGGAAATGATGGTGAAGGGATCCTTAATCTCGATAATATCAGAAGGTGTGACAGGAACACCCGGCTTGAAGTACAGTTTCCAATGGAGCAATTCTGAGTTGGCAAGGATAAGCTCGTCTAATTGAACAGACTTGGTCGCAGCAAGAGCTGCGCACTGTTGCGCGCTTTTCAGGTGTCCTATATTGGAGTCGCAGTTGGTTGCGCTGTTGTAAAATTTCCAAGCAGCAGCCATTACAATACGGTCAAACTCCTCAGTGCTCAGAGTGCAATATTTGGGGACAAACACCTTGGAAACAGTGCTGAACTTGCCCTGGTTCAATAGCGTGTTCAAGACCAGTTCGTCTACAAACGAGAGAGTCACCTTGTTCAAGACCGAGGTGTTGCGCAGAATCCAGTACACAGAACTCAGAAGATGCTCCCAGTCTCTCTCTGACGACAAGTATGCGGACTCTGTATGGACAAACCGTTCTAGCTGCTCCAATTGCTCTGACGCATTGAGATTAGGCAGTCCTGCAACCTGGCCCAGTGAAAGATTGTTTGAGAAAAGACGTTCTCCAATTTCCACAAACTGGATAAGATTTTGAACCGAGCTGGGGCTTGCAACCACAGAGTCGGCCATCCGATCAAGCGACGATTGACGCACAAACGTGTACTCTGTGTTTGGTTGTAATCTTTTTGGGTCAATTGTATTCAAATAGACGAGCAGTTCTTTCATCTTGACGTACAATTGGATAGAGATCTCCGAACACATGTAGACCGTAGCCAACAGGATGCTTACGAGTCGCTGGAGAGAGGCATCGGGCATCTGGTGGAGCAGGTCGTTACTGGTGACGAGTGTCACGAGCAAGTCGAATTTGGACTTGACCAGTTCGGGAGTTGACTCGGTAGAGACTATGGTGTTTGCCATGGCCAAGACGTAGTCATTAAAGGCCCAGAAATCCGCGTCCTGGTATTTCAAGTAGCTCAACAACGCCCTGACTACGTCATCGGCGTTTGAACCGCTCAACTTGGACACAAACAAATCAATTTGTTCCCCTGCAGAATAGTAGTCAACGAAATCCATGAGAGACGGAATCTCGCCAAACGATCCAAGATTGCTCATAGGAACGAGGAACCCGTTCCACCAAGCTGCCAGCGGCTCAGATGCGTGCGAGGAGTTCAGGATCAGATCCTGCACAGTTTCCAGATCCGGTAGGTCGCCTGTGTAGTAATTGGTCTTGAGTATTCTCGCTTGGACGAACTGGGCAAAGAGGTCTTTCTCTTGGTCAAAGTGCCATCTTGCGGCCTGTTGCCGGATATAATCCACCGATTTTGTCACCGAGCTGGAAATCAGAGCGGTGGGGAGTTCAAGCTCGGCCGGAAGTTCCAGCGTCTGCGTAGACTCGGTGGGTTCAAGAAGTTGATCCGCAGCAATGACAGCTTGTTCCAACGGGATAAACTCTGGCAGATCCACCAAGAGGATCTCGAGCGAGGTGGTGGGGGAGAGTACGTATGCAACGCCGCGCAAGTCCTGCGGGAACTTGGCGGCTCCAAACGCGGCCCTCAATGCCAAATGGGTGCGCTCTTTGCTGGACATGCAAATCGATATTGAATTATTTTGTTTTGTTAAGTCAAAGAAGTAAGAAGTAAAGAAATTAGTATTACATAAGCAAGGTTCAAATCGTTGCATATCCTGCGATTAGGACGGTGGCTCTTCGGCAGTGCCGACAGAGAACCTCATCAATAAAGGAACGGCAATAAGGACAGTAATCCGGCGGCAATAAAGGAATATCCACAAACGCAATTCCCGACAAAGTCATGCATTGGATCAATAACCAAAACAAACGCAAGAGAAGCCAGTTGCATTTACTTACATAGCTGTTGTGAGACTTACTCTGGACTTCAAAATGCGATCTGGTCGGAGAATACCTTCATGTGAGAATACTCAACAATTCGCAAATAACTCCTAGTGATTGGCTTGGGTGTGCTGCGGAATGCCCGCTACGGTAATGTTATCACTTGGCACACTGTGATGACAAATGCAATCAATTTCAGTAGTCCCGGATAATGAGACATTGTTCCACCACAGAAAGAAAGTAAGCTTTCCGTAACGAGCAGATTCCGGAATTTTTCACCGCAGCAACCAAGGTTAGATTGCCGCCAGAACAGCTTTCAGAAGTTGCGATTAATGTAAGCTGGATACATGCTACGGTAAGCCCAGCGAAACAGGCAGCGCCACCCGGGGGTATCAGATACCACACCCGGTTACGGAACAATTGTGACTAAAAGGTGGTGTCTAGCATACTTTATTTTCAACTTGTTGTAGTTGTCTATATAACAGCACGTACGCAGTCCTCTGCTGCCGTAGCCGTGCCTCTATGTCCTCTTGGGAGCGTATCCTTCGTTGGATTCTGAGCGGCGAGGAGCATTGGGGCTCTCTGCATTGGACGAGGTCCCCAAATATGTGAGCTCGTCACTGGGGTTTCGTGCCGGAGACATGTTCAGCGGAGGGTCGGACGGCCCTCTTGTATAAGGCTGGAAATGCGGTACCCCCATGTGAGGAGGTGGGGGGAGAGAGGGGCCCGGATACGGGATTCTGGAATGCTCCAGATGTGAATATGGAAATGGTGGGGGCAAAGTCCCCATATTAGCTGGATAATGCAATTGAGGATGATGCTGCGTGGCATGTCCTCCATGAAGCTGCGGCGGGGGAACCGAAGGTGTCACATTCATTCTTATTAGTTGGTTATGCAATTGGCTCGCATAACCCTTCACAGACTCAAGATCGGTAGATAAAACGCTGTTTTCGTGCTGTAAAGTCTCTATGTATTCGGACGCCTTGCTGAGGACCTGGGCTTTGGAGTCGGTCTGGGGTTTCACGCTTGGAATTAACCCTCGTAGCTTTTGGAAGCCGTCAATGATTCTTCCTCGACGTCTCTGTTCGGATTTAATGTGTAGGTGTTTGCGAAGATCCGGAGACACTGGATCCTGTTTAAAAGAGGGGCTTTTGTTCAGATCGGGTTGATTGGTCGAATCTCCTTCATCGGTCTCGTGTATCAGAGATGGAAGCTCCATCAGTCAAAAGGTTACAAGATGGCATTGAAGCCGCTGGATGGGCGACACTAACTAGAAGAACAAATAGTGAAATGCCTCCTGGAAATTTGTACTTTTTATATAGGTAGCCAAGGCTTCTGCCTGAATATTGTTGGGCTGCAAGACGCAGTATGCACACGCGCAATCATACGAATTACAAGCTGCACACCATGTGGAACCGACTGGCAGTGTGTAGGCAAGTTCCCAAAGGGATTGCAAGAACAGCGTGCTTAGTGCTTAGCATGCCCATTAGCTGAGCTCATTGGAGTGGTTGGAGAGCTCTTAGAATTTCCCTCAGATGCACGTTGCATGGTGTGAGGATTTTTTGTGTGCCAATTCCTTCTCTCGATGGGAATATACGCTAGTTTCCTGCAGAGTATTTACGACCGCCTTGCAGATGCATGTCGTCTCGCAAAATATAATTAATTACGTTATTGGAACAGGCCCAAATTATCCAATAATGCAGATATTATTTTCTCTCAACGCAACTCACCTGCAGTGCACATCTGCTCCAATTGATGAAAGAACAATTTATACCGTCGTTTACAAAGCATCGCATCAACACCGTAGGAATTTACTCAAAGCCGCATCGCGCCGCACCCAAACTCTTGTTTCAGTCCCAGAATCCTCGATGATCGCTCAATATCGCTTGTTCCATCTCGGGGACTGGGCCAATCACCTCAATTGCCTTTTGTCCCGATCCTACAACCGTCCTGCAGTCTAATGACATCGTCATGTTCTCCTCGGCAGACCCCGTGAGCCCCAATAAAACTTCTTCGGATGCCCCATACAGAATCCGCCCTATGTTGGCCCAATAAACTGAACCTGCACACATGCAGCACGGCTCGAAGTTTGTAACCAATGTGCAACCCCACAAGAAGTCTGAGGAAAATTTGGCAGCCGCCTCTCTGCACAAGGTTGATTCCGCGTGATTGAACGTATCTATGTTCCCTTGCCTGAGCAGAATTTCATCATTAGGGCCTATTAAGACACACCCAAACGGATGCTTGCCATTCAGTTTCGCCTCATGAGCAACCTTCACACTCTCTTCCAGGTACTTCACAATTGACTGTTTCGTTAGTCCCGAGCTTTCGGTCTCCATATCCAGAAAATTCACTAGCGTATGAAATTTTCTCAGTGCCCGGTGCAAGGTTGCGTCCCTAGTTCAAAAAATTTATCTTGTTTACGCGTCTTGCTCAGATGTCCCCTCGGTACAACGTTTTATGGCGGAAACAAACGCAGCGGAAGAACAAAACATGGGACGGGGACGGTAAGCTTGTGATAGAGGACGACATGGGGGTTGTCCGCGACGAAGCAGGGAATTTTCTTGCTAGGGTCAAGAACTGCTCCAAAGTGATCCACAATGGGGTTTTTAGGGGAGGAAGCTTCGAATTCGAGCTCGATGGGGAAGATACAGATGGCGAACCCATCATTCCAGCAAAAAGGGCTGCCTCTTCTCCACAACTTGTGGTTGCTCCTAAGATTCCAAAGATCCGCAGCGTGGGGCTACTCAAACGACCTCGACTGGCTACCAAAAGTGTTTCTGATCTAATCAGCAAACCAGTCAAGCCAGTTTCCACGATTAGAAAGAACACCACTCCGCTATTTGATCCAAAGGAGGAAAATGCCCTTGTGATGCCGCGGCCACCAAACTGTGACCCCGAGTCTGTTCGAGATGTTGTGGTGGATCCTATTTTGGTGGAGAAATTACGCCCCCACCAAAGAAACGGAGTGACTTTTCTGTACGAGTGTCTGATGGGGTTCCGCAGTTTTGAGGGTCATGGAGCCCTTTTAGCTGACGGTATGGGGCTTGGAAAAACGTTGCAAACTATCACCTTATTGTGGACTCTTCTGAAGCAGAACCCAAAACCCGGAAACCAGCCTGTTGCTCGTAAGATTCTAATCTGCTGTCCTGTCACTCTGGTGATGAACTGGAAGAAAGAGTTCCGCAAATGGCTGGGTCCTCATCGCGTTAGCATTCTTGCACTAAACGGCTCCTCGGGAAACGATAAGCAAAACATCCGCGGATTTGCCAACACCAACGTCTACCACGTGATGATAATCGGGTATGAGAAGATGCTGACCGTTGCTGACGAGCTTGAGCAGATCAAATTCGACGTGGTTGTCTGCGACGAGGGCCACAGACTTAAAAGCGGCAGCAACAAAGTTTTAAAAGTTTTGGAGACACTGAATATCCGGCACCGGGTACTGCTTTCCGGGACGCCAATCCAGAACGACCTTACAGAGTTCTACAACGTTGCTAACTTTGTTAATCCTGGTGTTCTGGGTGATTTCAAAGGGTTCCAAAAAAACTACATTAAGCCCATCTACCGTGCTCGCGAGGCGAACTGTACGAATGAGCTGGTGCTGCAGCAAGGAGAAACCATCTCACGGCAACTGATAGATCTGACCAAACAGTTTGTGTTGCGGCGCACAATCGAGGAAATCACGGCATTCCTTCCCCCGCGATCAGACTACATTTTGTTCGCACCACCAACAAAGCTCCAGACCAAACTGTTTGAGTCGCTGCAAAAGACCGCCCAATTCTCTCGTATACTTAATGCCGCTCCTGCAAACGACTCTTTGCAGCTGATCACAACGTTCCGAAAAATATGCAACTCGCCTGCGCTATTGACCGACGATGCGTTATTTTCCGGGCTGTGTGATATAGACGATTTGCGTGGAGAGCTCAGCAGCAAGGTGCGGAGTGCGAAGATCATCTTGCTGGTGAAGCTACTGAAGCAGATATACCGTCTCCAAGATGAGAAGGTGGTACTTGTGTCCAACTATACCCAGACTTTGGACGTTTTGGAAAAACTCATGAATGTTTTGGAGCTACCGTTCACACGCCTCGACGGTGCTACGCCTGCAAATTTGAGAGACAAGATTGTCTCCGATTTTAATAAGGCGTCCTGGGACTCAAGCTTTGTGTTTCTGCTGAGTGCCAAGTCGGGTGGAATGGGCCTTAATTTGGTGGGGGCATCTCGTCTTATCCTATTTGACAACGACTGGAACCCATCAGTCGACCTTCAAGCTATGGCTAGAGTACACAGAGATGGTCAAAAACGTCCTGTACATATATATCGACTGTTGACTGCCGGGTGCATTGACGAGAAGATATTCCAACGGCAACTGATCAAAACAAACTTGAGTGATAAGTTTCTGGACGACTATAACGACACGAATGAAAATTTCTTCGACACCAGTGACCTGAAAGACTTATTCACTGTGAGCGACATCAACTCTAATACCCACCATCTTCTTGATTGCAAATGCGCTGGAGATGGACAAGACCTAGAGTATGCGGAGCCAGCCAAAATTTCGAGAGAACTGAGCTTTATCTCTGCGCTCAACTACCAGGACCCTAACTTGGAAGGAGAGAAAAAGAAGCAACAGATCAGAAGATGTTTGATGGATTACCGACATTTCGATCCACTCATCGGCTCACGTACTGGAGATGCTGTAATCGATGGAATACTCGATTCGCAGGATAAAGACAAACCGGCAGTGTCTTACATTTTCATGAAGAATTAGTCTATTAAGCTACTTGTTAGCTAACCGTGCCTCTGCCGCGCGCGCGCGCTGTTCTCTCATCACCTTCATCCGCTGTTCTGGCGTCAGCGTACTCAAGTTCTGCTGCTCGGTATTACCTAAAATGCTGCCGCGCCCAAACTTTCGAGTGTGCTCTTGCTCGGTTTCTTGTTTGGACAGCTCAAGCTGCTCTTGGATAAGCTTTTGAGATGATTCTTGGTCTTCCTGTTTCTGCTTGTTTAGCAGATCGTCGACCTGCTCTCTGGTCATTGGTTCCTTGATATGGGTTTTCGTCCAATTGCAATAATCCTCCCCGAGTATTTGCCGTGCAACCTGAAAGGTATATTTTGTCTGCAGCGGAGCCAGTTCAAAAGCGGTACGGCCATTCTTATTCTGCAAACTGGCATCTGCCTTCAGGTTCACCATGAGCACCTGACACATATGACTTAATTTATTCGCAGCAGCATAGTGCAACATTGTTGGAGTATTACCAAACTCTGTATCTGGTTGCAAATGCATATTGACATCCACATTATTCTTCTTCAAAAAGGCAATCAGGGCAGGAGCTTTGGACCGCTTCAGCAGACTAACCAATTCCCTTGAAAGTCCAACTTCGGCCGACTCTTTTTTCACCACGGTCTGTTTTTGGATTTTGCTTCTTGCCAAAGCTTCTTGTTGTTTGTGCTCCTTTTCAAGCTCGTCTTTTCGTGTTTTGGGGAGATCAAGAATTTTCAAATGACTCAACTCAAGCCAAGCACGTTTCAACTCTGCAGATGTTGGTCTTTTGGTAACAAACGGGAAGTAGCGAATCCGTGGATCGGAGCCAACCAACGGGGAGTCGGCGAACCCGATCATCGTCTTGTGCGAAGCCGGTCCACTAGCTCTTATAAAAATATATTCGCATTCAGCCAATTCAGATTTCCATTGTAGAAGCAGATCCCGAACATCTTGCTGCAACGCCTGTTCGTTGTATCTTCTCAAAGTAGATCCGGCACTTTTGGCCTTTCCCTTAGCATTGTCGCTTGCATTTTGAGATCCTCCCTGCTTCCGTCTAGTTGTGTATCGATGAAATGTTTTGTGATGCAGCACACGGACACTTTGTAATGCAAGCTCCTCAGGTGATCCATGGTTTCCTTTGGTAGGGATCTGCTCGTGGGAAATAATGGCTCCAGCAAAGTGACCACCACCAATCATGAATAATGCACTCTTGCCTTTGCCCAGAGTTCCCAACTTTCGAAGATTTTCCAGCGGATCTTCGTTCTGGGCATTTAGTACAGACTTGTAAGCTCCAAAACATAGCCCAGCATCCAACAGAGGACTGCTGAATAGAATAAATGGAGACTGGGTATTCAAATAGCTTACATTGGAGTCTTCGTCCTCAGATTCGCTTTCCGAGCCGGATATACTCAGTTGGTCCATCATGTCCTCGAACTGCTCTTCGCTGACGGTGCTCAAGCCGGCCGATGACCGCTTGCGGTTGAATCTCTCGAAATCGTCCTCGGGTTTCCCAGTCTCCTGCTTTTGATGGGGCTGCGAGATCCTCAACGGCTCCTTGTCCTTGCTTTTCTGCTCGAGCGTCTGTGAATCAAAATACAGCAGTTCCAAGGTGCTGATGATCGCCGGATCGGGCTTAAATAGGTACAAGCTAGTCTGAGAAACGGAATGCGTCATGATTGCAAATGAAATAGAAAAACCGTTTGCACAGCCGTCGAAATAATGGGTGTTTTCTGATTACCAACAGGTGAAAAATAAATTACACAGCCATACGATTACACCATGAGACTTGGACGTCTGCTATATTGGGCCTGCACCGCTGTTGCACTCCCTTTCAATATCAATCTTAATGTCAACACGAACGTGAACCTCAATATTGACGGCGATGAAATGCCATTGGGCGTTCAGACGCAGGAATTGGGACTGTTTCCGCTCCACAAAAAACTCGTGCAAACAGAGAGTCTGAGTTTCCATGAACAGGAAGTCTCTGACTTCTTGGTGGACTATCTTCAGACTCTTGGTTTGACCGTTGAGACCATCAATTCTAACGGAAGAAACAATATTTACGCTTACTTCGGAACTACCAGAGATAATACCGTGCTTCTTACCAGTCATATCGACACTGTTCCTCCGTATATCGGTTACTATGACGACGGCGAGCGTATTTACGGACGTGGATCTTGTGATGCAAAGGCTTCGGTTGCCGCACAAATCACAGCGTTTTCGGAACTCTTCCAAGAACAGCTTATTCATGAAGGAGATGTTGCTCTCCTGTTTGTTGTTGGCGAGGAAACTGGCGGAGACGGAATGCAAGCGGTCGACGAGAGCATCAAGGCCAGCTGGAAACATGTCGTCTTTGGTGAACCAACCGAGAACAAGCTTGCTATCGGCCACAAGGGTGTTTACTACTTTAAACTTAAAGTTCATGGCGTGTCTTCCCATTCTGGATATCCAGAACTCGGCCAGGACGCAAACAACCTGCTCATCAAGTTGATGTACCAACTCTCCACCACCAACTGGCCGCGCGATGATCTGCTGGGCGTGACAAACGTCAACATCGGCCTTATTAATGGAGGAACCGCAGCCAACGTGATCTCGCCTATTGCAGAATGCGAGGTTCTTATGCGTTTGAGCGTCAACGCTGACCAGGTTGAGAAAATTGTGGACGATATTATCACGAACTATCAGAACGTCGACATCACTGTGGTTCAAAAAGCAGACCCTACGTATCTGGATTACGATGTGCCGGGATTCGATACCATGCTTGCCTCCTATTTCACCGACATTCCTAACCTGACCCAAAACGGATTCAAGCGGTATTTGTACGGCCCAGGTTCGATTCTAGTCGCCCACGGAGACAATGAATACGTCACTTACGAAAGTCTAAAGGAGGCCGTCAATGGTTACAAACGGCTCGTTACCTATGGACTTAATTGATGTGTTCCATTTCTATATCCGTAAAAAGTAAGTATCTCTTAAGGGACTCAAACCAGGAAATTGCTCTTGCAACGTCAATCCATGAATGTAGAGTTTAGGATGTCAGTTGCGTTCGAAGTGAAGTTTTTTCTTGGTTAATTTTTCATCTTATATGTGAGGTTTGCACAGCCGTGTTCTGGACGGAAAGCGGGCAGGTTGCGAGGAGGATTCGAGCTCGGAAGAGGTATCAGATTACGGTGTGAGTGAGTAACTATAATTGTTGAGCGCTTAGGAATAGGTAAAGAAAAAATGTGAAAACCTAAGTGGGGGTGGAAACTCCAACCTGGGTTGTGGGGGCAGGTGAAGAACTTTAAGCTATTTTCTAGTGATAATTTTTTTGGAATTTTTTTATGTCTGAACCAGCTTGGAAACGATTGGGGCTGAAGATTAAGGAGACAGTGGAGACTGATCCGCTGTATCTTACGAAGGTCAACGTCTCACGCAAGCGAAAGGTCGAGCCAAGTGAAAATACAGAGAAGAAGCCTCCTAAACGGAAGAAGCTCCCTAAAAGTGAGAGGCCTGCTCCACCAGAGAAGGACCAACTCAAGTATTTACGCCAATATAACGAAGATAGAGAGAACTGGAAGTTTTCAAAGGCAAAACAAGCCTGGATCTTGAGAAATATCAAGCATATTCCTGCTGAATATGAGGAGTCATTGATGATTTACGTTAATAGCATTCAAGGAGGATCCAAAGATCGACTCAAGGATGATATGGTGGCCGTGATAGAAAAGTGGAATACTGCCGCTAATACAGTTGAAAACTCCAAGAGCGATGTGACGGGAGAAGAAGCCAATGAGGGGTCCAGTGGGGAACCCAAAGAGACTGATCAAGAGAAGAAAAGTTCAATAGCTGACGATAAAGACATTCCCGACTTCAACTACGTTATGCTTGCTAAAAAGATATACGAGATGTTAACGGGCACGAAGATTGACGTTGCTGGAGCAGTTGAGGAAGAGAAGCAGGAAGAACAGGAGGAGCATCCTTTGATTGTGGAAGAAGTGGATGTAGAGGAGTATCTCGATGACAACGACAACGAATTAGTCGATGCAAAACAGTCGGACTCTGAGCTGGCCACGAAGAAACCGCCAAAAAAGCATAAGGATAAGAAATCCAAGTCCAAGAAGGAGAAAAAATCAAGTGGGGTGTCTTCGTAAAACTGTATAGATTCGATCGCCACAAATAAAAAAAACTATGCGCTTTTTCGTTGAAGACCTCTTCACACAAACCAAGGACACTGACCCGGATTTACGGTTTATGGCCCTCAATGATCTCGAGAAAGAGATCATTGCCAGCCCAGACTCTTTTTCGAGCGAGGCTCGAGTCCATTATGCCAAGATCCTCTTACACTGTCTGGACGACGAATTTGCTGAAGTGCGTACACAGGCCCTAAAATGCTTTGAAACTTTGACCCCACGGTTAGGTGGGTATGTCACCAATGTTGTCACGGCGTTAGGAAGGAAGAAACCCGAGAAAATCTCCATTACTTCAACTATATATACTATGGCCTTGCACAACGTGTTTAAGAACTTTGTGGCCAACGAGTCTGTTGCTCGCGATGTGGCCAACACGGTCCTGAGCGACGTGTTTGATGCTGGTCAGGAGGCGTTCTACACCAGAATTGACTATATCGAGATCCTCACCGACCTTGTGGAGCATTTGGGTATTTACCTTACGTCTGCGCAGTTGAACAACTTAGGGGAGCTTCTTTCAAAAGCTTGCTACGAGGCCGATATTGTGATCGCAAAGAAGTCTGTTTTTGCATGTGGCTTGGTTGCTCGTAACTTCACTTCTGTGGAGCAAATGAACAAACTGCTTTCCCAGACAAACAGGTTTTCGACACTTAAAGAGCAAAACACAACCTTGAACATCGTCACGAACCTTGTGCGCTCGAACACAAAACTTATGAGCTCACTTGTGGGATCAATTTATCCACTCGTGCTGAAAGCTTTGTATCTGGACTCTCTGGCACAGCCAGACGACGATTTCGATGCACAGCAGGAGCTGGAAGAAACGCGTGCAGAAGCTCTTGGGTGTCTGATTGCCATGTTTGAGTCTCTGCAGATTGAAGAGTACGTGAACGAGTCTCTGGAGTTAGCATCTCGATTCATCAATTACAATCCATATAAAGACGATGATGAGGAAGAGATGGACGAGGAAGACGATTATGAACTTTCTGATCTTGATGACGAGGACGATGATGATGGATCTGGTGTTTCCTGGAAATTAAGACGTGAAGCTGCTCGATTAGTCAGTGTGATTCCCGAGCATCATCCGCTTTCATTGCCTGCTTTGTTGCGGATAGATTTGGACCCTCTGACCATTCAACTTGGGGACGATAATACTACTGTTGTCACAGAAACATTACGCACTTTGACCAAAATTTTCAGATACAGCGTGACAGAAGGTCCTTATTACACTTTGAAGTTTTTCAATTCTTTGAATGACTTCGCTAGTGGAAGAAGAGGTTCTGATGTTAGCATGCAGAACGATGATGATCCAACCATTATGCTCACCAACAGGGAGTCAACGATCCTAGACGCGTTCAGCAAACTTTTGGTCCCACAAAACTCTACCAAGCTGTCTCTGTTGTACGATTTCTTTGTTGAATATTCTAACGCTACAGATGGGTGTGACCCACAATATACGTCATCAATTGTCAGCAAGCTGCTGGATCTGCGTGAGTCAAGTCTTACCTCTGAAGTTGTCAAATTCTATGCTGCTCTTTTGAAGAAGTACACATTTGTTGATTTGGGAGCATCTTCCGACCGTTTGGTTGCAGACATTGTGCAGTGTGTTTCGTCATCATCGAACCATGAGCTGGTTCTTGAAAGTATGAATTTGTTGATCGAGATGCTAGAGAACGAATCAGGTGCTCAGTTCCCAGCTGTTGAAGACGCTCTGATTGACAAAGCATCCAATAAAAACTACTCTACCGAGATTCGTCAAAAGGCTTTGATATGCCTTAGGGCGTTGGTCACCAAATCAGACCCAACTGATTTGAACAAGGCACTTGATGTTTTCGCACACACAATTACAATTGAGTTTCTGGTTTCCGTCACTTTACAATGTGTTTCTTCTATTGTCCAACAGATCCCAGACCGAGTTCCGATCCAATGGCTGGAGAAACTGGTGGCCAGGCTGGTGGAACATTTCACGATTCCAGAACTTCAAACTCAAAGTTTAAAGACATTGGATTCCATCTCTCTTCTCCTCGACGAAACAAATGCCAGAATCGTGTACCAGAAGTTGGTTTCTGCTAGTGAAGCGGGAAAGATTGTCCCAGACAATGCGGTTCTTGTTTGCGATATCTTCAATAAAACCCTGTCCAAGATCGTTGTCTCAGACGTTGACGTTACCATTCGACTGCTAGTGCAGTTCTCAAAAGCAGCCTCATTTGATTCCGACGCTCTTTCGCAGCTAACAAACACCATTCTTCGCCAAAAAGATGCCAGTGACTTTATCTCGGTGGTGTCGAGTTTAGCAAGCCAGTCAGAGCCAAACGTTTCCAAGATTCTAGGAATCGTTTCCGTGCAAGATGAAAGCTCTGCAAATCTCGACCAAGTGCTGGAGAATCTCAAACATGGTAAGCAAGTGTTGTTCTCCATTTCGTTCATTGAACAGTATTCGAAGTCTTTCAAATTGGATATCAGTTTGGAGCCTTTGTTTGAGCAACTGGGTGGAGAGGAGGAGATCAAGAACGCAGCAGTGCATGCGATTGCAACAGTTGTAACCGGAAATCCTGATAGATATCTATCTGAACTTGTTCAAGAATTGGAAGAAAGTATCACGGTTCCTTTGTTGCAAGTTCTCAAACTTGTTTTACAAAAGATTCAACCGGACTTGGCATCTTCACGTCACCAGTTTGATCTTTTGGTGAATTCGCAAATTGAGAAAGCCGATGCTATTGAGACTGCTGCAGAAATTGTCTCCTTCCTAGCAGTGCGGAATTTGTTCTTGGAAGATATTTGCACCATTCTGTCTTCCGGTCCAACACATACACAAAGACTTTTACTTGGAACTACAGTCAAATATACGTTTGTGGACCCAGCTTTGGATGCCGACTTGGTGGAACTTTCCAAATATCTGGAACTGACGTCTACAGACGACTTTATATTTGGTTCCTCGCTCGAATTGAAGCAACTTGGCCTCAACAACTTAATTTTTGCATTGCATAAGAAGCCATTGGTTGCTCTGCCGTTGTGCTCTCGCATCATGCCCCAAGTGTTGGACACGGAACTTGAGCAAAAGAAAGAGTACGTTGAGATCGTTCGTATTGGTCCCTTCAAGCACAAGTTGGACAATGGACTCAATTTCCGAAAGGGTGTTTACGAATTAGTTTACTCGCTGTTGACCACACTGGAGTCGAATCCAAAGCTCTTGGTCATCAGTCACATTGACTGGAACCTCGTGTTTGAAAGATTCATCGCCAGAGCATTTAAGGACGACCCTACGGTGATATTTATCTGTCTGCTGACTCTTGTAAAGATCATCAACCTGAAGCCATCCATTTTTGCGGGCTCTCAAACCCTGGACAATTTCATCGCTGCTAGCACAAAGGTGTTGGATAAAAAGCTGAAAGAGGACGCTCCCAAACAGGACATCGAGAAACGCAATGACACCATCAAGGCAGTCCTTCGGTGTTGCAAGAAGATCAATAACATGGTCGAATCAGGACAAGTGAAGCTGGAAGGTTACACCAGTTGGGCAAACTTCATCAACACTTTACGCACGAAGTACCCTATATTTGAAGTTGAGGAATGACTGTTCCTTATTTCATAACAATTGCAATATAAAATGTTCATCTAGCTACCAAACGCTTCCAAGGCCTTATCGAAACCTTGTTCCCATTCCCAAATGAAACCGCTGTTTCCACGGGAAGAGATGTGCTGCTGACGTCTAGCAGCTTTCCATGCTGCGCGACGGCCGATTCTAGAGTTGTCGAATTTGGCGAACTCCAAGCTGTCGTTCCATGCGGTCTCGAACCCTTCCTTGTATCTCCAGTGTTCGTACTTTTCATTTGGATTCTGCTGGTTCCAGTAATTTTCGTGGCCAGACAGGTTTTCGTTCAGGATTCTGTTTTTATCGTCGTCAGAAGGGACGTGCGGATCTGTGGATCTGGCCGGAATGCATCCGGAATCCACCATCGGTCTGAATCCCCACTCCCCACCGTCTCCATGCTGAAACTTGTAAGTCCAAAAGTAGTATCCTGCGCCGGCACGCTGCTGGAAAAGCCTTGCCTGCTCGTTTCCATACTTGCGCACGCAATCGCCTCTGTCGTAAGAGCCCTTGCCCCACGATGAGCCGTCAAGAACGCACGAGTACTCGCCAATCAAAAAGTCTGCTTGTCCAGAAAGTCCTGTCAGAACAGATCCCTCGAGATCAGAGATGATCTGGTCAATTCCCTTATTCTTATCGTCATCACTGAAACATCTGTAGATGTGGTCGTCGATAACCACTCCCAAGTCTCCGTTCTTGGAATTCTCGTTCACAAATTGCACCCACTGATCTGCCCACCATCCATCACTGATCACAATTGGAATATCTTTATTCACCGAACGGATGGCCTTGATTGCTTCAGAGTAGTACTTCTTTTGACCTGAGGCTTTGTCGTCAAACACAGACTCGTTCACCACTTGGAGACCGGATATGTTCTCAAAAGAAGACAATTCCTCAGCCATATACTTCACCGTCTCGACTGCAAGTCCAATCGACTTGGAACTGCTCCAAAAGCCGGCCTGGTCGAAGTGCTCTCCAGAGTGGTCTCCGGTGTTAGCTCCGCGAGGCACAGCATGCAAATCAACCAGCACGGAAATGTTGTAATTTGCGGCTTTCTGGATCAATTGCTTGATGATTGACCACGCATTCTCGTACACGCCAGCAACAGACTCGAAAGAGGTGCCCTTGGCAAACTTCCCCGAGTTGACCTCCCAATAGCCAATTGGTAGCCGGATGGACTGGACTCCTTTGGATTTCAGCCAATTCCAATCATCGTCGGTGGCGTATCCTGTCCAATGGGCCTCAAAGTCCTTCCTTGTCTGGTCGAGGCCTTTCTCCTTCACGCTCTTCTTCACAGCATCGAGCTCGTACTGGGTGTCTGAAAAGAGCGAGTCAAATATGTATTTTTCCAGCACAAACACCGAACCAAAGTTCACACCGAAGTTCTGGCGGTATTGGTAAATCGTCTTGCGGTCAATCCCAGATGGGATTGTTGCAGCAGGCAGATCTCCCGATAATTTCGATTTCAGCTTATCAAACATGTGCAAGTTAAAATTATAAGAATGTATTTCATCTACTTATTGCTTTATCGACCCGTCGCTCGACGCCTGTTTTTGAGCCGCATTCTCAAGAACAACTTGCTCGACCGTGTTCTGGGCAGAAAGTAATAGAGGCTTTTCGGCCTCCTCGCGGCCAGTTATCACCCTGAAGATCTTGGCAGCAACCTCCCGACTCTCCCAGAGCGGATAGAATATAATGAAACATGCTGCCAGCAGCAACCAGATCATAATTATCACTATCCATGCCCGGAAGAACTTTTTGCTGTAGATGTAGTGTTGTCCATACATTGGCATTGGGATCAGGAAAATCACAATAAAAAAGAAAGCCCAAGCCATTATTTGCGCAATTAGTGAGTAGCGTTTGAGCTCTTTGGACGTGTCGTTCTCCTCCAGCTCCATGGCCTTTGCTTCCTTGACGGTAGCATCGTCTCCGGCGATGAAGTGGGAGTCCAGCGTTCCAAAGTCGTAGTCCTCTTTGTTAGGCTTGATGTAGCTGATAGCAACAATGAAAATTAGGGAGCCAAACAATCCAACAAAGTTTCCAACCGCGCACGAGTACTCGTCTCCAAGAGTGTCCTTGTTGACTGCTCCGTAAAGAGACTTTGCAGAAGCACACCATCCAATAATGGCAATGACGGTAGCAAGTGGCGGTCCAACGATGATGCTCAGTGGTGTCATCTTCTTCCAGAACAGAGTCAGCGTGAAAGCAAACACACCAGGTCCAAGAGCAATACCGATAAAGGTGATGATCCAGGAAATGGTGATACCGATGTAGTTGAACACAACGGTAAGCGCACCCATAGCAACAGCAAATACAGTAACGCACAAGTGCGAGACTCTAATAAGCTGTTTTCCGGAGGCATTTGGGTTCAGGTAAGCTCTGTAGATGTCGTAAGTAACAACGGAGGAGAATCCGATCAACTCGGCACTGGTGGCAGAAGTGGCCGCAAGCCACACCATCAACATCCCTGCAGCTGCTCCAGACTTACCCAAAATCTGGTACAGACCGTACAACATAGGGATACCCTCGTTGACGAGCTCTGTTGGGATTGGGTTTGGGTAAGTTGGAGAAGATGGATCGTGCATAAGAGCAAGAGACGACATGGCCGTGCACGAAGACAGTGCAAGTGGGATAATCAACCAACACAGTCCGCCAAAGAAGTATCCCCACATACTGCTCCGTGGAGAGGCAGCAAGGGCCTTTTGACTGTAACTTGGGTCGGTGAAGACGGTAGCAAAGCCACCCACAACGATGTTCCAACCGTTGAAAAGAGCGGTTTTGTTATCCCAGGTCAAGTAGCTGCCCTTGAAACCGGCCGAAGGGTTGTACTTAGCGGTTTCCTGCAGTAATTCGTACATCTTGTCAATCGAGCCAATCTTCTCGCTGTGAGTGTACGTGGTGAACAGAGCAACCAGAATAACGACATAAATGATCACAGTGTGGATCCAGTCCGACAGGAAGGTAGACTTGAGACCACCGGTCACAGTATATGCCCAGACACCAACAGGAAGCAGCATGGCAGCGGCCACAACGTGCATTCCAGTGATAGCACTGATAGCCTGGCATCCACCAAGCAACAGCATAGCAGAAATAATCACGTTTGTGCCCATTCCGTAGAAAAGACACACCCAGTGGGCCACAGGCCCAAATCTGGCGCGAACGATCTCGAGCACAGTGTGTGCTCCAGGAGCCTTACGCTTGATTTCAAGCGCAACAACGGCGAAAAAAGTAATTTGGATGGTGAATGCAAATGCATACCACGCACCCGGGATCCCATACTCATAGGTCATGCCAGAACTAGTAAGTACGGTGCCTCGGCCATGTCCAACTCGACACGACGGCCGAGGCGACCAAACCGGTCTTGACGTTTCTGGACGCGGTGGTGAAGTGTTCCGAGTCTTGGACCTCTCCAGCGTATTTTTGCAAAGCCTTAGTGATGGCAATCATCAAAGCTGCAAAGACAGCTCCGAGGGCTAAGATGTAGCAGTATCCGTATGCTTGATTGAGAATTGGTTCGACCATTGTGAATGACAAGATTGATAGCCATTTACCACGTTTAAGTAGGGAAAACCCCGTACCGAGATGCTTATTGTTAGCTGATAAGAGAGAACACTCGAGGGGGTGTAATTCCGTGATAAGACCGGTATTGTTAACGGTTGGCTCGCTAAAGTTTATTGCGCGGTACCTTCTAGATTTGTCGAAAATAGATCGACCCTATTGAGAATCTAGGTACCTTATCTATTTCCTAAAATAGTAACCGTAGCGTATCGAGCGGAACTAATTTCTTGGAGCTGCATGAAAACAAAGCAATTTAGAAACGGCCCGCAATAGCGGCGCGAATGACGGCGCACCCGCACGGCGCCCCTACGGCGACAGTTTAACCGTTGATACGATATTATACGGTGCTGGGGTTATCTATTTTTTTATATACCCCAGTGATTAACCGATTTGAGTCAATCTGATAAGCAATCATGAGCAGCAAGTACGGCAACCTTGTTGAAACCTTAGTCACCATCGATCTGGAGAAACCCGCCTGGGAGCAGGAGGGGATGCACAACAGATGGCATCCAGACATCCCTAGCTACAAGACAATGAAGCAGAACAAGGCTTACAAGATCGAGTGCTACGACTGGACAGGTGGCCAGGTTGGTAATAACGATTCCGCAGACGATATCAAGTACTGTGACCTTACTAAGATTCATTATCTATCTGGACCATTTGACATCGAAGGGGCAGAGACAGGAGACGTGCTTGTTGTTGATATACAGGACGTTCAGCCGTTGGAGAGACAACCATGGGGGTATTGTGGAATATTTGCCAAAGAGAACGGGGGAGGTTTCCTCGACAAGCATTATCCAAAGGCTGCTAAGGCAGTGTTTGACTTTGAGGGTATCAACTGTTCTTCCAGACACATTCCTGGTGTGCGTTTTGCTGGTCTTGTTCACCCGGGAATCATTGGAGTTGCTCCAAGTCAGCCGGTGTTGGAGGAGTGGACCAGACGAGAGCAGGAGCTGGTCGACTCCAACCCGGACGCAGACTTTGTGATGGCCAACCTGCCAACTGCTAAAGGCGCTTATGCAGGAACAGGCGTCTCCACCGCGCTAGCCAAGAAGCTTGCTGACGGTTGCAGAACTATTCCTGGAAGACCAGAAAACGGAGGTAACTGTGACATCAAGAACCTGTCGCGGGGCTCCAAAGTTTACCTTCCAGTCCACCTTGACGGCGCCAAGCTTAGTGTGGGGGACCTCCACTTCTCGCAAGGAGACGGAGAAATCTCGTTTTGCGGAGCAATCGAGATGTGCGGTTCCATCACTCTGAAATGCTCAGTCATCAAACAGGGAATGTTCAAGCTCAACCTCAAGAGTCCAATGTATCTTCCCGGTCCTGTCGAGAACCACTACGGTCCAGGCAGATACCTCACCTTTGAAGGGTTCTCTGTTGACGAATCCGGCAAACAGTTGTGCTTGGACACCACCGTGGCCTACAGACAAACCTGTTTGAGAGTCATCGAGTATCTCAGAAGATACGGATACAACGACTACCAGATCTACTTGCTGTTGTCGTCCGCCCCTATTCAGGGCCACATTGCTGGTATTGTCGACGTTCCAAACTCTTGTACTACTATTGGTCTTCCAATGGACATTTTTGAGTTCGACATTGCTCCAGAAAAGGACGCTGTGAAAACAGATCGTGGCAACTGTGCTTTTGCCCAGGACGACCTCGAAAAAGGTTTTCCTCTCACCGACGAGTTACCAAATTTCCTATTGGATATAATTACCAAACACTAATATACTAGCGGTCAAACGTAAGATACCAGTTCGAGTTAGCCCAGTAGCCGTTCTTTTTCTCATGGATGGAATTTTTCGCTATCAGCCAATCAAGTATTGGTTTGAGCTCAAACGGCTCGTAAAGCGGACTAAAACGTAGACACAATCGTTCAAATGTCACACCAGGCCGGAACACAATACACCTGATCAAAGAGCAGACGGTTTTCAGCCAGATCTCCATGTTGAAATCACCGTTCAGATCTATCCACAGATGGGAACAAGGCGCACCTCCTGGAGGCGGTACTGTTTTCAGGTCAACAAAATTCTTCATGTTGTGAAGAATAAAGTCGCTCTCGAGCTTCGTCTTATCTTGACTTTTTGTCGAGTAGTTATCCACCAAGACTGGAGGCTTCTGGTCGATCCTCGTGACCTTGATGTGGTTCTCTGCCATGAGATTAATTAGCGGCGCAAAACAGCTGTCCGGTGATTGTGGCGAAAGTATCACACCCTTGTTGTTGAGTGTGGCAGACTCCATCATTTCCACAAACCCTGAGCACTGGTCAAAGAAAGACCGAGTGAACTTCCAGTCGATCAGAAACATGATCTTCTCCGTCAAGGTGAACTTGATAGGTGAATCTTCTCCCAAATAGGCAATAACCTTATCATCCTCTAATTCGCTCAAAGCCTTGGAGTAAACTTCCTTTTCAGTAGAAGAAAACACTTTTTTAGCCTTAGCGGACGAAAACTTCTCTGGACCAGTCGCAAACAGAGCTTTGAGCATTACCTTCGCTTCCTGAACACGTGTAGGTGCTTGGAGTTCTGGCTGTGGCTTGGCTGCAGGATAGGTGAATGATATGCGAGCATACTGTTCCTCACGTTCAATGATAGAGGTTCCTTCCTTGAAGACATCTGCCCCTCTCAGGCTGATATCAGGTCTAAACTGTTGTTCTTTGAAGTTCTCATCGTAATCACGGTAGAGCACTATGTCGTGCGTGTTTTCAAAGGACTCTGCATCCATAGATCTCCAAAGTTGAATCATCTCGGCCAAGTCGTAATCCACGAGCTGCTTCTCTGTGATCTCACCGCTGGACACAGCACTCATTAGGATCCGTTCCCATGTCTTGCGCGACAAGTGAAGCGCTCTCATTCCAATGACACGTTTGTGGCGGGGCCACTGACGTCTCAAAATCTCCGCCGTGTATTTATCGTCAAAAAGAGCAGAAACTCTGCTCCAATCGATGTTGTTTGCGGATGACAGCGATTGCGAGATGATGATTGCCCGGATAAGCAGTAAGACATCCCTGCTGGACAAACGAGTGTTGTTGCGAGCACGTTTCGTCGATTTCGATGTTGTTTGTTGAGACTTTGTGCGGCTAGAAACCTTCTTCCGTTTACGCGACTCCATCAACGGGCCAAGTAAGTCTTCTTCTTTGGGAGCGAACGACCGTTTCTTCTTTGATTCTCCAGAGCGTCCAGCAGCCTTGAGACGGTTTTCGGCGTGTTTGCTCGTGTTCAGTCCTCGTTTGCCATCAGAAGAGCGAAGAGTGGACACCAACTGAGGAGGCATCTGGAAGAAGTGAGAGTCATTGGCCTTGAAAACGGGTTGTGTAGGTGCCGTAATAAGAAGCGGGTTAACTCTTGTAGACGGGCGCGAAACCGAATGCGACAGTTGGTCAATATCGTTTTCCGTTGGAGGAGTACTGGTAGAGCATAAAACAATATGTGTAGCTGATCGCACGCTACTCTCGACTTGTCTCACCTCGATCAGGTTCTCCTTCTCCAAAATGGTAGCATCCTTCTTCACCGTTCTGCGGTCAACCAAATAGCTAACGTTCAGCTTGTCGGATATCTTCTTCATCAGATCCATGTTGAGAATCACGCATTTCTCTGCATTGACAATTTGAACGAGCGCAGACCGCCGTTTCCCTGGACCAAAGTCGATCTCCGCTGGATGTGTGGCCTCTTCTATTTTTACTTCGGTCTCTGTCTTTGTAAGCACACTTGATGGCCCGCTTCTTTTATGAATGTCCCCTGTAAACTCATCAAAATTACCACCCAAAATTGTTTTTGGTTCTCCTGACAGCTCGATCTTTTTGCTAACAAGAATGCTGAAAGAGTCGTCCACCACCAGTTTCTTGATCAGTCCCGGCTTATTAACCAGACTTTTCAAAAGTGGGCCCGAGTAGCCAAACCAATAGAACTTGAAGCTCTGATTTGGGAGCAAAATCAAGGAAACCCGTTTTGAAAACGGTTCAACATATAACCTTGTGCTCAGCTCCACTATGGACTGAGTATTTGGTAACACAGGCAAAAAGCCGGCTTCCTGCTCTGGTATATCGGTTCCCTGCTGCCGTAAAAAGTCGTTCTGTGTCATATGACTATAATACCTAGCCTTACCATCATACTGGAGATATCGTATAATGGTGTTCTGTTCAGATCCAGGACTCTCGAGTACATACGCTGTAAGATAGTTAGAAAACGATTTCACTGACAGCGCTCCCGTTATGGATGTGTTTAATTTCTTTGTGGATATTCCTGGATTGTTTTTGACGGTATCGTAGATTTGATTCTGGAGCGGGAAAAACGGATTGAAGGTGGGAGATTCGTCCTCGCTGGACTCAAAGACAGAATTGAATAGCTCGTCTTGCTCGTCATCTCTGTCCTGGCCAATATCTGCCAACTGTGCTTTCAGTTGTTGTTTCTCGGCAGCAGATTTTGGGAACTCCTTGACCAGTTGCAATCCAATGAACTTGCGACCTGAAGATTCGTGTTGGACATTGATCTTGGTAGCGTAACCTAAAATAACGAGATTGCGCACCGCTTTCGAGAATGTGCGCCTTTCTCTTTTCGCAGTGAGTTTCTGTTCGCGAGCAAGATCTGACGGCACGCGAACTCCATTGGGAGCCTCTTCCAATGACTTCATAATCACTCCCATCAAATCAAAAGCGGTCTTCACATTTGTGAAAAGAAACTGGTCTTCATACTTGGTGCTGACTATGATGTAGGAGTTTGCAGAGTCAATAATGGCAGGAAACTTCTTCACCAAACCCAGGTCTTCCAAAGTCTGGAGACGGGAGGTCAAACTACGTCGATCCTGTCCCGACTGTTGGATTAGCTCGGTGGACGATATGCCCTTTTGTTTGGATTTCGTAATATAGCGCAGGAGCTCGTATGGGAAGTATCCGAGCGTGTTGTTTTCTTTGGTCACTCCTAGAAGGAACAGCGATTGTTTATCTTCTGATACCCCAACACGCAAATTTGCTTCTCCGTATTGGTCGATCAGTTCCAGTAGGCTGCTAGAATCATCGATTATTTGTCGATCATATGTCTTCTTGCCATTTTTGTCGGTCTTTGTAGATTCAATAGTAAACACAATGAAGTCTTCTTCTGAGGTAAGCCAACTCCAAACAAGAGTCTTTTCAAAAGCACCAAAGCGAGCGAACTTTGATCCAATGCTCTCCCACACCTCTCCCACACTCAGTCCGTTCTCCTCCACACAGAGAATATCCGAAATATGGCTAACCACCTCGTCCGGAGAAGTAACAGACATGTAAATAAATAATATGAATTATTTCGATTAGAAAATAAATAAATCCTCTATTAAAAGCTGCCTGATTTATTTAGCCAGTATTCACGCTTGGTCATCTTATCAAGTTTGGAAACCCGTCCATCCTTTTTCTCCTCGCTGTTATTTTCACACTCACTTTCGTCCTGTACTCCCATCAGCTCCTCTACGCGTTTGTCTGACTTCTTAGTGATTGAGCTCTTGGTAGCCAAAACCTCAGTCTTGGTCTTTTTGGCAGTGACCTCTCGTTTGCTCTGGGACTCGTTGTATATTTTCTCGAGATGTTTCTCGTACTCGGACTCAGACTCACTGTCGGAAATGATGGTGTATTGCTCGCTTGGAAGAGGCGGGAGAGAAGTGGCTCGACTGGTCTCACCACTGACAAATGCAAATGCCTCGTTTTGAACATGTTCTCTGGCGTCCTCGAAATCACGCTGCTTCCCCTTATACTTGATAATGTCTCCGAGCACAGATTGGCCCAGTCTTTCCTTGTATGTGGCCTGGTTCATGTCGTAGCATTTGTTAACAAGCAACTCGAACGCTCCGCCAAAAGCCCGCTTAATATCACGTAGATTGAATGTTCCCCTTGAAATATTATTGTTTTTGTCGTGAGGATCTTGGATTGCGAGCGTGAATGGATTACGGTTTTGGAACGCCGCATTGCTATTCTTGGAAACATAGTATGGGTCCCCATCTTCATCAAAGGCCACAACGGTGTTGTCGTATCCAAAATTGTAGCCATAAAGTTCGAAAAACTCTATCAACAGCACGCCCAAATTTTCTAGCGGATCTATCGAACGCGTGGCCATTCTTGGATGAAGTTTGAGGAAAGATCTCACCAAACAAATGGTTGCAAATCCACCTAAACCTCCTGTATGAACAACATTCAATCTTCTGACGGCCAAAAACTGTTTCACAATAAGAACCAGTTCCCGAAGTCCTGGGGTATCTTTGATCCAAGAGATAATTAACTCTGCTGCCTTGATACCGTTTGTTCGCTCGAATGAAATGTCTATGTGAATTTTAGTTGCAGGGTCAACAAACTTGATAATGGGAACCTTAGCTTTTGCAATGGTCTCCACGTTGATTCCAAGTTTGTTGTTTCTAATGTATGATGATAGCTGGTACAACGAGGACCGGTTGTCGTACTTGTTGTTTCTTGCCTTGGAAACCACCACCATGTCGATATCGGATCCAGGCAGATACAAGTCTGTTGCAAACGATCCAAAACAGTGAACCTCGGCGTCGGGCCACATGCCAGTGATGCATTCTCGAAGACGACCAACGGTATTGTTACGAGCTTGGATCTCTTCGGCGGATGGAGAAATGTATTTGATGAAATCTTTGATCTCCATAGTCAGCCAGTCACTTATCTCGATCTGCTTGGAATGGTCGTTGTTGCGGATCCAGGGATATCGTGGATTGTTGTTTCCTGTCTTGAAATCGAGAGATTTTGTATGGTAAACGGTCTCGTCGTTGCTGAGGTACTCGTTTTCGCTATCTGAGCTCTTTGATTGGTTCGAATTGTCAAACTCATCATTCTCTGCATTTTCACCCTCCGAAGATGACTCAAACCCAATGAAATCTTGGTTTGTCAAAACCTCGTCTTTCGGAGCACCTGCTTCTTTTTCGGTCTTTTGTCTCTTAGGAGGCCGCGAACTCGAATCACTCTCGCTGCCCGAAGACACCATTACTAGTTCGTCTTCCATCTGCTCAAGTTTCTCAAAAGAATTACTAGCACGCACAAATCCAGGCTTCGAACGACCTTGTTTTCTCCTGGGCATAATTTTTAGTTATTTTTTTTTGTGACTTAGAGAGCAAGGGAGCACGAAGGAAAACTAGCGACAATTCTAGTCACCACTTGCTCGATATCGAGTATTAACCCGCGCTGTGTAACAAGGGAATAAACTCTACAAGTAAATGTTTGTTTTGAGCGCCAAACTTTTAACATCTATTTTCCCCCACACGTCGCACTGTCCCACAACCACCCACCGTGTGCTACATTATTTTTCAACTCTATATTTTTTATTTTTTATTTCAGTGGCAAACATGGCGGACAGATATTCGTTTTCGCTAACCACTTTTTCGCCAAGGTAAGTAGCTTCAAAGGTGCGTTCTAACATGTAAGCGGGAAGTTAAAGCAAATTGAGCATGCGTTGGCCGCTGTGAAGCAGGGTGTCACGTCTTTGGGAATTAAGGCCACCAACGGGATTGTGTTGGCAACCGAGCGTAAATCGTCTTCTGTGCTTGTGCAATCCGACTTTGTCGACAAGATCGTGAATATTACTCCAGACATAGGAATGACATACGCCGGAATGGGCCCGGACTTCAGAGTTCTCACAGATAAGTCAAGAAAAGTGGCACACACAAACTACAAGAGAATATACAACGAGAACCCACCGACAAAGATCCTTGTTTCTGAAGTCGCTAAGATCATGCAAGATGCCACTCAAAGTGCCGGTGTTCGTCCATACGGAGTGTCGTTGCTGCTAGGTGGTTACGACGAGAACAACGGATTCATGTTGTACCAAGTGGATCCTTCAGGATCTTATTTCCCATGGAAGGCTACCGCAATTGGTAAAGGATCTAACGCCGCTAAAACATTCTTGGAGAAACGTTGGAACGAGGAATTGGAACTCGAGGACGCCATCCACATTGCTCTTCTCACTCTCAAGGAAAGTATCGAGGGCGAGATGAACGGAGACACCGTCGAGATCTCGGTGATTGGTTCTGAGAACGTCGACCTTTTGGGTTTCCAGGGAGTTTCGAACGTGAGCGGTCCTCGCTTCAGAAAGCTCTCTAAACAGGAAATTAACGATAGATTGGAAACTTTATAGTGGAATGTAATCTGCCACTTTTTTTCTCTTGTTAAATTTGTCATGTCTTTGTACGCTCAAGAATTTGTTGATTTTGTCAACGCTTCTCCAACTCCTTATCATGTGGTCAACACTGTGAAGTCCAAGCTTGATGCTGATGGATTTGTCCAGCTCTCTGAGAGAGACAACTGGGCCGGAAAGGTGAAGAAGAACTCTAAGTATTATGTTACCAGAAACAGTTCCTCCATTATTGCGTTCACCGTGGGTGGAGAATATACGCCAGGTAATGGGATTGCCATTGTGGGTGGTCACACAGACTCCCCAGTGTTGCGTATCAAGCCAATCTCAGATCAGAAGAGAGAAGGATACGTCCAAGTTGGTGTGGAGACCTACGGTGGAGGAATCTGGCACACCTGGTTCGACAGAGATTTGAGTGTTGCCGGTCGGGTTTTCGTGAATGAGGGTGGAAAATTCGTCTCGAAGTTGGTCAAGCTGGATAAACCTATTTTGAGAATCCCTACACTTGCCATTCACCTTACCAAAGATCGGTACGTCAAGTTTGAGTTCAATAAGGAAACTCAATTCCGTCCTATTGCTGGGCAAACTGCAGAGGAGAGTTCTGGATGCTGCAAGGGAGAAGAACTGACTGAATCGGAATTCCAGTCTGTCAAGAGCGTCGTTGAAAGACACAGCAAGAAACTGTTGGATTTAATCGCTCAAGAGCTTTCTGTTGAAGTTTCCCAGATCGAGGACTTTGAGCTCATTCTGTACGACACGCAGAAGTCGACCATCGGTGGACTCAACGACGAGTTCATTTTCAGTCCTCGTCTTGACAATCAGGTGACTTGCTACACTGCCACCACTGGTCTGATCAAATCCACCAAGCAGCTAGCTACGCAAACAGGAATCCAGCTGATTTCTTTATTCGACCACGAAGAGATTGGTTCTCAGTCTGCACAGGGAGCAGACTCGTCGTTCCTGCCAAATATTCTCGAGCGTATCACCAAACTGACTGCTAATCCTGAGGTCGATCTGAAGTCGGAGCTTGGCTCATCGTACTTCCTCACCACCATGTCTAAATCGTTCATTTTGTCGTCCGATATGGCACACGGTGTGCATCCTAATTACGGAGAGAACTACGAGAGCTTGAACAGACCGCAATTGAACCAAGGTCCTGTGATCAAGATCAACGCCAACCAACGGTATGTGACCAACTCTGCGGGAATTGTGTTGCTCAAACAGATCGGTGCACTTGCTAAGGTTCCACAACAGCTGTTTGTGGTCAGAAACGACTCGCCTTGCGGATCAACCATTGGTCCCATGATTAGTGCCAAGCTCGGTGTGAGAACGCTTGACCTGGGTAACCCGCAATTGTCCATGCACTCGATCAGAGAGACCTGTGGTTCGCATGACATCGAGAAGCTCGTGTTGCTGTTTGAAAGCTACTTCGAGCACTTTGCCGAGTTGGAGCAAAAAATAGTGGTCTAAGCATGGTGGTCCGTTTGATAGAGGTGTGTTATAAATATAGTTGAATCAAGTATAAATTATTTTTCCATGATTGTCAGATTGACTGTTCTACTGTTGGCGGGTATTTGCCTTGCGAAGAGCACGTTTCCGGCAATTATCTCATCCAGCAAGCTCATTCCAGGACTGAAACCGTCGCTCGGTCATAGCGAGCAGCTCCCGTTCGATTTCAACGAGGCCACGTTTGTGATTGAACGTGTTTTTGAACAGTGTTCTTCAGATGCGTACATATTGGTGAACGTTCCAGGACTGAAGGTCGAGGACTTCCACCACTTTGAGAAGTTTCACCATCTTCGATCGCAGCTCGCCCAAGCCAGCACCATAGTGTCATTGCCAAATGTTGTGGTGGATGACGAGCGATTGGATTTCCAGAGCTTGGAAAGATACCTGCGAATCCACTGCGATACGTACACGCACACCGTTTGGAACGAGAACTCCGATGAGGTTTCTAAGTACATCGATGTCCACAAGCGGACGATTGTACTAGATCTTGTCGGATTGAACGACGAAATGACAGAGGAAGAACGACTAGACAAGCTAGGCGAGTATGACGATCTGTTGCGGGAAGTCATGCGCAAACTGCCTTCGCCACTATTCACCATCTTATTCACAACCACTACAGCATCTCCATACACAGCCACTAACGACAAGGTTCTTGAATTTGATGACATTCCTGATGACCCGCACGACTTAGGAGCAGAGATCCAACGCCAGGTAAAGGAGGCTCAAAATATGATTTTTCCCGATATCACGGTCTTCGACAAGACACGGTTTCTAGAGTTTGAGAGAAACGACAAGGGCGAGCGCCCAGCGTATGGCGAGGACATCCCAGACGGAATGTGGGCCAAGGACGTTCTTGGAAAGGATGAAACGTGGCTCGAAAAGAAGACCAAGGAAGTCAAGAAAGATAGCTCCGATATTCGGTTTGGAGAGGATCAGTCGGACATTCCTGTGATCTTTGATCACGACTTCCTTGTCAAGAATGGTCCTATCCTCATTGGCGGTCTATTTACAATCATTTCTCTAATTTTGTTGGACCTTCTTCTTGGAATTGGCCGTCGGGTGGCTAATTTGTTCGTCAATCAAAAAACCATAAAGAAAGATTAAATAAAGTGCTATTTTAAATAAACAATCTGATAAGGTTGAAAAATTATATTAATTTTGTTCCAAAATCATGCTTCGTAATGTTAAGCGCTCAATCACACTAGCGCGCGCGTACTCGGTTCAGGTGACATCGGAGATTGCCGATTGTGTCAAGCAGAAGGGCCCGGTGGTGGCCTTGGAGAGCACAATCATCACCCATGGTCTGCCGTACCCGGCCAACATTGAGATGGCCCAGTCCGTGGAACAACTGATTCGCGAGAATGGTGCTGTTCCAGCGACCGTTGGGTTTGTTGAGGGAGTGCCAAAAGTGGGACTTTCGGTTGCAGATCTGGAATCTATGTCTGTTCCAGGGGATAAGTATAAAGTTTCTCGTCGAGACATTCCGTTTGTGATGGCCAAGAAACTGACTGGGGGAACCACAATCGCCTCCACCATGATTCTGGCCCACGCCGCGGGGATCGATCTGTTTGCAACCGGCGGATTGGGCGGTGTCTCGCGTCCTTTTGACTTGATGGACGTCAGCGCAGATTTAGACGAGCTGTCCAAGACTCCGGTGGGTGTGATCTGTTCAGGACCCAAGTCGATTTTAGATGTTCCAAGAACTATGGAGTATCTCGAAACAAAGGGCGTACCTGTGGCCACATTTCGAGACGGTCAAGAGAAGGTGAACATCCCTGGTTTCTACACTAGAGACTCGGGTGTTGCATCTCCTTTCGCGGTGGAGTCGATTCAGGACGCAGTCCAGATGGTCTATCATGGAAAGGACGCTATGAATTTGCAAAACGGTTACGTCTTTTGTGTGCCACCACCAGAGAACATTGCTCTTGCTCCTGAATACATTACAAGAATCATTCAGGAAACACAACAGGAAGCTCTGGACCGTGGCGTCCGAGGAAAACAGCTCACACCGTTCATGCTGGGTAGAATCAATGAGAGAACTGATGGAATGAGCGTCAAGTGCAACATTGAGTTCGTGCGGAACAACGCCGTGATTGCTGCGAAAATGGCATGTGAATTATCCAAGCTCCGTGGAAACACCATATTTCAGCCACAGCAAGTCGTCTCGCCTTCTAAGACCACTCCCAAGACAGCCAACGCGCTTGTTGTTGGATCCGTTGCTTTGGATTCCACCAACACCCTGCAAAAAGTGGACCTGAACGATTCGTGTCCAGGAAAAACCGAGTACTCAGTGGGGGGAGTTGGATTCAACGTGGCGTTTGCTGCTTCCTCAGTCGGTGACCCACAACAAGTCGTTCTGGTCTCTGGAATTAACAAGTCTGATGTCGCTGGAAAGACTATTTTGGATAAGTTTGCAGAAGTCGGCATGAGAACCGACGGCTTGCTCGAAATGAAGGGCCGCACTGCCCAGTACACGTCTATTCACGACTCTAAAGGAGAACTAGTGATTGCTTGCGCAGATATGGATATTATAGAGACCATAACTGCTGACCAAGTGGTGGCCAAGATCGACCAATTATCACCAAACTACATTCTGTTGGACACAAACGTTTCCGTTGAAGTGATTGAAGCTGTGCTTGCAAAAGCCAACGGATCTATCAAAGTTGTTGTTGAGCCAACCAGTGGGGCAAAAGTCAAGAAACTAGTGTCCACCCACCTTGGCTGTTTCCCAGACCACACTGTCAACTTAATTACCCCCACCGTTTTGGAGCTGGAACAATTATACGACAGCTTCTACTCGAAGGGGAAGTTTGAAGACATTTCCACGTGGTTCAATATCCTAGACTCCTTGAACATCAACTCTGTGTTGCGTGGTAAGCTGGAAAAACACCCTCTGCTCCGCAAATACCTGGCTGGCGGCGTTTTCCAACAAGCTTTCCAGCTGCTCCCATACTTCCCGGCCATTTTGGTTAAAGATGGAGAACACGGGGTCGTTTTGATAGAAATTGTCGGAATGGAACAACAAACCCCATCGAAAGCGGACTTCAGCATTCTCCACAAAGGAAGAAACGGCTTGGCCCTGCTGATCAGCCATTACCGCGCCCCAACTATAGATCCCGACGCGAAAATTAGCGTTACCGGGGCAGGGGACACGCTCGCAGGCTACCTGCTTGCAAAACTGTCTCCGACAAAACAGATCCCCTTTTCCAACAACCGCGACAGTCTCGTGACCAATTCCCAGCACGCGGCAGCCACCAGCCTGCACTGCCCGTCTGCAGTTAACCACCAAGCATTGATTGGATTACGTAATCGCGACTAAATATAATTCTGTGCAAAATAATGTCAAGCACCAGAAAATTGGTGTTTACGATTGGGCAGGAATACGGGATCCGACAAGTCGAGCAGATTCGTGCTAATTTATAATGAATAATCCCAAAGGCCGTGCCGAGACATTGACGGACGAGCAGTCGCTGGTGCTGAAACAGGTTTGGAGACACTATCTGCAAGCGAACGGTTATTCCGTGGGCGAAGTTGGGGCCAAGATCAGTCGGCATAACACGTTAAGTTCGGTGAAATCGAGCGAGAGCGTGCACAAGAACAAGAAGAAAGGTCTATTAGGACGGTTTAAAAGGGGAAATTCAAACAAGAAGGCCGTGGAGCAGGAACTGAGTACCCAACTGAGTAATGAACAAGGCAGGGTCCACTCTGCGTTGGAAGGACTAGACGACGATAGTCGCGGCGCGTTTTGGGAATTTTTGCGTCATGATACCCCAGACAATCTGATCTTGCGGTTTGTGCGCGCCAGAAAGTGGGATGTGGATAAATCGCTTGCAATGATTGCTCACACGATGACTTGGCGGAGTAAAGAGTTTGGTGTTGAGAAATTGTTACGCGAGGGAGAGCTCGGATTGCTCGAGGATGGTCGTAAAGGTGTTATCAAACAGTTTGAGACCGGCAAGTGCTACATCAGAGGGTTTGACAAGACCGGAAGACCGATCGTGTTTATCCGGCCAAGATTCCATTTTCCAAGCGAGCAGACCGAGGAGGAGGTTGAGATGTTCACTATTCTGGTGATCGAGTACGCTCGGCTGATTCTAAACGAGCCCGTGGACTCATGTTCGGTTGTGTTCGATCTGACTGGGTTTACCATGGGTAACATGGATTACACCTCGGTTAAATTCATCATCAAGGCCTTTGAGGCTCACTACCCAGAATCCTTGGGAGTCCTGTTCATTCACAGCGCTCCATGGATTTTTGGTGGTATCTGGAACATTGTCAAGAACTGGCTTGATCCAGTGGTTGCTTCCAAAATCGTATTTGCCAAAAAATACGAAGACTTACTCAAGGTGATCGATGCCAAGCACCTTCCAAAGGACCTGGGTGGAGAAGACACTTTCGAATGGAAGTACCTGGAGCCAACGAAAACCGATAACGGAAAACTGCACACAGACCCTGCCAAAAAGAAAGAACTAGAGGAGGAAAGATCCAAGCTCATCGAGAACTTTGTGCTTAAAACAATCGAATGGATAGAATGTCACGAGACCGAAAAGAGCCGCGCTTTAATGACCGAGCGACTGGCTCTTGGCAAACAACTCTCAGAGAACTACAAGCTCCTGGACGGCTACATCCGTAACCGCGGAATCTATGACCGTCTTGGATACATAAAATTTGAATAATCGTATATAGATGATCTTTATTTGGTCCTACCAATGTCCTTCATCGGACCCTTTCTTCCACTGTCCCGCAAGACCAATTGTATCGGACTCAGACTCGGAGGCTCGTGTCACGGGCTTGGCTTTGTAGGTCAACAGACGCTTACCCCAGCTGCCAGCAGCCGTGCTTCCGGTTTCATCTCTGCACTGTTTCAAAAATGGTAGCAAGGCAGTTCCACCCGTTCCCCTGATGTCCTTCTTGTTCGATTTCGATTTTGCAAGTCCTGCGCGCAACGTGCTTGTCGTTTCGGAACCCATGTTACGGGCTTTTTGGGATTGGATGATGATATAGCGGGTGACGATCTGGATGTGCTTATCTCTGAAGCATTTGAGCATAGCGACACATGCATCATACGAAAGCACCAGTTCTGGAGCTTCGTCTGCGTGTCGGTGCACGTAGTCATTCAGGATGTTGATTTTGGAGAGATGAGTAAGGAAATCAGCGTGCTTTCCTGGCATGTAGTATCTCATCTCGGCCATAAATGGGTTCTCGTCGGCACCTGATTTGGAGTTTTGCTCCTCGCCAACGGAGTGGTGCTCCACATTGAGCAGCAGGTCCAGGGCCTGGATCAACGATGATTGAGCATTCGAGCCACCACTGTATTTTCTAGGGGTCTTTTCGTTTCCATAGTAAACTCCTTCCTCAAGACCAGCATCTTTCATGTTCTTCCATCCAGCAAGATATGGACGTAGACGGAAGTAAAAAACATGCGGATCGCACATCTCCTCCATGCGCATCAACACAGTTCCTAGATAATCAATCTCCTCTGCGAGCTGTTGCAAACATGCCACGACTTCCTGCGTACGGCCTTCGCGGGCAAACTTGATAGCGTCCAAGCCTGTCTTCAACGAGGCCGCTCCTTTGTACTCGAAGAAAACACTCACGAGGTAAAACCAACTCTCGTCCACAGCTCCGGTAAAGGTGTTGATGGTCTGGATGTTGTCGAGGAGTTCAGTGTCCGAGTCGGGCAGGATCAAACGGAAATTCCATAGACACAGACCGGCATATGTTGCAATTGGAGGAAGTCTCAAATGTTCGGATATAGCGATCCATGGCTCAGCCAGAGCCTCAGGCAGTCTATTTGTCGGTTCAGCCACACCCCAGATGTAGGAGTGGGCAAGAAATCCCAATATGGAGTAAGCTCTTCTGTATTCCGCTTCCGACTGGAGATGCGACACGGAAAGTACAGGCAAGGCGTCCACAACAGATCTCACCCGTTTCGTCAACACAAGGGCCGGGAGAACACGGGCGATCCTTTCCCAAGGCTCATAGTATGGACCAAGAGACTCCAGAGGCATCTCCTCGGGCAAAAACCCAGTCTTTTCGGAAACGTCGTACTCTTTCAGGTCCGGCAATGGATACGTGTAAGACATCTAGAAAAAGACAAATTGGGGATGACAATAATTAGTAAAGAAATTATTTTCCTCTATTTTTTCATCTCAAGTTTCCCCATTTAGGGAGACCAGTTAACAGGGAATGGATATCGACAGATTTCTGTGTTTGGGGGAGACTGGCGGAAAAGTGGCACGATTTCATGTGATCGGATGATAGTTCGCTTAAGTTCCCGGAACAAGGACTTCAGTCGGAGCAGTTAGGATGGCCACAATTCACTTGCATGTCGTCTACACCGCGGTGGGGTCGAGTGGGGAGAGGGGGCGATTTCTTATAGCAGTTTTTAAGATTATGTCAGCAACAAGAAAAAGTTCAACTTTTTGTTTATGACGTCCGATACAGAAACGGCGGCAACTGACCCTTCAGAGGCGTACCGTCTGATTCCACCAGAGCCAACTACTGACGAGCAATTCAGCTATGCGCAGATAACGTCAGGATGCAAAGTTTATGCCACCAAGGACGATGAATGGCGGTTGGCAGAAGTGATTGCCCTCCAGAGAAAAAAGGGAAAGCTGGTCTTTTATGTGCACTATGCTGAGTTCAACAAGCGTTTGGACGAGTGGATTGACGAAACAAAGATCGACAACCACCGTCCGATGTATCTTCCAAAACCTCAGAAGGATAAAAACAAGAAGCAAAATCGCAAAAAAGTGATCAAGAAGACTTCACAAAAGGCCGACACCGACACTCCTGAGCCGCAGCGCGCAACGAGCGAGCCCAAGGACGATGAAATGGATCTGGACAACTTGAATGTGCAGGGTCTGGTGAAGGAAGGAGAAGAATTGAGTCGTGAGGACGAAATTGAGAAACTTAGAACAAGTGGTTCTATGGCTCAGACCTCTACACACGAGCTCGCCAAGATCCGTAACTTCAGCAAAGTCATTATTGGAAACCACGAGGTCGAGCCGTGGTATTTTTCGCCATACCCGGTCGAACTCACCGAAGAAGACTGTCTATACATCTGTGACTTTTCCTTGAATTATTTTGGTTCCCGGAAACAGTTTGAACGGTTCAGATCGAAATGCACATTAAGCCACCCGCCAGGAAACGAGATCTATCGCGATGATTACGTTTCATTTTTTGAGATCGACGGACGTAAGCAGCGCACATGGTGCAGAAACGTTTGTTTGTTGTCGAAATTGTTTCTTGATCACAAGACTTTATACTACGACGTGGATCCTTTCCTGTTCTACTGTATGACCAGAAGAGATGAGATGGGGCACCACCTGGTGGGATACTTTTCGAAGGAAAAAGAATGTGCCGATAACTACAATGTGGCCTGTATTCTGACCTTGCCACAGTACCAAAGACACGGTTACGGTAAGCTGCTGATTCAATTTTCGTATGAACTGTCCAAAATTGAGGGTAAAATAGGATCACCAGAAAAACCACTTTCAGACTTGGGTCTGTTGTCGTACAGAGCTTATTGGGCAGAAACAATTTCCACGCTGCTGATCGAGAATGGATCGACAGACATAAGCATTGACGAAATCTCACAGATAACATCCATGACAACCACTGATATTCTCCATACTCTGCAGACACTCAATATGCTGAGATATTACAAGGGACAACATATCATTGTTTTGACGAACCAAATCATGGAGAGTTACGAAAAGCTGCAGCGCAAGAAACGTCACAAGCTCGATCCCGCAAAACTTGTCTGGAAGCCACCTGTCTTTACTGCCTCCCAGCTCCGGTTCGGATGGTAATCAATCGAATGGAATATGGTGTTTGGACATGGCACTTGCTGCAGCCGCGCTAGGAACTTTGATTCCACAGCAGTCACCCCATGTCGAATGATTGTGTCCAACATGCTCGTCGTCACCACCATCTGTATAACTGGGGATACCTTCTGGACATTTCAGAATGCTTCCGAAAAGGAAGTGTTGAACCACAGGCAGTTTTCCAAGGACTTCTGCTTTGTACATTTTGATCATACCTTCTTCGATTTTTGCCCATGTTTTAACACCACTGATATCGTCAAGCATTGGCGAGTGCCATCTAAGCGACTCAGCGCCCGTTTTCACCTGATTGATGAATGCGATACATCCAAAGTAAAGGTATTTATCTTTGAACTCCTCGACGTAGTCTTTATTGTGAATAGTCAACGGCCGTGGACGCGTGAATGGAGCCAATTGCGCTGCTCCAAACAGGAATGGGAGAAAATGGTAATCATCCAGCCCCCAAACGCCGTGCGATCCGGCCGGTTCGAGCCAGTATAACAGCTGAAGCCGTCTCATCAATTGCAGGTATCTTTTGAACACTTTAAGAACGATCCATTTAAAGTCGTCCTTCGTAAAGATTTCAAGCTTGTACAGACACAGCAAGAAACATGCAAAGTTCAACTCGTGACCCGACCCGTAATCGATTCTTGTTCTGTCTCCAAACGAGTTCAAAATGTATGCACTTAATTCCTGGGCGTTATCCTGGTCAACGTACTTCTCCACCCAGGGCACCAGTTTTTCTGCGAGCTCATCGTAGAAATCGCGGAACTCGACCTTTCCAAATCTGCTTGTGGTTTCCTTCACGACCGGATGATGGTCGACAATCGAATTGATATTCTCCAAAAGCTCCAGTACCTGGTTGATCTCTTTACTGACAACGCCTTCGGAATATCCGAGTTCCAACCCGTGCACAGATGCTGCCAGCTCGGTAACAAATGTCACCAGGTCATTATAGACAGGGCTGGACTGGAATATCTTCAGGTCTTCGGGAGTTTTTAGTCTCTTTGTAGGAACCACCATTGATTTAAACTTAGAAATAGTAAATTCCTGGCTGTGCTGAGTAATCCGAATTTATCTCTCGGATTCACGTAGCAGCTGACGAACGTATCTAAGCGCGTTGATCTGGTTTTTGGACATGATGGATTTCATGACTACTTTTGTACCTTTGTAAATCCATCCATTTGAGGTGGGTACCGATTGTTTCTTGAGATCGCCAATCTGGGCTTGTAGCTTAACGATCTGGGCGTTGCTGTTGCGCAGCTTGATCTCCCAGTCCTGCTGGAGTTTTTCTAGCCCGTATTCCAATGATCGATCCTGAATGCTGGCAGTATGCTGTCTGCGGAGAAATCCGAGTTTGAGACTGTTAATTTCGGTCTCAATGTCCTGTAATCGGAGCTCCATGACGGAAGAAATTTCTCCCCGCTGAACTTCGGTGGGGTCCATGTCCACCACCCACACGATAACTAGCGGTAACAAGAAATACAGAAATCGCGTCTCATTGCAAATAAGCGCGCTCACCACTAAGATCAACATGACAATATGTAGGATGCCAAGTCTGACAAGGGAGAATACCCGCCCCAATTTGGTGAGCAGCGCGCCAATCTTGTGTGCCAATCGCCCACTATCCAGCGGTAAACTCTGATAGTAGAGGTATAGTAAACTCCCCACCGAGCACAAAATAAGAAGGTTGACGCTGAACGGATTGGTAAGGGACACATGAAGGTGGTTCTTGATAGCAAATGAGATCAGCACGGACGTAAGCAGAACCAGGCCATTGACCGCGCCACGGTTTTCTCGTCGGTCCAAATGCACTGTGGAATCCTCCATCGGGCCCAAGGAGCTAGAACTGCTAAGAGACATGCGGAAAGAATTAGGGATGCCTGCTCCCTTATTTTTTAGGTAAGGATTATGGGGTATAATCATCACGTGATACAATGGCGAGACTTGCAAGCCCTATCTTAAATTTAATGAAAAATTTTTAGAGGCAAATTAATTTATCAAAATGGTTTTAGTTCAGGACCTGTTGCATCCAAGTGCCGCCTCCGAGGCCAAGAAACACAAGCTCAAGACTCTCGTGCAAGAGCCAAGATCATTTTTCATGGACGTCAAGTGTCCAGGATGCCTCCAAATTACCACAGTGTTCTCCCACGCCCAAACTGCCGTGACCTGCGATTCGTGCACCACCGTGTTGTGCACCCCAACTGGAGGTAAGGCTAAGTTGTCGGAGGGATGTGCGTTCAGAAGAAAGTAAGCAAAGCATAATAATCAGGGGGCGATGTGTATTTATTCATAGCTAGAAGCAATGGATTACGATATAAATTGACACCAACTCAGTACGGCCACAAATTCTCACACTTACAACACGGATCTATAGTGAATCGATGTTGAATGGTATGATTTAGGACTGCCAGTCTGATTTTTCACGCGTAGTTGTAGCCTATGTCAGGTCTTGTGATCTGACTTTTAACTTTTTGCTTTCATTTCTGTGTACGGATGTTATGTCTCTTACTACCGTGGTGATCGACAACGCGACCGAATTGCGGCCAGTCGAAGCTCCTCGTGTGCTCACAGTGGCAGGATCTGATCCCAGCGGTGGGGCAGGCATCGAGGCGGATCTAAAGACCATTTCTGCACATGGATGTTATGGACTGACGTCCATCGACATGCTCACTATACAAAATACATTGGGCGTTACAGGCAAGTTGGAGACCTCATACTCCACAATGGAACAATTACTGAGTGCCAATTTTGCAAATGATACCATTTGCGCCGTCAAGATTGGCGTGTTGTCCCGTTCTGCGCTCAGCACTCTCGTTCCCTACCTGGAGAGGTACCGGCCGATTCTTGTCGTTGATACAGTGATCAGTTCGACCTCTGGCTTCAACCTTGCAAAGCGCAAGCTCGTTGAGGACTCAATTGCGCAATTGTACCCCAAGGCCACCATATTGACGCCCAATTACGACGAGGCTACAACCATCTACAACCTGCTAGTTCCGGACGTCCAGGTCGGAGAACCTTCCGTAACCGGATGCGAATTTCTTGCAAAGAACATAGCACTCAGGGTGGGGTGCGAAGCGGTTCTCGTGAAAGGGGGACACGTGCCTGCTGTTGCAGACAAAATAGTGGACGTTCTGTACGAGCGCGGTACAAACAGGTACACCCACTTCGCCCACCCAAAAATCTACAACTCGAAAAACACCCACGGAACAGGTTGCACTCTCAGCTCTGCTATTGCAAGCAATCTCGCCAAAAAGCAACCCGTCCAACAGGCCGTTCGCAACTCAATCATATACGTTCACAATGCTATTAGACATGCAGAGCCGTCGATAGGTAAAGGCAACGGTCCTTTGAATCATGTTTATGTAATGCTTTAATGCAAGTCATGTCTCTTCTGCGGTAGCTTATTGATGGTCTTTTTCAAGATCTCCTTGGTTTTGAACAGGTTGGTAACACGAAGTCTTTCGTTGTTCAGATGGGCATTGTCGGAGGCCTGCCCGGTAGGGAGATGGACAGCTTCGCAACCAAATGTCTTTTCCAAGAATCTGATGGATGGAATAGATCCTCCTTCCCTGATCAAAAGTGGATCCACTCCCCATTCTTCAGCAATGTTCTCCAGAAGGATCTTGTTAGCAGCACTGTTGACGTCTGCAAGCCACGGTTCAGCTTCATGAATGATGCGGACTTCTAGATGGTTCTCAGTTTTCAAAGATGCGAACTTCTGTTCCAAGTACTCGATCAAAGAGGATTTAACCTGTTCCAAATCCTGATTAGGGACAATTCTGATCGACAAGGACGCAGACGCCCTCCGGGGAATCACTGTTGCATTATTTGGCCCAGAAACACTGACCCCGTGAATAGTTAGAGAAGGCAAACGCCATTTGGCCATTAGGTCACATAGCCGTAATTTGTTGATTTTATCTGTGATTTGTTTGTATGACTGCAGCTCCCAGTCGCTCACAGGCCTGATTGGAGCATAAAAGCCCGGAAGATTGACCTTACCCTCGTCATCGTTCAATTTCGACAACAAGGTGATCAAATCAATCGTGGGTTCTCTAGAAATTCCTCCGTCAACACCAGAATGTCTATCAGGTTTGTCAGAAAAGACCTCGACGGTGGCAGAAATGACTCCACGCAAACCGTAATTCAAACATGGAACATTGTCATCCAACCAGTAGGAATTGCTCAAAAACACCCAGTCGATATCACCAAACAGTTCACGATTTTGAGTGACAACGTCCTGGAATCCGTAAGAGCCAGACTCCTCCTCTCCTTCAACCACGAAAACCACATCTGATTCCAGTTCTCCTTGTTGATACAGTTCTGCAACCGCATAAACAGCCGCAAGCAGAGGACCCTTATTATCACTGACTCCTCTGGCATACAAGTAACCGTTTTGAGCGGTCATCTTGAAAGGATCTGTATCCCAAGAATCTTGATGACTGACCTCTATAACATCGTAATGTCCATACCATAAGACTCGCGACACAGGCTTGTCAGTGTGTTTATTGGCTTTGAACACACCAAATATGACAGGATTTGCATCTTCCACGGGTAACAATGCGACTTGAGAAGCTCCCAAGTTCCGCAGAAGAGTACGGATATAATTTGCACAGCGGCGGGACTCGTCGATGTAAAGTGACGGCAGTTTGGATACCGTTCTGAAAACAACAAGTTTTCCAAGAACCTCAAGCATCCTTCCAGACGAGGTGAGGTTGTCAGGAACACGGTCCAGTTCCGATCTTTCAAGAGCACTAATATCCCACAATGTGATTGAATGGTCTGTTCCAGCTGTAATTAAGTATGGGATGTTATCAATGACTATTGTTTTGACCGCCTGACAAAAGCCCGTGTGTGCAATCCATGCAGACTTGATCTCACCACGAGATTTCCACTTGGTGACTCCTGAGTTGGTTCCTTTGAAGAGACAGTCTCCGAAAATTGCAAGAGACACAATATCACCTTCGTCGCTTTCGGAGGATCTGATCTGCTGGTATGTGGACAAGTCCCAAACATTGACACGGCCGTTAGCCAGACCGCAGTACAGATAAGGGCTTCCTTTGTTTCTGGCGAAGGATAATACGGAGTCTTCATTTTCCAGCGACTTGAGTAAATGAATTCCATCCTTGAGGCCCCAAATGTGAACCATTCCGTCTCCACCGCCGGTGACAAGGAATTCGGTGAAGTCGGAGTGGTCTGCAATACCATCATCCAAGGTGACGATACCCATGCAGTAGATATACCCATTATGAGCATATGAAATTATGTTGTTTGAAGGAATCTGAATTAATGTTCCTAGTACCAATTTGTCGGTAGAGCATTCCTCTGGAACAGCCTTTGGGCGCGATCTGCCGTGTCCAGTGGAGTCAAAGAACTTGTCGTAACGCTTGAACGGCATTTGGTCGCTGTTTCTTGCATGCGATTGCAAACTTATCTGGACGTATGAAATCGATGCGTTCTGTGCTCCAAGTATTATAGTCTTGGCTGACGACCACCATGCAATGGAGAAAATATCTCCAATGTCCACTGGAGAGTATACTGTGTATGCGGAATCGAGCTCTCCTGAATCCGTGATATCCCATATGCGAACAAGAGAGTCTGCTCCCCCACTGAAAAGTTGTGTTTCACAGTCACTCATCAGAAGACACAGCACAGAGCCGGAATGGGCAACATACTCTCTGGTTTTCTGATAGGTTTGTAGATCGTACACTATTATACGCGAATCTTGGGTTCCGCAAAAGAGAAGCTTTCTCTTGGGGGACGCCGCAACGCACACGATGGATGTGTCATTAGCCCATTTGTGTACAAAAATAGGATTGCCCGCCACATTTCCTTCTTCAAGAGTGGGTGGAGTATCCGGCGAGTTCGAGCCCAGTCTCCACGAACTGCCTTGACTGAGCAAAGGCAAATGTCTTTCGTGGGAAGGAAACATTAGAAATGGATGAATTAAACAAGACAAACAAAAACTGTTTGCATTTTGACACTAAAAAAATATGTGATAGTGAAAAAAAATGCCCTCACTCAGATTTGAACTGAGGATCTCCACATTACTAGTGTGGCGCCTTACCAACTTGGCCATAAGGGCGGATCTGACAAAATTACGACAGTGACCCGTCATCAGTGCAAATTAGTCAGGTTCCAGATGCGAGCAACAACTGTTGCAGCGACTGTCTATTCGTCTATATTAGTTATACACTAAGCCTTCTCAGTGCTTTCGTCTGCGCTTGAATCCTTCTCCTTATCCTCTGCGTGGATCCACTTCTTCATTAGTTTGGTCAACAGTCCGGCACACAGCACCTGTTCACTCTGGTACAGCACCAGGGGAACAAGCAGTTCTCCCAAATGGCTGAAGTCGTTTCCGTACTGAGCAGTCACAAGAGAAACTCCCAAAGCAGCGGTCTTTGCAGCACCGCAAAGCATCATCGAAACCGTATCTGGACGGCTCAAATAAAAGGGAGCCACAGTTTTGTAGAAATAATAATAGACTCCTCGGTTTGTTGGCTCGGGCAGCTTGCGCAGTAAAAATGGGCGTGACAGCAAAAAACAGATCACGGTGAATAGTAGATAGATGCCCACGTTAAAGAAACACACCAGGATGATCGACTCGTGCGACACTGCCGTGAACGCATGTTGATAGAATGCTGTAGAGAACGATGAAAACATCACCAACAGAAGCATAAAGGATCCCACCTTGTTGAAGCGGAACGTGGTGAGAAACCATTTGGTCTGTTTGGGGAACACGTTCTGGATCACCTGGCCCACAAAGATCGGAACAAAAACGCTGCATCCGATCTGCTGCATCACGTCTCGATAAACTCGTTGGATGGATGACCCGTTGGCCGGGTTACCGAATGCCCACGTTCCTGTCAGAAACATTTGACTGAGCGCGGGAGTGATAAAAGCTCCCAGTAAATTGCCGATGAACACCTCGCACAAAGTCAGTAGCTCGTTTCCGTCGGCTTGTCTGGTCATCACCACGTTGGAGGCAACTGTAGTTGGACATGATGTGGTCACAATAAGTCCGACCAACATCCAGTTGGAAATCTTTGAGTTATTGGCAGCCTTGATAGCGCAACAGAATCCGTACATTATGGCCGGCGTGATCAAGAATTGAAGCACCAAGACTGTGAAATGGGCTCTCCAGTTCGCCATGTTGACCATCAGTTGCTTGGTTCCCATGGAAAGACCCGAACCAAAGAAGATCACAGCCACAGCAGCGTATCCGATCGTATACTCTGCCCTGATAAGACCGCCGTGACGGGCGAAATTCGGAGCAAACCGCGCGATAACCACAAAGATGGCCAGCGTTATGAAGAACCAGTAGCTCTTAAGAGTCCATATAGTCCACTTCTTGGTCGATTCAAGAAAGGACATGGCTGAACAAGACTAAGTAAAATAAATATTGTGGGAAAAAATAATTCTTTTTCCGTTGGTCCTCTTTTATGTATCTCTTGCAATATATGACTCAATCATGCCAAGTTCAGATTCCGAATATTCCTCAATCGTGACCTCGTCATCCTTCAAAATGGTGTTGGCCTGGACCAGCTGCCTCCGAGGAAGCTTTTTGGCAAGAATAATGTCTCTGAACTTGAGCAGGTCCGGTCCCGGAGTGGTGAGCTCTTGGAAGAACTTGCTACCATTTTTCACGTCAGCAGAACACTTGTAAACATGCAACTTGTTCAGGAACTTGTCGACCGCAGCTTGTCCTACAGTCTCGATCTTGCTTCTGTCCACCTTAATTACTAGATCCGAGTAGTCCTGTTTGGTGTACTCCAACGTCACTAGTCCTTCCCCGGCTTCCAAAAGTGTTTTCAAGATAGCAAACCGTGCTTGGCAGTGCGGTTGGTTCCATTTTTTGTTTGCAGGATCATAATGCTCCATGCCAAGTAATCCCGCACGGACCATTGTCAAGTAAGACACGCCGATAAGGTCGTCCTGGACCGATTTTTCGGTGAATCCAAATATCTCAAGCAGCTTTCTGTTTGTGAACAAACTCATGGCCACAGACTCGGCACGACACTCCTCGAACCCACCGGCAAGATAACCAAACAACGAGCCCCAGGTCTCGCCCTTCTTGTAGTACGTGGTAACCGGCTTTCCGTCAAGTCCCAAAGGTGGATTTTTAACGTCAAAATTGAACTCTCCATCGTCGGATTCCATCAACAATTTTCCGGAACCATGACCTAGAAGCTCATGAATACCGACCTGGACCTCGAATGCGTCTGTTCTGTACTTTCTGTAGATGTCCTGGATATCGTCGGCAACGAACGTGATCGGCTCCTTTCCGGATCCCGCGCCAATTGCGTTACCGAGCGAAACGTTCTTGAATCCCAAATTGATACGCACTTTGTCGTAATTCGGCAAATTGATTCCTGAAGGAACACTGCTGGTTGTCATGGACAACACTTCCAACGAGGTGAAGTCCGGTGGGGTGAATACGTCCTTTTCGTAATCCTTGGTCCATGGGAGCAAGGCGATGAACTCCTTGGCCTGAGACACAAGCTGACCAAACTTGGCAGTCCGCGACTTGTTCACCATGGCAACCAGACACTCCCATTCTCCACGCACGTTGGATGGCTCTCTGTAAGTTTCGATGAAACCGACATTTGTCTCGACAGCCGGACCGATATCCTTCACCCAGTGGATCTGGGACTGGTAATGGGCCTTCATGGAACCCGTTTGGAACGACTCAATGTAGTTCTCCAACATTTTGAGCTGTGTTTCGTTGGCAACGTGTTTTTTGGCTTCAACCAAGTTTTCCACGATTTTGCCAAACTCGGCAGCGTGGTCGCCGAACTTGAACTCCAGTGAAGCCGGTTTTCCTGCAAGCTCAAAGTCAATAGTGTCTGGGTAGTAGCCAGTGGAGTTCGAGATGTTTGCGGAAGCGACATGGACTCTGAACTTGAAATCATCCAATTTCTCGAGTCTGGTGTTTTCCGGCATGATGGACTTGGAGGCAAGCGCGGAATTGATTGCCTCGACCTCGTCTTTGGTCACTGCGTTGAGATAGTAGCCCGAAACATGGCCATTGGCAGGCCATCCCAAAAGAGCAGTTTGAGAATCGACAGAGTAGATGTCGTCCTTGACTTGTTCGAACAGCTGCAAAGAGTACTCGTCGTTGATCAGCTCAATGAACGTCTCAAAGTCCCCCTTGTTGAGTCTTGGAATGAACTTGGAATCACCGAACGAACGGTAATTGCCCAAATTGCTCAGGAACTGGGAGGCGTACTCCAGGTACCCAGTTTTGGCTTCTTTACCAAGATGTTTCTCCAGAATGGAGTAGTCGCCCTTCAATGCCTTGTGGATGGAAAGGATCAGGTCGTAGATCTGCTCAGACTCGGGCGAAACAGAGCGTAACACCACTCTTGTTCCCCAAAACCCGGCCTTGGACATGTAATGGGCATACAGCTTCTCCTTATTGGTGAGCTGGTCGAAATATTGCTTAGCGCTCAGTCGAGCAATTGGCGCTCCAGAGTCAGCGTAGTAGGCAGAGGTGGAGGTCATTTTCAGGTGGGAATAATTGCGGGTTGAAAAAAACCAGCGACTTGCTCTGTTTAATAAAACTGACATAATTTCTAAAACGCGAAATAAACAAACTTATAATGGCTGACAAGATGGAGAACCCGGAAGAAAAGATCCAGGAGGGTCTTTTCGACCGGATCATTAACAACCTGGTAAGTGCTGAAAGCTGTCTACGTGCTAACAACAGACCCAACTGAACGTGAACGTTGGAAAGATCAACGCCCAGCTGGTGGAGATTGAAAAACAAAACGAGAAAACCGTGCTTGTTAGCGAACTCTGGGAGAACTACCGCAAGAACGCCGAGTTCCACCTGGCTAAAACGGGAAATCTGGAAGGTCCTATTGAACAGTAGCGAAACGGTGCTAAGGCCTGTTCTCTGCCCCCTCCCACTTCTTCTTTTCCGCCTCCCCCACCCTACGCACAAAAAAGACCGCTCATACGCAAATATCGTTTATTAAGACTCTATACGCCAGAATCGTACCTCTAATCCCCCTTCTTCTCTCCCAACTTACTGGGTAGGCAACATGTTGTATCTCTTCTTCAAAGTCACTCTCTGCTTGCTGTATTTGTCGTCCGGAGAAAATCTGGCCGGGTGGGCGGACTTGGTGATCTCCCCACTCGAAGTCTCCTTCTCCAAAGTGTAAACGCGCTTGCCGTCTGGCCCTAAAGTGTACATCAAATGCATGGCTAATGTCTTGCAAAATAAAATTACTGAAAAATTTGTTCTGCACAGCCTTCTTCTTTTCTACTGCCAAATGTCTAAAGACGTGTTTGCAGACTTGCTGAAAACCTCCGGCAAGCCCAAGTCCGCGATGCCCATGGCGGCTCGCGCGAGCTCCGCCAGTAGTAAGCCGGCCACTCCCGCTGGCGGGCTTGACCTGGACTTCCTAGATCAGTTTTCCAACAAGCCACAGACAACAACAACCACCACCAGCACTACTTCCCAGAAAGATGATTTCGAAAAACTGTTTGATGTATTTGACTCCAAGCCGTCGGCGGCTAATGTGCAACCAAACCCCCCACCCAGCGTCTCCAGTTCCAGTTTACTCGACTTGGACGGCGACTTTGGGGCCTCCACAAGCACTCCGGAACTGCCAGCGCAACCAGCAGAACCACCACAGCAACCAAAACCAGCGACCCCATCCACGCTTGACCAGCTCGTGGAGATGGGCTTCTCCCATGAACAGGCGTCGGAGGCGGTGCAGAACACAGACACTTTCGACGCCGCAATTGGATACCTTCTTGATCAGGCTCACCAGAAAAGCAAGCCCAAGCCAACTGGGGAGACCAGACCACCTACGCAATCGCGTGCCTCCGCCGAGTCAGAGGACCTGGGAGCTCTGGTGAACGATCTTTCAGCCGAATTCATGTCGAAGGCCTCGTTCTTGCTCAATACAGGAAGAAAGAAGTTGAAGCAGGGAATTGAAATGTACAAACACCAACAGATGGAGCGTAACAACAACGAACCACTGTGGATGAGAAACCAGAACAAGTATAAACAGAACGGTTATTCCGAAGAGGAAGAGATCGAACGTGTGAAACGGTTTGAGCAGGAACGCATCCAGAAATCCAAATCGCAGGAACAGGCTTCGCGACCAGTCACGCGCACTCCGTCGGTCGCCAGTTCGTCGCAATCTCCAGCCACTCCGGCAGCGTCTTCTCCAGCTCCAATGTTGCTGGACTTTGACGAGCCAGATTCGTCTGTTCCTCCAGCATCCTCTAATCCAGGAATCGACCTTTTCCAAACTGCATCCAAACCATTGTCGTCAGCGCCGGCTCCGTCCGAGTTCCAGTCTCTGAGAGAAAAGGGCTCAGAGTACTTCACAAAGGGAGACTTCACCAACGCTTTAGAGGCCTATCAAACCGCATTGGCACGGTTGCCAGAAAATCACAGCTACAGAATCATAGCATTCTCGAATCTGGCAATTGTTTATTCGCGTCTTGGTAACGCAAAGGAGCAGCTGACTGCGGCAGAAAGCGGTATTTCCCAAACGAAGACCGTCTCGCAAGAGTTGGTCCTGGACGATAAACCAGTCAAGTCATTCTGGATCAAACTGGTGGCCAAGAAAGCAGAGGCTTTGGAGCATTTGGAGCGGTTCAAAGAGGCCCTGGAAACATATAACTTGCTGCTCGAAAATGGAGGCTTCTCCAAACAGATCTTGGAAGCCAAACGGAGATGTGCAGACGTAATTGCTCCAAAGCCAAAACCTAAGCCAGCGTCTTCAAAGCCAGCAACTAGACCAACAACTAAAGCTTCAGACAAATCATCAAACCTCTCTAGAGTCCAGGAGCATAATCGGAAACAAGAGTCTCTCGAAAACGAGAAGTTTGCCTTGCATGACAAAGTGGAGGCTCAATTGCAAAACTGGAAGAACGGTAAAGAGGATAATTTGCGTGCCCTATTGTCCACATTGAACCAGGTGTTGTGGCCCGAACTCGGATGGAAGTCAGTGGGACTGACAGACCTGGTGCTCAACAATAAAGTGAAAATAGTGTACATGAAAGCCGTTGCCAAAACCCATCCTGATAAACTGGCCGGAGAAACTTCAACAGAGCGTAAACTGATTGCAAATGGGGTTTTCATCACATTGAACCAAGCATGGGATAAGTTCAAAGAACAGAATAAATAAATCGTTATATCATCCAACTATTGCTGCTTCGTAACTCTGTAAAGCACTGGTCAACGATTTGATCAAGGGTTCCATCAAAAGTTTACCCAGTTTGGAGTCGGCCTCGTCCATCTGCGAAACGTTGGCCTGAACTCGTTCTAAACATTTGGTAATACTTGTGTACAGCTTTTTCAGTTGCAAAAGCTCGGCACGGAAGTTTGGGTTCGTGGATGGAGAGGAGGTTCCAATCGAGTTGTAATGAAGCCAGAAATGTCTTAGGAACTCAACACTGGTGGAATGAGTAAGTCTCAAGCTCTCTAGCTTATCACGCGGAAGATCCACATCCACGTCCTGTTTTTCAACAGTGGCTTCCAAATTAAGTGTCCAGGCCTGACTTTTAGCATTTTTCTTAATGACATTTAACACCTCTTTGTAAGTATCCAACAATGGCTTCTTGTTGTCGACATAAACTGTCGTGAGATCCACCTCGTTAAGCTCGCTCTTTAGCTTTTTGATGTATTCGTCATAAATTGCAGGAGTTGGATTGAGCGGCGACTGTGAGTTAAATTTCTCCAACAGGTCTGCTGGAAGAATGTTAGAGGACAGATTCGACCGTTGTGTGTACTCCAATTGATTATATTCCACTGTATTTGCGTTCTCAAGGTCCTTCAAGTCAAGCTCTTGCTCAAATTCTTGCTCAGTATTGGTGTTGTCTTTGATGTTCTGCATCATACGACGTGAAAGCCTGTTCATAGATCTCATGACACTCACAAGCTCGTCGTTCTGGTTTTCTTTCATTGTGATATCGGGTCCGTTACCCAGTTTTCCAGAATCGTCTTCCTCGTTAGCGCGAATGTCAATAAACTTAGGAACTTCTTTCCCTTGCTCTGTGAATAGTTTCACCTTCTTTTTAGCGGACGTCAACTGCTCCGAGTTTCTTCTCTTGCGAAGACCATCCTCCTCTTTCTTCTCCTCTAGGAGTTTATCAATATCAGCGTCCTCCTCTTCTCCATCGTAGTCAGGATCGTAGAATAAATACTTGTCCAAAGTGATGTCTCCACGGTCGTACAAATTGACCTTCTCTCCGCGCAACTTGCGAAACAGTTTAGAAGAGAAAAACCGAGACCAGAACTCACCCTCACTCATTTTTGGAACATTGTCGTCATACGCTTTGCGGACAATTGGGTACTGCTGGAAAATCTCGTGGATCTTTTCTCTAGTCACGGAAACATTCACCTGGTTCTCACTCGAGGCAACAGGCTTAATAGTACTCAACACATTGTAAGGACCTCGTTTCTGGTTGGTTTGAATAGCATACGATCTCAATAAATGCACTCTCGTAGACCAGAACTCCTCAGGACTCAATCCTGACTTGATCACAGCCTCTGCAAATGTTTTCATTAATGTTGGATTGTCTCTGAGCAATTTCTGTTGCAAAGTAAGGTTTTTCAGCAAGTTGTTCTCATCCAGCATACCCGACAAGAACTCTTCTGTATGGGTGTCCATAGGAGCGGGGGAGCTGGTGCCCGAAGCGCCTGATCCATCGGAATTTGCTGAGGCCGCTAAACTGGCATCTGCAGCGGCGGCGGACTTTCGGCGCGCTATGGTCTGCTGCAACACAGTTTTCACGTTATCCATCGTAACACGACTATTAAATGCAAACGTAACGTCTGTCTTGTTGTCTGGCGACTTCCCAATGCCGATCACCAACAACATCTTGGGAGACTCTTTACGAGAGGCTTGTAAAGTGACCACACTATCCAGCATGATCTCCACCGGGGGAGCCACGCCGGCGTCTATACATTTCCACAAAATGCGCGGGGGAGACTCCTCCTCGTAGACGGTGATCATTCCGGCCTTTTTCTTGTAAATGGCCGATCCTGTGATTGGAGACATTTGAATAAGACAAAGTCAAAAAAAAAAAATTACACCATAATTACTCTTGTACGGTCTGTTCCATGCAACTTTTCTTTAGACCAGCCATAAAGCCTGCTCGCAGGTGTATGACACCGGCAGTGCGACTGCTTCAGAGTCAAACTGGCGCAATCAACAGCACCAGAAACGCCTCGCCAGTCAAGAAAGAACGGCCTCCAATGACGGTGAATGATGTGTTACCAGACCCCTTTGCGGCCCCAAGACGTAACAGAAGAACGTTTATTGCGTTTTGTGTTGTGATGGGCGTTTCTCTGCTTGCCATCTTCAACTACGAGAAGGTTTCGTCTCCAATCATGAACGCTACAATGTATTTTCTACGGAGATCTAAAGTTGCCCGTGAAAAACTGGGCAAATCCATCACTTTTGAGGGTAACGTTCCATGGATCAAGGGAGAACTCAACACAATGAAGGGTAACGTGGACATCCAAGTGCGAGTTGCCGGAGATTCTGCCGGAGCGTTGATGAAATTGAAAGCTTCCAGAAGCAACAGAGGTGAGAGTTTCCAGATCGCCGAGTGGCAGCTGCTTCTGGACGACGGCTCTGTTCTGGACCTGTTGAAGGACGAAAGTGTGAATTTAGAATTTTGAGCCACGTTGTTGGTGCAATTTTGAAATTTACGGTCGTCTATCAAATTTGATATGGTTCGAAACAAGTTTGCGTGCACACGAAACACCGTCAGTATGCTCTGATCCATGGAATGAACTCCTGCTTGTTATGCCGAAAGTCTCAAATCGTTATCTTACATTGATGCCTGTATATATGCGTATTCTGCTAACATTCTCTGTTATCATACTATTGTACTGGTGGACGGCGAGTCGCGCACTGTCTCCTCTCTGAATCTAGAGTCTCTATTGAGATGCTTGATGTAGCCGATGTCTTCAAGAACCGGCACTGAGTCCAAATAGTCTCCATCCGCCTTACCCTCGTTCGGTTGCTGGAACTCTTCTTCGGCGAGTTTTTCTTCCTTTTTGCTGTTGAGATGTTGACGTAGCAGCCAGAAACCAATGAATAGAACCACAAGCGCGGCAGGAATCCCCACTGCGCAGCCAACTGCTGTGGATGTAGAAGGCATGGTTTATTCGACGCTGTTTTAATTTTAGAAAAATAAATACGACGCGTCGAAATATTTATCCAGGTGCAATGAGAGCCTTTACATTTGTCCGCAGATCGTCCTCGTTGATCAGCACTGGCAAACTGGTGGAGACCCGTGCGTTGGTCAATGGCAAGTTTATCCACTTTGAAGGGTTTCCGGTGGTGAATCCGGCCACCCAGGGCGAGATTGCGTTCATGAGCAATACTCCGCTGGAAACCGTGAAATCAGCAATATCAGCAGCAGCAGAGGCCTTTCGGGACTATCGCACTGTTCCAGCTCAAGCCCGCGCACGGATCCTTGAGAATTGGTACAGACTCATGATTGAGCACGAAACAGACCTTGCCAGACTGGTTACTCTTGAAAACGGCAAGCCGTTGGCAGATAGTCTGGGAGAAGTTCGCTATGCGGCCAGTTTCTTCAAATGGTTCTCCGAGGAGGCCGTCAGACAGTACGGAGAGACTATCAGCTCTGCCACGCCGTCAAATCGGATGTACACCCAATGGCAGCCGGTGGGGCCGGTGGGGATCATCACTCCCTGGAATTTCCCTCTTGCCATGATCTCGAGGAAATTGGCAGCAGCGCTGGCGGCAGGGTGCACAGCCGTGGTGAAGCCGGCAGCAGAGACCCCATTGTCTGCAATGGCCATGGCGGTTTTGGGGGTCGAGGCCGGTGTGCCAGACGGAGTGGTCAACTATACCCCAGTGGGGCACGAGAAAACGAAAAGCGTGGGGGAGCTTTTTTGCGAGTCACCGGATTTGAAGAAAGTGTCGTTTACAGGGTCCACAAATGTGGGGAAGATCCTGATGGGCCAGTCGGCGTCCACACTAAAACGGATCTCGATGGAGCTCGGCGGTAACGCTCCGTTTGTGGTTTTTGAAGACGCGGATATTGATAAAGCGGTCGCAGGAGCTCTGAGTTGCAAGTTTAGGTCATCTGGACAAACTTGTGTCTGTGCAAACAGACTGTTCGTCCATGACAGTATCTACAACGAGTTTCTGTTCAAATTGTCCAAAGCCCTCGATACAAACACCCGTCTTGGTCCCGGATTGGACCCAACAGTCACTCACGGCCCGCTTATTCATGGACGAGCCATTTCGAAGGTGGAGCAATTGGTTGAAGATGCTACGTCTAAAGGAGCAACAGTTGTTCGGGGAGGTCAGAGAAGAAACGATTTGGGAGCATTGTTTTACGAGCTGACACTGCTGAGCGACGTGACTCCCAAAATGGAGATCTTTCACACCGAAGCGTTTGGTCCTGTTGCGCCTATAATCCGGTTCAAGTCGGTGGACGAGGTCATGGAGCTTGCCAATGATACCAGAGTGGGGCTTGCTGCGTACTTTTACACGGAGAATAACTCAAAGGCTTGGACTGTTGCGGAGAAGTTGCAGGCAGGTATGGTGGGGGTGAACACAGGACTCATTTCTGAAGCTGCGCTTCCCTTTGGAGGTGTGGGCGAGAGTGGGTTTGGCAGAGAGGGAAGCAAGTATGGACTTGCAGAGTACTCGGACCTGAAGACCGTTGTGGTCGGGCTGTAGTCATGGACTTAAAAGCATAGGATAAGGAGTTATGATTTTTTGGATTTATATAACCGATTATGAAGTTGGTAAATTATAGCTCCCAGAGAGGCTGTAGTCATCCCTAGATAACCCATAGCGCTCAGGTTATGCTTGAACATGACAATCGATATAGCGAGGGACATGAATCGGCGGATTAGAAGGATCACTCCCAATGTAAGTGGGTCCGTCTTCTGAGCCAGCATGTTAACCCCCGTGACGCAGGCCAACTGGGTTATAGTGTTGACGGCTGTAAAATTCCAAAACTTAGTCGAGTGCCGGTATAACTCCAGGTCCCTTGCTATGCTACCGAAGAATAATAGCAACGAGGGAATACCATAAAAATGAGAATAGAACAACGTTTGGATCCAGTTGAGGTTATACGTGTTGAGGATCTTGTTATTCCAGAACGACACCAGCACGCCCAGCAACGTCGAAGACACCACAATGGCTATTCCCATGAAAGCCAGTCCTTCAGAAGCGGAGTTATTTGAGCCGGCCAAAGTTGTTATCGTTATGCCGATCGATAGCACGGTAGCTCCGATTATTTGATAAGCCGAATATCGTCTACCAAATAACCAGGTCCCCACAAGAACGGTCAATGGTGTTGACGACGAACGCACAACAATGTGGACAGGGACAGTCATGCCGTACTTGAATGCAAGGTTGTTTCCTATTGCAGAAAGGAAAAACAAAGTGGTGGTAAGCAGGTACGATAACCTAGGAGGCGGGTTGTTGGAATAGGGGACGAAGGGGGCCACCAGCAGGGAGATCGAAAGGTACTGAAGCGCGGTGACCAAATGGGTGGGGACCGGGTTCAACTGCGATATCAGTTCCATCGAGACCACATTGGAGCAACACCCGGAAAAGGTGAGCAGGCCCGGAAATATCATAATCTTTGTTATGTTTGAAAAGTTATTTTTTTATGTCCAATGGTCTTCCTTCCCAAGACGAGTTCCGACTTCATAACGTGCTACGTGCTCTACCTGAAGCACAAAGGGATCTGGTAAGTGCCGTATCCCGCGTGGGGCGCCAGTACGTGAAGGATTTGGACGACCAATGCATCGGGGTATTGGATATTGAGCGAGATGAGGTATTAGAGAGACTGGACAGAGTGCGGCACACTTATGAGGTTATCAAAAGTTCAGACGTAACTGCGCGCATACAAAAAGTTCACCAGATAGAGGAAGATTTGGGTGAAATAGCGGCCGGGCTTGTGGATTCCCAGGAGCGTATCGACCGACTAATTGACAAGATCAAAAAGATCGAAAAGACATCGCGGCAGAAGGACCGGCTGTTTGACCCAAAAACGTTCCATGTTGGCCACTACCGAGAATTATACAAGTATGGGATGCATAACGAGCATAAAGAGATTAATCCATTAAAAGAGCAGCAGATCTTGAATCTGGAGCAGGAAATTATTGAGTTGCAACGAGAACGGTCCAGCAGCATCAGCGGGATCCACAATCCGACCCACTTGCTCGTTCACGAGTCGCCAGTGACCGAGATATCTGAAACGACAGCCACTGCTCCGTCGCAGAAGTTCAACGAGGACGTTTCCAAAACGCTGCGTGGCTACTTCAAGTGAGTTTCGCCCACCCGAGCTTTTCTCCCATCTGGGCGAAGATCGTGCTCAAGGCGGACTTGCCGTACTGGTCGATCAAACTGCCACGGTCTTTCCATTCTAGTTGCATTTCTATGAGTTCGTTAAACGTGGGGTCGATGGGGACACTTCCCAGAAACGGGAGCTTCAAGTTCGTGGCTAGTGCCTCTCCCCCACCGGAACTGAAAATATTGGTGCACTCGTCACAGTGGGGGCACACGAACCCAGACATGTTCTCCACGATACCTAGCACTTTGAAGTTGACCTTTTCGCAAAAGTTGATCTCCTTCTTCACGTCGTTAACGGAGACAAGCTGAGGCGTCGTCACCACAACCGCCCCGTCAACGTTTTTGCAGTATCGCAGCTCTTCAGCGATCGCGATGTGTTCGTCTGAAGTTCCCGGTGGGGTGTCAATTAACAGATAGTCGAGGTCCTCCCACTCAACATCTTTGATGAACTGCCGGATCATGGCAGTCTTCTTTGGCCCACGCCAAACAACACTATTTCCCCGGTCGCCAAGCAAGAACCCCAGAGACATCACAGAGAGACGCTTGCTGTCGTCGTAGTAAACAGGAACCCATCCCTTGGAAGACTGGTGGATCTTGCCGTGCTCAAGACCAAACATCCGGGGCATCGAGGGTCCTGTCAGGTCGATATCCAGCACGCCAACTTTATAACCCAACCTCACCAAGGTCAAGGCCAGCTGTGTGGTGACAGACGACTTTCCAACACCGCCCTTCCCCGAAAGAACAAGCACAATGTGATCGATATTGTCCAGCATACGGGTTATGAAAACGGTAAAAAAATATTATTAATAAGTTAATCTATATAGGAAGCACTGCCCGGACTCCAACTAGATTCGGTAGTTTATTCCTCCCAAATCTTTTTGTAGTAGTTGAGCCAGTTCAAACCGAGCACTTTCTTGATGCGCTCGGCGGTCCAGCCTCTTCTGGCCATGGCCACTGCGAGTTCCTCCCTGTCGGCAAGCTTTCCAAGCGGTTTCACCACTTTCGAGCTACCCCATTCCGTCATAACTCTGGCATAACCTTTATCCTTGTTACACCACTCAAGGAAAGGAGATGGTCTGGCGTGACCCTCCGAGGCATCAGATCCAATACCAACAAGGTCTTCTCCGACAAGGTCAATAAAGTACTCCAACACCTCAACGTAGTCATCAATGGTACTATCGTTGCCTTTTCTCATATGTGGACCAAAGTTCGATGCTGCCACCATTCCTCCCTTTGCACCCAAAGCTCTGATCTCCTCATCGGTCTTGTTTCTTCCAGAAGCCTTCATCCCGGCAGGAAGCACGTGAGAAAAGCATGGCGGTTTTGGCGCGTACTCGATGGTGTCCATGGTGGTTTGATGACCGACGTGCGAAAGATCACACACGATTCCTAGCTGAGCCATCTGGTCCACGACCTCACGTCCAAACCCGGTCAACCCGGAATCTCTCAGTTCCGTGTATCCGGCACCAGAGTAATTTTGGGTATTGTACGTGAGCTGGATCTGTTTCACATGGAGATCTCTGAAAACTCGTAGATAGTCCAGCTGATCCTCGATTCCACTGCTGTTTTGGAAGTTCAAGATCACACCTGTTTTGTTGAGCTTCTTGGCTGTGTAGATATCGTCGATACACTTGATCTCCATGATCAAATCGCTGTATTCCTCATACCATTTCTTCCACTGAACAATATTGGCAATCGTACCTTTGAAATCTTCCCATAACCCGCAGGTGCAAGAAACGACGGTGATATTTCCTTTACGCCATGACTGGAAAATTTCTGGCCCCCAGTTGGCGATGTTGAGCGAGTCGATGTGGAGGGAGTCTCGGTACAGTTGTCTGGCTTCTTGTTCGGTAAGCATACTTGGATAAAAAAAAACCACACAGTCGGACTTTTTTGCTTGGAGAAGCGGACATTTCCCATTTTCACAAACTCCGCTGATAAGTGTGGCGGCTGGCGCCCTGCTTTAAGATAAGATTAGCAACAGGGGAAAGTGTACTATTAAAGATCGCCCACTCAATGGGACAAATTCGAGCTCCCAGAGTTAGTGCATCTTGTAGCTATGGTCCAGGCCCTTTCGAGCGGACTTTTCTTGTTCAATAAGTCCGTTTCTAACGCTCTCGGTAGCACGTAAACGAGCGGAGCACGTCATTTATTGTCCGTTTTTCCGCCATCCACACCCCAAAAAAATAAATTAATTTAAATAGAGCACCCGTTCAGTGCAATCAGCCTATTCGAAATCATGACTCTTTCTTCGTTCTGGAATCGCCACAAGAGCAAGGTCTGGGATACCCTCGACAAGTCTCCTAAGGAGAGACACATTTATTTCAAGGTTGACTTCTGGATCTTGACATATGCTTGTGTCGGTTACTTCCTCAAGACTCTTGATCAAACAAACTTGTCCAACGCGTATGCTTCGGGAATGAAGGAGGATTATAAGTTCCACGGGAATCAGTATAACATGGCCAGTAGTACCATGTTCAACATCGGATACATTATTGGTCAAATTCCAAGTCAAATGGTTCTGACCAGAGTCAGACCTTCCATCTGGTTACCAACGATGGAGCTGTTGTGGGGTATCTGCTGCATGTGTATGGCTGCCACCCACAAGTCACAGCAGGGAGTCAAAGAAATCTACGCTCTGCGGTTCCTGATCGGACTTTTCGAAAGTACAAGTTATGCAGGTTTGATAGGAATTCTGGGTCAATGGTACACACCCTCTCAGCTCGGTAAGAGAGCAGGTATCTTCCAGATTTCGTCTTCTGCCTCCAACATGTTCTCTGGTTACTTGCAAACCGGTCTCCACAACGGAATGGACGGTGTTCATGGCCTGAAGTCTTATCAGTGGTTATTCATCTTTGATGGTATTATCACCATTCCTGTCGCTATCTATGGATATTTTGCTATTCCTGACGCTCCGCACGATTCCAAGTCCTGGTGGCTCAAGCCGGACGAAAGAAAGCTTGTTATTGATAACTTGGCAGCCGTCAAACGTCAACCTCGCAAGAAGTTCACCTGGACGGCCATGGCATCTCTCGTTTTGTCGTGGCCAGTGTGGTTCTTCTCTGCTGCTTTCATCTGTCACGTTGTTGCTATCAAGCTGTACAGTTACATGAATCTGTGGCTCAAGTCTGCCGGATACACTGTCTCTAATGTCAACACTTATCCGACCGCCGGGTACGGGTTGCAGATTGTGTGTACAATCATTATGACTTGGACTTCAGACATCATTGGCAAACGTTGGCCATTGATTGCGATCTTCTGTACCGTCGCTGTGATTGGATGCATCATTCTGACTGCTTGGCCTGAGAACAACCATGCCGCTCTCTTCACCGGTTGGTACCTTCTGTTTGCCGAAACCGGTTGCGGTGTGCTCTTCATGTCGTGGATCAACGAGACCATGTCGCACTCTGCAGAGCAGAGATTCGTGTGCATTGGTGTTGTGGAGGCAATGTCCTTCACCTTCCAAGCCTGGTTGCCACTGATCATCTACAACACCACAAACGCTCCATATTTTGGCTCTGGTTACCCAACAGCTCTTGGACTGTTTGCTGGAGAGGCAGTGATCGGAATCGGGGTTGCATACCTTATCTATCGCGAATCCAACGGATTCTCCTGGTTCTTCGAGCGCAGAGACAACGACTTTAAACGTCTTTCCCAAACGGATGAATCGGACACCGAAAAACTCGTTGTCGAGGAAGAGAAATACGAACACTCGTCGTCCAAATCGCTCTCTATATAGCTTTTTCAGAAATTTTAAGAACTCCGACACCTCACACCGCAGCTATAAATTTATCAGTCCACACCCCTAGAAGTTAATGAAAATCTGTATCATTGGAGCAGGACCCGCAGGTGTTGCCGTGGCCAAGGCTCTTGCCTTAGAGCCTGTTGATGGTCTCGACATCCATGTTTACGAGAGAAACGCCACCGCAGGTGGACTGTGGTGTTACACCGGAAAAGAGAAGGAAAAGGTCTCGTGCACGATTCCCGCCACTGATCGCCGGACTGCCAAAGAGTTCGGTGTGGACGGTGTCCCGTATGTTTCTGCCATGTACGAGCACCTAGAGACCAACATCGTGAAGGATATAATGAAGTACAAGGACATTCCGTTTCCGGAAAAATGCGAGACCTTCCCTACTCGTCAAGAGGTTGCTCAGTATGTGATCGATTATACCAAGACCATCCCTGAGACCGTCCAGTTCCATTTCCGGACCACTGTTACGTCTCTGGAGAAGAAGGAGCGCTGGGAATTGACGTATGTTGACGGAAATGGAAGACAAACCACCGACTCATTTGATCACGTTGTTCTGGCACACGGCCACTTCGACACTCCTTACGTGCCTAGTGTGAAGGGTCTTGTTGAGTGGAGTACTGCCGATCCGTCGAGTATTATCCACGCCAAGTACTTCAACGACGTTGGCCGGTTTGAAAACAAAACCGTTCTTGTTGTTGGAAACTCGGCATCCGGAATCGACATTGCAACTCAACTCACCACTTTTGCTTCCAAAGTGGTCATCTCTGCCGCATCGCCTTCTCCTGTTGCCGAGATCCTAATCAACGACGTTGCGCAGATCGGCAAAGTGGACCAGTACAACGTTGCTGACCGGTCTGTCGTAACCGTTGATGGAGAAACGGTTACCGGAATCGACTATGTTATTTTCTGTACCGGATACCTGTACAGCATTCCGTTCCTCAAGTCGTACTTGGACGGCGAACAGGCCATCCTGACTGACGGCGACCAGGTGCGGTACGTCTACGAGCAGATTTTCTACATCCCGGACCCTACGCTGATCAACGTTGCGCTTTCGAAAAACGTGATTCCGTTCCCGTTTGCCGAGTGTCAAGCACAGTACATTGCTCGCGTGATAACCGGCCGCGAGAAGCTACCATCTAAAGAGGACATGTTGATACAATATGCTAAGGACGTGGAAGAAAAGGGAGAGGGAAAGAGTTTCCACGATCTAAAGTTCCCAAAAGATGCAGAGTACTGCAACCACATGTTTGATTTGATTGCCAACTCCAAGTCGGAAGGCTTTGTGGCTGAGTACTGGGACGAGGAGCGCAAAGCTCTGCGCGGCAAGACCGGAGATATCAAGGCCAAGCGGCTGGAGAGAATTGTACAGCACGCCCAGCAGCTCAAGAAGAACCACGAGAAGTTCCGGCTTCTGAGAGGCTAGCCTTTGATGAGTGTTTGACGGATGGATTCCTTGTGTTGCTCGTATTGGAAGAAGAGAAGCCCGTGAAGAAGAGAGTCGGCAGCGTCGTCGCCTTTGGAGCGGGACTTTTCCACCGTGACCCCGTATTCGCTATTTACAGTGTTGAGGGCTTCCACTAGATTGTATAGATAAGCACTTGAGAGCGTGTTTTTGCGGACCTTGGGCAGATTTTTCAGGTCAAAGCAGGGTCCAAATCTGAACGGAACGGAATCGGTTTCGTTTCTGAGTAGTTTTTCCACCCAGCCAATGACCAGGTGGATCCGTTGATCTTTCTTGATTCCTCCTGGTGCCCAGTATTGAACCATGTTCCGAGGAGACTGGTTGATGAGCTCGCTTTTGCCGAGGTTCAAAACGGAAGCGATCAGGATCATTTCCAAAACATTGGACTTGAGTACTGTTTCCACCACGGTTCTCGCGCCGCCAAACGAACGGAATCGCTGTCTTTCCACGATCACCACGTCGGGGGACTCCTTTTCCGTGTAAATCAGCCGGTCCACCACATTTTTGATGATGGCATAGTAATTCAACGGGGTGAACGTTTTGTCCTTGATCCCGGTATACTTGTGAAGATCGACCTTGTACCATTGGACCACCGACGGGGGTGTTGTCCAATGGCCCGGGTCTTTCTTGATGCGACAAAACGAAAAGTTGTGCAGTCCCACGTCAAACGAGATCAGATGAAAAGGTTTGTCGTGGACCGAAGGTTTTGCCAACTCGGCGGCCAGTTTTTCGATCGTGGCCGCCTTGTTGGACTCGGGAAAAACACCGCACTTGCGTGCCATGTTTCCCAGATCGGTCACCTTCACTTTATTGACAGTAACATATCGTGTCAATAAAGCCTTGAAATCATAACACATGTAAAATAAATAAACAAGATATTTTTTTTTCCTATTGGTTTCCCTTGTTTGGTTGATGGCTCGTATCCATAGAGACTAATCGCACGTTAACCGCCTGATCGCCATGGCTTACCTCACATTACCGCCGGAGTTTGTTCCGGAAGTCAAGACCGTCATCAACTGGGTGATGTCGTTCACGCCGTTACTTTCGTACGGGTCGACGCTGCTAAGCATTCGGCACAAACAATCCTCGAAAGGATTTTCCATAGACATTTGTGCCACAATGCTGATAGCATCGACGCTGCGGATATTCTACTACCTCAACGAGCCGTTCGAGGTGAGTTTGTTGCGACAATGCTTTGTTATGATCTTTATCCACGTTTTACTACTCAAGGTGGCCATAAAATATAGAGACCCCACTGAGGTGGCTTACATGCGCTACGAACAGTCGTGGCCCGAGTTTTTCAAGCTCGCCTGGACCAACAGCCTGGAGATGACCGCAGACGTTTCGATATACAGCGATCCTTTAGAGAAAATCGTTCAAACAGCGCGCGGGACGCTTAGACGGTCGGTCGACCTGGCAAAAAACCTGTTTTTCCGCCTGCTTTTCCTGTACGACGCTCGGTACATCAGACCGTTTCGGTTCTGGCAGTGGGAAGAATACAGAAATTATCTGCAGTTTCTTGGAGCGTTTTTGGTTTCGCTGTCCGTGTTGCAGCTTCTTTTCGGGGGCACGCACTTCTTGGGCATGATGTTTGCATCCAGCTCGTTTTTGATAGAGAGCACGCTGCCGCTGCCCCAGATCCTGCTTTTCCAAAGAGCCAAGACCGTGGAGAACTTTAAAACGATCCTCTTGCTCAGTTGGCTGGGCGGTGATCTGACCAAGATCAGCTACTTGGTTTACGGAACAGACAACGTGGGGATCATTTTTGTTGCTGCTGCGTTGTTCCAGATGAGTCTGAATCTGGTGATCACATACCAATTTTTCTACTTCAAGAGATTGGATCTGCAACGACAGGACCAGTCGCTGCCTTTGAGCGAGGCAAAACCAGAAGTCCCGCTGGATGACCTGCGTGTAAACAGCGTGCAGTCGTCGGCGTCGTTTTCTGAGCCATTTTCTGCCGTCCCACTGTCGCAATACTCGTCGCCCGTGACGACGCCAATTTCCAATACGCCGCTCGAACAGAACCGTTCGCGCTCCAGCACCGTGAACGAGCACGAGGCCAAGATCAACAAGAGTCTGCGCAAGTCCAGTCTGAGCAGCAGCGTCAACCTGGAAAACATTACAGAGCAAGTCACAAAATAATTCATTCATACATAGCATCGGAAATAAACGTTAGATATTGTCCAATTTTTCTGCCTCCAGACGCTCGTCATTCGTTGCCCACCAGAACTCAAACGTGTCTGTTTCGTCATGGAAAGATTCTCTGGAAACTTCCCACGGTTTTGGAGTGATGATATAATGGATGTTTTTAATTTCATCCATGTTCCAGATATCGGAATGACACTTCTTTAGTGTCTTGAGACAGTTGTATTTATAAGAGAGAGCAACCCAGCGGTTCCTGAACACGTCTGCTAGAAGCTCCTGGTCGGGGAAATCGTACGAAGCGGTTTTCTCCGGCTTGGAGAGCGTTTCTAGGATGGTAGCATAATTCTGGGTGTCTGGTCTTACAATGAGCAGGCCTCCATTGCAGAGTCCGAGCCCCAAGTGGGCAGCGGGGCCCCTGATGTGGTGATCCTGGTGGTCGTGGCCGACCGTAGAAGCCAACTTGGCGTGGTAATTGGTAAACGAGCAATTTTTAGGCACCCAATTGCCCGGATAGTGGTCTAGTTTAAGGGGATTGCACACACACGCTGCGGCAGCCGCAAAGGCAATATGCGGTGCCAAATCGAAATCCATCAGCTCGTCCATGTTGCGAATAACAACCATGTCAGAGTCCAATTGGATGACTCTTTCAAACTGCACCAATTTGAACGGCTGTAGCTTGGACCAAGTGTCGTAGAACCTGGAGTCGTGTCCAAACTGCTTCGACTTGGTGGGGATCAATGGGTCAATCTGGATAACACTAATCCCCCGTTTGCAAATTGCCTTGACTGAATTGGGATCCAGTTGCTTGGTATAAAGAGCAACCAGAGGATACTTTGAACCAGCCTTTTTCAGCGAAAAATTCAAAGTCAACAACCCTTCAAGGTACTTCGTATTTGTAATGAGCGTGGACCACACCTTGGTGTATCCAGAGACGTCGCTATCCTCGGGATATTGGCCTTCGGCGGTCATTTGATAAGGTTCGAGAACGAAGTGTGCAGGAATTTGTCAGATAATGCGCCACCTCTTGTATTCCCGACGAGATGTGGCTTGTGGCTATTCTGTCAGTGCTAGTGCCGTGCACATAACAAGGGAAAAGAAAAAAAAAGCTTCTTCAACAACAAAAAACCAGATTTTCCCCTTTGTCTGAACTCCAACACAAGCCCAAAAGGACCAGAGCTATCACCTTTGACCGGCATCGCGTGCTTTGTTTTTCACAGGCACCAGGGTTTCCTTTGTCAGGTGACACATTTCTATAGGGGGCCGCAATATAGCGTTATCCATTTGCTCCAGCGATGGTGTTGATAAACGGTGTCAAGTATGCGTGCGAACGGTGCATCAGGGGCCACAGGGTCACCACGTGCACTCATGTGGACCAGCCCATGATGATGATCAAGCCCAAGGGCCGTCCGTCCACCCAGTGCAACCACTGTAAGCAGCAGCGCAAGTTGAAGAACGCCCACATCGCGTGTACGTGCAACTCCAAGACCAAGGAGCACCATCCAAGTTGTGCATGTCACGTCGACGGTGAGTGTACCTGTTCTGCAAAAGTCAAGAAGCCAACGTCGAAAAAGAAGGACGACGACCAGAGAACTGCCTCGATGTCTTCATTGTCTTTGGGGCCTGAGAAGGACAGCCTCAACAACATCATCCAGTCCTGGGATATGGCCTCGCCTCCCATCGGCGCTTCCGACTCGTACCAGCAGTCGGACAGTCTTGCCTCTCTCAACTCTGTTGGCTCTGATAAGCTGTCTGGCTTCCAGTACCAGCATTTTACGAAAAGGCAGGTCGGCACAGACCCGTTGCAGAACTTCAGGGCATCGACGCCAAACACTCAGCAAAAGAAAGTCGGCGAGATTATGGTCCCGATGGATGAGTACGTTGCTCCGTTGAACACGATGAACAACAATTTCTCCACCTTGATGAGCAGTTTCAATTCCAACACCGACAGCCCTGTTGTCGGCGAGGCTGTCCCCAACAGCGACCAGAAGTACAGCCAGTCGGTGGCAGACCCATTCCAAGGCATCAACGGCTCGGGCTCTGGATTGCTGGACAGTTTTGACGACACAAACTCCAGCAGAATGTACCAGAACAGGAACAGAAACGTCTCCAGTGGCTCTATCATTTCGAGCCCAAGAGATCCGATTAACCCAGACTCCTTGTTCCCGCTGTTCCCTCTGATTGGACCTTCGCAGTCGCAGTCGTCTCTGCCGTCTCCTCCTTCCCAGCAAAGTCTTAACGACCTGATTTCTTCCCAGCCTTCGAGCCAAAACCTGTCTCATTCGAATTTGAGTTCACACAATAACAAGAACGTGTCCACGTATCCGCAGGTGTTGAAGAAGAATCTGACAGGATCGTCCACACACTCCATTGGCTCGGTGAGTCACTCGCACCACCACCACGGAACACATGGCCACGCGCACCTGTCTCATTTCTCGCCGTACCCACAGCACGTTTCCAGTCAGCAGCCGCGGCGGAGCAACTCGTTCCTTTCGATCTCATCTTCCAACACGGTCAGCTCGTCGTTGGGGTCTCCAAGCTCGGTCATGGCCAACGAGAGACCTCCATTAGTCAGTGCCAACTCCACCGATTCTTTGAACGGCTTCCAGTTGACAAACTCTAAAACAAACACGACGCTAATGGACGATCTGTACCAAACAAAAACTTACACTGACCAAGGTCCGAAACCCTTTTCCATTGTTCCTGAGGAGACCGATTCTGGTTCCACTCCCGCCTCAGACGCTTCCCAGAGGGCCAATCCCGTGTTCGAGGCAAGTACCATCGGTACTATCCCCATCACGTCGTCCCACTACGTGAAAAAACTCAAGGAGGAGTCCCCAGACACGGCTGGTTACTCCAGTTACCTTGGCAATATTGACTATCTGGACAGTTTGCTGGAACAGTCCCAAGAGCAAGGCGATCTTGCCAACTATGTCGATCTCCAGGGTGACCAGGCCGATGATAAAAGTTGAGTATTAAGATTTAGACACGTGTAATATAAAAGTAATACGTCAAGTACGCTATGTGAGTGTTATGTTTGCCATTTCGTTATATAATCATTCGGTGTACGCCAAGCAGATGTCCCAGAACTCTGCTTCTAGCTGCGACACCTTGCCGAAGATCCCTGCAAGTTTCTGCAGGAGTTTAGTTTTGTCAAAACCGGGCTCTTTGCTCCGTTTTTCAACCTCGGCGTCGAAATACTGGTTCAACACCTCTTCTCCCTTCTTGCAGGCTTCCAGGTACCATGGCGAAGTGTAATCTGCCATCCAAGCTTCATAATGCTGCTCCAGAGAGTTGCCGGTCTCCAGAGGCGCCTTGCCAGCCTGCAATTTTCGGGCCGTTTCCAATGCGTGGACGTTGTGGCCCGAATCTGCAACCACGAATTTAGTACCGTTTTGAGCAAAATTCGCCGCCGCGTGGTTGTACCCAATCAGACACGGCATGAGAGCGGTCTTGCACTGCAGCCAGTCGTGGGTCTCCTCGAACAGGTCCACCAGGTAGCTGGTGTAGTTGATGGTGGCCTGGTTCGAAACAATGTCGGTTTCCAAGTCAATGTTGGGGAACCGGGTTTCCAACTTTAATGCATGTTTCTGCATCTCGGTCTCGATATTCGCCAAAATGCCGTCGACATATTCTTGCAGCTCCTCGGACTCAGTGATCGTTCTCAGGTTCACGTGCACCTTGTGGTACGCTTTCAGGTAGACGTAGTCCTGTTTGAGGAAGTAGTCAAACTTCTCAAGCGGCAGAGTCTTGTTGTGAATTTGCTCCACAAACTCGTGGTGCACGTACTTGTTCCAGTGCGGCACGACTTTCGAGTTGCTGATCAGGTACTGCAGCAGGTTGAACTCCGCGGGGTGTGCGAGAGCGTACACGTGATTCAACGGCCCGTTGTGCTTGACCTCGGCGTGGCGGATGGCCTCGTTGGTGTACACGACGGCGTTCTTCACCGCGGTGGCCAGCTCTGCTCCGCGAGCCAGGTGGCACGCAATGGCCGACGACAGCGTACAACCCGTGCCGTGGAGGTTTGGCGAGTTGACGTAGTTCGACTGGAACACGGTCAATTTCTTGCTCTTGTGCTCGTAGAGCACGTTCAAAATGTACCGTGGTGACTCCAGGTCGACCACCATGCGGCCGTTCACCGGGATCTGGCCACCCTTCACAAGCACGTCCACGGCCAGTTTCGATCCCAGCACGCGCGCCGCCTTGTAAATGTCTTCGGCCTCGAACAAATCCACCCTCGCAACACTGGGGTCCGAGCTTTGCAGCACGGCCAGCAAGATTTCCACCTCGCGGGAGTTCGGGGTGATCACGCGTGCGTGCTTGAACAGTTCAACGGTCTTCTTCAGCGCCCCGACAGAACTCAAACGGTCGCCATTCTTGGCAGCAAACACAGGGTCCAGCACAATAGCCGCTTCCCCCGCCCGTGCGGCCAAAAAAGGTTCCACCACAGACAACGTCTGCTCGGTGAGCAGCCCCAGCTTGATGGCGTCGAGGCGCAGCTGGTCGTCCGCCAGTGCCACCAGCACCTTCTCGACGGTCTCGGCCGGTGTTTCCGTCACGTTGTGCACGCCCAGCGAGTTCTGCGCCGTCAGAGCACTGATACACGTGAGGCCGTAACACTTGTGCGCGGTGATGGTCTTCAGATCCGCTTCCACGCCCGCGCCGCCCGAGCAATCGGACCCGGCAATGGTCAGAACCCGCGGGGTCGCCACGGGCTCCAGCGACGAGCTCAATTGGCTGCTCAGGTCGTAAAAATCTGTCATGGGATTAATAATTATTTAACCAACTATCCATGCTATATGTAACTGCACCGCCCGGAAAAAACACAATTTTGTCGGAGCCGGCTAGCCTACAAATTGGAGGCTATCTTGCTGTAGGCTTCGGCGAAGCCGTCGACAAGAGCAGCCAGGCCAATTGCGCCCGGGTCAGGTAGACCACCCTCGGCCTCGAACGGCTTGAATTCCTCCTCGCTAACGTACGAGGCACGGCCGAACTTGGCTTTGAGCTTTCTGGTGGACTCTGCACCTTCGTGGGCAGCCTTGTTGGCCTTGTTGAGGTCGCCCTTGGTCGACGCGAAGGTCTCAACGAACGGAGCCAGGGCGTCGATCAAGGTTCTGTCGCCAACACGGGCCCGGGTGTACTTGTACAGGGAGTCCAGGGCGTCCTTCAAAGCAGTAGCCAGAATTGGTGGGGTGACCTCGTAGCCACCGTCCTTGAGCTCTTTTTCCTTCAGAGACTTGGCCAATGCAGAAATGAAAATGGAGTACAAACCTCCAGAGGTTCCTCCCATGGCCGTCTCGACAACGTCGGTGATCTGGGTCAAGCTCTTGACACCGTCAGAAACCTCCAGGTTGCTGGAGGCCAGCAGATCCAAAATCGCGTGCGCTCCGTTGGCCAGAGTCTCTCCGCAATCTCCGTCACCGGCAACGGTGTCGTAAAGTGTAATCTTTGGCTCCTTTGTGAGCAGCTTTTTGCAACCGCTCTCCAGAACAGCCTTGACGGTGCCCTGAGGGAACTTGACCTTGGAGGTAGCCGAGTCGTCGCTGGTGGCTGGGGCCTCGATGATGTACGAAGAAGGCTTGTCGTCCCACTCAGAAGACTTGTAGGCCGAGTTCCAGCCCGGAACGGCAGTTGGGTAGTCCAACAGGTCCAGGATCTCCTTGCCTCCTGCCTTGGTTGCGTTCAGCAAAGTGATGGAGAAACCAGGACCGTCCAGAGACGTAGTGTAACTGCCGGTGTAAACTCTGACCGGCTTGATCTTGTAGTCGGAAGCAAGTAGGTCAACAACGGTGTCCTGGATAGCAAACAGCTCCAGGTTCGAGGTTCCTCCAAGGTTGTTGATAAGCAGAACAACCTCGTCGGAAGAGTCAAAGTCAACGTAGTTTCTCTCCTTGTCGTTCTTGTCAAGCAAGTACTTCAACAGGTCGGAAACAAGAGTGTCAATTGTTGGGATTGGAGAAACTCTCTTGATACCGGACTCGTTGTGGATACCCATTCCGACCTCGATCTCATCCTCCTTGAGCAAGTGTTTTTGCTCGTCCTCGTCCTCGGACTCCTCCTCCTCGTGGTGTCTGTTACCAGGGATGGTGCAGTGGTCCAAAGAGGCGCCGATTGTGACCAGGTTGGCCACCACGTTTTCTCCGACCTTGTACACTTCGGCCAAGCTGGCCTTATTGGAGTCCTTGGCGGCCTTTGCTCCGGTGATTTTGTGAACAAGAGCGGTACCGGCCAGACCTCTTCTGCCCACCATACCGTTCTTGGTCTTACCCACAGAAACATCGTCACCCACAATCAGCAGCTCCACTGGATAGCCCTCGGCTTTAGCCCGCTCTGCAGCTAGGCCAAAATGTAAAATGTCACCGGTATAGTTTTTAACCACAATCACGGTACCTTTCTTGGACGGTTTGGCCTTGAGACCAGAGTAGATCTGTTTGGTGGAAGGCGAGGCAAACACAAATCCGGCAACACCAACGTCCAAGCAGCCCTCACCAACAAACCCAGCGTGCAATGGCTCGTGGCCAGATCCTCCACCAGACAACACCATCACCTTGTCCTGTTTGGAGTGGCGATTGATCACGACTCTCTCGGACTCGATGAACAGCAAGTCTGGGTTGGCGTGACACAGACCCTTCAGATGGGCGTGCACGAGGTCTTGTTTGTAGTTCCAATGTTTACTAGACATTCTGAAAGAAATAATGGTGGGAAAAGGAATTAATACCAGGTTGGACTTTTGTCGGTTTGGCCCGGAGTTGTCATAATGCGGCTAAACCCACAGGGAGGGGATGACTGCGGCTAGGACGCGTGCATGAATGACCCCGGAGACTGAGAACCCGATTTGGCAATAGAGCTGAAAAAAAAACTCGAAAATCCCCAATCATGCGGGGAGGGATAAATGGGGCGACTTTCGTCGCTTGCTGCAGACGCCGTGGTCACGTGACTCGTCGTCGCGTCGACCCGTCGCTCGTCTGGCCTGCGATTTCCCAAAAACCCTCCCTGTTATCTTTGTTCCCACCAAGCGCAATGTCGGTCCAGTGTCTCTCTTTCAACCAGGACTACTCGTGTCTGGCGGTGGGGTTCGATACCGCCTACAAAGTGTACAACTGCGAGCCGTTCGGCGAGTGTTTCGACAAGACCGACGATGGGGGCGCAAAGCTCGCAGAGATGCTCTTCTCCACGTCGCTGATCGCCGTGGTGGGGCTGGGCGAGCGCCCGTCCACCACCATGCGCAAGCTCAAGATCATCAACACCAAGCGCAAGGCTGTGATTTGCGAGCTCTCGTTCCCGACGCCGATTCTGTTTGTCAAGATGAACCGCAAACGGCTGATTGTGGTGCTTGTTGATCAATTGTTCATCTACGACGTGTCGTGCATGAAGCTGTTGCACACGATCGAGACCGGTGCAGAGGTGTCTGAGCGGGTGATCTGCGACCTGAGCTCGAGCGACGACAGCGTGCTTGTTTTCCAGTCCGGCTCGTCCCAGGAACAGCCCGGTCCGGATCAGTCGTCTGTGCAGACGGGAACGCTCGGCACCACCATGGGCACGGTTGTGCTGTTTGACGCGCTCAATATCCAGCCGTTGAACGTGATCCAGTGCCACAAGTCACCTCTGCAACGGATCGCCATTTCCAAAGACGGGAAACTGCTGGCCACGGCCAGTGTCAAGGGCACCATCATTCGCGTTTTCCGCGTGGCAGACGGTAAGAAGGTGCACGAGTTCCGTCGCGGGAGCTACTCGGCCCACGTCTCGTGTCTCAGCTTCAACGTCGATAGTACAATGCTCTGCTGCTCCTCGAACACAGGAACCGTACATTTCTTCAGGCTCGAGCCACTGGGCACCAAGTCGTCCGCAGACTCGATCAGCACAGAGTCGGACAACCCCGAGTCGTTGCCCGAGGAACACAGCATCACCGAAGAGGAATCGAACGAAATTAATAGACTCATCAACACGCAGCTCGGCGTGCGAACCGCGTCGGGCCGCAAGAAGAGCGCAGAGTCGTTGAAGAACTTCATCTGGTCCAAGTCGAAAACGTACCTTCCGTCGCAGATCAACTCGATTTTGGAGCCCAAACGCGATTTCGCGTTTCTCAAGCTCAACGTCGAGGTGGAGAGCGTGGTCGGGCTCGTGGACGGCAACTGCTACGTGGCCACCAAGTCGGGCGATTTCCTCGTCTATTCTGTGCAACCAGGAGAGTGTGTGCTGCTAAAACATTACAAAATAGAATGAGACATGCATGAAACACAGTACAATTTTTATTCTTTATGGCCACTGCTCAGAACAGATCGACCCAGCCAACAACGTATCTGTGTCTCAAGTCGCGCTGGCTGCTGGCCGTGTTCAACGACTGGACTTTGTTGACCGGCCTGATTTTGGTGATTCTGCTTGTGAGATCCAAAGACGTGGTGAAACTGCAATCGAAAACAACCACCTCGCCTTTCAACACGTCACTGCATTTGTCGTTGAGCTCAGACGTGCACGAGCTACAACTCACTAGCCTCGAAAACCTGCATGTTGCCGTCACCTACGATATCTCGACCCAGATAGGCTATTTGAACTCGACTCTTAATCACACAATCACGACTGCATACTCTTCCGTCCACTCCATTGACCTCCAGTCGATTCTCGCATCGCTGATCAAATCCGTCAACCAGACAATAGTCTCCTCCCTAGCCTCGCAAAATGATCAGCTGCAGTCGCTTAAATCGACTCTGGAAACCCAGGCAGTGTATGTTGACAGTTCGGTTAATTTAGACTCAATGAACATCAATTACACGTGGATAGGCGACTACCTCAACACATCGGCAAGTCGTTACTCGATACCCAATCCTTACTCTTCCTACTACAACAAGCTGTCGAGTTATTTTGACTTTTTGGACAATCTTTGCCAAGCTGCCACCAAAAATATTTCATCTGCATTTGGCACTGTCGAAACGTCCGATATTTCGTTGTATAATTACACTTCGCCAGACAACCAAACAACCAAAATTGGTCTCTCGTTTACTCCAGAAACCTCACCAACACATGTGGCCAAATCGGTGTATGTGCTGCCCGTGATAATGGTGCTTTTTATATTCATACAACTGGTGCTCAATTGGTTACATTTTGTGCATGAGCAGAAACAAGCCGCAAGTTTCCCCTTGGAAGCGACAGAAAAGACGGATTTCCTGCACTATACGTTCCAGACTGTTGATTTCGAGGCTTTCAAGCTGTGGGAGCTGTTCACATTGCTCACGGGGGACTTTGGAGCAGTGAAATACCACTATTTCTCGTCGTTCTGGCTGGGGATCCGGTCCAATGCCAAGAATCTGGGGAAGTATGTGTTTTTCGCGGTCCTTGTATGGATCTTCTGGGTGAACGAGTCTCCAATGTCGGGGCCCATGACGCTGTCGTTGTCTGGGGACTCGTACTCTTTACAGGAGACGAAATCTTTCCAAGTGGACGCGGGGATTGACACGGACGGTCTTTTGGACGACCTGGAGACGGTTTTCGACAACACCGAGGCCGAAATCGACCAGTTTCTCACCGACAACGGGCTGGACACTGTGGTTGGCCCGTGGGTGATCAATCGCACGGTATTGGACAATTACGGCTGGCCGTCAGGGGTACCTAGCAAACTGGGGATTGCGCTGGACAGTGCGGTTTCCAACGGGCGCACGAGCTTGGACGCTGTTTCTGACGGATCCAGTGCGCGTGTGTTACTGGTTTACGCGTTTGTTCTGGCAGTGGGTGCCGTTTGCACGGCTATTGGTAGCAGTGTTTGGATACTTTGGTAGGAGTTACCCGCAAGTGGTTCTGGATAAATTTTTTTTGAAAATTAAAACTTTAGAGCATTGATCTTGAGAAACAGGGACAAGTCGCTGGTGGAGTTTGAGACGAGAAAGATCGAAACTTGTACGCTGGCGCGATAAGATGTCTCATAGAAAGTTACAACAGTAAGTTTTTAGAACGGAAACGGGCGGATATCGGGTCCTGGAGACGGAATTGTATTTGAGTCTTGGGGTCGGTTACCGCACGGCAACGCAGGGAAGACTAACCGTTTAGGGAGATCGATCGGGTATTTAAGAAGATCGGCGAAGGACTAGAGATCTTCGACACGCTGTATTACCGACACGAAAATGCCACTAATGGATCGCAGAAGGAGAAGCTGGAGAACGACCTGAAGAAGGAGATCAAGAAGCTGCAGCGGTTTCGCGAGCAGGTGAAGAATTGGCAGGCCACGAACGAGGTGAAGGACAAGGAGAAGTTGAACGAGAACCGTCGGTTGGTTGAGCAGGCGATGGAGAAGTACAAGCTGGTGGAGAAAGGGTCCAAGACGAAAGCGTACTCGGACCAGTCGTTGGCCAGCTACGACGACATCCAGGAAGATAACGAGGCGACGGAGTTTGTGAAAGAGAGTCTGGACGACATTATGATGCAGGAGGAGATTCTGGAGGCCGAGCTCGACAAGTTGGCGGCCAAGAAGGGCAAGCGAACGAACACTGTGGACGAGAGAAAGACCGAGATTGAGGATCTGTTGGAGATTCATCAATGGCACAAGGAGAAGCTCGAGGTGGTATTGCGACTGCTGGAGAGCCGAGTGCTGAGACCAGAGGACGTCATGAATATCCAGGAGGACATCAAGTATTATCTCGAGGAGAACCAGGACCCGGACTTTGTGAACGACGAGACCATCTACGACGACCTGAACTTGGACGTGGACGAGAACGCGCTTCTTGAGGGTGGCAGTGCTGCCAACGGCGTGCACAAGGAGGAGGAGTCTGTTTTAACGTCGACTGCGCCGATCAGTGTTTCTGTGCCTGAGCCGGTCACCACTCCGGTGAAGAAGAAGGAGACCACGCCCACGCCGAATGTTGCTTCTGTGCAGCCGATTCCCGTGGCTGGCGTGAAGGCCGGTGTGTCTGTGGCGCCTGCTGTGCCGAAAACAGCGACTCCAACCGCGACGCTGGCCAACCTGGCCGGCAGTCTTCCGACAATGAGCACGCTCAAGCCTGCCCCAGTGCCCGCCAAGCCTGTGGGGGAGCTTAAGTGGGCCGCTGCGGTGAGCCAGACCGCGAACGGGAAGCCGAAACCCAACGGAGCCGAGGAAAAATCGCCAGCCACCACTCCGCTCTCCACGATGAACACCAACGCACTCAATGCGGCCAGTGTGCTGGAGGCATTGAAAAAACAGCGACCTCAGGACGGCGTTTCCCGCAGCGCGTCCGAGTCGCGGGCCGGGTCCACGGCGTCTGGGTTGCAGTCCACAGAGGTGGACGCGGACCCGAACTTCCGCTTTCTGCCCCCAGGCATCCAGAGCACGATCCTGTCGTTTGTGGAGGCCAGAAACCGGCCCGAGTCGGACAAACTGCCGTCGCTGTCTGGCGTGAGCACCATGCTAGCCGTGCCAAGACGGTTCTCACCGCTCGCAGAGGGAACCTACCCGCCAGGACTGGAAGCACAGCGCGTGTCGGCCATCTGGAACAGCGTGCGTGTGAGCCCCAACCTGGAAATCGACTCACAGAACGTGGACTCGGCCACCCTGTTCTATGCCTACTACTACGGCCTGTCGCAGAAAGAACGCGACGTGGCCTCGGCCGTGCTCACCACCCGTCTGTGGCGCGTCAACAACGACAAATCCATGTGGTTCCAAAGACACTCCCAGGTCAAGGTGTCTGGGGATGGCTTTGAGATCTCGGACTTCAACATTTTCGACGCTGAAAAATGGAGCTTCTACGAGAAAAAGAACTACAAGGTGGACTACTCGCAATTCGGCAAGTTGTAGGTTCCTATGCGTATATAAAAGATTAATCAATCGCCTTTGGGCACTGACTGCTACTCAAAGTCGCTGTAATCGTCCGAAACGTCCAGCTCCTCGCTGTCGTCGCTCTCCTCGCCGTCGATCTTCACCTTCTTCTGCTTCTTGCGCTTGATGTTCTCCTCCTGCTCTCTGCGTCTCTTTTCCTTCTCTTTCCGGCGAACAGCGTGGACCTGATCCAACTTGTTCATCTCCTTGACGCTCTTTTGGATCCGCGAATGGTACAACACCTTGCCCGAACAAACGCCTTCCTCGATCTTCACAAGCTCCAGCTTCAACCGCGGCCCGATCTCCGTCAACTTCACCGCCTTCTTGCGCTTGCCAGACTCCTCGGCAGCACCTTTGGCCTTCACTGCAACCTCCTCCTTCACCTCCACCACGGCGTCGTCCTCCACCTCCGAATCAGACGTGAACCCGGCCTGCGCATACGGGTCCAGTATAATGTCCGCAACGTCGTCCACGCGCGAAAGATCCGGCAGCTTCTTGTTCGTCTTCTGATGCACCTTCACCAGCTTCTTCACGTTCTTGCTAACGTCAACCAGCTTCGTGTCGATTACGTAATGGCGAAGCTCGATAAGACCGGTCTTGTTATCTCTGTGCAGCAGCAGCACCCGCTTGATGGTGCCGACTTTGGTGTTCTGGGGCGAAATGGGTGGGAACATGTTCTGGAACATGGTCACCACGAGCTTTTCGTGCTGATCAGCGTCTTTAGGGTTTCTGAATCCGCTTAAAACAAGCAGCGGCGGATTCAGAAACTCCGGGCCCGACTTGCTCACACTTTTCGGCAGCTTCTGGTTCCGCGCAACGTCTTTGCAAAGCGAGTACTCCTGGATCCGGAAATTGATGGTTGGCCCCTTTGGCATCACTGCAAACCGTAGCTGTGTGGAGCCTGTCTCTTCGTTCTGACTGAAAATCATCAGCTGCGAGATGCCCAAAGGTCCTGCCATCACCAGAAAGTCCTTTAGCTTGTTGCGCTTGCGCTCACGCAGGTTGATCGCAGTGTGCGGGAGCATCATGGTTCTTGTATCTCTGACGAGCTGTGTAAGGGTGTGATTCTCCAAAGCCGTGCCGAGATGGATCACCATTGAGCGGGGCACCTTGGCGAGCTGTTCCTCGGACAGTTTGACGTGGGTTCTCTTTTTTTGCTAGATGTTAGGTCATTTAAGCTTGCTGATACTTACTCTTCTCTTAGCCATTGGAAAAGTATGGTGAAATAAATTTTTCAGATATTTTTTTAAAGGTTTCCGGTGTCTAAATTTTTTTTAAAGAGCGGAAACTAAGAAAAAATTAATTTTTTTTTATTTAATTACAAATGTCTCCTACAAAGCTCTCCAGGACTGGCAACTTGGCGTCGAAGAAGTCGGTTTCCAGCAAAATTGACCTGGACGCCTTGAAGAAGAAGCTGGCCGCAAAGGCCCCGGAGAAACCGTCTACGCAGACCGAAAAGGAGTCCAGCTCTGAAAATGAAGAGGAAACACAAGAACCGGTCAAGTCGTTCAAGGAACTGGGATTGCAGCGCGACATTCTGGATGCAATCGAGCAACTGAACTTCTCGGAGCCAACGCCGATCCAGGCCCAGTCGCTCCCGCACAGTCTCCAGGGCAGAGACATCATTGGTATTGCCCAGACCGGGTCCGGTAAAACGGCTGCGTTTGCGATCCCGATCCTCCAGGCCCTCTGGGAGGCGCAGACACCGTACTTTGCATGCATTTTGGCCCCAACGAGAGAATTGGCGTACCAGATCCGCGAGACGTTCGACGCTTTGGGCGTCAACATGGGTCTGCGGTGCTCCACCATCGTGGGAGGAATGGATATGATGGAACAGGCCAAGGAGCTGATGCGCAAGCCCCATGTGATCGTTGCCACGCCGGGACGGTTAATGGACCATTTGGAGAATACCAAGGGTTTCTCGCTCAAGGCCCTGAAGTATCTGGTTATGGACGAGGCAGACCGGCTGCTAGACATGGAGTTTGGTCCTGTGCTCGACAAGATCTTCAACATCATCCCTAAAGACCGTCACACGTACCTGTTCTCTGCCACGCTCACGTCCAAGGTGGAGAAGTTGCAACGGGCCTCGCTCGTCGACCCGGTGAAGGTGGCCGTCAACGACAAGTACGCCACCGTCGACACGCTGATCCAGACACTGATAGTGGTTCCGGACGGATACAAAAACACATATCTCATCTATCTGCTGAACGAATACGTTGGCAAGTCTGTGATTGTTTTTGCGCGGACCTGTGCGCACGCGCAGAAGGTGGCTCTGCTTGCGCGGATTCTGGGCTTTTCGGCCATCCCGCTGCATGGACAGCTGACCCAGGCGCAGAGACTCGGTGCCTTGAATAAGTTCAAGTCCGGGGACAAGCAGATCCTCGTTGCAACCGATGTGGCAGCCAGAGGACTGGATATCCCGTCGGTCGACCTGGTGATCAACTACGACATCCCCACCGACTCCAAGGCGTACATCCACCGTGTTGGAAGAACTGCGCGTGCGGGACGGTCCGGAAAGTCGGTTTCCTTGGTCACCCAGTACGACCTGGAGCTGATTCTGCGTATCGAGAAGGTGATCGAGATGAAGCTGCCGAAAGAGGTGCCGAACAAAAACGAGATCCTCGCGCTGCACAACTCTGTCGACAGAGCTACCGCCCAGGCCGTCTCGAAGGTCAAGGAGTTCCACTCCAAGAGAAAGTTCAAAAAGAAGGATTAGTAGCTGCACTTGTATAAACTTTTCACGGCTGTGCATATTTGTAGAAAAAAATCGTATTTTATTCATGTCTGTTCCTCCGTCGGTAGGGGACCTTGTGAAGGCGCGGCCGGTGAAGGGGAAGACTGTTTTTGTGAGCAAGAAACAGCGCGAGAAGAGAAGACTCGCAGAACAGAAACTGCCGGTGAATGGCTCCGTTTCCGGCTCGAAACCGCAACCGGAGCCTAAAAGACCCAGACTCGAGGAACCGGTGGTTTCCGTCGAGCCAGAGCCGGAGTTCGTTCCAATCGTGGATCTCCCGAAGCGGCGCGACGTTCTTGAGCTGGAAGACCAGCTCTGGTTTGAAAAACCGCTCTCCAAAATGACAGACAGAGATTGGAGAATCATGCGCGAGGACTACAATATCAGCACGAGAGGCGGCAAGTTGGCTCATCCGCTGCGCAGCTGGGACGAAAGCAGCATCTCGCCATTGATTATAGAACAGTTGGCTAAATTACAGTACACAGAGCCGACGCCGATCCAGCGAGCAGCGATCCCCAACGGTTTATCGGGACGGGATCTCGTTGGCATTGCAGAGACGGGTTCGGGTAAGACGCTGGCTTTCCTTGTCCCGTGTCTCAATTATGTTCTTCAACTGCCGAGACTGGACAGGTTCCAAGGCCCGTACGTTTTGATCATGGTTCCGACGCGGGAGCTGGCGTTGCAGATCGAAAAGGAGTTTCTCAAGTTCAAGTCGCTTGGATTTGACGTGGTTTCGCTGATTGGTGGCCATTCGTACGAGGAACACGCAGAGAAGCTCGAGCGCGGCGTGGAAGTGGTCATTGCCACTCCTGGCCGTCTGGTGGACTGTTTGGAGCAGCAGCTGGTCGGATTGGAACAGTGTTTTTTCCTGGTGATGGACGAGGCCGACAGAATGATCGACATGGGGTTTGAGCGTGACCTCAACAAGATCCTGGACCAGCTGCCCGACGGCGCACAGAACCCATACTTCTCGGGCAAGGGCGACCCCAAACGCACAACTATGATGTTCACGGCCACCATGCCAGCGCAGATCCAAAAGATATCTGCACAGTATCTGAAAAACCCGGGAATCGTTATGGTTGGCGAAGTTGGCGGCGCCGTCGACAGCGTCCGACAGGACGCCATTCAGGTAGACAACACAGACGATGCGAGACTTAACATGTTGCAAAGGATCCTGTCGCGGCGCGAGTACTATCCTCCGATCATTGTGTTTGTCAATTATAAAAAGACTTGCGAAACGGTTGCAGAGTATTTGCACCAGCTTGGGTTCAACGCGGTCACGATGCACGGGTCCAAGACTCAGGAACAGCGTGAGGCCGCGATCCGTGAGGTCAAGGACGGCGTTTCGGACGTCCTGGTGGCCACAGACGTGGCGGGAAGAGGTATTGATATTCCAGACGTGTCGCTGGTGGTCAATTTCCATATGGCCAAGTCCATCGAGGATTATACCCATAGAATTGGCCGGACAGGACGTGCGGGAAAGGAGGGCACGGCGATCACGTTCTGGAGCGCAGATGACGAAGACGTGTTGTACAATTTGAAACAGATCATCATGAAAAGTCCGGCCAGCAGGTGTCCCGAGGATCTTAGAAGACACCCGGCTGCACAGAAAAAGGCCGTCAAGAATATTGACCAGTGATCAGTCGCTGTCGCTGTCGTATCCGAGTTTGGAGGCAAGTTTGGGTTTCTGTAGTAGTTTAATAGCATCCAGTGACTTATTAGCGAAAATCGAAGACGGCTGTGGAGCAGGCAGAGTTTTGATAGTTTGTGGCTCCTCTTCTTGTTCTTCTTCTTGTTCCTCTTCTTCCTCTTCATGTTGCCCTTCCTCCTCTCTCTGCTTCACGCGCTGGATCTTCTCTTCCATCTTTTTCAGCAGCTTCGTGGCCGTCTCCAGGGCTGTCTGTTCCTCGTCCTCTCTATTTCGTTTGCGTGCTACCGGATCCGGGTCCTCGTTGGCCCACTTGATGTTCAGTGCTTCCTGAACGTTCTCCTTGAGCAGACTCTGGCCATACATGGCCTCTTTGGCGAACTGGGCCTGCGACTCGAGCCGATACGTCACAAACGCAATGCTCTTGCTTTTCACCACCCGTGTGCGCTCCACCTGGCCATACTCTCCAAAATTCTTATTTACAAGCATCTCGATGTTTCCGTCCATGCTGTGGAACTTCTCCACAAACAGCGTCTTATTAACCTTGTTGAACGATCCGACTCCCGTCATGTCGTCGCGGTAGTCCGCAAACCGCTCTCGTCCAAAACAATCCACCGTGTGCGGAAAGAAATCCATATCTGTAGGAAGTCTGTGGAGATACTGGCACTTTCGGCCGTTTGTGCAGTATCCACGGGCAAAATAAAGACAAATGAACTTATCGCGGTTCACAGACCCGGGCTTAACGTCTTTATCTGCCTTGGTGTACCCAGAATCCTTGGCTGGATGACATCTATGTGCAGAATGGGCCACTGTTCGTCCGTTGAACTCACCGCCTGTCCATCGACTGTACCAGAGATTGAACACCTCACCTGTCTGAGGAGGTTTCGAGTCCACAGCCACAGTGTCGGGGTCTAACTGAAGACGGGCTGGCCTTCGAGACATAACAAGAGATGAAGAAGAAAATATTTATTTTTTAATCTCTTTGTTATGTCCCAAGAATCCCCGTTCAATTCCAACACGTTTGGGAACACGCTGTCGTTGCGTGTGGACGGGAATTATCTGTCGACGATGTCGATTTCGCCGAGCGGGCGGGACGCTGTGTTGGCCGGGCGACGGGGGCTTTTTGTGATCGATCTGGACGACCCGTTCGCAGCTCCTCGATGGCTCCACCACGAAACGTCCTGGGAGGTTGCAGACGTGCAATGGTCCCCTCACAGGAGCAAGCCGTCGTGGGTCGTTTCTACGTCGAACCAAAAAGCCATGGTTTGGAACCTTGCTAGACCGTCCCATGACGCAATAGAACATGTTCTCCATTCCCATACTAGAGCGATAACAGACATCAACTTCCACCCGCACCATCCAGAGCTGCTGGCAACTTGCTCGGTCGACTCCTTTGTACTCTCGTGGGACCTACGTTCTCCAAGGAAACCCATCAATTCGTGGTCCGACTGGAGAGCCGCGGCCTCCCAAGTCAAGTGGAACTACAAGAACGCAAATATATTGGCCTCCACTCACGACAATCATATTCTGATTTGGGACACACGTAAGGGAGCTATTCCATTGGCAAAGATCCCTGCCCATAACGCCAGAATCAACGGAATCGACTGGAGTAGAAGCCAAGAGGAGAAACTTATCTCGTGCTCCAACGACATGTCGGTCAAGTTCTGGGACGTGAAAAATTCCCCTAATAAGCCAGTGTACACTATCCGGACAGACTTCCCGGTGAGCAGAGCCCGTCATACGCCGTTTGGCGATCAGGTCTGTGGAATCATGCCTGCACGAGGAGGTCAGAACTCGGTCTACATCCTCAAGTACAAAGATGAGTCAGGCGAGTCCAGATTGAAGCCCAGCTACATTTTCAAAGGGCATACAGAGCCGGTGAAGGATTTTCTGTGGAGAACGCGACACTCTGAAAACGCCACTGTGGACGACCGCGAGTTCCAGCTTGTTACGTGGTCTGCAGACTGTGATTTGCGTCTTTGGCCTATCCACGAAGACATTTACGATAACTTCAACTACAAAAAGAACCAGCCGCTCAAAACGCCGCTCCCCGACCATGAGTATAGGACGTACCGCCAGGAGCCGCCAGTCGCTCCAAAAAACAATCTCATCATTCGCAGAAGAAACACAAATATGATCTCTAGCAGGGGCAGTTTCACGTTGCACAACGACCAGTTCAACCATCTGAACTGGATTGCAGGAATTCGTATTGGCCAGTCTGCCGTCGAGCAGCTCGACGTCAAGGTCGGAGACAGCTCGTTGCCTGCTAACCTTGCCGAGGAGGTCAGTAACGTGGGTCACAAGTTCCCCAAGATCCGGTTTGAGAGAATCAGCGTTTCTACGGGAAATCTCGTTATTTCGCTGAACGGTCCATGGAAGGACGAGCTGATCTTCATTCGGGTTGAGATCAACTTTCCATCGGAGTACCCATCTCCAGAAGGAATTCCCCATTTCTCCATCGAGGAGACGCACGAGTTGACCGAGGAAGACCGCAAAGAGATGCTCACCAACCTAGACGAGATTGCTTCCAAGTACTGCGCGCTGAAGCGGTTCTGTTTAGAGCCATGTTTGCGTTATTTACTTGGAGAGAAGGTGAATTTGGACATCGAACAGGAGGAAGACGACTTGACTCTTGATCCTTTTTCGATTCCGTACGAGGACGCAAATGGCTCAGACATAAGTGTTGATGTTTCCTCGATCTCCGACAGAGACAGTGGAGTCGATTCTGACGATGACGCGGTCGCTGTTCCCGATGTCAGCAAGCCAACGTTTGACAGCACTCCTGTTCCAAAAGGCTGTGGAGCTATTTGGACTGCCAGCGGACATCTTGTTTGTTTCTTCATCTCGAACGAAGACAAGAAAGCTCCGCAGCAGGTGTTCAAGTTTGGACAGCAAGGATTTGGGCTCATGAACGGGCTCAAGGGCAAGAAGATCGAGAACGGGCTGGATATTGCCAACAATCGCGGGGATTCCGACGAAGACTCCTCAGACGTGAGCTCCGAAGGCAGTTTCTCGGACGATCTGGACATTCTGCGGTACGACAGACTGTACAAGACGAAAGCTACCATTGAGAACGCAGCTAGCAACCAAGGGACACATACATCAAAGTCGAAACAGAGCAAGAATCTGGTGACTATCCATGATTTCCGGCATCTTATTCCAGCCAAGATGGAGCTTGCTTACGAATACAGAGTTCTGGGAGATACTCCGGAGAATCTCTCCAAATGCAACGCTTTGGTTGCAGAAAAATATGGATACAAAGACCTGGCCGACTGTTGGAAACTTCTGTCGATTATTCTTGTGAAGGAAGTCCAATTCGAAGACAAGCTGGATCTTGCTATTCGAAGTGGTATTGTCCCCAAAGAGGAGTCGGTCAACAGGTTCTATTGGGGGTCGCATCCTTTTGGAGGTAGATGGCTAGCCAAAATGATCATGAGCTACTACGAGCGTCTGGGTAACGTCCAAATGCTAGCCATGTTGTCCTGTATCATGCACGAACACTTTGAAAACAGAGACCGTCCTGGAGTTCCGATCAACACTCCGTATTCGATTGGTCCTCCAGCCTCGGATAGAGCGTCTGTTCGTCAGAATTCCCGAGGCCCAATGGTTTCTTTCGACACACGCAGTCCGCACGGGTCGTACCGGCCGTTTGTGTCGCGAAACAGACTGTCCTCGGTCAGCACTGCGTCTATATCTGAGAGCTTAGGGGGATCTCCAGGCGACATGCATTTCTCGAACCGCCGCGGAATCCGGCTCCAGAGCATCACTCCAAGCAACCCGAACCCGTCAGACTCGTTTTCTGCTTTTATGGGCCGGTCTCCTGGAGCATTGACTCCGTCGTCGCTCTCGTCAGGCGGGAACGTTTTCAGTCGGGCGTTCCAGAAATCTATGACCAACGGGGTTTCTGTGACGGCTCCGGGGGTGTCGATCCAGATGCTCAACGTGGAGGACCTCGATTTGTACGAAGGAGTCTACTCGATGAGTCTGCTGGATACGCTTGACAGGGATAAGTTGCAGATGTACAGGTCGGAATATGCAGATCTGCTATTCTGCTGGGGGCTTCCAGTGTCTCGGGCAAAAATCCTGAAGTTCAACCACGACGGGGGCCGTATTGGCGGGCAGTCGGAGCATCTGGGCGGTGTTGGGTGGCTGAAGAACAGCGCGCCGGGCATCTGGGACGGGGTGCGGCTGCAACGCAAGTGTCAGTTCTGCCATCTCTTGAGCCGCGAACGGCTCGTTGTTTGCACGGTCTGTAACCATCTTTTACATGCGGAGTGTGCTCTTCAATGGTGGGAGCAAGAACGTATGGAGGAGTGCTGCAGCGGGTGCGGGTGCCGATGCCTGGACCACCGACTCCGAGAAATCGAGATCTGAAGGGCATGTCGTGCGCGCGCGAAAAAAAAGTTTACCGATAGCCGTAAAAATGTAATCAGAAATAAATAGTTAGAGGCAAAAGTGGTTAACTGGCATTTTCTACAGCACAACCCAGTAAAACAAGAAACAGCGGCAAATAATTGAAAATGACGAGTCGATCGCGCCACGACGTGAGAAGACAGCTTTTTCGCGGCATCACGACACGAATTTCGTCGCACAACTACAATGGGGCCAAAGAGGAGGACAAGGAACAAATCACAACACAGCAATCCACGCAACCGCGAAGCGGTGACGGGAGCCGGCGTGGGGTTCTACGGGGAACCAGTGAGATCACGCCGACGTTGGCGACGAAATCGAACGTGATGACGCTAACTCCCAGCAACACCTACTCATCCACCAGCTTGGTGTCGGGCTCGACCGACATCAACGGAACGGACGTCAGCGACAAGGTTTCTCTGCGGCAAAAGAGCGAGGCCGATATGGACCAGTACGATTACAAGACGTTTAGCACGATTCATCCGCTGCGGCTATCGAAGATACGGGCGTTTGAGCAGGCCGAGATGGCCCACAAGATGTATTTTGCCAAGGACGAGGACATCGAGCGCAAGAAAAATTGTATGATAGTGCAGGTTCCCGGACTGACGCTGCGGGAGTCTCGAGAGCTGAGTGTTGACGCTGGGTTTGGCGAGAACGATTCGCAGATGGAGGATACCCTCGAGTACGGGGTGTACGAGGACGACGACAGCGACGAGGACGAAACAAGCATGGAGAAAGACGACCCGTTTGTGTCTGCAGACAAGCGACTACGGATAATGAAGAATGCTTTGCGTCCCGTTACCGAGGAGCAACTGGTTGCAAAGAAGCTGAAGCGGTCGCCGCTGAACACGGTGTTCCAGACGAGTCCGCAGTTTCTGAAGGACCTGGATTTGCAGGAATTAGAGCTTTGGGAGTTAATGAACGAGGAATTCGAGAAGGAGATGGAATCTGCGGGCATGGACAGTCGCGAGGCAGCCAAGCGGGAGACTCAGATGACGTTTTTGGACACGCCGTTGGACTCGTTGTCGTCGGTGTTGACGCCCGAATACTCGACGATGGTGTTTGATGGCCTGCGGCGTGTCATCAGACGGGATCTTGACCGCGACAGTGTTGGGTTTAATGTTGGTACGGAATAGAACAGGTCGATCGACGCGGCCCTAATTTTCTTGGTAGTATCACGCTTGGAATACCCCAGCCACTTTTTTTAATTTATATTTTCTGCACAGCCCCGCTAACAACAAGTGGCAAACTAAGAAAGAATTGTTAAACAACCAATTGCACCAAGAAGGTTGTTGTGATTGTGTAGAATTGCAATTATGAACGTTATCAAGCTACAAGTAAGTGGATAATTTGCCGGCCTATTTCTAACTCGTTTCAGAAAAAATTCCCCGTGCTACAACAGGAAGATATCTTCAACATTATCGATGATTTCCGCAAGATCGACCTGGACGATAAAGGATGGGTGGACCGTAAGCATGTGATCGAGTCTGTGTCGCAAGAGGGCAAAGGTTCTTACGACGACGTGAGAGAGGCATTGAAGCAGGTGAGTGTTGATGCTTCGGGACATGTGGAGCTGGACGACTATGTTGAGTTGCATGCCAAGTTGAAGGAGATCCGGCAGCCGCCTGTTTCTGGTGGTTCTGCTGCCACGGCCGGCACGGTGGCCTCTGCGGGCTCGTCTGCGGGCGGGTTTGTACACAAGGGAACCGGTGCTGCTGCCAAGGTCATTGTCACAGGAAAGTCCGGTACCACACACACAATCAACGACGAAGAGCGGATTGAGTTCACCAGACACATCAATGCCGTTCTCGCTGGCGATCCCCATGTTGGTGACAGATTGCCATTTTCGCTCGATACGTTCCAGATTTTCGACGAGTGCACAGACGGATTGGTTCTTTCCAAGCTGATTAACGATTCTGTTCCAGACACAATTGACACCAGAGTTTTGAACATCCCTAAGAAGGGCAAGAAGCTGAACAACTTCACGATGCTGGAGAATGCCAACATGGTGTTGAACTCGGCCAAGGCCATTGGATGTGTGGTTGTCAACGTCCATTCGGAAGATATTATTGAAGGAAAAGAACACTTGATTCTGGGTCTGATTTGGCAGATTATCAGAAGAGGTCTGTTGAGCAAGATCGATATCAAGCTCCATCCAGAACTGTACAGATTGTTGGAGGATGACGAGACTTTGGAACAGTTCCTGAGACTTCCTCCTGAACAGATTTTGCTCAGATGGTTCAACTATCATCTCAAAGCAGCCAACTGGAACAGAAGAGTGTCCAATTTCAGCAGCGACGTGAGCGACGGTGAGAACTACACCATTTTGTTGAACCAGTTGCAGCCAGAGCACTGTTCTAAGGCTCCATTGCAGACCACCGACCTGTTGCAAAGGGCCGAGCAGGTTCTAATTAATGCGGACAAAATTGGTTGCAGAAAGTACCTGACTCCAACCGCCTTGGTTGCAGGTAACCCACGTTTGAACCTTGCCTTTGTTGCTCATTTGTTCAACACTTATCCTGGACTCGATCCTATTGAGGAGAGCGAAAGACCGGAGATCGAGGAGTTCGATGCCGAGGGAGAAAGAGAGGCCAGAGTGTTCACCTTGTGGCTGAACTCTTTGGAAGTGGACCCTCCTGTTGTTTCGTTGTTTGAAGATTTGAAGGACGGTACGATTCTACTCCAGGCGTTCGACAAGGTGATGCCTGGCTCTGTTGACCTCAAGTTCATCAACAAGAGACCAAGCTCGGGCGGCGAGATGTCCAGATTTAAGGCTCTCGAAAACACCAACTACGCGGTCGAGGTTGGAAAGGCCAACCGGTTCTCGCTTGTTGGTATTGAGGGGTCGGACATTGTTGACGGAAACAAGATGCTGACCCTGGGACTAGTGTGGCAATTGATGAGAAGAAACATCGTGGACACTTTGTCCAAGCTTTCTTCGAACGGCAAGGAAGTCTCTGATGCGGAGATTTTGAGATGGGCCAATGCACAAGTCACCAAGGGAGGCAAATCGTCGACGATCCGGTCGTTCAAAGACTCTTCTTTGGGTACTGGAGTGTTCCTGCTGGATGTTTTGAACGGTATCAAGCCGGGATACGTGGACTACTCGCTTGTCACCGCCGGAGCTACCGAGGACGAAAGATACGCCAACGCCAGACTGGCTATCTCTATTGCCAGAAAGCTTGGTGGTTTGATCTGGTTGGTTCCGGAAGACATCAACGAGGTGAGATCGAGACTGATCTTGACGTTTGTTGGATCATTGATGTCGCTCAAGGTGTAGCACCGTTTATTTTTACGTTTGAAAATAGAGATTTGGAAAACCGGGTTTTTTAAAAATGTAGCTTGATTATGAGTCTGCGTATATTTTTCTAGTGTCTGATATTTGGTCTTTCAGACGATCGTCCCATTGTAGCTTGAGGTCCTGGAAGTACTTCGCCACGTCGGCCTTTCCTGAAGGGTCCACGTCGGTCACTTTAAGGTACTCTTTACCGTTGTAGGAGCATGCACTGCCGTATTTTTTTTCCTGCGAGTCATGTGCAGGGTGTGCTTTGAGGCAGGCGAAGAGCGGGGCGTTTGCTGCTGTCCAGCCGGAGATGTTGTGCCATGGCGACCCAAATAGCCGTGCCACGTAGAACATGAGCAACATGCCGTAGAACGTGAACGGGTTCAGGTACTGGAAGAACGAAAACGAGGTGAATATGCCGGGATGGGTGAGATACTGCGTGATACCGTATTTGGTGTGCAGGTCCTTGTAAGTTGCCAAGTGGAGCAAATCCACGAGCCGTTTGGACCCTTCGTACGAGATGTCTGATTGGAGCAGCTGGAGGTCCGCAAACGACAGGTACGACGGCTTGGACATGATGCTGGAGATCCACACCACTTTGGGGCTCGGGCTTTTTGAGAGCAGCGGCTCGGCCAGCTGTTGCACAAAGTAGTACGGTCCAAACACGTTTGCCTGGAAAACCAGACCGAGTCCGTCGCGGGACTTGACGCCCACCCTTTGGATCTTGTAGGTGGGGAAAGTGGAGGCCTTGACCGGGTTGGCCAGCACCTCTTTAGTGGCCTGTATCCAGTCGATGCCTGCGTAGACGCCCTGGGCCGCGTTGATGAACAAGTAGTCGATTTTCTCGTGCGACTTCTTCAATTCGTACACGGCGCCCAGTATCGACACCATGTTGGAGAAGTCCACGAGGATATAGTCGAAACTGAGGATTCCTTCTCTGTGCGCATGTTTTTCGTTGTACTCTTTAATTTTGTCGATGGCCTCTCTGGCCTTGGGCAAGGTTCTAGAGGTGACAATGATAGTGAGCTTGTCGCCCGTGGGAACCTCCTCGAGAAGCCGGTAGGCGATGTTCAGCCCCAAATTGCTGTTTGTTCCTGTGATGAGTGCGGACAGATGCATTATTTGAACAATTTAAACGAGAGAAATTGCACAGCCGTTGGTTTTTCTCTTAGCGATGTGGAGACCGAGCATTTGGCAGGATCGAATGTAAATCAAGGGCCAAACATACGCACTAGACCATTCACTGGATCTGCAGACGTCTGTGTGATCTGTGCTGGTATGGTTGCAACAAAGTAGCAACCCGCACGGCAACAATAGAAAAGTGTTTCAGATTGGCCAACTCCTTTCACATTGCATTTGTCTGGGAAAGCAGGGCGAAAGTCCCACACGAAACCAATGAACTGACTGCTCTGAGGTGCAGAACATGAAACTTGGACGGTATTTTTCCCGTTCTCTTTCATCCCGTGTATCAGAATCAAGTATATATAGATGGAAGCAGACCTGTCGTTGGACCAAGCGAGACTGGTCAAATGCACGCCAAACAATTCGTCTTCAACCTGAGAGATTACGAGGTCAGAGATATCCTGGGCGAGGGTGCCTACGGCGTCGTGGCGCTGGGAGTGCACAGAAGATCCGGAACGACCGTGGCTGTGAAAAAGATCGAACCGTTTGAAAGAGAACTCTTCTGTTTGCGCACACTCAGAGAAATCAAGCTCCTCAAACACTTCAGACACAACAACATCATCAGCATCCTCGACGTCCAGAAACCCCGCGACTTCGAGTCTTTCAAAGAGGTGTACATTGTCCAGGAGTTCATGGAGACCGACCTGCATCACGTGATCCGGTCCCAGGTGCTGAGCGACGACCACGTCCAGTACCTGATGTACCAGGCGTTGAAAGGTGTCAAGTGTCTGCACTCTTGCGGGGTGATTCACCGGGACCTGAAGCCTGCGAACCTGCTGGTGAACTCGAACTGCGATCTAAAGATCTGCGATTTTGGGCTTGCTCGGGTCGGCAGAGACGACTCGTCCGGGACGCATTCCGAATCCAAAGACTCTTTCCTGACAGAGTACGTGGCCACGAGGTGGTATCGCGCTCCGGAGATCATGCTCACATCGTCGCAGTACTCCAAAGCCATCGACATTTGGTCCATGGCATGCATTTTGGCAGAAATGCTGCTCAGAGAGCCGTTTTTGCCAGGGAAGGACTACAGACACCAGCTACTTCTGATTTTCGAGATTCTGGGCACTCCAACGGGGGCAGACTTCCAATCCATCAAGTCCAAACGCGCCAGAGAGTACATTCGGTCGCAGCGGTTCTTCAAGAAGATCCCACTCAAGAAGATCTTCCCGCGTGCGAACCCAGTTGCTGTAGACCTGATGGAGAAGATGCTTAAATTCGACCCGACGAAAAGACTAACCGTGGAGGAGGCCCTGGAGCATCCGTACTTTGGCTCGTACCGCGTGCCTGAAGAGGAAACAAACGCGCTGCCGATCTCCAAAGACTTCTTTTTCTTCGACGACTGCAAAGAACAGCTCGAAATGATCGACCTCAAACGCATGCTCTACGCAGAGATCCTGGCCACGTAAAATCCGGGGCCCGTGTTTCTATTGTTTTGGCGATGGTGCAAGGTGTGGAATTTGGTGTCCTAAATAGAATAAATTAATTATAGGCCAGGTAATCCAAACTGTTTTTATGATCAATGCACGTAAGCAGAGAGTGTTGGCGATTGCTGCACTATGTTTTCTGATTATTCTCCTTGTGACTGTGACTGGGTCTGGTGAGAAGAAGCCCCAAGTGCTTGCTGGTGAGCGGTCGTACTCTCCTACACCAGGGAACAATAAACATGCTCAGGCTGGAGGCAACGTGAACGAGCTTGTTCGCGACAAATCCGGGGTCATTGACGAGTCGAAGGTCAAACAGGCCGAGGAACATTCAAACGTCAAGCCACCAACCATGGCTCCCGGCGGCGACACCGGCAAGGTCAAGATCAACGCAGACACGTCCAAGAAATCAGGATCAAGTAAGGAGCACCTGGCAATCAAGGAGCAGAATGTTGCACAGGAACTCAAGGACTTGAAGGAGACAAAGGACTTCTCCAGTGCAAAAGGATCGAAGGACGTGGAGGCCAAGAAGCCAGCAAAGGACACCGGTGCCGTGTTCGACCCTGCCAAGGAATTCAAAGAAGTGCTAGCACTGTCACCGTTTGTGATCTTTTCCAAGTCATTCTGCCCTTATTCAAAGAAACTAAAGGACCTTTTGCACTCCAGCTACAGTATTACTCCACAGCCGGCGATCGTGGAGCTCGATCACCACGAACACGGCAAGGAGTTCCAGGCATACTTGGGTGAGGTGTCCGGCAGAAAGACCGTACCAAACCTTTTTGTCAACGGTGTGAGCCGCGGCGGCTGCGACGAAATGGTTGCACTCCATGCAAGCAACGAACTACTCGAACATCTGGTTTCCTGGGGAGGCCTCAATGTGAAGGTGGAAAAGATCAATAAACCATCAAACTCATAAACTTATACGATTACGTAAACGCAAATAATGTCTGTCGTTAATTAACCATGTATGCTTCTGCCACTATCGATTCAATTGCGGGCTCTGCGCCAATTAGAAAGCCACAGTACGAGCAGAGACAGCTGAACACTCCGTCCGAGGATCTCCAACAGCTAATCAAAAGTCTGGGCCTTCTGAAACACCAGGAAGGCGGATATTTCAACGAGACCGATCGGTCCTCGCTCTTCATGGAAAGTCCTTATTATCCAGGCCATAACGACGGATCAAAGACCAAGCCATTGCGTCTTGGAGGATCCGAGGAGCCAGATCTACCAAATCCGGAAGACAACACCAAAAAGATTGCTCCCTTGAGAAATACGTCTACACTTATCCATTATCTGCTGACCTGCGATGCGTTTATGGGCAGATTCCATAGGAACAACTCGCGGATCATTCATATTCTGCAAAAGGGCCGCGGCCAGTACGTACTGGTGTATCCGGACGGGACCGTGAAGTCCTTTATTGTTGGTTTTGACGTGGCCAGGGGCGAGGTGACCCAATGGGTGGTGCCAGGAGGTGTTTATAAGGCATCTTTCCTGCTACCATTGGACGGAGAAGAGTCCGAAAAGGACCACTTGCTGATCAGCGAGGTTGTTGTTCCTGGGTTTGAATACGATGACCACCGGTTTATGGAGAGCTACGATGAGTTGCACGCGCTCGTTGGTGACAGAGCAGACTCGTTGAAATGGCTACTGGAAGCCAAATAGTATTAGCTAAACACACCTAAAAAAATCGCACACGTGACTTCCACGTGACGTTTTGACTTTCCGGACTGTGAAAAAAAAAGTAGGTCTATTTTTCAAAGGTTAAAATTTTCAAAGTTTATTGGACTTGTTTAATAGATCAATATGGCTACTGAATTGACCGTGCAGTCTGAAAAGGCTTTCCAAAAGGTATGTTATCCAATTTATGACAGCAGATGATTGATGAGTATCCACGAGGAAGAAAGAGCATTGTCAAACACCGGTTCGTGCTTGTTCACGTTCACCAGACGTTTTATTTTGACCGACGAAAACCCAGTTTAAACGGGGCATACTTCGCTCAGACAACGTTTGTAACACTTCTCATGGGAAACTCAACATGTCTGTCGTTAGTTCAACGTTCTAACATTTAGCAACCACACATCTTCACCAACCCAAAGGCTAAGGCCTCTAGAAGAACCAAGAGATGGTACAAGGACGTCGGATTGGGATTCAAGACTCCTAAGGCCGCCATCGAGGGTACTTACATTGACAAGAAGTGTCCATTCACCGGTACCGTCTCTATCAGAGGTAGAATCCTGACCGGAACTGTTGTGTCCACCAAAATGCACAGAACCATCATCATCAGAAGAGACTACTTGCACTACATTCCAAAATACAACAGATACGAGAAGAGACACAAGAACCTCGCTGCTCACGTTTCTCCAGCTTTCAGAGTCCAGGAGGGTGACATTGTTACTGTTGGTCAATGTAGACCAATCTCCAAGACTGTGAGATTCAACGTTGTGAAGGTTGCTTCTTCCAAGGCCAAGGCCAAGGCTTTCACCAAGTTCTAAATTAGATGTGTAATCGAAAGGATGAGTATTGAATGCTGTAGACACCTGTTTATTGGTGCACGGGAGTGCGTTGTTGGTGCTTCCCAAATGCTTACGTAACCTTTTATTCTTCCTCGCCCAAACGGGCAGGTTTGAAAATTTTCCACCACCTTTCAGCAAATTTGCAAACGAATTACCCTCTCACTTTGTATTTACTCTTACCCTGTCTTGAAGGGTAACTGTTTATTGATAAGATAAGGTCTGGATTTTCATCCATGTTGGATCAACAGCATCAAGAGGCACAGGAGCAGATCGGAGGGGCTCGGGCATTATTGGAATTGGGTACCAAGCAGAAGGAAGGCGCAGACCAAAACAATGACCCGGACCAGCAATCCAAGCATGACGACGACGACGACACGTTGGATCGGTCGCGGAAGCGCGCGTTTGCCAACGAGGACGACATGTCGCAGCTCGAGTTCCAGCAGTGGACCACTGGGTTTCTTGCGGACGATTTAGAAGGCCACGAGGGCGACCAGGACGCGGACGGTTACCATTTCGGGAACCAGTCGGGACTTGGGATTCCTTCGTTGAGCCAGAACAGCTCCAAGCGACCAAAGAAGACCCCTAAAAAGGACGGCCCTGGTCCGCGAAACGGGGCTTCGGGAAATGGAAGACTCAAGAACATCAACGTTGATCCCGAACTTGCCAACTTAGACACCTCTTCGTTTGTGCAGGACGCGATGATCGATGCGCGTACGCTAGCCAGTCTCGGGTCGATCGACCACGAGTATCTGCGCCAGGCCGCAGAGAGTGCGCACGAGGGCACGGCAGAGGACGAGGTCCAGCATCTGGCAGTTCAGGCCGTGAACCAGGCCGTTGCAGCCGCACAGGCCCAGGCTGCAGCAGTGATGGAGAAAAACGACGCACAAAACAACAGCATACAGGGCTCCGACAGAAGAAAGCATCTACCCACTCCACCGCTCCAGTCAGACTCCCAGCAGGATCGCTCTGGAGGCTCTCGCGAGCTGTCTCCCTCTGGTCACGTGTACAGTGCTCCGAATGCAGAAACGGCAGCTCTTGTTGCCGAGGCCGCGGAGAAGGCGCGCAGCTACGTGACGGTGCACCCGCAAGGCCGGTCGTTCTCGAAGGAGGAGTCGAACGCCATCGATCTGTTTATCACCGAGTACCGCAACATCAACAACATGACTCGGGAGGAGATATGTAAGCGGATCTGGTCGAACGAGCGCAAGAAGGACGATTTTTGGGAGTCGTTGCAGAAAGTGCTTCCTGAGCGGACGAGGGCCTCGCTGTACAAGCACGTTCGCAGAACGTACCATATCTTCAACGTCCGTGGCAAGTGGACGCCTGAGGACGACGAGAAGCTTGCTTCTTTGGCCTCCAAGATGGAGGGCCAGTGGAAGCAGATTGGCCTGGAGATGAACAGAATGCCCGAGGACTGCAGAGACAGATGGAGGAACTACGTCAAGTGTGGCAACAACCGTCTGAGACACAAGTGGTCGCTGGAGGAAGAGGACAAGCTACGGACGGTGATCCACACGATGCTGCGGGAGCAGACTGCCAACTCGAGTGCGATCGACGTGGAGCCGGTGATCAACTGGACGCTGGTGAGCGAGCGCATGGGCGGCACACGGTCGCGGATCCAGTGCAGATACAAGTGGAACAAGCTTGTGAAGCGCGAGGCGGGCAACCGTGCTCGGAGCGTTGATCTGGAGACGAGGAATTGGCTTCTTGCGCGTCTACGGGAGATCTGGAACCGGGAGGGGACCGAGTCGATCGATTGGGACACTCTGGCGTCGTTGCATCCAACCAACATTTGGACGGGGGCAGATTTCAAAAAGTGTTTTGAAAAGATGAAGTCTACCGTCAGTGGGTACAGAAAGAAGAGTTTTATTGAGATTGTGGATATTTTGCTACAGGACAACACAGACACCTTCTTTGACTCCGAAGACAAGAGTCCGGAGAAGAAGAAAGACGAGGCCAAACCAGACGCAAAGAAACCAGACACAGAGGTGTCTCTTTCGGAGTTACAGGACCTGGTGAAAAGAGAGGTGGAAGCCATTGAGTTCCGTTGAGTGGAGTGTATAATAGTATACGAACAGTAAGTTGGAAATTCTATTGTATTCGGATTACTTATTATGGAAAACCGTTCGGTGTTTTTCTTTTTTTTTTGTCCTCGCTAGGCGTACTGATTTTTCAGATAAAAATCATTGCCCGCACACCAAGGGTGCCGGGAGCGGGCCGAAATGAGTAGTTAGAAAAAAATTAAAAAAAAAAGACATTAAGGTCAGTCACGGATTGCCATGCCGAAGTTGGAGAATTCGAATTTGCACAAACAGCGCAAGCGGAATAGGGTTCCTATTTCGTGTACGATTTGCCGGCGTCGCAAGGTCAAGTGTGACAAAAAGAAGCCAGAATGTACAAACTGTATCAAGAATGGAGTGCAACATCTTTGTCGGTACCTTGAACCCAGCTGGGCCAAGCCTCTGGATGAAAAAGAGCTGCTTTTCCCTGGATCTGTGCCGTCGAACCATCAGAGAGAGCTCTCGACGTTCTCTGGTGACGACGACGCAGAAATTAAACGGCTGTTGTCCAAGATAAGAGAGCTAGAACACGAGAACAGCGAGCTTAAAAAAAATAAACAAACATCAGGCACCACTCGAACTTTGCTCAAGAACTCAGACAACCTGGTTGACTGCATTCGCAATTCGAATATCCTGTTCACTGCGAAGAAGGGTCCCACGTATAATTTCCCCATCATCTACCAGATCAGTGTTCTTTCGTGGATGTTTGTTGTTCGTAACGATTCGTACCTGAACAACTTGTGGCTCAAGATTTTGAAGCTCCGCAACCACTACGAGTACTACTACAGCAGCAAGAACGCAATGGCCGACGCCTCCAAGTCTTTGGAGACAGATTACACCAACTACGATTTTAGAATGAGTCGAATTAGACAGCACAACAAAACCCACGAAGTGCCAAAGGAAAAAAGCAACGAGCACACCAGCAAGCTCAAGAAGTTCCTTGAAACGGCAATGGTGTTCAACAAGCCTGCCTCGGGCTCAAAGTGTCCAATCACAGGCCAGGCCGGAGAATGTCCTGCGCAGCAGTCTCCAACGGTTGAGAAGTCTCCTGTTACTGTGAAACGGTGCCCTGTAATCCACGACGATGGCAGCCAAATCGAAATGGGCAAAGAGGACGTCGACGACGAAGACGACATCGAGAACCCGAAAGTTTGTCCGCTCATGATCGGCGATGCCCGGGCCTTGTTCAAAGAAAAACTGTCCAAGATGTCTGTTTCGGCCATTAGAGACCTGCCCAAGTCGCACTCTCCTAAAGTGACGTCCATCTCGGCGGATTTCACAGAGACAAACAGCGGCTCGTCGAGCACCGCAGAGACCGAGACAGCCCAGTCTGTCGAAAACTCCGAGCCGGTCGCCACCATTGACGGGTTGCGCAAGCTCAACAAAAATCCCAAGAAATCAAAGACCATATCTCCTTCCGCAATCAAGAATCTCAACTACAACAACACCAAACAGGTCATTGCTGTGATTGAAAAGCATCTGCCCGACCGCAAGGTTGTCTGGCTACTGATCGACAGATACTTTGAGAGATTGTACATCCATATGCCGTACGTGGACGAAGAGACGTTCCGGATGAGAATTGCTTCGATCATCGACTCTGCCGACTCCTCGTCCCAGGAGATCCGTCTGGGCTCTATTGGGTCTCAGTATTGTGAAGAGTTTTTGAACATTTGTTTAATGCTCATTATTCTGCGGTTGAGTTGGTTGTCTCTTCCAACCAAAATGTCCGAAAGTCTCACCCCAGAGGAGCAGATCATGATGAAGCCCGAAAACGTCATCACCATGGTGCTCGTGGATATGGTGAAGGAGATTTTTTCAAGCGCCAAAATCATGAGCAAACCGTCTCTGATCATTTTCCAGGTCGGTCTGTATCTCAAATTCTACAACGTGATGTCGCCCGAGGACGGGTTCGATCTCGAAGACTCGTACTCGAACACCAACACCAGCCTGTTGAACTCGAACGACCTGAGCGGAGACCTCACCAACGAGAACCCGAATATGAACTCTCCAAATTTCATGTATATGTTGATCCAATTGGCCAGAACCATTGGATTGAACCGCGACCCGCTCAACTTCAAAAACTTCTATCCAGCAACAGAGGACCCGGTTTCGAATGCCAGACTGTTCCGCAAGAGACATTTATGGAGAAAATTGTGGTACGGCCTGCTTGGTATTAGCATTGAGAGCAACTTGAGTTTGGGAGACTACGAGAAAGGACTTCCAATAGAGATCGACTTCGATCCGACGCTGGGCTCCGTCAACAAGACATGGGATTGTCGACTTCCTGGTGGAGTCGAACAGGGTGTCTTGGAGAAGAGTTTCAATGGCAACTTGTTGAAGAAGGAGCAACTGGTGGTCACCAATTTCAAAGACTCTATTTTGGTGTACCATACGTTATACAAAGGAATGAGCACATTGTTTAATGTCGATGTGACGCCAACTTCGAAGGACTTCGATGTAATTCTTGCCAAGTTGCTGGACCTTGTTTCTGATCGGTCCAAAATCAAGCTGAACATGGCCTCGTTCATCAGCGACGAGGAAGAAACGCCTTTGGAAAGATATGTCAAGATCTACAAGTTCAAGCTCCACTTGGTGGTGAAGTCGATGCTGTTTGCCCTGAACTATCTGCTTTTCCTCAACCACGAACAGAAATTCAACAGATGGATCTCTGAAAAAGGAACCAGTATAGAGAAGCTGGAGAAGCAAAAAGAGCACATGGGCACGTACTTCGAGAGCTGTTTGCTGCTTGCTGTTGACAACTACGATATTTTCAACCAGGTCTACGAGAAAAGCGATACGTTGTATCCGAGCTGCGGATCGCAGTTAATTCTCTATCCGTATCTTTTGATATTGAACCACCGGTCGCACGAGTTTTTGATCTCGTTGATTTTGCGGTTGCAACAGAACTCGCCTGTGGTTTTGGAGATTCTCAAGAAGAACAATATTGACCAGGAAGAACTGATGAGCAGACTGTTTGACTACTTGCAATCTTTCCTGGACAAACTGGAGGATCTCACCAAGCTGTACTACTATGCATGGAGATTGAAGAAGATGGTCAAGTTTTTCCACAACATTCTGACCAACTCCAACAAACTGTTCAACTTCAACTTCAAGAATCTCGAGACCGACCAAACCAAAACGGACGTGGTGCTCGAAACTCCGAGACAGTCGCAACCGTTGCAACTGCACCAGCCACCGTCCCAGATCAAGAGGGAGCCTACAAACGCGTTCGAGATCGCGTTCGGTACCTCGAAACTGCCGCCCGTCACCGACTTCACGGGCGTGCCTGACGCGGTCGACATGAACGGCGGGACTCCAATCGAGCCACAGATGAACGTTGCCCCGATGCCCGACATGTTCGACGACTCGTTCCTGACCGAGCTGTCGGACTTCAACGGACCCCTACCTAATGATAATGTGAACAACTTAGCTATGATGGATGCACAGCCCATGATGATGATGGAAAACGGCGCTGGCCACGGCTTTGCCCAACCGGGCTTCCACAACTCGTTGAACGAGATCGATTTCACCAACGTCGATCTCAGCTCGCCGTTCGACAACTACCCAATGAACTATGAGAACGGCTACCAGAACGGGCTTGGAAACCTCAATTTCCACTTCAACTAAACCTATGTACCTATTTCAATGTTATGACTAGTTATGATTCAAGGCCGGAGTTAAGACGACAAACAAAGTTCTAGTGCCGGTATTTGCGGGAAATTTTTCCCCGAATATTTCTCGTCCTATTTGTTATTGATGATCGAGTCCGACAAAATGGCGGAACAGGACGCTAACCGTCCCAAAGCCAAGAGAAATCGGATGCCTCTTTCGTGTTCGATTTGTCGTAAGCGAAAAGTGAAGGTAAGTAGATGCTCTGTGACTGGCTAACTCGTTTAGTGCGATCGGGGTCGCCCCCACTGTAAAGTGTGCGAACGGTACAAGGTTGCATATTTGTGCTCGTACCAGGACCCTTCGTGGGTCAGCAACAAGGGAGACGCTACAAAAGCTTTCTCCGAGTTCGATTCGAACTTGGATCGGCCGCTAACAGGCCCCCCTGCTCGAGAACCAATTCCCTCGGTGCAGCCCACGTTTGCAGCCTCACCCTCGTCATATGACAGCTACAATATAAAAAGACAGAAAACGGCTTCGGACAAGTTGTTACCCGACTACAACCGCATGAACGCATTTGCCTCCGACTCCCCTTACATGGTATCGACCATCACTCAGCCAAGATCAAATGAACGTACCACCTCCCATACCCCCGAAAGATCCTCCCCGGATTCGAAAAAGCCAATGATGAACGAGCTCCAGATGCTCAAAGATAAGATCAACCAGATTGAAGCGTCGATAGCAGTGGCTGATCTGAGTCAACCAAGGATCAATTCGGCCACGCCAATGCCTCCGCTAACAAATCAGCTCCCCGGATACAAGACACCATTGCCTCCTATTCAGCTTTGGGGCCCCAACAAATCTCAGAATCTTCCGCCATTGACCTCATCCGTGAGCTGGGGCTCAATGCTCTCCGACAGCGGATCAAGCGCTATTGTCCCATCGGACTCGGGCATGAACCCAGCCGACGCTTTTAATTTCTACGATGGCTACGTTTCCGTCCACGCTCTCCATTGGCGTGTAAGCAATCATGGACCGCTCATGTGGATTACCCTTGTTCGCAAAGATCCGTACTTACATCCATTATGGTACAGAATTGTCGAATTCCGAAGAAGAAACAAGCTTTCAGAGTTTTTTGCTTCGCAGGTCAGCACCACGTCACAAAAACAGGAGAAACAGTTCAGACAAAAGGTTTACGAAACGGAAGGTGTTGTGGATGTGTTACCATTCCGAGAAGCTAAGCTGGAACACAAAAGGAGTGACTTGGACCCTCCCAAAAAGACTCAGGATGCAAAAGAAGGATTAAATCTTTATGATGATAAAACGCAACCAGACAACTCAATCATGGTGCAAATCAAAAAAGCTTTGCCAAAGAAGAAGGTCCTCTGGTTACTGGTGGACCGGTACTTTAGATACGTGTACCCTTTCTTGCCCTATTTGGATGAAGAGTCGTTCATGCTCAATGTGGAAGAAGTTGTTGGTACTCGATCATTTGAGGATTCCAAGATAAGGACAGTCAACATTGAAAAAAGATTACATTTTGCAACTGTTGGAACGTTGCTGATTGTTTTGCGATTAGCATATCTTTCACTTGTTGCCAATCATGAGGATCCAAGGGATTTCCCTGAGAGAACGGAAGAAGAAAGGTACTTACTTCAAAATCCAATAGAGATCGAAACCATTACCGTTGCTCAATCTTGCTTGAATCAGTTCAAATTGCTGAAACGATGCGCTCTTAGTGTTTTCCAATTTGCACTGATGATGAAGGAGTATCGGTTTTTTGCCCCGGAAGATGGTACTGACGGTTTTGGAGACGGTGAAGGACAATGCTTTCTTGGATTGTTGATCCAAATGGCCATTTCTATTGGTCTTAATAGAGATACAACGAAAATATCCGGGTTGGAGAGCTCGCGCAAATTGGAAAACATATGGAGGAAGATTTGGTACGGATTGGTTTCCAGCGACGTTTATCAGGCAACTCAATTGGGAAATCCGCTCGTCTTACGTGATGAGATGTACGATACCAAGCTCCCTGTCTTCGATCACGACAATTCCAACAATAGCGACTTGGGATTGGAAAAAGTCGTGATCGAGTGCCTCCATGAGAAGCATTCTCTTGAAGTACTTATGAAAGATCTCTCCAGCAAGGTACTCAGTATGTCAAAACCTCCAACAATTGAGGGCATTTTTTCGAGCATCCGTGCGATCGAAGCATTTATTGAAAACAATTTTGGGTCACTCAAAAGCATTCTCACGCTCAACAGCAACAGTCATTTAGATAATGTGCGCAAAGTTTATCGAATGACTGGGTTTTTGCAGGCTCGGTCTCTGATCCATCCCGTGCTATCCCATGTCTTCATTTATTATGCCGGAAGAAGCAACCAGGTTGCCACCCGCTACCTTATGAAGCTGAACATTCCTAAAGTTGTGGAGATCAACTCGCTTTTCGTGCAGCTGGTCAAGAAATCTTATCTTTTCTTTGGGTCTGGATTTGATCTTATGTTGACCCCTGCTTTAGAGGCCTCTATCCACAAGGCTTTACAGCTTCAGTTCACACTCTATGTTCGCACGAACCATCACAAGAATGTGCTGAGTCTCAACAGTTCGCCCGGATCGATAAACCTTATCAAGTCGATCAACCGGTTTTCTGAAGACGGACTGATCTCCAACATCAAGTCGTACTTGCGAGGCTTGACGTTGATTTCCAGCAAGTACTTCTATGCCTGGCGAATGAACAAGGCGCAAACAGTGATTGTGAAGATGTTGCAGGACGATAAGGATTCTGTGAGCAACATGCATCTGTTTGCAAACCTGTTTAATGTGTTTGAAGGGTTCACTGCCGAGGATTTTGACTATTTGGCAGAGATTGGTAACATTAAGAATTACACCATTGATCCATTTAGTGACTCGAAGAGCTCGGCCATCGCGGACGATTCGGCCAGTATCATCACCTCGGATTCTTTGGGCCGCACTCCAGAAGATGTTGATCTCGACAGTTTCTGGAGAGAGCAATTGATGAAACTCAACTCTTCTTCCTCCAACCCGAACCACCTTATTCCTGCCGGGTTCGAGGTCAGCGATTGGGTTGGAATTAACCCTGGCGAGCCACCGCTAAGTCCTTTGCGTCCAGAATCGAGACAGGCGTCTGCACCATACACCAGCCAAAATGCAGGACTCACTCAACTTTTTGATACCTCGTCCATTTTTGAGAGCTTCGATCTGGGCAGTGAATATTTCAACACATGAAAATAATTGTAGAAAAATAAAGTTGGGTCCTTTCTTGTTTTGTTCGAATGTTCGGTCGTAACTTGAAAACGGTCCGTTTTGGCGCACGTTGGAAGTCTTCGGCGTCCAATCCGGGTCACGTGAAGTCCAGATCGTCGGTGCTAGGCAGCCAATACGTTGGTTACGGGCTGTTGGCAGTGACCTTAACTGGGCTTGTTTATAACGAGGATTTTCGAGCCCGTACTGTCGACTCCTATTTGGTTGCTGAACGGGTGGGAGTTGTTGCCGTGGCTACCACCAAGTGTTTCTCGTACTATCTAAGAACGTTGAACCAGAACTATGATACCCAGGAGGAATATTACAAGGCTTTGTCAAAGACCCACAAAAAGGCAGCAGAGACAACTCTGGCAGCTCTGCGCAAAAACGGCGGCATTTACATCAAGTTGGGCCAGCACGTTTCTGCTATGTCGTATCTGTTACCCCTTGAGTGGACAAGCACGATGGTTCCTCTCCAATCCGAGTGTCCGGAGTCATCGCTTGAGGATCTGAAGCAAATGGTGGAGCATGACCTCCAAGTGAAGTTTGACGAGTACTTCGAGGAATTTGATCCAAAACCGATTGGTGTGGCCTCGCTTGCCCAAGTGCATGTTGCTACGCTCAAAGGGTCGGGGCAGAAGGTGGCCGTGAAGCTGCAACATCCGTCGTTGGAGAAATTCGTTCCTCTGGACGTTGAGCTGACAGCACTTGTTTTCAACTCGATGAAAAAAGTGTTTCCTCAGTACCCACTTACCTGGTTGAGTGACGAGCTTCGCCAGTCGATCTTTGTGGAGCTCGATTTCAGAAATGAGGCCGAGAACGCCCAGACTACTGCAAACTACTTCCAGAACTACAAAAAGCAAACCGCGCTTCGCATTCCGCAAGTCTACGCTGCCAAACGCCGTGTTTTGGTGATGGAGTTCTTGAGCGGGTCGAGACTCGACAACCTGGAGTACCTGGACAAAAACAATATTTCCAGATCAGAGGTATCGTGCTGTCTCTCCCATATCTTCAATAATATGATTTTCCAGACTGGATTCGTTCATTGCGATCCGCACCATGGCAACCTCGCCATCCGAGCGCTGCCAAAGAAGAAGAACGGGCATAACTTTGAGATCATCTTGTACGACCACGGCTTGTACAGAAGAATACCCACTCAGATGAAAGTCGATTACGCAAAGTTCTGGCTCGCCATGATAGAGAAGAAACCAGACCAGATGCAGAAATACGGCAAACGGTTTTCCAAGATTGAGGACGACTCGTTGTATCCACTTTTGGCGGCCGCTCTCACGGGACGCGACTTTGAGCACGCATTGTCTGGTAACATTGCCATTCCTCGAAGCGAAAAGGAGATCGAGGCCATGAAAAACGCCATTTCCAGCGACGGTCTTCTGCTCGACCTCATGGCGCTGTTATCTTCTGTTCCGCGCATAGTGCTTTTGATTTTGAAAACAAACGATCTGACCAGGCATCTGGACGAGGCGTTGCAGAACCCGCTTGGTATGGAACGCACGTTCTTTATCATGGCTACCTACTGTGCGAGAGCCGTTTATGCTGATGAGACATCCAAGTTGCGCAAACGCAGCCCTTTCTTCTCACTCACCCGTTTGGTTGGCTCCGTCACAGCGTGGTGGAACCTGTACAGCCGGATCCTGCTGCTCTCGTTCTACGATATCGTCTTCTACCTGCGCAACATGGTGTGACACCCGTACACCGGGAACATTATTCCGAATTGTATATACAAAACAAAATAATAAGCTAGAAACTGGTTATTTATTTGAATTTTCAATGTCGACTCTGGCCAACCAGGCGGCCAATCAACCGCGGACGGATTCTCGTAGCGGCGGGGGATTTAGCCGAGGGTCTTCTGCCGGCTCGGGCAAGATTCCGTACAACTCTGGCCGCAATGGACACATTCATCGCGGAGGTAGTCGAGGCAGAGGAGGGTTTAAAAAGACGAGACCGTCTTCGCGAGTAGATAAACGGTCTGTTTCGGCGACTGCTACTACTACTAGTGCCGATCTGGGCTCGTTTCTCGATCATCCTGAGCAATACGGCTACTCCAAGATGGAACACAAGAAACAAGAGGTGCCCAAGTATATGCTGAAGGAACAGGTTTTGTTCAGCTGTGATTCGTACAGGACCAACGAATGGGACGCTAATAATCAAAAGACACTTTTACAGAAAGAGGCAGAGCACTCTGGAGACCCACAGTCTTTGTTCGAGGAGTTTCAAGAGTTGCGTAAAGAAGAGAGAAAGAAAATGGAACAGATGAACCTGGTGGATGTGGAAAACGCGAAGAAATCATTGACCGACGCTATCATATTCCGTGGGAGTTGTATGGACATGTGCCCGACTTATGAGCGAGTGGAAAGATCGTTCAAGAACCAGGTCTCCAAATGGGAGAAAGATCCTGCTACCGGGAGAATATCGCGGCAATACGCAGTGAAGACGTTTATGAGACCGTCGGGACAAGCTCCGTCATTGCCGTCGGATGTTCGTACTCCCCAGATCCTGGTGCGCACCTTGAGCTATCTCATTGGTAATCTGCTCCCGAAGTTGCCTGAATCGCAGTCGTTCATTTGGGACAGAACTCGGTCTATCAGACAAGACTTCACGTTCCAGAACAACTACTCGGGACCCGAGGCGATTGACTGCCACGAGAAAATCTGTCGGATCCATATTCTTTCGTCGCATGTGATGGCCCAGGCCAACGATCCCGATTACCAACAACAGCAGGAGATCGAGCAGTTCAACAACTCGCTTCAGTCGCTCACACACATGTACGACGATGTGCGCTCGAGAGGTGGACGGTGTCCCAACGAGGCCGAGTTCCGGGCTTACGAATTGATCTCCAAGCTGAAAGACACAGAGCTCGACAGAAATATCCAAAAGCTTCCAGCTAACATATTGGGAAGCAGCATTGTTCAGAAAGCTTTGATGTTGCGAGGACTGGTGATTGACGGGTTTGGCAACTTCCAGATGTTTATTGAGTTTTTTAGAGTCATCATGGACCCAAACACCCCGTTTTTACTGTCCTGTCTGTGTGAGATCCATTTCAATCAGGTCAGACACATGGCAATGGCCACAATGGCCAAGGCCTACCATTCAAAGTCGAAGAAAATGCCCGAAGTAACTACCTTAGCGGAATGGCTGGGGTTCGACTCCACAGAACAGCTGCTCACCACCTGCAAATTCTACGACATTCCCATCATCCAGGACGACAAGATCACAAGGATCGAAGTCACAGCATTACGACAAGCATACAAGGCGTACCAAAAGCCTCCTAGTTCAACAAAATTGAACTACAAAATGATGAACAGCACATACCAGGACATTGTCAGTTCAGGAATACCAAATAACGATCTGAAGTTGAAGGTTGAGCCGAGAATTGAGGCACCTCCTCCTGCTTCAGTGATTAATGACATTTTCGAAACCAGTTCAGTTGAGCCGTCGCCGCACCCGATGCTGCCACCGGAAATCGAGAAGATCGAGGTTCTTCCCGAACCACCCAAAGTGCAACCACAGCCATCTGTTTTTGCTCCAGTGCAACAACAACAGCCTGTATTTACTGGTCCACCTAAACAGCCTTCTCCCGAACCGGTCAAGATTGTTGAGCCTCCGAAACCTGCCAAGAAGCTTGTCGAGTCTCCTAACTTTGACTCCGCTGCACGGGCCGTGGTGAACAACCTGCTACAAGAAGTTGTCACCGTCTCTGCCAAAGATATTACACAGAAACTTGTGGCTCAGGAAACCCAGCGCAGAGCACAACGTCGCACGCAGCTTCGCGAGGGAACAATCAACGGGCTCGCCGACGAGCTGTTCAAGGCGTTTCTGCGAGAACAGATGTACGTTTCCTTGATTGAAGTCAAGGCCAAGCTGTTCAGGGATAGCAATCTGAAACGCAGGACGTTCAAGACGATCAAGGCGGTTGCCGAGAAGCTTGCCAAGAAACAGCAGGCGAAAAAGAGCAAGTTGAACGAGATCCAGTCGTTTGCCAACCAGGTGAGACCAACGTACACCGTTCCTGCTGGACGGGTGTTCCGCGAAGCCAGCGTGAAACCAGCCGTTGTGAAGCAGACCAACTGTTTTGCCGACGACACTTTAAGCTGTGTGCCGGAGCTGTATCCGTACGTGCACGACGACCTTCGCATGCTGGTGATTGTCGATACGTGGCTCAACAAGGCTGCCGACTGGATATCCACGAAACTGGAGCTTAAGGACGTCCGCGAGGCGGGCAAGCTGGTCAAAAGCAACACGATCAAGACAGAGTCCGGGACGCTGGCGATCTCGTCGATCCCTGAACGTTTCCGGTCGCGGTCGGTGTTCAAGAATGTGAACATTGTGCTGCTCAAGATCGAGTTCCCAGAGTCCAACGACCTGGCCAACACCCGGAGCGTGGTGGCCAAGATCTTGGAGTATCTGTCAAAATACAATAAGGAGATTCCGGTGACGCTTGTGCTGTTGCTCGTGGACTTCCCTACCAATGTGGACCTTGTTGCTGCTGCTCCTACGTGGCTGACGGTGAAGTCTGTTCACTTAAGCTCCAGGATGAGCGTTCTTACGGTTCAAAACAAGTTCTATCAGACAATGCGGGATACGTTGCAAAACTACAAGGCTGTGTCGACAGAATTGCCGGACGCAGAAACGACGCTCATGTCTAAGTACACAACCATCGAGAACTCGCTTGTGGGGCTGATCAAGAACGACATCAACACCCGCGAGAAGCTCGAGTATATCCGCTCGATTGCCGGTAAACGGAAACCGGAGGTCAATCCGGACATTTCTCTCATGACGGAGCAAACACCATCAACGGGACAGTTTGAGTTCTCCAAGTCGGCAGACACCGACACCGTCAAGAGAAGACGCAAGATCGGCGCTTTGTTGAAACTTTCGGAGTCTGTGCTACAGAAATAGTGGTGTACTATAAATTGTATATTAATGGCATTATCACAATCTATAGAAGCAGTCCATCTGGGCCTTGTTGGATTGGAGGTTTGATCTGACAATATCGTTGATCTCGTTGGCGTACTTTGTGTTTTTGTTGGAGAACCTATCAGACACGGTGATTAGTCTGTCCAAATTGATCTGTTCTTTTAGGCCAGACTGGTTGAAGTGCTGGAACACCTCCACCAGGAACCGCAAGTCGACGCTTATTTGCAGCAGGCCGCTGGAGTTGAACTGCTGGATATGTTTCAAGCTCTCGATGAGCTTGAAGATGAAGTGGTTGATCAAATCGAGCTCGATCTTCATGATGTAGTTGATGTTGGACTTGTGGCTCAGCAGCTTTGACATCACAATGGTGATCAGGTTGATAGGTTTGAGAACAAACCCAGACACAAGAATTTGTTTGGCAGAAAACTGGAACCAGTCCACGCTCTTGATTCCTTGCAAAATTGTCTCCTCAAGCTGGGTCTTGTATTGGGAGATATACTCGGCGTAGATGTCGGACTCGTACTTCTCGATCTTGCCATACACGTCCAGACTTGACGTGGAGAACGACGTGCCGAATTTGGTGTCGAACAGTTTCAGAATCCGCGGCAGCAGACGCAGCTTGAACAGAGACAGGTTGCTCAACGTGGCCGGGTAGTACAAGTCGCGTAGCTCTTCGTTCTGGGCACTCGTCTTGAGCGACTCCGCCTGGTTGTCGACGATGATGTCGAACGAGGCAATGAACTGTTTCTTCACCGCCTCAAAGGACTCCTCGTCGCTTGGCTTGATCAGAGTGTGCAGTTTTGGAATCAGCAGCTGGTAGAAATTCCACAGATAGTCTGCGGTCTTGGTACAACCTTTATTGACGGTGCTTGGCTCCCAGTCCTCGATGTACTTGAGTCGTTTGGAGTCGTTGATCAGAACGCACAGCACACCGTCGACGAAATTGGTGTTGATCCGCTGCATGGTGGACAGAAACAGGTCATACTCGACAGAAGTTTTCTTGCTCAGTTTGGCAATATTCTTCTCCAAGTCGCGTTGGAGATTGATGCAGTTGGTCAGCGTGGTCAGCACAGACGAGTGAGGCGGGATGAACCCAAACGAGTCCAGGTCAAACAGGTTTTTGTGCAAGTTCTGGTCAAAGTTGATTTTGGAGCCGGCCATGCTGAGCTGCGCGCTCGTGGCGTCGAATATAAATCGCAGCTGGTAACACAGCTTCTCGCTTAGCGTCTTCACGTACTCGTTGAACCGTTTGATCTCGTAGCTTTCGAACCGCAGGAACTTGCGAGACTCGGGGTTCTTGATGGCGAGCTCCTCCTCGAGATCGGAGTGGACGAAAAAGTCCAGCATGCTCGTGAACTTGTAGAACCTGTCGCTGATAATCTCTTCGGTGAGCTCATTCACATACGCGCACAGGAACCCCCACAGGTCCGCCACAAGAGGAAGATCGTAGATCTCGTCCTCGCTCGCATGATCCGCAAGAGAAAGATGCGTGCGTCTAAGAGTGGACATGGATATCTTTGAACTGTCTTCGCTGCTGTACGTTTTGGAAAGGTTTTCGCGAGCTTTCAGGAATCGCGATAGCTGCACTTTGGTCAGATCGCCGTCGATCGTATCTTTGATGTAGTTGTATTCCAGATTCAGGAAGTACGGTATTGGGTTTTCATCAACACCAAGTTCCAGCAGTTTCTTGATCGTTGGGAGGAACGATTGGTCTGTCTGTGCACTGGAAAGCTCGACGTTCTCAATATGCACGTTTCCCAGCTTCTCCCACAACTGTTTCTTGTATCCTGATAAAATGTCCTCCACTTCCAGCCAGATCCTGTCGAGAACAGGTCTGTTGCTAGGATTGTTCCGCAAAGACGCCTGGTACACCTTCTTCCCGGAGTTGTACTCTGTCAAGATCGAGTCGAAGTCGCCAATTGAGACCAACTCAGTAAATTTCTTTGGAAGATCAAGCAATACGCTGTTGTTTGTAAGCAACGAGAGGAAGTTTTCGATTTCATTCGCACGATCCAGTCCGTCCAGAACCGGGTTCAACATCATCGTGGACGAAACGTTCGCCTTGGCAATCGACTCGCTCAGGTTCGAAACGTTTTCGGACAAATTGCTCATCGAGTACTCGCTGTAGATCTCGTCCAGCAGTTTCTTGTTATCGATGGCCTTTTGGAAGTTCTCTCCAATAAGTTTCTGTAGCTGTGGTTTCTGGACCTGCAAGCTCTTCTCCAAGTATGAAACACTCTGGACGAGCTCCTTGTACGTTTTATCCTTGTGAATGGTGGTGAGAAACAGCCGGGCATTGAAGGCCTTGGAATCGACCAAATACTTGGTCTTCTTGGGGTCTCTGGAGTCGTCGATCACGTCCTTGTCGATCAATTCGTCCAGAACGGACTCATGGAACCCTAGAGGGTCGCCCACGTTCAACGCCGACCGCCGGCTCTGTGCGACGGGCTCGTCGGGCTGGTCTGTTAGAAACTTGTTGAGCTGTTCCTTGGGGATCTTTCTGGCGATTTCGTCCAGGTCGATGTCCTCGTCCTGCACAATCGGATTCGACCCGGTCGATGCACCAGCGTAATCTTCGGGATCGAGCGTCCGCAGCTGGTAGAAGTCGAGCAAAGTGGAGTCATCCACCAATCTCAGCCGTTGCGTATTCATAAAGAAAATAAACAAGCGATTTTCCTTTAAAACAGACGCGTCGATCGGCCCAGACGTAGCTGTTCGCCGGTCCTGACAAAACTAACTGGCAACACATTTCATGAACTCCACGGCATATCGCCACCCCACTCACTGCTTACAATAGAACACTCTCGAACTGGACGACGCCGTGCGCATGTCTCTCGTATACCCTTGATCAGTGCTGAGTTTTTCTGCACGTGCTTAATTTCCGCATTGGGACGCTCTATAATTTATTTCACCAAGCAGGGTCTGAAAAACATTCGTCTGTCTTCTTCCCATGTCTGTTCAGAAGTCTGCTTCGCTGGACCAGCCCATCGAGGTTTCTGTGCCCAACACCATCGCGTCGTCGCCTATTCTGCCCGAGCTGTCGGAGTCGGTCACGAACTTGCAGATGGCCTATCTGTTCCATAAAAAGTCGTTGCTCACCAGAGACCTGTTTGGGTCGAAATTGGTGGTTCCCTCGTTGTTTGCGGTGCTGTCTGCCATGATTTACCATCGTTTCGGCGCTTATTTGTCTTCGTACAACTTTAGAAACGGAGTGGGGGCCGGGTTGCTCAATATCTACCATTCTCCATTCTTTATCCAAGACGCTTTCTGGGTGGTGCTGACCATGTTCTTCTTCACGTCGCTCGTGTTCCTGGCACTTTGGATCCTTTCGAACTTTCTCAAGTACCAGGCCGAAGAAGTGCCCGAGCACATGGACCAGTACTTTGGTCTTGATCTGCAGGAATATGCCAAAGTCTCGCTTAAAACCAAACTGAGAAAGCTCCCGGCCGACGTGAAGGAGCAGGTTGACCAGATGGCCGCCACGTCGTTTGTGGTGACGTACCGTGAAACCCCGATCGCGTTCATTGTGCAGCAAAAGGACGCAGACAAGAACTACAAGATCACCGGCCTGGCGGTCAGAAAAGTGTACATCAAGTCCGAGATCTTGGTGGATCTACTCGAGTGGGCCAAGTCGCGCGTCGAAAAGGACGCCCGCACCAGCATCGACGTGTACTCGTTCGAAAGCTTCGACATCCAGCTTCTGCAGAAATGCGGGTTTGTTCTCGCGAAAAAGTCGCCGCTGAACTCGTTCTTCCTGGACAAGCTATTTGGCTACTCCGTCAATACCTATGTATACACTCCGAGCGCTTAAATGGCAATGCTGTCTGTCATGTACTAATTAATTTCATCTCATTATTTTCTATAAACTAGTGCGCTCTTTCACCGTTGTCACCATCGTGGAGATGGAAAACGTCGTCCAAGTCCTGATCGTCGGAGAACTCGTTCACGGTCTCGACCTCTCTGAGAAGGCCGGTTTTCACGTCATAAATAAAACCCATAATTTCCAGTCCCTCGAACTTGGAGGCAGCCACAAAGCTGGCATGTTTGCGGATTTGACTGATGGAATTGGCGATGTTGAGCTCGCTCAACTTTGTGCATCTGTCGAAAGGGTCCTCGATCTTTTTCAGTGCGGCCAAATGCGACGCACGCAGCTGTCTAACTGGGGCGAGCCAATTGTCCAGCACCCCGCCGATTTTTTTATTAGATAACGAGGCCCACACGCCTCCGCAGTCAGTGTGGCCGCACACAATGATACGTTTCACCTTCAAAACGTCGATCGCGAACTGCAACGCAGACATCGACGAGAAGTCCTGGTACGAGATCAAATTGGCGATGTTTCTAAGGGTGAAAATCTCGCCCGGAACACAGCCCAGCGCAGTGCACTCGTTCACACGCGAGTCGGAGCAGCCAACCCACAACGTGTGTGGCGACTGGCCCAATCCGGATTTTTCTAAAACCCTGGGAGTTGTGGCTTGGAGACGGTCAATGGCAGTCCGATTGGCCTTCAAAACGTCGTGCACAGTGCTATCTCTGTTGAGCTGGAAAGGAGACGAGTTCGGGTCGGAGATCACAGACGAAGTCGAGACAGAAGAACCCATTGCTGAAGGAAGCTCCTCCTCGATCTCAAACTCCTGCACGAGTCCGCCCTGCTTCTCGCCCAAAGAACGAGGCCGAACAAGTCCGTCGTGCTCATGTTCGTGCTCGTATCTGATGATGTTGTTGATGCCCATTCTGTTGGAATATGTGTGCAAACCTCTATGAAAAACAATCGATCTGAGCATCCAACTCCGGTAGCTGGGTCGGCTAACTTATATAGCTGGAAAACCGGTGTCCATAATCTTTCGCTTCACACGAGCCGCAACGCACAAGCCATGATGAAATTATTGCCCCCACAATAGAAAAACTGTCATCTGCTGAAAAATTTAATGCAACCTGGGTGATGTAAAGCTAAATATTTTCCACTTTTCCAAGGCTGTGCTCATAAAAGCGGTTGGAAAACGTTGTTGGGTCATTTGTTGTGTCATGAAGCGAGCATTAAGAAAGACCGTCCAGGCACGACTCTCACCGGTGACGCAGAAAGAACTGAATTTGCAGTCAACCAAGGTGCTGGCAGCTTTGGGCCAGCTCCCTCAGTATACCAACGCCAACTCCGTCGCTCTTTACATGTCGATGGATTCTTGCGAGGTGAAAACCGACCTGCTCATCAGAGACGCCCTACAGCGCGGTAAAAAAGTGTACCTGCCCCGAATTACCGAATTGGCTCGGTTCGACGACTTTAAGAGACATGCTAATCAAAAATCGTGTCTGCATTTCCTACAGGTGCATAGTGCCGACCTCGACAAAATGGTGCCTCGCGGAAAGTACCAGCTGCGCGAGCCGGACTTCCACGTGTCGGGGGACGTCGTGACCAACGACCTGCTGTTATCAGGCACCAAACTCGATCTCATGATCCTGCCCGGGGTCGCGTTCACAAGTTCCTGCGACAGACTCGGGCATGGAGCAGGGTTCTATGACGACTTCATCAAACGGTATGTGGAAAAACACAGCAACAAACCATATCTTTTGGGCATAGGACTCAAAGAGCAGTTGGAGCCTTCGCTGCCTCTAGAGAGTCACGACGAAAAGCTGGACTGCGTCATCCTCGGCAACGGCCAAATCTTTCATAAGTAGCATTCACCAAATCCAAAACCATTTCCGCTCAGGTCTAAATTTCGCGTTGGCTTTCACTAGCGTCCTGCCGCACTTGGCACGCTGCATGATGGCCCGGGCCTCGATCGACCCATCGTCGGTGTGGGCTGTTTTGGACTTGATCATCACAAAGTTGTCAACCACCGTTGGGAACTTGTAATTGAGGGTCAGATTCTCTGTGTGGATATTTTCAGGCTTGGTGAGCCCATTCTGGAGCATACAGTGACGTTTCAACGTCTCGTCGATGATTAGACTGATGATCCCGCCATGGACCAAGAACGGATATCCACAGAGCTTCTTGCCCAGATGGATTACGCTGATGGACTCGCCGTTCTTCTTGTTGTAGAAAGTGATTGGGGTAATTGCAACCGAACCCGGGGTGTTCAAAGTGGAGTGTATTCCGTTTTTCACGGTGTCCAGCTGGTTCCATGAGCGCGAAACTTGGTAGTCTGGGTCGTTCGAGTACTTTCTCACCACAGGCAACCGCTGGAGCTGGCTCTCTAATTTGGCTGTGTATCTTTCCGTCTCCAGAGGAGTTTTAGGAAGTGGGGAAGTTGTTAGTCTGTCCACAATTTCCTGCGCAGAATACTGGTAGGAGAGTCCAAGGCCAACACCAAACGCGCCCAGAGCAAACCATTTGGTTACTCCGCGTGGTCTGGCGGTAGACCTGGCGTATGTTCTCACAAATTTGGCGCCAATTGGATGAATGGGACGCAGTCTAAACATGGTTGGGGCAAATAAAGACAAACAAGTTTACAGCGCCGATCGACCCTAAATTTCGTCCTGGAAAATTTTACAAGGCAATCAACCATGTCGTTTCTAGGATTCGGAGGAGGAGCTCCTCAAATCTCGTCTGAGCAGAAGATCAAGGCCGCCGAGGCCGAGCTGGATATGGTGACCACCATGTTCAACCAGCTCGTTGACTCGTGTCACAAAAAGTGTTTCGATAAGAACTACGCCGACGGCGAGTTGTCCAAGAACGAGAGCTTGTGTATTGACAGATGTGTTGCAAAGTACTTTGACGCCAATGTCAAGGTCGGTGAGAGCATGCAGAGTTTGGGAAGAAGCGGAACCTTAGGTCAGAACTTAAGATAGAAGGAGTTATTGTATATACAGAGTCTATCCAATATATATTATTGTCTCATCTGGATCCATGTATCAAATGCCCAGGGCCTTGAACAGTCTCATACGACAGCCCTCCAGGGTGTTGAGCTTTGGACGCACGTCCAGGAAGAATGCTGGCTCGCCCTCTGCGGATGGGGGCGTGCTGTAGAAGTCGATCACGTAGTCCACACGCTGGCCGCATCTGTCCACCACCCAGTCGTGTCTGTCGAACGGCAGGTCTGCGCCTGAAATGAGGTTTCTAATGCGTGCTCTAGGGGTGATTTTCTTGGAATCACCTTTGAAAGAAGTTAGTTGCACTCCTCCACACTTGTCTCCTCCCTGACCTCTTTCCCACATCAAAATGTAGTTCCAAGCTCGCTCGTTCACCATGTTGTGGATAGGAACGATCGTCTTCATGTCACCAGCTTCCGGGTTCCAGTCTTTGCGTCGCATGGCATTGAAGAACTGTTTCTGGGACGGGTAGATCCAGTTGGACTCTGCGCCCGTGCGGGGAATCGACGAGATCTCACGCTGTTCCGGAAGGTCCACGTCCTCCACCACAGGCGACGGTTTGTCCAAATCGGAGGACGAGCACGATTTGTCCTGCTCCACGGCTTCTGGAGCGAACGTTGTTTTTCCCGCGGTCAGCCACGTTTTGCGCGCATCGTGGTCAACGGGACACACAGCATCGGAGTCGGAAGGCACCGCAGGGTGGCCGGCCGGCTTCGTGCTCGGAGACGGTTGGATCTGTGAAGTTTTCGGTGGGGCCCAAAACAACTTTGAAAAGAACGACTGGGTCTGTTCTGGCCGTGCCGGTTCCGTAGACTTGGTCTGTTTGGCCTTTTCTGCCTTGGCCGCCGTCGCAAGCCACTTTTCCCGCGTCGAGTGGTCCACAGGACACTTTGGTTGGTCTTCGCTCATGGCTGATGATTAATAGAAATTTAATTGGACTAAGTTTGGTGTCAGGCGTACACCACAGTTTTACACTACGGTAGCAGTTGAGATAAATATCTTAGGGCTATAATTCTACATAAACAAGTTCCAGATGCCGCGCTTCTCCAGAGTTGGCTCGTCGGAGGCGGTCGAAACGTAAGGAGACGAGGAGTTCGTCAACGAACTGCTGGTCAGTCTGTAGTATGGAACATACGAAGAACTGCTGTTGCTGTAAGTTTGTGGGTAGGTTGGGGTCAACGAGGAAGAAGTGGAGTAGGAGGATGTGGAGGTGATGGTGGAGGTGAGGTAGGTGGTGAGGTAGTAGGTGGAAACAGCGGTTTCGAAGCAGGACTCGGTGGTGAGCACGGTCAAGGTGGAACCAGCAGAGTCGGTGATCGGAATGGTAGCAGTAACAGACAGAGTCAAGGTGGAGGTCAGGTACACGGTGTCTGTCAAGGTAGAGTCAGACGAAGCAGTAGAGGACACTCCACAGCCAGCAGTGACGGTTTCGGTCTCAGTGACGGTGACTGTTGATGGAGCAGCCGAGCTGGAAGTAGCTGGAGAGGCTGGAGCAGCCTGTCCTTGGCTGGCAGCAGGGCTGGAGGTGGTGCCTGCAGGTGCAGAAGTGGTGCCTGCGGCAGCAGAAGTCTCTGGAGTAGTAGTGGTAGCAGCATTAGCCGGAGTCTGCGCAGCAGAGGAGGATGAAGAAGAAGAGGAAGAAGATTCCTCAACGGTCACGTAAATGGTGGAAGTTTGGGTGTAGGTGGTTGTTTCTTCCTGGCCATTGGACACGTAGGTGGAGGTGACGATGCTGTCTGTGGCGTCAGCGGACACGGAGACGGCAGAAGAGGAGGAAGCTGGGGCAGGGCTGGCTGCGGCACCGGAGCTCGAGACTGGGGTAGACGAGACCTCAGAGCTTGGAGCCGGGCTGGACTCAGAGCTGGCGGCAGAAGAGGCGCTGGCTTCGGAGCATGGCTCGGTCACGGTGATGGTGACACCAAGACTAACGGTGGTGTAAGTGGTGTACTCTGATGCTGGCAAGGAGCTGGAAGAAGCCACGGCGGCATCTGAGCTGGTTGGAACATACGGAGTAGAACTGGACACGGCGCTGCTAGAGGTGGCAGTGCACTTTGGACATGGCTCAACGATGGTGACAGTGGAGCCAGCAGTGACGGTGGTATAAGTGGTAAGGGGCACTGAGGAGTTGTCAAATCTCTTTCCCAGGTTGAAGAAACCTGGAACAGGCAACGCGACAGCCTGAGTCGCGCAAATAATTAAACAAGTGTAAAGTAACGTTTGAATGTACATCTTGGTAGCACTGTGATTCCGTGTTCAACTGATAATAAGAAATGAGTGACTGGTTGAGGAATCAGGAGCACTAGGCTAGAAAATTGTCAATTGGTCGATTGCGCTGTGTCAAACTGGTAAACGTTTTAGTTGGACGTCACTGCCTCTATTTTATAACACGGTCTCTTTGGAATGTTTGTATGAGAAGGAGTGAAAAATTGCAACCGCGACTGGCATGCAGATTTTTACAATAGGAATATAATAAGTTTTTTTTAAGTCAATCTCGCCAACGCGACTCGCCCCGAAATTTCTGGAGGCTTTGCACATGCTCTCGTGAGACAAGGTAACGTCATTGTACCAAACAGCAGAATTGGTCAGTTGGGAGTCGCGTTTAGGCGTTAAGTAATGCTACAGATCCGGATCTCGCACGAACCCAAGGTGTTTCCCGGTTAAGATTTTCAAATCTCCAACTTGTTCGGGGAAGTAGTCTTGCTTCACCAAACCGTCTTTGAAATCGGGATTGTACTTGTAGCCCTTGGAGTAACCAAGCTCAGTCATAAGCTTAGTTGGAGCATTCCGCAAATGTAGTGGAATTGGGGCTGAAGCAAATTCCGGTTGTGAATCCAGCTTAGCATTAAGCTCGTTCCATCCTCGGTAGATTTCCACTGATTTGGGTGCGCGTGCCAATTTTACGGCGCAATGAACAAGCGCAAGATCTGCTTCCGGTAAGCCAACAAACTGCACCGCCTGGTATGTGGCAATGGCAAAAGGCAGGCACGAATCGTCTAAAACCCCAACGTCCTCGCTTGCTATTCTGATCATTCTCCGGGCAATGTAAAGCGGGTTTTCACCCCCCTTCAACATTCTCCCGAGGTAGTACATTGCTGCGTCTGGGTTGGATCCCCTGACAGACTTGTGGAAAGCGCTGATTGTGTCATAATGGGCATCTCCGACACGATCGTAAACCATGTGCGTTCTCTTCAAAATTTCTCGTAACTGTTCAGGGGTAACCTCGATGACATGTTTTCCTTTTTCCAAGTTCGACTCAGACATGAAATGTGAATCTGCCAGCTCCACCAGGTTCAGGGCGCTTCTCGAGTCGCCGTCTGCGATGTCACACAAGTATGCAACCGACTCCTTGTTGAAACGCAGAATAGGCATGTTATGAACAAGTTTTCGCGTCTTATTAATAACCAACAGTGCCTTGGACACTATCTTGTGTAGCTCGTCTGCGGTCAGCTTGTTCAGCACAAACACCCTACATCGGGAGAGAAGCGCGCTATTCAGCTGGAAACTCGGGTTTTCAGTGGTGGCCCCCACAAGGGTGATTGTTCCTTTTTCAACGTGCGGCAGGAAAATGTCCTGTTGTGCCTTGTTGAACCGGTGTATCTCATCGATAAACACGATAGTGTGTCTCTTGGTCAGTTTGTACTCGTTGCGTGCCTCTTCGAAAACACGTTTGCAGTCGGAAATACCATTAGCGGTAGCACTCAGCTCCACAAACCGCGATTTGGTAGCATGGGATATGATTCTCGCCAGTGTGGTCTTTCCTGTTCCCGGATACCCCCACAGGATCATCGACTGGATTCTGTCGTTCAAAATGAAGCCTCTCAAAATGCCTCCTTCTCCAACCAAATGCTGTTGACCAATGTAATCATCCAGATTGGACGGCCGTAATCGCTCTGCCAACGGAAGTCTGGCCTGGGCCTTGAGCAATCGGAGATCTTCTGCGGGATCGGTTTTGCGCACCTTCGGTTCTGGTTCCACGATCTCAATTGACGTGTCTGGATCGGCCTCTGACGAGGGCGTTTGGCTGGAATCCAGAGATCGTTTCTGTGCGCCCTCATAATGCTGTTTCCTCGATTTGGTACCTGTCAGCAGCGATGAGACCGATCGTGACGGCTCTGAAGCGCCAGAACTCTGTGGCTTAGGCGCCGGCTTCGACGTGCACGTGTCCAGGTGTCTATTGATTAGCGCCAGGTCGACTTCTTTGGAACAGATCGGACAAGATACCATACGCGAAATTTTAATGAATAATTTTTTAGCCAGTTATCTGATAATTATTAGTGGGGGTGACTAAAGCGATTCTACAGCTCGTCTTTTGCCGGACTTTTCGACTTGGACTTCTTGGACTTCTTGGACTTGGGGCTCTTGCGCTTTTTAAAGTCGCGCATGCTTTTGTACAGTTTTGACTTAATTCCCTTGAGGAACGCTCCTCTCTCGCTTAACTCGCCGTCTCCCGGGTCTGCGTACTCACTTAATGCTTTTTCGATAGCCAGTTTCTCAGAAGGACCTTCATAGACGTTCTGGTTGCCGTCTTTGTCGATGATCACGATCTGGGGCAGTTTTGCGATGTCCAGATGCTGTGCTACCACGTCTCTATTTTTGTCGTTGACAGTGATGTAGCCAAGTTCGACTTTCCCGAGATAGTCGATTGCAACCGACTTGAACATCGGCGACACAGACGTCTTGCTGGTCAAGAGCAAAACCCGTGGCTTGTCGTTGGGGCTGAGGAACTTGGAGATGTTGTTTGGTGAGACCCTTTTGACGTAGTTTCTCACGCGGCCTTTCACAAAATCCAGGAGCTGCGTTGCGGTCCGCTCGCCACGGAACTGGTCAGGAACATGGGTGCTTTTTCGCTCGTTTTTACCGGACCAGATGGGGGCGCGGAAAACAAGCACCGTAGGGAACCCTTCGATCTTGTACTTGTTGCACAGCGGCTTGTTTGCGTCCTCGTTGCAGTCGACTGCTGCGAACTGGGCCACCTCTGAGCCGGCTTTGGCCGCCTTGGCGTAGTGGGGCCGGAACTGCTGGCAGTAGCCGCACCAGGGGGCGTAGAACTCGACCACCGTGGTGTGGTTTGTGCCGAAAACCACGTCCTCGAACGAATCGGGCGTCAATTCGTAAACGTACCGAGAATTCGAGTAGAACGCGTGCGCCAGCGACACGAAAAACAATAACGCCAACATGTCTCTAGTTAAAGAAAAATTAGCCATTAATTTCGAGGTGAAAAAAAAAATATCAATTCTTCCTCCATCATGATCACCAAGTTCTTCAGCAAAATAGTGGTCAAATTCGATCCTTTTGGGCCAGAGGCCAAGTGCGCCCGGTCCTTCATCAGTTTGATTTCGCCAAAGCTCCGTCAAACGTGCCCTGTGGACCTGGAAGTTCTCCCCAAAGCCAGCACCAAGTCTCCTCTGCTCAAGGTGACGTTCAAAGATAAGACCTCTATGGAGGGAAACCCGGCTGAACAATCGTTTGACGACTTCGCCCAGATGCTCGACAGACACTCCAGACAACTACAGTTCAAAGAAGACGCTAACAAATAGATATACTGAGGGCATTAACTACAGGCATTTTTCAGCTTAAATATTTTTCATAATTCTGTATATACTCTCATTATGATACGATCACAAATAATTATCAGCACGAGACGATTTCTGTCGACCGCCGTTTCCAAAAAGACCGTCGTCACCACGCCGATCTTCTATGTCAATTCTAAACCCCATATCGGTCACTACTACTCGATGACATTGGCCGATGTCTACAACAGATGGCTAAAGTTCAACGGGGAATCAACATATTTCACCACTGGAACAGACGAACACGGCCTCAAGGTACAGACTGCCGCTCAGGCTATTGGAAAGGATCCGAAACTGTTCTGTGACGGGTTGTCGGCCAAATTTAAAGAGCTCGCAGCCACAGGCGACATCAACTACGACAGATTCATCAGAACAACAGACCCCGACCATCTCACGGCTGTCCAGCATTTCTGGACCGTTCTCAAGGAAAATGGCCATATCTACAAAGGTGAGCACTCCGGCTGGTATTCTGTGTCTGACGAATGCTTCTACACCGATCAGGACGTGGAGGAAGTGGACGGGAAAATGGTGGCCAAGGAAACCGGGGCTTCCGTGGCATTCGAGTCTGAGCAGAACTACTTCTTCAGACTCAGCAGTTTCCAGGACCGTCTGATCCAGCTGCTCGAATCCAACCCCTCGTTTGTCCAACCAGCCGTGTACTACACCACGCTGTTGAAAAGCCTTAAGGCACGTGACTTGGAGGATCTGAGCATTTCTCGGCCTGGATCGCGGGTGAGCTGGGGTATAGACGTTCCAGACGACTCGTCGCAGAAGATGTACGTGTGGTTCGACGCTCTAATTAACTATCTCACGTGTATGGGGTACCCGGGAACGGAGCCTTTGCCGGACACTCTTGTTCATCTTGTTGGCAAGGAGATTGTCAAATTCCACTGCGTTCATTGGCCGTGTTTCCTGATGGCTTGCGAGCTCCCACTTCCACGGTCCGTGTTTGTGCATGGCCATTGGCTGATGGACGGCCGTAAGATGAGCAAGAGTCGCGGAAATGTGGCCGATCCTATTGAAATAGCAGAAAAGTACGACATCGACGCTCTGCGACTGTTTATGATGCGGTTCTCCGTTCTGGATGGAGACTGCGACTACTCAGAGCCAAAGCTGAACGCCACAAGAAACGAGTTCATTGATAAGTTCTGCAATCTGCTCACACGCTCGTTGTCCAAAAAGTTCCACATTTCCAGAGCGTTGCAAAGAGTTGAACAGGAAGGACTACCAGCTTTACTGAGTCAAGTGGACGACCAATTTTCCAAAGACATAACTGACCTATATAAACAGATCGATGAGCTTGCCGATCTAGTTGATCCGCTCTACCGCAAGATGGAGCTCCACAAGGCTGTGCAGACTCTCTGGAGACTTCTGCCAAACGTGAACGGACTGTTTGACGTTTACGAGCCGTGGAAGCTCAAGGGTCTCGAGAACGAGCTGAAACAGGACCTGGTGATCTTCAGCGCACTGGACTCGCTGCGGTGTCTGCTCATTTTGCTGCAACCGGTGATTCCTAACTATTCAAAGATGTTGCTTGACAGACTGCAGGTTTCCCCAGAAAGAAGAACGCGTGAGTTTGCACAGATCGGCAAAGACACCACGTACGCGCACTCCGCCACGTTCGCCAAGGGAGAGAAGGTGCCGTTGCAAAAGATTCAGCTCTAGGTGGCTGCTATTTGCAAGGCTGTGCACTCGAGCGAGTCCATGTCGAGCACTGCGACCTGGCCGGTTTCGCTGAAGTCAGGAACGCACACGATCCGCACGGTGGCCGGGGAGTTCTTGGCGCTGAACAGAGTCAGCTCGGACGTCTCGAACTTTGGCTGGTTCCCCACAAAGTAGACGTGGGGGGTCTCGTCGAGAGAGAACGGATCTTCTGTTTCGTATGGGTAGCACGTCAACGTGTCTGGCGCGGTCGGCACAATGTTTTGCCAGTGAAGAGTGGCCTCGAGCAGCTTGATGCGGGACTCGTTGATAATCTCTGATTTGACTGGCGAGTCTGTTCCGGCACTGCTCTCTGACAGGTCCACCTCCAGATTTGGAATAAAATACTTGAATATATCGTTAATGTTTTCTCCGGACGTTCCCAGTAGGCGCAATCCGTCGATCTCAAACCACGTAGGGTTGGTTGCGCGTTTGAAGTTGGTAAACTGGCCCGCGGAGCTGAAGAACGACGGGTGCAACGGCTGTTTGGGCAAGCTGCTTTCGCTGGGGTCGGAGTCGCCAGGCATTATGGTCACAGGGACCGAATTGAGCAGTTCCGAAACAAACCTGTCCAGTTGTTTGAGCGCGTCGGCATCGTAATTCGACTTGTTGAGCTCCCTGTACTTGTCTTTCTCCAACACCACCTGATCCGACTTGTCGGAGCACTTGATGGAGTCTCCGGCCAACACGACCTCTGTGATTGATTTGAGAAACTCAATGGTTTCGGGTGCAGTGTCCAGCTCGCCCATCAGATACTCCTTCAGTATCTCGACGAGGGCCAAGTTGCTTTCTGGGTTAATATGGAGTCCAGAGATAAATAAGAGTTTGTTGCCTGTATTTTGTACAGAACGCGGGATTTGGGCACCGGCCTCAGGATACACAACATCAACAACCGTGAAGATGCCGGGATCAACTTCCATGCCCAAAACTCCAACCACAACACCGGTAACCAGTAGAATATTGTCCAGGATCTCTCCAGCCAGAATCATCCGACCTGACTCGTCTTCCAGCATTACCTGGTCATTCTGCGGGTCTGAGTACGCCTGTGCTCTGATCTGGTCGAGCTTGCTCAAATCCGCGGAGCTCTTAACGTCCTCGGCTCCATACACGTTATTGCTCACGTCTTCCAGGATATTTGGTTTATACTTCATATCCATGAACACAGTGCCGATCGTGTAGGACGGAGTCATCGACTTGACGTCCAGAATCTTGTTCACGTAAACGACGCGCGTGTCGTTGATGGTTTCCTGCTTCCATTTGGCGTTGGCCATCTTGAGACACCGCGACTTGAGTTTCTTGACGCGTTGTCCGTAGATCTTGTTGAACTGGTTTCCGTACGATCTCGCGCCGGGCGGTAACCTGTACGCGTCAGAGTGCTTGAACTCCTGCGGAACGGCTGATTCCTGTCGTAAGATCCGGTCAGACGTCATGGTGTTCATATGCGCGTACGGTGCAAGGATGAAATTTTTTAAATCCTGGAATCAACACTGATCATCTACGCAATTACGTACTCCGTGATAAGAACAGGCCAAGTTCGGCAGAGCTGGATCCTAAACATCTATCTTTGTGCTCAGTCCCATTCATTGGTCACCCACTTCCCACAACAGCCACGAGAGCCGCAGCATGCTGGGTATCTTGCGGGCCCCGTCTAGCTCCACATGTGGCGCAGTTCTTGCGCGGTGCAGGGATGTGGCGCTCCTCCCCCGAGTGATATGAACAACAAGAGTGGTAAATAAAAATCACAAGGCAAAGAGTATTTGTTCCAATTGAGACCATGGAAAGACTGGACTTGGCCACCTACAGCAAGGAAATCAAACAGGACTACGACAAAGTGGTTTCTGGAGAACTGACGTACGTCATCTACACCACATTGAAGGACTCGTCTTTGAAGCCAACAGTGCACGGTGACGGAGACATTAACGAGTTCATAACCGAATTCGAAGAAGGAGCCGTCCAATTCGGCTACATTCGTGTCAATCCGTACGGCTCGGACGTTCAGAAACTGCTTTTGGTCGGATGGTGTCCGGATTCCGCTCCTTTGAAAAGTAAAGTTTCATTCTCCAACAACGTTGCCGAAGTTGGCCGGATCCTGCACTACCACGTCCAGGTGACCGCCAGAGACCCTGACGACCTGGATGTCGATGATTTGCTGAAAACCGTGGGAAACGCTTCTGGTGCTCGGTACTCGATCCAAACTCTGCAAGGCACAAAGAGCACTTCAAAGGCTGCCCCAAAACCGGTTTCCAAACCAGCTCCTAAGCCAGCTCCTGTTCCAAAACCAATTCAGCAAAAGCCTGTTGCTCCAAAACCTGTCAAGGCCGACCCAGAAGACGAGTGGGACGGTGAAGAGGAGATCCAGGAGAGAGACTTCTCGAAAAAGCCACTTGAAACTCTTCCCTCCGCTTACAAGCCAACCAAGGTGGACATCGACGCTTTGAGAAAGGGTCCTTCGCAAACAACCAATTCCGAGCCTGCCACCGTCTCGCTCAGTCTTGGTGACGGCCGTCTCTCGTCTCTCCCAAAACCAAAGGTGAACAACTCGGTTGCTTCCAAATTCCAGGAAGTTGTTCAGCCATCATTCGGCTCCAAGCCAGCTTTCGGTGCTCCTCCTAAGGAGGAACACCCTTCTGGTGGACTGAGCAGAAACTTTGGTTCCACCAACGGAAAGACTCCTGCCCAAATCTGGGCCGAGAAGAAGGGCCAGTACAAGGATCTTGGACACGATTCCAAGCCTGTCAATGCCGAAACCCCTGACGAGTCAGAGGTCGATGTTGGTGACGTCAAGTCCAAATTCGAGGCTTTGAAGGTTGCGGACGAACCAAAAGCAGAGCCAAAGTCCACCTCCTTCCCTCCTCCTCCAGTCAGATCGTCTTTCCCTCCACCGCCAGTGAGAAGCGTTCCTAAACAGGAAGAACCTGAAGAAGAGGAAGAGGAAGAGGAAGAGGAGGAACAAGAGCCTGAACCATCTCCAGCCCCTCCAGCTCTCCCAACCGCCGCACGTCCAACACCTGCTCCTCCGGCTGCCAGCTCCGCTCCTACGGCTGTGGCTGAATACGACTACGAGGCATCTGAGGACAACGAGATCGGCTTCGCTGAAGGTGAGACCATTGTTGAGATCAAGTTCGTGGACGAGGATTGGTGGCTCGGAACCAACGCGGCTGGCAAGTCTGGTCTGTTCCCTTCGACGTACGTCACCTTGAACGAGGACTCTAAAAAGGAGTCTGCTCCAGAACCTGCTGCCGAACCAGATCCAGAACCAGAACCAGAAGCTGCTCCAGGTCTCACTGCCGTTGCTGAGTACGACTACGAAGCTACCGAAGACAATGAGATCACTTTCAGCGAACAGGACTTGATCACCGACATTGAACAGGTTGATGACGACTGGTGGTTGGGATCCGTCAACGGTCAAAGAGGACTGTTCCCTGCCAACTACGTGAAGCTCCAGGACTAATGCAAACAATTATTAGCAATCTGTATAAATAAAAATCTAGATTATATTGGTCAACTCTAGCTTCTGTCTCACCATGCTACCCCATAGATAAAGCAATGGAGCTCCGGCGGTAACCCTTTTGAATCCACGTCTAGCAACAATTCCCTCGTGGGCATTGAGAGAACGCACATACACCGGAAGTTTGATCCAATCCAGCTCGTTCAAGTTGGAGCACATTGTAGCTTTTATTTCGTCGTAAGGCAATGCGTCCAGGTGCTTTGCGACCTCAAGACTGCTAATCGAACTGACATTCAGTCTCTGTTCCAAACTAGGAATGATTTCAACTGCCTTGTCGAAATCGTAGTCGACAGCAACATCCTTGGGGTCTTTAGGTTTCTCCTGCTCTGGGGCTTGTCTCGAAGCCGGTGGAGACTCGACGTCTGGCGGAGACTCGGACTCCAAGGTCTGTAGCGTGTTTTCAACCAAGTTCTGCGTGGCGCCGGCGATCACATCTCTGTGCTCGTGCACGCTGTCATGGTGCTGCGGTTTGTTGGAAGATAAGCGAGAAAGGACAGATTTCCACGCCTCACCAACGTTGAAGTCGGAAATAAACGACTTTCTAATGGCGCTTTTTATGGTTCCAAACACGCTAGCAACAAATATAACCGGGAACACGATCGGAAGAATAAGGATCACGACCACAATAGCGATTTGCCGAGTCCGATGGAACGAATCAGGTATCGGGGACTGCAGCACATCGGGGTTGTAGACAGTGTTTTTCAAATCAACAACTCTTGCGACCTGTTCCTTGCCGAGAAGCTTTGCAGGGGGGAGCCCAGATATGAAGCTGATGTCCAAGTTTTCCCAGTTCTCAAATGCGTTATAGTTGCTGATATAGGATGTGGAGAAGCTCACCAGTCTGTCGTTGCGGACGTTGGCCAGCAAGATCCTAAACTTGAACAGCTTGAGACCTTTATAGTAGGTGCTTGATTTGCTAGTCATCTCGGGCAACAAGTCGGAATTATGAATAAATAGATCTCTTCCCGATTGTCCAACCAGTCTGCTGCCAAGGAAGTTCATCAATCGATCCAAGAACCGGGAAGTTTTGAAGAACCGAATTCCGAGATGAGGTGTGGCAAAAGTACTGAACAAAACAGGTTCGATTGTATCAAAAAATTCAACCTCGTACAGCTTACCAATGCAATACCGAGCGATCAAGCCTCCCAGACTGTATCCGACAACGCTAATCTTAGTTATGGTGACATTTCTATCGCTCTTCAATGTTTCGATCTCATTGAAGATCTCCTTAAGCACCCGATCACCATTGACTTTAATTCCGTCATAAGTTTTAAACGCTCCAAATGATGAGGGCTTTAAATAATGAAGGGAATATTCAGACGGTGTCAAACTCTCGTGAAGAGCTTTCTCCACCATATCCAGGTGGCTGGAAACCCCCCACATGCTATCAATTAGTCTTTCTCAGACCTCCAAAGTCATACATACCCATGGATCAGCACAAACAAGTGGCCTTCGTTCGTCATCAGATAAAGGTCTAGTAAGAGACAAAGAACACGCCCCCAAAAATATTTCGTCCCGTCGATTTATTTTTTTTGTGTCCAAGTAATGTTTAGTGCTCCTGGTAAAGCCTTCTTGGCTGGCGGGTATCTTGTTCTGGATCCCAAATACAGGGCATTTGTGGTTGCTCTGTCATCTAGAATGTATGCTCACGCAGAAATTGTCTCGGAAGGAGGCGATACTACCGAGATCTCGGTCAGATCGCCCCAATTCTTAGAGGGAGACTGGACATATAAAGTGGACCTATCACGCCCAACACAATCTCAGGAAGTTCATGGACGCAAGAACCCGTTCATCAAAGCAACGTTGGATATTATCTTGTTATACTTGAGCCCAAAGGTCAACAAAAGCATTGTCATCACCATCTTTTCCGACGCGGGTTACCATTCGCAAACAAACTCGGTTCCAAAAACGTCGGAGTCGGGAAAAAGAACGTTCCGTTACCACTCGCAGCCAATCACTGAGGTCTCAAAAACCGGACTTGGGTCGAGTGCCGGACTGGTTGCCTCTTTGACTGCCGCACTGCTGTCCTGTTACGTTGAAACATTGGATGTGAAAAATGATGCAACTCTTAACCAGATACACAACCTTGCACAAATTTCCCACTGTTTAGCTCAGGGAAAAATAGGCTCTGGGTTTGATGTTGCGTCGGCAACGTTTGGATCGATTGTTTATCGTCGATTTGACCCAGAGTTGGTCAACAAAGTCATCGAGACTTGGGACCGCGAATACCTTGTGAACCTTGTCGATAACGTTGACTGGAAAATCGAAATCAGCAAGTGTGCTCTTCCTTCGGGAGTCAAGCTGTTGATGGGAGACATTGTTGGTGGATCGGAAACGCCGAAGCTTGTCTCAAAGGTTCTTTCGTGGAGGAAAGAGAATGCATCTAGATCTTTGGAGGTCTGGGAGACCCTCAACAAGAATAATATGAGCCTCGTTTCAGGATTGGAGAGATTGCAAACCATGAGCAAAGAACAACCAGAGACTTACAAACTACTTCTGCAGAGCTTGGTTGCAGGCAACAAAAGTGGGTTCCAAGACGTTGTTTCCAGCATTCAAGGTATTCGTAAATACCTCAAGATAATGACGCAGGAAAGTGGTGCCGAGATCGAGCCTGACCAGCAAACCAAACTGTTAGATTATTGCATGTCCCTGGACGGAGTTTTGGGAGGAGTTGTTCCTGGTGCCGGTGGATACGACGCTGTTTGTTTGTTGGTTGCAGAAGACTCGATCCCGCAGGTGATCGAGAACACTCAGAACCATTCGGTCACATGGTTGGATCTCCGCGAACAGGAATTGGGGCTCAGACAAGAAGACGTGTCTGAGTTTTCCGGGCTTTTTTAGATAAAGTTAAATTAGATTTATTTACCCCCCGCACCTGCCACATTTTCAACGGGCAAGGGTCCCACCGCTGAGCCTCAGTGGTTCTAACATATTAATTAGATGAAACAAAAGGGTCTTTATTTTTAGGGATTTGTTGTTTATTTATGATATCGCAATATCCTAGTTCTGGCCAGTCCGATATACTTCCCCCGGGCTCGGCAGGAAAGGGGTCGGAATCGTATGAACTGACCAGATATCTCCCACCTTACAGATCGTTGCTTAGTCCTGATAGGACTTTTGACTATCGCAGTCACAAGTACGTGGACGGATCTGTCGAATTTAAGCTTACTCATCTATTTGGAAGAAAGCGAAAGCCCGATTCCACTATCAAGATGAACTATCGGTCTTTGTTGTCGCCTTTGACTCACACAAAGAAACGTATTCTTGATGCGGCCTCGGATACCCTTTCCGTGAAGTCGTTCAAATCGACCCGTTCCATGAGCAGTCTGCGCCGGGTGCAGGCATTGACGGCTCAAAACTTGATGGATTTGCCTGACGAGATTCTGACGCTGATTTTCAAGAATTTGGCAGACGATCATAAGTCGTTAGTCTACTTGCTTTATGTGAACAAGCGATGCAATTACAGCGTGAAGCCAGTGCTCTATGAAAACCCATATATTACATCTACTTATAGACTTGCGCAGCTGGTCCACACGATCACCAACAACCAAGAATTGGCCCTCATGGTGAAAACAATCGACCTCTCCAAAATCAATCCTGGCTTAGAAATAGAGGAGAACGCATTGCAATTTTACGAAATGTTCATCACAGGCGAGGGGTCTCAGAATGACTGGGATTCCGCTGACAAAGATGTTCTGGCAGGTTGGAGAGACTGGAGATACAGAGATCATCCCCTTTATGGCCTACAGAGAACCGTGAGCGGTCAGGCTTCGAGACACGCTAGGCACAGCTCGCGGCCGGAATTGGTCACACGCAAGGTTTCGACTTCTTCCAATTCGACCACCATGTCATTGTACTCAAACCATTATGACTCCGAAACCGAGCTGTCCCACACCTTGTCGACGTCGCCAATCCGCAAAACTAAAAAGGTGACGCTTGTAAGCTCAATTAAGAGGGTCTTTAAGCAAGGATCTGGAGATGGCCGAGTTTCTGCCGATGAGATTTCCGACTGGTACAGCGACATCAAGACTACCAAGCAGCATCCGGTCACATTTCCTGCCAAGATTAGCGATGTGGATTATTTGATGAGCCCGCGGACATCGCCATTTGACGGTCACTCGCAACCGTATTCCACCTCACACCCTTTGCAGAACAGGTTCTTGAGCCAGTACTGTTTTTCCAAGGATGTTCCGATAGGCTACTTACTCCACATCTTGCAAGAGTGCAAGAATCTGGTGCACATCGACTTCAGCGGAGTCTCGTGCAGCAACGATTTTGAAATGAAAGACTACGAATACTTCAATTGGCAAACTTCTAAGGGCAAGCTCAAGCGACCCCCAGTGATTGCATGCAGGTCCTTATTGCTAGATGTGAAAGAGCATGAGCGCAAGCAAAAGGAAGAGAGCCTGCTTCTGTCGCAGTTCAAGTCTGAAAAGCCGATATTCTGGTCCGATACCCAACGGGAGCTTGACTGGCAAAACACACAACATGTACAGCTGGAGTATGTGGACATCTTCAAGCAGATGAACAAGCTGGAGAACCTGCAGACGATCAAGCTGCGTTCGATATGCTGGCTTACGCAGTCTACGATCCGGACGATTCTGGCAGAGTCGAGGTCCAGAAGTCGGCTCCAGTACATTGATTGCACTGATTCAGGGATGCGCAAGTCGCTTGACTGGGCTAAGAAGCGGAGTGTGAAGCAATGGGAGAGATATCTTCGCCCACGCAGTCCTCCGCGGCGCACAGTGGTACAAACCAGCTCTACGCCAAATTTCGAGAATATAGGGCAGGAATATTACTAAGTGTTGCTACTTTAAAATAGCGGAGTTATTAAATTGGGATGAGAATAAATAAATATATGCGAATGCGGGACAACCACCAAACGTAACTCATATTGCAAACCCTTTGATCACTAAAATGTGTCTTTTGGTAGACACGAATGTGGCTGTGTTTTTCTTGCGAAAAAGTGCAAACTGCAAAGATTAGTAAATCATACGCATGAAACTAGATAAGCAGGGCAATTTAAAACCAGGCGGAGTGGGATAAACACCTAGCGGAGCTGGCGGTGCCTGAACGGGCCGATTCGTAGATTCCCCTCTTGCGAGAAGTCCCGGCAACTCGACCGGAGCCCGGTGCCATCCCAAAACGGTAACAGCCTCGGAGAACGGCTTCATGCTCGCCAGAACAACATTTGCTTATTCCGTAGTGTCCGGGCTTGAATGAACTAAATAGCTGCATTTTTTTCGCCTTTTACCGTGTCACCTCATTTGGTAGTTTTTTTTGTCGTACCTGCTACCAATTTTGGTTTTGCTACCACAGGGAAAAAAAAAAATTGTTTTTGCTTCGTGCTACCGTCTGCTACCAAGTTACCACTTGATTTGGATAAAAATCGGAATTCGGTTTGAGTCCATTGCAGAACCCACTGTCTGCACGCCATCTGAAGTCGATCTCCGTCCTTTAAACGAAACTTGGTCCACCAATTCAAGTGATACGTCGACTGTTCGCCTGCTACCATTCCCAACCATCATTATCCGCTTTGATTAACACCACACAACTATGGACAGACAGCTTCCCCTTCCGGGATACAGAGACTACCAACGGCCCTACGGATCCGCAGATGACGCTTCAAACCCACATAGACTGCCTTTGTTGCCAGCTTTGGGGTCGTTGCCTACAGTGTCAACAGCACCTGCAGCATCTCCCCCGTCAGCGATGACCGAGGGCCCTGGCTCGCCCCGACAAATTCCTCTTCCGCAAACACAGCAAGAACACCTCATGTCCATCAACAAACACGTGATGAAGACTCTTTTGCAATCAAAGTCAAGCGATGTGTCTGTTCCACAAACGCCTCCTGAAAAACCCAATCTGGGCCGAGATCGTCAGGAAGGCCCCATGGAAATTCCTCGCTTCATTCCGTTTCCCGGGTACCCCGTCATTCCACCGGGGTACGTGCCCGTCATGATGTCTCCGCAAGGGTTTCTGGTACCGATGCAGTTTTCGCAGACCCCGGTTAAGGAGGACGAAAAAAACAGCGAGAGCCAAGGGTCTTCGACTTTGGAAAGTCCGCAGCCGTCAAAAGTGCGCAAGATCGCACAGCTCATCAACTCGCCACTTCCAGAGCCACAGCAGCTGTATCCGGTGGGACCTGTGGCGCCGCTGTTGTATTTCAACGGTCCGGTGCTCGGGTCTAAAGATAAATTGGCCGCTTTTCAGCTATGTTTGATTTCGCAAGAGTATTTCTCCGAGCTAGTCTCCAAACTATCGCCCAAGGACCAAGAACTCCTTGAGGACCTGTACACATACGAAAAAGAGCATGTTGCTGTACCACCGGAGGAGTTACGCCAACAGTACACAGCCGACCTGAACGCTGTGAACAACACAAAGACCGTTGAAAAACCGTTTTCCAAACGCAGCACCCGCGTCAACAAGGTGACACACGGTCTTGAACGCGACATGGCCGAGAAACGAGATTTGGAACTGCTGAGACTCGAGCTGTTCAGAGATTACAACAAGCAGCAGATCATCAACGATTATACAGGCCGGACAATCGAGCTTTATGGGTCAATGTGTTTGGACTACACCACGCGGCTGTCCAAACTGAAGAAGTTCCTGCTACAGCAGAAGAAGCTGCTACAGACAGAAAACGCCGACTTCTTCAACGTGGCTGCTACAGACTCGGAGAAGCTTTGGCGCAGTGCGTTGCCCGACCACGTTGCCGAACAGCCAGAAACAAGATACCTTGCGCCGCCAAAGAAGAAGCAAAAAGTGGAGCTCGACCAGAAACTCTCGGACAACGACAGCTACTCGTCGTCGGCGTCCGCTTCTGTTTCAGGACCTCGGTCGTCGTCGAGGTTCAAAAAACAGCCTAAGGAGGACGCCAAGTCCAAGAAACGGGGAGCCAACCAGGTGAAGGAGCCGGTGCTCGATCCAATGACTCCAGTTACCACGGAGGAGCAATTGCGGATGATTACGGCTCCAAACTCGAGAACCTACGAGAAATACGTGATTGGTAGCTCCGAAAAGGAGATAGCCGACCAGAGCGATATCCGGCAGCTGGCCGAGCATTTCAAGACGGAATCGACTCTGGCGGCCGTGATCAAGAGAAAAGAAGACGAGGTGCGCGGGAAGAAGAAGAACAAGGTGCTACGGGACCTGATCATGGCCCACGACGCTCAACAGGCGAAAAATAAGCCCGGTGCATCGTCGCCTCGGCCATCGACAGCAGACCTGCTCAGCGTGCACGACAGCGACAGCGACATGTGGAACCTGAACTACTCGCTTTCGCTGGTGAGAGAATACAAGCTGCCATTGGGACTGACCCAGGACGAGATCGACAGCGATCTTGCCCAACTTGGACTGTGAAACCATTGGAGGGAGGGGGTTACCCTACCATGCAGTGGACCGAGGATTACGCGGGCACCAGGCCAATTGTGCAGCGGGACGCGCGGGGCGATGCAGGGTAAAATATGGTCTTGTTTCCCGCAGGACGCAGTGGAGAAAAAATTTTTCTTGGTGTACGAGACCAACAAAGTGCAAATTGAAAAAAAATTGTATTGCTTGAATACTTTTGATTCATCTAATTCAAAGAATTTATAACGATGGCTGAAGAAGAAGTAAGTAGGCCCGCCGTCGCGAGCGGCTTTGTCTTGTATTCTAACGTCTTAGCACACCTTCGAGACCGCTGATGCTGGTTCCTCTTTGACCTACCCAATGCAATGTTCTGCCTTGAGAAAGAACGGTTTCGTTGTTATCAAGGGTAGACCATGCAAGATTGTCGACATGTCCACTTCCAAGACTGGTAAGCACGGTCACGCCAAGGTCCACTTGGTTGCTCTTGACATCTTCACCCAAAAGAAGTTGGAGGACTTGTCCCCATCTACCCACAACATGGAGGTTCCATTCGTTAGAAGAACCGAGTTCCAATTGTTGGACATTGACGATGGTTACTTGAACTTGATGACCAACGACGGTGAGACCAAGGATGACGTCAAGGCCCCAGACGGAGAGTTGGGTGATAAATTGCAAGCTGACTTTGACGAAGGTAAGGACCTTTTGGTCACTATCATCTCTGCTATGGGTGAGGAGGCTTGTGTTTCCTACAAAGAAGCCCCAAGAGGCAACTGAATGCGCGACTCAATTGCAGCGTATATAATTATAAAGGATGTTTATTTATCTGGTAATAGACATACCATTTTTCGTTAACCTATTCTAAGCTGTCGATGTAGGCCAATCTGTCCAGTAACACCTGTTTACTTGTTTCTTGGAACTCGCCGCTTAGAAACATCTCGTCTAGCACCTGGTACACCTTGTAGAAGTTGAAGATAATGTCCAATTCGCAGACATTATTGAAGTAGCTGTCCAGTACTTCCACCATTAAATGCACCATTTCCAAGTAACTTAGTTCGTTATCTTGAACATCCACTGCCATCACAAAGAACAGCCCGTTGTACCGCCGATAGACCAGTTTCTGGTTCTCAAAGTTCACAAAGTTGGACTGTTTCTGGTGATCTCTGGATGAAATCAGCCGATGGACTTTCTGAATTGTTTGCTTTTTCTGTGCGCTCGGAACATTTGTATACCATTTCGATATGCGTAGTTTTCCCTGCCGATTCAGGGCAATCAGAAAATGGATTCCCATCTCGTACTTTCCACCCCGGCTGGTTTCCTTCGCTACACGTTCGGTCTAAAGATTAAATAATTTCGCATCCGTACACCTGAATCACGGATCAGAAGCAACCATTAAATTTGCGTACTGAAGGCCGTCCAGACCCCCGCCGGTTGCTGTTGTGGCGATCCACGGTCTTTGCACGGTCCAGAGATCATCAATTCTCGCTTGTCAATTCAGTCTATCCTGATTGGTTGCATTTTACTGTCTACGAGCTACCAGGTGCCACAGTGCGAAGAAACTATTCTTTCCAAAGTCATGGTGCCACTCACCACCCATTATAGGACCCTTTCATACAGTCTCCGCAACTCAAACCCTCAAATCGCCCATCCCCTGCAATTCCGGCTGTGCAAGGCTGTGCGCAAAACTAATTTCATGCCGCTCGCACACTGTATAAAAAAAATTGGCGTCGATATTGCCACGGATTTTGGGTCGGCTGCCCTAGCTTCTTTGTCTTTTAGAAATTATTTTGTTTCTTTTCAAGCTATCACCCAGCTATCTCCGGCGACTCGAAAAGGTCAAAAACTCCAGATAGCAGCATCTTGCTTCAATCCCGAGCACTTTTTGGTACCTGCCGTCATAATTTGTCGACTGACATCTGTCAAATCAGCATCCCTAAGTTGCCATTCCCATAATAGGGCATTTTCACAATCTGCCTTATCGAATTTTTTTTTTCAAAAGTTACCCTGTTTTTGAATTTTCAAACGAAAAAGCGTGTCTCAACAACGCGTTCACTTTTGACTTGCAGAAACACCCTTGCCCTGATACTCTCACATAGGTAAGATTAGTGTTGGATCCAACATCGTTCATGCTTTCGTCCGACGATAAATCATCTAATTCCGACCATAACCAGTTGGCACCGTTCGTCGATAGAATACTGGCTAATCCTTTGAGTTTTCAACGTGCCAAGCATCCGGACAAAGTCAGTTTGAGACCGTCAAGTTACCGTTCGTTCAAAAGTTCCAAGCTTCGCAACAAAGACAAGTTTGGTCTCAAACCTCTAGACGATCTGAACTCCAAAGAGCCTTCAAAGCAGGACGCTAGCATGCCCCGACCAAAATCCATGGCCGAAGCCGTGGCTCTATATACCGGGAAAAAATATCTCTCCAAGAAGCAAAAGAAAGAGCTTGAAGGTAAGCCAGTCAAGAAAGAGGCCATAGTACCACAGAAAAGACCAGTACTGTCCGATGACGAGTTCCAGGTCGGCCGGGAAGACGAAGACAGTTCGGACGAGGACTTTCAAACCGCCGACGAGGAAGAAGATCAGGATCAGAATGACGCTGAAGAATCTTCCAGCGAGCCTGCCGAGTCTGACGAAGAGTCTGAAGACTTGGAACAGTTGAAACAAGACCTGAAACAGGATTTGCATGGCCTCGATGACGAGGACGAGGAACTCGATAGCGATGCCGTTCGTTCTCTCAAAGCAAATGAGGCCAAGGATGATGTCAACGACGAAGATGTTCAAAAGAACAGCGAGACCCCTCCAACTTCCCCTGACGATGCGGCTGATCTCATGAAGGGAGAGCTAGTCCATTCAAAGTACGACGACTCGGAGTTTTACGATATCGACGAGAATCAAGAGGATCGTGGTTCCAATGGATCCAACCGTATATATAAGTCATGGCGTGAGTTCCATGGCAAGCCAGGACCTTTGGGATTGTTGAATCATGGTGTGACCTGCTACATGAACTCGGCAGTGCAAGCACTTTGTCATATTCCTGCCCTTTTGCATTACTTGGTCGATGTTCACAACCACAAATACAAAGACAGCCTCAGCACCAGCAGTGTTACGCAGATTCTTGCCGACACAGTGGCTAAGATGTACAAGTTGGATAACAAGGGAGAGAAGAAGATCCGTACCATCAATCCTAAGCGTTTGATCAAACGTTTACAGGATATTAATTGCATGATGTCCGAGTGGCAGCAGGAAGATTCGCATGAATACTTTATGTCTCTGATGTCCCGTCTCCAGGAAGATTCTACGCCGAAGGGTGTGAAATTAAATCAAAGCATAATTTACGACATCTTTGGAGGACTGCTGAGTCAGACTGTGACGTGCAAGAACTGTGGACACATTTCCACTACTGCCCAGGAGTTCTACGACCTATCTCTTGGACTGGATAACGTCAAGAAGAGAGCGAGCAGTGTCGTTAGTGCGCAGCAGCTTTTCGAACTCAAGAACAAGATAGAGGCTGCCAAGTCCAGTGATCCGGAGCCTAAGCAGCAACTGTCTGAGTTTTTGAAACAAAAAATATTGCTTGCCCAAGAGGAAAGACGGAGTCGGTCGCAAACTCCTGAGATTGGTGAATCTCAAGAGCAAAAGTCTCCCTCCCCAGAGGCGCCAGCCACGGAACGGGCGTCCCAGGGCTCTGACCAGGCCCCATCTCCTCCGTCTTTCAAGTATTCTCTTGAGAACTCGATTAAGGACTTTTTCTCGCCAGAGATCCTCAAAGCGGACAAGAAAGACAAGTCGGGCTATACGTGCGAGAACTGCAAGAAGACGACCACGGCCATCAAGATCTCTACGATTGAGCGCGCTCCAGAAACCTTGACGGTGCATCTGAAACGGTTCAGATTCAACGGTTCGTCTTCGATGAAGGTCAAGGCCAACGTGATCTATCCAGACACGCTGGATCTGACCGAGTTCACCACCAGTATGGATACCCCCACCAAATACAAGCTGAGCTCTGTGATTGTCCACCAAGGACGGTCTGTGTCGTCTGGCCATTATATTGCACACTGCAGACAGCCAGACGGAACCTGGGCCACGTACGACGACGAGTTCATCAACAAGACCAAGGCCATCGACGCTTTGAGTGACGAGAGCGCATATGTCCTGCTGTATACCAGACTGACGCACAAGTCGATCGACTCCAGAAAGCGCAAAGCCTCGGGCCAGCCGGGCAAGTCGAAAAAACGGGTCAAGAGCTCTCGATAAATGGTTCGCATATATTACATACAGCCGGCTATGGTTCGACTATGTGTTTTGATCGCTATGTACAACTAGGTCTAATTTCATGGGACAACGTGAACTCCAATGGATTTTGCCGTTTCCACCACGCTTTTGCAGATGTTTTCCAGCGACACGTTCTTGAGCTGGTCGTCCTTCTGCTTAATTTTGGCTATTTCGTAGATGTGTTTGAGACTGAGCTTGACGGTGGACTTTCTGAGCCCCGGCTCGCCCTTCTCGATGCCGGCGGCCTTCATCAGCAACCAAGCGGTGGTTGGTGTCTTGATGTCGAAGCTGAACGTTCTGTCTGGCTTAACCGTCACTTTGGTAGGAATAGGCACTCCAGGCTGGAAATGCGCGGTTCTTGCGTTGAACTCTTTGCAGAAATCGATGGCCTTCACACCCTTCGATCCAAGAGCAGGTCCGACGGGCGGCGTGGGAGCGGCCTGTCCTGCGCCGACAATCAGTTTGATCAACGTACTCTTTGCAGACATGGTGAAAAATTACTGAAAAGATTTGATAGTTTTCTGAACGCTTTTTCGTGGCGAGGTCGGTCGTCCCCAGACGGGAAAAAAAAAACTAGCGACGATCGTCGGTTTATAGAAAGCTCTAAGTGTACATTTATTTGCGGCCCTTCTTCTTCCTCTCCAACATGGCAATGTGTGCCATGCTCTGCTCCACCTGCGTGTGCTCGTGGTCCAGGCACGGAACAAGCTTGTACGACGGTCCTTCCGGCACCTTGGTGCACATCTGAACAGACTGCAACCACGGGTCGTTGAAACACTCGTCGATCGAAATACGACACGCGGGAGCAAGCGACACCATCTTACCGATCAGCGGACGGCAATCCGGCTGCAGCGCGTTCAACAGCCGCTGCTCGCCCATCAGGTTCGAGGTGTGCTTCAATGGATCGTCTCCCTCGGAGGCCTCGTTGGAGTTCGAGGTGGAAGGAGGCGGCGTTGGTATCTCGTCGGGCTGCGGCACCGAGTTCAGTTCCTCTTGGTGTCGTCCCTTGTCCTTTTCTTCTGGATGGGCGTCCAGGTCGGAGTAATTTGGCGGCTCTGGAACCCGTCTTAGCAAATTACCAAAAGTGACTCCCGGCTCTCTGGAAGCAAACAGCTTGAAGCTCGGATCAGATAGTTTCGGAACCTTCCATGGGAACTTCTTGAGCATCATACAGCAGTAGATGATGGCCGTGGACCAGATATCCACCGGTCTGGGGTCGTACTTGTTGAACACACAGACTTCCGGAGCCAAATACGGGTCAGATCCAACAATTCCCTGAGCTTCGATTAACGTGTTGGAGAACGGATACTGAAACACGACAGCAGATCCAAAGTCGATGATCTTGACAATTCCCTCCTTCGAGATCACACAGTTGTCCAGCTTCAGGTCTCTGTGTGCCAAACCGATCGAATGAATGTATCTAATACCGTTCAGGATCTGCTTGAAACAGCAGTTCACCTCCTCGGGACTCATCTTGTTGGACATCACAATGGCAAACAAATCGAAGTCGCAGTACTCCATCACCTGGACGATTCTCTCGTTCTCGTACGAAATCTCAATAGTCTCTATAATGTTTGGATGTTTCAAAGCAGAACCGATACAGTATTCGCTGGTGATTTTCTTGGTGTATTCTCTGCGCGATTCGTGTTGGTACTTGGCCCGGAACTCTTTCACAGCAAAGACCTTGGAGTCGGATATTCTCTTGACGAGTCGGACCTGTCCTCCAGCCCCTGCTCCCAAACTCTCTCCAAACTTGCTGTATCTCTTGCTGAATGGGATCTGAGGAGTAGTATTGCCTCCAATAGACAGCGTTCCAGGAACGCTGTTCAAGTAGGAGGTTGCAGGGCTGGACAAGCTTGGAGATGAAGAAACTCTTTTGCTGAAATCCAACGGAGAAGTGCTGTAATCTGGTAATGGAGATGATGGAATCGTTTCGGAGCCACCAAATGTTGGAGCGTTGAAAGTCACGCTGGATGAAGGAGTGGCTGTAGTCATCTGAGGAATCGACGAGATGGAGCCCTGTCTCTGCACACTGAGACCGGCACTCAAATTGGAGGTTCTCGGCACGCTCATTTGGCCGTTGTTGTTCAAAGATGCAGATTTGCGGAAAAACCGTCTGAGGTCGGCCATGGACGAGTGGCGGGAGCCCGGCGTGTTCGCAGTGGTGGAAATACTTTCAGTGCTGGACTGTGACGAAGGAGATTGTCCGGTGACATCTTGCTGGGGAGAAGAAGAGAACTGGTCTAATGTTGCGGCGGTGCTTCTTCTGGACTTGGAGAAGAAATTCACCAGCGACGTGTTGGACCTGGAGGAGCTTAACGGGTTGGACGCAGCAACGGCGGCTGCACGGGCCTCCTGAACCTGCTGGACCTTTTGTTTGGAAATGATAAATCGAGGCTCAAGCTGCTTTGGTGACGAAATTGCAGGTGACGAGATGTGAGTTGCCGAAATCAATTGACCATTAGCCAAATTCACGACCGGCGAGCCAACGAAACTCGAGGTCGGAGTGGCCGCAGACGATGATAATGCAGAGGTGCGTCCGCCGGGCGCACTGTATGGAATAGCATTTGCCAGAGATCCGGGCAACCCGCCAGTGTTTAGTTGTAGATTCTCGGGTCTATTTGCAAAGGAGTGATGCGATGATGATACTATTGGTTTTGGAGAGACCTGGACTTGCGACGTCGATTCAGGATAATCCGGCGTGTATGAGGTTTCGGTAGAAAGGCCCTCCAGAGAAATGGTGGTTGTTATGGTCTTTTGGTGGTCGCTTTCGCTTGGATGAATCTCTGTGGCATTGATTCTGACGCCGTTTGACACCGACGGCTGTTCCTTCTGCTCGTTGATGAGCTTTGTCAGCGACGAAACACCAGGTTTTCTGTCGTTGGATGCCATAATTCTAACCGAATATTATGAAAATGTGCTTGGAGCGTTTTTTTTTTGTTCACTCTTGGTGGACAACTTGCTGATAAGATACGCCGCTGCGCGAAGCAACACTTTAAATTGAATATTAGCCAATCAAATAGGACAAATTATTACAAACTACTTAATAATGAGGACGCTTGTTTCTAGGACCAGAGTACCCATCATACCGCCGCTTGCGGTCTGCGGGCCTATCAGAGTTGTAATCTGCTCCATTGTGTCTGGAACTGGCTGATTTTCTGTGTGATGAAAAATCTTTCTGTTTGTAGTCGCGACTGTTTTTAAAGTTGCGGTGAGGAGGATTTGATGGTGGGGGTAATGGAGGAGGTGGCAGAGGTGATGATGGCGAAGAACCAGAACTTGTAGGGTTCGATACTTGTCTTTGCAAAAGCAGCCGTTTTTCCTCCTCCAACCGGGCCAAAAGCGCAGACGATCCGGTTGGAGCTGGCGATTTCGACGCAGTCCGGCTTTTGTCCTGAACAAGCTCTTCTTTGGCCTCGGACTTGGTTTCTGGTTCAGTGCTCGTCTGTTTGGTCTCCTTACTCTCTCCTTCGACCCTAATCTCTGTGTTTTTCTCGTTGTCGACATTGGTCCCCACCTCGGGTTTGATTTCCGGACTGGTTTCTTTAGCAGGTTCTTCCGCTGTGCTTGGCTTGGACTTCTCGGAGTCGATTCCTTCCATCTTGTCTTCGTCCTCGGTATCTAGAACCGGATCCTTTGCTGCCTCCTTCTGCTCGAGCTCCTCGTTAGCATCCGATTTAACAGGCTCCTTGGTTTCTTTCTTTTCTCTCTTTTGCAACCCAACCAAACCATAAGGTTTGGCAGTAGGGTTGGACTTTTCGCGCTCCTTCCGCTCGGCCTCACGCTTTTCACGCTCTATGCGCTCCAACTCGGCAAGGCGTGCCCGCTCCGCAGCAACTTTCTCCTCTCGTTTCTTCACCAAAACCTCTTTTTCCTCGGGATCCATCTCGTAGAATTCCCAAATAGGCATACACCCAGATTTCTTGGACGATGTGAGCACAAACAACGCATTGGAAGCGAGTTTGATATCCTCTCTTGTGTCGGTTGCATAGATGGACGACAGTTTCCGTGTCAAAAGCTCAGAATGGTCTTCAACAACTGGGAACTCTCCAAGAAGATTCTTGAGGAATATAATAGCATTGTTTCTGGTGGTGTACTGTTCTGAGTCCAATGCGGCAATGATCTGTTTCTGAAGCGCCTTGTGCCAATTGAACAATGTCTTCCGGAACTCTTCGTGGCTCAAAACGTCTCCTCCTGGTGGCTTTAGTCCAGTTAACGATGGCTCTTCGTCACCTTCTTTACCCAACGCTGTCTTATTGTAAACTTCTTCGGATGATCTCCAAACGTTGAGCTGTTTTAGCACTTGTGAGTAGAAAATTCCAAAGTTCTCGGTCTCGGAAGCTGTGCTAGTGAAAAATGTAGGAAGCATGAAAGAAGCAGTGAACAGCTCGTTCAAAAGGTAAACCAGCGAAAAACCTGCTGCATTCAATGAATGAGCCAAGAACAAGAACTCGGCACTATAAACAGCATCAAACGGCGAGTGAACCAATCTTGGTAACAAACAGTGCTCCAAGATCTGACTGGTACTTTTGGAAATAGTCTCCTCATCAGTAACATCATTGAACCATTGGTCTTTCCTGGATTTCAGAACCTCCATCTTGTACTGATAATTCTTTTCGTGAGTAAGACCGTCGTTCTTGACACCAGCAGAGATACTATGCAATTGACTCAACTCTCTTTCCAGTCTCTTCAGCTCCTTCTTTGGGAAATCCTTGTCCTTGCGAGACATGACGAGCTTTTTGTTTAGCGTGCTAATCTTGGTTTTGATTTCTGCCAGTTCGTTCGAGTACGAAATCTTCTCGTAGCAGATTTCATATAGCGAGAGCTGCCAAAAATCGGCATAGAAACTGGCACTCATCGTGTCCCAGTCGATAGACAGAACGGCACAGAGATCTGCCTCTAGCTCGTCAATAAGTCCCGGATTGGCCTTCAACTGTCTGCTAAGGTGTCTTCTCCAGATTTGGAAAGCCCAGACAGGACGGACTCTAAACTGCTTTATCAGCATATCAAGAGACACCATCTTGGTGACAAACACATTGGTTGGAAGGTTTTCGTCGATCAGCGTGGTAAAAGTATGGATTAATGAGTTGAGCTCGTCACATCGACGATTAAGGATTTTTAATGGAGCGTGCGACTTATCCACGATCTTATCCGGCAAGTTTGCCAATAAAATGAATAACTCTCCCAAAACATCCAGATCAGTCAGACAGTTGAGCAGCTTGCGTGAACTTGCTCTCGAATCGCCCCTATGATCTTCAATCACCATGTAAACAAGTTTTTGTAGACTACTTTCAGAGTTCAACAAGAAAACCTGTTTCGCTGTCAAGTTGTTGATCTGTTGCACACCACTCATAGACGCTATCAGCTCATTCACCAAAATGATGTAGTCAATCTGACCATTGTTCAGACTCTTAACAATCAACGTGATTATCGGGTCCAGTTGGAACTGGTGTAGTCTATTCTTTGCCAGCTTTCCAATAAACGAAGAGAGGTTCTGGATCCATTGCATATAATTGAGTCCATCTTCCTGCATAGCTTGTCTGTTTGAGCTTAGCTTGTTGCAAAGCTGGAAAGTCAACGCATCCCACACAAACGGGCCAAAAAATTGCGAAGCCTCGACTATCAAGTCACTCAAACTGCTGTAACTCTCAATGTGGTTCACAAACGTTGCAGTGACGGCCAAAGGATTGCAGTACGCAATTCTGGTGAGCTGGCGCATCTGAACACCTCCGTTCTCTGTTGACAACCGTTTGAGGATGTCTTTGGTTTTCTTTTCTGCAATGTCGTGTTTCTGCTTGATCTCGTCATTCGTCTTGACAGTAACGTTCTGATATTCTCCGTAAAGGTTGTAACGCACTTGTAAGGGGTAAAAATCGGACAAAATTGAAAATGCTTCGTTAACAACAGCCATGTTGTTTGCAAAAGCGAGCGCAGGGAAAACAAACTTGCGGAAGTATTGCAACACGTCTTGCTTGTCTGTGCCTTTTTGGAGCTCATGCCTCAAAATTCTGATGATTTTGGTAAATAGCAAAGCGCTCTGAGCAATTCTTGTGCCAGTGAAGCAAAGAAACTGGTTTGAAAAGTTCACCAAGTCTTCAAAAGACGACACCAGCATGAAATCTGTCACTTCAGTGGTTTCTCCTATTCCCTTGATTCCAATTTGTCTGTAGTACGGCGTGACTATTTCATCGGCCAATTTGTTAACGGAATCACAGATCTGTTCGTCAATAAGCGGCAAAAATGGGTACTGGACTAAAATGAACATTGCCTCGTTGTACATTTTGTAGTGAAGAATGTACTTGAGAAACTGGATCTTCGCAATGTATGGTGTTTTTTCCTTGACGGGGATCGTCTTTTGTATAGGCGTGGAATCCTGGGCTTTCATGGGCTTGTTTGCATCTTTCATCTCCTCGTCTTCGTCGTCAGAGAGAACTAGTGGAGCAGCTAGGGCCAAAGCGGAAGCTGTCGCTTTAAACGCGTTTTCTTTCGTCTCCTGTTGATGTTGAGTGTTCAACTGCTCAAGTTCCTGGTTTTCCCTTGGAACCACTACGAAATTGGCGTCGGACTCGAACTCCAAAGGTTTCAAAGAGTTGAAGATCGAATGGAACTCCAATAGTCCCTCTTTGATCAGCAAAACAATCAGCTTGAGTTCCACTGGAACCCGTTCCTTGTAGTCTGTATCAAGCAAAAAAGAGACAACCACGGATTGCAAAGTTGAAGACTCTTTCGAAACCCAGATGCTCTTTTTGATGATTTCCAGTATTAATGATTCGTTCTTGTCAACGTTCAATGCAAATATGCTGAGCATGAGAAGAGCGGATCTCGACAGATCCAGACGGAAATGTCCAATCAGACGCTCAATCACGCGTGTGTAATATCCAATTTTGCATAAGCTGTCCTCCTGGTGGAAAATGTCCAACAATTCAACAGCCAACTTGGAGTATCCTTCACTCGACTCGTGCAACGAGGAGTACGTTACCACTCCATAATCGTTGACTCTTGCATCGTTGAAGTAACATTTATTGTAGTCGGGAAACAGCCCGGTTTTCAGGATGGAATAATCTAGGTATTGTCGTTTGAATTGGTTGTCGATTCTAACGGATTGGATAAATGCGTTGAGATGAGGCTTTGGATTCGAGGCCTGGAACACTATCAAAAACTGAATAGACAATTCTTGTCTCTCCTTGACGTTTGGAATTGTCGAGATGATAGTGTTTGCGAGAGTAATTAAGTTGTTTATGGATATTCTTGTGTTAAAATCGTTGAGACAAAGAACAATCTCGTAAAACACTTCGGTTGGAGAAACGTCTTTGTTGACGACCTGAGACGTCAAAGTGTCGACCGTCTGTTTCCAATTGCTGATTGCAGTATCGTCAAGATACTTCCAATCGTATTGGAACGGAGAAGTCTCTGCAACGTTGACGGTTTCCTCCGTCATTATTGGAAAGATTTATTAAAAAAATTACTTCAACTTTTAAGCATATATACAAATGGTAAGTTTGTTTGAATAATTGTTTCTAACCATGAAAGGCCGATAAAATACGAGAGAAACATCTCTACGATGCTTTGAAAAGCAAACATGTTGGTTTAGGGAACGAGGAAACCACCAGGGCAGAGTATATCAGCAACGTCAAAAGGGATACCTACGCGAGCTTGGTTGCCCACCAGTCCATGCTAGAGTTCATGTCATTGTCCTATAATAAGCCTAAACAGATTGTACATACAGAACTACTGGAGAAAATGATCAGACCACTAGAACCAAACAAACGGGGACCTTAGCTAAGAAGAGGGGCTTGTTCCTCTCCATTGACAGTGTTCAAACCGGATCCAAACATAATGACCACAGAGATGATAAAGTCGACCGCAGCAATGATGAATGCAAACACCCATTGGAAAGCGACCACCTTGGTGAACAGCTGACCGAATCCGAGTCCCAACATCAACAAACTGGTACTAAGACCAATCGACCAATCGTGGTACAGAACCAAGATTGCCAGAGGAACCAGCAGGAACTCCCAGATGAAAACGTTTGCAAGAATACGTGCAATCAACGACTTGTTGTGAGAGTGGACCAAGCATGCTCCGTTCCAGAAAATAGCGTACATTGTCCATGACAAAGGCAAGGCTGTAACTGGGAAGTGGATGGTGAGCCAGTCGCCCACATTTTTGATGGAGACGGTACGGTGGGTGAAATACAACGCCAACAAGTTGAGCAGGTTGATGATTAGCACCAATTCTGCCAAAGCAAACTTCTCCTTGTTGAAGAAGTAGCACCACAGAAATTGCAACGCGTTGTTGATAGCGAAATGAGGACCAATAATTTCACTAACAGCGGCCTTGTTTTCAGTGGACACAGTCTTGTCGAAGAAGACCTTAATGATAAAGAACACTTGGAGCAATATGGTGATCAGCCAGTAAATATCGGTGATCAGGAAGAACCCGGTAAACGGTGTTCTATAATGGCTACCATAGTGGCTGAACAGAAATAGAAACAGAGTTCCATATAGGGAGAGCACGAAGCTCGCAAGGATTAGCAATTTGTGAGTATAGACTCTTGATTCTGCCGTCATGATGAATTTCTAAATAACCAAAACTTTTTAAACGTTTGGTTTGCTTGCTACTCTAACCCGTGCGGCTTGCGGTGTAAAGGTTTGCAAAAGTCTGGAGAAGAACACTATGTCATTGCGATGACAAACGTACATGCATACGGAGTTGGACAATAAATAGGGGGTTGTTGATTTCCGCTGTGAGGCTTAGACATCACCAAAATTGCCTGAAATAGCACGTCCAACACCGAATCTTTATCTTTGGAATTTGTCAGAAAGATTTGTCATTCGGAGCTGAAAAGTATTTGTCATACATTACATCCTGCATCTAGAAAAATCTCACTTGATAAGACTAATTGCTTGCTTCGCCTGGAATATAAAAGCACACGGTTCCACCCTACTATTGATATCAACAAAATCACCGAATAAGTCTTAAATATGTGTGATACTTGCACTATCGATCTGCCTGAGGAACGTATGTTCAACCTCTGCTACGCAAACAACGACACCTCTACACCGCCTTCGCCTACGATATCACGGGCTTCGTTTGAACGGTACAAGAACAACTCCACACGAGTCGCACATCTCCTTGACTCGTCTCCAGTGAGGTCGCCCAACTACGAGCTTGTGCAAAGACTCGAAAAGCTCACATCCAAATACCACACCTCGGTGCCGATGATAATATCGTCGTGGCTGAAGGGTGATGCATACAACTTGCGTCTATCTGATGCCGACGTGCACTTTTTGAATGAGTCAGTGATGGCCGCTTGAAGCGTCCGTCAACTATCACGTTATACGCCCCTCGCACAAACTCGCATATTTAGATTTATTAAATTACACAACGCTCTTCATGGTTTGGTTCATGCAACTATGTGTGAAATCGTAGACATCTTTTTACAAGTTATTTCTTGTCTGCTTCAGGTTCTGGTTTCTCCTGCTTTGGAACCTCAACAGGTCCCTTCTTGTCGGTCCAATCGGCCCAAGATCCGACATAATTGAGTCTCTTGTCGTATCCAAAGGTTCCGGCAAGCTCCTCGGCCATGGTCGATCTAACGCCGGCCAGACAGTAGAACACCAGGGTCTGGGATGGTTCTGGCTTTGGGAATCCAAAGGTGGATTCGAATTTCTCCTCTGGCAGTCCCAAAGCTCCAGGACTGGAGTTCACAGGGATATTAACAGCACCAGGAATATGGCCCTCTGCGTACTCTTCTGGCTCTCTAGTGTCAACAAGAACCACGTCGGGTTTCTTCTCCTCAGCAATACTCTTCACCTTGGCGAAATCAATCACCGGAGCGTGCGAGTCCTCCTCCAAAACACCATAACGACGAACGGACGGACTGTTAAAGAATTTGACCGCAGGAACCACCCGGGTTTGTGGTCTGTGAACAGCGGCAGAATGAATCGAGCTCAAAAGCCTCTGGGAAGGCCGGCATCTTGCCAAAAGAGCAACCGGACGAAATTGTCTGAGCATTATTTCAAATTACTTATGCTTATCAACACGGTTTTTTTCCATTTGCCATTTACTCTGTTAAAAAAAATGTGCATGGTACCAACCACATTCACAAGCCACACTTACAAGCCACAACGTATAATTATTACAGCTACATACCACCCATGCCACGGAAGTTCTGGGCCATCTGTCTCATTGCCGGGTTGTTCATCATCTGTTTCATCTCCGGAGAGTTCATCATCTTCATCATTTCCTGTGGGTTAGGCATTCCGCCGCCGGCGCCGCCCATCAGCTGGCTCATGTCCGGCATTCCACCACCAAGTCCACCCATCATCTTGCTCACGTTTTGCATGATGGACGGGTTGGATTGCATCTGTTGCATGGCTCGCTGGATATTCTGTTGGTTGAACATTCCGCCACGTCCACCGGCCATCGGATTGGCACCTCCTTGTTGCATGTTCTTTGTAGTCTGTGCCATTCTGGCAAACATCTTCTGCTGCATCAAAACAGCTTCCACCTCCGTCACTGAAGTTCCCGATCCACGAGCAACTCGCACTATCCGGCTAGGCTGGTCCACAAAGATATCTCCGTCGCTGTCGAGCTCTTGTTTGGTCATGGAATCCATCACATACACCATTCTCTTGAACCGTTTACTCGTCTCCTCCTCTCCAACCTGGTTCATCATCTCTCCAATTCCTCCTGGCAACATCTGAGCGATCTTGGATAACGGTCCCATCTTCAAGATGTTGTTCATTTGCGTTTGCAAGTCTCGTAGAGTAAACTTTCCTTCCTGGAAGTTCTTGAGTGTGTCTTTTTGATCCAGGTTCAGCGATTGAACGTGTTCCATCAGTCCTTGGATATCCCCGATTCCAAGCAACTTGGAAACAAACTGGCGAGGCGTAAAGCTCTCCAGATCATTAATATGCTCTCCTGTACCGATAAATGCAATAGGAGTTTGGGTTGCTGCCACAGCAGAGATGGCTCCTCCACCTTTGGCGTGCCCATCCATCTTGGTCAAGATAATGGCACCAAAATTCGACGAGTCCTTGAACGCGCGCGATTGTGACTCGGCAGACTGTCCAATGGAAGCATCTAACACCATGATAGTCTGGTTAGGCTGCACCGCCTCGCCGATCTGGATCATTTCTGCAAAAAGCTCAGTCTCCTGACGATGACGTCCAGACGTGTCCACAATGATGATCTCGAACTTCTCTTTCTTGAACTTGTCAACACCGTCGGCGGCAACCTTCACTGGGTCGGCCTCTGTGTACGAACCGTAGTACGGGATCTTTGCCTTTGTAGCGTTCTGTTTCAATTGATCAAAAGCACCAGCTCTGAAAGTATCGGCACACACCATTCCCACCTTGAATCCCCTTCTTTGGTAGTAAACAGCAAGCTTGGTACACGTGGTGGTCTTACCAGCACCTTGAAGACCGACAAACATAATAACGTTGGTCTTCTTCTTCTTTGGCTTGTACAATTCTGTCTCCTTACAATCAACCAGATCGCAAAGTTCATCAAAAACAGCCTTCTGGATGAGCTTCTTCTTGTTGATTCCGGGTTTTTCCTCGGCCTCGATGGTTGCCTTGAGCTTTTTCCGTAAATTCAACACCAATTTGACATTCACGTCCGCCTCAATAAGGGCGTTCGAGATTTCCTTCAAAAGCCCATCAACAGCACTTTGATCAACAACACTGGCTTTCGTCACCTCCGACACGGCGTTGTTGATCCGTTTCCCTAAGTCTGCGAGCACCATTGATAATATAGACTGGACAAGATTTTTCCACTTTTTCTTCCCCGTTTATTTCTTTGCATCCTTGCACAGGCTTTTATTCCAAACCATAACATCTCAACAGGGAACAATATTGATGAATGTGTTTAGTGCAATCCAGACATCGACCAGCAATCTGATTTCCAAAGGTTCTTCTTCCACAACGAGCGATTGGGTGGCCCCAAAACTACTGTATTTTTGCATCTTTGATCCGACGTTGGCAGATCCCAAGAAAGAGGACGATCAGCAGTTGATCAACCAAATACTGGTCTATCTCAACTTTGAGGACCGTGAAGTCACAAACTCGGAAAAGGCCAAACGAATTGGATTTATAGAAGGGCTCGGAGACTTTTCAGGAAGATTCTCTGCCTGTGACTCGGGATATCTCAATTATATCGATACAGACAAGTCCAGAGTCATAGTGGGCACCTTTGCAGAGAAATACAAGTTCTTTTGCGGGTTCAGATTTGCACAGCTAGCGGAAAACTACGTTCGGCGAGGACTTGCTTCGCCAGAATACATGATAAATGAGTTCCAGTCCGGTTACAACTTATACTACATAAACCACGGTGCTATTAGCTACGAGACGAAAGAACAGCTGGAAAAATGGTGGGAAGTTTGGCTAAATCACAAGTTTGAGTTTGAGTCGGGCTACAATCTCGAAGATAGAGGACTGTTAAACTTGTATCCCGGTTATCGATGCTCTTCTGTTGTTCTTCCTATTGGATTCCAAGAGAACTTGAAAAACGCAATGGAACGTTTTGTGGATCAAAAAGATGGTCTGGTGGATCTTGTTGTGCTCAATACCAACTGGACTCCTTGCAAGAACTTCGGAGTTGTTTATCTAAACAAGGAATCGAAAGTACCGTCGCAATGGCTCACTAATCTGGTCAACTACATCGAGAAGCTTGATCTGTCCATCGGATTATCCACATATTCTTTGAAATCAGACAACCTGCCATCATTGAAAGCGTACCATGCGGCGGTTCAGGCCGCAATGCCCCAAAACAATGGAACGTTGCTTGACCGTTCGATCTTGCAACCTGCGATATATCTCCACGAGCAGCTAACAACGCACGTTTTCAATCCATTCACATCGGCACTGAGCACTGTTTCCACTGTTCCGCAACTTCTACCGTCATTCAGTATGTTTGGTTTGGGATCAACCTCCAACGAAGAAACTGAGGTAGCCGAAGAAACTGTCTCTGATATCTCAGAACAGGTGCAGGAGTCTCTGACAACCCAAAAGACAGGAAAGTATCTCCTTGGAAACACCAGCGAAGGAATCGTTACAAAAAATATCCATTTGGGTGACCATTCTTTGGAACTTGTGGTCTACGAGATTAACGGGATTTTATTTGCATTATTCTATGACAACCTGGATCATGACGAACATGTATTCAACGCACTTCAGAACGACCTCGACAACTTGTATGCATTATATTTTAACGACTTGGTGATCAATCAGCTCAAGTCTATCGAAAAAGAGATCAAAACGGAAACAAGCTTCTTCTATCTGATCCACGATCCAGTCAACAACGTATTGAAAACGTCGATCCCTAATATTGCCGACTCTGAGGAGGTAAGAGAGCTTAAAACCTACCATGTCCCGTCAGCCGGGCTAAGCAGGTCTCAAATGATCAATCTGACAATGAACCTAATGACATATCTTTTAGAAAAAACCAGTCCTTTGGAGCTCAAACCGCTGGAAAGGATAATCAAGATCAATTCAAACTGGTGGTGCTTGCAAAAACTGGTGAATGGCAAGACGGTGGTGGCACTGAAGAAGTTTGCTTCCGGGGAATTGAAACTCGACGCGGGCGACCTCGTTTCCTCGTTTGGACCCGAGTTTCGCAAATGGTACCATGATTCTATAAAAAGTGGTTTCATCTAGACAAGTCCTGGTAGAGCACTTTGTTGACTTCGCTCAACGGCAAGTCCCAGATACCGCTTGTTGATGCAAATAGATAGCGATCTATATCTTTTTTCTGGTATTCGGGCAATTCTGTGATCACCACGCCGTCGGTGTCGACGATGGTTCGTGGGTCATCCAATGGTGGGGTTTTAATCTCTGTGTTATACGATGCGACGGCCACGTAGGTGTACATCATGAGCACCAGGACATATGCGGGGATAGCCAGGGCCCACCATCTGGAGGGATAATAATAGATGCCGACACTGTTTAACAGCGAGTCGGGCAGCATCGACCAGCTCATCCATATGAATAGAAACAGAAAACTTATGACGTAGGCTGCAAATCCTTTGTACTCGGCCTGCGAAGTAATGTTGGTGGAGACGATAACATCGGACTCTCTGGCCAATGCGTCGGATATGAGCGGCAGATTATCGGACGTGGAGTTTGCTGTTGGATTTATAAGACTGGAGCCCGACTGGTTAGCGCCCAAGGAGTATAATGATGGAATTAAAGAGGTGATGGAGGTTGTGGACAAGGAGATCATTCTATTGGCAATGAAGGGCGAGGAAGGTGCAGGAACGGGTGGAGGCGGTACCAGAAGAGAGTTTGTTGTAAGGATAGACTGCGGCTGCGGTGAGAGGATTTCTCGCGAGCGACCGTTGGTCGAATCCTGCTGAACAACAGGCATGGGGTAGAGTGATATAAATATCAAATAATTTATCTGTCAATTTTAAATCTGTGTTGGCTGTTTTTTTCTTTAAGCAAAATTGAACAAGAGCATTAGAAACATAGCAGAATTGGGCGATCAAAGATCAATCAATTGTTCACAACAGTTTGCGAGAAACCTGAAAACAATAGCAAGGTGAAGGGCCAATTTTGAATTTTAATTTTTGCCTCGTTAGTTGATCAACAAACATACTAATAATATCACACCATGGGTAAGTATTTAATTTTCCATGGCATCCAGGAACAGTACTAATTACATGGGCAATGGGTTCATTGCCTTGAGGTAGGACCTAAGAAAATGTCTTTGAGCGAATTCTACGCCGACGAAAGTCTCGGGGGATCTTGGGCTGACGACGATATCGACATCAACTCTATCGCCGTCTCTTTACACAAGCCAGCAGACTCGTCTTCCTTCTCTCGACACGGCGATCGGGGTCAATTTGGACAATTCGGACATTACTCGTCGGGACCTGATAATGATCGCATGTTTGACGGGCGGGGACGAAACGATGGCATGTTCAGAGACCTGAAGCCTCCATACATCGCCAAGTTCACCAATCTGCCAGAACATTCCACAGGGAAGCTTATGATCGAGCTGTTTGGGTCGCGATTCACACGGTTCGAGAAATGTAAAGTTCTGAAAGACCCGCACCCTCCTACTCCACGGTTCAATATTTCATCCTCAGGTAAGGTGGAGCGTAAATGTGCGTATGTTCAAGTGGAAAGTGTGCGAGAGTTGCAAAAAGTGCTCAAGTGGAACGACATATTCATCGATAGACTAAGAATCAATGTGGATATTGCCGACTTCCAAGATTTCATGGACGTTCAGCAGTACAACAAGGATATTGGATACGATGACGAAGCAGAGGAAAAGAAACAGGCAGAAGCTCCAGCAGCTCCAAAGCCTGAAGAGAAGCGTAAGATTGCCACGAATCCGGCAAATGCTTCAAATGGACCAAAAGCAGTGACTGAGTCGAATGTTGCAAACGATTTAAATGGCGCTGCAGCCAGTGCTCAGCCACCAAAGCCTAAGCCTAATCCGTTTGGAAACGCAAAGCCGGTAGATACTGCTAGCAAGCTTCTTGCCCTGGAGAATCAAGAGAAAACGGCAGCTGCTCATCCTGTGCCGCAACCTAAATCGAACCCCTTCGGCTCGGCGAAGCCCGTGGATGTACTTTCAAAGCAACTGGAGATCGAGAAGAAGTTGGAGGAACTAGCAATCAACAGCACAACGTTCAAGACCATTGCTGGTGTTGAGAAGAAAAAGGAAGAGCCGGCAGAAAAGTCTTTGTCTCCCCGGAAAAGGTCGCAAGAGCCGTCACGCGCGGGCGCAACGGTGAAAGCTGTGCCACAGAAGACTCTGAGCAAATCTGACAGCAAGGGACGGGAAAGACGAGAGAGAAAACGGAGCAAGGAGCCAAAAGAGCCAAAGGAAAAGCCAAAGAAGGAGGAGCAGGAAAGCGAAGCTGTTTCTGAGGAAAAGGGAGAGGTTGACAAGATAGAGCCAAGTCCTGTTGAGGAAGTAAGCTCGACAGACACTTCTGCAGAAGGGACGAAGGAGAATACGCCTGTGGTTGCGGAAGCCAAGAATAGAGATCCTATTCAACGAAGCTTCCGCAACACGCGGTACGTGCGCGAAGGCGAGCCGCCTCTCCGCGGCCGTGGACGAGGACGAGGACGGGGATCGAACCGGGGCTCTTTGCGTCAGCGAGGAAGAGAAAACTTCGACGAGAAGTGGGAGCGGGGAGACAAGCTTGCGGAGCTCAAAAACGGAGAAAAGAGAAAGGAGAAAGAGAAGAGTGAGGAGGCAGGCGAGAAAACAGAGTCCAAAGAGCCAAAGAGCTCTGACGAGCCAGAAGACGTTGCAAAGCCAAAGAAGCCAAGGGAGCCACGGGAGCCACGGGAGCCTAAGGAACCTAAGGAACCTAAGGAGACCAATGAGCCCAATGAGCCCAAGGAGTCCGACTCTGACGGACCGTCAACCGACTCGTCCAGACGTCGCGGACGGTTCAGGGGCCGAGGAAGGGGCCGCTTTTCCAAGCATCAGTACACCAGTCTAAAATATGTCAAGCCCGGACTGGCTCGTAACGGTGAGCCGTTGGAGCAGACCCAGGGAGACAGCTAGATGTATAATAGCAGTATATAGCAAAAAAAACGCAAACTGCCGCATTGATCGGTATCGAGTGTTTTACATTGTAAAATCTGCGCATTGCACTCAACAACTAGACACTGTAAAAATGCCTGTCAACCGCCAGCACAGCGCTCCCATCCAGGCGGCGTATTTCAGCCGCCCGGTGATTTCTGATGGCCGTGCCCGGCGCTTTCGCGCCCTGGAATCTCTCAAGAGAAATTTTCAGCGGCGGGGTGTATCACCGAATTTCCCACTCGCGAATTTTGCCTAACGGCCGTGTGAAGGCGAGTACGCGCAGATTGCGACGGTGTGCGTTTCCACTACGCCAGAAGCGCAGTGTAGGATTTTTTTTTGGCAATTGGAGATAATACAGGATTATTTTGCAATACATAGGTTGTTGATGATTTGGAGCAGGTCCTGGCTTGTTTTTGCATGTATCGTGCTGGCCTTGCTGGTGGCTGCGCGCTTGTGGGATTTGGCGGGCTTTTCCGACGGAACTAGACCCAAGGCTCCAGATGGTAGCTGGCTGTAGAAAGTATCTTGGTACCTCTCAAAGAGGCCCAGCACGTAAAGGCCGGACGTTGCCAGCTGGGTTGTGGATAGCACAGTTGACGGGTCGTTCCAAATTCCTGGACTGGTAGTCTGAACTAGCGAAACAACAACGTATTTGTACTTGCCTCCGTTTGGCTCCGTAGCCACGAGCACAGAGCAGGGCTCAATCGAGTGCTCGGCAGACTTGGAGCGGATGATCTCTTCTATGAGCAGTTTTTGTGCTGCATAGGCAGTCACTATAACTATATCTTCACGTTGAAAACCTTGAAGGATCATGTAAATATACAGGAAAGCACAGAACTCTGCCTCTTCCAAGTTTTGGAACTGGGTGCCTGCCTTTGTCTCGGAACCCAGCAGGTCGACAAAGAAGCTGTTACACATGAATCCTTGGTTTGTGTAGATTTGAGGTGACTCGACTGCGAACTGCGACAGTTCCTGAGGGATCGCATACTGCGTGGTGAGAGTCTGGGTGGGGTTGAATAAGGAAAGCGCAGATTGGTTGGTGTTGAGCAGACTGTTTCCAACGACTGTCAGGCTGCGCAGGTCGTCGCTTAGTAGACTGCACAGTTCGTAGGGACTGACCAGTGAAGCATCCATGAGCACCAAATGGTCGAACACAAGATTTCCTGGCAGTTTGTCGATAGTGGTTGCAACCACTCTGTTGAACAGGAACGCAGCTTCTGGATACCGAGTGGAGATGTCGTGCAGTTCGAGCTGGTTGATTGGACGAATAAGCGCTTTGAAATGTTCCAACGGGTTTTCTGTGGAACCAAATGGATACTCTGTGTTCTCTGGGTCTTGAGAATACTGTATCCATTTTGGTTCAATGATATTTTTGTAAAAGACGTGGGCTGTTTGGAAACCATCGATTTCCTCAGGTTCGTATCCCATAGTCTGTGCAAGGTCCTTTGTAGCTGCCAGTGCGTCCACAACAGTCAAGCTTGGCTCCTGGGGGATGTTCAACGAGTCCAAAGTTCTTTGGCTTTTTGCAACCACAAGAATACGGCCATCCGTCTCGTTCAGCAGGTTGCGCACCAGGGTTGTCTTCCCTGAACACACTGGACCGTTAATCACTTTCAGCCTGTCGGTTCCCTGCTCTCCCAGCCATGGTGGGTATTTTGCGACCAGCGTTCTGGGTTTTCCTGCCACTCTAATTGCATATTTCACTGTCTCCAAATTATTCTTCTCTGAGGCATCAACTTCAACAATCGCACGGTAACTGTTGCCCTTGATGTGGTTTATCTGGTTAGATGTGTATCTGGTGTTGCTCTTGCCAATCAATACTCCCTGACCGATCCATTCCTTCTCATTGAGACTTTCTCCCTTGTGGCTCAGTATAGCCTCACAAATAAGTTTGTCATTTGAAAGGCCTCCATGTGTTTTCACAATAGTGATTCTGTTCACGTCGGCTGAGTACTTGCTCGTACCGACTCGAACCCGTCTCAGCACGGTCTCCACAAATGCGGTTTCCTTTTCGTCGGCCTTTGCTACCTCTTGCAACCACGAGCGCGCAACTAGCTCCTCCGCTGAGCTGAACGCAACATCTGCTACACTAGGTACAGGCTCACAGGTGCCGACCGCGAGCCAGGCACAGAGTTCCGGGTCAGAGTCTGGGTGTATATCAAGTTTCTCAAGTAATGCCTTCACCGTCCCCTTGGACACAAATTGTTGAAACTTGTGAAAGTCCCGCTGGAGCTCAGCAATGTTTGGATAGAGGTATATATCCTTGAACTCTAATAGAACCTGCAGTTCTCGCTGACAGACATCTTTGTAGATATGCGATCTTAAAAACTCAAAACTTGCATCGTTCTTAAACCGTGCAAGAAACCCAATCTTGCGTAAAAATGCACGTTGTTCACTCGACTGACACACTCGTATGATCAAGTTGATATCCGCTAGCTCCAACGGGTGTTTCCTGCCGAGTCTCTCTATTATCAACTTCAAATGACTTTTGAAAACGTCAAGCTCTCCAAGATCGTGCAGAAAAATGAAATATCGGCACACCGTCTCGTTGTCACCACCTTCAATCACCCACTGAGCAATCTGCGACAGTTTGTCCTTCTCCAACTGTACCAATCCTCGTCCTCTGCTGAGAAGATCAACAAGGCTAGCGACATCCGCTCCAGATTGGCCATTTTCTAGCCCTGCAATTTGTTTTTCCACTTGCTCTGCAAGCGTCCCCCACCTGTCACTCGCCCTACGCAATTGCTCCCCTGCAATGTCCTTACTTGAACGGCCTTTCTTTCGAGGCATGTCTCTGGTTCAAGATGGTGTCTGGGTTTTTCTAATAATTTTTTTCTTAAAATTTTCATACATCATGAATAGAGGAAGAGGAGGATTCAGAGGAGGCCGTGGCGGCAGATCAGGACCGCCAGTGCCGCAAGGACCCCCAGACAAGGTTTTCGAGATGGGAGAGTTTGTTCACTCGTGCGAGGGAGACATCGTCTGCAAAAGTATTAATGAGAAAGTGCCATACTTCAACGCACCAATTTTCTTGGAGAATAAGACCCAGGTCGGTAAGGTGGATGAGATCTTGGGACCTTTGAACGAGGTGTTTTTCACCGTGAAACCAAGCGAAGGTGTCCAAGCCACTTCTTTCAAGGAGGGTGACAAATTCTACATTGGAGGTGATAAACTGCTACCATTGGAGAGATTCCTTCCAAAGCCAAAGGCTGTGGGGCCAAAGCCACCAAGAAAGAAGGGTGGTCGTGGTGGCGCTGCTGGCGGCCGTGGAGGCTTCTCCAGAGGCGGTGGTTTCTCCAGAGGCGGAGGCCGTGGTGGAAGAGGTGGATTCTCCAGAGGAGGTGGAGGATTCTCAAGAGGAGGCGGCCGTGTAGGCCGTGGAGGCTTCTCCAGAGGAAGAGGAAGAGGATTTTGATTGAAAAGCTACATGATATATCGCCAAACGTAATTTGAAGCATTGTACGTTAACTTTGTATGTGTGTTTTTTTTCTGTAAAGCAACTAGGTAAAGTCTTCTTCAAGTTGTTCAGGAGCCTCCACGACGCTGGTCTTGATCTTGTTGAGCACTCTGATTTTGAACGCATCCAGTCTCGAGAACTTGTCGAACTCTTTGGCGCTGTTTGCGATTTCGTCGGGGCTTCCATTCCGCACAGCCTCCACCAATTTGGATGCAAACTCGTACTCTCTGGTGCTCTCGAACGTTGGGTCCCATTGGGTGAATCTCTGTAATAAAGCGTTACCACTGGCGTAGTCGTTGTTGTCTGCCAGTCTGCACAAAATGGCTTTCAAGAAATACTCTTTCAAAGACCATTTGGCCAGGTTATTGTTTAGGGACTCTTTAGCCACACGCTCGTACACGGCAGCCGCCTTAGAGTATTGCTGGATAGTGCTGTCGCAGTACAAGTCTGCAGCCTTGAGAGCGAACTTGTTGGCCAGAGCTGAGGCCGAATCGCCTTTGTACCATTCGCTAGCGTCCTCGTAGCTCTCTATGGCCTTTTGAATATCGTTTAGTTCGTTCTCGTACAGCTCGCCCAGATCGGACTTGAAATTTGCACTGCGTCTGAACTGGCCCTTGCGAACAAACATCTCGATTGCCTGCTCCAAGCATCTGGCCGCCTCGATAGGAACCTCTATTTTGTAGCTCTTGAAAGCCTCGACCAGTGTATTAGCGGCCTCATCTGGAGAATCGGCCAGTTTCTGTGCCTCTGCGGCCTTTTCAAAGGTCTGACCGGCCTGTGCATTGCGTTTTTGTAGTTTGTATAGATTAGCAGCTTGGACATACAAGTCTCCGGCCTCTTCGTATCTGGACTGCTGGGACGATCCGAAGAACGAGGAGAATCCCCCCACTTTCTTACACTTCTTGTCGGCCTGGTAGGTTAGCAAATACACCGCACTAAGATACATACCTCTGCAATTAATTGTTCAGGATTGGACATTGGCAAAATAATTAATTATCACAAACAAATGGTTCTGTTTTACCGATGGGGCGTATAAATTCACCCCCACCGGCCATGTTGCGTGTCGGCGAAAATTTTGGGCTGTCATGGCTTTTGTCGGGAACGTTAATGCTTCGGTAAATTCCTAGCGGCCACTACTTACAGTTTGAGGTGTCCGGTTCGATCCTCGCGGTCGGCATTTCACTGCCACGAGTAATCTGGCTAGTGTTTGTCAGCAAAGAACAGTGTTTCCACTGAAGGGTAGAAATACAGCACAGTTCACTGTCCGTGGGGAGGCGAGTGGGGTAGCATCTTGCTGGTTTCCGTAAGGATGGGGTAGTCGTCATGGTGAATTAGTTGATTGTGACCGATATTCTTTTTTGCATCCTGCTCGTATTACATTTTTATTCTTTACACTCTCTCAATAACTAAAGCACTGGCTCCTCCACCACCGTTACAAATACCAGCGGCTCCGTACTTGCCGCCTTCCTGGGTCAACACAGACAGCAAGGTGACAATGACTCTGGCACCAGAGCAGCCCAAAGGATGGCCAATGGCAACAGCTCCTCCGTAGACGTTGACTTTAGCCAGGTCGAGATCCAAAAGCTTGGCGTTGGCAAGACCAACAACAGAGAACGCCTCGTTGAATTCGAAGTAGTCAATGTCCTTCAGCTCCAATCCGGCGTGCTTGACGGCCTTAGGAACAGCCAAAGATGGGGCAGTGGTGAAGTCGACTGGGGCGTGTGCAGCGTCTCCCCAACCAATGATCTTGGCAATTGGCTTCAATCCCAGCTCTGCAACCTTTCTGGCACTGACAAGAACAACAGCAGCACCTCCGTCGTTGATAGGAGAGGCATTTGGAGCAGTGACGGTTCCGTCTTGCTTGAACACGGTTCTGGCACTTCTCAGCTTGGCCTCGTTCAACTTGGAGGTCTCCTCGTCGATCTCAACAACGGTGTCTGGCTTGCCTCTGGTACCCTTGATGGTGATTGGGGCGATCTCGGCCTTAAACTTGCCGTTAGCATGGGCCTTCTGGGCCTTCTTGTACGACTGGATGGCAAAGTCGTCCTGCTCCTCTCTGGAAATGTTGTGGTCAGCGGCACACTTTTCAGCTGCCACACCCATGGCTTTTCCGTCGTACGCGTCGTTTAAACCGTCACGCGAAATACCATCGATAATGGATCCGTCTCCGAATCTAAGACCGCCACGCGCAGCAGGAACGTAGTAAGGGGTGTTGGTCATCGACTCAGCACCTCCAGCAACAACAATATCGCCGGAGCCGGTAAGAATGTGTTGGGTTCCAAGAATAATGGCCTTCATAGCAGAGGCACAAACCTTGTTGATGGTGGTGGCAGGAGTGTTCTCCCCGAGCCCAGCCTTCAAAGCAACCTGTCTGGCAGGAGCCTGGCCAACATTGGCCTGCAAAACGTTACCAAAGAAGATCTCCTCCACGTCGGTGGGTTTGATCTCAGGAACCTTGGCCAACGCAGCCTTCACTGCGTGGGCTCCCAGGTCAACATACGACTGGGACGACAAGGTACCTTGGAAAGAGCCAATAGGCGTACGGGCAGCGGCAACGATATAAACGTGTTCTTTAGACATAGTTATTAGTGGGAAACAATTTTAGACTTGGAAAATACCCATCAGAAAAATGCTAAACGAGAGCCATACCGCTGGGAAAACATTTGCACAGCCTTGGAAATTATAAACCTCGATACACTGCGTGCGTGTGTTTCAGCCTTGGATCTCGATGTCCATGGCGGTGAACCGCTCGCTTTGCTCCTTTTGATGCTGTTCGAGCTGTTCCAGAGTCCACACACTGACTCCCTGTTCCTGGTCCTTAACGCTGATTGGCTGGGCCAGTGTTCGTAGGAAGTTCTTGGCCGAAGCTACGGCCATGTCTGTAGAGAGATTTGTGTCTGCCTCGGACAACGCCTGGCCTATCCATTTTGGAAGCTGGGCCTTCTTCCGTGCAAATCTTCTGTCTGCCAGAACCATTACTCCGTAGTCGTCCTTTCCTCGCAAAACACGTCCCAGACACTGCGCGGCGTGTCTCATCGCGTCGAAAGACAAGAAATCGTTCTCTCTGATTTGGTAATGGTCCCGCAAAAACTCCAGTCTCGCCTTCAAGATCCTGCTCTCTGTATACTGGAACGGAATCCCAATCATCAACACCGTACGTCCGTAATGATGGTCGAAATCGATTCCTTCAGACACTTTTCCACGAGCAACAGATAGCAAAACGGCTCCTCGTCCGTTCGAACAGGCCTTTCTATATGTTTCCAATGCCAGCGACGTCTCCTGTGCATCTGGAGTCTCCACCAGAATCAGCTTGTATTTCCAAACCTCGTCTAGAATTCCCATTGTCTGCCATTGCGAAATGATACTCTCCATGTATAGATACGACGGGAAGAACACAACCAGCCCGTCAGGAGTGATCTTGGAGAACTCGATCAAAAGCGTTCCGTAGTTTCTCACCACACTAGGATCGTTTCTGATCTCGAATCTTGACGAAATGGCAACCTGGTCAGACCCTTTGGTCACCACCATTGGCAAAAACGATCTTCTGTCCAAAGTCATTGTGTACGACTCCTGCACAACGGTGTCGAAGTTCAGCATTCTTGGATACATGTCCAGTGGTGAGATGGTACCAGAGGTGATGATCACCGAGGAAAAGCGCTCAAAAACGGGTTTCATGGCAAGCGATGCGTCAAGACAGGCGAACCGCAAAATTGGGTTTGGAACAGTGGCATTTTCCGTCTCGTACGGTTCCAGAATAAGAACAAATCCCGTTTCATATGTGGAAACTAAGGTTCCAAACGTGGCTATATCCTTCAGAGCCATAAACTCCTCGATCTCAACGACTTCCAACGTCCTCACCAGCAGCGATAGCCGCTCAGAACAGAATCGTAACGGCTTTCTATCGATAAATGTCAACTGCTTCAAATGCTGTAGAAACGAAACAGGCGTTTCGCTAATGACATGCAGAACCTTCATTCTCGTCTTAAGGTACTCGATAAATCTCTTGAGGAATGAAACGAAATGTTCTGCGCGACGAATACTTCCAGGAACGGCCTCGCTCAAAACGTCCTCTGAAAGCACCGGGTTGACCATGAATGCCTCTTCGTTTGTGTTGGAGATCTCTGTTTCTCGAAGTCCTTCAACAAGCTTCTCGTATTCGTCCTGGAGTCGCTTGCTATCAGTTTTCTTGACTTCTTCGACTTTTTTCGCCAGAGCATTGGCACCCCTACTGGCTCTTTTCAGAACATCTTCTGTCAGATCCAGCGAAAGAGATTCAATGCAAACGTTATCAATATTGTGCGCCTCATCAAAAATGATGATACTGTCTCTAGAAAGCTCTTTGGAAACTCTCTCGGCAATCTTGGGGTCCAACAAATAGTGATAAGAATAAATAATTATGTTGCAGAAAGGAATCATCCGTCTGATTGTGAAATATGGACATGTTCCTTCTGTCTTGCAGTATTTGAGCAAGTTCTCAAACGAGTAAACACCCGGTGGAACCAGATTGGCCGGATCTAAATCGTACAACTTCTCGTGAAATGAACAAAGATCATTAGTGCTTGCTTGTCCTTGTTCTATGCGTGATTTCAATTGTCCATTGGTCATGCGTCGACACATCTCATCGACAACCACACCTTTCCGTTCTTTAGAGACAACCGGATGAAGACACAAGTTCTTACGACTCGACAGTCCCAATCCACGGAAATCTTCCACGTATCCCAGCTCTTTTGCTCTATATTCCATCAACTTGTGCAGCTCGATCAGAGCTTTTTCGATCTCCGACATCGTACGAGAGCAATAAACAATCTTTCTGTGTTCTGGATAATGCATCTGGTACGCTACCGTCAACGAGAGCAGGGAAATCGTCTTCCCTGTTCCAGAAGGCATCTCCAATATACAATTTCCACCAACATCTAAAGTCCGCTTGATATCGCACATATAAGCATATTGCTCGGGATAAATCCTTGGATAGGGAAACAGAACAGGAAGATCATCTATAAAGAACCTGATTGGTTAGCAATTGGTGTGAAACAAGTACTTACTTCATATTTGCCTTTTGATTTATAATACAAGAAAATTAAAGAAAATTAAATTTTTGATTTTGTTATATCAGTATTATTCCACCTTCACACCAATTTCGATCTGCTTGTCTGTGTCTAAATACGAATCACAAACACACCAAACACCAAGTTTGTACTCTCCGGATTCGGGAATTGTAAACGACATCTTGACCTGTTGCGATTGCTCGCTGATGGTGAGTTTCTTGATGGAGTAGAGCTCTCTCTTCTTCTGATCTCCAATAACGATCCACCAGTTTTCGGCTTTTTTGCCAGGGAATCGAGGACAAACCGCATCGATATCTTCCAATTCCTCGTCTCTTTCGATGTTGATCACAATATCCTTTGGCTCATTAGCCCTGATTGGTTCCTCAAGGTCCAACTCGTACGAGAGCTCCAGGTTTGGATACTTGTTCACAAACTCTGCCACCTTTCCCAGCTGACGTTCGTTCAGCGTTCTTAGCAACTCGTCTCTGTCATCGTCCTCCAAAGCCATGATATCGTAAACCGTTTCGATCTTCTTTTCCTCGCACTCTTTCAGAATTTCGTCGGTGAAGTATGGAACTTGTTTCACTGAGTTGTCGTTGGCCCACACGGCTTGAACCACCATCTGGGTAAGATCCATCGCAGAGAGAGCGTTCAGGTATCCTTCACTTGATAGAACGTCAATTGCCGCGTAAAGCAAGTTGACAACCTTGGACAGAATGGTGTTCGTGTCGCTTGTAAGATCTGGTGGTAGATTGACTCTGGAGAGGTGGGCCTGAATCAAAATGAACACTTTGAACGCTGGCGACTCAAAATTCGAAATGCTCGTGCTCCTGAGCGGAATCCTGTTGTACAGCTTCTTCAGAATATCGTCTTCGTGGTTCCGAATCGGAATATCTTCAAACTCGTGTGCAGACGCAACAATCTCAAGTAGTCCTCGGAGATTGGTCTTATTAGTGAGCGAGAGCGCAAATGTCTGCATCGTGACGAACGAGATGTTGTAGTAGGCAGAAATCATACATCCGTTGAGCGGTTTGATCTCGTCGCCCAATTCCTCTTCCTCAGCCTCATCATCTTCTTCTTCGTCATCAATTTCAAGTTCAATTATTTTTCCTTCCACCAGATCGTTCAACGTGTTTTCAATTAGTTCAGACAGATACTCAGAAATACTGTCCTCACTGGTATCCTTCAATCCATAAAAACTTGGATTGTTTTGCAACCGCCTGTAGAAATAGGTGTAAGTAATCCAGTCAACACAGTCCTGCCTGTTTCTAATCAGTCGAGTACTAATCTCATTCACGAATGCATCATGGAGATAGTAACTGAGACTACTTTCGATTGGCAAAGACTCGGCAAGGAACTTCTTGTAAAAGGTAATTTTCTCCTCGTTGGTTAAAATGAATGCCTTTGCTTTCTCGGATCTGGAAAGTCCAACCATCTCCAATATTTCAATAATGGTGTAATCGACATACCGGTGTTCTTTTCCTTCATAGATTTGAGTGCTCATCACCGCAACAAACTCGGCAGATGGAGCCCAAGAACAGGTCTCTTTCGTTGCCAATAGACAAGTCAAGGCTCCTGCAGAGTAGAGTTTTTCGACCAAATTCCGATCTCCAAGAGACATACCGTTGTAGTAGAACCCAATACCATACTTCAAAGCTTCTTTTAACGAACCATCCTGCACTCTCTCCAGATGTTTTTCGATCGCTTTCAGATCGGTTCTGAGCCAATTCGAATCGTCCTTCACCAGAAGTCTAATAAATTCTTGCGAAATGTCAACACAATGGTTCCTGGTCGGAACAAACACCAGATTTCTGTCCTTGTCGTTGTCCCTGATAGCATTGAAAGTTGGACGAATCATGGCCAAAATCATCGACGGATGGTGCGCGGTCTCAAACTGCTGAAACTTCACTTCCAACGGATATTCTCTTTCCTTCGAGTCAAAGTTGAAAATGTGCTGTTTCGGAACACCCAGCCATTCTGCAATGTCTCTAGGGTTGGCCAAAGAAGATCCCAAACTAACCAATCTGATGTCTTTTTCCAAGTTAACAGCGATGAACCGCAAGCGACTGAGAACCAGCTCATAAACTGCATCAACTCCAATTGCGTGGAAGTCGTCAGCGATCACCAGTTCTATCGATTGAACATTCTTTCTTTGCTGCCAACGACGGGAAACGAGATCAAACTGCTCTGGCGTAGCGAGAATCAAATGTGAACCACCAAGAAGTTTCAGGTCAGTACTCAATTCTCCAGTAAGCTTATTGATCTCCTTTCCACCAAATAGTGGTCCAAGGAGCGTTTTCCAGCGTTTGAAGAGCCGGTCGATCTGTTGCTGTTCTGGAGCAAGATAAACAGCTCGGCCCTTTTCCTCCTTCCAGTGGTTCAACAAAGCCAACTCTGCAACAGCAGTTTTGCCGCTTCCCTTCGAACAGAAACACAAAACGCTTGCTTCGTTGTTGAAGATGGAATCGAAAACCTGCGACTGGAATTTGTTAAAGTGATCAAACTCAAACACCTTGGAAAACTCACCAACCTCAGTGGTTGGAATAAGATCAAAGTCTAAAAGAGGAGTAGGAGCCGGGAACTTCTTTGGTGGTTTCAGAGAAGTCAACAGGATAGGAACTCTGGTTTCACAGTGCAACCATTTGTTGCTGATTAGAGTGACAAAATAGTTGGGCTGACCAGAGTCCATCAACGGAACAGTAAAGTCAACAATGTGCGGCTGATCAATGTACTGGCTCTGAACAACAACGTTAGTTGTGTACAGAACCTTCTCGGAATCGCAGTCCTCGACTAAGAGAATGAACAGCTCGCTCCATCCATGGACCTGGTGGTCCCATTTCCATGAGGGTGTGATCTCGGCCTCAACGCGTAGAAGAGAGGGAGTGATTGGTTGAGCTTGGCATGTCATTTGGATTTTAGGGAATTTTTTCAGCAGCTCAAACCCAACACGTCCAAGACGTTCGGATTTCAAGGCCTGCGCAACTTCAAATTCATCAGACAGCTGGAGATAATACTTCCATGGAGTCATAGACCGTTCTGTTGTCTGAATGATCTCAAATGGAACGTCAGGGAACTGCCTGAAAGACGAGTTGGTTAACCATAGTCGTTTCTCAATGATCTTGCACAGATCAATAAGCATAACAGAAAGTCGAGGCCAGCCTTTCTTCAAAGCCATTTCCAACATAGCACGGAACAATCTACCTGCAGATTGAACGACATACACCATATCGGCCATCAATGCAAAACCGTCGAGTCCAAGCTGCGAAATGTATGCTTGGAGAAGAATGCTGATTTTCGCAAGCGGGTCCTCATTCGACTCGCTCACAGGAATAGGCGCTCTTTCCATTAGCTTCTTGATCTCCATCTTTTCTTCCTGTCTAACAGGAATGTACTTGAACTCTTCACTGCTTGCAAAGACTCTAAATATATCAATCTCAGTCATGTCGGGATTCATCTGCTTGGCGTAGTTGCGCATACTTCTGTAACTGATGTAGTAGTGAGATGCGATTTTGCCCATGTTGGTCGGAACGATCAAGTCCTTCTCGTAATCGTACTTAATCAACCCGTTCTTTCTGAGAAGAAGTAGAGCGGAATACGATAAGTCCCGTCTGCGCTCGACGAGTTGCAAATCTTTCTCGTACTCTTCTCCAACGTGATAAAGGCTGCGTGAATGCATCATTCTGACGTACAAGTAAGTGTACCCAATCCAATTGATACAATCTTGCAAATTCTGGACAGATCCCAAAACTATCTCTGCATTGAGATTGTCAACCAGCTTGGAGATCAGTTGGGACTCAATTGGAAGCTGCTGATTCAAAATTGCAAGGTAATATTTCACCTCATCTTGATTAGTGATGATGATTCCTTCACCGTGGGTATCGTATCTGGGTCTTCCGGCTCTTCCCAGCATCTGAAGAATGTCTTGTGGAGAGAGTTCAACCCAAGTACCTTTCTGTGGAGAGTAGACATTGGTACCTTTGATAATAACTGTGTGTGCTGGGAGATTAACACCCCATGCCAAGGTGGCCGTAGAAACCAGAACTTTCAGATATCCTTGAGCAAACAAATCTTCTGCTGTCGATCTGTCCTTTCTGTTCATTCCGGCATGGTGAATTCCAAATCCCATGGGGAGGACACTTTTCAAGCCTTCGCTCTTTGCGTCGTTGGCTTCAGTCCGCAAAATCTCCTGAACACCAGGCGTAAATTTGATAAGATTAGCAGCTTGTTCAGTTTCAATCAACTTGTCAACCATCCATTTCGCAGTCTTTTCTGTTTCTTTTCTGGAATGCACAAAGATGATCACCTGATGGCCGTTGGTGACGTTCTCCACAACTTTGTCGTAGCAAACTTCGTACATTGCTTGAAACCTCTTCAAAGACTTTTTCTCGGTGATACCAACAAACTGCTGGGCCAGAGGACATGGTCGGTAGGTAGCATCGAAATAGAACAATCCTTTTTCCTCAACTTTAAGGAACCTAGCCACATCCACGTAATTTGGAAGTGTAGCAGACAATCCAACCAATCTGGCGGGATCTTCGTTATTATCGTCTGAATCTTTCAAAGTACGAGCAACAATGCTCTCCAGAACAGGACCTCTCTCATCGTGCAGTAAATGAACCTCGTCAAGAATGATCAACTTGACCAGACGAACATACGAAGCGTCGTCCATTTTACGTGTGATAACGTCCCATTTCTCGGGAGTGGTAACCAGAATTTGGGTGGTAGCAATCTGGTGTTTTGTAAGGTTGGAGTCTCCTGTAAGCTCGTTCACAGTGATATTGAACTGGTTCAATCTTCTTTGGAACTCTCTCACCTGTTCCTGAACCAAAGCCTTGAGAGGTGCAATGTAAACAATCTTGAAATCGTTCAATCTGATGGTCCCGTCAGAGTCCATATATTTCGAGAGAGTCCGAAGAACGGTCAACATGGCAACGTTGGTTTTTCCTGCTCCAGTAGGAGCACACATTAGAATATTAGAGTCACCCTTGAAAGCCACAGGGTATACCTTCGACTGCACCCTGTTCAAAGTCTTGGTTTCGCTCGAAGGAAAGACTGTCTGTGCCCAATCAGGAAGCTCACTGATTGGAACAAGTTTCTCGTCAGCCTCAAACTTGGGCTGTTTTGGTGGAGGTATATGGATTTCTTCCCAGCTTTTTCTTGCGCGCTTAAAAGACCCTTGGGGAAGTTGGAACTGTGTGTTGGTCATTAAATGTGCTCCTTGTTCAAAAACCAGACTCTCGATATCAACATATCTTGGGGTTTGAGGAGTGACAACTTTGCTTTCAGATTCGCTTATACGTTGTTTTTTGGAAGGCAATGGATCGTCCTCTGACTTTCGTATTCCCTTGTAGGAATTCACAGCCTCCTCCAGGCCAAGGGAAGACATTGTGCTAAATATGTCGGCCTTTTCGTTTTCAGAGGCCTGCGAAAGCTTGATTCCGTAGTAAATCTCTAGCGGATGCCTTGTGAGAGTGTTGACGATAGGGTTCGAGTCATAGTTGAACAATTCGATCAGTTTTGTTTCAAACTTGCGGAGCGTCAATTCTTGGTTGGCGAGTTGCGATAAAAGAGCGTTGATGGTCTCAGAAAGCTCGGTGTGTCTGTAAGAATCGAGATCTTTGAATTCTTGCGAGAGCTGTCTAGCAAGCCAGAACTTGTCAATGAGCTTGATATCAAAATTCTCATCTTTAAATGATTGTCCGGTAGTGAGAGTGATAATGTCGTCCTGAATGTCAGCTGGGTCCAATGGCTCTTCTTCTTCTTCTTCTTCTTCCTCTTCCTCCTCATCTTCCTCATCTTCACCTTCCTCCTCATCCACAACCGCATCGCCCTCTTCGCCCTCGTCTTCGCGCTTCCAGTCGTCAATCTGCTTGCTCAGATCCAAAACCTCTTGAAACTCTTCGTCTGCAAGACTTTTGGCCATGGTTTCCTCCAGAACGGCCTTACGACGCAAATCCGTGGTCTTCTCGTCCATCAGAACCTCTATAACAAGATCGGCCATCGACTGGATAATATCTCCTGGAACGTCGCTCCCAAGCTGGTTGGAGCACCATACAAGAATATCCTCATATGCTTGCTGCGATTTTTGTGTTGTAGGAACGTAATTGAGCTCTTCAACCGCGGTGTTCAAAATTGTACCGCCTGAACGGCTGATTTTCTTTTGAGATCGGGTCTTTTTCGGAACAATCTCTTGTGTTTCTCTTTCCACTCTACTTCCCATATCCTTCATGCTAATTTTTCCAACCACGCTCTGCGGGTTGGTCGATACCGACTCGTCAGCCTTGTCGTCCATAAGTCTCCGATTCGCACGGAGAACCTTATTCGACATCTCGTCGTATTTATACTGCGAATTCGAAGACATCGTTAGACGGTTTTAACAAGTTCAAGTTGATAAAAAATATTTAACTCATAAATATATTCACAACACCATTTTTTGTCGCGAGACTCATCTTGTCAACCGTCGACAAATAAATTCCCGCCCAGTCGACACTGGGTTTTTGCTTCCCGAAATCTCGTCATTAGCAAAAAAATTAATAGAGGGGATAACAAACCATCTTATCTTTTAATAATTTCTCTTCAATTCCGTCCAATGTTGAGAAATTTGTCTAAAAGAGCTCCGCTCCGCGCTGCTCCAAGATTGGCCAGAACTCTGGCGACAGAGTCCGACACGGTCACCATCGACTTGCCAGAAAGCTCTTTCGAGACTTATAAGATGGATGCTCCAGAATTGACCTTCGAGACAGAGAAAAGCACCTTGCTCCAGATGTACAAGGACATGATCATCATCAGAAGAATGGAAATGGCCGCCGACGCCTTGTACAAGTCCAAAAAGATTAGAGGTTTCTGCCATCTTTCTGTTGGACAAGAGGCCATTGCCGTTGGTATTGAGAATGCCATTGACGCTAATGACGATGTCATCACCTCTTACAGATGTCATGGTTTCACCCACATGAGAGGCGCCTCCGTCAAGGAGGTTTTGGGTGAGTTGATGGGTAAGAGATGCGGTGTTTCCTACGGTAAGGGTGGTTCCATGCACATGTACGCTCCAGGATTCTACGGAGGAAACGGTATTGTGGGAGCCCAGGTGCCATTGGGAGCCGGTCTTGCTTTTGCCCACCAGTACAAAAACAAGCCAAACTGTACCTTCACTTTGTATGGAGATGGTGCTGCCAACCAAGGTCAGGTGTTTGAGTCGTTCAACATGGCCAAACTGTGGAACTTGCCATGTATTTTTGCTTGTGAGAACAACAAGTACGGTATGGGAACTTCTGCTTCTAGATCCTCGGCCATGACCGAGTACTACAAGAGAGGTCAGTACATCCCAGGTCTGAAGGTTAACGGTATGGATATCTTGGCCGTTTACCAGGCCTCCAAGTTCGCCAAGGACTGGTGTGTTTCCGGTAACGGACCACTTGTTTTGGAGTACGAGACTTACAGATACGGTGGACACTCCATGTCCGACCCAGGTACCACCTACAGAACCAGAGAGGAGGTCCAGAACATGAGATCCAGAAACGACCCAATTGCCGGTTTGAAGGCCCACCTTTTGGAGTTTGGAATCGCTACCGAGGATGAAGTCAAGTCTTTCGATAAGGCTGCCAGAAAATACGTCGATGAGCAGGTCAAGGAGGCCGAGGTGTCTCCTCCACCAGAAGCCAAGATGGACATTCTGTTCGAGGACGTTTACGTTCCAGGATCCGAGATCCCAGTCTTGAGAGGAAGAATCAGAGACGACTCGTGGTCTTTCGAGAAGAAGGGATTTGCCTACAAATAGAAGCCATGACCGAAAAATACAATGTCAATTCTTACAAAATACACTTACTCGTCCACAGGCACCTCCTTGTAGTTTGGATCGTGCTTGTTTTTCTCGTACTCGGCGGTGTCGACGGTTTCGTAGGTCACCACTTCCTGGTAGTCGTCGTTGTCGACCACCTCGGTGAACACAGGTTTGGTTTGGGACCGTGCTTCGATGGAGTCGGCGTCGACGTTGCCTGGCGTAGGAGCTGGCTCTGCTGGACTGGATGAGGAAGAGTCTGGTGCTTTTTCTGCTGCCAAGGTCGACTCGGTGATGGTGGCAGCAGCAGACTTGTTTGGAGACACCTCCTTGGTGCTGACCGGGGTGGCTGCCTTTCTTGGATCGAGCGTGGAGACCGGTTCGTACTTTGGAGATGCATCTTTTTCTGGTTCTGTGGTGGTGGTGGTAGCGGCCGGAGTTTCGGCCTTTGGAGCAACCGTTTCTTTCTTGACGTTCTTCAGACTGTTGCTTCTGGATAAAGGACGGAACTTCTTGGTGAGCGAGTTCGATCTGGACTTTGGCTCGCTGGCCTTGGTCAACGAGTTCGAACGGCTCTTTTGCTCTTGGTAAGCTTTCAATTGTTCAGATAATGGAAGGTTCATCTTCTCCACCTCCTGTGGACTCAAGTGCTTCAAAGCGTCGTCCACCATCGATGGTCTTCTTCTCAAAGTTGGGGTCGAAGGAAGATCAACGGCAGCACGAGACCCTTCTGGCTCGTCCTCCTCCTTGATTGGCTCCACAGATCCCTTGGAATCTGGAGCTTGAGGGAAGTCTGAGATATCGGCACCTTTGGACAATCCATCAACGACTTTGTCGACACCAACGGCTCCAACAGCACCGGCAGCAGCAGCAGCTGCAACACCGGTAGCGGTGATGGAGCTGACAGTGCTGGAAACGCCGCCCTTGGACTTCTTCTCGGCAGCCTCGTGATCAGCCTGCAGCTTTTCTTTCTCTTCTCTGAGCTTCTTGAGGTTCTCGAACTCGGCGATCTCGGCAGCAAGTCTCTCCTTCTCCTCTTCCTGCTCCTTGCGCTTCTGTTCCTCTCTTTCAGCCGCACGCTTGCGTTCTTCTTCCTCCTCGGCACGCTTGCGTTCCTGCTTCTGTGCCTCCTCGAGTCTGATCTGCTGTTTCTCGGCCTCCCAGTCTTCCACAGCCTTGTTAGCAGCAGTGCGCTGCTCGGCCAGCTGCTCCTTACCGGTGGTGTTGAGCAGCTCCTTCTTGGACGTGTGCTTGTCGATTCCTTCCTGGATCACACTAACGTTCTTCTCGAGCTTCTCCGAGTTGGACTTGGCCTGAGTGTGACGGGCAGTGATGATAGCCACCTTGCGTTCGGCCTCGAGCTTTCTACGCGTGGCAGAGGCAATCAGAGTCTGCTTCTCGTATTTGGAGGCAGCCAGGCCTTCCAGAGCAGCGATCTTCTCCTCGAGCTCCTTCTCCTTCTCCGCCAGCTCGCTCTCCACGGAGTCGGCCTTGGTCTGGAAATCCTCGCCTGCAGCACGGACCTCCTTCTCCTTCTCGGTCTCAACAACCTGCTGCTCCTTGGCCAGAGCAAGAGCCTTGGTTCTTTCTTCCTTGTACTCTGCGGCCCGCTTGTGGACATTCTCCTTGTTGGTGATATGTTGTTCGGCGGCCTTCTTTTCCAGTTCCTCGTAATCCACCTTGTCCTGCTCGATCTTGGCCTTGACGTCCTCAATGTACTTTTCAGCAGCAGCTTTGCTGGCAGCCATATCCGAATCCAATTTGTTCATAGGAGCGACAAACGAAGCAGCAATGGCGGCGTTCTCCTTCTCGATACCGGCAGTGTACTTGGACAGCTCCTTGGCGAGCTTGGCTTCGTCCTTCTTGGTGATGCGGTCCTCTTCCTCCTTGGCACGCTGCTCGTCCCGTTTGAGGTTGTCCTCGACCTGCTGGTCGACCTTCTTCAGAACAGGCGCCACTCTCTTGCGGGCTATCTCGTAGATCTGGGCCTCGGTGAGTCTGAGCCCGGCACCCAGGTTCAGCACGCGGTCTGGGTTCTGCACAAGGGTGTTGTTCAGGGCCTGCGAAGCCACGAGCTTGTTCTCTTTGTACCGGTTGAGCATCTTGGGCTTGTCGAAGGTGGCCTCGAGCTCGTCCACCGGGGCCACAACTGGCTCCTCAGGCTCTTGAGCAACTGGCTCGGTGGCTTCCTCAGCTGGAGCAGTTTCCTCAGCAGGCTCAGCAGGTTCAGCAGGCTCGGCAATTTCCTCAACAGGCTCGACAGGCTCAACAGGCTCAGCAGGCTCAACCGCCTTCTCGGTCTCCTCGACCTTCTCGGTCGCTTCCTCCTCTGGAGCGCCAATTGGCTCCTCGTCCTCGACAACCTCGCCCGCAGCAGTGCTCAAAGGAGCCTCCGAGGCTGCGTCTGTGTTGTCGGCAACCTCTGCCGTCTCCGGCTCTGTCTCCGTCTTTGGTGTCTCCTTTGTCTCGGCAGCCGCCGTAGCTGGCTCCACAGACTCCTTTGTGCCCGATGAAACGGAACGCTGTGGCTTGCCCCGTGGACGGAACGGAGAAACCCAGCTGTTGTCCTTGGACGTGCTAGCCACACGCTTCAATTGCGTCACGACGCCAGACTTGGCCGACTTCGAGGCCGGCGGCGTCAACAGGTCTGCGATTTCTGTCGAGGCCATGGTAGTGCTGGTAAATAAGAGTTAGCAATAAATGCTGCACTTGAAATTTTGATAACCCAAAATGAGTTGCTCAATTAGGACATGTTACCAAAAACGGAATATTTGTATTTTCATAAACTAACATATTATTTCTTGGGCTCTTCCAACGGCACGTTGCTAGCAAGCTTCACCGTGGACGACTCCGGCGTAATATTCGACTCGTGGCCCGCCTTCTTGAACTCGGCTAGCCGCTTGGCCTCCTCGTGCACCTGTTTTGCGTCGCTCGTCACGTCCGTGTAGAACCGGTGGATCCTGGACCCGTACTTATCGTTCTTGAACTTGTCAAAGTAGGTGTCCAGTTTGGTTCTTCCGCGCGCAAACTTGTCGTCCAGGCCCAGCTGCGAGTTCGCCTGCTGGTACAATTGCTGGTTCTTGTCCTGAATATGGTACTTGGAGTCCAAATTGCCCAGGAACTGCTTGAAATTGCTCGAAATGCCGTTCTTCTGGTCAAACTCCACCGCTTTTTGCACCAATCCGTCTGATAAAACGTATCCGTTTGCCAGGTACTCGGCCAAAATCGTCGATTTCGGCTTGTCCTCCTGCGCAATGTCTGTAGTTGCAGAGCCCGCAGAACTGGAGTCTGCGCTCTGGGTGCCCACGTAGCCGCTGGCAGGAACAACAGGCTGTTTACTGAGCCCTTCCTCAACAACCTTGATGTTGCCACCACCCAATTCGGCACCGTTCAACAACAGGGCCGTAGAAACAGCACTCGCATTCACAAACTCAACCTTCACAGCCTTGGTTTTATCGCCCTTCTCAACAGGCTCAATCGATTTGGTTTTACCGCAAAAGGAGAAAAACTCCTCAATTTGCGAATCGGAAACTTCCAAAGGAATGCCAGAGGCAACAACAGTAGACGACATGGCAATAATATCTGGGCAGATCGTGTACTTTATATATTAATTCTATTTCGTTGCTCCCGCCCCCACCTGACACCAGGAGAAAACGTCATCAGCCACTAAGCAATTTCAGGTCCTCGTTACGCTTTTTGGTCAGCTCTTTCCGCACAGCCAGGACGCTGTCCACGATCACGGCGTCCACGCCCGCGGCCATTTCCAGCTTGGCGTTTTCCGGGTCGTTGTTGATCGCGCCGTACGTGACACACACCAGTCCACTGGCCTTCACCACGGAAGCCAGTCGCGGACACATCACTATTGTGTCTGCAGCAGACACAATTCCCAGTAGATTCCACTTGCGGGCAAACCGAATGGCACTCTGTAGCGAGCTGGCACGAACATCCGCCATCTTGGCCGTTCCGGCCTCCGTCAAAAATAAAATAGGGATGGACGGTTGCTTCAACGACAAAAGCACACAGATGTCTGGGTGGAACGACGAAAAGATGATATCTCTGCCGTCCGCGTTGTCGTAAACCACCTTCAAAACCGTGTCGACCCAGAAGTTGAGGTCAATGGCAACCTGGCCAATGTCCTCGTGCTCTGCTTCGTCCAGCATCGGATACTTGCACTCGATGTTGAATCCCACGTTCTTGGGCACCTTCTTGAACAGCTCCACAAGCGTCACAAACGACGACGCAATAGACGAACCTCTCGAATTTCCCTTGTACTGTTTCAGTTTCCACGTCTTGGTCAGCTTCATCCTTTCCTTTCCAACAGAAAACTCTTCAGAGTCGGACTCAGCAGGTGTTCCTGACGTTGAGTCCAACGACGAGGATCTACCACGGCCCTTTTTGTAGAGATAGTAGTCGTCTCTGCTTTCCTTGAGCGCGTTTTGCTGCTTCGAGTCCGGCTGGTTCAAACCAAGGAACTGTTCCAACGTCAATGCATGCATTGGAACGTCCATTCCCGACTCTGCAACCAAAAAGTCGTGGTAGACCACAGGAACATGGTCTTTGGTCAGCTGGACATCAAACTCCACGTACGACGCTCCCAAAGACGAGGCTGCGATGAACGACTCCACGGTGTTCTCTCCCAGCTGCAACGACTTGCGGTCTCTGCTGTTCATACCGTTTCCTCTGTGGCCAATGACACGCGAAGACACCAACGACTTCCAGTACGTTTCTGTGCGGTCTAGAGTCATCTTCTCGTGCGTGAACGGAGTAATCAGCATCACCTCGAACTTGATGGTTCCCAGAACTTCCAACGTGTCGCTCTCCAGAATTGGCAAGCTGATGGAGTTGGACAACGACCGCAGGTTTGGCCCCACTTTGGTGTACGCAGACCTCAACAGAGCAGCAGCACGGCCCAGAATCTTCTTCTCCTTGTTCTCGTCGCCAGACTGGTACGTCGGAACAATGTCGAAGAAAATGACCGTGTCCAATGGATCTCTGTCAACGCACTTGAAACTGATCAGATCGCTGGCCCCGCCGTGGTTGTCGTCCAGAGGCAGGTCCAGAAGAACAGACGGCTGGTCCAGCCCTTTGGCGTTGATCACAATAGAAAGAGCCGTGTCCAGCTCGGTACTGTGTGCTTTCGACAGCGGAACACGTTTCAGATCAATCGCAGAGCTGTTGTCTCTTATATCTGTGGTTCCCAAGGTGATCAAAATCAGCGACTCGTTGGGTTTCAAGTACTGGTGACCAAACGATTTCACAGGGTTAGGCCCTGGCGACGCAGATCTGTGCTGTTTCAGATGCTTCAGAACGTTGGAGTCCTTGGTGTCGGAGACTCTGTCCAAACTAGTGGCCAGCTCACTCATGTTGTAAGGCTTCACCTGCGGAGACAGAGACGGAGACACCTTTGTTTCCAAAAGCTGGTACGGGTTGTAGTCCTTTGGGGTCAATAGCTTGGCGATGTCCAGATGACCACGCAAACAAGCATGTTCTCTAGGAGTCCAGCCACTGAGATCCTGGGTGTCGAACTTGGCATTGTGCTTAATCAACAACTCGGCAACCTCTTTAAATCCTTCTGCCGCAGCCACGAAAATAGGAGTCCAGCCAAACGTGGCCTCGCCAATCTCTGTGTTTGCGCCGTTGTTCAGCAAAAAGTCCACAGACTTGCCAAGATTCAGCTTCGAGGCAATATATAGCGATGTCTCCTTGGTGTCCGGGTCTGTCTGGTCGACACTAACGCCCTTACAACTCAGGAGCAACTCCAAAATCTCTGGCGAGTCCAATCTGGTTGCAATAAGTAGCAGTTCCGGACACGTTAGAGCAACGTCTTTGGAAACAGCGTCCACCAAAACGGCTGTCGTTTTCGGATGCGTGCCCAAAATCGACAGATGCAACGGAGTCAGCATCTCGGAGTCTCCCCAGGCGTTTCTATCGTCAATCGAAACGGCTTCGTTATACAGCTTCCATTTCTTCAAAAACTCAATAATGATGGCCGTCACCTCACGCAAGCCGTATTGGGCGGCATAATGAAGCGGTGTACGCTTGTAAGTGTCTTTTTGCAAAATAGCAAACTTCAAATGGACCGGAAGATGGTCGAAAATGTACAACAGACCTTGCGACGAGTCGTTGGAGTTGATTCCGTCGGGGCCAAACGTGGAAACCAGTCTAAAGTTAATATCTGCTGGGGTGTGTGCAACAGGAATGGTCTGGCTCTCGACCTCCTTCTCTTTTTGCTTGACGTATTGTTTTCCAAGAGCAATCACGTGGTGGTGAATGAAGTTCCTGCCACTGATGTCCGAGGAGTCTGACAGAATAGGAATAATCTCCAAAAGACTGTCGATACACTTGTAGCTCAGGTTTAAGGTAGCCTTGTTGAGCAGCGATAACAGCAACTTCAACGGAGCAAGCACAGGCGACATGAACTCTTTGATCAGAGCCTGGTTCAACGACTCGGGGTCGTCTTTGCTGATAGGGTCAAGATAATTGTCAAGAGCTGTATTTTTGACGTGTTTGACAGAATTGTTGAAAGTGCTCGTTGGAGGCAGAAGCGACGACGAGGACGAACTCACAAGGTTCATGTCGATTGTCGAGATCGACGAGGCCGCCGAAGAATTGAGATTCTTCGACACCTGGTTCACGGCCTTCTCGTTGTACAAGTCCAACGGAATAGGAGTGTCTCTGGCCTCGTTGGAAGGGAGCAGCTTGTTCAGATACAAGTTGATCTGGTTGAGATTGCGAACGATCTCCGCCTCGTTGGAAAACGGCAACGGATAAATCCGCGCGTTCAAATAGGTGTCCTGTCTATTTGTCCCCACCTTTTTATCCAGCTTCTTAAGTATCTTGCGGAACCCGCGTCTGTTGAGCTCGCCAAACCATTTCAAGTTCCGGAAACAGTTACGGAGCTCCAACATGATTCCAATGACCTCATCGGCCTCCTCCTCGTCGTTAAACTGTAACTGAGAAGGGGCAAGAACACTTGTTATCTTCTTTAGGCGACGCTCGTACTCTGTATACTGCTTGTTGAAGAAGTCGTCGACTCTTTCGATATTGCGGTCGAGATTGAAGAAAAACGAGGCAAGCTCGGCGCGAACATCAGGATCGTTCAACGTGTCGGCGCTTGGGTCTTTGGCCAACAAATCCGCCTGCTGTTGTGCAATGGCCTTGATCTGTTTTTTTAAGGCCTTGTAATTCATATAAGAGTGCTGCCATTCGGGCACTTGGTGACCTAAAAAGGTCTTTCCAAACTTCATCCTGGACTATTCCAACACAAGTGTCACGTTTGTATCGTAAACAAATCCAAAATCTCTTATTTTCTTCTCCCTCTACTGGAATTACACTGCTCCTCTACCTAATCTTTTCCACGTGAGCAACACCACTCCTCACACCGCGCGTACACCTAGCACCGTTTTATTGTCTAATAGTCTGGGCATAACCCGTCACTCTTGACCAGGCGATAAACCTATAGCGTTAGTAGTTGCAAGCATCCGATTACTTACGTCGTGAACAGAGGCGTTCACAAATTGTCTCGCCTCGAGCGTCATCCATATCTTGAGCATCGACAGCTTGTTAGTGTTCTGCAAGATCAGCTTCCCGTCCTGGAAACTCAGCTTCCGCAGTATCGGCAAAGATCTGGAGCATGTGTTAGTATTCAATCAGTAGGTGGGAAACCCCACATTCCATGCAAATACACACCTGGCAAAAAGATCAAGGTCGGGGTCCAATTGACGCCCGATACCTTCCATCAGCAATATGGCAACAATAACCGTGATGAAGTCTCCGTCCATGCGCACATGGTGCGACCTCACCATACTCAGCATCTGGTCAAGAAGGTCTCCAATTGAAATCGACCCCAAAGTGAACGTTCGTTGTTTCACCCGGTCAACCAGTCTTTCCACTTTCATCTTGAAAATTTCTGTATCTATAGCAGACCCAGGAGTTTTGGATCTCTCAATCATCAGGCTTCCGGCCTGGTACCCGTCAAAGTGCGACAACGCGTTGAACAGCGAGATGAAATTGTATCTGTCCGTATCGTCAAGTTCTGTGACTAATCCGGCGTCAATCAAACACACTTGTGGATGATAGTTCTGCGCACTCAAATCATCCAGTTGGGTAGCCAGTTCCGAAACGTCGTTGATCTTGCCGAGCCGGGCCATCAGTTCGTCGATCTCGTCCACACTCGATACATTTTTGCGTGTCTTCGGGTCCCGACGAACAAACCTGATGAATATGTTTCCTGGATGAAGATCCGCATGGATAAAGTTGTCCAAAATCAACATCTTCAGGAACGCGTCGATCAGCGTGTCGCTCATCTCTTTAGTAACATGCTTACTGCCCTGCCGAAGCTCGAGGACCTTCGACATGGACAGCCCTCTAATTTGCTCCTCAACAAGAATCTTCCGGGAACTAATTTTCATGAACGGAGTTGGGAACCGGATATCGTCGTCCGGGAACTTCTCCTGGAACTTGAGCAGGTTGTTTCCTTCAATTCGCAGATCTAACTGCATCTTCATCAACATCGAAAACTGTTCCACTTCTTGTGGGAACGACAGCCACTCCATAGTGGGGATAATGTCTATAGCGTTGGCGAAAAACCTCATGATGCGTAAATCCCGGTCGATCTCCACCTCGATGTTCGGATGAACAACTTTCACGGCCACGTGCTGTTCTTGGCCATCTTCGACATACTTGGGGTTCAATTTGGCGGTGTAAACCTGTGCGATGGCCCCACAACCTATCGGAACAGGGTCGAACTCGTCAAAAACGTCCTCGAGCTTCTTGTCGCCAAAAGTAGTCTCGATGACCTTTCTGGTGTATCTGAACGAGTGCGACTTGGCGTTGGAATGCAATTGGCCGAGCTCGTCGCAGAGTCCGCGCGAGAAAATGTCCGTTCTCGAGGCGGCCCACTGTCCCAGCTTGATAAATGAGGCCCCGGCCAATTCAGCAACCTTGCGCACCAGCTTGTACCAAAGCAGCGCTCCGGACGTTTCGCCCTTGTGATTGCGCTTGCCAAAGAACACAATCGGATAGAATGCAAATATCGGCACAAACAAAGACGTGAGTTCCAGAAATCGGCTCACAGTCACCGTCGGCTCCCATATATAGTCAAGAAGCCAATACTTGAGGTAATACAACCAGCCTGTAAGCTTTCGACTTTTCTGTTCGCGCCGGATCTCGACCGATTCCTGCTCAAGCTCTGTCTGCGACGCCATATACAGCCCCATCTCGTACGTGGACTGTTTTGGGTCAGCAACCAAGCTGTTCTTGTTGCTTAAAACATGGGCATTCTTGTACAGTCCCTTGGTCACTTTGGCCTCGTTCAACAACGAATTGTGCAAATAGAACGCCGAAACCGTGCCGGCACCAACACCAACGGCAAGTTTCAAGGTCCTTGCACGCACAATTGGCACCACCAGTCGAAACATGACAAAAGAATTATTTAATTTACTTTTTTTTTACTTGCCGTAGCAACTAAGTATACACTTTATAACTGCTCTTCTTTAATCACGTCGATCAGCCAATCCAACCCCTCTGTAAGTCCTTCACCTTTGATGGCACTGGAGGCCACGATACTCCAACTGCGGTCCTTAAGGTCCACCAACCCCAACGCTTTGGAAACCTCGGCCGCAGTCAGCGCTCCTGGCTGGTCCTGCTTGTTGGCGAACACCAACAAGGCGCTTTCTGTCAGCTCGTCCTCTTTCAACATCATATGCAGCTCTTTTTTGGCGACTTCTATACGTTCCTTATCTGTCGAATCAACAACAAAAATCACGGCCGCGGTGTTGGCGTAGTAGCATCTCCAGTATGGCCGGATCGACGTCTGGCCGCCCAAATCCCACATGTTTATCGATATGTTCTTGTATGTTAATGTTTCAACGTTGAATCCAATTGTCGGCTTGGTCTTGACCACCTCGCCCATCTGCAGCTTGTACAGAATCGTGGTCTTGCCCGCACCGTCCAGTCCCAGAATCAGGATCCGGATCTCTTTGTTCACGCCCCAGAGACGCCCGAAAATGCTGCTAAAGACGTTACCCATGGTTTTGCCTTTATATTAAAGTAAAAATATTTATTTCAATTCCAGCGCACTTGGTAAGTCTGCAGTAGCACAGCCGGACGAAATCTCGTGTTGTTGATTTGCCGCGGTAGCACGTCAATGCCACCATGAAAACCAACTATGTTCACCGCCTACATCTACAATCCTGGTAAACACCGCCAACCAGTCGTCCCCGCCCTGTTTGATGTACCGTATCGCGTGTTATCTTCAACATTCTCGCTCAACTGCTATTTTTTTTCTCCACGCTCCTGCTCCTCAACTCGCTTCAGGATCATCTTGATCATCTCGTTTCCTGTCTTGTTAGCCTCGCCGATCATCGGCATGAAGAAATTCTGGGTCTTGACAAACCTCTCCTTGTACAGGTCGTAATCGCCGTAAGAAACGATGCTGGACCACTCGCGTGCGGCAATCACAAAGTTCAGATCGTCCTGGCGGAACGACGTCTTGCTCAGTCCGTCCTCAAGACACCCTTCCAGTAGTCCAGGAGTGCAGAATAGATACTCCGTCACTCCTAAAAATATACGGAACAGCGGCGTGGAGCAAATGATGTGGTCGTACGGAACAATCCCCAAACAGCTCCAGCTGTCAACGATCGCCAGCAACGACAAATGCGAGTTCGGCTGTTTTCCCTCTGGCGGGATCTTGCTCAACGAGTACTGCTGCAACAGATCGTCGTCCAGTAATAATGCATGGTCTTTGGGAAGATGTCCAAAAACAGCTTCTTTGGCACGGTAGATTCTCCGACGCAGCTCGTCGCCGTTATTCTGGATCATCAGCGAAAACAGGTCCGTGCACGAGTTCGCGTACTGAAGGATCTGCTCGTGTGCCGACGGGTTTGTGATGGCTAGTCCGGCGTAAACATGGTACTTATTGCTGTAGATTCTCAAACTGATATTGATCTTGGCATTCTCCAGTCCCCCAATCCATTTCGGAGTCTCCCAAGGGTACTGGTTGCAGTTGTGCCACGCGACTCCCATGCTTAGAAAGGCGGCATGGGTGACAGCCTGTGTGTCGGCAGTGATTCTGTCGTGCTCCTGATAAGATAGATAGACATGTTTGGAGTGCAGACACGAAAGCACAGACTCCACGAAATTGAAGCTTTCGTCAGACGCCCGGTGCTGGATCAGAACCAACGGCTGGCCCGTGGTGTCCACGCGCGGTCCGTGCAACGAGTGCATCGAAACGATCTCAACGTCCTCGGGCAAGCACTCTTCAAACGCCCGGATCTCAACCTGTTTGCACGACGTTTGTCCTCCAACAATGGCCCCCACTTTCGTCGACGGCGCATACATCTTGACGATCTTGGGGACGTTCTCGGCCTCCACGCTGTAGATGATCAGGTCGCTCTTTCGCGAAACCAGATGGCCATTTTTGAGCACCTCAAATGGCTCAGCGCTGAACTTGGTGTAGTTTTCCTCTCTGTCACAGCCGCAAACGGTCCATCCGGCCTCCGTAAATCGCCGGGCGTACAGAAGACCCATATCGCCCAGCCCAATGATACCGATTGTCTTTGTAGCCTGCAACGAAGCGATCTCTTCTGCAGACAGAATCATACTTGGTTTCGAGAGTTTTTTGGTCTGCGCCGATCGACTTAAAAATCGTCCGCAAGGGTTTTGGGTGGTTGATCTGGCAAGGAAACGGCAAAGTGGACTAATAGGAAGAAAATGACCTTTCTGAGCACAGAATAGTGATTTTTGCAGTGTTTAGCGCCAAATCACCAAGTTTGATCTTCCCCCACTGTATAATTAACCGCAGATCGCCAAATCTCCTGCAAACAGATCTCCCCCTTTTTTCTTGACTTTTTTTGTATTTTGTTTACTGTTTTTTGTTCACTATTTTTCGTAATGGCCAAACCACTTCCAACACTACCAGCGTTCAAGTCGGCCCCCAAAACCGACGAGAACGAGTTGTTTGTGTACAGTGCCGACTCGGACGAGGCGTCCCGTGTCAACTACAAGCCAAAGACACAGTACCGTTATGGCGTGGCTGGGGACGAGTTCGACGTGGAATTTCAGCGTAAAGACGTGAAAGACGTGATCCACATCATCACCTCGGAAATCAAACGCAAAGGAACAAAAACACCGTACCTGTTGCTCCCGTTTAGGCCCCAGCAACACGATTCAAAATTGAAGGCTTTTCTAAAGGAGATATTTGACCATGCAAACCTGGCAGACGAGCAAATCATCAAGTCCGCGGCAAAAAGGGCAGACGAGTTTGTGCTCGTGAGTGCACTGAAGTTCTTCTGGTGCAGATTGCCGGGGAATTGCGTGATCGGATGGAAGACATACACCAAGTTTGTCACTTTGGACGAAGAAGCTGGATTTCCCAAACGCGCCTTTTTGGAGTTCATGCCAAGTTGTCTCTCGTCGGGCGCCCATGCATCGATTGTGTACGACTTCTTTGACTTGATTGTTGCATTGACACTGAATTCAAAGCAAAACATGCTGAGTGCGAAGAAGATCGCTCGTTTGTGCGGATTATGGGCTTTCCATTCGGTTAAAAATAACCAGGCCGAAACACCAAGTTTCGAAAGAGGCATGTACGAGTGGATTCCGGCTGGAGATGCTACGTTCCATCTGTTGCTCTCTTTCCTGAACACCATGCCTCCTAAGGGACAGGTTGAGAAACTGCCAAGAGCATTGCAACAGGTGTTGAAAAGCACTCCTTATCCTCCACCTCCAACATCAAAGAACTCTGGATCGTCCTCGCGTTTCCTTCAAGAGGTCCCAATGGTGACGATCAAAGTCAACAACCCGTCCAAGAACCCAGCAGAGCTGCTTGTTCGCGTGTCCAAGACTTTGAAATTTAATGATCCGGCCGTTTTCTACACTCGAGAAGATTACTTGTTGTTGAAACGTTTGTTCAAAGACCCAGATGGGCTTATTAGCAAGCTGTCCAGCGAAGGCAGTCGGCTTTTGGACAATATGTGCCTTTATGACGAAGATATGGTGAACGATGGCAATAACGGTGACGAGCTGGCGTTCAAGCTTGTTCCTGGTTGGTCTGAAGATATGACCACGCCCAAGCCTGTGGAGCTGATGGACTCTGACTATTTTGTTGCCTCGGTTTCAAGAGCTACCATCGACGACTATTTTATCTGGACTTGGCTGTCCTCTTTGGGATCGGAGGAAACGAGTCTCAAGAAGAAGATGTTTGGAAAGACATACATCATGGAAGTCGAGCTCGCTGAAGGTTTCAAGAAATGGGTCATTGTTGAGGAACAGGACGTTGAAAGAGATGGCTACGACATCGAGATAGAGCTGAAAAAGGAGAAACTCAAAGATCTTCAGGACAAGATCCGTAACGCTGAGAAAGAGGTGGAGCAGCTTCGCGTTGCCAACAGAACAAGAGTCATTTCTGAAAGCAAAGATCTAGCAGATATCACTAATAGAAGAGACGAGCCTCTTCCTGACAAACCGAACCAGAACAGTCCGCTTCCTGCTCCGCCTCCAATAGAGAAAGATCTACCACCGACTCCTAACGGGAAGGAGAATCACTCGCCAATCTCGCCAAGAGAACGTGCCGTGAAAGCAAACAGCGCAAGCTCGTACTACACTGCTGTGCAGACTCCCTCTCCGATGAAAGATGACAGAAAAGCACCACCTATGGGTCCTATCCACGAACAACACAACCACGTCTCTCCTGGACCTGTTGAACGTTCTGCTCCTCCGATGCCATCATACTCATCGCCTCAGAGTAAACGTCTGCAACCACCACCACAAACCCCTCCTCAAAGTTCAGGGTATCAGGCCCCTGTGCAGTCGTTCCAGCATGCAGCCCAACCTGCTACCCAGCCGATTGCCGATATTCCTCCTCAGCCTGCTCCGCAGATGCGCACCCTTCGTCCGCGCAACGAGCCGCCACGGCCTTTGTCGCAAGCAGCCTCGGGCAGTCCTCTCACACCGCCTATGTCTGCGTTTGCAAGCGAGTTCGAGCAGCCTAAACGGCCCCAGTCGAAGCGCAATTCCAAGATCATTGACGATATCGAGAGCTTGGAATCGCAGCTCATGGGAGTTCTCCATGGTGACGAAGACGAACAGGTTGCTGCTGAAACGAAGGAATATGGCCCTGAAACAGGTGCTCTGGATAAACAGGTGGGTCCCCAGCCTGTGCAGCCTGTGCAGCCCGAGCAACAGACAAACCCGCATCAATACCCCCGCCAATACCCTGCCACCGCGCAGCCGGCCATGCCACGGCCTACGGTGCAGTCGCGTCCCAACTCGATGCAGCAACAGGGCCCGATGCGTGTGCCCAAGCCGGTCCCGATCGTGGTGCAGCCGGCCCCAGCTCACGCTTATCCACCACGCCAGTACCAGCAGCCCCCAATGCAGCTTGCTGGCGGGTTTGGCGTGCCTGCGCCTTCTCCTGCGTACGCATCGTCGGCGCGCTCGCGGTCGTCGTCGCCAATGCGGTACGGCCAGCGCTCGTCGCCGTCTCCAGAGAGAATTGCCCAGTCTCCGTACGGGTCGCCAGGAATGGAGAGCCGGGGAAGACAATACCCTATGCCGCAACAACAATACCCACAATACCTGCCATACCCGGCGCAGCAGCCTCCGCACGGCGCCTACCCTCCAGCCGGATACGCCTATCCATATGGTGCGCCTGCTGCTCCCGCTCCTGCTCCGTACGGTGGCAGCTACGTTGGCCACGCACCTCCCCCAGCCGGGTTCGGTCCGCGTCACAAGGCTAACCCGAAGAACAAGAACCAGGCCAGAAACGCCCTCATGAACGGCGACTTTGGTATCTAAACACTCCACAGCCCGTTATAGAATAGCATACCCATATATTATATTACGTAAACGAGCCAAGGCAAGTTTTAAATTTCTTCATGTCCAAGCTTGTCAAGTTGCAGCTGTCGTCGCCGGCGTTGGCGCAGTTTCCGGACCTTCCGACGGAGCTGCTGAAGCAGAAACGCAAACCAAAGCCAAAAGTCAAGGCCGAGGACGAAATCGCGTCGTCGCCGGTCCGAATTGAGGGAACAGACGAAAACGAGAAAAAGAGACGGATCATCATCAAACCGCTCAAGAAACCGGGTGTTCCGTCATCGCCCGTGCCAGAAGACACTTCAAGCCGTGCAGAGACACCAACGGGAGCCAAGGCGCGCGGAGGAGGGCTCTCGGGAGACCTGGACCGGACAGGCAAGCCATGCAAGCGGTGGACCAAGAAAACACGGGTGTTCAAGACTTTCAGCGGCTGGGACGTGGAGGTGGGGATTTGGCGCCCCAGTTAGCGCTGGACTATGTAGTTTACGGAATATTATTTGTTTAGATCGGCGAATTTTCCCTGGCCAAGGTTTAATCACTTTTGTTAGCCTAAATTATTTACCCACACAAATGTTTAAGCTTCTTTCCTTTGCTAACGCCCCGGCGGTGGTGCGAGCCAATCAGAAGGACTCGTATTTCGAGTCCAGCCTGCTGAAGCAGCTCACAGAGCTCGCCAAGGCCGTCAAGGGCACCCGGTTTGTCCACAAGTGTCCGGAGGAGTTGCGCACACTGGCCACGGCGTTGTACCTGTGCTTGACCACGCTGGTGGGGTCCAAGACGCTGGGCGAAGAGTACGTGGACCTGGTCTACGTGGGTCGCAACGGCAGACGATTGCCGAAGTTTGTCTCGCGACTGGGGTTTATCTTGGCCTATACACTGTTCCCCTACGGAGTACGGAACCTGTTGCAGAAACTCAAGTCGGGCAAAGGCCGGCTGTCCGAGCTGGCCTCGAAACTGAACTACGTGAACCTTGTTGACTTGATGAACCTGCACCTCGCAGTGTTTTACTTCTCGGGCAAGTACTACCATTTCGCTAAAAGACTGTTTGGCCTGCGGTACGCTTTTGGCTACCGGGTCGACCAGAACCAACGCCAGGCCAGAGGCAATTACGAGCTGCTTGGGTTACTGATTGTCGCGCAAGTCGTGTTTAAGAACTACTCGAACTTGAAAGACTTTTGGGACAAACAAGAGACTGCCCCGGAAACTGGAGACCTCGTGTACGGCTACAGAGAGCAAAAAGATCCGGTGATCGATCTCGCAGATCCGGGAGTGTTGCCCTACATCCCCGAGAACTCGCGCACATGCATGCTGTGCCTGTCGCTGATGAAGGACCCGGCCTGCGGCGAGTGCGGCCACGTCTTTTGCTGGACGTGCATTCACGACTGGGTCAAGGAGCGCAAAGAGTGCCCGCTATGTCGGGCAGACATGCGCGAGTCCCAGCTACTACCGCTTAGATGAACAGGAATCACCCCCATTCGATGCTATTGTCTATCAGTTTCTATTCACACCCATCCGGAACAACACCTGCTTGCCCTTCTTGCCCTTCTTAACCTCCAAAACAGGCTCGGGCGACGAGCTCTGGTTCAACCCTTGGTTCCACTGGCCCAGCGACGTGTTGACAGGATTCACCCGAGGAGGCTTGGGTTTCTGCACCGTGGGCAGTCCAGGGAACAGCTGCTCGTTCAGCGGAGGTGTTGTCGATTTCTTTTGTGAGCTGTTCTGCGGGGATGGCGACGCTTGTCGTTGCCCGCCGTTCAGGTATGTAAGTCTCACGTTTGACGATGTTCCTCTGTTCACCACCGGTGCTGCCTTGGGCGTCGTCGGAGGCCGTCTCACCCCCGACAACGACTGCCCCCACTGTCCTGCCGGGGCGAGCGGCCGCACGTTGCTGAGCGCAGGAAACTGCTCATCAAGCAGCTTGGCACGGTTCTGCGTCTCGAGCCGCGACTCCAGGAACCGGTATTGGGTGGATTTCTTCGGGAACAGCTCCTTGAGCTCCAGCAGCAGCAGCCCGAGGTCTTCGGGCGACGTGTGCGCAAACAGCGTCTGCAGCTGCGCGAGCACGGCGTTTTCCTTGCCGCTCTTGCTGAACTCGCCCACGAGTCTCTGGAACTCGTCCACCTTGTCCTGTTTATAACTTAAATAGTGTCTCGCACGCTCGTCCAGTCGCAGCTTCTTTGTCTGGTAGGTATCCTTGGGCTCTTCTTTCTTTTCCTCGACCGTGAGCTTGCCACCAAAAGCGGGCAACTTGCGGTCGCCGCCCAGAATCGCCCCGTGCTCCTTGATGGTGTGTGCGCGAAGATCAAACTCGTCTCTAAACACCACAAACTTCTGGTCTAGGCAGGACTGCACGTGGCACACGTAGTGGCAGTCCTGGAAATGCGTCGCGAGGTGGTCGTAGTTGCGGAAGTACTGCGGGTTCGTCGCGTCGATCTGGTCGCAGATATGGCACTTCTCGTGCTTGTCGCGCATGTGCACGTACAGCTCGTCGTCGCTGTAGAACCGCTTGCCCGTACAGAACTTGCACATCGGGTGGCCCTTGAACCCGTCCTGGTCGCCGCGGGCCTGGTGCTGGTGGAGCTGGCGCGACGTGTACAGCCGCAGCTCGCTGATGAATGCCCTGCGGTGGTTCGCGCAAACGGGGCAGAAACTCCGGTCGTGCTGCGAATGAACGTGCTCGTTCAGCTGCTTGAACGTCTGGAACACCTCGCTGCACTTCGGACACTTGTTGAGCAGCAGCTCGAGCGTCTTTGTCTTGGCGTCCTGCGACGTGAACCCGATGCCGTACTTGTCGTCGGAAACCACCACCTTCAGGCTGCCCGAGTCGGTGTACACCACCCGGTCGTTGTCTGTTCTGCACACCAGACACTGGTTCTTCTGGTACAGGGCGCGCGCTCTGAACGAGCACACGTGGCACGTCTCGTGCTTGCACGGCGTGACTGCCCGAATGGACGCGGGCAACGTGCAAATGATACAGGACATGGGTCTGTGATTTGATTCTCTTTTTTTTTTTTTGGCTTTTTTTTTCAGAGATTTTTCCCCAATGCTGAATCTTAGTGCTACCCTTCAATTCTGGAAAATCGTGGCAAACCCTTCATTGGTGAACCCGTCGTTGGTGGTCCCCACTTTCCAGCACCTGCCTGTGCTGCCGCACATCCGCGGTATGGTGCTCGACAAGGACAACTGTATTGCGGAGGACCACGACGACAAGATCTGGCCCGCTTACGAGGAGAAGTGGGCCCTGCTCAGGAAACAGTACCCGGACACGCTGCTGATAGTGAGCAATTCCGCAGGCACCGATGACGACACCTCGGGCCAGGCCGCGCGGCTGCAGCAGAACACCGGGGTGCCTGTGCTGCGGCACTCGACCAAGAAGCCTGGGTGCTGGCCAGAGATCGAGCAGTGGTTCCGTGCGCGCGGGGTGCTGCCGCACGAGGTGGCCGTGGTGGGGGACCGCCTGTTCACGGACATATTCATGGCGAACCAGATGGGCGCTTACGGGGTGTGGGTGAAAGAAGGGGTGCATCTTTCGGGCTCTGTTTTGTGCAGGATTGAGCGGCTGTTGAAATCGTAGCCAGATTCTCTTCCACCTCCAATGGCACCACGAACCAACATCTCTGCGTTCCGCGTGATGCTCGAGGCGTCCGCGGGCCCCACCGAGATCCGCCCCGCACGCATCCACGAGGTGGCCAACTGGGACGCCATATTCTCCAACCCCAAGATGTTCTCGTCGATGCTGATCTACGTGGCGTTCATGATGGCCCAGCTCGGGCTCAGCTACGCGGGCTTTGTCTACTTCGAGGTCGAGAACCGCCCCGCCATCTACAGCGTGTCGTTATTGTACAATATATTTGCGTCGTACTTCTTTCCAATACTTATTGCGAGCGCCATGGAGGAGAACCTCGAGAGCCCGTTCGAGAGCCTTCGCCGCGAGGTCAAGGCGTGCCAGGGGTTTGTGCTGTGCATCTGTGTGCAGGCGGTGGCGCTGGCGCTGTCTGTGTGGTCGACGGTGCGCATTTTCCAGACCGACCAGGTGATGCTGATCGACTATGATTATCTCACCAGACGGGCCAACAAGATCGACGTCACCAGCATGATCAAGGTCTTCCAGGTGGTGAGTCTGACGCTGACGGGTTTCGGGTTTCTGATGAGTTTGGTGAACTTCTGGATCACCAGAAACAGACTGATCCGGTTCTTGCACCGCATCGAGCGCGAGCACCAGCTGGCCAACGATAACCTCGCAGACGACTTCTACGAGCGGTGCATCAAAACAACACGCCGCAAGTAGCACGCTCACATGTACGCCATCCACAGCGTGTCTGTGCTGGCGAGGTTGCGCGGGTTCACGGCGTGCGCAATCAAGTTCAAGATAAACTGCGAAGCAATGCCCTGGCCCTCGGTGTGGCTCAGCTGGGCCACCCGTTTGGACACGAAGTTGACGTTGACACGCACAATCTCGCGCAGGTGCGGGTCGCCCGCAGACGGACGGTGCTGCTGCGTGAACCACGCAACAACCTCGTCCCGCACAAACAGACTCAAAAAGTGCTCCATCTCGTACTCCGGGTCGCTCAGACACTGCGCAATCACCATAATGTGCGCAGACAGTATACCCTCCATGCCGGCCTCGCCAATCAGCTTCTGCACGTTGGGCGTGAGCCGGAACGGCACCATCTCGAGCGAGCAGAACAGCGGAGCTGCGCGCTGCGCAGAAACGTCCAGCGTGCTGTTGGCAAACGCGTTCGAGTGCGTCTTGCCGCTCGCAACCTTGTACGGCAGCATCTCGGACGTCCACACGCGGCCGGAGCTCTGGTTGACGTGGATCTTCTGCGGCTGTCTCGAGTTGATGCACAGCATGTACGTCATGAATATAAACGCAGCATACTGCGACGTGAACTGTTTGCGGAACAGCCAGAACTCCTCGAACCGTGTGTAGTGCGCCATGAAGTAGTCCTTCATCACGGTGCTAGGCACCAGCATCGACTGAATCGCCGCCAGGATCTCCGTCTTGACGCTCAGCAGGTCTGGTTTCGGCAGCCGTGGGTCGTACGCTGCGTGCAGCTTCTCGATCGTGTATGCAAACGGCTGGTCCTTGTTCTGGTTATTCTTGCGGCAGTAGTCTTCGTAGATACTCAGCATGTTGACGTAGTCCTCGCTGTCGCTCATGATCCGGATGTGTGGACTCAACGGAATGGCAACCGGCAACGTCAGCTCGATGTTGCGTCTTCTAGCCTGCACATTCTTGGACAGAGCGTCGTTGAAGATGCGGAACAGTTGGAAGATCCGCTCCTCGCGACGACAGTGTCTGGCGGCTGGGAATTGCACCGCAAACGGATGCAGGCTGCCGTCGTGGCCACGGATGGTGATCCGCTTGTAGCACGCGGTAGGACCCCTGATAAACTCCAATGTAGGCAGGAACCGCTCGATCTTGACAAAGTGGTTGTTGGACTCCTTGTTGAGCAGGTACTGGCCCGGAATCTCGATCTCCTCGAACTTCTGGTGGTGGAACTGGCTCAGGTGAGGACAAACCCGTTCCAGGTTCATCTTGCCGAAATTTCTATCCAGCTTCTCCTCCAAGAAGTCCTTCCATTTGCGCAGCTTGCTGATATACGTCTCAAGGTTTGGCTTGCTCTTGATGATGTCCTGGTCGAACTCCTCGCGGATGTGTTTCGGTAGCACGGTGTCTGCGAACCGGATGATGTTGGCCTCCGTGGCAGGCGGAAGACGAGCATCCTCCTTTGGATTCGACAGTCTGTTAAAGTACTGCACACCGTCGTTGTACAGAGCAACAACCAGTCTGTAAGCATCGTCGTCATGGCTGCTCTTGAACCGTTGGCTGATCTGGTCAACCAGAGACTCCAAGGATAGAGCAAGCAGAGGATAGGCGGTCTTCAAAATGCCCATGATCTCCTCAACGTGCTGCCATGGCTGCGGGTTGGCTCCCGAGGCCGCTGAAGGGGCAGGCGACGAGGAGTTTCCAGGAATAGGCGTCGAGCCCGTTGGCTGGGCAGCCAGTGCTTCTGGGCTCGTTGGGGCGTCTGCTCCGTTTGACTCGGATCTCTGGTTCATCTGCCGTTGCAACACGGCAAAGTCCTCCTTTGTGGTTCTCAGCTGGAAGTGCAGAGCCTGCGGATACGACTTGGCGATCCGGATCAGCACATGACGAGCGAGTCTGGCCTCGCGGTGCGACAGCGACGTGAGCAGCTGCGGAATGAACGTGATCCAGTGCCAGACAGGCATGTCTCCCTGGTGCGACTCGAACGTCTCTGCGAGCGTGCCGTTGGCGTCGTCCAGACTGATGAGCCACAGGATACGGCACAACAGTCGGCGAGCCTTGCTGTTCTTGTACAAGCCGGCGGCCTGCAGGTAGCAGCTGATGGCGTGCTTGGCGTACGAGATGTCGTTGTTCTCCTTGAACCGGGCATCGTTGAAGAATCCCCACTCGGCCCAGGCCTTCGGCAGGTTCAGGTCCAACTGCACCGCGGTAGCAAACGCCTGGTTTGCCTCGTCGGCTGAGTTCAGTTTCGCAAGGAACATTCCCTTCAACGTGATGAACTCGGCCTTCTGCTGTGCAGCAAAGTATACCAGGTTGGTGTTGCTGATAACGTCCAGTCCCGTGCTCAACTCGGCTGGGTTCTGGTAATGGCACTTGGCCTGTTCCCGGAGCTTCAAGAAGGCCTCCTGGATCTCAATGTTTGGAAGAGTGTAGATCTTGGTCAACTGGTTGATACAGACCTCTGGCATATTGTGTTTTCTAGCAACGTGAGCAAATCTGTTGATCACCCACGCAATCTCGTGGTAGCCTCTGAAAGCGTACGAGTTGTTGTTGGAGTTGTTCTGTTGCAAAGCAGGAATCAGCGGCATGTACACCTTGTTGATCACGTTGAACGCATGCTGTCTCCAGGTAACCAGATCGTTCCAGATATTGATATCGTCCCAGACGTTTGGCAACCGTTCTCTCCATGCCTGCAAGACTCTCTTGAGTTCCTGGCTCTTGACGTCCAGGTTCTGGGCGGTGGTAGTTGCCAGACTTCTGTAAACCTGGCTGGCTTCCATAAACTCAACGTACTGCTGGAAAATGTGTAACAATGAAAGATGTGCGCCGGTGATTCTGGTTGGAAGAGAGTGCCATTTACGCAAGGCAAGCTGGATTCCTTCGTCGCAGTAACGCGTAACGTTCTGGATGGTCTCCTTGCTGTGAGCATATCCTTGCAAACACAGGAACGTCTGGAACATCTGTCTGCGCGGTGTTGGAACGTCCATCACAGTCTTGACGCTCTGTTCGAGCGGCTCTCTGTCCGAGATCCAGTCGGCAACACGCCAACCGCACTCGAGAAGAAGATCGGTGAATCCTTCGTGTTTGGCCAGCTCGGTTAGAATGTCCCAATGTTGCAATTTCTCAGCACACAGAATCCAGTTGTCTTCCCAAAGAGCGTATTCGCTCTCGCTGTATGGCAAAACACCGCTCCGAGCCTTGATCTGGGCGTTCTCGTACAATTGCAAAGCCTTGTCCCAAAGACCGATCTGTTCGTAAGATAGAGCAGAGTTGGTCTCAAAATACTTGGCACGACGTCTCCAAAGTCCGTAGAACATGTCGTCTTCTTGCAAGTTCGAGTACATCTCCACAAGGGCGTCTCTGTTGGTCTCCTTAATCTTCTGGTTCTCGGTGACCGGGTTCGATTCGATCTGTTCCATGATCTTGACACCAGAGTACCATGCGTCGTAGTTCAATCCCAGGTATTTCACCAGGTGAGGAGGAAGTTGCAAGTCTGGACACTTCTCGGCAGCCTCGAGCATGGTATGGATCACGTTCGGCTTGCCGTCCTGCTGTCTGACGTGGTAGTCTTTCGACAGCAGCGTGACAAAGGCGTGCAAGAAATCGGACTTGTTGCGGTGATCAATCGAGTTGTACGCAATCGGGAACAACGTGCACCAGGAGTTGTGGATTGTTTCTGGACTTTGGTACGAAATGTCCATCAAAGGAACAAGAACGTCCTTGGCGCGGACCTGGATCGACGAGTTGAGGAACTCCCTGTGCGAGTTGACAAACGACTTGATCGAGTCAGGAACAGACTCCACGTCGCTCTTCTTTGGAAGAGCTTCGTCAATGTCGCTCAACGCAGCAAGCTTGTACTCGTTCGGACCGTAACTCAACGGATGTTCGGCGTCGAAACTGCCGTACAGAAGCTGAGAAGCCTGGTTCAACCACGGATACTCCGCAAGATACTCCCAGTTCTGTTCTCTGATGATGTAGAACAATCTCTTATCGAGATCACGCTCCAAAGAGCCGTCCAAGATGTTCATCAGTTCCTGACGAACACCGGTATCGGACAGCTTAGTTCCCACCAGGAACGGATGCTCCATGCGGACAGTGAGCTCTGTTCCCGCCAGTGCAGAGTCTTTGAAGATGTCAATAATGATCTGGTAGAACGCTCTGGCAAGATCAGAGTCGCCCTTCATTTCAAAGATCATCATCTTGGACAGAATACCAGCGTTCTCCTTGGTCGTTGGGAACAGTTCGTTCTTAGCAAACACCCATCCCCTTGCAATATCGACGATACGCATCAACAGGTCTTTATCAACCGACCGATCGATCAGTTGGACCAACAGCGACAAAAAGATCCGTCTTTGGTCTCCCAATGCGGAAATGCGCATAGCAGAAAATTGCAAGATCTTCTTCAACAACTTGGTGGTCATTTTGGCCTCGTAGTCTGTTTGGACTGCGCTTGGCTCTGTAGAGTTGTTGTTGAAATGTCTGTTCTGACTGGCAATAGCAATGTGATCTTTCACCAGCTTGCTCAAGGTTCTCATGATCAATGGAATCAGAGCATTCTGGGCATCGGGCCTGTATTGGGAAAGCGTCCACGACAGAGTAACACCAGCAGCGACCGAGTTCATGCTGTTGAGGTCCTCGGAAATCACGTTCGTGTAGAAAGCAAGGAAATTCTTCACTTCCTCAGGCTGTTCGTCCTCCGCAGACGGAACTTGGGTCTGGATAGCTCCCAAAATCAAGCCCAGCACTTTTTGCAACGCTTCCTGGATATCGTGGTTGTCGGAACGAATACACTTCTCCAGCAGTTTCTGGAGGTACTCCAGGTTGGAAACGATCCATTCAGGCGATTTCCACTCCAATGCAACGCCCAAAACTTCAAGAGCGTTCAAACAGTATCCCAACACGTTGCTTGTACTGAAATCGGCGGCAACAAGGAACCGTTCAAAGAACGCAAGCTTGACCGTCACTTCTGGCCAATAGTTTGGAGACAGCAGCACGTGCAAGATGTTCAGAGCTCTTTGACCTAGCTCGTTCTCAGAAGCTCTGTGCTGACTGATACAAACGTATCTGATCAAAAAGGTGATACACGTTTCACGTTGACCGAATGGAACAGAGTAGCTTTCTGGTTTCTTGACGTCTTCGTCCACATCCATCTTGTCATCTCCCTCTTTGGTTTCATCCTTAGACTCTGCCTTAGCTCTGGTTTCCCAGTTGAGAATCAGCTCGCCCATGTCAATGGCCAACAACTGGTTCTCAGTCGAGCTGTTGTTGAGGATTGTCAGTTTTCCAACCGCAGTGATGATGTTTGGAATAAACTGGTCTCTGGCAACATAAAACAGGTCGGAATGGTGGACAATGAACTGGTAAACGTTCAAAACCTGAGTGACATTAAATCCGTCTTCTGATAGAACTCTTCTTGGCCATTTCAACCATTCGATAGTAGGACCGATTCTGGTCTCCAAAACAGGAGCCAGAATGTCCAGGGCTTGTCTGACAAGGTACCGCACGTCGATCTGGTTCGCACGGAGCAGAGCAACGAAAATCTGGGTCACCAGCTTGGCCGGCGTGTCGAAAGCAACAATGAAGAAAGCCGTCGAAACGTACGCTGCCTGTTTGGTTATGGCGTCGTCCAACGAGATTAGGTTCCAGTTGAACTTGATCACGTCCTTCTTGTACTCCAGAACAGCTTCCGGAACGCTTCTTTCAAGCAAAGCAGTCAGTTGCAAAAGCTCGAGTCTGTAGTTGTCGTACGGACCAGTTTCTTCTCCAGAAAGCGACGATTTCCAGATATTTTCGTCCACCAGACTCAGCCAGGAGTTGTTGACGATGTTGGTCAATGTTCCACTGAAATGAAGCTCGTAGATCAACGTTGGCAGCAAGATATTGCGCAACAAGTAGAGTTTGGCAATAAGACACACGTCTGTGTTCAGCGTCTCGAGAATCTCTTTGATATACGTTTGACGCAATTCAAGGTCCGTCGACTTGACGACCGTCTCGAAAGTGTACTTCTCGAGAGAATAAGAAATGGTGATCTTGTTGAGACTGACAAATGAAATCAGCTCAAGAGTCTCCTTGGCACCCAGTTCGTTTGTTCGCAAGAAATCAACGTAAACGGTTTGCAACTTGTCCAAAGTCTGTTCCATGATAAAGTGAGAGTCCGACTTCAAATCGCAAGTGCGCTGGTATTCGGCCGAAGGAATGGAAGCGTCAAACAGTTGTCTGAACAGATCCTTCTGTTCCTTGAACCATTCACGGTCCTGGTTACCAATAGCTTCCACCAAGTCAACAAGGTTGGCAAACTTTATGTATCTGACGTTTGGCTGTTGTTCTTCAACAACACTCTTGACGAAAACGTCCAATTTCGACTTGACCTGGTTTCTTAGCTCAGGGGCGTCTTTCAAACCGGAGAAATACGCCAGCCAGCAACCGTGGATTCTGGAGTCAAACTTCTGGCTGAAGTACGTCACCGAGTGGTCGCCGAATCTGTTCAGGAACTTGGCAATTGGCAATCTGAATGGAGAGCTTTGGTAACGACGCAAATTGGTTTCCAAATAGAAGAGCGTGTTTAGCAGCTCCTCCATGAACGTGTAGGCCTGAGGAGGAAGCAGATGGAAGATGTTGAGAATAGCAACGATGATCTGCACTGTGGAGTTATTGTCGAGTTCTTGAAGAGCAATACGTTGCAATGCCTGTGGTTGGGCCCATGCCATTAGATGGTCGAGCAGTTTGCGGCCAATTTCAACCTTGAAGTACGAGATCAAGAGTTCCAGCAGTCTGGAGAGTGCCTCCAGTCCAGAAACGGTGAGTTTCTTGTGGTCGGACAAGTTCATCAACATCGGACGAAGACCGCTTTGGAGCAGCTCTTTTGGAAGCTTGGAGTTCTGGGACAGGACCTGTTTGAGTCCAGCGTGTGCAGCGTTGATGATCTGAGACGACTTAGCGCACAGCGTCTTAAAGAACACGCCAAGGATCCGAATTCTGATCTGTGGGTTCCCGTTGGAGAAGGCCGGTTTGGTCAATGCCAACGACAGCAGCTCGATACAAACCACACGAAGTTTGATGAGCTGTTCAGAGGTCCGGTGTTCGGAGATTCTGTGAGCACTGATCAGCGACTCGTCGTCGGCATCCACCAATGCTAATGCCTCGGATAGCAATCTGTTCAGTTCGTCGTTAAATTCCAAGAAAGTGTCTTCGAGTCCCAAACAGAACGTGATTGCGTCGATGTTTCCGATTTGCATGTGGAATGGCAGAGCACGCAATGGCTTGCCAAAGATAGGAGCAAGCAGAATTCCCTTGCTGGGCGATATCATCGTGGCAATAGGCACCTGAGTCACCTCAGAAAGCGTCGACAGAGCTTCCTGTGCGGTCTCGCGGACCTTCGGATTGGAGTTGCTCAAGTCAAAGACGATCTGCGAAACAACCGACTGGAATGGTTGTTGGAAAACAGCATCTTTTGAAACTTCTCTGTTGCACTCTCTGAGAAGCTTCAATGCGAGTTCCTTAGCAACGCGACAGACCTCTGAAGGAACGTCTGGCGGAGTGTCTCTCAAAACGAAAAACATAGCGCGACAGATCTCCAACTGTCTCAAGGCAAAGTAGCTTATTGGAATGTTCAAATCATTAATCATAGTCTTCAATCCAAGACAGCCACCCAGCTTGGTGTAGTAGGCCTCCTCGAAACAACAGTGCACGAACTTGGAACACATTCTTCTTATTGGCAGGAACTTGATGGCTCCGTCGATGGATCCAAACAGAGTGACACATGAGTTGAAGATCGTCTTGACGGCTTGTATACCCATCTCGTGCACAGACTTGATATGGAAGCTCAATGCATACGAAATGGCGTCAAAGATGGTGTTCTCGTTCAAGAACTTCTTACCCTCGTGATTGTTAACGCTGAACTTACAGTTAAACTTGTGAGCGTCCACCATCGTTCTTCCAAAGAACAGTAACACATAATGTTCGCAAATGCCCTTGATGAGAACCTCTGCCTCTTCTCTGACCTCCTCGATGGAAACCGAATAGAACAGTGCTTCCAACAGACGGATAAGCAACTGTTCTTGTCTATCGAATCTGGCCTGGTCTTTCAAGTTACCTGGACCCAGTTTCACCTCCTCGTCAACCTCCTTGGACTTCTCCTCGTCTGTGACGTAGTTGATGACCTGTTGGATCTTCTCGTCAAGGTTATCTGGGATCTCCTGTCTATCGATGAAAAGTTTCAAAACCGAAGTCAAATACTTGAAAGCACTCACACGGTAATGGAGCTTGTATCTAATATTCACGATCGTGTTGAGAGCAGTGGATATTCCGGGCGTGATGGAAACCGGTGTCTCTTTAGGAAGTCCCTCGATCTTGAACAGGGCCTCGATTTCCTGGTTGGTTGGAGTGCTTCCTTGCAAATCGTGGTGCAAGCTAATGAAGTTGTGATTGCGGCCTCCAAGCTTTCCAAGAAGACGGAACGTTGTGTGCGAATGTTGATGGTAGTATGGCAACGGTCTCAGGTGTTTCCACAGAGCCTTCATGACGTCCTCGATGACTGGCTCCAAAATCGGATCGAAATACTCAGCAGTGAGATTGTCAACGCAGAGTTCCAGCGTTCTCAGACCTTGGCTGATCAATTCTTGCGAGCCATTCAAAGCATACACCAACGGTTTCATCAGGTAGCTCAGATGAGGAACAAGAACACTCAGTCTGACCGGAACTGTCAAACAGAGCTCCACGTAAATGTCGCGTTCTTGCGGTCTGCGTGCGGTCTGAATGAGTCTATTGAGCGACTCCAACAACACCTGGAGTAACGGTAGGATCTCTTTGTATAGCGCTTCGAATCTGCCACCACCAATGCTGCGGAACAGTGTTCTGATCAGATAGAAGTAGACTATCGGCTCTTTGGCAGACGTTGTGTACTCGAGCGACTTGAGAATCAACTTGTTCAGGTGTGGCAGAATCACAGCCTCGTTAGCGGCCTGGAACAAGTTCACAGACATAAAACACAACTTGAACAGTCGGATGAGGATATTCGACTTGATGATGTCCATGTCGCCGAGCTCGTTCAATTTCGACATCACAAATATGATCAGAATTCCGGAGAAATTCGACGTGGTTGTTTCGCTGGCAAGGAAAAACTGCGGAATGTGCAACAGAGCTGCGTTTTTCAACATCGACTCAAACATCATCTCCAGCTGCGATTGGGTCACCTCGTTGAATGCGGAAGGTTCTAGGTAGATGAACATGGTTGCAAAAATTTCCATGAGGTCTTTCTCTTCTTTGGAGGAAGTGATCGGCAGGTTTGGACCACTCACGTCGAAAGTCTCCTTTAACTGAGCACTGTTGAGCATTGGCTTCGAGCTCTGGAAAAATCTCAGTCCAAGAATACATTCCCGGAACAGATTCTTAAGAATGTTAATTTCTTCGTTACTGGTGATTCTGGCAAACTCATTCCATGTCTGAGGCGTGTAGTCCTTTTGCGGGGCAGGGTTGCAGTTTCTGAACCCGTAGAAAATGGACTTCAAGAACGTCATGAGTGTTTTCAGCAAGTAGCGAGCGCTCTCCAAAGGATCTTGCGGTGGTGGTTGCGTAACATTGATGGGAACGTCTCTCTGAATCTCGTAGAATGTATACTCTGGCTCTTCGTCAACTTCCATTGGTTTTGTGTCTTTCTTTTCTGGTTTTTCCTCCTCTGTTCCAAAAGGTGACTTTCCGGTCAGCTCCTCAGCCTTAGACCGCCATTTCTGACCCTCGATACGTTTCTGGTCCTTCTTTTTCGTGAACTTGTCGTGCTGCTGCATGATGTCGGTGTATTGTCGGTTGAGCAGAGCAAACCTCTTGACAAACGCGTTGATCATGATTAAAAACAGCTGTCTGGCCTCCTCTTTATCTTCCAACTTGAGGACTCTATCGACCAGGTTTAGAAGCAACTTGGCACTCATGATATGGACGGTTTGTGCCAGAGTGGTGTCTTGCAGATGGTCGCAGTACAACTCGACACTTTTCCAAATGCGATCCGTCGACAGGTTGCCGTTGACATGGATGAAATCTGCCACGATCGAGTATGCCAGCGGCCGCAGAGTCTCGTGTGCGGTCAGTCCTTCGCCGATTATCACCCGGTCGTCGAAAAGAAGATCCATTTTTGGAAGGAAGGATACACGCAAGTCCGTAGAGAGAATGTGTCTTGTAGCGTGAAGCAGTTCCCGTCTAGCGGTAGCCAGCTCGGGAGGACAATCCTGCAACAGTCTGATAATCAAATCTGGGATCTCACCGAGATATGGTTCCAATGCTGCGTTTGCTCCACGACGAATCAACACGTAGGCCAGGAAAGATGCAGCTTTAACTTGGCCGAGAATAAAGTCGCCGTAAAGGGAACGGTTGTGGATTTCTCTGGAGACGCCGGTGACATACTCGCCGCGCTCCTTGGCAGCCTCGTGGGCCTCTTGCTGCTTTTTGGCCTGCAATCTCAGCAGAGTGATGACTTGGGGAATAAAGCTGGCGACCGACGAGTCAATGATCTCCTTGTACGAGGAGTACAGCGAAACCATGGTGATTGGACACTCGGCGATCATTTTGAACGAGTGGGTGGCCTTGAACAGCGTCTTGCTAGTGTTTTCGTCCAGTTCCATCGATCCTGGCGAGCCTGCTTTTTCAGGAGGTGAAGAGTCCGACTGGTCGCCAAACTGTTCCTCCACCACTTGCGGGATGTTGTTGTAAATCTCCTGTAGAATGTCAATGAATGCCTGCACACGGTCGGCAAGACTCGATTTGTAGCTCTTGTGCAAAGAAGCGATGATCTTCATACATTGAATACCGTTTTCCTCGTTTTCTTCTCTAATAAGGTTCATCAACTTATCCAACACTTGCACCGTGTAAGACTGGAAAGTATCGTTAATAGGAAGTCGATGGATCACGTCCAGAACCAAATGACGCACTTTCTGTTCCGGAGAGTTGGAAATCATGCTAATTGGAACAGAGTCCAACAGCTGGAAGAAGACCGGCATCAGGTTCTTGAGAAATTGTTCATACTCTTGGGCACCACTGTAGGTCTCGAGCGTGTCGCATAGCTCGGACAGCACAGAATACCTGTCGCTGAGCTCCAACGACTCGTCTTGGAGTCGTGTCACAAAGCTTTCCAAAGATGCCATATTATTCTATATAAACAATATTCACGAAAAAAAAAAGGGGATTTACCAATCTTCTTGAACTGGGTGCGGTCACGTGACCGACGAATTATTTTCTCTACCGACCAAGATGGACTCTGTCCCAAAGAAGCGAGTAGTTGTGCAACAGGTCTAGATGTTCCGCCACGGGTATCATGGAGCGGTTGCCGACGGATTTGAACAGCACCTCGGGCGCCACAAAGTACCGGTTGCGGTCCTTGGATGGTGTGGCTGCGCCAAAATGGGTGTTTTCGCTCTGGTCGATCTCGGTCTGCGCCTGTTTGGCCAGGCTGTCGGCCACTTCGATCACGTCTGGGTTTTTCTGCGCGTAGGCTTCAAACAAAGACAGCGGTTTGAGTCTGGCGGGCCGTTTGGGGGCAATTGTGGTAAAGATCCGGTCCTTAAGGTCTGTGGGGCCAGCGTTTTCCTGGTCGTTCTCGTCGCCCGAGACTAGCTCCTGCGACCGATCAGAGACTTTGCGAAACAGGTTCCAGAGCCCACTACGTGCGGCAGAAGTTTTGTTTTCCTGCGAAAACGAGGTCCGTGGAGACCCCAGCCGGGTCCCCTGCTCCTGCCCCAATCCGGTAGCACGAACGGTCTTTGGCCGCTCCGAAAGCGGACTGTTGGTCTTGGACTTGCGAATCGACGCGTACGTCGGCAGAGCGTAGTGGGGGAGCTCCTTGGGAGTGTCTTCTGTCATGAGAACGAGCGATTTTGGAGCAGACATGGTTAGCGCTAAAACAATGAATCCTTAGAGATAAATCTCTCTTGGCTTGATTATGTAACGCGGAGAAGAAAAATTTAAATCATAGTGAAAAAAATTAAAAAATCTTTAATCTCCAACACATTTAATATAAACCATGGGTAAGGCCAAGAAGACCAGAAAGTTCGCCCAGGTCAAGCGAGTTCTTGCGAAGAATGATCCAAGAAAGAAGGAAAACGTCGAGAAAGTGACCAAACCGGCGGAAAAAGAACTGGTTAAAGACGTTCCTCAGGTCTCTTCTGCCCTTTTCTTCCAATATAACGAGGCAATCAAACCACCGTACCAGGTGTTGGTGGATACCAACTTCTTCAACTTCAGCATCCAGAAAAAAATCGATATTGTGCGCGGCATGATGGACTGTCTATATGCCAAATGTATCCCTATAGTCACCGACTGTGTCATGGCGGAGCTCGAGAAATTGGGCCACAGATACAGAATCGCTCTCACGCTTGCCAAAGACCCTCGAATCAAACGCCTAACGTGCTCGCACAAGGGAACCTACGCGGACGACTGCATTGTGCACCGGATCATGCAGCACAAATGCTACATCGTGGCCACAAACGACGCAGACCTCAAACGACGCATACGTAAGGTCCCTGGTGTGCCGATCATGAGCGTTGGTAGCCATTCGTACGTGATCGAGCGGCTTCCAGACGTATTCTAATACAATTTCGCGGTGCACGGGTGTGTGCTTTTTATATTTTGTGCCATACATACTGCTAAAAAATATATCCTAACTTGTACCAAACTTATCATGTCTCTGCAAGATAACGTTGATAATCTCGTGAACATGGGATTTGATGCCTCTGTGGCGCGGGATGCGTTATCTCGTGCTGACAACAACATTGAGGCTGCTGTCAATTTCATTTATTCGGATTTCTCCGCAGACCTTCCCCCCTACAGTGAGAATGGCGAATCTGGTCCTTTGGGTCCTGCGGGTCCTACAGGAGCGGCTGGAGCCGGTGGGATTGTGGCTGATGGCAGATCAGCGTCTACTGCGATCGAGATTGAGGACGATATCAAGAACAAGATCGCCAGCTACGGATACGGACACGACAATCCTGTTGTTGATTTGGACTCCGATCAGTCAAAGAGCGAGATTGTTCCTACCTACGAGGTATACGACGACATTTCGCGGTACACACGTGCAGAGGGCGATCCGGGCGTGCTGTTGCCGGTCAAGGCAGAGTTATTGGAGGGCTATTTTGCCCCGTTGTTGATGACCTTGTCTAATATTCCTGCATTTCGTGACCTTGTGCTAAAACCAGAGTTTGAAGACTATGGGTATTCTGAGTTGTGGTGGAAAAAGGACAAGTGTGTTTCGAATCCGAGTGTTGTCATGGAAACACAGCGATTGGTTGCGTTTCTGTGTGGAGACTCGTTTAGAGCATTTGCGTCGATTCGCAGTCTGATAGATGCCAGTTCAAAGCTGATGACCGACGATTACCAGAGCGTGGCCGAATTCATCCAATTCATTTACTCGAGTCTGATTGAGCTGTTTGCCAAGACAGACGAATCTCTGAAACGGCCTTTCGAGCAGCTGTTCACGTCGCGGTTTCGGTTCGAGGACGACGAGACCCAGACGCATTGCATTTTCCCTGTTGAGTCCAACTACTTCTACAAAGACATCTACCGCATCATGCATTCGTTGCTCTGGGGAAAAGATATGGGACGATTGGGCCAGCATCAGTTTCTGGAGCTAAGTGACGTTCTGACGGTCAGTTTCGAAGGAAACGGAGACACAGTCCCCGGTGGAGGTTTTGAGCTGACTGAGGAGTTCTATCCACAGATCTACACCTCCAAGCACGAGCATATGGTGGCAGATAAGTTCAGACGGATTAGTGAACTGAGAGACGAGGTCAGCAAGATCAACGGACAAACCATCCAATTGAAAGCGTTCAAGGGGAAACGGGTTTCTGCTCTATTGGACACGACTTTGAGCCATCTTTCGTCGCTCGGTGAAGATGAACGGGTCCAATCTGCTGCCAAAGAATTGGAAAGCATCGCAAACCATATTTTGGATTGCAAAACTCGAAACACAGAGAAATTAACCGCACTCAACAAGGAACGGTCCGACATCGATATCTACAACATCAACTACATCCTGGGTGATCAAAAGGCCGAGTTCGAGCCGTGGGTGTTGACTGGAGTCATTTTCAACGAGAGACAGTTCTGGTACCGTTTGGAAGAAAAATGGTATGCTTTCAACTACACGCTGGAAATAGGCAAAGATTTTGAAATCTCACAAACAACGTTCGACAATATCGTTTCCCAGGTAAGAGAGTACTCGGCAGACAACTTCGAAACAGGCATGGTACTCATCTACGTGAAAAAATCGCTCATCACCACAGATTCTCCAATTATCAACAAAAATTTGCAGAAATTCATAGACACAGATAATCAGAAGGTTGCGAACGGAGTGGCCTTGCACAAGCTCAACGAACAGCAAGAGGAACAGGAGGGCCAGATTGTTCTTTCTGACCAATAGAACGGCTGGAAAAATGCGCTTAGGTAAGCGGGCTGTTTGAAAAAAAGTCCAAGTTCGAAAAACTTCCACCGAAAAATTTGTTTGTACAATGTCTATTCTGGTTGCTAGAGCGCTGCCAGCGCTGAAGATCGGCCGTATGTCTGGTGCACGGGTTGCTTCCAAGACCGTGTCCAACTCGTTTGTGAGATACGCGGGAACTTTCGACAGATCCAAGCCCCATGTCAACATTGGTACCATTGGCCATGTGGATCACGGTAAGACCACCTTGACCGCCGCCATCACCAAGGTTCTTTCCCAAAAGGGAGGTGCCAACTTCTTGGACTACTCTTCTATTGACAAGGCTCCAGAAGAGCGTGCCAGAGGTATCACCATCTCCACTGCTCACGTTGAGTATGAAACCCCGAACAGACACTACTCGCACGTTGACTGTCCAGGCCATCAAGATTACATCAAAAACATGATTACCGGTGCTGCTCAGATGGACGGTGCCATTATTGTTGTTGCCGCCACCGACGGACAGATGCCTCAGACCAGAGAGCACTTGTTGCTTGCCAGACAGGTTGGTGTCCAGAAGTTGGTTGTTTTCGTTAACAAGGTTGACACCATCGATGACCCAGAGATGTTGGAGCTTGTTGAGATGGAAATGAGAGAATTGTTGGCTTCTTACGGTTTCGACGGAGATGAAACTCCAGTTATCATGGGATCTGCTTTGTGTGCTTTGGAAGGAAAACAACCAGAGATTGGTGAACAGGCCATTGAGAAGTTGATGGCTGCTGTTGACGAGCACATCCCAACCCCAGTTAGAGATCTCGAGCAACCATTCCTGTTGCCTGTTGATGAGGTGTTCTCCATCTCCGGTAGAGGTACTGTTATCTCCGGTACTGTCGAGAGAGGTGTTTTAAAGAAGGGTGAAGAAATCGAGATTGTTGGTGGTAAAGGTGCTCCAGTCAAGACCATTGTTACCGGTATCGAGATGTACCACAAGGACCTTGACCAGGCCATGGCCGGTGACACCCCAGGTATCTTGTTGAGAGGTGTCAAGAGAGAGCAGATCCAAAGAGGTATGATTGCTTCCAAGGTTGGTTCTTTGAAGCCATACAAGAAGTTCTTGGCTTCCATGTACATCTTGACCAAAGAGGAAGGTGGAAGACACACTCCTTTCAGTGAGAACTACAAGCCACAGATGTTTGTGAGAACCACCAACGTCAGTGTCACCTTGAAGTTCCCAGAGACCGAGGAGGATCACTCCAAGCAGGTCATGCCAGGAGACAATGTTGAGATGATTGTTGAGCTGTTCAGTCCTGTTGCTCTGGAAACTGGTCAAAGATTCAACCTCAGAGAGTCTGGAAAGACCGTCGGTACTGGTATGATCACCAGACTGTATGAGTAATTGCTTGTATATGGACTTGATAGCGGGATATCTGTATATTTTATAATCCCAGGAGTTTTCTTTAAAGAATAATTTCTTATCTAAATATATTTTATTGTTGATGAATAATCCCACAGAACAGGAGCCACTTTTGCGGCCCACTGCGAATAACGCCAAGTTTTCTGGCGGTATTCGTAAGCGCGCGCTTAATTTGCATGTTGGCTTGGCTTTGGGGGTGTTATTCATTATTTATTTGGCATGGCCTTCAAAGGAACAACCCCCACATTTTCCCAAGATGCCTGCACATATTCCATTTATCGGGGGGCCTACGTGGACTCCACAGGAGAACCAGACCGCGTGGGGGGTCCACGGGGCCGTTGCTTCGGACCTGGAGATGTGCTCGCAACTGGGGGTCGAGATCCTGAAGAAAGGTGGATTCGCTGCTGACGCAGCTGTCACCACTTGTTTGTGCATAGGAGCCACAAACACGATGTACTCTTCGGGAATTGGTGGCGGAGCGTTCATCACCAGCAGCAGGGCAGGTCACGGGGTGCCGATCTCGATCGACGCACGCGAAATGGCTCCTGCTGGGGCCCACAAGGACATGTACAACGGCAACGAGCAAGCGTCGCAGTTTGGAGGGCTTGCCGTTGGAATCCCCGGTGAACTGAAAGGTCTTTACGAGCTTCACAAATTGCACGGGTCAGGGGCCGTTGGATGGGACGATCTGATCATGCCTGTTGTGGAGGTTTTGGAATCTGGCTGGGAAGTGAGCGAGCTTCTTGGAATGGCAATTTCGATATACGGGCCCTATTTCCACAAACACAAGAACGACTGGCCGTTCTTGTTCGACCATGGCCGACTCCTCAAGAAAGGAGACATCATGAAAAGACCGGCACTGGCAAAAACGTTGCGTTTGGTTGCTCAGAACGGGTCGGCTGCCATTTTCTACGATCCGGACGGGCCAATAGCACCACATTTGGCCCGCAAAGCCCAGCAAATGGGGGGCGTTCTTACACCCGAGGACTTCCCCAAATACGAGGCAGTGGTGGAGCCTGCATTGGTCATGCACAACTTCTCGGACCGCAACTTGGACATTTACACAAGCTCGGGCGCTTCGTCAGGACTTGCATTGATATCGGGCCTGAAAATAATAAACGGTTTCGAACCGAGCCCGGGTAAAGATTTCTCCAAAACGGAGACCCATCGGCTAGTGGAGACGATGAAATGGCTGGCCAGCGTGCGCAGCCATTTGGGAGACGTTGGGGTGCACAACAAGAACGAGACCGCGCACCAGTCACGCAACGACAGGTATGCACATTTAGTCAGCGACGAGTGGTGTTCGGCCACCACCGCCAAAATCAGTGATAACGAGACATTTCCCTGGACATTTTATGAGCCCGCGTATCAACCGAACGAGCCGCAGGGAACGTCACATTTGAGCGTGTTGGACGAACACCAGAACGCCGTTAGTCTCACCACTACCGTGAATTTGCTTTTTGGCTCGCTGGTGCACGACCCAGTTACCGGAATAATTCTGAACGATGAAATGGACGACTTTTCGATCCCCACCACGAAGAACGTGTTTGGATTGCAACCGTCCGTGTACAACTACGCCGAGCCTTACAAGCGTCCGCTTTCGTCCACTGCTCCAACGATCGTTGTGGACAGAGAAACGGGCAAGGTTGATTTGGTGATCGGAGCTGCAGGCGGATCCCGAATCACTACCGCCGTGTTGCAAGCTCTCGTGCGGACGTACTCCTACGGGATGGGGCTATTGGAGACGGTGGCTTATCCGCGGTTACATCACCAGCTGCTTCCGGAAACACTATTTATTGAGGAGCCAGTTAGCCAAGAGTTTGTGCACGCGATGGAGGAGCTGGGACACAGCGTGGAACTAATCAGCCACCAGACCGCGATGAACGGCATTGGAGTACACGACGGAAAAATAGCAGCCCAAAGTGATTACTGGAGAAAATTGGGTCGAGGTGCATGCTACTGATGAGTTCCGGGAAATCGTTACCTTGTTTTTCCGGAAAATCCTTTATGGTTCTGGGAAAAGAAACGTGCATCCGATTGACGGAAGATTTCCCAAAATGGCGTGTCCGGAAAAACTACGTAAGGGGACAACAAATCATACTCCATACTCGGAGAGCAGAAATTCGGGGGACAGTTTGAGGGGTTTGGAGTGGGGTGAGCATGATGGATAAATTTTCTGCGGGACTAACGGTTTCGGGGACAAATGTTCTGTTTGCTGCCAACAGCTTTATATTGGTATAGGACGTTGTAACAAATACAAAGACAGATAGTACAAATTCAACGGGGCTACCTGGCTGGTATAAACCAGCCTACTTTCATACGTGTCCTCCCCGCAACCCCGATGCGCTTTTTCCGGAAGGTTTGTTTGTCACTCCACTGAAAAAGGTGCAGGCTGAATTATGCATAAACAGAATTGGAAAAGTTTTTCCGAAATCCACCAGAATATGCAGGCTCCCGAAAAATGCTATATAAGGCGAACCTCGCAACGTACGAACCAGTTTCAGTACTTTTCAAATGTCAAACTCGGATCAACAATCGAAGAAATCCGACATCGGGTCGGTTACTCCTCCTCCAGAAAACATCTATGAGGACCACGCACACGACAAGACTGCCTTGCCAGAAGACCATCCTGCCGTGTCTACTGGTAAGAGCGGAATGCAGTACTTGGGTACTGGTCTGCTGTGTTCGCTTATTGCATTTGGTGGTTTTGTGTTTGGTTGGGATACTGGTACCATTTCCGGTTTCGTCAACATGCCAGACTTCAAGAACCGGTTTGGTCAAATTAACGGTAGCGGTGAGCACTATCTTTCCAACGTTCGTACCGGTTTGATGATTTCCATCTTCAACATCGGATGTGCCATCGGAGGTGTCACTCTGGGAAGACTCGGAGACATCAAGGGAAGAAAAGTCGGTCTTATGTTGACCATGGTGGTTTACATTGTCGGAATCGTTATCCAGATTGCCTCTGTTTCTTCTTGGGTGCAATTCTTCATTGGCCGTATCATTTCCGGACTGGCTGTTGGATCTGTTTCCGTCTTGTCGCCAATGTTCATTTCCGAAACCTCTCCTAAAGAGATCCGTGGTACGCTTGTTTCCTGCTACCAATTGATGATCACCGCCGGTATCTTCTTGGGATACTGCACAACCTACGGTACCTACCACGCCTACGATGACTCCAGACAATGGAGAATTCCAAACGGTCTGTGTTTCGCATGGGCTTTGCTCATGATCTTCGGTATGACCTTCATGCCGGAATCTCCTCGTTATTTGATGGAGAAGGACAGAATCGAGGACGCCAAGAGATCTATCTCCATCGTCAACAAAGTGGACATCGACTCCGAGTTCGTCGAGCACGAGGCCGCCATTATCCTCAACTCTATTGAAATTGAAAGAAGAGCTGGTTCCGCTTCCTGGGGAGAGCTGTTCACCGGAAAACCAAAGATCTTCTACCGGTTGATGGTTGGTGTGGTTTTGCAATCGTTGCAACAACTTTCCGGAGACAACTACTTCTTCTACTACGGTACCACCATCTTCAAGTCTGTCGGATTGACCGACTCGTTCGAGACCTCCATTGTGCTGGGTATCGTCAACTTCGCCTCCACCTTTGTTTCGCTCGTCACCATTGACAGATTCGGAAGAAGATTCACTTTGATGGCTGGTGGTTTCGGTATGTCTGTGTGTCTTGTCATTTTCGCAGCCATTGGTACTAAGGCCCTTTACAACGGCCCCTACGGTGTCGACCCAAGCAAGAGCGTCGGAGACGCCATGATCTTCCTCTCGTGCTTCTACATCTTCTTCTTTGCAACCACTTGGGGTCCAGGTGTCTTTGTTGTGTGCTCTGAAACATACCCATTGAGAATCAGACAGAAAGGTATGGCCATTGCCTCCTCTGCCAACTGGATCTGGGGATTCCTGATTGCCTTCTTCACGCCTTTCATCGCCAACGCCATCCACTTTGCCTACGGCTTTGTCTTCTTTGGCTGCTCGCTGTTCTGTATCTTCTTTGTGTTTGCGTTCGTTCCGGAAACCAAGGGTCTTACTTTGGAGGAGGTCGACCAGCTCTACACAGACTACACTCCTGGTCTTGCATTCCTCGACTTCCGCAAGGAGGTGGACAACACCGACAAGGTGTAAATACATAGTGACGACTATTAACGAATAAAGTAATATCGGTATTTAGCGTAGCTTTCTGCTCCACCCTGCCAGTGTTTTCTGATTCGCGTCGCGTTTGGCGCGCTTGGCCGGCACTGGGGGGTCTGGTTCGCGCTTGCGCGTCGCCAGCAGCCGTTCGCCGTAGCTCTGCGTGTTGAGCTCGTCGTTGAGGGCCATTGCAAAGTGGAAATCGTTGTGCTCGGCACGCTCAGCGGGGGCCACCTCCGCCCCACACTGCGCACAAACGTTTCCCTCATCGGTGGGGGTTGTTGGCTCACGCGGTGGGGGTGACGCCGTTGTCTCACGTCGCACAGCCCGCACCTTCATCAGCTCATCGATCCGCGAGTACCCGCTGATCTCCTGGAACCCGCTGAACGCCAGCCCCCCGTGCGTGCTGGGATACATCGGTCCTGCGCGCGCCGTGTCCCAGTGCTCCTCCAGCTCCTGCAGCAGCCGCAGGCTCAGCTCCTCCACCTTCTTCTTGGCCTCGTCCAGGTCCCTGATCAGCGGGAACGAGCACTGCCGCGAGCTCGTGATGTTCCTGCTGTTGCGCATGTATAGCGTCAGCCGCGTCGGCCGTCGCTGAGTGTCGATCTCGTCGTCCAGCTCCTGCAACCGCAAAATAAGATCGATCACAAACACCTTGAACCAGTCCAGGATGTCCGACGACTGGCTTACCGACTTGCCGCGGAAGTTCTTGTGCGACCCCATCGACTTGACGTCCGTGCGCGGGTTGATCGGCTGCCGCAGCTCGCCGCGCACCATCTTGTACAGTTTTTCCGCCAGCTGCGGGTCCTTGAGCTCTCTGGCCAGGTCTTCCAGCGAGAAATTGTCCTTGATGTACCGCACCTCGTGCCGGCCGGACTCTACCTCCAGGTCCTGTAGGATCTGGCGGCCTACCTTGCCGCCCATCGACCAAAAGTCTGTGAGACTGAAGTTGTCGAAAAACGCCGGTATTGCGTCGTTAAACACGGTCGTTTGCTGGTTTGGCTTCTTGAAATCGCTCGCGAGCTTGGCAATGTTCTTCACGCGGCCAATTCCCAGCGACGTGGTGTATCCGAGCTCTTTCTTCAGCTTGCGCCGCAGGTCAAACCCCAAATGTGCTCCGATCAGCATCGCCACGTCGTCCCAGTCGCAAACGCTCACCTGGCCATCCTCCTTCGCAATAAATAGTCCGGGCGCATCTTCCAGCTCCTTGGGCAGTTGGTCTGGCAGCGGCGGCAGCCGTGTCTCTCGCGGATTCTCCTGCTGCTCGCCCAGCTGCGGAAAAAGTGCAACCATCCGCGAATAAATAAGCCGGCCAAAATCCATAAAACACTCGTCCACACTGGCCTTCTCCACCTCATCGCAGAACTCCTTGAAGAACCGCATCATCTTGCGGCTTTCTCGCCGGTACGGCTCCAGCGAAACTTTGTGATCCACGGGCTGCGGCAAATAATCCACATACTTCCATGTCTCCTCGCCCTTTTTGAAAACCGCCGTGTGTGCCACCACGAGGTCCGGGCACTTGAGCTTGGCAGTCTGCAGAGAGTCCATCCTGCTCACGCCGTACTCCCTAGCGGCGTACGAAACCGCAATCAACGAGTTCCATTGCAGGCAAACGACGGGGTCTTTCGGGGTCAGGTTCAGCCGCAGCTGCTCGTACTGCGCAAAGTACGCGTTAATATCGATGTGTGCAATCACACTCAGCGGCGAGAACGTCGCTCGAGCCGAATCGTTCAGATCCAGCAGGTTCTGATAGGTGAATTTCGAGCTGGACGGAACAATAAGCATGGTGTGGGGAGTGAACTATTTGAATATTTTTTTTTCCCAGTGGTGATTTTTTTTCACCAGTTTGGAAAACTCCCCGTTTTCCTCCTATACCTTGTATATTCCCAACGAGTATGTATCTGTGATGACAAGCTGTCGCCCCAAACGGAGAAATAGTGACGATTCGATTTTATGCCAAACACTGAAAATTCTGAGACACGTACTGACAAATAGATATAACTAATCTTTTCTACTTCTTCTTGTAGGCCTCTGGCACGCTGATGATGATCTACATGCTAATCATGAGCCTTCGGGCAGCGATTACACTCAATTTCTGAAGCACCGTGTTTGTATTTAACACCCAATACATTGACATAAGATATTTTTTTCGAGATAGGTGTATTTTTTTTTCAAGTACGTGTGTGTTGTCACCATGATTATCCGTCGAGAAGAGATAGTGGACCAGGGCGAGGACCTGACACAGATCCCGTTCTCGGAGCTAATGCTTCCACTGCCATACAAGTGCATGTTCCTGATAACTTTGGGCGTGTGGTTCTGGTACGTCAACTTGCGTACCTGCTACGCTTACAAGATCGACACATTGCAGGTTTTGAAATTGGCCGGCGTGGAGCACGCCAAGCTCGTGCGCACCAGTCTGAACGTCTGCTATAAGATCACCTTGATGAACATGATCAATTACACTGTGTACCTGGCGTTTGTGAGCAACAGCATCTATTTCAGCTGGATGGAGTTCCTGCCGTTAGTTGCCATAGTGCAAACGGTAGCGGTGCTGGTTTGGCCGTTTGGGCCCCAGTCCATCGAGAGAAGACGTTTTGTCGAGACCGTCAAGCGGATCAGCGTGGGAAACATCGACATTTCCCTCAGAAACAACGATATCCTGCTGGCAGACACCTTTACCTCGTACACCAAGGTTTTGATCGATTTCTTGGTGTATTTCACTGCTCTGTTGCTTGGATACGCCACGCTGCCGTCTCCAGACATCAAACGGGAGCTCACGTCCGACCATTTGAAAGTTTACAACCTGGACATTGTTCTGTCGTCGTACCCGTCATTAATTCGTCTGAAACAGTGTTTGCAAGAATACGAGCAGAGCAGAAGACGCAATAGACAGCATCTGTTGAACGCAATCAAGTACTCGACTGCGTTCTTGCCGCTGCTGGCGAATATCCTGATCCGGTCGCAATTGGCCGGGCTGGGCGTGTGGTACGCTGCCGTGCTGATCAACTCGTCGTACACGTTTTTCTGGGACATCCAGAACGACTGGAACTTCCAGATGTTTATGCGGTTTCTGTCCAACAAAAGAGAGCTGCCACTGTTGCGGCACAAGCTCGTTTACACATGGCATTTCTACTACCTGGCCATTCTGCTAGACTTCCAGCTGCGGTTCATCTGGGTGTACCGGCTGATTTTCCCCGAGCTGCTGTCGAGACTGGACCACTCGCTGCTGGTCACCACGCTCAGCTCGCTGTATGTGACCGAGTCGGGCAATTTTGTGCTGGAGGTCCTCGAGATCTTCCGCAGATGGGTCTGGGTGTTCCTCAAGGTGGAAACCGAGTTCCTGAAACTGGCTACCGAGCCGGAACTCGAGATGCAAAACTTGTAACATTATTAATACAGTCATTCTACTTTCTGCGCTCCTTGATGCTGTTGATCTTTCTCTCCACCTTGCTGAGGTACCGGAACTTCTTCTTGCGCGGCTTGGGTTTCTGGTCGGCACCCACGAGCCGCGCGTACTTCTTGGCGCGCTCGATCGACTGGCCCAGCACCTGCTGCGACTTGTCCAGGTCGACGTGGTTTTTGCGGGCCAGCTCCATCAGATCCACCTGGTTCGGGTTGTCTATGCTCTCGACCGTCACCGTGGTGACCCCCGGCACGGGCGCGTCGTCGTCGTCCGCGTTGAACGTCTGTTTCAGTATCCCTTTCTTTTCGCGCGGTTCAGCGTCGGTCTCTTGCGACTCCTTGAACCCAGACCACTGCTCCTCTTCCTCAGACTCACTCTCGCTCTCCTCCGACTCGCTCGACACCTGCAGCTTGAGCGACTCGTTCAGCTCGCGCAGCCGCTTCTGCACCTGCTGCTGGCGCTCCTCGCGGATCCGTTTGCGCTCCTCCAGCCGCGCCTGGCGCTCCTGCTCCTGGTTGTACTCCTGGGCCTTCTTTTTCCGCTGCAGCTTCCGCTTGTGGAACCCGGTCAAGTACTCCACCCGCGAATCCTTGTCAAAAACCACCTCCTCCACGCGGTTGGTCTGCTTCTTCTTCTGCGCATACTTCTTTCCCCCGGTAAGAATCTCTCTGTTGGGCCGGGCCATGGTGAAATATTTTCTACAATTTTTTCTCCTGCAAAATTACCATTTATTAATCTACCTAGTCTTGGAACTTGTAGCTGCCGCTGGCCATGGTGATGGAGCCGCCGCGGTACGAGCCACGCTTCATTTTATTTTTGTTCTTGGTGAAGTCCTTGCCTCTAACGCGGCCGAGACGGTCGTTGGCCTGTTCACCCCAGGTGCCTGCTGCTCCCTTGTAGGTGTTGTCCATGAGGACGTGGTCCTCAAAGGCGACTTTTTCTCTGTCGATTCTGGAGAAGTGGTCGCGCTGGCCGGGACGGGGCTTCTCGACGGCGGCGGGGATCAGCGTGCGCGCGCTGGCGTCGGGCGAGGCTGGCTGCGATGCTGTGGTGGAGGACGAGGACGAGGGTGGCTCGAGCTGCGGCTTCTTCGAGCCCGCGCGGTCGAACGACGCCTTCCGTTTGGCAGGTTCGGAGGAGGAGGAGGAGGAGGAGGAGTCTGAGCCAGAATCAGAAGACTCATCTGAGCTGGAGTCTGAGCTGGAGTCTGAGCTGGAACCTGAGCTGGAACCTGAGGAGCTGTCACTGTCACTGTCAGAATCCTCAGAGCTATCGCTGTCCGAGCTGGAGCTGTCCGAGCTATCGCTGCTAGAACTGTCGCTGTCTGAACTGTCGCTGTCTGAACCCTCACTGCTGGAACCCTCACTGCTGGAGCTGGAGCTGTCAGAGCTGGAGCTCTCGCTGTCGCTGTCAGAGTCGCTCGAACTGTCGCTGTCCGAACTGTCGCTGTCAGAGCTGGAGCTGCTGTCCTCGTTCTCGCTGCCCTTCTCGCTCTCTGGCTCCTTCTTGGCGTCCTCCTCGGAATCTGACGAGTCGGAGTCTGACGAGTCTGACGAGTCTGAGGAACTCGAGTCAGAAGAGCTCGAATCACTATCACTATCGCTCTCACTCTCACTCTCGCTCTCACTTCCACTCTCACTTCCACTCTCACTTCCACTCTCACTTCCACTCTTGGGCTCTCCCTCACTCTCGCTCACCCACTTCTCCTCCAGCTGTCCCTCGACCTCGCTGATTTTTTCTCCGGCTTCGCGCCGCAGAGCTTTCTCTGCTTTGACGTAGCCGTGGCGCTTAAGGAAGTCTGCGACATAAGACACGATCTCTTCGTGGGAGGCCATTGATAAAATAAAATTTGAAAAATTTCCTCAATTGCACACGACCTGTCAAATAGCAGCAGCAGCGGCAACCTGGCTGGGAAAACCGGGCAGTTGACACCAAAAACGTGACAGATGGTGTGCCAGTAGTTTGTGTGAGTCAACCGCTTGTTATTTGACTATTTCACCGATCGGCTGGAGCTATCTCCTTACTAAATATTTATAATCAGTATAATTAAATATAGCTACCTACTAAAGACGTTCATTCGCCCAAACGGCAGTTCTAGTTTCCCGGTTTGACTAGTTGTCCCAATAGTCCTACGTTTTTAACCCAGCTCATCACACGCATCCTGTTGCTTCCCTCCCTCCTTCATGCTGCTGCCCTCCCTTGCTGCTTCCCTCCTGCTCCCGCCACACAAAAATTGTCGTGGCCCCCTGACACCAAGTACCAAAAAAACCCATCTACGATTTGTTTTGCCATGACCGAAAGAAAGATCATAATCATCACTTCCGACGGCGACAAGTTCCCTGTGGAGCGCAAGGTCGCCGAAAAAAGTATCCTCATCAAGAATATGCTGAAAAACCTGCTGCCTGCAGACGACGAGGAAGAGGACGACGAGGACGCCGACGAGCCAATCGAGGTGCCTACACAGAACGTCCGGTCTGCTGTGATGAAGAACATTCTGGAATGGTGCGACCACTACAAAGACTACAACTTCCCAGACGACGAGCAGGACGACGACTCCAAGAAGAGCGCCCCGATCGACGCCTGGGACAAGAACTTCCTTAACGTGGACCAGGAAATGCTGTACGAGATCATCCTCGCAGCCAATTACCTCAACATCAAGCCGCTGCTCAACGCCGGCTGCAAAGTCGTTGCTGAGATGATCCGCGGCAAGTCGCCTGAAGAGATCCGCAAAACGTTCAACATCGTCAACGACTTCACTCCTGAGGAAGAAGCCGCCATCAGACGCGAGAACGAGTGGGCCGAAGACCGCTAAGTCGCCACACCCCGTCCATACCATCATAACAGCCCTGTTGCTGATGCTTTCCCTATCTTATCTCTGTAGAATTTCGGCATGTCCCCGGAACTAAAATTTTAATCTCCAAACTTCATGGATGCCTTCTGACACTTCCAAGTCTGCGTCCCGCGGAGCCAGTTTCCGACTCAAGTCGCTGCTCAAAAACAGAAAGAGCCAGTCGTCTGTGTCTAGCTCCGCCTCCACCCCCAGCAGGGCGTCCAAACAGGTCCCCCGTATAGATACCACCTCCACCAGCTCGTCCATTGCTCTGCCTTCAATTTCCCCCGTCGTGCCCAACGACTCCATTTCTCGCATCAAGTCCAAGATCCGCGAACACACTCGCCACGACAGCGACGACGACGAGTTCGACGGCGTGGATATTGCCTCCTCCAGAAGCTTGCTGCCTCCTCCCACCCAGCCAAAACAGCCGCAGGACCCGGCAGACTCGGTCGAGTCCACCCACTCGTCCCACAGAGACAGGAACGGAGGGGGGTTGCTCACCAGCATCATGAACTCGTTCAATTTGCGCTCCCAAACGAGTTTGCCTGACCCACCTCCTGTAGAGGAACCCCAGCCGCAGTCGCCCGAGCACACCCAGTCCCCCGCCGAGAACATCGAGTTCAAGCCCGTCAAGACCTCCATTCTCACCACGCTCGGCCAGGGCGCCCTGTCGTTGGACCAATTCCCCAAACCAGACGACCTCATAGAATTCCACGACACCCCGTTTTCCGGACTAAATAGCGGGAGCACCAGGCGCACCGCCTCCAACACCATCGTGGACCCGGCCACGTCCGTGTCGCAGATCTCGTCCCCCAACACAAACACCCCCACCGAGGAGCCCCGTCTCGAGCGCATTTTGTCCGGCATCTCCAAAAGAGCTCTCTCGCCCAACCCGGTGTCCAAGTCGTCCAGCGCCACAGCACTCTACCCGCCGTCCAACAACACCAGTTTTGTGGACGACGAGGGCTCCACATACGCCAAACGGCCCCGGCTCCGCGACAAGCGCAACAGCACCACCCAAGATACTTTGCAACTGAGTAGACACACAACTACAGTGACAGATATCGACCAGGAACTCAATGCCAGACGCGAGAAGCTGGCCGAGCAGCTCGGAATCAAGCTACCCAGTCAGAAACGTCAGGACTCGTTCCACCAGATGTTCCCCGAGATCCCTTCCAACGAGCTATTTATTGAAGATTACACCTGTGCGTACAGAAAAGACGTTCTTATTCACGGAAGAATGTACGTCAGCGAGAATCATATCAGTTTCCACTCGAATCTGATCGGATTGATCACCCACATCACCGTGACGTTGAATAAAGTGCTGATGATCAAGAAGAAAAAAACCGTGGGGATCCCAAACGCTTTAGAATTCACCACCTTGCACGACAAGTACACGTTTGCATCGTTCATCTCAAGAGACTCTACCTACGAGCTTCTGGTGAAGATCTGGTCGTCGATTTTGTCCGGGTCGAACCTTAACACGGTGGACCTAGACGTTGACTCCGAGGCCGATACTGACGACCCCGAGTCTGAGGAGTCGGATGACGGCGACGATTCCAAGCTAAAGAACGGTGCAGCCCCAAATAAGAGTCTCCGTCTGGAGAAAGAGATGTCCAACGACTCTGACTCTGACACTGACGTCTCAGACAAGGAGAACATGATCAAGGACGACGACGAGGTGGAGACTCGCAACCGGAGCGAGAGCCACACGTTCAGAGGCATCCCGTTCGACGGCCCGCTCGAACACGACCCCTCGAGCAACCCGTACGTGTCCGAGCCGGGCGACGTCGAGATCATCAACGAGGTGATTGCTGCTCCTGTTGGTGCGGTTTTTTACTTGCTCTTTGGCAGCGATACGCAGTTTCTTAAGTCCGTGCTCAAGACGCAGAAAAATACAGACATCTCGGAGATCGGTGCGTTCGACGAGACAACGAAGAAACGGTCGTATTCCTACACCAAGCCTCTGAATGGGCCTGTTGGCCCCAAACAGACCAAATGTAACGTTGTTGAGGAGATCGAGAAAAACGATTTCCAGTCCAGTTGTCTAGTGACCCAGATAACGGACACCCCAGACGTTCCATCGGGCAACTCGTTCAAAGTGAAGACGCGGATCTACCTGAGCTGGGCCGCCCGCAACAGCACCAAGATGTACATTGTCACGTCTGTGATCTGGACAGCCAAGTCCTGGATCAAGGGAGCTGTCGAGAAGGGCACGATTTCCGGCCAGAAAGAGTCTCTGGGAATTCTGGTCAAAGAGGTCAAGGCCCGCGTGGAGTCTGGCCGGCCAGTGACGGTTTCCATGAAAAAAAGCAAGTCTGCTACCAAAAAGAAGCGCAGACAGGTGGAGGAGCGCGAAGAGATCCCAGTCACTGCGCAGCCAGCGCCGCCGCCTTCTTTGCAATCAACACTTCTCGGCTACGTTTCGCAGGTCGACGTCAAAACAGGACTATTATTATTGCTGGTTTTCATCATGATCTGGGACAAGCTCACCAGACCGGCTGTCAGCTACACCCGGGGCGTTTCTGACGAGACTCTGATGGCCAGCGAGGCGCATCTGTGGGACTGGATCGACCAGCGCCACCAGGGCAACTCAAACACGGCGTCTGCCGCGCTCAGCTCGCAGCAACTCAACGAGGTGATCCGCGTGATGGAAAAACGTCTGGACGGCCTTAAAAACGCTGCCAGATAATTGTATAAAAGTATTTCAGGCTGTGCTTGAAGACTAAAAAAAAGATAATTTAATTACTAATGGCGGGAGAGTCTGAAGTTTACGACGAAGATGATATCTTTGACTCTGACGACTCGTACTCGTCGGCTTCCGACTACGAGTTGAGTAAGCAGACGATGCGGTCCAAGAAGAAGGACCTCCAGCTCGAGAAGAAGGCCCAGGAGGCGAAAGAGGCAATGCGCAATATCAAGAGAACAAAGGGCGACATCAAGTTTGACGAGTCCGAGCTCGTGACGATCTCGCTTAGCAGACCGCCAGACTTTGTTCCGGACTCTGTTTCGTCGGTTTTCGGCAAGGCAGACTTCTCGTACCTGAAATTGAAGCCAGACCACGCTGCCAGACCCATCTGGATCAGTCCCCTGGACGGCAAAATATTTCTCGAGAGTTTGTCGCCATTGTCGGAACAGGCACAGGATTTCCTGGTGACCATCGCTGAGCCTGTCAGTCGGCCGAGCTTCATCCACGAATACCGCATCACCACGCATTCTCTGTACGCTGCTGTTTCTGTTGGTCTCGAGACAGACGATATTATTTCTGTGCTGAGTAGACTGTCCAAGGTGCCGTTGGCCTCGTCGGTGGTCAATTTCATCAAACAGGCGACTGTCTCGTACGGTAAGGTGAAGCTGGTTTTGAAACACAACAGATACTTTGTGGAGAGTCCACAGGCGGACATTTTGCAGATGTTACTGAAAGACGAGGTGATTGGAAAATTGCGGATCCAGAGCAGTGAAACGATAACCACAACAAGCGACGGACTCGTGATCACCAAGTCTGCACAGAAGGGCGACCTGGTGATCCCCGGAACAGAACAGAGCAAAAAGAAGCGCGACGAAGAATCAAAGGCTGTTGAGGCCCAGCCCGACCAAACAGACAAGCCAGCAGCAGCCGATGACGCTGCTCAGCAGGAAAACCTCGAGGACATCTTTGCCACTGTCATTGGAGATGCTGGCGAGGAGGAGGACGACGACACGGTGCACTCGTTTGAGATCGCACACGAGTCTGTTGAGATCGTCAAAAAACGGTGTCAGGAGATCGATTATCCGATGCTGGAAGAGTACGATTTCAGAAACGACACACAGAATCCAGACCTCGAGATCGACCTGAAGCCGTCCACGCAGATCAGACCGTACCAGGAGAAATCGCTGAGTAAGATGTTTGGTAACGGCCGTGCGCGGTCGGGGATCATTGTGCTTCCCTGCGGAGCTGGTAAGACTCTTGTCGGTATCACTGCTGCGTGCACGATCAGAAAGTCGGTGATTGTTCTGTGCACATCGTCTGTTTCGGTGATGCAATGGCGACAGCAGTTTTTGCAGTGGTGTACGATCCAGCCGGAGAACGTTGCTGTGTTCACTTCCGAAAACAAGGAGATGTTCACTGGCGATGCCGGACTGGTTGTTTCCACGTACTCGATGGTTGCCAACACCAGAAACCGGTCCTACGACGCACAGAAGGTGATGGACTTCTTGACCTCGCGCGAGTGGGGATTCATCATTCTGGACGAGGTGCACGTTGTTCCTGCGGCGATGTTCCGTCGTGTTGTGACGACAATTGCCGCGCACGCCAAGCTCGGTCTGACGGCCACACTGGTGCGTGAGGACGAAAAGATTTCGGACCTGAACTTCCTGATCGGCCCCAAGCTGTACGAGGCCAACTGGATGGAGCTCTCGCAGAAGGGCCACATCGCCAACGTCCAGTGTGCCGAGGTCTGGTGTCCGATGACGTCCGAGTTCTATCAGGAGTACTTGAGAGAGAGCGCGCGCAAGAGAATGCTTCTGTACATCATGAACCCTACCAAGTTCCAAGCGTGCCAGTTTTTGATCCACTACCACGAGAAGCGTGGCGACAAGATCATCGTTTTCTCCGACAACGTTTATGCTTTACAGGAGTACGCCTTGAAGCTCGGCAAGCCGTTTATCTATGGATCCACTCCCCAACAGGAACGGATGAACATTTTGCAGAACTTCCAGCACAATGAGCAGGTGAACACGATTTTCTTGTCAAAAGTCGGAGACACCTCGATCGACCTGCCCGAGGCTACCTGCCTGATCCAGATCTCGTCGCATTACGGGTCCCGGAGACAGGAGGCCCAGCGACTGGGCCGGATTTTGCGTGCCAAGCGGAGAAACGACGAGGGATTCAACGCTTTCTTCTACAGTCTGGTCTCCAAAGACACTCAGGAGATGTACTACTCGACGAAAAGACAAGCATTTTTGGTGGACCAGGGATACGCGTTCAAGATCATCACTCATTTGCATGGAATGGAGAATCTGCCAAACCTGGCGTACTCGTCGGCCAAAGAGCGCCGTGAACTGCTCCAGGAAGTTCTGCTGAAGAACGAGGACGTTGCCGGAATCGAGCTGGGTGAGGACTCAGAAAACCTGATCGGCAACGGGGTGTCCAAGAAGATGAAGAACACCTCCAGAGCAGTCAAGAACCAGGGATCTCTGGCTGGTTTGGCTGGAGGAGAAGACATGGCGTACGTGGAATACTCCAAGAGCAAGGCCAAAGAAGTGGCCCACCATCCGTTCTTCCAAAGAAACTATTACAAAAAGAATAAGAGAAAGAAGCAGAATCAATAATTTGGTACGTACCGGTCCACTGGTTCCTAATATACAATAAATTATCTCACACGTACTTGATCTTGTTGAGCTCGATGTGTTCCTGGTACTCGTTGACGATCTTGGAGTTCATGGACTCCAGCTCCGCGGTGATGTCGTTCTTGAAATTGAGCGTGTGGTTCATACAGTCGCCGATCCGGTGGAAGAACGTGAAATATTGGTACTTCAGGTCGCTCTTGAACCCGTCGAGCTCTGACTTGGCCTTGAAATGACGTGCCTCTGCTGCCTTGCGGTCTGCTAGCATGCGTTTCTGCAGATTGCGGATCGTCGTTTGGTCGGCCTCCACCTCCGAGTCCTTGCTCGAGAGCTCGAACTCAAGCTGTTCCTTGGTGTCCTTGTCGATGGCCTGGAAGTTGGCAAGCTCCGACTCCAGGTCGTGGATCGTGTACTCCTTCGACGTCACCTCCTGCTGCTGGTTGTCCAGCTGCTCATGGAGCTTGATCAGCGTGTCCTGGTTCTTCCGGTGCGCCTCCACAAGATCGTACTTAAGCACAGTCAGGTTCGTTCTGATGTTGAGCTCCTTCAGTTGCGGAATGATCTCGTCGGGCTTCTTGCCCAGCTTTGAGTCGTTGTTGATCACCTCCTCCGTGAACCCGGTGATCGTGATCTGAGGAAGCTCCTTGAACGTGATCGAGTGAAGCAGGTTGTACATGTAGGAATTGTATGAATCGATCAGTTTTTCAAGTCCCTCGTAGGCTTTTTTCAAACTCATAAACTTCTCGTTCACCGTCTTTTGCACAGAATTGCTCTTGTCCACCACAGAATCGATGTCCTTGGCCAGCTGTGCTCTCTCGCGATGCATCATCTCGATCGTCTGGACAGTGAAATTGCGCGAATTAAGGTTTGTGAGAATGTGTGCTTTCGACTCCTCTGCTTTGGAAAGCTTCTCCTTGATGGTCTCAATGTCTTTCTCGATCTTGAGGATCGTCGTTGGCCACTTGAGCTTCTTTTGCATCTGTGCGTCAATGAAAGCCTTGTACCTGGAAACGTCCAGTTCCAGCAATCTTGATTTTTCGTGATTGGCATGGATTTTTTCGCTCTGAACAGACAATTCCTCAACCTGAGCGTTCAGCTGCTGGTTGTCCTCATTAAGCGATCCAAGTCTCTGTGTAACTTCCTTCATGTATCCGTGGTATTCTTTCTCCATTTCTCTAAAATAGTTGTCAAAGTTGGCTCCTCCAGTAGACATGTACATCTTGTACGACTTGAGAGCGTATTTGGTGAACAATTTATCAACAAGGTCCTGTTCTTTCAACACCACCGAGTCGTTGAACGACTCGTCATACAAAACAGAGTTGTTCTGCGGCAGACTTTGGATCTCCTGGAAGTTATCGAGCTCGATGTTGTCCAGATCAAAGCTCTCGCTCACGAGCTGTTTCATCCAGTACAACATTCCAAGGAAAATGTGCCAGTTGGAGCCACCAACAGCGCTGATCTGCGACTTGTTGATGGTATCCAAATACGGATATTCCAGAAATTTCAACAACGAGTACACCTCTTGCTCGATGGATCTGAAAAACTTGTAGCCAGGATCAATTTTCTTGTACAGCCATTGGAACATCAACACAAAGTCCTTTTGAGTAGGGTTTTTCAAGGTTTTGTTCGTGAGTGGGTGTTTCATCTCGATATCAAACTTGTTGGTGGACAAAAATGAGTACAGTTCCTGTTGCATTTTCATTTGGAAAGTACGGTCCCGCAAAGGTCTTGGGTCTTTTGGAGTGGTGGACGTAAGATAATTTGCGCCTGGGGTGTTCATCACCGAGTTCTCAAATAGTCTTCCATTTGACGAAGGCGGCAACGGAGCCTGTGCCATGGATTTGCGTCTGTTTACACTTCCTGGAACCTGATGTCCTGTTCTGGTTATGGATCTCTGCACCAAATCTTGCACAGAAGGAGCGTGTTGGGACAGTCCAAAAGAGCTCTGTCTTTTATGGACACCGGGCTGGTTCAGCAATCTAGGAGCTCCAATGTTGACATTTTTTGGTAACAAACTGAGTCTTTTGCGTTTGATTGACGATCCACTAGGGATATTTGTATCTAAAGCGGACAAAATGTTTGTTGTACCGTTAAAATATTGACCAGTTGGTTGTTGGCTGTAATTTGTCGAGAACGACTGTCTTTTTTTCGGAACCGATGATTCCAAATGATAATCAGACATGACAAACGCGACAGACGGGAACTTCTGTGGTATTTATAATAATTCGGGACGAAGAAAGAAGTTTGTTTATGTTTATGTTTTGTTTTGGTTTGAGATTTGGACTAATAGTTTTGGGCGCTGACATAAGCAGACTTTTAATTTTTTTTGAGCACTTGAAAAAACTCCATCTTTATATTTCTTTATTATGGCTATTGGACAACTCCCCAAGAAGCCGAAGCTGGTAAGTTCCAACAGACCCCAAATACTAACTCCAGGCCAACCTCATAAATTTCCGCGTCCGCGTGACAACTTTAGACACCTCGCAATTTACAGGAACGCTTCTGTCGTTCGACTCGCACATGAATCTTGTTTTAGCAGATGCTGAGGAGTTTCGGCTCACGAAACGGTCTCAGAAACAGCTTCGCGCGCAAAAGTCCGCCGTGGTGGACGAATCCAACATTCAGGAAGAGAAACGACTGCTTGGGCTGGTGATTTTGCGTGGAGAAACGGTGATTTCCGTGGTGGTTGAAGCAAAGCCAAACGTGACAGACTCCAAGCCAGCACTACGTCTCAACAAAGGAAAAGGTACAATTAAACCATTGAAAACGCTAGACGGTGCTAAAACCGTCCGCCCAGCAGGAGTGACAAAACCACGCGGTTTCAAGCGCAAATGATTATTTGATGTCATATGTAAAAGTATTAATGCTCTATGTGAATTACAAGTATAACGAGGCACAGAACACAATGTCTCTTTTAATTTTCTCCTGTGCCTCGCCCATCTTCAAATGCAGCTCCGAGTCTCCCACGATCAGCGCACAGTTCATCACCACGCGGCAAACCTCGTCCAATCTGGTGATCACCCTCACAATCGTACCTTCTGCTTCGTTTTCTTGGTTGCTCAGCTCCATGATGTCTTTGAACGACTGGCCTCTGGCCCATTCGTAAACAACGTTCACAAGACCAAACCGGTTGTTCTCCAAGAACTGTTCTTCTTCCGAGGTCAGAATGATCTTGTTATCGTTGGAAACCTGCATCACCTGCTCCACAATCTCCACAATCTTGTCCTTTCCTGTCTCCAGACGCGGAGTGCACAGCGGAGCCGGGCCATCGTCGTTGGCCCGTTTTCCGTCGTATACAAAACACGACAACAGTGCCACAATCTCCTCGCTCGTGAAACTGCCCAAAATATTCGCAAACACAAGCTCAGTGACAATCAGTTCAAACCCAAAGTTGATCTCGCACGCAACACGTCCCTTCAGAGTCACCGTCAGCTGCTCTGTTACAAATTCCAGCTGTCTCAACACCTCAAGACGCTGTTCGTAGTCCGGCAACAATTCCAGATTCTCCTCGCTCATCATACTCTTTAATGACTCAATCCGTAGTTCAACGTTCTTGCGCTCCATAAACTCAGGATACTCTTTCTCCAACAAGGAGTCAAAACCTTCGTCTGCAAAACAGTTCATCACCGTGTCGCGAAGCTCATCGATCCGGGTCAGAATCTCAATCATCTGCGGGTTCTGGAAAGCCGTCCAGTCCAATTCAGACCATTTACGCTGGTAGATCAAAAGCTGGGACATTTCTGCTTTGAACTCGTCAATGCTCTTTTGGTCCTTGTTGATCACACCGTTGATGTAAGAACGCACAAAGTACGAGCCAACAAACTCGATACACGAGAGCGGTAGCTCAATAAACTTGAAGTTCTGTCCAAGCTTCCATTTGCTGAAAAACTTGGCAACATAAGATTGTCCAAAATTGGTGGTGAAGACGCAGTTGTATTGGTTCTTCGACGAATGCGAGACATCAAACGTCAACAAGGTGATCTTGTCGTCTCCATTGCTCCATCTGGCAGTGACTGCGGGATACGAAATCTTGGTTTCCGGGTCTCTGTAAACAACAACTCTTCCAACTTTGAGTCTTTTCTGGTAGTACAACAACTTCATACTTTCCTCCACTAGCTGGCCATACTGCTGCTGCATTTCGTCCATGGTGTTGTAAAAAAGATTCAGCTTCTCAGCGTCTTCCTCGGAGATGGACTGTTTTTTGGTTTCCTTGAGCTGTTTCTCCAGCTTCGTAACTTCAATCTCATGCTCTGGGAACAGCGATTGCGTGGTGTTTTCTCCAAAAGACCGTTTAATCATCTCCTCCACTCTAAGAGCCTCAATACGAAGCAGGTTCAAAATCATGTTGTAAGTCAATCTGAATTTGGATGACAGTTTGGTAGCTGTTCCCAAAGTGACTTCTTTAAATGCAAACTCTTCCAGTGGTTGGTTATAAGCCATCACAATAACTGTTCCTGTAGAGTCCAAACCTCTACGTCCAGCACGGCCGGACATCTGGGTGAACTCACCAGGAAGCAGATTTCTGTAACCCGTACCGTCGTGTTTTCTCAGTTCACTGAAGACGACAGTTCTGGTTGGCAAGTTCAGTCCCATGGCAAAAGTCTCGGTCGCAAACAGCACCTTGATGAGAGTTTTGGAGAAAAGAATTTCAATAATCTCTTTCACAATTGGTAGCAAGCCACCATGATGGACAGCAATACCTCTCGAAAGCATCTCTCTAATCTTCAGAATCTGAGGCAATTCTCTGTCCTCTTTCTTCAACCGCGAAACAGCTTTATCAATGAACATGTGGATCTGAGATGCTTCTTTGGAAGTACAGAAGTTGACTCCACGTAAAGTGTCTGCGTACTCTTCGCACCGTTTCTTGGAGAACACAAAGATCACCGCAGGCATCAGATTTTTCTTCTGAAGGAATGTCACCAGATTGTTCCACGAGTTTTTATTAGGACCGTCTCTTTTGAACATTCGTCCAGAGACCGAAGAAGCTCCACCACGGCTACCACCACGGCCGCCGCGATTTCCTCCTCTAGTACCTCCACGAGCGACCGCACCGCCTCGACCAGCGGACTTTCCATTGTTGGATTCGGGTATATCTTTCTTTTTGATGAGTTTATCTTCGTGAGCTTTAAAGTTCTTCTGTTGGAAGTTTCCAGCGGAATCAATCAGCTTGAAAATATCGTCCTTAGCCCAGGCAAAGATCTCCAGAGGAACAGGTCTTTTGGAGGTGGAAATGACATAGATATCCTTTTGACGAGTTCTTCCGACCCACGAAGCAAACTCGTATGTGTTTGGAACGGTGGCAGAAAGAAGAACAACCTTGATATGTTCTGGAAGCATGATAATAACCTCTTCCCAAACAACACCTCTCTCCACGTCGTTCACGTAATGCACTTCGTCGAAAATGACAAACTCCACGTCTCTGATCAAGTCGGCTCCTCTATATAACATGGACCGCAAGATCTCGGTGGTCATGATTAGACAGTTCGCTTCTGGGTTGATCTGGACGTCTCCTGTGATCACACCCACGTCCAAGTCTTTGAAAGTTTCTTTGAAATCTCTGAACTTTTGGTTACTCAGAGCTTTGATTGGCGAAGTGTAGATCGTCTTTGTCATGTTTCTATTAGACAAGGCGATTGCGTACTCTGCCACCACCGTTTTTCCGGCAGATGTATGTGCAGCAACAAACACAGAATCGTTTTTCTCGAGATGGTAGACTGCTTCTTTCTGAAAAGTATCGAGCTCGAAAGGCCAGGTCCGTGCTGGATTGGGCACCAGCTCGTCGAAGTTTGCGATCGTGTGGTTAACGTCCACCACATGGGCCCACTCACGTTTGGGAGGAGCGGCCTTCTTCTTCTTGGACGGTCTGGAAAGCATGGCAGCTGGGATGAATTTCGAGATCTCATCCTCCACGTCGGGGATAATCTCGAACTGATCTTCTTCCTGCTGGATTTCTCCGCGATCATCGTGCTGCGTTCTCTGTTCCAACTCGGAAAGATCTGTGTGTAAATTGTTGGAAACAGAGAGTCCCCGGCTCATTCCCTGAGGGATGTCGAGCAGGCCGTTTTCGTCTCGATGAAGGAACTTTGTGGAATCATTTTGTTCGTCGTTTGGGCCGAGTCCGCCAGGTTGGAACGGCAGAAACCCGGAATTACCCATCACGGCGTCGTCTTTACCACCAAACTTTCTGTTCACGGAGAGAGACGTTGCTGCCGAGTTTCCGGCGTCTAAAATGGATCTATCGAAAGTCTCTTTGTAGGAAACAATAGATCCAGCAATTCCACTGCGTTGGAACCTCAATTTTGTTCTTTTAACTGTAGCAGGCAATGTTATCATAGAACGATAGAACCGCTCTCGATCCCTCGATACCACTTCTGGAACCTGCTGGAAAGTGTCTAACAGGTCCCATGGTAGCTCGCTTGTCGGAGAAAGATGGTTTGCTCTAATTTCGTCCAAAACCTGACTCTCATCCAGTTCTGCAGGTAACGACGAGGTGACGGTGGCAGGATCAAGTTCCACAGAGGACACACTGTCGAGTTTCAGTTCACGAAGAACATCGGCTAGCTGAGTCATCGACAAACACTTATTAAGAAGTTGTGTTCACCAAGTTATTTGTAGCCTACGGTGTCTGCCAATAAACAAGATTTCCTGAGTATTTATTTTACTTTGTTTTTTTTCATTCCCTTCATCCAGTCTCCACATGCCGCTCCACACGCTTTCCCACGTTGACAATTTGCGAGTGTGCGTGGTGATGGTTGGATTGCCTGCCCGTGGCAAGTCGTTTATCTCGTACAAGATTGTGCGGTACTTGTCGTGGCTTTCGATCAAAACCAAACTGTTTAGCGTTTCGTCTTATCGTCGTGAGGAGTACCAGGTACAACCCACCGCCGACTTTTTCGACCCCAACAACGAGGAAAGTAAGATCATTCGCGAACAGGCCAATGAGGACGCAATCAAGGCCGTGATCCAGTGGATGAACGACGAAAACGGCTGTGTTGCTATCTTGGACGGCTCTAACGTGACAAGACAGAAGCGGGAGATGGTTGCCCAAGTGCTGAAAGATCATTATGTGGAGCCTTTGTTTTTGGAGAGTTTCTGCGATGATGAGACCATTGTCAAGTCCAACATCCTGGACATCAACTCCACGTCACCTGATTACGTCGGCAAATCCCAAAGCTACGCTCAGGATGATATTCTCACCAAGATCAAGTACTATGAAACCCATTACGAGCCCATGGATCTGGAGGCAGACAAAAACCTCAGTTTCATCAAACTCATCAACATCAATTCCCAGATCATCATCAACAAGATCGAGAGCTACTTGGAGAGCAGAATCGCTTTCTACATCATGAACCTGCACATCAAACCCCGCTACATTTGGTTGTCGCGTCACGGAGAGTCTCAGTACAACTTGGAGGGCAAGATTGGAGGAGATGCGGACCTGAGTGAGCGCGGAATGCAGTACGCCCGCAAACTGAAGGACATGGTGAGCAAGTACGTTCCGAACCATGAGAAGTTTGAGGTTTGGACCTCGACACTACGCAGAACACAGCAAACGGCACAATTTCTGCCAAATCCAAAGAAACAGTGGAAGGCCCTGGACGAGCTGGACGCCGGGTCCTGCGACGGACTCACCTACCAGGAAATTGCCGAGCAGTTCCCTGACGACTTTGCAGCACGTGACGAAAACAAGTTCGAGTACAGGTACCGGGGAGGAGAGTCATACCGCGACGTTGTTCAGCGACTGGAGCCGATTATCATGGAGCTTGAGAACCAGGAGAACGTTCTGGTGATCACTCATCAAGCGGTGCTCAGATGTATCTATGCTTATTTCATGAACTCTCCGCAAGAGAAGTCGCCATGGATGTCTATTCCGTTGCACACTCTGATCAGACTTGAACCTCGAGCGGATGGAACTATAGTGACCAGGATCAAAGCCAACATCCCGGCAGTATCGACCTACAAGGAAAAGGGAACTTCGAAGCTAGGCGAGTCGGGAAATGACGCCCATACTATGGCGGGCGAGGTGATCACTAGTGATCTACAAGGCCATTGAATTCTATTATCTATAATTGTTTTCTAGTAACGGGATCACGAGAAACGACTTCGTTTGTAGGGAACGGGCCATGTTGTATGTACATGCGAGATTATCTTGACTTGACGAGTTTGCGGCCTGCTTCTTTCTCCAGACCTTTAAGAGCCTTCCAGAGACTTTGCACTTCTTTTTCTTCGGGCAATCCACAGCCTGCCCAACGGATCCGGTACGAGTCGTCGATCAGGTACACGAATCCGGCGTAGGTATTTGTCATGAGAAGTTTTTCGCGGTCGTTACGGGGCAGAACGGACTCTCGAAGCGCAACCAGATATTTGTCATACTGAGACTCTGGCAGATCGGCTTTGATCTTATTAGGAGTGACGAAGGTGTGAACAAAATGCGTGGACCATTTCTCGCTGAGAACAAGTTCGACGATCTGCGATTTGGGGAAACTTTTGTGGAACTGTTGAATTCCCGTTTTCGAGAGGTATTGGTCGTCCGAGTTTGGGATCTTGAAGTAGTCAGCCAACATGTCTTTACCGGAATCTGTCGAGTACACCTTCAACAAGGTGACGTTTGCCTTTTTTAGAACGTCCATAATGTCCACGGTGTTGTCTTTGAACGTGCGGACCTTAAAGTTTGGGAAAAACAGCGACTTCTCCTTCTTGAAGTAAGAAATTGGTGCTTCAAACAGCCGTCCCTTGGTTCGCATGTACACGTGGAAATCGTACATTCCACCATATGCGAGCTCTTTCTGGATGTTGTTGACTCTTGTTCGTCTTGTTATTCCGTCGAAATAGAAGTCCCAGATCCGTTTGGGCACGTTGATGTTTTCCTTTGTGAGCCATGGTTTTTTGGGTATGTCTTTAGAATGGATCGGTGGCTGTTCGAAACCAAACGGTTTGGTGATTTTGAAAAACTTATGCGGTTTAGGAACTATTTTGGTGATACTTTCACCCAAATTCCCGAAAAACGAGGCATTGCGTCTAAAAACAAGGCTCATTTGGTTTTAGCTTATTTAAACTTTTTTTTTTCGTCCTGTCTCCAATTTTTAAGGTCAAAAAATCAACGCTATTTTTTTCCAAGATAAAAAAAGCTTCCGACCGCACAACCGATGGCTTTTAAGTTATTCAAGCGCAAAGACGAGGAGGACTCCGTCGGATTACCTGCGGAGTCGTACTCAGACATGCTGACCGAGGACGTTACGGCCGTGCAGTCTAACAACGACGATTCCAAGACGTTCCAGTACTCGTTCAACTCCAACACCAACTCGCTGTTTAGTGCCAAGCCTACTATTTCCACCGGAAAGTCGTCGCAACAGAGCTCGTATGGCAAAGAGACGCCTTCTACGTTCACGTCAATCGGAAGACCGCTCAGAGTCGTCGACGAGGAGGAGTTCGAAGACGACACTCTCGATAACATGAAATCATTACGTCAGTCTTTTAGCAGACGCAAATCCAACATCTCAGAGGACTCTCGCACAAATATCAACCCGCGCTCTAGACACGGCTCCAATGCAGCCTCCGAAATAGACCAGACACAGCTCGTTGAAGTTCTGGAGAAACATCTGCGTGCGCTTGCTGTTAGCACATCAAATACCCTGATGCAAGTGTCTCAGTCGGTGCTCAATCTTACCAAGGCCTCTATTGCCATCAGTGAGAGCATCGAGAGCACCTCATCCACGATTTCCAAGCTCCAATACCTCCAGTACCTGGCTCCATTCCAGTTTTCAACCAGCTCCTCGCCGGGACTGCATAAGCTTATCAAAAACGTTCTTTTTCTTATCGACAACCATCTGTTGTCCGAAGTTTACGACAGCTCCAAGTCGCTGCTGTCGAAAAACCTGTACGACCTGCTGGGTCTGCTGAAGGTTGTCGAGTTTCCGTCCAGAGACCTGGAGAACTTCGCCACTGTGATGACTCCAAACATTTTCCCAATTGGTAGCACGAATCTCCCGCTTGCTCTGCAGGCCAAAATCGGCCGTATCATGCAAATGTTGGTCCAGAAATCCAAGGAACTTTCTCTGTCCGACCAGGAAGGCGCGTTCATCGCTCCTGTGTTGCGCGGATTCCTCCACGAGGACCTCAGCGTGGTTACTTTCATCTTTGGGTTCCCAACGCTCAACAAGGAACACATCGATATTGTGCGCTACTTCTCGTCCAGCATCGACAACATGCACTTCGTGGCGCAGAAGAACCAGATCACGGCCGCGTCCACGTCCAAGTTTCGTGCTCCATTCCGCACAGTCGACCCAGACTCCGAGTACATGCCGATCTCGATGCCCGTTGCTTGCAACAACTCCTTGAAGCTGTCTGGAACGCTGGCTGGGTACCTGTACCCCAGAATTCCGGAAAATAGCAACAATCCGAGACTCCAGAAATACGAGAACTCGCTGTTTGGGTTCACCTGTGCCCATGTGATGCTCAACGAGAGCATCAAATCCGGAGATCCATACCCACACGTTTCTGTTCCGTCTCCTGTGCTAGTGAACCTGTACAAGAACGCATTGTTGAACGAACGGTTGAAATACGACGCACACACCGAGGAGTATCGTGCGTACGACTCGGTTGTCCAGGAGATCGACCAACTGTACCCGGTGACCGAGGTTCGTGTCAAGAAGAAGACGTTGACCCGTAACCTTCCTCGCGAGACGTTTGGCCAGCTGATCTGGGGAGAACGCGTCCTGAACGAGGACAAGCTGTCGGACATTGCAATTGTCAAGATCCTGGACCAGTCCAAGAAGTTTGTCAACTTCTTGGGCGAGGACCTGGAGCTCAACAAGCACGACCCGGCCTTGATGTTCTCCAACCTGTACGTGAAGAAAGTGGTGCATCTCAAGACTTCAAAGGAGACGTCTGCAATCAATCACGCGGGGCTCGAGGTGTTCAAAGTGGGGGCCACTACTGACTACACAGACGGCCGACTTAACGGACAGAAGATGATCTACTGGTCGGACGGGTCGTTAAAGACGTCCGAGTTTGTGATTTCCGGGTCCCAGAAACAGTTTGCCGCGGGCGGCGACTCTGGGGCTCTGGTTCTTGCAAAACTGTCGAGTTTGCGCCAACCAACAACCAACAAACGGTCGATGCTGAGCAGCTTCCTCGGCAACCTGATTTCTCAAGGGCCAGAAACAGGGCTCGGGGTGGTTGGAATGTTGCACTCCTACGACGGCGAACACAAACAGTTTGGACTGTTCACGCCGATGGACTCGATTCTGGAAAGATTGCACACGGTAACGGGCGTGGACTGGGGTGTTGTTGGGTGTACTGAAGACACTGATTAAAGTCAATATGTATAATATATTTTTTGTCTATTCACTGAGGCAGGTCTTGTGGGTCAACCTCCTTGATCCAGAGCTTACCCATGATAGGAAGTTTCTTGTAGAAAGTGTCTTGGAACAATGGCCAGTTGGATGTGAAGGTGAAAATTCCGGCAGTAGTAGCGACTCCCCAGATGGCGAGAATTGGGGTGTAACCTCTGATGAAAGATGGGGTGATACCTCCGAAGTTAGGCAGCTTCTTGACTTTGAGGGACTTGATGTACTGGGCGGTTAGAAAATGCGTTTTAGCGCTAGTTACTTACGTTGACCATGGTTTAGTGTATTAATTTTTTTTGCACGAAAATTGATTGGTAGAAATTTTGCGCAGAACATGTGTTAGGTAAGCGCTTACGGGAGACGATTTTTTATGGTAGCTTCAATTCTTTACAGACAGACAAATAATAGATGTAGTAGATCCGGACCGGCCAAAGAGCTTAGATGAGAGTCTTGGTTGCTGTGTCGCAGTCGGAGTCGACAGACGAGGTGACAACGGAGCTCGTGCTGGTGATGGTGACAGAAGTAGTCTTGGTAGCAGGGTCGCAGTCGGAGTCGGTAGTGATTGTGACCTCAGTGGTCTTGGTAGCAGGGTCGCAGTCAGAGGTGGTGGAGGTCTCCAAGGTGGTCTTTGTAGCGGAGTCGCAGTCCTCCTCATCCTTACCACCGAACAACTTTTCCTTCAGCTTCTCGAGCTTCTCCTTGTACTTGGCAAGGTCAGCCTCGGCCTGGGCGTCAGGTAATGCAACGGCAAGAGCAGGAGCGACAACGAGCAAAGAAGCACACACGATTCTGTTAATGGCAACCATTTTTATAGTAATCTAAGTAGGATTGATGATGAGACAAGAACCCATGGTTCCACCTCATTTATATAGCCATACATCTACAGAAAACATGGAATGGTTTTGGTAGCAGATATTTGGAAAGTTTAAGGACAAACAATAATTGCAGATAAATTTGGTTGTACGATTCTAGCTCCAAGTTCTGTGCATGAATTTGTATTTGCAATCTTTCTGCTATCAGCCTATTGATAAAGAATGTTCTGTAAAAAAAAAGTAATCATATAGGACAAATGGGCCCGCTCTGCTTTTTGGAATAGCCTCTCCAGAACATGCACCCGACTCCCTCGGCCAAGATTATTCAAGGTGCAGCCTCGTGCCTCCTGTTCTGTGATTGCTACTGCCGTTCCATGTCATTGCGGGTGCTTTTTTTTTTTCGTGCCCCGGTACCGCGGCCCAGACGCAATCGCCGCGGCTCCTAATCGGACTAGTTCCGGCTCAGGTTTTTATCGAGTATATATAGTGGGTATCTTGTATCCTCCATATGAACATGACTAAACACCACTTTCCCGCCCATTTGGCCGCCAAGGCGCTAGAGGCCATCAAATTCACCTGCTACTTCGGCACTTTTGTGCACACGCCAGAGCTCGGCCGTCTGGAGGCTCTCACACGCTGTGCTGTTGGTGTTGATGAAACAGGTACCATTGCTTTTGTCCAGGAAAACTGCCAGGACTATAAAAAATACACGCTCGACTTCACCAAGCTGTCCCAGGAACAAGTGCGCTTCGTTGACGTCTCTGACTCCGAGGTGAAGTTCTTTGTCCCCGGCTTTATCGACACCCATATCCACGCCCCACAATTTCCTAATAACGGAATCTTTGGCGACTCAACTCTGATGGACTGGCTCGAGAAGTACACGTTCCCGTTGGAGTCCTCGTTCAAAGACGTCTCGCTCGCTACAGAAATCTACAACAAGGTGGTGGACCGCACGCTCAGCAACGGAACTACCGCGGCTGCGTACTATGCCACGATCCACGCCGAGGCTACCAACCTGCTTGCCGATGTGGCTCTCACGCGCGGCCAGAGAGCTTTGATCGGTAAAGTTTGCATGAACCAGAACTCTCCAGACCACTACATCGAGACCTTTGAGGAGAGCAAGCAGTCCCAGCTCGAGGTGATCCGCCATGTCGAGGCAAGAGACCCTACTGGAACCTTGGTGAGTCCTGTTTTGACTCCTAGATTCGCTCCTTCGTGTACCGAGAACCTGATGGAATGGCTGGGTGAGCTCAGAAAGTCCAGAAACTACCATTGTCAAACACATTTATCCGAAAACAAGCGTGAGATCGAAGTCGCTCACGAACTTTTCCCCGATTACGATTCCTATACCGATATTTATCACAAGTCTGGTCTGCTCGGACCAAAGACCATTCTGGCCCACTGTATCCATTTGTCGGACCACGAAAAAGACCTTTTGGCCCAGACCGGCAGCGGAGTGTCGCACTGTCCAACGTCAAACTCCTCCATCACTTCTGGAGAGGCCAGAATCAGATGGCTGCTCAACAGCAACGTCAAGGTCAGTCTGGGAACCGATTGCTCGGGTGGATTCACTCCTTCCGTGTTACAAGTGGCCAAGCATGCGCTTTTGGTTTCGAACCACTTGGTCATGAAGTCCGAGAACGATTTCGAAAAGCTCAGCACCAGCGACGTGCTGTACCTGGCCACCGTGGGAGGTGCCGAGGTCCTCAACATGGACGTCAAGCTCGGTAAATTCCAGGTCGGATACAAATTCGACACGCAACTTATTCAACTCGACTGCGACAACTCGCCTGTCGACACCTTCGCTTTCCAAAACCCAAGATGGGGCCAGGTCGACCGCAAAGAGTCGATAGATAAGTTCCAGGATTTGATCGACAAGTGGATCTTCAACGGTGACGATCGTAATGTTAGACAAGTGTTTGTGAACGGACGGTCTGTTTTGCAGAAAAATTAATGCTAATATTATTCAATGGTAACAAATAGAGTAGAGTATTGGTAGAGTTGGGTGGTGTTCCTGCCATTCGGTGATAATGTCCAAAACTTTGTCGTCAAAGGGTGTCGAGCTGAAATCTAGTAAACTTTGTTGGTATGCGGTGGAAAGCAGGTTTGCCAGGTCCAGTATCGCCTGTGCACCCGACAACGCGCTTCTATGCTCATCTCTGATCTCCACGTTGAAGCAATGAACAGGGATCTGTGTTTGGCTGGGGTCAAAGTAGTTCCGTCCCAGATAATCTTCCACGACCGAGTCGAAACACCGTTCTTCGCACGTTATCACCACCTGGAAATCGAGCTCGTTCTCGAACTCGGGATACGCGCTCGCCGGCAGTCTTTGTGGAGGCTGGTTGAAATACGGCCATCTTTCAGGAGCCTTTTTAATTGCAATATTACGTTTCGTCATGTCCAACACTCCGTTGGCCTTATGAATTCTCAGGTCTTGGGTGTTGAGTTTGTCTAAAATCGATGTGTATGGTGTTCCGAAATCAAAAACGTTCGGCTGATCTATCGTCGGTCCTGGTAATCTAACTGACGTTCCCGTACCGTATGACCTGACTTTATATCCAGCATCCTTCAGAACCTTGTGGGCCTCCATGGATCTACAAGTTAGCAGAGAAATATCAATTTGAACTTACCTGTTGTTGTTCGAGGCACACACTGTGCAGAATTTCAACGACATGGCAACAGTGTCTTGTCCACAGTAAAATAACAGAGAAAAAAATAATCTCTTTAAATATTTATCATGTATTTGTTGTGGTGGACATGGAGTGTATATTTGAGTTTTTTGGCGCTTGTAAGCGCCGAGGAGAACTCTACAACGACTCTTTCGTCGCTTAATGGGTCCCTGGTGGAGTCAGAACTTCAAAACCTGACAGACTCGCTCGACGGGAACAAGTCTAGTCTGCCTATCGAGGAGAAGGCATACTTCCTCACGTTTGAGGAATGGAAGAAGAAAAAAGTTGATGAGGCAGAGGTCGTCAAGTCAAGACCAGAACAGGAACAGAAAGATGCCTTTGGAGGACCCGTGGGCGAGGAAATGGAGATCGAAATCTCCATGTTTGGTGCACCAGAACCAAAACAAGAGGACACAGGCAAAGTTTATAAAGAGCGGTTCAATTTCGCCTCGTTCGACTGTGCGGCCACAATTGTCAAGACCAACGCTGAGGCGAAAGGCGCGAACGCCATTTTGAACGAGAACAAAGACTCGTACTTGTTGAACGAGTGCAAAGCGAAGAACAAGTACATCATCATTGAATTGTGCGAGGATATTTTGGTGGACGAAGTTTTGCTCGGCAACTACGAGTTTTTCTCGTCCATGTTCAAAGACGTTCGAATTTCTGTCAGCGATAGGTACCCGACCACCAGCTGGCACTCTTTGGGTGACTTCCGTGCAGAGAATGTGCGGAAATTGCAACCGTTTAAAGTCGAGAACCCGCTGATATGGGCCAAGTTCCTCAGAATCGAGGTGTTCTCGTACTATGGAGACGAGTTCTACTGTCCGATTTCGTCGGTCCAGGTCCATGGAAAGACCATGATTGAGCAGTTTAAAGAGGAAGAGAAGGAAGAGATCCAACCGGAGGTGGTGGAGAAAGAGGAGCCTAAAGTCGAGTCAAAAGACTTTTACGACACTCCATCGTTCAATCTGTCAATCAACGAGATTTTCTTCTCCTTGAACGGGTCCACAGAAGACGAAAACTGCAAAATCACACCGTACCTCGGCTTGGACCGTTTCCTCAAAGAGCACCAGCAGGACTTGTGCGAAATTGACGAGACTCCATCAGAGGTGAAGCCAAAGACCACCCACACTGCCGGAGCTCAGGAATCGATCTACAAGAACATCATCAACCGGATCTCGCTCCTGGAGTCAAACGCTACATTGTCGCTATTATACATCGAGGAACAGTCGAGGATCTTGTCTACCGCGTTTGAGAACCTTGAAAGCCGCCAAAACAACAGATTCACCACACTGATGGACCATCTGAACCAAACCATCCTCAACCAGATAGGCAACTTCAGGCTGCTCAACACCGAACTGGCGTTCAACTTTGAAAATCTCTTCAACTACCAGAACAACAAGTTCCAGCATCTTTTGGCAGATACAGACAGCAAGTTTTCTGGGTTTGCGCATTCACTCAACTTCCAGAAGAAGCTCAACTATCTTAATTTGACCATCATCATCCTGCTTCTGTGTTACATCATCATCACCAGAGATACCTACATCGAGTCGGACTTCATAAGCACGCCGTACTCTACAAGCTCGGCACACCACTCACCGTCGCTATCGCCGGCCATTTCGGTGCGCAAGCGCAGCAAGTTTGTGGACAGGTTTGTGTTTGGTTCTCGAACCGTCTCTCCAGCAGATTACGAGTTCGAATACGACAGTTATAGAGACGACCAGGCCGAATCGACCGAGGAAGAGCAGGAGCGTGTTCATACCGACCAGAAGGCGGACCAGTCGTCGGTGGTGATCACCGACATGAAGCTGGAAAGCAACAACGCGAGCGATTAATAGTTACAGTTAAATTTATGTGCCATTATATTACTAGTGCAGTTAGTTAGGGGTGTTGAGAACGGGCGACGAATCAGGATATCTCGGCATTGCGGCAGCTTGGTAATGCATTTTTCGTTGCGCCAAATCCTCGTAGGTTGAGTCATATGTTGTCTGCGATGAGATAGAACTGTACGAGAACTTGGAAGGTGAGTTGAACGGGGACGAGCCAGATTTGTTGAGCGATGGAGAACGGTAGATCTGGGCAAATTGCGAAGGACGCGGAAGTTGCGCAAGCTCGGGGTAATGCTCAAGGTTCAGTAGCACATTAGACAGCTCGTCAGTAGTCACTGGCGACAGGTTTTCGATATCGTCCAGGTCTTTGCTGTGTTGTAGGTATTCAAGGTGGCTTTCGCTGACGAAGTTTTTAATAACAGTGATGACGCCGAGCTGTGAGTACTTCTCGATAAGAACCTCTGGTGGGTTTAGTAGCGACTTGAGAAGCATGAGCGAGATTTGGCGAACCTCAGACACCGTTTCTAATCCTTCGAATCCGTTGATGAATGGACCGTATGCGTTATTGATGCTATTCACGGATTGGGCACGGCCAAGACGTTCTAATTGATCCGTTTCCATTTCATTGATGTCGCTCATGTCGTCATTAAAGTATTTGAAGCTCTTGGATGGGGTCACTGGGGTTGGGAGCTGTCTGTTTTTCAATAAATACTTTTGATGTTGGTATTTTTGATAGACACCTTCCAACCACATAGATCCGGTTTCCAGCTTCAGCATGGAACAGGCCATCAGGTGGGCAGTGATACCAACCAAAGAGGCCTTGTGGTTAAGATACTCTCTCTCGTACAGCGATAGCTCACACAAGTATCTGCTGATAGCCAGGATTGCGCTCACTGTTGGCAAGTTTGATCTGTATTGATCCAGAGGCTTGTTCAATCTTTCTTTACCGTCGTGGTCGCAGGATTTGATAGACAATTGCAAAATGTCTTCAAGCGAAGTGTGGCCGATGGACCAACCCAGAGTGCTGAGAATGTGGATTTCCATTTCTTTGAACATGCTTTCGTCATAAACGTTGGAACACATGAGACTCAACTCGGTCACGGTTGGCACTCTGGATTTCTTGTCCTCGTACTTGGCCGCAATCCACAGAGAAGTGCATCCGATGAGCTGGTAGTGCTGCTTAAACGCAATCCGTTTGGCGCAGTACCTGTCTATAATGTTCCAGCACAAAAACAGGGTCTGGGGTTTGAGTTTTAGCGAAGCATGCATTTGTATTATGAAGTTGACCAGGTAAGGTCTCATGAACCACTTAACCTCTGGTTGGAGGTCAATCATGGCTGCGCTGGCCTGGGAGCTGTTTTCGAGGGTTTGCAGATGAGCCGTGATGGTGGACAAATACTCGTTGACCACGACTCTGTTTCTGCGGTTCTCGATGGCCTCGAGCCTTGGAGGGTACACTTGGTTGTGGGATCTTCTTGGAGGACCGTATGCTTTTTCTCGCATGGTAGATTATTGCTATGAATTGATGAAGGGAACTGGCTCCTCTTATAGATCAGACCTGCTGAACGATGATTGAAAAATTGATCTTGAAATGTGACGTATCTGGTTTCAAACCTTGAGTATGAATTAGTTGCTGGTCGAATTGCGAAATACGCTGTGTAGCATAGATGTCAAACCTGTCCAAAAAATGATATCAATTAAAGGCAAAGAGAGTAGGCGAAGTCTTTGTTTCCCCCTTGAATTGAGCTTGAATAGATTAGAATGAAAAGAGAGACAATTGGACTAGATGAAAAACAAAACGACTTGACCACGCTGAACACTGCTCTTCCAACAATCTGGCAGGCAACAACAGATTAATTGGAATAAGGAAATAACGATTCTTATAAATGTGTGTTCCCCCTTGTTCAGGTATGTGGCACAAAAATTTCTCCTTCACAGGAGTGCGCGCGACTCCTGTGTAATTTGGGCACGGGAATTTTTTCTACGGGACGCGTAACTACGTGGGGTAAATAAATTAGCAGGGGCTAATCAACCTAAGTTATTTGGTGTTCCAACATGATCCGTGTAGCGAGCTATCTGGTCACACGTTCACTTTAGATAGCCAAGTAAGCTTGAACTTGGCTTTCTGTTTGTTTCTGCAGGGTGCGCGCCGCGCGCGCGTAAGAAAAAATCTTTGTCAAACTGTACCCTTTTCGCTGCTTCTTGGCGATTTCGCGTCGCGTTCACAACGGTCAATTCTGTCATATTGCTACTGATAATTATTCTGAAAGGAGCCCCGATAAATTCCAGGGGATTACGGTAACGTTTTCGTGATGGTATGTAGAACTTACTATGATACCCCAAATGGCCCACCAGATTGGTCTCGTATAGAGGTGCCCATTTGGTTTACGTCATTAGTTTTTTAGTAAAATATTTTATTCCGGTATCGACGAGATCTTGGTGATTAAATATCGAATCAAATTAAATCCATGGCAACTCGTACTCATGTTCGGCTCGGCTTACCCCAGCCTTGTTTAAAGTTCCGAGCCAAGCATGCGGCAATTGAAAACGTGGATAGAGATGCAGTTGATTAAAAAATTACGTCAGTTAAAACAATAAAGGTTACTGCATTTCGGAATTAATCTAACTCGTATCCGTAAAAAGCTCCCGAAGCCGCAGCGCCTCTTAGCTGAAACTCAAATGTTTTCTGCTTTGGACTCTGGTTGAGCGTACTCTCCGTAGTATGGTTGCGGACGCTTGAACGAGAACGTGGTTGACAATCTCTTGTCGACCGGAATGTTCAAGTTGCGGCCGTAAACAAATCCCGGATAGATAACGAGCATAATCAAAATTGCCAAGCTCATCATAAGTGCCTCCAAAATAAAAAAATAAATTTCAGTTGTGGCTAAGTGACTGGAAAAACCTTCTGCAAGTTCGATCAGTCTGTAAATTGAACGCACGAAAACCAAAAGGACAGAAAGCGAAATTGCGAACAGGTATGGCACAAACAGCTTTCCGTGTCTAACCCTGGAAAACCGAGCATCAAATCTGGAGTCTCCGTATTGCTTGTAAGTTTTGTAGCATCTGAACAAAAAGTAATACCAGAACATCTGGAACAGACCGATAGAGAAGACTTGGAATGCCAGACCTCCAATCATGACGTTTGCTCCGCCTTGCACGCTCTCATATTCCGACAGAGACGAGGAAGCAATTGCACCTCCTGCACCTTGCAGAATAATAGAAATAAGATCAAATAAAACAAACATGAGCGAATATTGCATCGGTTTCAGAAGTGAGTATTGTTCCCCCATTATAACGGATAACTCGGCAATAGTGTAATAAATTCCCGCCATGATGAAGCACGGTGCCAGAGTCAGACAGACCAATTGAACCACATATCCATTGAACGAGTCGATGTTTTTGGAAGACCAAATTCTACCGACGTAACCCAAAATTTCTAGAATAATACCGCAAGAGAACGTGACAAGGAACCACCAGTTTCTGTAAATGATTCCAACAACAACCAAAAAGCCAAGAAATAGACTCATCACAGCGAGCAATGCGGCGTTACCACCGAGCGACGGTGCGTTACCTCCATAATTTTCATTATGCTGAATATAATTTGCGAGAGCGGAGGATGCGACGACCAGCTCTGCTGATGCGCTGGAAGCAACACCTGGATCGGTGGCAGTTGCGGCCAGCTCGGCGATCGAGTAGTAGGACATGGTAACCTGGGCAGCTTGAGCCACACCAGCCAGACTTCTGGTAGAAACCTCGGCTGTTGCTGTGGCAAGAACCGAAGTGGCTGATTCGAAGACGGAGGCTGCGGAAGCGTAGACAGAAGCTATCTGTGTTGGGTCTGTGGTAAAGTGGACCATTGATTGATGCACAAGAAGGAAATCTATTGGGGTTTATATAATTTCCAGCAAGAGTAAGTTTAAATATAAACAGCCTGACGGAATAGGTTATTATGAAAGCCGAAGGCCCACTCTTGAACAATGCTGAGCCTCGGGCTAAAATCGCATGCGAAATTAATTTACGCATTAACCCAAATTCTGCACAGCCTCAAGCCGAACTTTTTTTGTTTACCACGCGAAATCTGGAGAACCGTATGGTCACGTGAACATCACTAATGTATCTGGACAGTGTGGCTACATGAGTATTTAAGGTAGCGAGTATCCGGGAAATGGACACACAAGATGTCATCTAAACCAAACTTCCTCATTATCGTCGCAGACGACCTTGGATTCACTGATCTAAGCCCATTCGGGGGTGAAATTTCAACCCCGAACCTACATAAGCTTGCATTGGGAGGTTCAAGATTTACGCAGTTCCACACGGCGTCGGCATGCTCCCCAACGAGATCAATGCTATTTTCGGGTACTGATAACCATCTAGCCGGGCTTGGCCAAATGGCTGAATTCGCCAGAGACTTTCCCGATACGTTCGGTGGTAAACCCGGCTATGAAGGGTACTTGAACGATCGGGTTGCGGCTTTACCTGAGATATTAAAAGACGCTGGCTATTACACGTTTATTTCTGGAAAATGGCATCTGGGTCTAGATAAGCCACATTGGCCTGTCGAAAGAGGGTTTGAGAAGTCATTCACCTTGCTTCCTGGTGCAGGTAACCATTTCAAGTATTTTCCTAGGGACAAAGCCGGAGGAACCCCTATCAGTTTTATGCGGTCATTGTATGTCGAAGACGACAAGGAACTAAACCCTGACGATTTCCCTGAAGATTTTTACAGCACTACTGTTTACACTGACAAGGCATTGGAGTTCTTGCAGAGTGAGCAAAGAGCTGGTAGACCTTTTTTTGGAAGCATGACATATACTGCTCCACACTGGCCGTACCAGGCTCCTCCAGAAATCATTGCTAAATATAGAGGCAAGTACGATCACGGACCAGCGGTTTTGCGCCGCGAGCGGCTGAAGCGGGCCCTGGAGCTGGGGATTATTCCCGATGGAATTGAGCCACACCAGGTCGAGACTTCTCGTGACAAGGCTTGGAAAGACCTGACTGACGAGGAGAAGCGGTACGAGTCCCGTATTATGGAGATCTACGCCGCCATGGTGGAAGTCCTTGACACCAACGTTGGTAGACTGGTTGACCAGTTGGAGAAAACAGGCGAGCTGGATAACACTTTTGTGCTGTTCATGTCCGACAATGGTGCTGAAGGTATGCAATTGGAAGCCATGCCGTTGTGGGTCGAGAGAGTCGAGCAATCCATCAAGACGTACTACGACAACTCTTACGAGAACCTTGGAAAAAAGAACTCTTTCATCTGGTACTCTGACCAATGGGCACAGGCTGCTACTGCTCCGTCGTACATGTTCAAGATGTGGGCCTCGGAGGGAGGTATTAGGTGTCCATTGATTGTTCGGTACCCAAAGGTGGGACTGCCTGCTGGAACAGTCAGTGACGAGTTCTCCACGGTGATGGATATTCTGCCTACGGTTTTGGAATTGGCCGGTGTTGAGCATCCGGGAGCCGAGTTCCATGGCCGTAAGGTGCACGTTCCTCGAGGAAAGTCTTGGGTGTCTTATTTGAAAGGCGGTTCCAAGATCCACGACGAGGAGACAGTTCACGGATGGGAACTGTTTGGACAACAAGCTATTCGGAAGGGCAAGTACAAGGCCCTGTATGTTCCAGCTCCATTGGGTCCGAACAGATGGCAGCTATTTGACCTGCTTGCCGATCCGGGCGAGATCCACGATTTGTCTGAGCAGAAGCCGGACAAGTTGAAGGAGCTACAAGACCATTGGGTCGAGTACGTTGCCGAGACTGGTCTGATTGAGTGCTCTCCAGAAATGTCTTCTTTGGCTGGAGGAGAAGATTCCAAAATTTATCACCGTACAAAAATTCCAGAGCTAGATTAGATTTTCTGGAATATTTTTTGAACATTTTTATATGAGTGAATTTGATTTAGAAGAACCTTTAACGTCGACGGCTCGTCCTTGTAAGTGGTACATCAGTCTCCATACTAACATTTAGTGACCGACTCCGTGCTCACTGTTCGAATCATCAAGTCTTTTCCGTACAGAAACGTCAAAAACCATGTGTTTCCACACGTGGATCTGGTCAATACCACGCCAAGACAGCTCTTTGACATGATCATTAACACGATCAACACCACCGGTGCACTGAGGGCGTACAGAAATGTCAATTACGACACCCTCAAGATATACACGCATGCCCACGGAAGCAAAACCATGAATCTCGTGATCAATATGGAACATGACGAGGACTGGGTGCTGGACCTCAAAGACGACACCAAAAAGCTAACGAACTACGACATCGCTAACGAAACAGAACTCAGCATATTCAACTGGTCCGATTACGAGAAATTCAAAGCGGATCCGCAGGAAAAATGGTAGCCTGCTCTGGTCTTATACAATTTTACGTAATTTTTACTTAATACATAGCCCGGAAATCGAAAGGTTGACAAAAAAAAACATAAAAAAGTTTTACGTTTTAAGTAACCTCTCTATCGCATAATTTTGCGCCACAATTTTTGCACATAAACATATCCTTGTATTATTATGTCTGACATGAGCGTACTTCAGAAGGCGTGCAATACTCCGGCCCCGACCAAGCTTGATCTGGTTCTCAACGGCAGTTTGAAGTCTGGAGCTATCGAAGAGGAGTCAATCGAAGAATCAAGCACAGTTCAAGACGAACCCACCACATCGCAATCTGTGGTGAAACCGTTTCTTGCCACTCATTTACAAGACCAAGACTACACCAACAAGCGGTTCTGTTACAGACATAACCCCAAGGTGCGTTGCGATAAGCGTACTGACGAGACAAAGATGCGTGAGATCCAGACAGAGCTCGAGAAGCTTCCCCGGCGCGATAAGGAAGCTATCACACACGTCTGGTCCATTTTCAGTGCCGCGCCTACCCAACATCGCACCCTGATTTTGCAAGGTCTTTTAAGCCAGTGTTGCTTCCCGCAGTTGTCCTTCATTTCTCAAGAGGTGTCTCAGCTGATCAAGATCGATTTCATAGAAACGCTGCCAAGTGAGATATCCCTTAAAATTCTATGTTATCTTGATTGCCAGAGTCTGTGCAATGCGGCACAGGTGTCCACAAAGTGGAAACAGCTCGCCGACGACGACAGAGTGTGGAGATATATGTGCGAGCAGCACATCGACCGCAAGTGCCCACAATGCGGATGGGGGTTGCCCCTTATGGCTGTCAAGAAGCTGCAGGAGAGCAGCAGAAGACGGAAATTCGACGAAATTGAGAGTGATTCTGCCGTTGAGGGCCACCAGCCTCCTTTGATCGAGGCCAAGCAAGAGGCCAAGCGTCCAAAGACCAACAAGAAACGGCCATGGAAGGCTGTTTATTCTGAGAGATTCACAGTCGAGCGCAACTGGAGAAAGGGTTTGTACAAGATCAAGCGGTTCGAAGGCCACATGGATGGTGTGCTTTGTTGTCAGTACGATAACAACAATTTGCTAATGACTGGTTCTTACGACAAGACCATCAAGATCTGGAACGTCGAGACCGGCAAGCTGATCCGCACGCTGACCGGACACACCAGAGGTGTGCGTACTTTGGCATTTGACGACCAGAAGCTGATCACTGGTGGACTGGACTCTACGATCAAGGTTTGGAACTACCGTACCGGTCAGTGTATTTCCACTTACACGGGCCACGAAGAAGGCGTTGTGAGTGTGGATTTCCACGAGAAGCTGATTGTTTCTGGCTCGGCCGACAACACGGTCAAGGTCTGGCACGTGGAGACACGGACATGCTACACATTGCGGGGCCATACTGACTGGGTTACGTGTGTAAAGATCCATCCAAAGAGCAACACGTTGTTCAGTTCGTCTGACGATGCCACAGTGCGGATGTGGGACTTGAACACGAACGAGTGCATCAAGGTGTTTGGCGGAGTGGAGAACAACGGGCATATTGGACAGGTTCAATGCGTTGTTCCATTTTCATTAAAAGATGCTATAGTGACTGATTTTGACGACAAGCTCACCGACGAAGGAGACAACTGTGGCGAGCAGCAGGAGCAGAGCGAGGAGGACCAGAAGTTCGACAACCCGGATTATCCAACCCATCTTCTGACGGCCTCTTTGGATAATACGATCAAATTATGGGACCTGAAATCTGGAAAATGTGTGCGTACCCAGTTCGGCCACATCGAAGGAGTCTGGTCCATTGCAGCAGATACTTTCCGTATTGTGAGTGGGGCGCATGACAAGCTTATCAAAGTTTGGGACTTGCAAACAGGAAAGTGTATGCACACGTTTGCTGGCTCGAGCTCGCCTATTAGTTGTGTTGCGCTTGGCGACTCGAGGTTTGTGTGCGGACTGGAGGACGGCGAGGTTAAAATGTATTGTTTCGATGCTCAGAGCTTATAGGAGCACGCTTGTTAGGGAATAGGAGGTAGTTATGTTAAACAGAACGACAATCACAGCGTAGATGAAGGGCATCCATGGACTCATTCCGAGCTGGGCACTTTTGTAGATTTCTGCAATAAGCACTCCGATCAGCGCTCCTGTTAACACCGCTTGTATCACTCCCACGACGACATATACTGATCCAATGATCAAGAATGGCATGATCTTCTTTTTCCCCGATGGATTGTTCTTGTAGTATGTGAATGTGGCTATGAGTGCTGCTGAGCCATAGAACCCCGTCATCCAGATGATGGTCCAATAAACGCCGAACCTGACCACGTCCGAGGTGTAGTAGAGCTGTTGGTTCTTGAGTGGCCATAGAAGTGCCGGAAACGGCGGCGAGGAGTATCCGACAGGAACATATGTCATTAGAGGAATAGATAAATAAATAAATCAAATTAAATGTTTTTTTTCCATCATCTAGTGAATTATAATTCTATGCAGGTTCCTATATCAGTCGCTCGACTCCTCAATGAGCCGCTTCATACATTTCAAAACAAACAAGCGCGCGTCTAATGCGCTGAACTGTACGTTTTCCAGACTCATGTTGATTCTGTGTTTTTCCTCCACGTTCAGCAGTCGTGCCACCAAAATAGCAGTGAACGCAGCTACACTGATTCCACAGTCCGATCCGTTGTTTTGTTGCGGCGTGTGCGAGTCCACAACAATCCGGAACTTGGTCCCGTAGTACTTGTTCACTTTGTCGATCAGGTTCTTTGTTTCTGTTTCGTTCGCAGACTCCATAGAGTCGTAAACCAAAGCGATCTTCTCGTCAACGTTCAGAACAACCAACGACCAATGGTATCCTCCTTCCGCCACGCCCAGATCCTCGTTGTCGTTCAATGGCATAAACACAAACTTGGCCTTCTCGATCCCGGGCAAAACCCCTTTCAGTTGCTCTGGCTCCGGATGGTGTGCTAACAGAAACACAAACGTCGGCATCAGCAGAATGATGCTATCTGTGACCATCTGCTTGTTTGCAAACTTGAGCCGTCTCTTCAAAGTCGGCTCGATGTGCGTGTGTGTGATGTATTCGTAGATAAATGCGATGTTGTTGTCGTTCAACCATTCGTCGTCGCGCAAGTTAAGAACATCTTCCTGATAAACCGTGATGTCGTGGTACTTGAGCACCTTGTTCTCGCCCGAACATAGTTCCTGGACCACAGACGACCACTGTGTGCGTGGACTCTGTCTCTGTTTGTGCTTCTGCTTGTGGTTCTGACGCTCGCGTCGTTTCCGCTCGCGAGCGGACTCTTTCTGCTTGGGCACATTTTCTACGGCAAACTGCACCTCTTCCGTTGGTTCCAGCTGGTCGAACCCGTTCGTCACCAATCGCCCTGCGTCGTAGGCCTCCTCTGCGTCCCCACACACGAAAAACCCCCGGTTCGCACTAAATACAGTGTTCATTAATTATGATGAAATATTTACTCCTCACACCGTATAATGATGACCATCGACCGTAGTCTCTTATAGATACACTTTGCAAGTCCAATCCCACTATATATTACCACTGAGCAAGGCCTCGATAGCGCCTTCAACAGACCCCCCGCTTCTTCTGAGTGCACGAACGTTGGTATCGAAATCGAAAAAGCCCATGTCGTTTAATTGACGCAGCTGCGTCTCAAACACCTCTTCCGGCGGACGGGTGTCCTGAGCAGCAGCGGAGAAGTTTGGTAGACCGCCCAAACCTCCAAGACCGCCAAATCCGCCCAAACCTCCTAATCCTGCTCCCATGTTGCCACCCAACAGGGCTGCGAAAGGATTGGCCGCACCGGCTCCAGGAGTGGATGCGGTATCTGAGCCAGAAGCAGCGCCGGACGCAGCACCCGAACCGGAGCCAGAAGTCTCAGTCTGCGTTCCAGCAGCACCAGGAGCCGGGAATGGCGAGCCTGGAGCAGCACCTCCACCCATTCCTCTCTGCATCTGCATCATGCCTCTCATCATCTGAGGATTGGTCAACATGTTGCGGAAATAGTCACTCTGCAACATCTCTCTGGCAGCAGGACCCATCGCGCTAAGCTGAGGCGACTGTTGGATCAAGAAATCCAACATTTGGGGATCAGAAAGCATCGCACGCATACTCTCCTGAAACATTGGGTTCTCCATCATTTGCTCCATCTGATTTTCGTCCGGAAGTTGCATTCCATCGGCCCCGAACCCAAGCGATTCCATGGACGGCATAGGAACGTTCATACCTGCGTACCGTGCTCCAGTTAGCCCGGCTAGCGGGTTGAAGGCTCCTTGGCCAGCGGAAATGTTTTGCGGAATGCTGGCGTCTGTATTTGCCCCCGCCTGGCCACTCGAGGACGATGAGGACTCCGGAGCAGCACTGCCACTTTTTGCCGCACCTTTCACCAAATGGATCGTGTGGCCGTCCTGGATCTTGTACGAGCCCACCGTGTCGGCATCCTTCAGAACCTTACCGGAATAGATGAGTCTTTGTCTATCAGCAGGAATCTCTGTTTGCTCGGCCAGTTGCTCCTTCACCTCGGCAATGGTTGCCGAAGCGGACAAATCCACCTCGTACTTCTTGTCTCCAGAAGATCTGGCTGTTAGTCTCGTTATAAGTCGCCCAACTTACTTGATCGTTACTTTAATGGTTTCACTCATAAAAATATACAGTAATTTTCGACACTTTTCTATCTCAGATCAGGACGAGGACGACGTCGCGTCGATCGACGCAACACGGCTCAGCTGCTCCATGGCGGCAACGTCGCCCTTGCGCAGCTCTGGCTGTTCCAGCACGTCGGCAACGAGCTCCCACGGATCACGCGAGCCTCCCCAACTTAAAACCAGGTTCTTGAACTTGTCGCCGTTCACTCTGGAGTACGGGTCTTTGGAGAAGAGATGCTCCCAAATGCGCGTGGCTATCACCCGGTCGAATAAATAGGAGTAGTACATCGCCCCGTACGAGTACAGGTGGCCGAACTTAGCCACCCACGACGAAACGTCGTCCTCGAAAACCTCGAAGTGGTGCTCCACTTGTTGGTAGCACGCAACAGGATCGATGTCGAAGTCGATCTTGCCGTGCAGTTCTTGGTCCAAGAAGGCCATCTTTATCTGGCTGAAAGTCTCGCACTTGTCCAGGAAGGAGTGATCTGCCTGGTGGTGACGCAGAAGAGCCAATGGGAGTGGCTCTCCGGTTTTGTGGTGACGAGCAAATGACAACAGCACTCTTTCGTCTCTAGCAAAGAACTCCATCAGAATGGAGGGAAGCTCGACGAAATCGGTTGGACAACGCGTTCCGCTCACGTTCTGAAGGTTAGTACGACCGAGCATAGAATGCATGGCGTGGCCCATCTCGTGGAAAAGCGTTTCCACCTGCGACAGCGACAACAGACACTTCGTCTCGCCTCCTTCAACACGTTCGGCCTGGAAGTTGCAAACGAGCGAAATGACCGGCAATTGGAAGGTGTCATTTCCATGCTGAGTGGTCTGCACAGTCTGCAGTTTCAGGTTGAACTCGTCGTTAACGTCCATCTCCTCAGGGTATATTTTCCGCGAGCAACAGATGGTGAAGTGGGCAGGGTTTAAGGTCTTGTTGCTTCTGTAGAACAAGTCCATGTAAATGATTCCAACGACCCCTTCTTCCTCGCTGACGGCCTCAAATTTCCGCACCGTGGACTCCCAAATTTCTCCTGGCTGCACTTTTGCTGGACGCAGCTCGATGCCGTAGATACTCTTGAACAAATCAGACAGTCCTTGAACAACAGTTCCCAGCGAGAAGTATGCACTAATATCTTCTGTGGTGGAGCTTTTCTGACGGCTTAAGTACAATGCTGACAGGAATTCTCTGTCCCAAGGCCGTATCTCCTTGATTAAATTTTCTTCCAAATTGACAGCCTTCCCCAACACTCTCAACTCAGCCTCCACTTCGGGCTTCACCTCCACAGACAACTTCTCCAAAAACCGACGCACATTCTCAGGACTCTTTGCCATTTTGTCGCTGAGCTGGTACTCGCCAAAACTGTTGTACTGGAACTGGGCAGCCAACAAACGACGATAAATAATCAAATGGCTCAATCTCTTAACTTGGACCGGCTTGGCGGTGTGCATTGCGGTCCAGATACGGCGTCTGATCTCCCTGTTTGGACAAGTGCGCAGAATCTCCATTGGAACATGGCCAAACAGAGGCACGAGCACGCCCTTGTTAGTCACGTGAAGGTAACTCTCAAGGCCTGGGCCCAAGTCTCCCTTGTTGACGAGAGATTTGGGAATAAGAACCTCGTTTTCCTCGACCTCGTACACGTCGTCAGAAAACTGCTGGCCTGTCTCTGCAATGTGCTGACTGAGTTCGACATAGGTCGACTTACCTTCTCCTGCTAATCCGAGGCCAGCTTTCTGGAAATCTGCATATAAAAGCTTTCCAACACTGAGCTCCTCAAGCGTGAGGTCTTTGCGGAGTTCAGGGTCTGTGAGAACGCGCTCGAGCTTTAAATACATCTCCTCAGACGTATTCAACTCGTTCATGAATCTAAACATTTCTTTGTGACATTCGGTAGCAGCGTTGACAAAGGCCTTGTTGGGGTGGGCAACACGCACGAATTCGCACAGATCGATCACCCGACACAAAATGTCGCTGAGTCTGTCGAGATTTTTGATATATTGACGAAGTCCAGCGGCAGAGTCGTCAGCGATGATGGAGACTGTAAGTTGCCGAGCTCGGAGAAGAGATTCTTTGCAAAACTCCAACAACCCAGACGGACGTTTCAAGTATGGGTTCATGAACATTCCCACACTACCCGACGTGTAGTTATGGAATCCAAACGGAAGCGACGGACGGGAGTCTCTATATTGTTTCCATGTGTCAGGGTCGTCAAAGACCTTCTTTGCCAAACCGTCAGACTGGACGTTGGAGAAACATCGGCCAGCCAGGAAAACAGTTTTCCTCAGATCAACTGTTGCAACACGGCAAACCTGTCGTGCGAAAGCTGTTGAAACGAACATGTCATATAATTACTGTGTAGGATCTAAAGATTTGGATTCTGCGAATTTTTATCCAATCTTTTTAAAGGTTTACATAATCATGAATATTCAGTCCTCGCAATATAGTCGTCAAAGATAGTACCGCAAAGCCTGAGCCATTGGTCTTTGGAATCTTTGTGTTCTTGATGCAGTGGGAGCTGGTAGGTGTAGATTTCTGTTCCAAGTCTCAATTCACCAGAGACAAGTGAAACAGGAGGCTCTTTGTCGTGCACTGGTGGACTGGCAACGGCGCCATCTTCAATGGCGCAGCTTTCCACGTCGTCGTCGAAAGACGTCTCGTTGGACTTTTCGCAAACATCATTCTCGTTTTCGGGCTCGGCCTCATCCGGACTAGCTGGCTGTTGGGATACCACGTAATGGCCCTTGTGAATATTAACTTGGTGAAAGCGGGGCGCAACAGGAGGAACGTAGTAGGGAACAGCCGGCGGCATGTAAACCATCTGTGGCACAGGGTACGGTCTGGCAACCATTCTGTGTCCCCTCAAAGGAGCGGAACGCATTGCCGATCCGTATCTCCATGATCCATGGTTTGTCACGTCCAAAGGAGGCGGGACCCTGGCTCGACGTAAACGAGGGAGACTTTTCCCCAAGCCTTCTCTAGGGGATCTTGAGGGCTCTGTCGGCGTGGTACTTTGCGTACGCTCGCTAATTAATCGTTTTTGCTGGGCCTCTATGGATTTACTCTGACGCACAGCTGTTCTGTTTTTATCGCTTAGAGGCGGGAGACCTGGTGAGACAATCTTGTAAGCGATGCTTTCAAAGTCGGATTTATGATGCTTGCCCAGATCAAGGGCTGGCGGCTTCGAATTGCTTTTGTCACTCATCTATAAGGGTATATTGGAACGGATCGAGATTTTTTTTGTCAAGATTGCGGGGGCAGCCCAGTTCTCAACAGTAGTCTCTCGAGACAAAACTGCGTCTGATAAAAGAAAGGAAATGATGCTTCTAATATTGGAGAGCACCAAGTAGGACGGGCAATAGTGGGATTTGAGTGCCGTTTTAATCTAAAGATGACAGCATTCCGATTTTTATGCCTGGTTGCAAAAAATTTGAAACCGGCCTTTGTGAGCCGCACGCGCCTTGAAAATTTTTTGGTTGCAGACGGTTTCAGATGGTTTCAGGTTTCGAAACTATATGTTGCGATGCACGTAGTCGACCCAATCAAGTCCCAGAGTGCGCAGAATTTCTTTTTCGTCAAAGCTTTCAATCAATTGCTTTCCATCGGCGGAAAACAAACCTTTCTGGTTCAAGTGGTACCCTTTCATTTGAGCAAGCAGCCGCAAGCACCGGTTAAATATGTCATTTCCAACAAAATAAATTGTGGCAGAACCGAGTTGAGAGTACGGGAGTCCGATGAAATCCAGTCTTCGACACTTTTGCTTCCCAGGTAACTTGCATCCTCCATTGAACTTCTGCATATCTGGAAGGATATCTGTAAGGGAACAAACAATAAATCCGCTTTTGGCCAGTGCACTTGCTAATTTGAACAGTGATTGTTGCACTTCTTTGGGATCGTCAACGCCTTCTTGATAAACCATCAAATCGATGTCCCCACTATCTGGTGATCCACGACGATAAGACCCCATTAATGCAACTCTCAAATTGCCATCCAATTTAGCCGCCTCATCTTTGATGAACTCGTAGTGTTGCTCCACCTCTTCTCGAGGGATTCTTTCGTTCCAATCATCATAGTATGTAATGCCAAGCTTTTGAGCCTCGGTGAGACTTGCATACATCTGTTCGTCCTGGACGATATCCTGTATTTTTTTATATCCGGCCTTCACAAACCGGTATGCCGTTTTATCTCCAACTCCATGAATTCCCTTAAACAGTGTCATCAACTGATACCTCTCGTCATTCTGTTCCTGTTTTCTAAGTGTTTCCAGTTTTGCAAATGTGCCTGTTCGGATAATCTCCTCAATGTGTTTGGATATGCTACCACGGTCCAGACCAAATTGGCTCAGATCTGACGCACTTGTAATCGGATGGTCTAGACTCTCGATGGCGCTGATTGCGATCCTGTAGTTTTTGATTTTGAATTCGTACGATTTATGGAAGTACCTCATTGTTTCATAGATCCGGATGATCTCCTCGAATTGCTTAATAATCTTGGCGTTCGAGGCGGACAGATTCATATCTTGCTTGTTGATACGCACCCCCATTTGGAGCATCTCCAACAATCGCTTGTCACCTCTGTAAAATTTGACCGGCTTCACAGTCTTTGCTGATTTAGGCGATGGTTTTTGATTTGTTTCGAAAACATACTGATACCCATCGAATGGTAACACAGTTTGCTTCACGAGTGAGTCAATTACCCATTCTGGCCGCACAACAACCGCATCTTTCAATTCGCGCTTGATACTGCTCTCAACCTTATCTTTAGTCAGTTTCTTGGTAACCACAACGACAGACCGTGGGTCTTTAAGAAACGAGTCCACGGTTGCTCCTTGATCTTTCCAAATAGACACTCTTGCCCGATCCACCTGAGACCGAGCCCTCGGCACAACAACAAGACGGATCCCAGCTAATATTTTATTTGCGGACAATGTCATGTGGATTATCAGCACTAAACAGGAAACTTACGAGACAAGGAAAGTGGTAAAAAAAAGGTGTCAAATTAATTTGATAGTTAATTGATCTCCGCATCCCTTGAAATTTGTGTAAGGCCAAAGGGCAAAATACTATACATCACCAATAATCTCATCGCTTGGTTTGTAAGTTTGCCTATTGATGCCTCTTAATATTGTTCAGGACTATTCGAAAAACAGCTCTTCGCTGGGGGACTTAGCGTCTCAGACCAGCACGGGGGTGAAATCCATGGCCAGTTTGGGCCCGCGTTCGTCGCGTTCGGGTTCGATCACCTTGCTTAAACAGAGGCTTCAGTCACTGACAGGAACAAGTCCAGGCAACCCATCGTTATATTCATCCCACAGCAGCATGGATGTCCACTCCTTCACCACAAGCAACGATGATCTGGCTGCCGAATCGGTCGATTTTGCAGGCCTTGATCTTCGCCCGTACAATGAGGCCCTCACAAACTACCTAATCCAGCATGGACTCAGCGGCAGCGCAATCAAGTTCAAGCACGGATCTAAAGTCGGTAAGTCGGCCCTCAAAATCTTCAACTCATCAGCCCCGAAGTCGGTACAAGCCTTCTTATCTGGTACCGGACAAATCTTGTTCTTACCGTACAATCCGGCCAAGAAAAGAGACCAGCAGGCAGAAGATCCTGCCGATGAAGAAGGTGATGCCGACGAGGAAGACTCCGACCAAGAAGACTCAAGAGGCGCGACGCCGCTGTCTGATGGCCGTCCTCACAAACCTACGCAGCATAACGTGGCAAATCACACGTTTGTGGTTATCATCAGACTTTCGAAAGTCCAATCGTTAACACCCGTTGCTCGGGCACGTTATTTTGCCGATGCCACAACTAATTGGGTATCGGGCATTTACATTGACGATGCCAAAGGTCGGCCGAAAGTGTCCTTTAAAGAAAAGTACAAAGTGTCCAAGAATATCGATTGGGAGTTGGACTTGCGCAATCCCGATTGCTTTATTCCATTCAAAAGTTCTGATAATGAGCAAGAAAATGTGGACGAGCTCAACTTCGACCTTGTCCAAGACGCCGAGTCCCAGTTCACCTCGTCCACGAAAAACTCAGCCGAAATCTACACATCGCCTACACAAACGCAGGAGTTACGCTACTTTGAACCTCTAAATCCGAAAGACTACATCAACGAAATTGAAAACGGAAAAGATATTGCGAAACACGAAGACCTTTTCTCCTCTGTTGATGCAGACCCCAGAAACTTCAACCCGGGGTACTACGTGTTCCTGCTTCCTGTGGTGTATCCCTTAAACACTCCGGAAACCGTTCGCACGCCGTTGGCATCCATAGGCCACAATTTCAGTCTTCAACTTGAGTCCGCACAATACATTCCAACGATCCCCCCACCTCCAACAGCATTGCTGTCAGTTTCGCCTCACCATGCTTATGAGGATGTTGACATGGTTGGAAGTAACATAAAGACAGGAAACAGCGTTGGCTCCAAAAGCATTTTCAAAAAATTGGGCAAGCGCAGGTCGTCGTCTGTTTCGTCAGCAAATACCGTGACGGCTCATAAGTCATCGTCTAATCCGATTTACGAGTTTTTGCATGAACTTCCTGTTGTCAGGTTGCCTCCATCCGATGCCACTTCCACGTTGAACAAATCCATCTATGTGAACAAAATTTGGAGTGATGCGCTCAACTACGAACTTTTGCTACCCAAGAAATTCATTCAGCTTTCTCCGCGAAGTGGGGTCAGCGATGCTTACATGAAGAACACCACATTTGTTCTTCAAATGAAACTTATTCCTTTAATCAAAAACCTGTGTTTAAAAAGAGTCAAAATCAACATTGTCGAGAAAATTACGCATATATCCAGAGACAAAAAGCACGAGACCGAGTCTGGATCCGCAGATAGATCAGGGGTGAAGGAGCGGAAAGTCACATTGATGGAGATTAAAACGAAGGATAAAACAAGTCCAAATGTGTTGAAGACGCAGATTGTCAAAGGTTGTGCCAATGACAACCTGCTTACTTGTTGCTACAACAACGGGAAGCACCCTGAAGCAGAGACCAGAAGTCGGTCTGGATCTTTGAACAATTTGCACGTTGGATCAAAGAGAATGGCCAAGCTTCTGGACTCGTCCAAGGATTCGACTTCTACTTCGGCGTCTTTCGATCAGGACGATGTCAGCATAACCAATCCTGTGAAATTACAGTGTCCTTTGAAATTTGTTGCCAACGACGAAACGAAGCTTGTTTCCGAGATTCACGAGTCTCTCACAAAGTCCGGCACTGATTACACCGAACAGGAGTCTGAAAGTGCTGTTGTTGATGACGAGATGTCTATTTTTTCGGTCAGTTCCAACGGAACAACGGAGCACCATGAAGAGGAGAATTCGGGCTGGCTGTCCAAGTCTCCAATCCTGTCTCCGATTCTTGGTCCCAAGAAAACTGGAAACCAGTCCAAAATTATCTCCAAAGAAGAAGATCGGTCCAACGACTTCTGTTTCTATCCAGACACCAATTTTCACAATATCACGATCAAGCATCGTTTGCAAGTTTGTTTCCGTATCAGCAAACCAGATTCAGATAAGAAAGATTCCAATGGGGACCCCAAAATGCATCACTTTGAAGTGATTGTCGACACACCAATAGTGTTTGTTTCTCCATTCTGTGTCCAGGACAACTTGCAACTTCCGAGCTACGAGTATGCTGTGCGTTCTTCTGTGTTTGAACCGCAAAAGTCTGACGATAACTTCTCCTTTTCGCAGATCGACGATCAGAACAAAGACATTGACGAAGATCTCCCAACTTTCGAAGAGGCAGTGGTGCTTCCTTCGTCGCCAATGATGAGCGGATACAACGTTCCAAACAACCTCTCCACGACATTCAACTCGACTACCATGCTTTCACAGTCGCCATTTTCTCTTGGATCCAGTCCGATGCTTGATGGACAGAGCATCTCCACCAATCTCAGCGGGTTGAACCTGAACGCGAAGAGCGACGCCAATTTCAACAACCTGGATAGTCTGTTGCAGACCGCAGATGTTGAGGACAACCAGATGTTCACCAAGAAAGATATCAAGCCCAACAGTGCTGGTGGCCAACTTAGCAGTTTGTTGAAGCCACAGAGCAAGTTCGACGCTCCGCCGCTGATCAGCATCAACGGGAAGTTCGAGTACGGTAACCAGAGCCATGTTCCATCGAGATCATCGCTAGCATACTACGAGGACGATCTTCCGTCGTACCAAACGGTCATGGAGCAGGATACCAACAATCTGACTGAGAACCTGGCACTACTTTCGGACGAAGAGCAAGAGGGAGACGAAACGTTCCACATGGCTCAGGATAATCAGAGTCTAGGTACATTGGATCTAAACACGGTTCCTGCGCAGGCCAACAGGATCTTGGACTGACCAGGCCGCGAATGCTATATACAATATGTCGATTATTGCAAGGTCGGGTCGACACGATAAATATCGCCGTTAATTTTCATTTGTGACAAAATCACTTCTCTTTCCTGGCCCTCCTTCGGAGTGATACCCTTTCTGACTGGCGATTCAAACACAGATCCGGCCAACACGATTTTGTCTGTGAACGGGTCGATGTTAAAAGCCATGTACTCGGTAAGGTCTTTAACGCTGGTTTGAACGTCCTGGCCGGCCTTTTTCACAAGCAGTTGCTGCTTGGTTTCGAACTTGTACACGATCTGGACCAACAACGGCACACCGTCTTCGTGCGGGAACGAGTGAACAGTAACAACCTTGGGGACAGAGTTGAACTTGAGAAGCTCCCATCCCATCGTGGTGGAGGCGGGTAGTGAGTTTGTTCTGGCCTCCAACGATTTATACACGTACTCAGAGACAATCGGACGGATCGAGGGCAGCTTTCTCTCGGCGAAACCCTTGTTCACTTGCACAAAAGTCTCGATGGCATCGTTTTTCCACTTGAGGAAGTTGGGCTTGTACTTGTTTCCCATGGATTTCTTGAAATAGTAGACCTGGATCTGGTTGTATGCGAAAAGAAGCAGCCGGTTCCACACGCTTCTGATCACCACTTTTGGCGAACTGAATATACTAGGCAGACGGGAGAATCTCATTGGAATGTATGGGTTGAAGGGAACACCAATACGGTCGATTCCCGGCCGTGGGGTAGGTTTTTTCGTGGTGCCGGGTCCCGTGGAGGCGGCACGCGAGAGCCTGAGCAAACTTCTGGCGGCTAATGGTCGTCTTAGCGACGAGATTCCAACCATCATCATTTTTCTTCGAAAAAAAATATAGTGGTGCTTTATTTTTCTAGTCAATAAATAATATCACTTGGAACCACTACTCCTTACACCTCGTGTTCGCCGTTGCCATGCTGATAACCGAGTCGTTTGTGGACGTGAAGACGCCATCTGGCGAGTCAATGCGCATCTTTGTGTTTCATCCAAAGATCCCCGGATACCCCAAGGCCAAGTTCCCCGGAGTTGTTGTTTACAGCGAAATCTACCAGGTCACCGGGCCTGTTGCACGATTTGCAAAGAAGATCGCCTCGGAGGGGTACATCTGTGTTGCCCCATCGATCTACCACGACTTTGTCGATTTCCAGCCGTTAGACTACGACGCCAAGGGAACAGACGACGGCAATTTGTACAAGGTGGAGAAAACGGTCAGTTCCTACGACCTGGACAATAAGCTATGCTGTGATTATCTATACAGTTTGGACACCTTCAACGGGAAGATTGGTGCCACCGGGATGTGTTTAGGCGGCCATTTGGCGTTCCGTGCTTTGCTGGACCAACGGATCACTGCTGCAGTGTGTTTCTTTGCTACAGACATCCACTCCAAGTCTTTGGGCAAAGGCGGCGACGACTCGCTGGAGCGCGTGTGCAAGGAGCTGGACCCGCATCGCCAGGAGCTGGTGATGTTTTTCGGCACGCTGGACAACCATGTGCCTCCAGAAGGCAGAGACCTGATCCGTTTGAAGCTTAGAGTGGCCGGGGCCAAGCTGACGTTCATGGAGATCTGCGACGCCCAGCACGCGTTTGTCCGTGACGAGAGTAGCAAGGGCCGCTACGACTCGGCCATCACGAGTTCGTGCTTCGGGTTCCTGTTCGAGTTGTTCGACCGGAAACTCAGAATCGACCTTGGAGAAGAAGACCGGAAACCGGTTGTAGTTGAGAACGTTTGTTAGTCCTTTTGATAAATATCGTCGTCACTATCGTCGTCGCGGTCGGCAGCCGCGTTGGCCTGGCTCGCAGACTCCTCCTCGGCCTTAACTTTCAGACTATCGTTCATTTTCCGTAGCTGGTCCATCACCTCAAAGATAAACGGCCTGATCTCGTTGATCTCCATCAGCGACAGCCCGTCCAGCTGGATGTACACGTGGTTGAGCTCGCGAATACCCTTTCGTGCCTTGACTAGTCGGATCTCACGAAGGTCCTGGAGCAGCGACCTGATCTCGTGCGGCGGGTCTATGAAGTCGTCGGACGCGTAATCCAGCAGCTTTTTCGCTATTGGCAGCCAGTGCCACGGCAGATTGGAGAATTTCGTTGGGTATTTGATTTCCTCGTCGTAGCGCGCGCGCAAGTACTCCACAGAGATCCACTCCGGCACCACAATGTTGCATTTCTCCTGTTTCTTCAGCAGAGTGGCCAGCCACATGGGGATCTGTTCTCGATTCAACGCACGTAGCTTCGGCAGTTTCGCCCCGATCAGCTGCACACCGTTCATCCCGTACCGTGGAATAATGGTCACCAGCTCCTGCTCGGCAAGAAAGTTGATTTCCTGCGGTGACAAGTTCTGCTGGTACGCTTTGGGAAGAGACATGTATTGACTATAAAAAAATCGCCTGGAAATTAAATAAATATCTGGAAAAATTTAGTCGGCACCTTCATGTCGTTCGACCCGCTTGATTTCCTGTCTCCGGCCAGCCAGACGGCCGATTGCGAGCCGGTGGTGATCGACCAGGGCGTTGACGAGTCAGAGACGCCAGGCCTGCACGTGCTGGACCTGCCGCAGCTGGCATACAAACCACCGTTCACCGTTCTGCTGATTGTGCTTCAGCTGCTGAAAAACGACGAGGTTTGCAATTTCGGTCAGCAAACGGGTCTCAAGCCGCTGGACACAGTCAAATCTGAGTGTCCAGACGAGTTTTCCCAAACGGTTCCTTGGCTGCAAACATATTCGTCGCTATTCTACCAAAACATCAGCCAGTTGGACCAGCTTTCAACAGCAGACATTGTCTCGTATCTCACCAATATCGTCTCGTCCCCTTTGAAATGGTTGGACCCAGAACACCGCGAGAAAGTGTGGGCTCTCGCATCGGGAATCATCTCCGAGAAATCGGGCCGCACTGCTGCCCCCGGATTCACAAGAAATATCACCGTTCCAGGACTTCCTCCAATCAACCTGTACGAGCCTGCACTGACAAGCGACAACCTGGGGCTGAAAACTTGGGGCTCGTCGCTGATGCTTTCGAGACGGCTAGCCAGTCTGCCAAAGCTCAAGGAGCCAATCCTAGAGTTGGGAGCAGGAACGGGACTCGTGGGAATCTCCTGTGGTCTTCTCGGTTACTCAGACGTGATACTCACCGACCTGCCGGAAATCGTGCCCAATCTCGATAAAAACGTGCAACTCAACAATCTCAAGCTTCAATGCAGCGTCCTGGACTGGACGAATCCACAAGGATTCGCAGACAATTCGTTTCCGACCATCATTCTGAGCGACCCAATCTACTCAGCAGATCATCCAACACTGGTTCGCAACATGGTGCAAAAGTTCCTGGCCCTCAACAACGCCCAGCTGCTCATCCAGATTCCATTGCGTCAAAGATACGAGGAAGAACGCGCAAATTTGTGGTCCTTAATAGACGGTCTGGGATTGAAAGAACATACCTGTATCCAAGAAGAAGGGTACGACGATTTCGGCGAGCAATCGTTCCTCTTCAAAATCTATCAGCGCTGAACATCATCTTCGTTGTCTCATGCCCATAGAAATCTCTTCCTCATACTCGCTGTCTAAGTCGCTGCTATTCAGTTCTTCCTCGGTCGAGGACTCGCTCTCGCTGAACCCGGCTGTGGTATTCTTATTGAGCTTGCGGCCGCGCTCTATGGCCCGCTCGATACCAAGTCTATGCTTGATAAATAATAATTTCGGATATGTGACCAATTCTGCGTTGGAAATAAGCTGTGCGAGTTGCTCTTCGGTTGGATCTCCCAGTAGATTAAAATAATCCTTGACTTTGATTTTCGGGAAAAGGGTAATTGTTCCGTCAAAACGCTGGAGGAAGACGCTCGACCAGTCACTGTCCAGGAAGTTTGGCAGAATCTGGAAATCCTTAATCATCTTCAGCCATTTCAAGCTCTCCAGCTTGATCAGGTTCTCCAAATAGCTCGGTAGAAAACCACCACGATAGCTCTTCCCGCGTGGACGTGGCACAGGACGACCAATGTCTCCTCTATTCTTGTAAAACCACAGCAAGACATGGGGGTTCACCTGCGACACAATAGTGAATTGCACATTGAAGTAGGAATTCAACGACTGAAGAGGAATGTCTGTCCGTAACGATCCGTCTTGCCATCTGCTACCAAACGAAAAGGGCCGAATTTTATGGGTCTTTCGATCTTTCTCCATTAGAACGACTGGTTTCAACACTCCAGGGACAGCAGCCGATGCCAGCAACGTAGACCATATACAACAGTTCGGAGACGTGATGTAGTTGCACAAGATCTCTGGAGAGTGAGGTTCATGTGGAGTGGTTGGAATATTGAGGATTTTCCCTGTTCTTTCAAAAGACTCACGGAAAGTTGTGGATCCAAGAGTCCACCACTGGGCCTTGCGTGCCAAAGTGACAGAGTCAAAAAGTGCACCCGTTGTCCACCATTGCTTGATCCAGTCCCAAGACTTCTTTCCGTCTGCTGCATTTATTCTTTGAGCCAATTTCGGAGTCAGGAGAGTGAGCAGTTCCTTGTTTGTCCTTGTGGAAGCCAGAGCAGCAATGATGCCTCCTCCAGAGGTTCCACTCATGATATTTGGTAAAAGATCGTTCTCCAACAATGCTTTTAGAACTCCGTAATGGTTATAACAGAAGGACGCACCACCACTCAGAGCCAGAGCAGTCTTTCCGTAGTTCCTCGAGATGATTCTGAAGAAGATCCGTTTCTCATCAGCAGCCACTTTATCAGTATCTATAATCGCGTTGATAGAGCTGAGAACTTCGGAGTTGTACTCCTCGATGAGTCTCTTTGTGCCGTAGTAACATTGAGAGTAGAGCATGGGGTTTTCGACACCGGCAAAATTCGATTTCACACAACCCTGCAACACGACCATGAGCTCTTCATAGTTTCTTTCAGCGCGCAAATGTCTAAGGTTTCTATTGAGTCGTTGGAGAGTGCGCCAATCGTATCCGGCAGAGCGGTCCTTATTTTTCCACTCGTCAAGTCCCAGCCGTTTATCCATTTCTTTGGCTTTTGCAACGTAATCTTCGTAGTTTGAGGCCGACTGGAGTTTCGCCAGCAGAGTTTTGCGCTCTCCACCACTGGCAACAATGTATTCGCTCACCATCACCGAAAGTCTCACAAAAAAGTAAACGATACTGAGGATTGAGAGCCAGATCACTATCAATATCAGGAAAGGATACCTAAATATCCTGAAACTGACCGAGTTTGTGTCTTCAAATGGAAGGATACTTTCAGGAGTCTCCAGTTGGCTTGATTTGCGGCGAGTTCTTTTGCGTGGCGGAAATTCATGGCCAGGGATCGAGTTCACACGAGATATTGCTGAGTATTCGTCGAACGCCGACTTATCGTCGAAATTCAAGGCCTCCTCGAACGCCAGAAGATCTAACGGTTAGAGCAACATCTAAACACCAACTTACCTTCATCATCTGTATATTCGGCGTCCAAATTATCTGCATTCATAAAGAGTATGGGGTAATTATCAAAAAACAAAGAAAAATCAGTTTTTCTTGATCATACTTGATAGCTAACTTACATATTACAATAAAAAAGGGAATCCATGCAACCATTTGCAACTTTTCCATAATTCAGCTAAATTTCAACCACACCGGTTTCGCCCAGCTTAGTGCTTCAAGCCGATCGTTTACTCTCCATGCTTTTGTTCAACATCTGTTTTTTGTAGTCGTCATACTTGAATGACAGCCGTCTTCCAACCCCAGGAACTGGCCTTGACTCAAAAAACTGATCCGACTTTCTGGGCTTGGATTCGGAAACTTGCGGATCAGGCTGGCTCAAACTTGTTCTTTGCCCCGAAATGGTCTCATAAGAGGGACTCGAGATCACCGAGGCCGAATCGTCGTCATTATGCAACAATTGGTGTCGGTGAACCTGGGACCGCATTCTTTCAAAGCTCAGCTCCTCAGATTGGCGTCTTTGGAGCTGTTGTTCCGGAAGGTCGTTCTGTCTATGAGTGTGAGCCTCCAATTCGGACTTGTAATTATTTGTTGAACTGCGTCTCAAAAGAGGCCGGTAGAACGACTCAATTGGCGTTTGACTGGCGATTGGTGGTTCTTCATCCATAACGAGATTTATTAAAGTCCTCGGCAACTTTAAAAGACAATAAATACGAAAAAGGAGGAGCACCTGATTCGATCGATCCGCACGCCACTATCCGGGGTAACATCTTTGCACAGCGAGAATTAAGTTTGGAGATTAAATAATCTGGATGATTCATACTGGTGCGTTGAGATTGGGGTCACGTTGGCTGCGGCGGTCGGTATCGAGTCTTCCGACCTTTGAGGCAAATCCGGTGAAGACAAGCGAGGAAAAGAAAGATCTCATTCTCACTATTCTGAGTAGTACGGCAACTAAGAGAGAAGCACGAAATTATCTCTCAAAATACCCGTTACTTCGAGAAAACGACATATACGAGACAAAAAACCGCCTTGTCACCGGCACACAGACTCCGGAAACGTACAAGCATGACAAGGTGATCGACGATTTGTTGTTGAGATATTCGCGCACCACCAACATCCAATTTCCAACGGTGACTCAGAGGTCTGAGATTCAGCTCTCGGATACTCTCCGACTAGCGTTGATTCGAATCCCGCCGTTGAGACATCTCGATGTGGACACGATGCACGGGATCGGTTTGACGTTGAACAAAATGATCCAGCTGGGAGTGTCGCCTGTTTTGGTATTGGATGGAAAACACGAGATTGGCAGTGAAACAAACACAATGGTGATCAAGGACTTGACGGAACAATGCGACACGCTGGTGAATATCTTCCGCAACGAGGGACTCCAATTGCGGACTGTCCGTGGACTTTTTGAGTCGGACAGATTCTCAATTCCAGAGCTACTTGTTGTTCCATTGCTTCAAGGGATAATCCCGGTGATTTTCCCTGTTAGCGTCGACCAGCACAGCAACGAGAGTGTTCTAAGTCCGTTTGAGACATTGAAGCGTGTTTCTCAGAATCTGGTGCAGGTCAACCAGGAGTATTCCGATGCCAACCAAGGAGACCTGCTTTCGGTGGAGAAAATTATTTATGTTGAGGAATACGGCGGTATCCCCTCGTTAGAACGGTTCCAGTCGAGTCACGTCTACATCAACTTATTGCAAGAGTACGACGATATTATTTCTGAGCTCAACATCGGACATCTGGACGCCAAACAGAGAAATATCCATGTTCAAAATCTGAAAGAGATGAACGAGCTACTTGCTATCCAACCAACTGCCACCGGGTTGATCACCACCCCGACAATAGCAACACTGAAACACGGCAAAAGAGTCACCAATCCGATCATCTACAACATTCTGACGGACCGTCCAGTTATCTCGTCGTCATTGCCAGTCAATTTGAAAAAGACTCCGCAACTAAACACCACAGTTATCAAAAGAGGAACACCGCTGACAGTTTACTTGTCAGATGACCAGCCAGGTGGAAAAGGGATTGATCTGAAGGAATTCGACCGACGAAAAATCGTCGATCTCAATAAATTAGTTAATCTTATAAACGACTCGTTTGGCAAGACTCTGGACGTGGAACACTATTTGAACAGAGTCAACGGCAAAATCGCAGCAATTATCATCGCCGGAGACTATGAGGGAGGCGCAATTGTCACCTGGGAAGAAGCGGGAGGTCGAAAAGTACCATATCTTGATAAGTTTGCCGTGTTACGCAAACTGCAAGGGATTCCAGGAATAGCAGACATTGTGTTCAAATCTCTGCTCACCACGTACTCCGACGAGCTGCTGTGGAGGTCACGACAGAACAATCCGGTCAACAAGTGGTATTTCGACCGGTCCTCAAGTAACTATTGCATTCCTGGAACCAACTGGAGAATCTTTTTCAGTGGTAGCAGAATAAGATCCTATGACGATCTCAAAGGATATGTGGAAATCTGCTCCAGTATAGAGCCCTCACTTAGATAGGTCCGATAGATCTTTCGACATGTATGGACCGTCCAGCTCGTAGCCCAACCGTTTGTAGTAATTACGCACACCAACACCAGAGATGACACTGATCTTCGACGACCCGTGCTCTTCTCTGGCAATTCTCTCAGCCTCTTCCATCAACAACGTACCGAATCCCTGGTGCTGGAACTTACGTGGGTCCCTGGAATGCAACGGCACAACAGAACCGTAAACGTGAAGTTCTCTAACAATGGACGTTTGTTGGCCTTTGAACTCTTTGCGGTAAGTGTATTTCTTGGATGCCTTACGAAGTCTAAGCAATCCGATCAGAATATCCTGCTTAGGATCCTCGTACGACAGAAACGTCTCCCATCCGCCGTTTGCGTAGTAATCACGACGGATCAGCTCAACCTGGTCTGGCTGCACTTTGTGGTGAACTTCCTGAATTCCTGCTTCTCTTGTACGAACGTCTCTGCAAGTTGTTCCAAAATCCTTCATTCTGGCCAGAGCAAGCTCACGCAGGTTTCCGTTGTCAACACCAGAGGTCACCAATGGCATTGGAATATCTCTCTGGACTCTATAGATTCTTGTCCAAGGAGGAACCAAAGCCATTATTCTGGCAACCAGATCGATCAGCATGTTGGCATTGTACGACCGGTAAAGACCCTTCTTCCATAACTCGTACAGTCCGGTACCTCTAATCACCAGAGTTGGGTAGATCTTCAGACCGTCTGTTCTGAAATCAGGGTTCTCAAAATACTCCTTGAATTGTTCCAAATCTCTTTCCATTCCAACATTTGGCAAATCAGGCATCATGTGCGAAACAACCTTGTATCCAGCGTCCTTGGCATAGCAAAACGTCTCGCAAACGGCCTTCACCGTGTGTCCTCTATTAGTGTCTCTTGCAACATCTTCATACACTGACTGAACACCGATCTCCAATCTGGTGCACCCGTACTTCAGCATGTCGTCAAGATGGGTCTCTGTACAGTAGTCAGGACGAGTCTCGATAGTGATACCAACACACTTGGTCTGAGACTGCTGGGAAAACTTGATCACCTCATCGATATCGGTACCATTGTAACCTGTCAATGCATTATGTAACTGGACAATGAAATCTTCTCTGTAGTCCTTTGGAAGAGACATGAACGTTCCTCCCATGATGATATACTCGACTTTATCAATAGAATGACCGATTTGCTTCAACTGGTCGATTCTTCCTCTTGCCTGTTCGTATGGGTCGTATCTTGCTCTGATGGCTCTCATGGACGTTGGTTCGTAACCGGTGTATGACTGGGTGGAGTACTCAAAGTCCGAGTCTGGACCACCAGGACAATACACACAGATGTTACCAGTGTAGGCAATATGGGGGCATCTATGAGGTTTGCACATGACTGCCACGACGGCGACTCCTGAAGCTGTTCTGACTGGCTTGGCTTTCAGTTTTGGTAATAAGTACTTCTTGTATTGATCGGGGATAGAAGAAATGATGTCTGTGAGTCTTGGTTGTTGTTTGAGCTTGTACTTCTTAGAATATCTGATAATCAGTCCATTCAAGTTGATATCCTTTGAATTATTCAGCGACGCAACAAGTTCCAGAGAGATATCTCCACAACATTGTAAAAATCTCTCCTTTTCGGAAACCATTTTGGGCTTGCCCTTGGGGCCCTTGGGAGGTTTAGCCACTGCGATCATGATTATAATTGAATTTTTCTTATTGCTTAAATTTTTTTTGCTGACACTAAGATCCATGGCAGGAAAATAAACAAATTGAAAATAACCACAAGAGCCAAACACATTGAGACAAACGGCCTATTGAAAACAAACTAGACATGTCTCATGAAGCTGAATCTTTGAACTTTGGTTTCGAAGATACACAGCCACGTGCTCACGACAGCATTGTATCCAAGGACGACGAGATTGTCTCGTCGTTGTCGGAGATCAACAACAATCATGAGGAGGAACCTTTACAGGACGAGACTGCTACCAAACCGGTTGAGGATCCAATCGTATCATCTGAAGTTGCCAGTGACTCTCGGGAGATTGAATCCGTTGCTAAAGAGACCCCTGTTGAACCTGTTTCTGTGGCTGAGGTCGTTCCAACCACAGATCTGGACACTGTCGAGCAAACACGAGAAGAGCACCAACCTTCTTCGGAACAAATCCTGAACGCTCTACAGATTGACGAGACCGAGCAAATACCACAGTTCTCGGCAGAGCCGGCCATAACCAATGCAAAAGATAGTCAAGCGGACGTGGTGGAGGAGCCAGCCATCAATGGTGACCATTCTTCAAATCCAATTTCCGAACAATCAGAACCTGAACCGCAAAGTGTCGTTGAGAAACAGCCTGTGCACGAACAACAGGTTTTTGAGTCTGTCACTGAGACAGAGACGGTCCCGGAACCTGTGATAGACGAACCTGTGTCGGAAACTGTTCCCGATGTGGTTCCAGAAACGCTTCCCGAAGGGGCGGAACCTATTCTTGAGACGGATCACGAGGTAAAGAGTGATGAACAAATTGCAAAAGACCAAGACGTTGCTGAACAGGTGGGTGCCTCGAGCCCAGCTCTCCCAGATACTAATGAAAAGTCCTCAGAGGGAAATATGCCATGGGACTCGGAACCAGCACAATCCCTTCCTTGGGAGGAAGAGCCCCCAAAGCCATTACCATGGGAGGTTTCTGAGCCTGTTGAGCAGGAGATTTCTGAACCTGCTGTTGAAGACGTTGTTCCATCCACCGAAATACTCGCGGAAACTAATAATACTCCAGCCGAGTCTGCAATTGAGAGATCTCTTTCAAAAGACCCACTGCTTGAGCAAGACCCAGTTGAGGAACCACATATTCTCCCTGAAATAGTCCCTGAGACAGTCCCTGAAACAATCACTGAAACTGTTCCTGTTGCTGAACCCGAAGTAGAAGACGTTCTAACGTGGGAGGATGAAAAGGGTACCGAGACTATGCCATGGGATATTCCGGTGGAAAGCACAGAGCCAGTGGAGTCGACCAAAGAGTCCGAAGTCGTGGAACCGGCTCAAGAACTAGCACAGGAGAGTGCGAATGTCTTGGAACATACTCAAGTTGAGACTACTGAAGAGCAGTTGGAGGAAACCTCGCAAGGGCAAACACAAGAGCCTGTCAAGGAGACCAACTTGGATGACAAGTTCAGCTTTTTAGAGTCAGACAACGAGCTCCTGTTGGACGATGTTCTTGACGACGATTTCCTGGAAGACGAGCCTGCCTCTGTTGCGCCTCAAGAACCAGCCCCGGTGACTGCAAAGAAATACACCCCACAAGCCTACACTGCGTCGCCGTATGCACCTCGGGTCGTGCCAATTGGCCAGCCTGTGCAACCGATACAGCAGGGCCAGCAAGGATACGTTCCGCAACAACCAAGTTATCTCACATCTCCTCCTCAACCGGCAGCTCACATCCAGCCACCTTCTCATATAAAAGAGAAGCTCGAAAAGGAGAAGAAGAAAACCGATGCATATGATTTCCCAGCGGAGCTTCTGGCTAAGCATGCCCCTATTCCTAAGGTGGCTACCCCAAAACAAAATGTGTATACCATGATTGAAATGCAGAAGAGTCATCCACAATCTTTTGCATCACCAATACCGCAGGCTAATAGGCTTCCTCCAAGAATGGGGAGCGTTTCATCAACCCGTTCAACTCCTCCACCAATCAAACCTGCACCGAAGTCTCAAAAGAACTTCTTTGAGGAATTGCCTATTCCGAACATTGCGACCACCGTTCAGCATCCTAAAAACCCATATGAGCATAAGAAATCCCAATCTGGACCAAAGAATCCGTACAGGCTTTCACCCGAGGTGACCAAAGCCAGTCCCTATGCACCAATTGTTCAGAATGCAAGCCCTGCAGCTGCGCAAGAGCCTGCTCTATCTCTTCCTCCACAAGCAGGCCTTAGTTCGGGTCCACGTACCAGAAAGTCTACCAACCCATATGCTCCAGCAGAGGTTGGGGGACATGCAAGAACCCTTTCTGTAAACTCAAACCCCCCTGTTCAGGCGAACGTGGTTCCTGTTCCACATAAATCGCCGATCGGAAAGCTTGTTAGTCCAGTGATCCCTTCTTCCAATATTCAGGGACATCACCAAACAGCCCAGAATAATCATATTGGAATCCAGCAGCCCCAGCTCCATATTTCTACGAATCCGCAGAAACCGCCAACAAAGTATTCTCCATACACTCCGCAGACAAAAACGTTCCCGTCTCCAGCTCCTGTTGGACAAACGAGAAACCATTACCAGCCACTAGACTCGGTCTACGGCGACAATCTTAAACCAGATACAAGTTCTGCTTCATTTGCAAATAACAAGAAGACAGCATTCTTGCCTCCCTCAAAAAGTGCTGGACACGGTTCGCTGAAAACTACTGCACCATCAATTCATTCTGCCCCTGCTCCCGTTGTGGTGAATCCTGAAAACTTGGTCAGAAGACAATGGCCATTATTCAGTTTCTCTGCCGGTAACAAGGTGGCTTACTTGATTCCAGCTTCGGATGGGTATGGTCATCAAAAGCATGATGTAAAAATCCTGGACACAACCGTCGCTATAGGAAATCATTCGCTTGTTCAACAGTTCCCAGGTCCATTGCTGAAAAATCGAACCAAGAAGAAGGATGTTGAGAAATGGATCAGTGACAAGCTTGTTTCATGCGGGGCAGAACTTGAAGGTCCATTTACGACAGATTCGCAGATCCTTTGGGCAGTTCTAAAGGTCATGGTTGCCAATATTAGTAAGCCAGGCGATTTCGTTCAGGAAGCGTATCTTCAGGGCATAGTCCAAGTTCTCAATCCCGTGTTGTCGATCAACCAGAACAGAAACGCTTCTATTGATTTCTCCAAATTGAGCAACTTCACTATTCCTAACCAGAAACCGTTCAACGCGCACAAACTTGACCAAAGCGGTGTTTTGAATCTACACAAGTACCTGGAAACTGGAGATAAGTCAAATGCTCTGCAAATGGCTATCGTGGAAGAAGACTGGGCAGTGGCTTTGATCCTTGGAAATATGATTAGCTCTGATACCTTTACAAAAGTTGTGAAGCTTTACACTTCACGGGCATTCGATCCTTCAGACATACTCCAACAAAATTTGAGTATGTGTTTGCAATCGTCAAGCGACGACGGATTTAGTGTTGAACAGTTCCATGGTAAAGAAGAATGGATTGTGGATAATTTCAGATCCATTATTCCTTTCATACTTTTGAACAATCAAAATCCTGCTACCGTGTTGGTTCAAGTTGGATCCCTATTGGCGGAGGGTGGATTCGAAATCTACAGCAAGGTGTGTTTCATGCTTTCTGGACTTCCTTTAATTCCAAAGAACCAGACACAATCTCCAAGTGATATCGACTCGATGATTGTTGAGGAATTATACTCTTACATCTTGCAGTCTTCATCAAATGTCCCTCCTGCATTCCCTAACGGATTCCCTCACATACCATCTGTGGAAATTCGCCATGCTTCCTACTTGGCAGATCTTGGTTTCTTCGTGGAAGCCAAACGCTATGTCGACCATTTCAGCTCTTCATTGAAATCAAGAGGCGCATATATTGATCCAGATGTTGCTCTTGAAAGCGCAAAGCTGATGGAAAGACTTTCCCAAACAGAAGTGGACGCCTCTGGCTGGTTTGGTAGCAAGCTTGGAAGATCAGGATTTGACAAAGTTTGGGGACAATTGGACAAATCTTTCAACAAGTTTGTTGCTGGGGAGGAACTTGAGGACGGTAAAAAAGCCCGCTCAGAAGGTGTCTTTGCGAAATACAGCCCGGCTCCATCGCGTAACCAGTCGCAATTGGATCTTGTTAGCATGCAGCCGCAGTCCCAACCTATCATGTCAGGACATCAACCGTTGTCTCGGGCAGCATCTTTTGGACCATATGCATCTTCGTCGCACTCTCATTCTGCTCCAACAACTTCATCTAACTCCACATTGGTGCAGTCATATCAACCATACTCGCAGGCCAAATCTAAATCTAAGAAGAGTACACCATATGCCCCAGTTCCGGCGATCGACAGTGGTATCGATAGCAGCCGGATCACTATGAGCACTGCGCCGTTGTCTGCTTCCAGCTCTTATGCTTCCATGCCAAAACATGAGGCAGCTCCAGCGCCACCTCCGCAGGTTGCTCAAACGGCACCACAACCTTTCCCAGCAGCAGGAAACCCATACCAACCTAGAAGACCTGGTCTGCAAGCGAGATCATCCACCATTGGATACGAATCTGCACAGGCCAACAAACTGGAAAGCCCATATGATCCACAACAAAACTCAAACCCGGCTCCTCCACAAAAAGCTGCTCCTTCGAAGTATTCACCTTGGAAGGAGCATGCTTCGCTTGAGCCAGCAAAGCCTGTTGCGCCCGTGGCTCCCCCTGAAAACGAGGATAGTGTTGATAATTATCCAGAATCATTTTCCTCGATCAGAACCGACATCAACGTGCAGCAGCCTTCAGCTTATAGGCCAGTCACGACTCAGTTCGACTCAATTAACGTCTCTCCAGCAGCATCGACCACCTCGTCAACTAATCCGCTTCCTGATCCAGAGTCCGAGAACGATCCTTCAACAGCACCTGAGGTTAGCAAACCGCGTGCTCCAGCAGCCGCTGCAAGTCATCCACCTCCTAAACAAAAGGTTTACAACCCTTATGCTCAGGTGATGTCTAAGAAATCAAACGGCGTGGCAAAGGAAAGCCGTTACAAGCCTTCAAACACAATCATGGCTGAATCCACCCAGTCTCTTGAAGACTCCAATATTCAGGACTCACAGATTCCTGACATGGATTCGTACGACTTCTACAGTTATGGTGGTTACCATGCTCCTACTGCAGCGGAAATCGAAGCTGCAAAGAAGTTGGAGAACGAAGACAAGGTGGATGAACCTGAGCCAGAAACACAGAAAGAGTCTGAACCAGAGCAGGAGCAAATTGAGAGAGATTCAGATTTCGAGTCTGAAGCTAACGATGAGCCTCTGCCTCCACCTACCGGTAGAATTTTGAGACCGGCAGCTTCGTTCCACGGAGCTACTGCTAACCATTTGAGAAGCATGTTTGAGCCTCCGTCTGCTCCATTCAGAGGGGCTGCCAAGTCTCCAGCATTAGTTGTGACCGATCAGAAACGGTATCATGCCGAAGACAATGACGACGAGTACTACGACGACGTGGTTGACGACGACGATGAGGATGTCGACGCCAAGCAGGCAGAGAGGAAGAGACAGGAAGAAGCCAAGAGAAAAGCTGAGGTGGAGGCCAAGAAGAAGCAGGAAGAGGAGGCCAAGAAGAACGAGCAACAAAAAGGACCTGATGGAAACGGTGGCTCGTGGTTTGGCTGGCTTGGAAGAAAGAAGGATGACCAACCAAAGCCTATCAAGGCCAAACTGGGAGAACAGATGACTCTTGATTACGACGAGAAGTTAAAGAGGTGGGTCAACAGAAACGCTCCACCTGAAGAGCAGGTCGCCGACACGCCTCCTCCGCCTCCGGTGAAGAGGATTGTTTCTGAGGCTAATGTTCCGCGGGCTCCTTTGAACGAACCGTCGAGCAGTCCTGCTCCACCAGGACCTCCAGGTGCGCCGGGCCCAGCAAGTGCGCGCACGCCGGGAACAGTGAATGGTACCAAAAAGTCGGACAACATCGAGGAGCTACTATCGATGTCCACTACACGTAGGTCAAAGAGAGGTCCACGGCGAGGATACGTTGACGTGATGGGTCAGAAATAGAGTCATTTTGAATCATAATACTTGAAGTCAAGGCGGTGGACCATGTCGTCAAAATCGAGCACTTTGAGACATGGCACGATCGATGGCACTTTGGCGATGTTGATGAGTGTCATTGTGCAATTTGGAAGCGTGAGTCTGTATGCTCTGATGGATTTGTCGAGCGAGACCAGAACAAGCAAGAACGAGAAGCTGTTGATGCGCACACAGTCGAGCGCAGCAATGGATCCGATCAGCGGGAGCTCGAACCGTTTCACGATTCTCTCTGCAGCGAGGTCAAACACTCCAATCAGGTTGAACGAGTCCATGAACAGAATTTTGGATTTGTGCAACGTGAAGATGTGGTTGACCGAGTGCGTTGACAGCTGGTATATCTGGATGGGCACCTTAGCGAGGAACGGTTTATAAACAAGCATTTTGCCGAACTTGGTTGTTGCCAGGACGGTGACGTCGTCGTCTGTAGGCGGCTCGTTGATCACCACTGCGTTCTTGAGCCACAGAAAGTCGCCGTTCTGTTTAGGGGTCGACGTTTTGTACACTGGTTTTGTGGTGATGATACTTCTGCACACTCTAAGAAAAGTTGATTCTGCAGTTTGACGTAGATGGCTTTCGTAGTCCTTTCGAATATCGTACATTTCGAGACTGTTATTGTAGCCCCCGGTGACAAACTTGAACGGGCTATCCAGCGGACAGCAGAACTCTACGGGATCCTCGATGAGGAGGAAAAAGCCTCCTTCGAGTTCCTGGTCGCGCATAAGCTGGTGGATGTCGTACACGGTCACGAGGCCGCGGTTACTGCAGCTGATGAGGAAATGGTCCACCACGTTGAGAGCCACCATAAAGTCTGTTCCGAGCCTGAGGTTTTCAGTAAGCGAGACGCGCGGCGATGAGGCGTTTTCCGCGTAGATGTCTATGAGGCCGCCCTGGCGGCCGATCGCGATGTATTTGGCGTTGTTGAGGGCGAACGGGGTGATCTGCTCTATTGTGGCGGCCGAATAGAGCGAGCTGTAAGGGGCCGTTGACGGGTTGGCGAGCCGGATGCGCGAACCAGGCTGGTCCTGACAGATGTCGAGTTCTGGCGGTTAGAATTGGGCGGCTAGCAGCACACTTACGCGTTAATTTCGACTCGCTTCGTACTGTCGAGAGAAGAACATTCATCAGATGGAAGATAACGGAGCGACGCCAAATTGAAACATTTCGTCGCGTCGCATTTATTTTTTTAAAATAATGACTGGGTCTGTTCCTCAGGAGATACGAACGGTTATCGACGAAACAGCGCGCTTTGTGTTTCGCAACGGCGAGGCTTTGGAAACAAGACTTGCCAAGAAAGAGGAAGGTAACTCCAAGTTTTCGTTTCTCCACCCAAATGATAAATATCATGGCTACTATAAGAACCTGTTGACAGAGCTAAGAGAGGGTACTGTGTCCGCACAAGAGGGGGATCCTGTCCCCGAGGCACACGAACTGCGGTTTATAGTTGACCCGGGAAAGGTTTCGGCGTTGGATCTGGACATGATGAAGCTTGCGGCACAGTTTGTGGCCGTTAATGGAGACTCGTTTATAGAGCAGCTGGAGAAGCACGTTTCGTCCGACAAGAAACAGTCGCTGCAGTTTGAGTTTCTCAGGCCGTCGCACTCGCTGCATAAGGTGTTTGAGCGGTATTTGGGGTCGTACCGGCTGATTCTTGAGGAAGAGGGCCAGATTAAGCAAGAGCTGGACGGGTTTAGCACGACGCGGTTCCTGGACCGATGTTACGTGCGGGCGGGCAAGATGGCCGAGGCAAAAGAGGAGGAGTCGCGACAGAAACAGCGGCTGGAGAAAGAGCAGCTGGAGTTTGCGTCGATCGACTGGCAGGACTTTGTGGTGGTGGAGACGATCGAGTTTTCCGAGGTGGACGAGGTGGCCCAGCTGGGCGTCCCGCTTGATCGGGGCGAGCTGGAGTACCGGTCGTTGGTCGACAAGGGAGAGGAGGCAGAAGAAGAAGAAGAAGAGGAGGATGAGGAGGAAGAGATACCGACATACGACGAGCAGAAACCATCCACTCCTGACACCCCCACAGTTACTGTTCGGCAGGGAATGAAGATCCGATCTGCGGGCGAGTCTCGTTTGAAGCGCAAGCGCGAGGAAACAAAGTACTCTGTGGACGCCAAGAGCGGAGAAAGACAGGTGGTTTGTCCGCTCACAGGGCAGCTGATCCCAGAAAGCAGGTTTGGCCAGCATCTAAGCATTCTGCTCAGAGACCCAAAGTACAAGGAAGAGAAGCAAAAATACGAGTCCAAGATGAAATACGGGGATGGACTCAGCACAGACGAAATATACGACAACATCAAGCGGCTGGCGGAGATCGATAAGCGCCAAAAGCTTTAATAACGTGATAATTGATTATGATGTAGATAAATACACAACCTAAAAGTTTTTTCTAGCCGGTAGCCTGTCTACAATCCTTAAGCCTTCAACGAAGAAGCTCTTCTCTTTCTGATTTCAGCCTTCTCAGCCTTACGCTCGTGGAGACGCTGGGCAAGCAATTGGGCGTACTCAGCAGCAGCATCTCTTTGAGCCTGAGCGTTCTTGATCTTCAAAGCCTTGACAGCTCTCTTTCTCTGGAGTCTTTGAGGAGTAACCAATCTCTGGATCTTTGGAGCCTTGGTGTACTTCTTCTCACCCTTAACAACCTCTCTTCTAACGACGAACTGTCTGACATCATCCTCCTTGGTCAAACCGTAGAACTTTCTGATGTGGTTGGCTCTCTTAGGACCCAATCTCTTTGGAACCTGAGCATCGGTCAAACCCTCGATCTCTTGCTCACCCTGCTTAACAACAACAAGGGACAAGACAGCAAGGTCGTTACCAACAATACAGCCTCTGACAGACTTTCTCTTTCTCTCTCCGGTTCTTCTTGGTCTGTAACAGGAGACATCCTTGGTCAAGAACAATTTAACTCTGTTTGGGATCATCACACCTTGCTTCATTGGGAAACCTTGCTTGTCGTTACCACCAGTGATCTTGAAGACGTAGCCCTTGAACTCATCGCTCACGGCATCTCCCTCGACCTCTTGGCCCATTCTTTTTTCGAAGAAAGCTCTCAATTTGTGTTCATCTTCGATGTCAATACTCTTCTGAGTACCGTTGGCTGGGTAAGCGATGTTCAACTGCATGGTTAGTATACTATATGGTGCGTTTCTAGCTACCTACCTTCATCTTTAGTAGAGAATATTTCACGAATTTTTTTTCATGGAAAAACAAGTGTGAAAAAAATTGTTCCCAGCCCTGCTCGAGGTCACGTGAATTTTCAATAATTGTTAAAGCTCTAAATACTGTACACTGCCTACTTGTCGCTGTCTCGTCGCTCGGCAACCTGGGCAGCCTGGTTGTATATGGCGGACCCGATCACCTGTAGCGGTGTCGTCAACGTAGAGAAGTTCCCGTCTTGGTTTGGGGCTCCGTTGCCCGTCAGCGGCGCCGCAAAGCTGCTGCCTGTAGACGTGGACGGAGCCGTTTTCTGCGCAGAATCCCCCGCGCTGGATGTACCCTGCTGCGGCGGTTGCGCTTGCGGACCTCCCGGCGCTGGCGGCGGCTGGCCAGCAACGCCCGGTAACATGTGGGGGCCGGTTCCTGGCAACGGAGTATTACCGGTCCCCATGGGTATCGACCACTCTTGACTATAGTACACGTTAGGAGACGGGAACATGTCCAGGTATCTGGAAGGCAATCCCGACGGTAACCCAGATGCTAGCACAGGCGTGTCGCCTGTGTAGTTGAAAAACGGCTGCCCTCCCCCAGGGGTGGATTTGGGCTGGAACTTGGCACTGTACGGCCCAAATCCTTGCTGCTGCGCCATGTGTTGCTGTTGAGAGCTCCCCATCGGGAAAATCGGCGTAGGGAGGATCTGGGTAGGAGACATTTGCGGGATAGACGAAAACAGTCCGTGCGGCATTGTAGCAGACACCGGCGTGGACTTGTTGGACGAGTTCCCTTGGTCCAACGGGTTTTGGGCATGTTGAGTCACAATGTTCAAACCGGGCAAAAACGAGTTGGACGTTGGGGTCGCGAGAATGCTTACTTTCTTCGAGTTCTGCGTACCCTGTGTAGTCCCCGTAGCATCGGTATTTTCGTTGTCCTTGTCCTTGTTGATCGAGCTTGACTCCAAAGCTGTCACCGTGATAGCACTGTCAGACGACGACCGATCGTTGCTTGGAATCTGCAAACTCAACAGAGGCCGCTTGGACATTCTGGTGGCAGACTGGCCCTGACCTGATTCTTTCAGAGGAACAAACGCCGGTCTTCGACGAGAATCTTGAGTCCGAGGAGATCGACTCAATTTCCGTTTTTTCGACGGAGTATCGTCGAAATCCTCGTCGTCATCGCCGTCGTCATCGTCAACATCTGAGTTGCTGTTCTGATCCAATATGTCTTCCTCAATTGGCTCCGATTTGGCGGCCTTCGTCTCGGCCCTGGTGCCCTTTTTCGTCGACAAGCGTGAAATCAGCTTGTAATTGCCGTAGTCCTGGGGGCGCTTGGACTCCTGAGTCTGCTCGCTCTGTTGGTATTTGTCAATGACGGCCTGCGGTTCATTGGAGGAGTACTCATACACCTTGTGGTTGTGTCCAATAATTATCACAGCTATGTCAACCTTACACAGGATCGATAACTCGTGTGCCTTCTTGAATAGTCCAGCTTTTCGCTTCACGAAAGTCACCGTTCTGTTCCGTTCGTCGTTAATCGGTTGGATCTCAATCTTTCTTCTGCCCATGATGACATAAGACTCTTGTCACACCGTGCTTATTACAGTTTCCTTATTTATTTAAAGTTTTTGTTGCAAGTTGCTAATTTTAGGTTCCTCACCATCGACGCGCCGATCGGCCAATCGGGGCAGAACAGAATAAATGGGCTGCTACCATCGATATATAACGTCCAAGCTTGCACATGTGGGCATCATATCGGTGTCATGATCGCCTTGTCTGTCTGCGGATTGGTCTCCTTGCTTGCTTCTGCCGTGTGTTGCCAGCCAATACCGGCAAACCAGTCGCTTCCAGCGACAGGGCCCGGATTCTCAACTTCCTGGGACATCTCAAGAATCATCAGTCGACACCAGCCCCAAGGCGTCCAGTTGAACGATCCAGATGTCTTTGACTATCTGGAGCACTTGGCCTCCCTCTTGCAGATCACAAACTGCGATAACAAGTACAAAGCTCTCAAGCTACCATCCAACACGTTCTCCACAAGCTTGCAATTTCCGTCCAAATTAGAAACTCTCACAGATATACCTAACAACACAACCTCTGTGGAGGTGGTAGCTAAGGTCAGTACTCGAAAACCGGACAAGAAGCTCGACTGGCTCCAATATCTGCTAAATGCCAACAGTCTGATCTATGTGGACCACAAGTACCAGAAGATCGTCATTTCGTTCCGCAGTGATCTCAAACTGACAGACTATATCACCATCTACCAAGATCAAGCAGCAGTTTATTGGCCATTTGTATACAAAGAAGGGTTTTGGAAATCCGTCAAGAAGAAGCTCAGTCCTGATCTCGTCCAAGATCTCTACAGCGTTTACAAGAACAAATACTGGTCCTACTATTGGAGCAACTACCTCAAGTCCAACAGGGTGCACTCTGGTTACTTCAACATTGCAAATCGGATGTTCGAAGAAATCTTTGTTCAATATATAAATACTAAGCAGCAGTATCCAGACTACAAGCTGGTCTTTTTGGGCCACTCTATGGGTGGATCCATAGCTTCCATTGTGAGTTTGAACTTCCATCATCTGGGGATTCCAAATGTGCTTGTGACTTTCAATTCGCCGAAACTGTGGTCAAACAGCATGGCTGACATGTATGACAAAGTCTCGAAAACAACACAGATCAGGAAAGTTTCCATGGACCTGGATACGGGGTATCTGAGGCTCTGGAACACAAGAGACGCGTGGAACTTGTTTCCTCCAGGGTCTCTGCTTGGAGTGATTTTCGCAAAAGCGTACAAACATAGCGGGCTCTCACTGGCCACCGAGCAGAAGAAGTTGGAACTTTCAATGGAAGACCTAGTTGTGGAATATGACCTTTTAGGAAAATGGGACTATGAAATGGAGCATAAGCATTGCAAGTTCATCAAGACCACCGACGAGTTTGCTAATGTCATGTCCTGGGACGCGCATCGTGTATTGCTGAAAGACATATGGGCGTGTGTAGATTTGAAACCGTGAGATTAGAGGTCTGAATCCTGTATTTGTTCGGCGAAAACCGGACCTTCGGAATGGTAAACCTTTGGGCTTTTGTCTGCGCTTTTGATGCTCTTGACACTGACTTGGCTGATTTGGTCACTTTCGTTTTCAAATGGACTTTCATCGGAAGCGAAAGGAACCGACAAATTAAGCGGGGTCATCGGAGGCATGTTCAACGAAGACGGAAGGAACTCTGGCGAGCGGCCTCCAATCGAGTTGGGGATCGAATCTGTTCTAGTTAATGGGTAATGTGGAGTAAACCGATTATTGAGTCTAAAACTCGATCCAGCAAGATACGAAGAACTTCGTGACTTGAAGGAATTGGGCGGAGAAGACTGGTTCAGATTGAAGTTGGATGGCGAGGCGGCCAGCGATGTGGGTATCAACGAAGGGGAATCCGGCGCAGCAAGAATAGCCACAGGTTGAGTGGTTCTGGTGGTACCTTTTGGCGATGTGAATGAGTATTTGCGGTAGGCTTGTCCTTGTTGCGGGATAGATGAAGATGACGATGTTTGCAATAGAGGTAGCCGGTGCTGGTTCAGATTTCGCTGGAAACTGCCTGATGTGGCTGATATAGTTCCAACTTGCTGATTGAGCGAGAGCAATGATATATTAGATGCAGAGGTGATCAAATTTCCCTGGGAGTCCACACCAACGGACGTGGCGAGAAGATCTGGTGACTCGCCGCCCGTTGACAGAGTCTCGCGCATGTCGCGTGGCTCTGTGTCCCGCGAGACTGAGTTTTTGCCACCGCGTGATGTTAATGTATTGATGCTGTCATTATCCTGGAGTGTAGCGTTTGAGGCGTTTTCGCGCATACCAAGTTTCATCATCTGACTCGTCAAATGAGCAGCTGCTCTTTCAGACATCGCTAATAGTGGTGAGGAAAGATAATCGTAAAAGATACGAAATTTGACCTTGCTAGCGATTTGGGTAAGATAAAAATTTTCAATTTCACAGCCCTTTAAAGCAGCAAAATAGTGATAAGCCCTAGACAACTTTAAAATGTATCGTCGATGAAATCTTCCACCTCTTCTGCAATTTCCTCTGCGGTCTCTTCGATGGAGTGCCACAGATCGTGGAATGAGAATCCGGACGGTTTCTCCTCGTCTTCGTCGTCTTCTTCCTCGTCTTCGTCATCATTATCTTTTCCATCACTTATGGAGTCATCACTGGAATCATTTTTCGTGTCGTCTTTGGAGCCTTGTTTGTGACCTTGTTTTGCATCTTCATTTTCTTCGTCGTCTGATTCGTCGTCACTTTCGTCAGCGCCTTGCGAATCGCCCTGTTCCGCCGCCTCCGGTTTCGTTTCCGGCTCCTCCTGCTGCTCCTCAGGCTTATCTTGCTCCTCGGTAGAATCCGACTTCTTTTTTCCCCAAAGTAAATCCACCGTGGCTTCGGAATGCATCAATTCCACCTCAAAGTCTGTGTCCGGGTACGTCTTGGAGTCTGTCCAGTCGGAAGGTAGAGCATGGTCCAACGTCAAGAATGACGTCAGGGTTCCATTGTTGGGATTTGGACTCAGATTCAAAGATTCACAGACAATATTGTAAACCTCGGTGTTCTCAAACGGCACCACCTTATACGACTCGCCAAGCTTGGACTCAAAGTAAGGACCAGTACCGACAAAGAGCGAGCGCATCAGCATTGCCGTGTTGTTGTATCCATGGACTCCCTTAGGCGTGTAGTGTTTCTTCTTGGCCATATCTTCATGCGTGGTGATCGAGTATCCAACGTCAGGAATGACCCAGATCGGTGCGATACGCGAATCGTATGGCCCTTTCCCGCCAAAGAGCACGGTCTCGATATCCTGCTTTTTGTGGACCGAGTAATGGTCTTTCATTGGATCGGCTTCCCGGTTTTGTAATAGTTCCTCGTACACAGAATCCACATCGTACTCAGCATACGGACGCAGTCCAAACAGAGGCCAGCCGTCGGTGTGTTCGATCTTGCTCAGCTCGACCAGGTCGTCCAAATATATCAAACGGTCGTCCGATGTTGGAGCCATTCCGTGGTCGGAAACAATCACCACATTCACCAGATCCCTCAAATTGCGCTGCTCGAGATTCCAGTAAAGCGACTCTAGGAAGTTGTCAACGTACACGAGTCCCTTGGACAGTTCAGGCCCAGAAACTCCGTACTTGTGGCCCAATGAGTCGATTGTAGGCACGTAAGACAGCATGAGCTCGGGTCTGGTTTCGATTGGTCTATCGATCCACTCCATAAGTCTTTCCACCTTTCTAGATAGAACTTCTGACTGGTTGAACTTATCAACGTCCATAGGATTCAACTGCGCACTATAGTCAACCTCAGATCCAGGCCACATATGAACAGCACTGCTAACTCCTTGACGAGCTGCCGTGGACCACAAAGGTTCTCCTCCCCACCATTGGGGTTGGAGAGCAATGGAATTATTGGTGTTGACGAATGCCTCGTTTGTGGCAGAGTCATAGAACCGGTTGGACACTATGCCGTGATAGCTGGGCTTTAGACCGGTGACCAAAGTGTAATGGTTAACGAACGTGACTGTTGGGTTTGATGGTATCATGTATGGGGGTCCATAACCTTTGCCAGAGATGAGCTTGCTCAAAAATGGAGTTAGAGCCAAAGATATGTAATGAGGGTGAAACCCATCTAAGGAGACAAGAATGGTTGATGGATAGAATTGGTGTGTTCCGTTGGACAATAATGGTTTGACAGCGCTCTTTATGGTAGCATGTCCTTGTTTGTGGGTCAACAGGTAGGAAATCAGCAGAAGCAGTGCCACAAAGCCTATCAATGTCAAATGGAAGAGGAGTTTTTTACGGGACCTCTTCTTCGGTGGAGCAAAGTCTCCGACGTCTGCAAAACTGGATTCCGACCGGTTTCTATCGAACATTTCAATCGTGTCAAGATACTGGAACTCGTTGCGTGGAGTCTTGAGTAAGTTGGAGAATTTTGTCTTCAGCTTGCCAAAAGCAGATTCTGGCGATGGCCGGAGATTCTGCAGATCGAGCGAAACATTATCGTCGTCGTAATCGTCGATCTCGAAATTCTCATCGTCAATATCGAGATTCGTCACTGGAACATCGACAGGGAACCCAGAGGCCATTTTTGGATGGGAAGACCAATTTATTAAAGGGGAGAAATAAAAGGAATAATTTTTAACAAAGAAAATTATGGTTCTTCTTCTTCGGTCTTTAAGAGTCTCAGCATGGAGACACTACGCCACTGTTAGCTCTTCTGGAGCAAAGAAGGTTTCAGAGACCAACAAGCTCGAACACACGCTGTCGAAATTCTGGGACAAAGTCGGTCTTGCCGAGAAAGATGACGGATACCATATCCAGCTGGATGGAAAGTCGATAAAGACTCCGTTGGGATTCCAGATGTCTGTTCCAAAATCTAAGCACAGTTTGGCTTACTTGTTGGCAAATGAGTGGAAACACCTGCCAAACTTGCAAATTAGACCGTACTTGGTCCCATTGACGTCTCTCGTTTCCAGATGCATCGATCTTGAAGAATCTCACAGATCCAAGGATCCTGAACTCTTGGCCAAAGTCGGCGATCTCGACAGCATCAAGGAGATGCTGCTCAGATACCTGGACACAGACACTTTGCTGGTGTTTTCGCCGGCAGCCGACTGCGAGGGCAAGTTGAGAAAGGCACAGGAAGAGACATACCGTCCAATCATCAAGTCCATGGAAGAGTATTTCCAGAAACACGCCCAGGCTGGCGAACCAATCAATCTCACCTACATGGACTCGGACATACATGGGCTTGTTGGTAACAAGCAGCCAGAGGCCACCGTCAAGGCAGTCCGCAGCTGGCTGGACTCGCTGGACGTGTGGTCGATCGTGTGTCTTGAGAGAGCCACATTGACGGCCAAGTCGTTCCTGACTGGTGTGGCTATTCTCAGACTCAACAACAAGGACGACTCGTTCGACGTGACCGTTGACGAGCTCGCCAGGGCAGCTACTTTGGAAACCATCTTCCAAACTGAACAATGGGGTGAGGTCGAAGACACCCACGATGTGGACAAGGTGGACGTGCAAAGAAATCTCAACAGTGCTTCGCTGATCGTCTACAACCATTAAAGGAATGCTGTATATATCATTAGACGATTATTTAAAAGTATTGGATGCAGTGGATGTAGATGTAATGAATGTTTTGAAAGATGCGTTGCCGGTGCCTGTGCTGAGGCCGGAACTTTGGGAGCTGGAGTTGGAGATGGCGGTCGATCTGGTCTTCAAGATCTCCGATAGTTGATTGGCATTAACTGAAGACTCGGTGGTTAGTCTGAAAAGAGTGACTGTGCTTTGCAGGTCGGAGCTGGTGATGTGGATCACTGTTTCTGATGAGCGTCTGACAATGGTACTGTCGTTGAGTTTGACCAGGAACTCTGTTCCCAGATCGGACTCGATACGGGTCCCAAACAAAAAGGTTTCGGTACTTGTTTGCAACAGAAGAAGATCAACGGTCACTGGTTGAGACCAGCGACTTTCTTTCCAATGGCACCATTGAACTCTTTGCAAAAACGTATGGGTGCTGTTAGCAAGAAGGTTCTCCACCTCCGGCACTTTTTGTTCGTTCACTGGTTGCTTCTTCTTGATGATGTTCGAAAGCATGCCAAACACCGACTGCCGTTTTTTCTTCAGATAGCTGCCGTCAATTCCGTGCTGGTAGTTCTGTGCAAACTTTTGAGCATCGAACATGTTCAACTGAGAGTCAGAGACGGCCTGCAATGGCATCTTGGTGTCCGGTTTGGAAGTGCTCTTTGGCAAGCTTCTTGGTGGAACATTGTGGTCTCTTCTGTAAGCCTTGACTTCTCTAACCTCATGCTCGCTAACCACATCACTCTGGGGATCGGACTTGGTCTTCTGGATCAAAATTCCCATGCCCATCGAGCGTGTTTTGGTCAGTTGGACGTTCTTCTTCCAAAAAGATAGCAATTTATCAGCGATGTCTCCATCAAGCTTCAAATAGATACAGATCCCTTTATCCAACGTGTGTCTGAAAAGGTAGACTTCCTCTTCAACTTGCTTGTCGTATTGAAGCTCATTCGCACGCAATGGCGGAAACAACAAAGCCCTGTGACCCTTCTCGACTGAAACCATCGCGACGGTATTGTTCTTCAGAAAAACCAGCTCCATGGTCTTGTAGATCAATGAAACGTCCAACTTCTCGTTTGTGTAGTACATTTCCGTTTCGTACCGATCAACCATGGCGTTCACGTTGAAACTGGAGCAAACCATTGCAAAATCGGTAATAGACCGAACATTGGCGAAATTGACATGATTGTCCAATTTCTTGCGCTGGACTTGATCCATCTTCCGCGCCTCCTCAATCAGCTGGCCCAATCTGTGGAGAGCGATTTCCAGATCGGAAAACACGGTCCCGCCTTTCGAATGTTCAATCTGCAAGCTCAACAAGTTCTTGACAGTCTTGACGCTCTGGTGCAGGTAAGCGAGTCTCAACAGTGGCTGTCTGCGCAATTCCACCTCCGATAACGATTGGTTGTCACGGATCCGGTACAGTTCAACGTACTGGCGGTATCCCTTGTTTGCGGAGATGCACCAGCGTGCAAAATTTGCAGCAAGCTCCATCAGGTCTTTCTGTTCCAATATGGACCCCAAATCTTTGTGCGACACGATCAACAAACGAACAACCTTGGTGAGCTTCGTGTTCATCGCCTGCCGATGGTCAACCAGCTCGTCGAAATCGTCGTCTATCTTGTCGTCAAAATAGTTATTGTACCGAGAGTCAAACGCGTTCACCAACCGCAATAACGAGCCCAGCTCGTTACGGTAGTGTGAATCACTGGTCCGTATCTGGTCCAACACCTGTTCTATGTCGACTGGAGAGTTCATTGATCAACAGAACACGAGAAAAGAGTACAATCCGCTGCCCAGATTCTCGTCCATTTAACCTCCCTTTGACATTTTGATCTAAGCCGCACATCGAGCCGCACACCACGGTCCCAAAGGAGAAGATCTAAAAAAAAATTCCCCTTCTACACGAACGCGCAACTTTGCCTAGTGGCTCAACTCCAAAAGTGCATCCACGCACTCGCCAATGCTGCCGCCTGCCTCAAGCTGTGTCTTGGAAACCACCACATCTGTAATAAGGTCGCGGTCCAAATTTGGAAACATTGAAACCAGTGCTTCTGTAGTTTCTTCACGCTGCTTCTGAAGAGCCTGCTCGTGTTCGTGTTCTTCCAAAGATAGTTTCTTGATATCTATCACTTCCTGCTTCGCGGTCGACCCTGGGGTCGGCGAAGGCGAGCTTTGGAAAAGGTTGTTGAACGACGAAGACAGCGACTGCTTCATCATCTCTGCAGACTTGGTCAGCACGGCAGACGGCGATTCTGTCGAGCTCGATCCAATCAGCCCTGTCAGCGACTTTGGCAGCGGCGATAGTATGTCGGAGTTTCTTTGCTCTTCTTTCAGTTTCTTTTCTTCCTTCTCTTTCTCCAAACGTTCTTTCGCAGCATTCATCTCTTTTTCATAATCATTGTCATCTATCGTCAGTTTCTCCTTGTCCAGGTCGATAATGAAGTTGCAAGCAATTTGCATAGTGCTTACATAGTACGAGGTTTCTCCAACAAGGAACTCCTCGAGTCTGAACCGCTCAATATAAAGCAAGTTCGAATAGAGCACTTTGGGCTTTGCTTGCAACAACACGTAAATTAGCAACGGGACGAACGAGTCCGCATTCTCTTCTATCTGGTGCAGCTTCTGCTGTTGCCTTATCAGACCAAAAATGATCTTGCAGCAGTTCAAGATACAAATAATCTTGTCCCTTGGAGACTTGTAGTTATTGATTTTGTTGATTTCGTCAGAAGCCAGCTTGACAAAATTAGATTCCACACTCAACGCAACGGGGATGTCAAGATGTTTTGGCGTAATCCAGTCGTAAAGACGAATCTTGTGGTGGTAACTGCGATCATTCTGTAAGTCTTCTTGCTGTTGTTCGGATAGCTTTTGTTTCGGGGTTGCAGGAGCAAACACCTGTGAATATAATCTCGTGAGAACAAGTTTCTCTATACCTTCTTTGCAATTATCCAGTTCAAGCTCGTCTTGAATCATGTTGAAGGGATAGTACTGCAACATCTTGTCGTAGAGAAATGCCTCAAAATCCTTAATCAGCTTGACCTGTTCGTCCACGGTCCACGACCTTTGCGTGAACTGGGTCAGGAAAGACCGCAAATACTTCTGGATTGGCTCGCACTGTTTGTTCTTGAACATTGTAAGGAACTTCTGGAAGTCAAATACCACTCCTTTTTTGGTGGAAGTGGGTGGATTAGGGTACTCGGTGGGCAATCTGCTGCTCTCTGTCCTCTTAAGAGTCTTCCGCTCTTCCTTCTGATTGTTTGGCTCACTTAGCGGTAATATTTGCTCCTCCTCTACTTTGGGCTCTGTTGGTGTCTCTGTCTTGCCGTCTGTATCTTCTGGTTCGGAATCCGACTCATCGTTCAGCTCTTGTCCTTCTCCATAGCTAGTAGAAGTGATCTGTTGTGACGTACTCGACTCTGGAGTGGCTTCCTTTGCGGCCTCTGTGGCTGCGGTCGGTGTTTCAGATGTTTGTTCTTGTGCTTGTTCTGGCTCTGGTTCTGGGACTGCACTTGGCGCTTCAATTGGCTGCTCTTTCTCCTCGACGGTGGGAGTTTCCTTAGTCTCTAACGGGGGAGACTTGCTGTGAATAGATTGGCTTCTAAGAGAACCCTTGTCGTGGTGGTCGGTGCTGTCTTTGTCGAATTGCCCTAGGAAGTCAATCAAACTGGCCTTGTCGGCAGGCTGCGAAGACCCGGCAATCGACACCGAGCTCGAAACACTCACCGAGGGCTGTGGCGATTGCAGAGAGGGCAACATGAGACCCTGAGATTTGTCTTGTGACACTTTGCGGAGGTTCTGAAAGGACATGATAAAATTGGTGCAAAGGTGAACAACAAAAGTTTATCGGTGTAAAGATGGAGCGAAGGCGGTGATTACATAAGTTTTTAGGGCGTACGTTTTTTTTTTTTTTCTTCCTTCTCTATACCAATCGGCTTTCTGTGCTTAGCGGATTAAATTATGGAAAACGGTCGGCACCCCGCGACCTTTTTTTAATTTCTTTTCGCAGCAGGGACCCCCACGTGCTAATTAATTCCACTAATTTTTTTTGTATGCACACGAGGAGGTGCTACTTCGGCTAAATGTGACAGCACGTGGACATCCTGAAAACGAGCGTACAATAGGAATTTCGGTAAAAGGGCCATTGAGACCAATCAGATCATCATTTATTGCCTTATTTCGTACTGTCGCCTATTGTAGTGGTCTGCCGATGGGATAAATCTTTGCAACATCGTGGGTAATTAAAAAAAAATGTGCACTTGTGGCCAGCCGCATGATTTTTTTTTACGCAGCTGTAATTCATGTATATATAGATGCAGGATCTTCCACTGAAATTATCTTCGCAACAGTCTAATGTCTGAGTACAAAACTTCCGGTGGTAACGCCGCCTTCCACAACTATATCAATGACTTCGCTCATGTCACTGACCCTCTCGAGAGAAGAAGACTGGCTCTTGAAAAGATCGACAACGCAAGTTTCGGATGGTACCACGTCAGAGCTGTCATGGTGGCCGGTGTTGGTTTCTTAACCGACGCTTACGATATCTTTGCCATCAACTTGGCTATCTCTATGCTGGCTTACGTCTACTGGGGTAACGACATGCCTACTTCCACCAACACTTTGTTGAAAGTGTCCACCTCTGTTGGAACTGTTATTGGACAATTTGGTTTCGGTTTACTCGCAGATCTTTTCGGAAGAAAGAAGATTTACGGTACTGAGTTGATCATCATGATCTCTGCCACCGTGCTTCAATGTACCCTTGGTGAATCCAAGGCCATCTCTTTCCCAGCTATCCTTACTTTCTACAGAATTATCCAAGGTATCGGAATCGGTGGTGACTACCCATTGAGTTCCATTATTACCTCCGAATTCGCCACCACCAAATGGAGAGGTGCCATCATGGGTGCTGTGTTTGCCAACCAAGGTTGGGGTCAACTTCTTGCCGGTATTGTCGCCATTATTTGTGTTGCCGGCTACAAAGATGTTTTGATTGTCGCAAACACCTCTGCTGAGTGTACCGGTGACTGTATCAGAGCTTGTGACCAAATGTGGAGAATCGTCGTTGGTTTCGGATGTGTCCCAGGTTTGATTGCTCTTTACTTCAGATTGACCATCCCAGAATCCCCAAGATACACCTTTGACGTTTCCAGAGAGATTGAAAAGGCTACAGCTGACACTGCTAAGTTCACCTCCGGTATGCACGGTGACGCTGAAGCCGGTCAAATCGAGGTCCTGAAGGAGACGGAGCAAGCACTTTCCGAGAACGAGGTTGCTGGTCCGCCAAAGGCTTCTGCTAGAGACTTCTTCGTCCACTTCGGTAAGTGGAGACACATGAAGATTTTGATTGGTACTGCAGGCTCCTGGTTCATGTTGGATGTTGCCTACTACGGTCTCGGTCTTAACACTGCATCTATTCTTACCACCATCGGATTCGCATCTTCCAAGAACGTTTACCATTCCCTTTACAACCAAGCTGCTGGTAACTTGATTTTGATTTGCGCTGGTTCCATTCCAGGTTACTGGTTCACTGTTGCTACCGTGGACACTGTTGGAAGAAAGCCAATTCAAATCGGTGGTTTCCTCATTTTGACCGCTATCTTCTGTATTATTGGATTCGCATACCACAAGCTTCACGACCACGGATTGCTTGCACTATACATTCTCGCCCAATTCTTCCAAAATTTCGGTCCAAATACCACCACTTTCATTGTTCCTGGTGAATGTTACCCAACCAGATACAGATCTACTGCCCACGGTATCTCGGCTGCTGCCGGTAAAGTTGGTGCTATTGTTGCTCAAACCTGTATCGGTACTTTGCAGGACCACAACTGTGCCAGAGACGGAAAGAAGAAGAACTGTTGGTTGCCACACGTGATGGAGATCTTTGCTCTCTTCATGTTGGTCGGTTTCTTCACTTCTCTGCTTATTCCAGAAACCAAGAGAAAGACTCTTGAAGAGCTTTCTGAGGAGCTCCACGGTGAGGTGGATGTCTCCAAGCAGCACTTGAGAGTGAACTCTTCGGACGAGGACGGTGAGAAAATCGTGTAATTTACATTCGCTTTAAATTCCAAGAAATTTCTATCTGGAAAAATAATTTAATATTCATCTATATGTTCGATTCTTCTGTGCATAATAAGCAAGTGTGCACTTTCTTCCAAAAAGTGGGCGCCTGTCGTCATGGCGATAAGTGTGTGCGCACGCACGTTTATCCGAAACACTCGCGAACCATTTTATTCCCAAAGCTTTACGACAATCCGAAACATGTGGAGGAGTCCAAAAGAGACGATTCTGGTCCTTCGAACCCCAACCCGGTGATAGAGTCCAGTCTGGATGAAACTCAAACACAGCAACGCATCGATTCCTTGTACAAAGATATATTCATCGAACTGGCTCTCAAATACGGGCCAATTGAAAAAATGGTGATATGCGAAAACGTCAACCCGCACTTGAGTGGCAATGTTTATGTTCGGTTCAGAGACGAGACCGATGCTATGAAGTGCTACAAAGAGTGTAATGACCGGTGGTACAACGGGAAACCGATTTTCGCAGAGCTTTCGCCCGTCACCAACCTCGACGACGCAACCTGCCGACTGTACGATACAAACGAGTGCGATCGAGGAGGCATGTGCAACTTTATCCACGAACGGCGTGCGGACTCGCGTCTCGAACGCGACCTATTTGCCTCCCAACGACGGCTCGCCTCTGAAAGACGCTACTGAATCTCTGGTGCGAGGTGGGGAGTCAGTCGGACCTCGACATTTAGCTAATGTATAATAATTTTTCCTAACACGCACTACGAAAAGAAGATAAACATGAATCTCGTTCCGGAGTTTGTTGGAAAATCGTCGTCGGAGCTCTTTGGGGAGTATTCCATTCAACAACTTCAGGAAGTGAAGGACCAATTGGCCAAAGATGTGAACAGTAAGAAGCTGGAGCTGCGGTCGTTGGTTGGAAACAATTATAGAGACCTGTTAAAGGTTGCGGATGATATCATCCAGATGAATGATCTGGCAACCCAACAGACGACCAAGATGTCAGATTTGACTTTTAAGAAGGCGTCGTATTTCGATAAACAGCTTCCGAACCTCACCAAGTTCGAGACGTTTGTGAGACAGCACGATGAACAAGCTGCGAAGACCCGTAACAGATCAGTTGTTTTGCGCAATGTGGTTAGCCATTTGGACTACTGTTTGGAAGTCTTACGGAGCGACGTCGAAGAACTGCATAAGGGGACCCAATCATTTGAGAATGAGGACGAGGATAGCTCGCACGACGCGATCTCTGCACAATTTATCCAACTCGGTAAACAGGTCTACCTGATCCAGCAGTTCTTCTCAAACGAGCTTAAAAACGACATTTTCACAGTTACAAAGTTTTACAAGCTGAAACAATCATTTCTGGAGGATCTGGGCCAGCAGATCGCCAACTCTGTTGGAGACAATGATAACGAGTACATTCTAAATCTGGTTGCAACATACATTTTCACTTCTCAGGTGAAGCCAATAGAGGCATTCGAATGGTTTTTGGGTCTCCGTTTGGTGAAAATCAAAGAGTTTGAGCTCGACACAGATATCTACACCTGTTTGAACTACGTTTTCAACACTCTCAATTTCCTCGGCACTCTTCGTGCCAAACTATCCACGATCCTCATGCGCCAGATATACAACTCAAGCAACTCCAACTGGACAGCCACTCCTCGTTTCAACAAGTACACTCGGTGGCTTGACATCCCTGCCGATTATAAGGTGGATTTCCCGTTGACGTTGGCAGAACTAAAGAATAACTCCGATAAACAGCTAGACAAGATGTCAGACGAGTGGAAAATCGAGGTTGGCAAGTGTTTCCACGAAAAACTTACTTGTGTGTTCTCCACTTCGTCAAATTTTGACCAGCTCTCTGGGTCCCTCAGTAAGGTTCTTGGTTCGTTCAAGAAATTCACGTCGCTGGTCGACATCAAGTATTCCCAAGACGACAATCTGATTGGAAACTTGCTTGAGACCTGGAAAACCGAGTTTTTGAAACTATTGGGAGTCGATATCGACCTCTTCCAAAGCATATCCGATCTGATTTTGGAAACATACCAAAACACAGACGTTTTGCATTCCGTCAGAACAACATCCGGTCTGAACCTGTTCAAGTACACCGACTTGTCTGACATCGATCTGTACATTTCCCAAATTTCGAGTCCCGCGTCGAGCACGATCGAGTCGATTGTGACGCGGTTGGTTCAATTCAAGACTGCGCTTGCAACGGTGATGGAGTCACTCCAAGGACTTGGAAAGCTCTCCAATTCTTTGACAAAACAGGTGTTATCTATCGATGACCATGAGAACGACCAGTTCTGGGAATCCACGTCCAAGTATCTGAACAGTACTCTTGACGAAGGCATTCAGTATGTAATCCAGAGACTGAATGAACTTCTCAAAGGGTTCCTTGACCAAATCACCCAACTGACCGAACAGGAAGAAGTCTCAACTGTTAAATACTTCTACATCATCCGCATTTTGTACCAATTGAGAGAGAAGATCGATTTGGAAGCCATTTACGACAACTTCAGAAGTCTCGCAGTCACATCTCAAGAAATCGAAACACTCGATCTACCAAGTCTTGTGGACGAGCTGTTGGTCAAGATATTCAAACCATTGGTGAGTTCAATCTCCGCTCCATATAAGGAGTCCTTGCGCGAACTCGTCACCTCTCGTCCGTCTAAAAAGTACCCAGAAACCGGTCTGTGGGCTGTTGACGACGCAGAGAACCTGGTGCCCAACACTCCTTCGTTGGAGGTGGAGAACCTGATTTACAAGCTAAGCGGAAACCTCACCAACGTTCAGGATAATCCAAATGAGGACTATGGAGACGTTTACTTTAGCGACAAGTTCTATGACGCAAAAGTCGAGCTTATAGACGAGCTTGTTCAATGCTTGGCTACGGGGGAGCAGAAAGAGGCTGAGACAGAAAAATCCGAGGAGGCGTGCGAGACACTGCCTGAACCAAGCATAAACTCTCTGCTTACGTTTGCCGATCTCGTATTCCTAGCCTGCTTCAAGCTGAAATCGCATACAGAAAATGAGCTGTCTGCAATTGTGGGGAAGGTGGACTCCCGGGTTATTGCTGCATTGGTCGAGAAAAACGGACATTTGGCCGACAAGCAGTATCAGCAAGCCATTCTGAAAGGTGTTTTAGACCATTTCAAGAGCTGTATGTTAATGTTTGGCCCGTTGTACTAAAATCTCGAGATCTGCGCCTCGAGGCAAGTCATGTGATCTGCAGACCGTTCAAAGAAAAAGTTCTCTAGCAAGCCTAAAAAACGGTAATGCTGCAGTTTCTTTTTCGCACTTATGGAATCGGACTTAAATTTGACCTGACAGTTTCGCATCCTTGCTCCCCACTGAACTAAATTTGTTCTCGTTGAACGCTCCAAATTCTAAATGATTAGATTAGGGTCTTTCAATTCGCCAAACGTTCGCCCCAGATGGGCATTCTTCCTTCCGCTTCTTTCCGTGGCAGCGTGGTGGGCAATGCTTATAGCAATGGTTGTGTGCTGGGTGGCACAAGGACGGCCAAATTACGAGGATTTACACGTATACATGGCCCACTTGATCATCTATCTGTCGAATGTGGGTGCCACCAACCTGCAGGGGCTGTTCATCGCTGGAGCAGCCACTATGGGGGTGTTTTTCGTTTGGACCATGATCGAAGAAATGTACCTTAGGTCTCGCCGCAAACGGTTTTTGCTGCCTAGCTTTCGTCGAACCGCCACTGTTCTTCATGTCGCTTGTATCATTTTCACGTTTTTGTCCTCGCTATCAATCTTCCTAGTCTCCTGTCTCAAAGACACCAAATTCAGCACAGCTCATTACACCTTTGTTGCTCTATTTATTGTGCTCAATCTCTTCTGGGCCATCTGCAATATCAGTCTTTACTTCATCTACTGGAAACACTACCCTCACTTCCCATGGTTCAAATGGAGTGCATGTCTGAAACTCGTGTGGCTCATTCTGGCTATTGGCCTGGCCATCGGATACGTTGTTACTATGCGGGTAGCAAATTTCAGAGGCAACCAGTCCAAGCTCTGGGGTGTTTCTGGAGTCTTGGAATGGACCCTGTGTTTCTGGTTCGGGGTGGTGTTCTTTATTCTTAGTGTCGATATTGGATTACGATCCAAAGGTGACGCAGATTACCCTACAGACTCCAGCTCTGATTGGGACAAGGAAAACAATCAATCTCATCGGTCCCATGACAACAATGTGCGCGATCCGCCTGAGGGAACCGTACATTATTAATTATTGTCATTCTACAACATTTCTGTAGCTAAAAAGATAGCAACACAATAAAAAAATTATTCTTGCAGATATACTGAAATTAAAAAGGTACACCTAAAGCAAAATCAGAGCGTAGCAATTTTAAATTGGAAACAGCAGCACCACTAACAATCTGTTGCAATTACATTCATTCATAAGTGGGATTTGGGTTTCCAGTTTTTGGTTGTTCCTTGTTTATGAATATTTGCCAATGTCGATATATCTGAATAGAAAAAGACTTGTCAAGATCGGCGCAGGGCTGGTTCTCCTGCTGACGGTGCAACTAATTTTGATGTTCTCGTCGCGGTCGAAGTCTACTGATGAGGTGATTGTCGATAAGGAACCGCCGCCAGTCGTGGCTGTTGGGAAGGTCGACATGGACAAGACTTCCCAACCAGACACGGTAAGCCATAAGAACAGGCTGAAGATCGTGGACGGCTCGCACGGGTCCAACGTCATCAATCTTAGTCCAGAGCCGCTTATGTTTAGCTCCGCAGAGAATCTGTTTAGTCTACTAGTGGAGACCAAGCCAAAGTCGCCGCCTTTGACCAACTACATCAACGGTGAGAAAGCCGAACAAAAGTTTTCAAGCGACCCGGACTTCCACTTCAGCAAGAGCTATCTCTCGTCGCTGTTGGAGGTGAAGGGCACCACATTGCAGGAGCTCAAGACCCAGCATCAAGAGTTTGTGGAAAAAATTCACCATCTCAACATGAGCATATTCGGAGACAAACACAAGACTATCGACGGCGAAGGGATCGTCATGGTGGGTGGAGGACGTTTCTCGTGGCTATCGTTGCTCAACATCAACCAATTGAGATCTACTGGGTGTAAATTGCCCGTTGAGGTGTTCATTGCTTCGGAGCAAGAGTACGAGCCAGACTTCTGTGAAGACCTTCTCCCGTCGCTCAATGCCAAATGTATTCTCGGATACAAGGAGCTGCCCATAGTGAAGTACCAGAACCGGCTCGAAATTGACGGATACCAATATAAAATTCTGGCCATCTTCACTTCCTCCTTCAAAAACGTGCTTCTACTCGACGCAGACAACGTTGTGGTGCGCGACCCGCGTCATCTGTTCGAGTGGCCCGATTTCCTGTCAACGGGACTGGTTGTGTGGCCAGATTGTTGGTCCAGAACAACACACCCTTACTATTACGACATTGCAGGAATAACTGTTGGGGACCGGCCAGTGCGTGGCCAGTTCATGGAGAGTGAATCTCCCGAAGACTGGAACTTCCACGACCTGCCAGGAACGCTGCCCAACCCGTCGAGCGAGTCGGGAATGCTTCTCGTGAATAAAGAGAAGCATGTCGACACCATGTTGCTTTCCATGTACTACAACATGTTTGGACCTTCGCACTACTATCCGCTTCTGACGCAGGGCGGAGCTGGCGAAGGAGACAAGGACACATTCATTGCGGCAGCGTACGCTCTTCAAAAACCAATTTATCAGGTGAAACAAAGCATGAAGTTCCTTGGATATCACGACGACTACGGATACCATGCTAAGGCTCTAGGACAATGGGATCCAACAACTAACACAGAGAAACACATGCCTCCCTACATGTCGAACTACTACGTTGCCCCTGAGGACGACGACTCGCAGCTGATGTTCATGCATTTGTCTTATCCAAAGTTGTATCCAGACAAGCTTCGCGAGGAGATATCTTGGGAGCAGAACGGCGAGCTCCACCACCGGAAACTTTATCCGGGCGACTTGCCGAACCACGACTACGGTTTCGATCTACGTATGTGGGAGCTAATCACACAGCTGATATGTCCTTCGTGGCGGCCCAACTCGGACGAAAACCCAGCTTCTGTGGAGATTCCTGATAAATTAAGAGGACTCGACATGCACTACATTCAAACGTCGCAATCGTCAAAAGAGTGCGAGGACTTGTTCCTGCCTCATTTGGAGTATCTTCGAACGCACACCGCCACCGATGACGGTGTTTATAGATACGAATGAGCCATTTTATAAAGCTTGCGCCTGAGCTGCCACCTCCTTGAATGTGTCCATGGTGTCAAAGACAGTGGACAGCATTCCCAGGAACCCGACAGTCAGGTCGCTCAGACACCCTTCTGGCAAAGACCAGTGGACTGTTAGTGGCAGATTGGCAAGGTTGGAGATCAACGGCCGGTTGAGTTCTCTGTTGGACAGCAAATTGAGAGGTTGGCCGGATCTTTTTAGCTGGACCATGGTTTTGGACAGCTTGAACACCTCCAGGGCCACGAAAACTGCCCACATCCGCGACGACACAACATAATACCACAGGGCGGCGCTGCTGCCGTGGTTTGTCCAGCCGTGTTCTGCAGCGAAGCCGATGTTCTCGAACGGCTGGTAGCCCACAATGGCCACTGTGTCTGTTATTTCCAGGAGCTTTGTCACCAGTCTCCTGTCAGACGTCCACGTCTGTTTTATTTCCTCTATTCCAAAAGCGAGCAATGCGGGCAGGCCCCACATGCGATTGAATATACGCACATCAGCAATATAATCAGAAAGCAGACGCAGTTTCGCGGCCAGTGGATCCAATGACCCCACAAAGGCCTGCTTTGCACACACGTAGTGTTTCTCTGGCACCAACTGTTTCAGTTTGGCCAGGTAGACTCGGATCACGCTCAACACAGACGTGAGTTGTAGTTTTTGCACCAGCTTACTCAGAAGGGAAGCTAGTTCCGGTCGTCTCTTGATAAGCTCGGAAACAAACAACGAGCCGTAGCAGACCGTCGACAACAGCGAGTCCAGCTTCACTGGGTCCGCAAACGGATTGTTGACCAGCTCGTAAAGTTTTGGGTTGCTCAACAGGCGTAATAAATATTGCACTTGTTGCACAGTCTTTGTCATTTGTTAAACTATCTAACTTTTTTTTATCTATATACAAGATCTAATATAGCTTTTTTCAGCCTTCCACGATAAAAACGATGGTTGACGGCTTGAGGATGACTTTTTTAATTTTTCTGTCCCCGATCCATTTCTGTCCGTCTGGTGTGGCTATCACTTTTGCAATACACTCTTCCTTGTTGTTTGTCAGACCCTCTGGGCCTGGGTAGATGAACCGCATCTTGCCGTTAACCATGACGGTGTATGGAATGGTAGCTGCAATCAACGGCTGAGGCTGGGGCCAGTCAGCAGCCAAAACAGATTCCGCTTTCCACGGATGCAGAACCTCGTTCGCCTCCTCGCAAACCCCCGGAGCCACAGGGCTCATCGCTTTCAGGAGATCCAGATAGTACAGGTAGAGAACCTCTGTAGAAACGTCCGGGTTATTTAGCTCTCCGTACAATTTGTTGGTGTACTTCATGTAATCGGAAATGACCGTGTTCATGGACAACGATCTGGCAAATGAGTCGGTGATCGATGCTAGCAGCTGCTGTGTCTCGTTGTGGATCGAGATCTCTGCATCGGAGTACTCTTCCGTGGGCTTGGTCTTGATCTCAGAACCAATGCGTCCATTGAGAACATCTGCCACACTCAGCACCTTGTTCAGCCATCTCTCAACACCAACGATTTTGCTCTCCTCCCAGTTGAGCACATCCTCGATCGGAGCTTGGAAAAGAATGTGTGCACGGGTCGCGTCCGCGCCGTGACGCTCAATACACTCTCCCGGGTCTGCGCCGTTGTATTTGGACTTGGACATCTTTTCAAAAGACACCAATGCCTTTTCGCCCGTCTCCTTCACCAGAACATTGTTCTCTGGTCCGACTTCGTACTCGTCTGGCTTCAGAAACTTGCCAGTTTGAGGATCGCTGAATGTTTTGCCGTGAACCATTCCTTGGCTCACCAGCTTCTTGATTGGCTCACCCCTTGTCTGGCTACCGTCCCAGTAACCGATCTTGCTCAGGAACTTGGACACGAACCGGACGTACAGTAAGTGAAGAATGGCATGCTCGACTCCTCCCAAATACTGGTCCACGCACATCAGCGGACTCACTTTCTTGGGATCAATAATGTCCTGCTTGTTCTGCGAATCAAGATACCGGAACAAGTACCACGACGAGTCCACAAAAGTGTCCATTGTATCTGTATCTCTCTTGGCAGCACCTCCACAGGACGGACAGTCAACGTTCACAAACTCCGCGATCTTGGCCAAAGGAGACCCGCCTTTGCCCAACAGCTTATCCACGGCAGGAAGAAGCACAGGCAGCTGGTCGTCGGGAACAGGCACGGTTCCACACCTGTCACAGTGCACCATCGGGATAGGAGCACCCCAGTACCGCTGTCTGCTCACAAGCCAGTCGCGCAATCTGTAGTTGATCTGCTTTTTGCCAATCTGCTCAGACTCGAGGTGCTCAATAATTTTTGCACGAGCCTCTTGGCACGTCAGACCGGCCAGCAAGCCGGACTTAGCGTTCATCACACCGTCCTCAAAGAACGGCTCGTTCTCTTTGGCACCAGAAGCTGGCTCCACTGTGGCCACAATCTCTGTTTCGCCCATATTCTTCCAAAACTCAAAGTCACGCTGGTCGTGGGCAGGACACCCCATCACTGCCCCGTGGCCGTAGCTGGAAATCACGTACGGCGCAACGAAAACAGGAATCTTTTCCTGAGTCAGCGGATGGACAGCCTCTAGAGGAATCTTGGTCCCGGTCTCGTACTTCTTGGCCAGTTCAGCATCTGCCTGTGCTATTATGGATGCGAAAGGATGATCTGCTGCCAGAGCCAGATATTGAACACTGTATAACGTTTCTGGCCGAGTGGTATAGACAAACACCTCTGAATCTCCAACCTTAAACTTGATTTCCGCTCCCACGCTCTGCCCAATCCAGTTTTTCTGCATGGCTTTGACTTTATCGGGCCACTGGTCTAAAATCTCCAAGTCCTGGTTCAACTCGTTGGCGAACTTAGTGATCCCCAGAAACCACTGCTCAAGCTGTTTCTTCTCGACAATCGCTCCCGACCGCCACGACCGACCCTCTGAGTCGACCTGTTCGTTCGCCAACACCGTCTGGTCCACGGGGTCCCAGTTGATCTCAGCTTTCTTCCGATACGCGTAGCCGTGCTTGTACATAGACAAGAACAGTTTCTGTGTCCATTTGTAGTAGTCTGGGTCACAGGTGGTGATCTCGCGGTCCCAGTCGAAGTCGGCAAACATGAGTTCCATCTGGGCTTTCATCTTGGCTATGTTGAGTCTTGTCCATTTTTCAGGACTAACATTACGCTCAACAGCGGCGTTCTCTGCAGGCAATCCAAAGGCGTCCCAGCCCATCGGATTAATCACATGGTGTCCCTGCATCCGATAGTATCTGGCAAGCGCATCAGCGATCGTGTAAACCCGAAGATGACCCATGTGAAGGATCCCCGATGGATACGGGAACATCGACGTAGAGTAAATCTTACCCTTCGTAGGAGCGATCTTGCGACGCGGGTTCAAAAACGTGTTCTGACTCTTCCAAATAGCCGTCCATTTTGCGTCTAGTTTGGTTAAATCGAAAACTCGTCGAGACATTGCAATTGATAGAGATGATGATTTTTCTTGAAATATTTTAGCACTCGTTATTTATTTATTTTGTTTATGAAGCGATCCGCAGAGGAGCTGTTTGAGGTCCAAAATTTACGCTCGTCGTCAACAAGCGTGGAAACAGAGACCGCTAGTCTTGCGGAGGCGGTTGACTCGATCAACACGGCCAGTTCTGCAGACCAAATAGCGGTGCAGGACTCCCAGATCGATGTTAACCAGCAGTTCACTCAAAACGTGACGCGGCAGCTCAAGCGACGTCGCGTGCTGGGATTGATGACCCAGGCCCATAATTCTGATCTGAGTGAGGTTGATGGCAGTCCTGCCAAGGCAGGAATCATTCTGAAGCTCGAGCTGCACAACTTCATGTGTCACGCGGCCTTCAAGCTAGAGTTTGGTGAACAGACAAACTTTATCATTGGACGAAACGGTTCCGGTAAGTCGGCTATTCTCACAGGGATATCTGTTGCACTGGGAGCCAAGGCCAGCGACACAGATCGAGGAAACTCGCTCAAAGGTCTTATAATGCACGGCAAAAACGTTGCACGAGCGAGCGTCACGTTCAAAAACGAGGGAACTGAAGCGTATAGACCGGACGAATACGGAAAGACGATCATAATTGAACGGGTGATCAAAGCAGACTCGAGTCCCTCGTGTCAAATTAAAGATGAGTCTGGACGCGTGCGATCTACAAAGAAACAAACCATTGACGATATCCTGGATTATTACGGTATAACCATTGCCAACCCAATGACGATTCTTACGCAAACAGAGGCAAAGACCTTTTTGGCGCATTCTAGCGATGAAGGAAAGTTCCGTTATTTCATGGAGGGCACGAGACTCCAAGAGACGTTCAACAACGTTCAGGAACTACAAAAAGACGTGAACGAAATCAAGCAGAAACTATCTAGCGACGAGGAGATATTTCAGCAGTCAAAAGAGAAGTTGGACCAGACACTTGAGCTCTGGAACAATTTCAAGAACTCGGATGAGTTCAAAAGACAGCAGGATTTACTATCTGGTAAGAGATTGTGGCTCGAAGTGGTGAACAAAGAGGAACAATTGAGGCTAGCCAAGAACCTTCTTGATGAGCGTCGTGCTGAAGTTGACAATTTTGACAAGTTTGTCGAGGAAACGGAAAACTCTATACGGAATTATCAAGCAGAGAAGGACGAAAAAGCACAGAAACTTTTAGATCTTGACGAGACCTTGCAAAACAAAGACATCGAAAAGGAGAGTATGAAAGAGGAGCTGAAAAAGACTCAGGAATCTCTCAAACAGATTCAGTTGAAGCAAGCGTCGATCCAAAACGAAATCACTGCAGACGAAGCTACTCTAGAGAATGTCGAGAGCCAGATCAACCTGGAAAAGAATCGGCTTGACTCTGATACCAGTGCCACTTTTGGCAATCTACAAAACTTGAAAGCCAAGCAGAAAGAGGAAATGGCTGAGCACCGTACCCGCGTGAACGAGCTCACAGCGGCTGCAGAAGAATTGAAGTTGCAAAAGAGCGATTTGAGCGAGAGTTACCGTCGTGAAGCCAATGAAATCAAACAAGAGTTGAGTACTTTGGAGCAGAGCAAAGCACAATTTAATAACAAACAGGGTAGTCGACTGGACTGTTTTGGTGTTGGCGTTGTTCGGTTGCTTAAAGAGCTGGGGTCGAGCACAAACAGATACAAAGGCCGCATCACAGGTCCTCTTGGAATGAAGTTCTCTCTGAAATCAGAGTACGAGAAATGGGGGTGGGTTTTGGAGATTCTCCTACAAAGACAACTGGGAAGTTTCCTGGTGGAGAACTTTTCCGATTCCAGTATTCTTCGGGATAGAATGAAGTTCTATCAGGTTCATAGCGACATCACTGTGCGCAAAGCAGAGGTGTTTGATTACTCGCACAGTGTTCCTAGAGGAAACCATTTGAAAATGGTGGATGCTCTTTCGTTTTCAGACAAGACCGTCGAATGTGTTTTGGTGGATACGAATCGAATCCACACCACTTTGCTCATTGAAAACCGTACGGATGCTGAGCAGGTGCTGTTGAACGATCACGAAAACAAAATCTCAGCTGTGATTTGTCTGATCCAAGGGGGTGCTTTGCGGATCTCCAAGAGAAATAACCGTTTGCAGACCGATCCAATTACTTCTTTCAAAAATCGTGGATGGATCACGCTTCATCGTACCGGTGACTCTGAAAACCCAGCTTCACAGTATGACAGACAGCTTCGTGAAGCCAACGAGAGACTCAGAGCCGCAGATGCTAGATGGAAGCAGGCGGACAAGAAGATCGAAGACGAGTTACAGGCTTCTAAGAACGAAATTAAGGAGCTTCGTGCCCGTATATCTGTGTTGACCAAAGCATCTGGTAAGATTGACATGAAACTAGAAGAACTTCAAAGCGGTACCGGTAAGCTCGAATCGTACGAAGAGGATCGGGAACGTTTGAGGGGCCAGATCCAGCTGAATGTGGATAGAATCAAGGGGTACAAGGCTGAGTCGGAGACGTTGAAATCTGAGTACCAAAAGGTTAGAGACAAGTTCACTGCTGCTGGCCACCAAATTAAAAGCATACAGAGACAAAAGGCTGAGCTCTCTGATAGCATAGAGCAATTGAAGGACCAGATTGGAGAGTCGCGCGACAGCGTTAGAATGAACCAAATGAAGATCGGCAAGTACAAAAACGATGTGTCGAAGCTGGACGATTTCGTCAACATGCAGCTTCCTCCGGTGATCGAAACCCTGGCCACGAATGCTGGATCGCACTGTTCTCGAGAAGAGGCAGACTTGCAACAGGGTGACACGATCGAGAAAGTCGATGCTCAGATTGAAGCTATTGCTAAGACCTTGTCGAAGATCGAGCAGGATGTTGGTGTCAGTAGAGACCAGGCCAAGCTGAACGTGATCAAAGCACACGACGCTTACAACGACATCAAGAAAAAGTACGATGAGTCTGTCAAGTTGCACAACCACTTGGCCTCCTCTCTACAGGCGCGGCTTGAGAACCTTACTGCTACTGCCAGTTTGCTGATCCAGGAGGTGAACAGTGTTTTCGAGTCTGCTCTCCGGTTGCGAGGATTCACTGGAAAGATCGACTTCGACTTTGCCAAAGCGCGGCTGGTGCTGAGAGTCTCTACAAAGCCTAGCGAGCGATTAAGGAACGTGGAGTCCTTTTCCGGTGGAGAGAAGTCGTTTGCGCAGATTGCGTTTTTGCTGGCCATTTGGAAGCCGATGCAGTCCAAAGTCCGTGGCTTGGACGAGTTTGATGTGTTTATGGACCAGGTGAACAGAAGGCTGGCCTTGAAGCTGATTCTGCAGAAGGTTGGAGAGAATCCAAAGACCCAAACGATCTTCATTACTCCGCTGCAAATCACCCAGGTGGACGGTCTGGACCAATCGTCAGTCCACATCCACGAAATTACACCGCCTGAACGAAATATCCAAGAAAATTAAATTTTAGTGCAGTTTTTCCTCATGCTCGAACAGCTGATCGATACGCTCAAATACCACCACCGTCAGGCTTTGATTTGCATTGTGACGTTGCCGGGATGGGCTTATATTGCGTTCTATGCTGGGCTTGTTGTTCTGGCTGCGCGGTTCCTGTCCAAGTTTTCGTTTGTGAACGTCGTAAAGACGATCGAGCCGATCAACTCAATTCAGTTCTCCACAGACGAGGGGCCGATTTCGTTCAGTGAGCTGGTGAAGCAGATTCCCGAGTTCCGCACAGGCGCATGGAGTCTGATGAACCCATTCTTGTTCCACGGCCATTTGCAGACCATGTATGCTGGGATCCGTAGGTTCAGGTTTGTGGACCGGATCTATTTCGGAAGGGAGATCCTAACGTTCGACGACGGAGCACAGGTGTCCCTTGACCGGATGATTTCCAAAGATAAGTTTCTGGACGGGAGTTTGAAAGAACCCCAAACTTCTGTGCTGCCGAAATCCACTCGGCTTCTGACTACTGCCGAGAGGAAAGAGCTGGACGAGTCGTCCAAGCCGATTCTGCTTGGGTTGCACGGTCTCTCTGGATCGTCTGCGGAGTCGTACATCCGGTGCATTTTCTCGAGAATGCCCGAGTTCGAGTGCATGGTTCTAAACAGCCGTGGCTGCGGAAAAACAGTCCTGAGCACCCCGACTCTGTTCAACGGGTTCTGGACGTACGACGTGCGCGAGACCATCAAGATCCTGCGCGCACGGTCACCAAACCGTAAGATCTACGCCATGGGATTCTCGCTCGGTGCAAGCATCCTTGCCAACTACATCGGCCAATCGGGCGAGAACTCCGGGCTCGACCTGGCCATCTTGCTCGCAAACCCATGGGACCTGAGCCAGTCCTCATACACCATGGACAGCGACTTCATCTGCACGAACGTGTACTCTCCGATCATGACGGTGCCTCTGAAGCAGCTGCTGCTCACTAATTACGACAAGCTCAAGGAAGACCCAAACTTCCGCAAACTCTTTGCTGAACAGTTCAAAGACGTCTACTACCTCGTGGACTTCGACAACGCGTTTACCTCCAGACTGTTCGGATTCAACTGCGCCTCAGAGTACTACCGCAGCGGGTCCTCGATCACCAAGGTGTTCAACATCCGTACACCAACGCTGGCGATCAACTCGATGGACGACCCGATCGTTGGCGGGTGTCGCCAGACGCTGCCAATTCGCGAGACGTTGCTACAGCCGTACCTGGTGAGCGTGTGTACCAGTCTGGGAGGCCATCTTGGCTGGTTCAAGTGGAACAACGAGCGGTGGTACGCGGCCCCGCTGAGCAGGTTCATCTCGGACTTCCACCGCAGAAGCCTTGGTGCCGCAACGGTCGACCCGGCTGCGTTACCTTGGAAGCGCAAAGTGGTGGACGATACTCTTGTTCATTGAAATAAATATTGTAGTGCAATACAGTGGAATACTATAAACCAATACATATGCAGGCATCTTACAAAGCAGGGCCGGCAGCCTTCACCTCCTCTGTGCAATGGGTGCTGTATTTCTCGAAATTCTCCATGAACAGCTGGGCCAGGTTGGTGACCTCTGTGTTGAAACCCTTCACACCATCGTCCCAGTTACGGGCAGGGTTCAGGATCGAGGCTGGAACACCAGGAACAGCCTTAGGCACCTGCAATCCAAAGGTTGGGTAGGTCTCGAACTCGGCCTTCTTGAGCTCGCCAGAGTGGATGGCGTCCAAAATGGCCCGGGTGTACTTCAATGGACAACGCTTTCCGCCCTTGGAGGCAGACTTGCCTGTCCATCCGGTATTGAGCAACCAGGCGTCGGAGTTGTGCTCGCTGATCTTGTCAGACAGCTGTTGGGCGTACTTCATTGGGTGCAGCACCAGGAATGGCTGTCCGAAACATGCAGAGAAAGTGGCCTCTGGCTCGGTGACACCGTCCTCAGTTCCGGCCATCTTGGAGGTGTATCCAGAGATGAAGTGGTACATCACCTGGGCGTTCGTTAGTTTGGAAACTGGCGGAAGCACACCTCTGGCATCGCAGGTCAATAACACAATGTTCTTTGGGTGCTTGTCTGCCAAGCATGGGATCTTGGCAGAAGGAATGTACTCGATCGGGTACGCACATCTGGTGTTCTCAGTGATCACCGAATCGTTGTAGTCGACAAGTCTGGAAACCGGGTCGTAGACAACGTTCTCCAACACAGAGCCGAACTTGATGGCGTTGAAGATTTCCGGCTCCTTTTCTGCAGAAAGGTCCAGGCACTTGGCGTAGCAGCCACCTTCGATGTTGAAAACACCGTGGTCGGACCAGCAGTGCTCGTCGTCACCGATCAGCTTACGGTTAGGGTCAGCACTGAGAGTGGTTTTTCCTGTTCCTGAGAGTCCAAAGAAAAGAGTCACGTCTCCGTGCTCGATTCCCTGGTTGGCAGACGAGTGCAAAGTCAACACCTTGTGTTTTATTGGCATGAGGTAGAACATCACTGTGAAAATACCCTTCTTCATCTCTCCAGCATACTCGGTTCCCAGAATCACCATCTCCATGTCCTTGAAATTTATTTCCACACTGGTTGCAGAAGTCATACCTTTCGTAAAGACATTGGCAGGGAACTGACCAGCGTTCCAGATGGTGAAGTCTGGTTCTCCGAAGTCGCGGAGCTCCTCTTCGGTTGGTCTGATCAGCATGTTTTTCATAAATAGCGCATGGTAAGCACGAGCACAAACGACTCTCACCTTAATTCTGTAGCGAGGATCCCAGCCAGCAAAGGCATCGATGATGTAGACTTTTTCTCTGGTTCTGAGGTAGTCGATGGCTCTGCTCTTGGAAATCTTCCAAGTCTGTTCGTCCACCTTCTTGTTGACCGGTCCCCACCAGATGTTCTCTGTGGAAGACTCCTCGTCAACGATTCTCTTGTCCTTTGGAGACCGTCCTGTTTTGGAGCCAGAATAAGCGATCAGGGCACCAGAAGAGGAAATCGAGGTGCCTTTCTCCTTCAATCCGTCCTCGTACAAGATTGGGAAAGAGGAGTTGTAACGGATGGTGGCCTCTGGGTTCAGACCCAAAGTGCTTGCAACGGAGTCTCTTCTGCTCTTTGGCTGGAATGGGATGCCATTTTCTTGAGCAAGAGACGATTCGTATTCTCTGTGGAGGTCAACTGCGGTAGGAGCCATGGTTAACTATGCATAAACTGGCAACTCTGGGGGACTACGCAAGCTTTATACTAAGTTCCCCGGACAGGCTCCTTTTGTCCTCCAGTGAGACATTTTACGTGTCCCGGGATAACGGAGTCTGGGGTAATCCGATTTTTTACGAGCCCGGGGTGAGAATTTAATTTTATGGCACCAGCCATTTTGGGGCACACACTGGGTGCAAAGTATGGGGAAGCTCCCGTGTCGCGTGGGTAAGGTACAAAAACAATAAGAATTTGACAACTATAAAAACCGTGTCCTGTCAACACTTTGCCGATCGGCAACAACGAACTGTAATCCTATGTCTGTGAGGAGGCTAGGGAGCAAAAAGCTTCAACGGAGGAAAACCCGATTCCCGGGATTATACCGCAATCAAATTTATTCAACCATCAAACCGGCTAAACATCAAACCTTGCTGCCCCACCATGAGCCCCACCATGTGCTCGTTTAGTTAGCCTTCTCGTGGACCTTGTTCAAGAGCTCTGCGGCTGGGTCCTGGGCGCCGATGTAACGGTCGGTCAATGGACGAAGGACTCTGCTGTACACGAGTTCTGCTCCATTGTACGAAGGAACAGACAGATAGAGCAAGAACAAGGTCTTGATCAAGAAGTATGATGGGATCCAGTAGAGGATAGCCTTGGACCAGAACTCCACAACGTTCAAGGCCGCGAAAACAACCCAGTAAGTCAACAGTCTAGTGTCGTCTGTAGAGGTGCTAGTCTTTAAGGCCTTGAGAGACAGGTAACCAGGGTAGGCGAATCCGGCCAAGTTGGACAGCAATTGGCCAATTCCTCCGAAATTGAGGAAAACGAGCAGAAGGTAGAAACCTCCGCCACCAAGAACGGCATAGGAACGAGGCAATTTAAATTGTTGCTCGAATTGATCCAAAACTTTAAAGCCCTTGGTTTGCTGAAACGGTTAGATCCAATGCAATTGCGCTCTACTTACGCCGTCGATCTGAGTGAAGGTGCTTTGCACTTGAGACGAGATTTTGGCAAAGTCCATTGTAAAGAAATTATTGCAATAAATTTTCAACATCGGAATTTCATCTATGGTGTGCAGATTTGAAACCCGTTCGTGGCAATTCTATAGACAATACGTCTTACATAGTGACCGGAAGCGCCGAATCAAACTGGCGGCTAACCCGCTCGGTGCCAGTGTAGTCCAGCTTGACTCTAATTTTCACCTTTGCTCCAACGCCTCCTGTAATCTTGATCCCCAGCGACGATGTGGCTCCTGGTGCAAGGGTGTTGTTGCCGATCTGCGAAAGCTGCAGTTTCTGCTGCTTGGTGACAGCGCACAGCACGGTGATGTTTGTGATCTCTGTAGCACCAACGTTGCTCACGCGGCCTTCCAAATTCGCGCTTCCCTGGCCAATTTGTTTCACCACAATGTCAAATGAAACGTTTTCATCCTTGAATGCAGGAACAATTGTTTCGGGCACAGGTTCGCGCGTTGGTAAAACTTCTGCTGTTTGATGCTGCGGCTGTTCCGTAAGCGCAGGCGCAGATCCAAATATGTCCGAGAGCAAGTCCAGTGTCGACTCCTGTGGCTTGGAAGACGTAGATGCGGACGTGGCAGCAGCAGCGACTGGCTGGTCGTCGTCGCCCAGTAAGTCCAGCAACAGATCTCCAGAAGTTGCAGGCTGGTTTCCGGACGTTTTGGCCGATTTCGATGCTGCAGCCCTGTTGACCAGTGGGATTCCCTCGTGCAGTTTCACCGGTGGCGGAGGCATTCTCTCGAGCAGGGCCCTTTTGATGGACGCTGGCTGGCCAAAGATCTCCGAGTACTCAATGGCTCTAGTTTGGATCTCCAAGTTCAGGTCGGACTGGAACGAGATCAGCAGCTTTCTCAGTCTCTCGATGCACGTAGCAGAATTGAGTTTGGCAGATAATTTCAGCAGTGCGGTCAACGCGTAAACTTTCATCTGGGTGAAATCGGCCTGGTCAAACGTGGAAATGCTCAGGTATGTTTCTATCAGGTTCACGAGCGACTCTTCAGTTATGGTCTTTTCGCCGTGGGTCTGGCCCAACACCAGGTCGGCGTACTCGCCAATACACCACGTAGTCACCAAAGCCAGGGCAAACTCGTTGTATGCCGACTGACTCGAGCTGATCAGCTCCACAACAAGGAACCGCGTCAATTCTGCGTCTGTGTTTTGCATCACCAGGGCAAGAATGCTGGACAGAATGTCTTTTGAGAAATGGTTGCCGGCAGTCTTGAGCAAACTAATCAAAGTCTCGAAATGCCATTTCAGGTCCGGTCTGTACTTGTTGCAAGCGATGCAGAGCTGTGTAGTAATGTACTCTTTCAACTCGTCGTCTGCAGTTTGCAAGAAGTCAAGCAGAGTCTTCGTCAGGATGCGAACGTTTTGCTGGTTCATGATTGCAAACGTGAGTTCCAACGCTCTACGCCGGATCGAGATATCCCCATCCTGTAAACAGCCCACAATGGTGGCTCTGTGCCGCTGAACGGCCAGAGGCTCGTAGTTCATCACGTTCAGCAGCGTGTTCAAGGCCACATACCGTGTATTATTATCTTTCTGTGTGAGGAACTTGCTCAGAATGTTGATACCCAGCACCTTGAGCGACGAGTCCGAGTTCACCATGAAGATTGTCTGCACCGTCTCGTACAGAACAGAGTAACCGGAACCCTTTGCGCTATCGATCCTGGAACAAACCTGGGTCAACAAGTCGTTCAACGGCTCCAAGTTTGGGTTGTGGTCGTCATTAGCCAACAGCAAACGTAAAGTGTGCAACAGAGAAACAAACAGGAAAGGGTCCGGAACACCTTTGACGTCGTACTCGGGAGAATGTCCCGTGGAGGTTAAAAGACGAAGGTGTGACAAAACACGCGGGATCTGCCCTTTCAAAGTCTCTCTTGAACTCTCGTCGTTGTTGTAGATCGAGCGCATCAGCTGCAAGGCACCAAGAACCACACCGTGGCTCTTCTCGGAAAGCAATGGGGCCACTCTTGGGAGGAAGATTTCGCTGAGATCGGGATCCTTATCAACAAGCTTAGCAGCAACAATGGCTGCCTTCTTACGCAAATAAGAGTGCTGGGACTGGAGCAAAGTGTTGACGTTGCTGTACAGGTCTCTTGCAAGTTCCGGAGACGCGATGTTTCCCAAAGTCACCAACGCCAAACCGGCAATGTACTGGTTGGTGCTCTTCATGTCATTGTCCAGAGAATTAGTCAATAAAGTCAAAACTTCCTGGTTTTCGTCGAGAATCAGCATCGTCGCAAGGTAACCCAGTCGCTTGTTCGCAAACTTGGGCGACGCAAGCAGCTTGAGACACTCAACCTGTCCGAAATACGTTGGCTCGCCCAAAATGTACAGGTAAAGGAGTTTGGAGATGTTGGAACTACGCGCATCGTTGTCCAGATGAACATCTCTGAACGCTGTTCTTATCTTTGCACTCTCTTTGCGAATGGCAGCACGCTCGGCCGCAATTGTCTTGCTGTTGCGCACCGACTTGATGAAGGACTTGAGAGACATGTGGCAAAAATAAATAGTGAAAAATATATATTTAAGTGTGCTCTATTTACCGGATTTCCTTTCCAAGAGCATGGCACGGGCCACTGCCCAGATGGAGCGCATGTATGCGACGTCGACCTCGTCGGCAAAGGCAAACCACCAGATACCGGAAACAGCCCCAACAACCAACAGCTCCAACACCACCAGTTTGGCGATTACGTCAGCACGGTAAAGGTCGGCGGTCGGTGTTTTCTCAAGGTGCACGACTGGGCCTGGCAATTGGGGCTCGGGCGATTCGGTGTCACTTAGCACGTCGGACCAGGCCAAAAGGTCCTCGCCGTGCAGAAGCTCATAATGTTTTTCTAGCCACCTGATAAATGCACGTCGTGTTTTCAGACCTTTCAGCTCGTGAGCCCTGGCATTTATCCAGTTTAGCTGCGTCGTATTGGCCGGATCTGTTATCGACTGCATAAACTCATAATAGTTAGCCGACCGTACCGACGATAAGATTCCGATAGAGACGTGGCGACGCAGGGCGAGGAAATGCGCTCTGTCGGTGAGAAAGTTGTACAATTGCGGTGGCTTTTGGTTTTGAGGCAGCAGAGGAAATTTGAAGGCGGGAGAACAGGGAGGAGACGCGGATTTTGACATGGACAGCAACTACAGCGACACATGCGGTCCTTTATATAGGGTTTTGTATGGACAGATGGCTGGTTGTCATACTCATGGTGACCTGTCACATAGCCAGTTCTTTTGCGCGGACGATGTTGATGCATGCGGGTCGACGCTCGCTAAAAAAACATCTGTGCACCGTGACAAGGGCCCAGTTTCCTAGTTGGGAAGGAACGCAAGATCGTACGTTGAATTTCATGCAATTGGCCAAGAAAATAAAAACTATTCGGGGCATTACCGTTGCACGACCCTGTCGAAAACCCTTCCTAAATTGCGGAGAACCGCTGTGCAGACAGACACTGGAGTGGTTACTGATATTTGCAACTAATCGGATGTTAAGGTTCGTATTTAGATGATCCCATAGCGTATGAGCTCTTCGGTTGGCACACCACACTTCTTTAACGAGCGTTGTCCCCTCCAGTGGTTAATCAACTGGTATGGTCTGCTGAACTTCTTTGAGCACCCCCAAACGGTGTCATCCTTATTTCTGCCCTCGCAAGCGTGGAGCTTTGTCTTTCTGTGTTGTTCTCTGATGTGTCTGCGTAAATAGTCTTTAGAAAGGAAAGTCCCCTTGTACTTGCAATTTGGGAACGTGCACTTGAATTTGTTGCGTTCGTGCACAGAGTCCGAAGGCTCGCCAGAACTCTGTGATCCCTGCGTCTCCGGAGACGACTGGGACTCGTTGGACTCTGTCTCGGACTCATCTGACGAGACTGGCGAATACATGACTGTGTTTGGCGAGGTTGTGTAGCGTGGGGTATAATATGAAGGAGACTTGCTAATGTATGGTTCAGGCGTTGGGAAGATTTTGTATTTGTCTAGTCGTTTCTCGGCATTATCCCCAAACTTGTACAGGTAAAAGGGACCTCTAGTATCCACAACGCTCATGATATTGAAGAGGGAAAGAAAAAAAATGACAAAACAGAATTTACAAAACTTTGTTTGATGCCAAGCTTCAGTTTTTCCCTCCAACGAGGCTCATGTCCACTGTTGCCAAATTGAACAACAATGAACAATTTGTTTTGCTCCAAACTCAGCAACAATTATGCACCCGAAAATGCAGGCACAGACTCGGCAGTGCATGGGTTTTTCCCAAGAACTTTTTCTTAGGCTGCCGGCCCCCAATTTCAGATTTCGGGCTCTCAGAACAATGTTGCCATATATGGCACGACCGAGGTCTACACCGACATTCTGGCAACTTTGCAAAATCCGCTCAATTTTGTCAACACTAAGCTGAAACTCGCCCCTAAGCGTATTCTCTGCCCAAATGCATTAAAGCTATCCTATGCCTTTTGTGGATCATTTCTAAAATTGGAACAATCACAATAGTCCCTCGCCTCTATTTCTTTTAGTTTTTGAACGTGTACAAGTGAAATTTCGGTACCTGCATCTCCTGTTCGTTTACCGGCCCGGAATTTTCTCCTGTGCGAAAATTTTGGAAAATGGGAAGACATGAATGAATACACCCATACACCACAAATAAGGGAGAGCCCCGGCTCTCCGGTCGCCTGTATCTGAAAAAATATTTTCCCTAGAGAAATGACTGTATAAGAGGCATGCAATAGTCTGCGAAAATATATCCTAATTTTTACAACATGTGTCTCTGTTACTGCGACTGCTGCTGCTGCGACTGTATTTTGGTGTTTCTCGCCGTCATCTGCCCTCCCCTGCCGGTCTGCATGAAAAGGGGGCTCTGCACCTGTGATATGCTTATCAATATCTGTCTGTGTCTGCTTGGCTACGTGCCGGGCCTTGTGCATTCCTGGTATATCATTCTGAAGTCTCCTGACCGCGTGCGGATGGAGGACCTTGAGCGCCACCAGATCATCATCAATTCTCCGCCCGCCACCGCCTCCATGGTTATCTCGCGTCAGCCAGACCAAACGCGCATTCGGTTCAGCCACCCGGAGCCTTTCAAGACCCAGGCCCGCCACAGCCAAGACATTTTCGAGCAGGGCGCGCTTAGCCCACTTTCGAGCACGCCTTTCCTCAACCGGCCTCCGGCACAGCCTTCCCAGCTGAACAACGTCACTTACGGCTCCATCGAGGACGACCAATCTGACGAGGCTCCTCCAAGCTACGACAACGTGATGAACGAAACGAGCAAGCAATTCCAATAGACGTTCTATATAGCCGCTTTACCACACTCCCTCCGCTACTTCGTGCTAATAATATAATTTATTTATTCGATTATTTTTTTCCACCAATGTACAAGTTAAAGTTCGCGTTGGACAAGGCCCACGAATTGCCGGTCTCCACGGGTAAAGTGAGTCCCGACGGCACGCTGTTGGCCACCGCGTCCACAGACAAAACCATCAAGCTCTGGAAGCTCCAGCCAGACGGCGCAACGTACTGGAAAACACTCGCTGGCCATACAAAGGGCATCTCGAGCGTTGAGTTCTCGCCCAACTCGCGCTTTCTCGCGTCCGCCTCAGACGACCTCACCATCCGCATCTGGGACCTCGACCTTGCGGAAACCATCCAGATCCTCAGAGGCCACACATACCACGTCACTGTGCTCAAGTTCCACCATCGCGGATCCATCTTGGCTTCTGGCTCTGCCGACGAAAACATCCGTATCTGGGACCTGCGACGGGCCAAGTGCATGAAGGTGTTGAGCGCGCACTCAGACCCGATCTCGAGTCTGGACTTCTCGTTCGACGGTACGGTCATTGTGAGTGGGTCGTACGACGGACTAATCCGCCTGTTTGACCTTGAAACAGGGCAGTGTCTCAAGACGCTTATCTACGACAAGAGCGGGTCATCGTACCCGGTGAGCCACGTCGCGTTCTCGCCCAATTCCAGATACATCTCCTCGAGCTCGCTGGACGGGTTCATCAGACTGTGGGACTACATGAACAACAAGGTGGTGAAAACGTTTCAGAACGTGAACGGCTCGAGTGTGGCTGAAAAATACTGCCTAAGCACGGGCTTTGTAACGTGTTTCGAGAAACCGCTCATCTGTTCAGGAGACGAGCGCGGGAAGGTACTCTTCTGGGACATCCAGTCCAAAGAGATAGTTTTGCAGCTGGACACGGGGAGCCACAGCCCAGTGATGGAGGTGGAGCCCATCAGCAACGGGAAGCGGTTAATGACCTTGTGTATGGACGGACAGATCAGGTTTTGGGAGAGTGAACACGAATGAAATATATTAGAAAAAGGATTACACAGAAGAAATATCAACTGCCTAACTGGAAAACGAATAGCTCGGTAGCAACATATTAAACAGGAATCGACCCGCTAGCTGAACGCAACTAGAGTTGGGGTCCCTGTACGAGATGCGCGCCAATAGCTTATTTGGCGGCAGGTTCAGCCTCCTCAGCTGGAGCTTCTTCAGCTGGAGCAGCTTCTTCAGCTCCCTCTTCGACTGGAGCAGCCTCCTCAGCTGGAGTCTCCTCCTTCTTGGTGTTGTTGTTGAGTCTGTTGGAGATAGACTCGTATTGTTCTCTAACGAACTTGATCACTCTTCTGACTGGCATTACTGTGGATTGATTAGCGGCGGGACTGCTTGTAAAAAGGAAAGTAGTTAACAAGAGACAAAATTTTGAGGGATGCAGACCCTTTTTATATAATATCCATTGGAGCGGTTAATGGGGGACACATACAACAAAATATTTGTATGCCCCGATTTGTCGTGGGCTCCCCTTATTATCAGAGAACCACACAAAAAATGGGTCCCACTTTTGACGCGCATTTTACCCGGCGCGAATCAAAAAAATTCAAAGATATACTTCTTATCATCTAATATACATTATCTGCTACCCGAACCCTATAAAACGTTACAATTAAATCGACAGTAATAGAATCTCAGCATTCTTACAATTCCTGAGACTCTTTCTTGCCAATCTTCTTTGGGAGCAAGTCAGTGTGGATGTTTGGCAAAACACCACCTTGAGCGATGGTCACATGACCGAGCAACTTGTTCAATTCCTCATCGTTTCTGATGGCCAATTGCAAGTGTCTTGGGATAATTCTGCTCTTCTTGTTGTCTCTAGCAGCGTTACCGGCCAATTCCAAAATTTCGGCAGCCAAGTATTCCAAAACAGCAGTCAAGTAGACTGGGGCACCGGAACCAACTCTTTGAGCGTAGTTACCGTTTCTGAGCAATCTGTGGACTCTTCCGACTGGGAAGGTCAATCCAGCCTTGGACGATCTTGAAGTTGAAGCTTTTTCAGAAGAGCCTGCTTTTCCACCTTTTCCACCGGACATTATTAGTTATGTATTTGTTTGTTGATGGTGTGAAATGGTGGACGGTGCTCACCTTTATATAGATTTTCGTGTGCCGCGAGGTGGCAAACGCACGAGAGCGTCTGATTGGTTGAGCCATGATTCTGTTACGCAAAACAATAACGGACTGTTTTTTACTCCTCTCTGGAAAAAAACTGGCACGACGCAGATGTCGCGAAATTTTATAATTTTAATGGATTGGTGAGGTAAAAATCCAAAATTGCCATTTTGTAGGACCATGTTGCAAAAAAAAAAACATGGGTCTGGCACTACCTCAACAGTCTAAACAAGCGTGTTTGGAAAACTATATAAACCTGTTTGTTTGCCCTTGATAACAAATTGTTTACCAAACTAATTTAATACTATAACATAAAATGGCTCCAAAAGCAGAGAAGAAACCAGCCTCCAAGGCCCCAGCTGAGAAGAAGCCAGCCGGAAAGAAGACCGCCGCCTCTTCTGACGCTAAGAAGAGAACCAAGGCTAGAAAGGAGACCTACTCCTCTTACATCTACAAGGTGCTGAAGCAAACGCATCCAGACACCGGTATTTCCCAAAAGGCCATGTCCATCATGAACTCTTTTGTGAACGATATCTTTGAGAGAATCGCTTCTGAGGCTTCCAAGCTTGCTGCTTACAACAAGAAGTCCACTATCTCTGCCAGAGAGATCCAAACTGCCGTGAGATTGATCTTGCCAGGAGAGTTGGCTAAGCACGCTGTTTCCGAGGGTACCAGATCTGTCACCAAGTACACTTCTGCTACATCTGCTTAAATTTAACGTTTATTTTGCGATTGGGAGATATCATTCGTTTTGCGAGTGATTCTGTTTAGGGTGTATATTAGTAACGAAATTACTGTTTATATGACATTTTGGTAATCGTTTGGCGATGTAAAGTCTAGAGTTATAATTCAGGTATTTAGAATTCTTGAGAATTAAATATATGGTGTAAAATTCAATATTGATCTTGGTAGCAAGTTGAGAGAAATTCAGTAAAGATGACTGTTTGATCCAAAGTGATGTTTCGCTTTGTTCAAATCATATCAACTAACCTTCATTCAATCGTTGATCATCCCAGATATGCTTGTAAATCGTCTACTGCTTCTCACTCAGTTGTGTTACAACAAACTTCTTTGTCGCGGTGCACAGACGTTTAAAAAAAAAATTTCTCTAAAATTATTTCACTAATGTCTACTGCACTTTGGGATCCGTTCATGATCACCCAGCTGCCACGGCTGCCTTCTAAAGGCGGGCTGGGGTCCTCATGTACGATAGCACATATTGACTCGATGCTTTCGATGCAGTTTGACGTGGGAGTTAGCGGGTCGTACATCGGTTCCTATATCACCAAACCAACTCCTAAGATGATCTGGTCCTACTCCTTGTCTCCACAATCGCGTGTGGACTGTTTGGACTCGTTCACATTTGACGAGTCTGCAGACAAAGATGAATCCAAGTTGTTTGTCGCTGGAATTAACGAAAGAAAAAAGAGTTCCATGAGAATAATCAGCTACGGACGGTCCAAGTCTGAGTCCGAGGACGACAAAAATACCACAGAAAGCTTATCTGCATACAACGAGGAGGAAAGAAACACAGTGGAGCCAGAAGGGCTCAGAGAAGTGCGCTCGAAGGACGTTTCCCTGAAGGAAGACTTGATTGGACTCCGGATCTCCAAAGATGGTAACAACGTTTACACCGTTAGCAAAAAAGGCCGCATTTGTATCTGGGAGCTGAAGGTCGAGGACGAGATCACAGAAAAGGTGATCTACGAGCTCGAGCCGACAAAGAAAAGAAATCTTATCTACCACTGCTTCATTTCTCCCGAAGAGCTCCAGATTGAAAAATCTGAAAATATAGAGCATCTTCTTCTCACCGTGGAAGACAACGGTGGCCTTTTGAACGTTGGACTGTACGCTATTGACAAAACCAGTGTTTTGGAACTGTCGCAGTCGGTGATCGAACTGAACATTTCCGACAACGCTCAATTCTGCTTCGACCCTTCTGGAAAGCTTCTCATTTTGGAAAATGACCAAGATCTGACTTTACAAGTGTATTCCGTTCCATTTGCGAAGAAACTGAGAACCATTGAGCTCATCAACGCCTTCAGCACAGAGCCACAAGAACAGCCAATTTCGATCGCGGCTGTTTCTACCAACAGAGTTTTAATTTCCAAGGGAAGCACCATTGCGCTGGTCGATATCCAATTCGAGGCTCTTCTCGGCTCCATCGATCTTTATCCGAAATCGAAGAACTCAAATGGGCTCAAGTTCCCAAGAACTGCCACCATTCAAAGCTGTGTCAAGGTCAAAGGTAACAGTTTGAGAACCAGAGACACTTTTGCGTTGGTGCTGCTTAAAAGTCCAAAGGACAACTTCACGTCATTACAACATCTTTCGGTCGACGTGGGACTTGGAAAACTGACCAACGTTCTGGGAAGAGGCATCAAGAAAGCCGAAAAACCGGCATCAAAGTTCGCTGGGTTCCCTACCTTGGTGAACAAAAGCGAATTCAAGTCCAGCGCAAAGGAAAGCAACTCTTTACAGACCCGTTCCAGACAGTCAAGCACTTTGACTGCTAAGATGTACGATACATTACAGACACTCAAGTCCAAGAAGAAATACCAGGAGCTGGAGACACATTTGGTGAATTTCTTGAAGAATATTGACGAAACAGAGTCTTCCGAGCCTATCCCACAGCAACAGCCGTTCATGGTTTATGAGGCCGACCAGGATCGAGTGGTGGATCCTGAGTTCATTCGTCAAGTGCTTTTGCTTTTGCTAGACTTCAAAGACAACAGACTGCAACTGCCAAACTATGAGGTGGAGAACAGTTTGACGTATCTTTTAACGCATCCATTGTTCCCTCCAGAGCTTGTTCCAGGACTATTGCAGAGCCTGACTGAGGCTCCAAGATTGATGAGACAGGCTATTGTGACCTGTCCAAACATCCCATGTGGTGACCTGATTGAGCTTTTGAGTGCGGTTGCAGACGAGGAGGTGTTCAAAGACATCATTGCCCGTTTGCTTGAGGACTTCTCTAACGAGACCATCACTCAAGAGACCGCAAAGATGCTCAAGAAGAACGTTGCAATTGACTTGGACGGCATAATCTCTCGGATCCTGAAACTAAACTACGGGTATGAGATTCTGAACAACTTTATTGACTCTGATGGATTAGTTTTGAGTTTGCATTACTCTAAAAACCAAACACAGCTCGAGAATCTGATTGCCAAGACCCAGGCCAAGGTCGATGCGTTAGTCACCGACACCCAGCTTCTCACTCTGGTGAACCAGTCGTTGTCCATTACTGAGCAGAGCCGCAAGAAGAAGCAAAAGAAACGGAAGGACGTCGACATCAACAACACGTCGATTGTCGAGGAAACCACTAATCTGGACTCGCTTCTTCAACTGGCGCCCGGATCCATGAAAAAAGACGACAGTCGCAGAATTCCGTTGTATTCTGTTGAAAAGCTTAATATATAGAAAGAATCTAATAACCCGAGAAAATTATTCGAGAAAACCACAACCATGAAGTTTTCGTTGCTGTTTCTATTCTTTATTTTGAACACCGTTCTGGCCCAGCAGGCTCCCAAGGTGACCCACAAGGTCTACTTCGACATCACCGAGGGCGAAGGAGACGATGCCAAGCCGCTGGGAAGAATTGTGTTTGGACTGTTTGGTGACGTTGTTCCAAAGACTGTCGAGAACTTTTACCAATTAAGCGTTTCTGACGATCCTAAATTCGGCTACAAAGGTTCCAAATTCCACAGAGTCATTAAGGATTTCATGATCCAAGGCGGAGATTTCACAAGAGGAGATGGAACTGGTGGCAAATCTATTTACGGTGCCAAGTTTGAGGACGAGAACTTCCAGCTCAAACACGAAGGCCCAGGTTACCTGTCGATGGCCAATGCCGGTAGAAACACCAACGGATCTCAGTTCTTCATCACCACCGTCAAAACTCCATGGCTTGACGGAAAACACGTGGTCTTCGGCAAAGTCCTGGAAGGAATGGACGTTGTCAGACTGATCGAGTCTTCCAAAACCGGATACCAGAACCGCCCTTCCAAGCCAATTGTGATTGCTGATGCAGGAGAAGTTAAAATCGTCAAGGACGAGTTGTAATCTCGGTGTGGCTCTTGACACCTTCCCAAAAATGCTTAAGTAAGCCGCATTTCCCCGGGTTTGATATATATAAGTTAGATAAAAGGAAAAAAAACTTAGAGTGATTGATGTCTGCAAACAGTAGTTCGCTGCCCAAGACGATTTCAAATCCGCGGGCCGTTTCTGGCGCGCGGCAATCGGTGACGGCAGAACACCATCTGGGTAGAAGTTTCATCTATTCGAGTTTCCGGCCGGATCCCAGCTCTCCTTTGAACTCGATAGGTGCCACTGTTCACTCATCCAGTTCCATCAACGAGACCTCGGTGGGACTCGCAGATGTTGGCGTGGACAGCAACGATGAGCCGGCTGCATTCTGGGGTGACCTAAATAACACCCCCCCTGACCAATACGCCGAGGACTATGCTCCTCTCATAACAGAAGATAGTTTGAAAGACGGGTACCAGTCCACAAATTCTTACCCTGATGAGACATACTCCAGCTACAACGGAGACATAGAGGCACAAGAGATAGAATCGAATTCCGTTTTCAACGTTCCAGCGTACCAGAAGTACGAGCAATCGAGTCGAAGAGAGTCTGCTTTGGAAACTGTCTGGCAGACTCTCTGGGCGATCAGAAACGCAGACGCCCACACCATAGGACAGGAGTGCATTGTTAAACCGATCCAGTATCTTCCAGCGGTGTTCTTGGGGACCTTACTCAACATTTTGGACGGACTCAGTTACGGAATGATTTTGTTCCCAATTGGAGAGACTGTTTTCAGTGAAATGGGAGCCCACGGCCTGTCGATGTTTTATGTCTCGACAGTCGTTTCACAGCTAGTTTACTCGCTTGGAGGGTCGGCTTTCAAGTCTGGAATCGGGTCTGAGATGATCGAAGTCACTCCATTTTTCCACCAGATGGGTATCAGCATTATGACCAGCTTAGGCGACCAGAAAGATGCAGTTTTGGCTACTACGATTGTCACCTACGCCATTTCGTCAATAGTCACGGGACTCGTTTTTTTCATACTGGGAAAATGCCGTTTGGGCCGCCTGGTTGGGTTCTTCCCTCGTCACATTCTCGTTGGCTGTATTGGTGGTGTTGGTTATTTTCTGGTTGTCACAGCAATCGAGGTGTCTTCCCGTCTCGAGGGAGGACTCGAGTACAATCTTCCAACGTTGCAGTATCTACTGTATCCACTCGTGTTTTGCCAATGGTTCATTCCGCTGGTGCTCACATCCATCTTGGTGGTTATCCAACACTACAACTCAAGTGCAATCATTGTGCCGTTATATTTCATTGCGGTGTTTGTGATTTTCCACGGAATCGTGTACCTGGTGCCGTCGTGGGACCTGCAAATTGCACGCGACTATGGCTGGGTGTTTAGCGCTCCCAAGACAGAGACTCCTTGGTACTCGTTCTACCAGTTCTACAAATTTGACAAAGTCAGCTGGTTGGCAGTTCTAGACCAGGTGCCAACGATGCTTGCGTTAACATTCTTTGGAATTTTGCATGTTCCCATCAATGTTCCTGCTCTCGCAGTGACCGTGGAAATGGACGAGTTTGACGTCGACAGGGAACTGATGGCCCATGGACTCTCAAACGCCATTTCCGGCCTCTGTGGTAGTATTCAGAACTATCTGGTTTACACAAACTCCGTTTTGTTCATCCGGGCAGGTGCAGACTCGAGACTTAGCGGAGTGATGCTGGCTATGGCTACAGCCTGTGTGATGTGGGCTGGTCCCGTGATCATCGGCTATATTCCAGTGGCCGTGGTTGGTGCGTTGATTTATCTGCTTGGATACGAGCTTTTGAAAGAGGCTCTCTACGATACAAAGGGGAAGCTGCGCAAGTTCGAGTACATCACCATTTTGATCATTGTGGTTACCATGGGTGCTTGGGACTTTGTGTATGGTATTCTTGTTGGTGTGCTTCTGGCGTGCGTCTCGTTTGTCGTTGAGGCAGCCAAGAAACCGGTTGTTTCTGGCATCTATACAGGAGAGTACGCCAGGTCGATTGTGGTCAGACACCCTAAACAGCAGGAGTTCCTCAAGGACGTGGGAAAACAGATCTATGTGATGAAGTTGCAAGGGTCTTTATTCTTCGGATCTATTGGAGGACTCGAGGAGAAAGTGCGTGCTCGCTTTGAGGCATCTACTTTTGCCAAGGAGCCAATCAAGTACCTGATTCTGGACATGAACAATATCAGAAGCATCGATTTTTCGGCAGTGGAAGGATTCAGACGGATCCGTAATCTCGTGACAGAAAAGGATTCTTACATGATCATTTCCTCGGTGAACGAGAACTCAGAAATCGTGCAGGCTTTGAAGGATTCCGGTCTCTGGGAGACGAGTGAACACCAAGAACGGATCCAGCTGTTCAGCAACCTGAACTCGGCTCTGGAATGGTGCGAGAACATCTTCCTGGAAGCTTATAAAGAGCTCAGCAAGAAGAACGAGGTTTCTAGGAAACCGCGGCGGTCGATTGCTCCTAATCCACAGATGGTGGAAACGATGATGTCTGGGTCTCCGCGGCACGCGCACCTGATGCGGGCTGTACGTAAGACGATGGATCTGGATCTGTCCAAACGGATGGTCTCTACATCAGGCAGCACAGGCAAGAATCCGCTGTCTTTGGTGGTCACCGTGATGCAGGGAGTGAGCGACAACCGCGACGAGCAGTTTTGGAGCCGACTGGTGCCGTACTTGGTGAAACAGGAGCTGGCAGCTAACCAGGTGTTCTACGAAAAGCAGCTGAACCAGCCGTGCTTGTACTTTGTGGAGTCGGGCATGATTGGCTACGATATCTGTTTCAACAACCTCAAGTTTTTCCTCAACAGTTGGGTGCTTCCATTGACGCTGTTCGGAGACCTCGTCAAGACACAGAGCGACCGTGTGGTGCGCTACTATTCCAATACTGAGAGTATTGTCTGGAAGCTGGACGAGCCAAGTATCCGCCGGCTCAAGCAGAAAGATCGCGATTTGTACGAGGAGCTTTTGGTGGTAACACTGCGTTTGTTCACGAGCAAGTTTGATTCCCTTTCGTCGAATATCCTGGTCAGTTCATGAACGTTAGTTCTAGAGAGTAATAATCTGTGAAATATTTATTGATTTAAAAATAATGAGTATATTGAATGGATCGCAAGTGTGCGCCCGCAAGAGCCCTGTTGGCGGTATCGGTCTCTTTGCGGAGGAAGACGTGGAAGGAGAGTGTTTGAGGGTTACACGCAAACAGATCTACAACCTCGAGACGTGTCTGGAGTTGAAGAGCCAATTGGACAAGGATAAGGAAGAGCCGGTGGTTCAGCAGGTTCTGAAATATTACAGCAAAGTGCACAACGAGACGAGGTTTCTGATTGCTTACATGATTGGGTTTGAGGTTTTGCGAAGAAAAGGCGAGCTCAAAGACCATCCGGAGCTATCTGAGTATCTGCAATTGTTACTCAGTACCACGGTGGACAACCTGGCCTTTGAAGAAGATGCGTTGCTGGAAAGCTACTACGAGATTGAGCCGGGCAACGCACTGGTGAACATGAGCATCAAGGAGGTCCAGAGCGACGAGTTTGAGGAATTGAGTGCATACATCTCTGATACCTGGCAAGTTTCTATTCCGGGCTGTGACATACGCAGACTGACCGCCGCTGTTCGGTCGCGGACGCTGGAGATTCCAAAGATCGACGAGGATGGCGACTATTACGTCCAGATCTCGCTCGTGCCCGGGCTGGACTTTGCAAACCACGATAACGCTCGCCAGAACGCTACTTTTGACGTTGATCCAGACACGAACGAGATAGTGCTCAAGACAACGACCACAGTCGCCGCGGGCTCGGAGATCTTCATCAGTTATACGCCGTACGAGGACATGACACGGATGTTTGTGACGTACGGGTTTATTCCGTGCTCGAATGGACTCAAAGCCGTGGATATTCCTTTCTGGGGCTACTTCCACTTCGAAGATTCGGAGGAGCTGACGGAATATCTGTTTGAGCAGCAGCAGCCGAACAATCTGCAGTTGATTCTGGAGTACAAGGACGGCAAACTGGAGGACCTGTGGCTGAACATGGCCTCCAACTACAGTTTTGCCGGGTTTATCCAAAAAGACAGCATCCAGACAGTGATGGAGAATGCGTCCGAGGAACAGATCGACCGGGCACTGATCAAGCTGATTGGTCTGGTGGACAAGAGTTTTGCCGAACGGATCCCGAAACTGGACCAATTCAACGATTTCTGCGAAAAATACGAAGCAGAAAACGGTACCTGCAACATACAGCAACTAGTGCAACTGCAGCTGGAAGTGTACCGGAAGTACCGCGAGAAGTATGCCTCGATTGCAAAACATCTGGATTCGGACTCGTTGTACGATCTGGTGATGATCGAGGGAGATGAATGGGTGGATTACCGGCTTCCACCAGTATATAATTTTCTGACCCGAGATCTGGAACGGCACTAATAATATATAGTCACGCTTGTATTTTTTTTTTTGACGTATTTGACGTATTTACTTTATGACTGAACTAAGTCCCGTTTTCAGTACCGGCCGTGGAGGAGCCGGCAATATTGTCCACCAATCGACGGCAGATGAGGTGATTGTGCCTCAAGAGTCGCGCAACTCGTTCAAACAGGACGAGAATGGCAAATTCCATTACCCCACAGGAAGAGGAGGAGCAGGAAACGTCACCGAACTGGAGGCTGTCCCCAGCCCACGGCAAGATCCAGACACTATCAACGAGGAGATAGGCCCTGTGTTCTCGACGGGCCGTGGTGGAGCAGGAAACAGAGTCCATGCCACCACCTCGTCCACAGTTGCTCAGGACCTGGACGAGCAAGTTTCGCCCGTTCATAGCAACCCGAAGCAGGACCTGAAAAAGTCGGGTGTCCAGACCTCGTCCAAGGAAAAGACCAGCTTTTTCAGCAAACTGAAGAAGCTCTTCAACTGAGCTGCTAATAGTGTGGCGTTGCGATCTAATGCCATAGTGATCCCGCTCTCACCCGGCCAAACGAGCTACGAACTATCTTTGGCCCACCCACTCGCGAGTTATGGACCGTCTGGTCACGCTGACCAGGCCAAGTAGATTACAATTTGAATGAATATCAACTATACACCCAGAACCCGGCTGTGTTGCGTGCCACTCGCTATTTTTTTTTTAGCACCGTAAAAAAAAGCCGTTACTTTTATATTATATGTCGTGGTGGGGACGTGTTAGATTGGACGAAGAGGAACAGCCCGAGGCGTCGCAATGGCCCGTGGAACTGCCCACGCTCTCTTACTTCGAGCGTATGGCCCTGTTTGCAGTCACATTGATCGGCTCTTTCGTCTGCTACGGCCTGTGTCTTATTCTACTCCCATTACTATCCCTCAAGCCCCGGAAGTTTGCCGTGCTATGGTCGCTCGGATCAATCTTATTTTTGACCTCGTTCGCCTTCATGAACGGATTGTCCAAGTTTACCGCCCATTTGATTTCCAAAGAACGTCTCTGGTTCACCATCTCGTTTATCGGGTCTATCGTGGCAACCCTTTGGTTCTGTCTTGTTTGGAAGTACACCCTGGTTGTCATAATTTGTGGAGCAATCCAGTTGATAGCTTCTATTGCCTATACAGTCAGTTACTTCCCTTATGGACGCCAAGGACTCAGTCTCACCGGAACGGCTGCCAGAGCCCAGCTAGACAGCTGGATCAATAGCTAAGCTGCATGATCTTGACAAGCCCGGCAGAGTACGGATCCAAACGCTCGACGATCTCGGCGAGCCGCTCGCGATATTCCGACTTGTGCAGACGGACCAGCACATACGCGGTTTCGAGATCGGCTCTGGAAAAGTACGTCTCCAGGAGCTTGGCAGTGTCAACGTTGGCAAAATGCTTCATCAGCCCCACACCCACGATCTTCTTGATGGACTCCGGAATGGACTCGTCCAGGTTCGACCGCAGCTGGTCCACCATGTACCCAATATGTGGGTTTTGAGAGTCAATGGCTAGCAGTTTGTTCACCGACTGCAAACACAAAACGTACTTTTTCAGCCGGAAATTCACCTTGAAGTTGAAAATCTGCGTGAATACACTGTCGGATGCATGCAGCAGAACCTGCTGGTTCACCAGGATTTGCAGCTTGTCGTCAGCAAGAATTTTGGACAGCGCTTTTTCTCCGAAAACATCGTCGTCGTTGGCAGTGCCCTGCGAATATTGCACAAGCTCCTCCCGCTTTTTGATCTCCTCCTTCTTCAACTTCCTGTGCACATGCTCAGAAGAGAGAAGCTCGCTGTGACGGAAAGTCTCCGAAACAACCTCGCTCAAACCATCCAAAACACGATTGTATATTGGCTGGTCGAATAAATTGTCTGCCCAATCGATCATCTTCATATATGCACCCGGCGTTCCCTTGCGCATGGAGTAGTGGTGGAAATCCAGCTGGTCGTCGTAGAACTCGTCAAACACCTTGGTGATACTCAAGTATCTCTTAAGAGCCAGTCCAAGGTTGGTGACTGCTTCTTTGTCGTTCTTGTCACCAAGTGCCTTTCTGTACTTTCTCAAATAGCTTTCTGCGCTCTCAACCAAGAACCAGATCGACTGCATGATGTGCAAGTCCTTGAGTCCATTTGGGCTTTCGTCGTTCTTGGTGAACGCAGAGATGGTATCGATGGCCTTGTGGACGTTGTCTGCACGCAAATAATATTTGGTGGTTTTGGTGTTGATGAATCTGTCCTGCAAGTCGAGTTTCAGACCTTCGTTCATCACCGAGGCAGCTTGGTCCAGCTCGTTCAGTCTCTTGAAGATACGGGCTTTCATGATGTACAGCTCGACCAGTGTTGGGGTGTGGCCAATGGCCACGTCTATCTTTTCCAAGGCAGCAGAGTATTCCCCCACATGGTAGTGGTGCTGGGCAAGGAAGTATGCTGTCCAGCAGTAGGTGAGTGGCTCGTCCTTAGTGTTGTTGAAGAAATTAGAAACGATCGAGTAAATGGTGGCAGCGTTGGACTTGCTCTTGTACAACGGCTTCACATTGACAAACGTGGATGGAACACCCCGTTTGAGTTGTCCCACGATGTATTCTTCTGCTTTCTGCTTGAACTCGTCCCCAGACAAAAACGTCAAAGGAATGAACTTTGGAGGGTCCGATTTTGGGTAGAAAGTGGCTAGTTTCTCGTAAAGGGCCAGTCTCACACGAGAAGAGCCAGTCACACCCAGAGCCTGTTCCAGTTGGTAGTAATACTGGGCGTTGTCCGGGTTTCTCTTCAAAAGCCTACGGTAGACCAAGGATGCTTCCTTTTTGCGGCCCAGTTTCATCAAATAGTGTGCTCTTCTCTCCAACAAAGCGAACCCGTCCAGCACCATTCCTGTTTCTTCGATCCGGTCGAGATCTTTCAAAGCTGCCTCGTAATTGCCGGCCTGCGAAATGACCTCGTTCCGGTAAAGCAGACATTCGGAGTGCTCAAAGTAGTCCGATTCTTGCAGCTTGTCGCTGATCAAATCTTCAATGCGGCCAAGAACTTTTTCAGCGTTCACCAGGTCTCCGTTCAGATGATGTGCCACAGCAGAAGCGGTCCAGTTGGCACGGTAACCCGGCTGGTCTTCCAGGTACCCGAGTCTCGACTTTGGCAGATTCTTGTAGTCTCTGATCTGACTCTGCATGGTGCTCAAATCACGCAGAATGTTCTTGTTGGTGGAACCGTTGTCCATGGCAGCTTGATACCATTTGGCCGCTTGCTTGTAATTTTTGACTGCCTTGTAGTATATACCGGCAATATGATCAACAACATTGTCCGACTGGTCCTTTTCCAATGCCCTGGTGATGTACGACTCGGCAGATGCTTTATCTGTGTCTGAATAGTACAATGCCAACCCTTTCAAGGCCAGACTCGGAGCGTGGCCAGGGCTCTTTTTCAAGACCCCGTCAATGATCTTCAAAGACTTCTTGTACTGCTTGGCATCGTAGCACTTCAGAGCATCTCTAAATTGACTCTCTTCTTTCGACCTTGACAACTTGGACATTTAATGGAAGTTTACCGATGGAAAAAAAAAGTTTTAGTAAGGAAAACGTTGGAAAATATATACCTTAGTTGAGTTTCTAAATTACATGCTCCATTTATATTAATCACTGCTTCCCAATTCTGTGACACTCTTCAAGGAAGAACCGAATTTGTTCCGGGTCCATGAATGGGTGTGTTCCGTGGCCAAAGTTGATGATGTAGTTTTTCTTTCCTCCGCCAAAACCTTTGATCATCTCCTCAGTCTTGCGAGAGATGGTTTCGTGCGATCCGTACATGACACAAGGGTCCAAATTACCTTGCAAAGTGACTCTGCCGTTGGCCACCTTGACCGCCTTTGCCGGGTCGTACAGCCAGTCGAGCGAAACAACGTCGTAGCCAGACTCACACAGGTCTTCCAAAGCGTAGAACGAACCTTTGGCAAACACCGTGAGCGGGATCTTTTCCTCGATACCAAGCTCCTTCAATCTCGGCGGAAGTCTCTGAGAGATCTGGCGCAAGTATGGCAAGGAGAACTCATTGAAATCAGCAGGACTCAGCTCTCCACCCCAACTCTCGAAAACTTGCAACATCTGAGCACCAGCCTTGACTTGCAAGGCCAAGAACTCCACAGCCACGTCGGTGGTCATCTGCAAAAGTTGGTGGGACTCCTTCGGGTACTTGAACAGCCACTCCTTGACAAATCTGTAGATCTTGGATCCTCCTCCTTCAATCATGTAGCACATCAAAGTCCATGGGGCTCCGCAGAACCCAAGCAAAGGAACACGGCCATTCAGCTTGTGTCTCGTGGTGGTTATGGAATTGAATGCCCACGCCAATTCCTTTGAAACGTCGGTATTTTTGTTCAGCTTGTTCAAATCTTCAGGAACTCTTAATGGATCAGTGAACCGTGGCCCCACTTTGTCCACCATTTGTACATCCATGCCCATGGCCTGGGGGATAACCAAGATATCGCTGAATATTATAGCGGCGTCGATCAGTCCGTCGAAATGGTCGATGGGCTGGATAGTGATCGCCGACGCAATCTCCGGGTCCCTACAGGTCTCGAAGAAGTCGCGGTCACCCTTGACCTCGTGGTACTCTGGCAAATACCGGCCCGCCTGACGCATAAGCCACACAGGCGGTCTCTCGACTGTCTCGCCGCGTGCCGCCCGCAAAATCAAATCGTTTTTCAGTGGTGGAAACATCGCTTTTGAGCAACTTTTCAGTAAGTGCTTTTTTTCTTAGCTGCTCGGACGTGGCTAGTGTTAGGCGGTGATGTGGCGCACCTCACCCCCCTATTATGTTTTTTTTTTTAAATTGGGTAATTATCAATATAAATAATTAAACCCTAAATTAGTGAAAAGCAATGTCTGAGGAGCCGGGCAAAATTAAACGATTTATCCGGTCGACATTGGGTTTCCGCAAAAGTACACTGACCGCACTGGTCGTGGTCTCCTACGTTGTCGCCATTCTTATCAACCTTTACTTTGACAAGGTTTCCCTAACTCCACCAGAACCTACTCCTAGAATTCTGGGTACCGCATGGCTTGACTTGCAATCAATCTCCACTCATTTCCATCCGTTTACTTCTCATGCAAATGACGAGGTTCACAAGTACCTGGTCGAAAGAGTGACCAGTCTTTCTGCGAAAAAGGAGTATGTGGAGTTTGATGACGACTACAATAAGCTCAAGTTCATCATTAACCAACCAGACGTGTTTGACCCAGAATCTCTGGCCAACAGAATCATCTACTTTGAAAGCAGTAATGTTGTGGTGAAAATTGAAGGCAAAGACCCTTCGTTGCCAGGAGTTCTCGTTAGTGCCCATTACGACTCTGTTCCTACTGCTTATGGAACAACAGACGATGGAATGGGAATTGCCTCTATTTTGGGCATTCTCGAACACTATTCGTCAGACGAGGTTGAACAGCCAGAACGTACCATCATCCTCAACTTCAACAACGACGAGGAATTCGGACTTTTGGGAGCTGAAGCGTTTGTCAAGCACAAATGGTTTAATTTGGTCAAGTATTTTGTTAATTTGGAAGGTACTGGTGCCGGTGGCAAGGCAATTCTGTTCAGAAGCACGGATGTTGGAGTTTTAAGCTACTATTCGGCTGCCAAACGTCCGTTCGCTAACTCCTTGTTCCAACAAGGCTTCCAGAGCGGCCTCATTCGGTCTCAAACCGACTACAAAATCTACACCGAAAATGGTCTTCGTGGAGTGGACATCGCTTTCTTCAAGCCTAGATCTCTCTACCACACGATGAGAGACTCAATTGCAGGAACGACTCTCGGGTCGCTCTGGCACATGGAGTCCAACGCACTGAGTTTAGTGGACGCCTTGGCAAACGAGAAAGACGACGTTAGTGACGACACTTCCGCAGCCGTGTTTTTTGACGTTTTGGGCATATTCTTCTTTTACTGCTCGGTCAATACTCTCTACGTGCTGGACATTCTGATTGTCAGTGTGGTGCCGGTAGTGACCATTCTGTGTTTGTTCATTGTGGCCAAGCGTGGAACATGGTACGTTGATTTCGGAAGAGGCTGGCTCAGATACCCTATCAGTTTGGGTGCATCGTACGCGCTCACGTCGTTCGTGTCCAGCTATATCTACTTGAACGATCCAATTCTTCTTTCAAACGATTACATTTCTCCGTTATTGGCACTCAGTGCTCTCAACTTACTGTCAAACTATGTCATTTTGAATTTCGCAGCCTGGGCTCGTCCAGTTCACGACCAGAAATTGATCTGTCTTTTGGAGCTGAACATCTTGCTCTGGATAGGTGCGATTTGGATGACGTCCAAGGAAAAAAACGAGCAAAATGTTGCTGGATACAGCATCACTTTGGTGCATCTCTTGGTTTCTGCATCTTCGATTTTCGGACTTACAGCACTCATGATCAAGAAAAGAGCTCCTCGGTACAAAAAAGTTGTCAAGCCTAGAGTATATGGCTCTACAGAGGATGAGCAGTCCACCTCTCACGCCGAGTCGCCTGCAGAGACGATTCCCGAGTCCAGCGACTCGGAGCGTCAACAGCTTCTTGCTGGCGAAGAGTCTTCGATCAACAATAACTCAACCATTGTGGTGATTGAACACGAGTCAGAAGAGACTTACAAACAAAAGCTGAAGCACGCAGCTTTGCAATCGTTCAGCTATGACTGGTCTATCCAGTTCTTGCTACTTGTTCCTTTGGCCATTTACATTATCTTCTCTAACGGAGAGCTTATTTTGCAAGCTCTAAACCAAACTGTGCAAGAAAGTTCGTACTTTGGCAAAGTGACCATGCACGTTCTTGTTGGAGTGGCCGTGTGGCTTGGTGTTCCTGTGACTCCGTTCATTCACAAGCTGAATGCTGCTCTGGTGTTGTTCCTCGCAGCTGTTCTGCTCGTTGGCTCTACCGTTTCGTACTTTGAGACTCCATACTCCTATGCTAACCCGTTGAAACTGAGATTTTTGGAAACCGTTAACACGGCCACGGAATCGTCTCTTGTGAGTCTTTCCGGAAGAGCTGGGTACATCGAGCCAATGTTGCGCGATATTCCTTCGCTCAAGGACTCAGGCAACACTGTCAGTTGCAAGGTGAACTCTGAGCTCGACACGGAGATTTGCCAGTACGAGGGTCCACGTCCATACTTGTTGGACGGTACAGGAGCAAACAACAAGTACTCAAATTACCTGAATGTGAAGGTGATCAATAACTCAAACGATGGAGACGTTACAGATAAGTACACGCCGGTGGAGGTTGATTTTGTGATTAGTGCACAGGATAACAGAAATTGTATTCTGACATTCAACTCGTCGCACTACAACCCGAAGGACTCTGCACGGTCGAAGAAGGTCGCGTCCCCTGTCAAGCTGGTGACTCTGTACCAGAACGGCACGAGCTCAAGCCCGTTGTCTTCGATTCCTTCTGGCTACTCACTTGACGAACGGGGCAACCATCGGATCAAGACGATGAAGGGAATTGACGAGATCCAGCTACACAAGCTCAATTGGACACAGCCACACTACCGTGTTGGCATCCAATGGCTACGAACGCCGTTTGACGACGACGAGGATCCGCAAGAGACCACAGAGCTGGGATTGAATGTGAGGTGCTACTGGGGAGAGTACGACGAGTCTGTTCTTGTTGACGGGGAGAAAACACGCAAGGTCCCTGCACTGGACGAGCTGATCCAGTACTCGCCCCGCCACATCATCTACAGCAACCTGGATCGCGGACTTGTGGAGGTGGAGCAGTATTTAACTTTGTAAGGATAGCTTTTAACTGTAATGGTCGCAGCTAGGGAAAAAACCAAACCGGCACGCCGGATGGCCCACAAATTGCCGTATAAAGTATTTCCAAAAAAAATTTCAGTGCAGCAAATTGCAAGCAGGGGGACCATAAGCAATCTTATCGCGGTTGCAAAATTAATCCTGTAAACGCATGAATCAGGCTGCATAGAGCGGAACAGTCCGTGCAATCAAAAAAAAAAAAAAACTTGAAAAATACATATAAGGAATTCATGACCGATTCAGACATGAACAGGTCGTTTTCGATGAAGAGTGAGGATTCGCAGGACGCTTCAGTGGACCCGAGCTTTGCCAACAAGTTTCGTCGATTACGCGCGTGTGCGCGGTGCCATCGACTTAAGATGCGGTGCGTTTTCGAAGACCCAGGGTTCGAGAGTTGTACCAGGTGTTTTAAGGCCGATCTTAAATGCTCCATGACAGAAGACCCGACTATGGAAAAGGCGAAACCGCGTCCTCGCAAGAAGGTCAAGCTGAGGGGGTCCGGCCCGCTCACGGGGCTTCAGACTAGCATGAACGAGGCCACCAAGTTATTCCACACCTTACAGAGACAAATTACTGAAACCAAAAACGTGAGCATTGCATCTCTAGAGAACCAGAAACTAGAAATATCCAATCTGGACGAGAACCTCAACCCAAAGAGCCTTGCCCAATTGCAGAAAGAGCTGAGCGAGCTCCAAAGGCTGCTGGCACACACCATCAATTTCAGCAAAGGGATGAATCTGACGTCTGACGAGACAAACGTTGCCTCGTCCGTCAATTCGATGAAAGACGGACCTGTTAAGAGCGTACCGAACCTGCCGTTCATCCCGTACGAAAATAACCTCATGAAGGAGCTCATCAAGCTGCGGATCTTGTCCGAAGACGAGGCCCGCTCGAAATTTGCGTTTTTCGTCAACGACGTGCTGTGCTACTGGCCCTGTGTGTCAATTCCCGCCCATTATACGTTCGACTGGCTCATAGAGAACGAGCCTTTGGTTCTGTTGGCGTTTGTGACCGTCACATGCCTGAACGAGGCAGACTTGCACGATACTCTTCTCTACTACCTCGACAACAAGCTGGCTTTACAAGTCGGGGTCATTGGCGATATCTCGCCAAGCCTGATCCAGGTATACTTGGTGCTATCGCTGTGGTGCTCCCCGCCTCGCAAATGGGGCTCCTACAAACACCAAATGAGTCTGCTGTCTGCACTGAATCTCACGCTATGCTTGGACCTGGGAAACGAGGCCCACCGAATGGGTTCAAACGTTTTGGAGGACAGCTCCGAGGAACGCAAGATCCTGCGCGCATACATTGGAGTTTACTCGTGCTGTTGTTCGCTCGGACTGTCTTTGCCGAGATTCAAGGTGGTCAACTGGACAAACACCCACGAACGGTGCTGCCAGACACTGATGATGGGCGACGTGAACCGCAACGACCGGTTCTTGGCGTATTACGCGCGGCTGGTGGCTGTGGGTGAAGAAATCTTCCAGTTTTTGTGTCCGACAATCGCTTCTCCGTCGCTCGCAACAAGACTCAATTTACTTTTCAACGTCCATAAGGACGTGAAGGATGACAACTCGTTCCCCCACGAAAGCTTACGTACAATGATGATCAATTACGAGAAAAAGATGCAGAAACTGGCTTCCGAAAGTGGCCTGCTAGCCTCAGAGTCGAAGGAGAAGAACCTGCTCTCTATTATTTATTATCAGCTTCTGATGACCATGTACGATTACGTGGTTTGCAGAGTGCTGGTGCGCAAAGACATCATGACAGACGTTTATCTACAGACGTTGACAAGACTGGTGAAGGCCAGCGAGAAGGTTGTGGAATCGTTTGAGGCCGTGAGCCACCAGACTCCTATTTTCCCCACCTTTTTCTACTACCGTCCAATGCACGCTCTGGTTGCACTCATTCGGGCACGTTTACTGGTCAAGTCCCAGGGACTCGATCTGGAAGTCGACGTGGAGCGGCAGTACGAGCTGGTCAGCCAGTCTCTGGACCGCATAGCTTCCAAGAGTAAAGTTGGGCAGAAAATGCTCATGATCTTGACAAGAATCAGCAAATGGATGCAGGTGTCCAACAATTTCAACAGAGACGGAGCCACCAACTCCATGGTGGACCTCCTGGATGAGCTGGGCAAAGAGAAGGCCGTGGAGAATATCAGTGTCAACTTGCGAAAGAGAGAAGGAGACAACGGCAATCTGAACCCGGACTCGCGAATCCAGTTCAGCAGATTCATCAACTACAACGTCGAGAATATCTCTAACAAAAATAGGAAATACTCGTCAGCCAGCTCCAAAGCGAGCCGCAAGTCCAGTGCAACGTTTATTCCGTCTCCAATTGGATACACTGGGAGCGAAGGAAACGATTCTCCAAGCGTGTTGGTTGATGGTCCAGCCAAAATGCCAGACAATCGCACCTCTTTCAGCGTGGACAACTCGTTGGAACACACCAACGGGTCTCAAAATCTCTTGAACGATATCTTTTCGCAAATCGACTCGGATATTCTCAACTTCAACGAAGTGCCTGTGATCGAAATGATGCCCGACTCAGAGCTAAACTTCTTTGGCGGAGAGGACGGCTACGGATTTTGGTAAACGATATCAGACATTCGCTTTGTACTATACTCATATTATTCGCTCTATTCACAAGTTTAATGATTCTATGTATCTTGATTGATCGCATGATATCTTTTTCCACGGAAACCAAACGTCTGCTGGTTGTACTGGAAGACCTCTTGCGGGTTGTAGTCGTTGAGCTCCCACTTGGTGGATCCGAAAACGTTTGGAACAACGTCCATCAAAATGTCCATGTCCTTGGAATAGTTGTCAACTAGCCAGTTGTAATCTTTCGTGATGTCGTCTTTGTGGTATCCGGTCACGAAGATTCCGCACTTGGAGTCCAGAAGACCTGGAACGCTCTTTTCCCACAGTTCTGTGGACTCGCCCGATCCCATACGCGGATGGAAGCAGAAAAACACGTCCAAGTATGGATCGTAAGGGAAGAAGTCCTGGGCCTCGTGCAACACGTTGAAATCATGGGTGTGGTAGTAGAAACACATGGTGTCGTCGATTCTCTTGACAAATGGTCTTTCGGAAACTAGATACTGTTTCTTCTCTCTGTCGTAGTACGACTCCGGTCCAATAAAGTGCAATTCGAACGAAATGCCGGGGAACAAATAAGTTAACTCTTTCCAAACAAAACCTGGCAACATGGACTCGGACTTGGAGTTCAACAGGAAGATACGCATTGGACGGTCCTTGAGCGACGAGATTCTGGCCTCCGGATACAAGGTGTATCTCAGAGCAGCCAAACTCTTGAGACCTTCCACGGAAACAGGACCTTTTGGCTTCAAGAAGTACGGAGAGTATTGGTGCAAGATGGATGCGATGGTGGCTGGGAAACTCAACATCTTAGTGACAACAGCCAGCTGGAACTCTGTGTCCATCGAGTAAAAGCGTCTCGTGTACAAATAGGTGTCCCAATTGGCGAAATTAACCAACGTATCTTGCGCCTGGTACGAAGGGAAATCAAACTCCGGGAACTGTCTACCAGATCTCAAATCGTGTTCGTAGATGTTGACTTTTTTCAAAATTTCGTATTTCTTGGACTCGTGGTATTCTTTGTCTTGCTCCCATGCTTCTTGGGAATGGTGTGTTGGGATTCCTGAATATGGACAGGTATAGTTGATTTCTTTCTTTGTCACCGGACATTTGGCATTGGCTCTGATGGAGGCCGCTCTCATTCTCAAGTCCGGGGACGGCGATTGGTCCCAGTAGTGGAATCTATTGTCCGGGGTTGGATCGTCTGGTGAAGGCGGAGGATCCATACATAGCACACTGCGGATAAACGAGCCAATCTGACGGCTGGATATCGCCGCAGAAAGTCTAGTGGGGACGGCGGTCTTGGAAGGAACTCGAACAAACATGGCGGGACGCTGATTTTCCCGTGCAAATGAGGTTTCGAGAGTCCGCTTGTTGTAATTTAGTGCAAAAGTAGTGTGCAAATTTTTATTTTTCCAAAAACCAAACCCCCCAACCCGGTATTTGAACTGGCAGAATGAGGTTTTAATAGACACTTTAATCTTGCCAATGTCTTCTTCTACGGATTTCGAAAAGTCTCCATTGGAGATCGAATTCGAGGCCGAGATCAGGTACTGTCTGTCGGATATGCGCACACGGACCGGGCCGGCCACCAAGAAGGTCCAGGGCATCACTTTACAAACCACTCTGGGGGAACTGTTCGAACTGAGCGATGTACAGGACGTTATCGAATTGGTGATTGAGAACGAGCACTCCTCGAAAAACTTGGACAATAGTCTGCCATTGTACCATATTCTGGAGTGTGGATCAAACCTGACCCACGATCAGGTGCCCACTATGATCTCGATCTCGGTTGTTCTGCCGGGTTCGGTGGCCAGGGTGAAGCAATACGTTGTTACACTGAAAGACGAGCTTGGACGCGAGGTAGAGGTCGAATTGACTTCCCAGGATTGCATTATTGTCGATAACACGCAGATCGGCTACGACTCATACGTTCTACTTTCCACCACCGGAAGACAGAAAATCTCAGCGGTGGCCCCACTCAACACGGAGTTTGAGGTGAAGGAGAATACGCATATGGACCGAAATTGGGTGGCAACGGTCTCGGGCGTGGCCAGATCGCTGTCGCTGTTGCCATTGAGACTCCCTGAACTTGTTGCGCGCGGAACAGTGCATTTTTTCGAGCAGGGCACCTTCTGGAGACTTCTAAACCTGACCTGGGTGATTGTGAGGTTCTCGGTCATACAACTGGTGATAGGAGTGATTCCTTCGGGCGATGCCCGCAGACCCAAATCATTTATTCGGGGCCCGCTCGCGGATATAATTAACGTTTATCTTTTTGGGGCCACAATTTTCGGGAGCGAGCTGTGGATCAGTCTAGAAGATATCATTTTGAATGATTTTTCAGGCCGGGCCCAAAAATACTCTTTGATTCCTGTGCGAAGGATGCTTGCTGTGGGAACATCTGTGGAAAACTACGCGCACCTTAAGATTTCGCTCTTAGTGCGCTCGCTTATCGTGAATAATCGCAGAGGACGATTGGAGTTGCCAGGAAAGGTGCACCCAGAACAGAAATCTTGCTGCGCGTCAGCGGAATTTTATCGATACGTTTGTGTGGCTGTGCAAGATTTTAGTTTGTTACTAATCACCCTCCATCCGACCATTTTCCAGATCTACAAAACAGAACTGGACAAACACGAGCAATTGGTGGCCAAGTTGCGCAACGACCTCGCAGAACAGCAAGACGCCATTGCCGAGCCACAGGACTAAGAAGATTCGCGAAATGTCCGAGCTATTATCAGAAGGCGGTGCAATCTGGCTAGAGATTTTAGGCCGTTCCAGAATTTTTCGATTAGTTACTAATTTGGATTAGTTACTAACAATCTGCATTTATGTAAGCATAGGCGGTCCAGTCCTCCCTCAATCGTAATAGGAGAGAATATAAAAGCTGGTGGTTTACCCACATTATTTCCATCCATCTAATATCAATTAAATAAATACAATGGTTGCCACTGTCCAAAAGCCAGCTCCAAGCTTCTCCAAGACCGCCGTTATTGACGGTGTGTTCGAAGACATCACCCTTGAACAATACAAGGGTAAGTGGGTGTTGCTCGCATTCATCCCAATGGCATTCACTTTCGTCTGCCCAACCGAAATCATTGCCTACTCGGACGCTGTTAAGAAGTTCGCCGAGAAAGACGTTGAGGTTCTGTTCGCTTCCACCGACTCCGAGTACACTTTGCTCGCCTGGACCAACGTTGCACGTGCCGATGGTGGTCTTGGAAAGGTCAACATCCCATTGGTCTCCGACAAGAACCACACCCTTTCTAAGGACTACGGTGTCTTGCTCGAGGACGAGGGAATCGCTCTTAGAGGTATCTTCTTGATCGACCCTAACGGAGTTCTGAGACAGGCCACCATCAACGACTTGCCAGTCGGAAGAAACGTCGAGGAGTCCTTGAGACTCGTCGAGGCCTTCCAATTCACCGAGAAGTACGGTGAGGTTTGCCCAGCCAACTGGACCGCAGGTGCCGATACCATCACCCCAGAGGTTGAGAAGTCTAAGCAATACTTCTCCAAGCACGGTTAAATAGAAACAGTCGCGAAGGACCGATAGATGGACTTGTCAGGAGTTTATGTATGGAATAGACATTTTGTGTCCAGCTTATCATGGTAGTTACCATCACTGTACTAGTCTCGGTATTAGCTTGTAAGTTTCTGGTGTAGAGGTGTCTACCACGTTGACCTGGAGCCCGGAAACACCGTTTGCGAAGGGGAGCAGGTTGACGAGTTTGGAGGTTGGTGTTGAACTTGATGGCGATTTTGCGTTGTACAGGTCGCCCTCCACAGTAAAGAACAGCGGCTGTTCCAGTGAAAATTTGACCGACACCTCGTCCACAAACTCCTGCAAAGTGGTGGTGTCGGTGATTAGGTGTTCCCGCGGCAGGCTGCCGCACACTTTGCAGTCGTCCACCTTGTCGTACGGGTCGGAAACACAAACAACGCCGGTCTCGCCGTTGTAGTACATGCTGTCGCGCATGTTTTCTGCGCACGACGTGATGAACTTGAAGCACTCGTGGCAGCAGGCTGCTGCCACCACGGCATTCGTGGCTGCGATGGCCGGAATGATGTTTTTCACCACGCCCAGCGTCTTGGACTTGGTCACTCCGTCGATGCCGAACTGGGTGGCGCGCGCCTTGGCCAGCTGGTACATTTTCTCGACGTGGTCCGGAATATCTGCGTTGAAGTCTGAGTCTGGGTATATTCTGGACCATTCAAGTTGGTGGGCCCATTCGATGCAATGTTCGGGCAATCTCGGCGTAGACGCCAAGGTGCACAGCGGGTACGTTGTCTGGACAGGAACGAGTTTCATGTAGCACTCGAAACACGCCGTGATGGTGGGGATCATCAGCTTGACCGATCCTTGGAAACCTTCGGTTCCACCATCGACCCAGGGAATCAGCTGGCCCGTGGTGGCCGCGAGAGTGATCAGTTTCTCGTTCATCCACCGCCGAGCCCCAATGCTATCGAGGCCACACACAATCATCGAGAATTGCGAGTAGAAGGCGTCGTCGAAGTCCTGGATTTTGCAGAAATGAGGCACAATTGTCAGTTCCTTGCTGGAAACACGTTTGGAAACAAACTCGCACGCCACAATGGCCTTCGACTTACCCACATCGCTTGGTCTGAACAAAAACTGCCGGTTCAAATTGCTAATCTCAATGGTGTCCATGTCAATACACTCTATATGGCGAAACCCAGAAAGAGCCAGGTTCTTGAGGATCTCGCACCCTAAACCACCAGCACCAAGCACCAGAATTTTGCTCGTCACAAGAGACTCCACGCCAAACTCTGGCGTGTAGTCCGGGTCGGTGAACGGACCGGCCTGTTGCAAAAGAGTTGTCATAACAAAGTGAATGAAATTATTTTTCTCCAATCTATCTATCTAAATCAGTCTCACCTTCTCTTTCATCCGTCCACCGCGGAAACCGTACAAACACCGATTTTCCTGCGGCATTGTCTGTAGCTGTCTCCATGCTTCGTAGATGTACTCGGGCATGATCGGCTTGGTGTCGTTGCTGGGCTCGTCAAACAAGTACTTTCTCTTCTTGCTCTCCTTTTCCTGTCTGAACTCTTCAACACGACTGCGTTTAATCTCCAGCGACTTCTCCGTCAGTGAACACACCATCTCAAACGTCAGGAACCCGAGAATGTCGATCACATCGTCGTTGGGACGACTCTCTGTGATCTGCGCCATTCCACACCACTCCCTAAACCGCTTGGCTTTTCTAAACGTGAAACTGGCCTGACGACACTCCGACCAATGCACATACTCCTTCTGGGTCATATTCTTGGTACGCTCGTCGTTCTGCTTAAGCCGTTTCAGCTGTGCAAGAACAGCCTCGCGCTCCTCCTCGTCGATCTGGTTTCCGGTTCCATCATCGTTCAGTTCCATAGGCTGTTCGTTGAACATGAATTCGAGCTCCCACGGAAGCCGAATCTGCGATTTTTTCTGCTTGGCCAACATCTTGCTGTCGATTCCGCTCGCGTTGGCCGCCCCGCCTGCCCCTCCCGCAGGGTTGTCCAGAAGCTCGTTACCAGCACCAATGTCTCCAGATTCCTGGTCCTTGGCGTTCTTCCGCACATCTTTCCACGACAAATATGTTCGAAGCCGATTCACCTTGGCCTTGTCGTGTCTAATCATGAATATCACATCCTCCGGTAAAATACTCTTTTGTCCCCTGGCATTGGCCGTCTTTTGGGCCTGCAAAATTAGCTCAATCACCTGGTCCTTGACAATTGTCTCAATCACCATAGTCGTGCTCTCGGGCGGATCGTTCGTCTCGCCGCTCACAAACATCATCTGCTGGATCTCCAGCCTATACTTGAATTTACTTTTATCCATGGCTAAAAAAACAAGAGAAAATTATTTTCTTCTTCTATGAAATGTACATGGATCTCTGCTCCGCTGGAAATCATCAGTAAAGACAAATTCCAAGGATGGTGTATCCCAATCCAGAACAAAAGTGAGATACCTCTGCTGATTGCCAAATTGCACGAGGAAAATCCGAGTATTCGCAAAGCTACCCATCCTGCAATGTATGCCTGGAAAACAGCTACTACTGCCCCCAAACCGCCACATATCCTCGATTTGGACCAGGGAAAACACGACGGAGGCGAGAGAGGATCAGGAGAACGACTGATCTCGGTTTTGGAAAACTTTAAGCTGCTGAACGCGCTGGTTCTGGTGGTTAGATGGCATAACGGCCCAAATTTGGGAAGCAAAAGATTCCGAGCCATTAGCAAATCGGCTACACAGGCAATCATCCACGCAGGATGGCCAGATAAAAAAGCTAAGCTGTTCAAGGACGTCAAAACGCATCTTATTATCTAAACTACCATCAGCCCAATTATTTGAACACCTTACCGTCGACAATTTCTTGGCCGTTGTAAGGCTTGTCCCAAGCCCACATGTTCTCAATGAACTCCTTGTCCTCTGGCTTGGATGGGTCCAATTTGGTGAAAGAGTAAGATTCCCAATCTGGAGCAACATCGAAAGCTGGAACAGCATCCTGGCCTCTGACAAGGAAAGCACCAACAATACCGTTGTTGTTGTTCTCTCCGTAAACAACGGCAGAACCAAACAGGTATTTGGTGGAAGCGGACAATCTGTTGAAGAAACCTCCAACCAAGTTGTTAGACATGAAAGTCAAGGTCAACTCATCATTGTACTTGTAAGCGACTCTCCACAAAGACCATTCCTCAGGGTTCCAGAACTCGTTCCAGAAGTATGGCAAAGCACCAGTTCTGGTGTCCTCGTTGGAGTATTTTCTCTTCCACTCGTCAAGTGGTAGGGAAGACTTACCAAGAGCCTCCAATGGGTGCTTTGGCTTCTTCTCCTGAGCTGGCTCCTCGGCTGGCTTTGGAGCAGCAGCGGCAGCAGCCTTTGGAGCAGCCTCGGCCTTAGCAGCCTTTGGAGCCTTTTCCTTCTTGGCTGGCTTTGGAGCCTCAAGTGGCTGGGCAGTCAACTTGACGTCCTTGAAGAACCAGTTCAAGTACTCAGTGGCGGTAACAGTCTTCCACCATCTGGTAACGTATGGGTGTTTGGATCTCCATTCGTCACCGTAAAAAATAGTGAATGGTCTGTAGAACATGGCAGCAAAGAAGATGTCGGCAATGGTAAGTCTCTCACCAACCAAGAAGGTGTAGTGCTCGAGTCTGGCATCCAAAGTGGAAACAATCTTCTCCAAAGCTCCAAGAGCATCGTCAACGACTTTCTTGTTGTATGGAGCCTTTCCGAGGAATGGCTTGAAAGCAGTTGTGGCTTGCACCATGAATTCGGAAGATCCAAGGGAGACCCATTTCAAAACCTGAGCACGGTCTTCAAGAGTCTTACCGAGCAATGGGTGGTTCTCATCCTTCAAAGAGATAACTAAACAAGTTAGTAAGATTTCCAATGAAATCAGCACACCAATGGTGGGTGAATGTATCAGATTCGTAATCTCGACATAATTTTTAAGACAGGGATAACTGTATAAATGATGGAAATATTTCATCACATAAACACCTCATTGGTCTGCTGACTGAAAATACTCACGGTAGTACAAAATGGCAATAACCTCGGTCAATTTGTAGCCCTTTGGTCCAACAAAAGCTGGCACCTTGCCCAATGGGAAGTTGGCCTTGTACTCTTCGTCAGCTCTTTCACCGAGCTTGACATCCAAGTCCAAGACCTTAACAATACCTCTGACAGGAATCACTCTGCTGGCTTCACCAGCATATAAAGTACCCAACGACATTCTGTCTAGTGTTAAAGATCAATTATTATGAGCTTTCTTTGTCCTCGTTGGAAAAATTTTAAATTACTAGTCGTGCGAAACACACTTCGGAGTAAGGTGTTGGAGGTTAGACCATTTGATATACCTCAATTGTATATCGGGCCTGTTGGTGATGAGCTTTGCAAAATGGCCACGCGCCGTGCGATTTGCCAGAAGCGTTCACAATTTACCCTCTCATGCAGAGATCGTGGCCAAGTTCGACTTCCAGAAGCCTACGCACTCCATCAATGAGATTAACCAGAAGTTTGATTCGCTACGGCACCAGACCATTGTCCTGAATGGATGGCTCGACAGAGCTCCTCGAAAATTATCGTCCAAGCTGATTTTCGCTTCTTTGAGGGATACAAAGTCAAACTATGCTGATATCGTTTGCAAAGATCAGAAAGTAGCAGAGAAGCTGGCTTCCAGAAAGCCCGAGGACGTGATTAGTGTTAGCGGGACTGTTCAACCGAAAAAATCAAAAGACGGGTCCACAGACTCGTGGGAGCTGGTTTTGCAAGACATTAAGCTGCTGAACGCCGCAGATATCCAAACCATCCAGCTTGATTCGTTGAAACACGCCAATAGCCAGTATCCTCAGGAATACAGATATCTCCAGCTGAGACAGCCACAATACCAGAAATCCTTGCGCACAAGGGCTTTGGTTGCTTCTGTGGCACGTAAAGTTCTGGATAAACGGGACTTTGTTGAGATTGAGACTCCACTGCTGTTCAAGTCCACTCCTGAAGGAGCCAGCGAGTTTCTGGTCCCAACACGGAAGCAGGGCCATTTCTACGCCCTACCGCAGTCTCCTCAGCAGTACAAACAATTGCTGATGGCCAGCGGGTTTGAGAAGTACTACCAAATAGCCAGATGTTTCAGAGACGAGGATTTGCGTGCGGACAGACAGCCGGAATTTACCCAGATTGACTTGGAGATGTCTTTTGCAAAGAAACAGGATGTTATGGAGACCGTGGAGAACCTTGTTACGGAGATCTTCAAGGAGTCCAGAAACCTGAGCCTGCTGACCTTAACAGACGACAACTCTGCGGTGGTTGACTCCAAGACTAACGGAATAAAGCTTTTGAGCTACTGGGACGCAATGCACTATTTCGGTATCGACAAGCCGGATCTGCGCTCCAGTTTGAAGTTCGAGCTGTTGGATGAACATTTCGAAAGCAACGGAATTGTGCAAGGAGTGGTTCTTCCAGATGCACTGAAAGTGGACGGAATAGAGAGTTTGATTAATTCTGCTGACTACACGAACCGGAAACCGTTCGTTGCCAAAATAGAGACAGAAAGCGATCTTGCCAACTGGCACAAACAGTCTCCGTTTGTTTTCAAAGGCGATATCAACCAATTAAATGCAAAACTGAACGTCAAGGTTGGAGACGTGGTTGCACTGGGAGACATGGTTTATCCCGACAAGAAAAACCATCGTCACGTATACGAGAACCCTAGTCCGTTGGGAAGGTTTAGACAGCTGGCTATCCAACAATTCCCCGAGCTCTGGAGACACAACTGTGGTCTAAAGCCTGAAGACACGTTTGTTGCCTGCTGGGTGGTGAATTTCCCGCTTTTCTCTCCAACCGAAGACCCGAAATCCAAGGGAAAAGAATACCCTGAGTACCTGGAAAACACTTATGAAGCCACGCATCATCCCTTCACCATGTTTGATCTTAGTCAGGGAGTTACTCCGTCCTTGGGAAACGTTTTGGATATTAATGGAGAACACTACGATTTGGTCATCAACGGCGTTGAAGCAGGCGGAGGATCCCAAAGAATTCACGACGCACAACTTCAAAGATACATCTTGAAAGAAATCCTGAACATACAGAACGCAGACGAGCTCTTTGGCCATCTGCTTAGAGCATTAGATAGTGGCTGTCCACCACATGCTGGCTTTGCCCTGGGTTTCGACAGACTGTGTTCTATGATTGTTGGATCCAACAACATTAGAGACGTGGTCGCGTTCCCGAAAACACAAACAGGCGCCGATCCTGTTGTTGGCTCGCCCAGCAGAGTCGACCAGACAACCTTGGCCAGCTACCATGTCCGGTGTACGGATGTGTGAGAAGGGCTCGCAACCCCGCGATTTTTCGTCCAAGTGAAAAATTTTGTTCGCGAAAAGGCAGCCACCCCTCGTAGGAGCAAGGCAAAATCGGGTATTAGCAAATTGGACCAGCTTGTACATATTGAAAAATCCTAGGTTAACCAGGTATAATTTCACCCATTAAGGAGAGTTTGGCCCGTCCAGACTTCCTAGAGATCCATAAGGCCACATTTTCTTTGAGACCGAGAGTGTGCGAAGGCATACTGCAGAGACCGAGGTAGATAAGAGGCTTTAACTTTATCGGCTAGATTGGGTATATTTTTGTGAGGCCAACCTGTTTGGAGACCGTGTTTTCTACGCTCATACAGTGTGGACAGCATTTAGCCGAGCAGATTGTGCTTATTACTGACACTTTTAATTCGTTGTCAACGTGTTGGTTGTCAACAACGCCTTTGAGGGGCAAATACTTGAACCACAACTGCTGGTGCAGAGGTGTCAAATATCAAGATGGCTCTACCATCGTCAGCCGGAGCACGATTCCGGCAACGTAAGATTTCTGTGAAACAAACGTTACAAGTATGGAAACAGAAAGACATACCGGATCTTGAACTTGCTGAACAACAGCGGGATCTACAGCAATTCGAGACAGGTGTCGAGAAAGGGGAAGAAGAGGAACATCATTTACAAAAGGTGATCAATGCGTCTGCAGCCAAGATCCAAGGTGAGAAGGTTGAGCAGGTGTACATTCCTACTCCAGATGCTTCCAAGGTGTGGGCAGATGCACACAAATATTATAAAGACGGGTTTTCTGCCCCTGCTACCTACATCAAATTCTCTGCAACCGTGGAGGACGTTTCCGGATGTCCTTACTGTATGGACGAAGAGGACGAGAAGTTTTTGGAGGCAATGAACAGCAAATCAGACAACAAGTGTACCGAGGATGAGTTTGAGATCATAGCACACCGGTTTGAGACCGTGGTGAATGAGAAACAACCGTTCTTGACCATGGATCCGCAACAGATTTTGAGCTTTAAGGAGATCGTGCAAATTGCGTTGGTTCCAGATAAGTCTGATCCTGCCGACGTTGCACGGACATTGGAGACCCAATTGAATATACATCCGTTCAAAACCTTACTGGATGCTAAACCTACGAGCGGAAAACAGCCAAGACCACTTAAAGTGCTGTTTGACATGTTTGGTCGCAAAATATACGAGCATTGGAAAGCTCGTCGCATTGAGAGACACGGGAAGCCCGTTTTCCCTGCTCTCAAGTTCGAAGATCCTTCTCACAAAGATGACAACGATCCCTACGTTTGTTTCAGAAGACGTGAATTTAGGCAAGCGAGAAAAACAAGAAGAACCGATACCCAAGGTGCAGAGCGACTGGAGCTCTTTTACAAAGATCTCAAGCATGCACGAAATCTTATGTTTATGGTCGCTGAGCGTGAGGTGAGGCGATTTGAGCAGATCAAGACCGATCTTGAGATATTCAATTTGCGGTGCGAAACCAAAAAGGTGAAGCGAGAACTTGGTGTCAAGGGAGAAGAAGAAGATCTGATCACACACAAGAAGAAACGTCCCCCATTACCGGACCCAGAGATGTTCAGAGCTCAACAGATGTCTGAGAAAGAGAGACTACTAAACAAAGAGCGTCGCAAACAACAGATCGAGAAGGAGAAGCTGATGGCTACACAGAGACAACGGTACCAGAAAGGAGGGGCCAATGCGCAAGGGCCACTTGGACAGGGAACGAATCCTGTTGCTGTGCAACCGTATGTCAAGCTTCCATCCTCGCGTATCCCCGATCTGGACTTGACTACGGTGAATGCTGTTTTGCAGGATAAGCTGGAAGGTATCAAGAAAGCTGTTAGCGACAAACTGGTGAAACGGCGTGCTCAAGACGAGGGATGGGTGAATTTCACAGACGACCCATACAATCCGTTCTTTTCGATTGCAACCAACGAAGACGAGGCATTAAAGGAGAGATCACACTTGCCGTACTCATCGATTGCCTCGTCGCTTTACCAGATCGAGAACTCGCAAGAGACCAAGTACTCCTCGATTTTTAGTGGTCACAGGCACTACAAAGACGAAGACGTTGTGAGGATCAACGCTTCAGACGGAAAGCTGGTTGCAAACGACAGGAACAACATGCTTCCTGAGTTTTACGACCTGAGCGGCCAGGACCGGGATTACGAAGACACTGGCTTTTACAATCTCAACAACGAGAATCAAAACAAGCTCTCAGTTTCTGAGGTTCTCTACAAGCTGAGAAAGCGTGTTGGTCGGTACGGAAGAACATGGATAGACCGGAAGAGGGTAAGCGACGACCATGGATTCGAAGACTACGTCGATGAGTCCGATGACGAGATGGAGCTCGAGTCCGACTCTGGCGAGGAGGACACCAAGGAAGAGCCGTTGACACCTCCTGAGAACGGAGAACTGTCTTCGCGCAAGAGACACATCGACGTGTACGACTCTCAGAGCGATGCCAAGCGGCGACTCAAGTCGCGGTTCATGTTTGACTCCGATCTTCCGTCGTACATGCCTTTGGATCCATCCAAGTTGAACCAGATCGGAACACAGACCCAGGCCATACGGTTCGGATGCATGCTTTTGACGAAGGCGTACGACAGCATCCACCACATCCGTCAGAAACAGATCGAGGCACACCAACAGCGAATCTTGCAACAACAGAGACTGATGCAACAGAAGCAAAAGCAGCTGGCTAACGGCTCTGCCGACACGAACGGGTCAGGCCTGTCGAACAAATCAGGTTCTCCTGCTCCTGGTGCTGCTGCCGAAACGAAGAAACTTAAAACTTGATGTATAATAGTAAGACATGTAAGATGAGTGATAATCCGACGATCGTCCGCGATCTGATAAAAAAAAGAAGCCTTGAATTTTTCTTGCATGTCCAAGCGTAAGATCGAAAGTATTGATCCGTTCGATACAGCAAAGAATGTTGTCAAGCTGGTTCCACGGCCGGTGGTTCCGTTTGCGCCCACGAATTACGCCGATCGGAACCATTATTTGCGGATTTTCCACGAACAGCTGAAGAAATTGAACGTTCCAGACGCCGTGGCTGTAGCTGTTGATAAGGAGCACGAGGTAGCTAGTGCGACCAAGACACAGGCGGAGTATGTGCGACTGATCAAGCGGACGATGTATGAGTATGTGAAGAAGAAGCCCAAGGTTGCGAAGGGGCCAATTGAGCCGTCGGCGAGCGAATACTTGAAAAGACTGCAGACCCTGTGTGTTTCCGAGTCGATGCTCAAGAGACACGGGTTTGTGATGGAGATTCCCGAGGCGAGACAGCATGGAGAGACTTTGGAGTGTGGTCATTGTCGTGTGACGTTTCTTGCCGCAAAAGAGTACGAGCCAGATCACAAAAGCGTGTGTCGGTTCCATCCTGGTAAGATCATCACGAGTCTGAGCTCGGGGATCAAGAAGTGGAACCATAACTATGCCAATCGCCATTATTCGTGCTGCAACGAAGTCCCGGGACACACAGAAGGGTGTCAGAAACTGGACAAACACGTTTTCAAACTGACAGACCCAGCAGAGATGCACTATCAGCTACCGTTTGCCACGATCGAGGAGCTCCGACAGAAGTACGACGTGAAGGACCCGCCAAAGTACGACGCGATTGGGCTTGATTGTGAAATGTGTTATACCTCGCGCGGATTCGAGATGATGAAGCTCAGTTTGGTCAAATTCCCAGAATGCACAGCGATAATGGACGAGATTGTCAAGCCAAAGGGGGAAGTGATCGACCTGAACACGTTTGTTTCTGGAGTCGAATCGATTCCAGACGATGCAATGACGTGGGAGCAGATGCTGGAGAAGATGGCCCGGCTCACGGACGAAAATACCGTGATCATTGGTCATGGTTTGGAGAATGATTTGAACGTTTTGAGAATCATCTACCCCAAAATTGTCGACACGGCGATTCTTTTTTCCGAGAGAACGGTGGATCCGCGTCGGAAGGATCCGTTGAAACGACTGGCATGGAAATTTTTGAGCAGAAACATTCAAGGTGGACAGCACGACTCGCTGGAGGACGCTATTGTGCCATTGGAGATCGTCAAGAAACGGCTCGACAAGCTGCCACCGAGCTCGTCCTAATCTGTCTTCATCTGTTTTTCACTAGTTCCATGATTTTCTCCTGGTTCTTGGCCAGTTTCTGCATTAGTTTGGAGTTCTCAAGCAACAGCTGCTTGAGCTCTGAGTCGGAGCTGATCTTCCTATCATGTTTGGGCGACAGAAACACGTTCTCGTCCTGGGGACGAGACAGAGGCATAGAGGTCAGCACGGAGTTCTCTTTGACGGCACTCTGGAAATTGAGCACGGCAGGACGTTCTGGCTTGTGTATCCCAGACTTAGCCGTGTTAAGTCTGCGCATGGCAGAGAGTGGGGTCAGCGAAATAGGTGCCGGACCAGCACGCTTCCGTGGGGGAGACGTGGCGGCGCGCCGCACGCGACGCTGATCCAAGTGTCGTGTTGGAGTGAACGTGGTTATCACTGGTTTAGAGGGAGAGCCCATATAAAAGATAAATAAATAAGTAAATAAAAGCGTCTGGGCTGTGCAAATACACGTCAATGCCAGGTTAAATAAGTTATGCCGATTCATTAAATGCCTAGACAAGTCCACTAAGACTGAGTCTTTCTAAAAACATGGGCAGATCATCTTTTCTGATCTCGATCATGGAGCTCTCGAAGCTGTCGATCCGCGCCTTGGCACCGGTGCTATTTGCTATTTCCTGGAAAGCCAGCGAAAAAGTGTTCAACACGGTGATCTTCTCGGCCGCTTCTTCGACTCCCTTCATGTTGGGGTACTTTGGCGGCAGTCCGCAAACCAGATAAGTCCCTGTGTCAACGTCAAGGGAAGCAATCACCAAAGGTAGCACGGACTTGTCCAGCTCTGCACACGACTCGAGGATCCAGTTGCCGAGCTTGGTGAGTATGAGCGGGTTCTGGAAAAGCTTGGCGTTGTTGCTGAACGTTCTAATTTCGATCGAGTCCGAGTTGCTGGAGTCTGGAACCAACGAATGGTCCGAAACGGTATTATTAGTTGCAAAGTTGTCTTTCAGAACCACGAGTCTGAAAATTCGCAGGTTCTTGATCATCTTCTTTTGGAAGATCTCAAACCCTTTATCAAAGATGAACTGCTGTTGGAGTTTGGCTATTTTCAGTCCCTTGGAAATCAGATCGAAATCGTCCATCGCGTCGTACGCTCTCCAGAAATTGGCCACAAACTGTGACTCTCGTCTTTTGATCAATGTGCGTATATCTTTCTCGTCCTCCTCTTGCTCTGGCGTAGCCGGCCGTGTTTTTGGGGCCTGGTCGCTGACCAACTCTCCATCGTATTCCAATAGTGCCGTCACGGCTTCCACAAAATCACACGCAGAAACAGACCCATGGAACCCAAAGTTGCGCACAAACCCGTCCCTGATAACGTCTGTGAGCCCAAACTGAGCCAGGTTCTTGCGGAAAATGGTATGCAGTTTCTTCTTTAGATTGATGTCCAAATAGTGCCAGTTCTGGTTGGCAGCAGCAAGCGATATTCCCATTCTGGCAAACATGGTGTTAAGTCGCCGTTTCCCGTTGCTCGTGTACAGCTGCAACTTTGAGTTCACGTAATTGGAGTAGAAAAACGAGTTGTACAGGTTCCAATGTCGAAGCAGAAACAGGCTGTAATCCTTGTCGACTTTCAACGCGGTGTTATCTGCCTTCTTTCCTCTGTTGTCGTCGAAGCTCGACTCTGCAGTCGAGGAAATATCGTCCGATTGTTGTATTCTGTTGAGCTCGTCTTTGAGCAGCGGAACTAGCGACTCGTACGCATTTGTGTAGTTAGAACTCAAAGAACTGGTCCCCACGATCGATAACCACAGATAGTCCACGCTCGACTCGCCCAAGGTGGAGACCAGCGAGTACACCTGGATAGCGGCCGACATGGAAACGGTTGTTCCCTGATTGTAGTAATCCTCGATGGTTTTTTCGTGTTCAAGGAGAACGCGTTTTCTGGCCGGAACAGCGTCCTCGCTTTTGCGTTTGCGCGTGAACATCTCGTCCTCAGACCCGCTGGCCAAATCGTCGAATTCTTCCTGTTCTTCCTCCTCGTCCTCGCCCTGTTCTTGCTCCATTGCAACCAGAGCCTCGTACGAAACTCTCTGCGGTTCCAGCTCTCGCTCAGCGGTGCCGTCGTCAAAACACACAATCATGTGCGAACCAAACAGATTATCGAGATTCCACGGCCGGTGGCCGTCAAACACGTAGATTCTTCTGGTTAGCCGGATTTGGGGCTCTGTTGTTGACGAGTCTGGGGTGATTGGAGCACCGGTGCTGTTGACCTGCTCGACGTGTTGCGACACGTCTATATCAAGGAAACTCTCCAAATCAACCATTGAGCCACACCCAACCAACAGCACGTTCGATATTCCTTCGTCTAGCTTAATATACTTGGTCTTCAAGTCATTGTATCCAACAACAGGGATCAACTGAAACACGATCAGATGTCGTTTCAGCATCATACACAGAATCTTGCCCGCACAAATAGAATCAACATTCAAACACGACACGAACACAACCAACTTGCACGTTGAATGGGTCAAGGACATGGTTTTGATCTCCTCGAACGCATTGGAAAAGTCGCCAGGAGTCAAAATCATGGTCCAGAAAATTAGGTCTTGCGCTCACCCCTGCTATCTATCGTTTCACACAACACGTAGCCAAATCACAAACTCGATATGGCAGAGATAGGCGCGGCAACTAGAGCTGTGTTGATTAGATATTTGAAAATAAAACGCGTTTCAAGAAATTATTTAGGGTCTATAATCGGTGCAAGGGTGTTGTATTTACATGACGGACTTGATGTTGTTCAAGAAGTTCTTGATGCGGTGGAGATCGGTCCCGTTTCCCCAGAGAAGGTAGTACCTTGCCACGGACTCGTCGTCCACATTCATACACCGGAGGTATATTTCCGCGAGAATCTTGTATGTGAGCAGATCGGGCTGGATAGCGTTTTTGCTGATTTCGTCCACCAGTCTGCTGATTAGTTGCAGGTTTTCTGATTGTTTCCACACTTGAACAAGGATGGAGTTGTAAACGTCGATGTTGAGCCCGAACTCGTACACAAAGATCGACTTGTGTTCTCTGATGTAGTCCAGAATCAGCAGAGTATCGTCAAAGCTGCTGAAATCGTAAGTCAGCGAGTTTAGACAGTATTCCAGCAACACGGGCAGAGTTTTCATGTTGATGGGTGGACTTTGGGGCGACTTTTCGCATTCGGCTTTAATAGAGACGAAAAACTCGTTCCGATCGGGAGGCACTCCCGGCTTTGACGAGCGGTTCTGTGCAAACCTGTCAATAACTGTGTCTTTAATAAATGCGATCATTTCTTCGTTTGTCTGCACGTTTTCGTCGATGTATGTGAGAGTCGGTTGTAAACTCTCGAGCAGAGTCTTTTTATACTCCAGTTTCGTTTTGTATGCTTCCAAGTTGAAAGAGTAAGGTCTTGGATCCACAAACTTCTTGCCCACCGGATTCTTTGCCTGCTGGTCATTAATGTTCGAAAACTCTTTCAAAGTCTCTGCAACACCAACTGGCTTCGTTTTCTTCATGAGGTAGTCGAAAACCTTACCAAACGTCTTCTGTTCGCTGATTGAAGACAGCTTGTTCTGCGACATAACCGACTTGGAGAAGTCTTCAAAGAAACTTTTATATGATTCATTATTGGTGACGGAATCAATAACTCCCGGCTTCGCTGCCTCCGCAACGCTCTGGCCCAATTTTGAGTAGTAACGTAGAAATCGAGCTTTGTGCATTTGAAGAAATTTTTTACTGGAAAAAACCATTAAAAATCATCAGGACCCCGGAATTTTAGGGACCTGGCCATTTGGACAATTTGGTTGAAACTTTGGCTCAATAGAAGTTCAACTTAGCTCTATGTAGTGCCATTACTCATCTAGTCATCGAATTTCCCCTCCTAACCCCCTCAAACCTCACACTCCTATCATGTACCTTGATGGAATTTTCGGGATCAAATAGTCACCCCATTGCCTGGCTTTACCAATCAGCCGTTCTATCCATAAATTGTATGCATAATTTGTCATAAAACACCTCACAAAAGCTTCACAGACATCTACCCTGGTCACGAAGGCGGTAAACTGACCTGCATGCGAACTGAATAGAAACTCGTAGAAACAATAACCGTCCAGTTCCGAACAAATAGCCCCCCATTACCAGTACTGGAACACAGATAACCTATCTAAACATGACGTGACAACAGGCCGTACACTTCCGAAGTATCACCTCACAACGTTAAATTGACGCAGGCCACACGTCTTCAGAGCCGCACCGCCCCACCCCATGAAAACCGTTTCGGCCTTGCCAACACTATATAAGGCCCCCCCCGTTACCACTTTTCCCCCATCAATCAATCACCAACGAATTCCAATGTCTGAAATCATATCCAACAGCGAAACAGCAGTTCACAACGAGCCTCACGACGAGAAGGCCCGCGCCATTGCTCCAGTTTCCACTGGCCCCCAGTACGTGGTGTATCCGCCAAGAACTGGTCTGCTGAGAGTCAGCTACTACAAGAAGTCTGACCAATGGAGACCTTACCCAACATCTTGTGCCGCCGGATTGGCTCTTTCCGGTATCACACTGTTCTCCCTCGGTTTGATTCTGTGTCAAGCCAATTCTGTCACCAACCCGGCTATTCTTTCTGGTAGCTTCTTCTTTGCTTCGGGTTTGGTCCAGATCATCACCGGTATCTGGGCTATCGTTGATAACAACCTGTTTGGATCCGTTCTGCTGCTTTGCTACGGAGCTTTCTTCACTTCTTTCGGTGCTATTGTCACCGACGTCATGGGTGTTGAGGATTATTATGCCAACACCAGCGATTACGATAATGCTTTGGGAATCTACCTGTCTGCATGGACGGTGTTTGATTTCTTCTTGTTCACGGCAACGTTCAAGAGTACCATTCCGCTGTTTGTTCTGACATTCTGCAAGTGGTTCTTCATGTTGCTTTATACCATTGCTACATTTGGCGAGCACGAGGGCTGTAAGGTTGCATCTGGAGTTTTCTGTTTCCTGACTTCCATGTGCGCATTCTACGGAGTCTATGATGGCCTGTCCAGCGCCGCAAACTCGTACGCACCGGTTCCTGAAACCAAATGGCTTAGAATGCCTGGTGCTTGGAACGAGCCCGAACCAGACAAGATTCCATTGGTCTGAACGGTTCTGTTCTTTTAATTCCTAATACTTTATACGACTGAAATGAATATATGACCTGTTATGATAAGATTTCTGCGCTCTACGCAATCGATACGTAAACCTTTGTATATACAGCGGAAAGGAGATATAGTGATCTAGTCAGCCGGACTAATCATCGGCCTTGCGATGGATCTTTGGCAACAGACGCGATGCGTGGAAGTTGATCATCGAGTTCGATTTCACGGTCGGCTTCTTCTTGGTGTACATGCAATCTCTGAGCTGGTTCTCGAGCTCTTTGCAAACGGCAGCTCCTTCTCCGTTGGCAGCCCAGCAGTTAAGCATCTGTGACATGACCACAGCGCACTTTCCGGCACCAGGACCCTTCTTGTCGGCCGTGCGGACTCTCAAACGCGGAAGAGGCGGGATACTTGGAGTATGCTTTGGTCTCATGATGAATTAATGGTGAAAAATATTCAAGGAAAAAAATCAAGAAAAACTTTACCCGGCACATCTAATATTTTTGTTTTAAATAACAAACATGTCGCTTTCAGCTTCCAACGGCAGCGATCTTCCTGTTCCGCTTGTCACCGGCGAGCCGAGTCTGAAACGGAGCAGAAGTCCAACAGAATCAGAGGATTCCGACCAACTGGCGATCGATGAGCGCTCCAAAATCGCCAAACTAACGGAGACAAACGTCTCGTCCAACTCTAGCTCGGAGTCGGAGGACGAATCTGACCTGGACGACTTCATGTACGACGAACTGGCTTTGAAAGAGTTTCAGTTTGAGGACTCGGATCTGCCGGAGATCTCTTTCGACAAACTAGACTACTTTGATCAGGATCCTATCCCACCCCTTAAAGATATCAAGATCACAAAGAACGTGTGTTCGTACGTTCGAAACTTCTTGAAAACGCGCGGATTTGTTGAGTTCCTGGAGAAGACCATCCCTGTTGACCCAAGTCCAGACGACATCCTCTATGTGACCAATATGCTAGGCTACACCCCCAGATACCATAATAGATTTTTCAAGAACGAGCATCAGATCGACGAATTTATGCAAAAATGCATTCTGTTCCTCCAGAAAGCCATGAACAGGGTTCTGAAGATGCGCACACGACTCCCAAGCTTCCACAAAATAGAACATCTGGTGGAGGCGCTCGAAAAGGCTGAAAACGTCCTGGTACTCACTGGAGCTGGTATTTCCACCTCGTTGGGTATCCCAGACTTCCGTTCGTCGCAAGGTTTCTATTCTCGCATGAAACATCTGGGACTAGAGGATCCTCAGGACGTGTTTAGCCTGGACGTTTTCAAAAGGTCGCCGGAGGTGTTCTACTCCATCGCTCACATGATCCTGCCACCCGATCTTGCTTTTACGCCGCTACACGGGTTCATCAAGCTGCTCCAAGACAAAAACAAGCTTCTCCGCAACTACACACAGAACATCGACAATTTGGAGGCCAATGCGGGCGTACTTAAGGAAAAGCTTGTGCAGTGTCACGGTTCTTTTGCTACGGCCAGCTGCATCACCTGCAAATACAAAGTTCCTGGAGAAACGCTGTTTGGACACCTTCGTCGACAGGAAATCGCGTACTGTCCGTTCTGTCAGCCGGAGCGGAAAGTGCTGTTGGCCAAGGTTGACAAGATGGAGGAAGAAGGCACCTATTCGCGTCGATACGAGTATGCCAATTCTTTTGGGGTGATGAAGCCAGATATCACATTTTTTGGAGAAGATCTGCCCGAATTGTTCCATAGCACAATCAAGACCGACATCGACAAGTGTGATTTGCTGATCTGCATTGGAACGTCGCTGAAAGTTGCTCCTGTGAGTGAGATTGTGAATCTTGTTCCAAACTCTGTGCCACAGATCCTGATCAATAAAGATCCAATCAACCATGCCGAGTTTGACATCGATATCTTGGGATATTGCGACCAGGCGATCACCTGGCTAACGGGCAAGCGGCTAGGATGGGAGATCAAGCACAAGGACTTTGACAAGATCCTAAACTCTGGTCTCGAGATAGACATGACTGATGAAGCAGCGGGTCTCTACATAGTCACCGACGAGAAGCAGCGCGAGGCTATCCGGAAGGAAGCGGAAGTGGAGCAACTACGAGAAGAGAAGGAAAAACAGCAAGATGGTGATGACGCTGCAGGGGAAGAAACGTCAAATTTGTGATAACGTCATCAGGGTTCTTCCTTTTTTTGCTTTTTCTTCTAGAAAATACAAACCTCAATTGTTAAAGTCCGAGAATTTCACGTTTACTAAGACGGTGTTCAGTAAGAAATCCGAATACAGCCTATATTACGTCCGACCGTTATTTTTTGACGCACGACAAAAATCATATAAAATCGCAATAACTTTCCGCATCAATTTAGATTATCCATCATGTCTGCTTCTCCTATCGTTAACAACAAGCTTACTGTTCACAAGCTGAGCTACTACAATTACACTTCTCCTTTGGAGTTCAGAGAGGTCGAACTCAAGGGATACTCTGAAACCTCGTTTTTGGGCCCTACTCAAATTCTGATCAAAACCAAGGCTTCTTCTTTGAACCCTGTGGATGTGATTTTGTACCAGTTGACCCCAACCTGGCTCAAGAAGGATGTCCTCAAGGGATTCGGTAGCGACTATGCTGGTGAGGTTCTTCAGACCGGTTCTGAGGTTAAGGACTACAAAGAGGGAGATAGGGTCTACGGTGACCTTTTGAAACCATTTGGTCCAAATGGTGCCTTTTCCGACTACTTGGTTCTCGATGTTACTAAAGAGGACAAGATTGGAAAGATTCCAGACAACTTGTCTTACCAAGAGGCTGCTGCTCTTCCGATTGCCTTTGGTACCGCTTACGAGTTGATTACGAAGAACCATAACGTGAAGGGCGCCAACGTGATTGTTTTTGGTGCCGGTACCTCTGTTGGTACTTATGGTGTTGAGATTGCCAAGTATCTGGGAGCTAAGACCGTTCTGGCCACCTGCTCTCCTAAGTCTGCTGCAAAGGCTAAGGAGTACGGAGCCGACGTCATCGTCGACTACACGAAGGGTGCTGAGCACGAGTACAAGGAAATCACCGAGTTTGTCAAGAAGAACGGCAAGTTCGACCTCATTTTCGACAGTTGCAGAGATCCTGTTTTCATGGGCCGTCTGAAGGATGTCTTGAAGACCAGAAAGGAAGGTGGAAAATATGTCCAAGTTTTCGGTTCCACCACCATGGACTACAGGACCGTCACTGTTGCAAGCAATTTGCCAACCAAGGGAATCATGAGAGAGTTGGTGGCTTCCCGTCTGCCATTTTCCAAGTACGAGTTCATCTCTGCTTCCATTTCTGACGGTGGAGACTTCATCAAGGCTGTGGCTGACTTGAGCGCTTCGAACAAGCTCAAGATCCCTATCGACTCCGTCTTCAAGCCTAAGGACTACAAGAAAGCTCTCGACAAGTTCTACTCCGGCTCGTTCAAGGGTAAGCTCGTGTTCGACTTTGAGTAGAGTAGCATATAGAATTTCATGTTTGCCGTGTACGGGTGTGTGGTTTTAATAGAGTAACGTTTTCCCAGAACAAAAATAAATAATAACAGACCCTTAGCAAAACTTCTTTGTCAATGAGTAGGGCACCGCCAGTGAAGGGACATCAAAAGACGTCCTCTCATTCGTCAATTGATCTTGCTCGTCAATATGAATTAGACATCTCGAGAATCAACAAGTATCTGTTCAGAGAGGTGGATCAATCTGGCCATCGTTCAGAAAGATACCTGGCTCATGTTCGTGTTATTGAAGACTCCAAGTCCCAATCTGTTCGTCCTCCTGACAACAGTCCTGCCAGAAACAAGAAGGACCGTATTCTGATCCTGTCTGTGAGATCGTCTGGACGGATTCGTCTCCACAAGGCACGAGAAAACCCAGATACAAGTGTTCAGATCGGAAGAACATGGGATTTCGAGGAACTCACCAAAATCGAGCTAGACCCGGTGATCCCTACTGGTTTCATCTTTGAGATGACCAAGAACTACTTCTGGGAAACAGGATCTCCGAAAGAACGCAGGGTGTGGATCACCTCTGTACTCGAGCACTACATTCGCTATACAAGGGGTAAGAAACTTCCTCAATTGGTTAACTGTTCCGTGGAATATTTCCATCTCGGGCCGTTGCTCCAGAAGTATGGTCCTCAGGCTCCGTCGCGGTCTGCCACAGCAGAGAGCAACGGGTCTGGGTCCAGTGGAATCCGCACTGCTACGTCTGCCACGACACCTACAACACATAGTTCGCCTTCTAAGTCTTTCGGACCTCCGTCTTCGGCGCCTACGATGCTTGATAAAAGTGATCCTCGCTCGCGCGAAGTTCAACGTGCAGCTTCCGCCCTGAAGGGGGTTGATAGAGACCAGGAACGCAGAGACCGAGAGCTCAAAGAAAGGCAAACCAGAGAGCGCGAGGCCAAGGAAAGAGAGAGGAAAGAAAGAGAACGGAAAGAACTGGAAGCCAGGGAGCTCCAGAGACGCGAGTACGAGCGACAGCAGGCTGCAATTCGCGAGAAAGAACGACAAGAGGCAGAAAAGCGAGAACGACAACGACAGGAAGCAGCACGTCAAGAGAGAGAGCTGCAACTTCAAAGAGAAGCCGAAGACAAAGCCAGAGAACAGGAACGGTTGGAACAAGAAAGGAGAGAAGCAGAACAGACCGAGGCTCTGCGTACCCTGAATAGCAACACAGGAACCATATCTGCAAGATCCATTGAGTTCGTTGGACACCATAGATCTATGCAGGAGGTTGAGGACTACACACAGGATGATGATGAGTATGATGCGGTGTTTGACGACTATGCGGACAGGGAGCCCGAAACAGCACCACTAAATTTCGGACCAAGTCCGTCGATTCCTGAGAAACCCGAAATTGTCATTGATTCGAGTAAGGTTTCCTCGCCTGTGCCATACAACGTCTCGAATGTGGAGAAATTTGTTCCTGAATTTAGTGACTCAGAAGATGATCAAGAACGTGATACCACGATAGAGCTGTTACGTCCTCACGCCAGGTCCAGAGCGTTTAGTACCAATGGATCTGGAGATCGAAAGACTGGAGATTTGAGCGAACTTCTTGATGAGATCGGATGGGATCCGAAATTGGACGATTCCAAATCTCTGCAGAAGAAGCTGCTGAAGGAACTTGAGAGAATTCAGTTCCAAAGGATCGATTCCCTTACTGACGTTGTCGACTCCACGTCTTCAGTGAGTCAAGCTATCAGCAAGTCATTACGCGAATGTGAGACAATTGATCCAATCCTGTCGTTCTATGGCGTCCAGTTAGCTTCTTTCCAAGACGAGGTTGACCATATCGAGAAACAAGGTCATGGAATACAAGTTGAGGCAACAAACAAAAAGCTGCTGAAGAAAGAGCTGGATGATATTTTGCATTCTGTTGATATTTCTGACAGAGAACTCAGTCTTTTGTTGAACGAACGCATATCTACTGGCCAGCAAAACGGTGCTCTGGAAACAGTTTTGACCAGCTTGTACGCTGCGCTGACCAAGATCAGAGGAGATGACTCTGACGATGAAGAAATGGGTCAAATGAGAGCTTTGGAGGAGAAGAAGTCCAAGTACGAGAAGGCTACTCAGCTGTTCATCAATAACTTGAAGAAATATGTTGACCAGCTGTTTGCAGCGTCGGTTACCAGCTTGAACTCAAAGCTCCAAACAGACAAGACACTGGAGTCGATCAGACCTTCGATGGAAAGAAAACTCTCAGAATTGATGACATTGCAAGGGTTGATTGCCTTTGTTAAGCAAGTGTCTCCAAGTGATTACAAGGAGATCTTGGCCAGCCACCAGAACGCTTTTGCGCAATTCTATGTCAACTTGGTTACTGTGCTGACAGAGAAGTTCAATTCCGAGCAGCAGTCAGTGAAACATGTTAAGTTTTCGTTTGCAAACGAGCCAAAAGATCTGATCACACACAGATCAAAGAGACCGAAGTCGTCTGCCGGTTCTAGGAAGCCAACTTCCAACATGAAGATTTTGGAAGAGTTAGGGTTTGGGGCTTCGTCCCAGACAACAATATTGACATCTCCAGAACCTGCCGAGAAAGATACCCGTGGATCGCTGTTGCTCGAAGTGCTGAGACTCTTTTTCGACTCGTTGATTTTACATCAGCGTTTCGTGATCCAATTCTTCTCTCTGTCATCGTCTGAAGAGTATAATTTCTCCAACTTGACCAAGAAACCGCTTGCGTCTCGCGTTCAGGAGTTCACCGAACCTACAACTTCGCCAATGGAAGCCGATCGCGATGTCAGCGACCAGATCTTTAATGTCATGCATATGATAGTCGGAAATTCAGAGAATGGGTTGCTGAAGTTCCTCATGAACACCATCAAGCAAGACATGCTCCAATATCCAATCACAGCTCTATTTACACAGAAACTAGCACACGAGCTCTCCTCGACCAGTCAGGAGTACGTTGTCAACATGCTGACACGTACCGAGTCCAAGTTATCGTTGATCTGGACTAGACATCTTGACAGTCAACTGCACATTATCGAGGAGGAGCCTGCAGCATTAAAGGTCTACAAGTTTGTAAAGGCCTTCCCTGAGTTTGTGAGACGGATCGATGAGAGTCTGGAGCTGAATGGTGTGACTAACATTGCTGACTACTCTGTCCACACACAGCTTGTGCAGGACTACGAAAGACTGTGGTCTGCTATCAACTCAAGCTTGAACAAGAATGCCCAATTGACTAGCCACATTGACCAGGCTCTTGTGAGAAGCACGACACTGGAATCGTCGCGTTTGGATCTGACACAGACTATCTCGTCCACCGGAGACGGGGCCGGCAACCATCTTTCGTTGCTGTTGAACTACAACTGGTTAAGCGGAGAGATGAAACAGCTGGCCACACTGCCTCAATCAATCAAGACAAACATCGAAGAGCTGAAATCCAAGGAGCTCAACGATTTCTGCGATACATACGCGAGAACCACCTCGATTGGCGAGCTGATGTCTGCTCTGGAAGGAATCGACGGTCTTGTGAAGTCTCACACCAACCCGTCGCGCACCAACGCGTACTCCACTGCCAACATGAGCAAACTACTGAGCCGGTACGAGGCGTCCAAGCTGAAGGTGTCGATCAAGGAGATTGCGACGGAGCTGTCGAGCCAGATCACTGGTAAGATGACCAGCGACGAGGAAAGTGAGGTGAGTAGCTCCATTGCCAAGGATATGGAGAAAGAGCTGTTCAACAACTGTCTGAATTCGCTCAGCATCATCTACAACGTGAACTTCTCGAAACTGAACCAGGTTCTCAAGGAGTACTACGACACGCTCTCGAACCCGGTCGACAAGATCGTCATCAACTACAACTTCAGCAAGGAGTACCTTTAAATAAAGATCAAGGCTGTGCAAGTCAAATACAAAAAAATCACATTGCAAACGCGTTAGCAGTACAAGACAAGTAGACAGACATGTCGTCTGACGACGATTTTAGCGACGATGGAGATATTGTCTTACTCAATGAAGTACGCCCAATTCAGAATACCAACACAGCCATCAACAGGTTCTCCGAGGTGCGCAAGATCGGACAAAGAACGCTTGATGGTAATGTGGTGATGTTCCAACATGGCGACCAGACCACGATGTACGAGGAGATCCGTGAGACCAACGTTCGATTTGGGCCCACACATCATCCATTGAACTACAGCCAGCTCGAAACGTACATTTACCCAACCAATTTGGAATTAAGAGAATACCAGTTTGAAATCGTCAAACAGGCGTTATACCAGAACGTGTTGTGTGTTCTTCCCACCGGTTTGGGAAAGACGTTCATTGCGTCGACGGTGATGCTGAATTTCTTTAGATGGACCAGAGACGCCAAGGTTATTTTTATGGCGCCAACAAGACCGTTGGTTGCACAGCAGATCAAGGCCTGTTACGGTATTACGGGGATCCCAAGCGACCAAACGGCGATCTTGCTGGATAAAACAAGACGCAATCGTGCAGAGATCTGGAAGGCCAAAAGGGTGTTCTTCACCACTCCGCAGGTGGTGGAGAACGATCTGAAAAGCGGGACCTTGAATCCTAAAGATATCGTGCTCCTGGTGGTTGACGAGGCCCATAGATCTAAGGGAGCATACGCATACAGTGCCGTGGTGAGCTTTTTGAAGAAATACAATACGAGTTTCCGTGTTCTGGGGCTTTCGGCCACTCCAGGTTCTGACACTGAGTCTATCCAGGTGATTGTCAATAACCTGTTGATTTCCAGGATCGAGGTCAGAACAGAGGATAGTCCAGATACAGAGAAGTACATCAAAGGCCGGGATATTTTGAAATTAGATTGTGAGATCACCGACGAGATTGCATATATCGTGGACCTGATCTCAGACGCCATTTTGCCTGTCTTACGAAAGGCCAATGCTAGTGGAATCTACGACATTACAGATCCAGCGAAAATCAACCATTTCCAAGCAATGGAGAAGTCGCAGAAAGTTATCAAGAATCCAACGTTATCAGAAGGAATCAAGTGGACCTATTATTTCCAATTGCAACTTTTGGGGACGGTTGGCCAGTTTCTGCGAAGATTGATGGTCTATGGAATCCACACGTTCTATTCTTACTTTTTGGACAAGTTCACCGAGTTCACAACCAAGTACGACAACAAGAAGTCCACCAACAAGATTGCGGCTGGGTTCTACTACCATGCCAGGATCAAGGAGCTGAAAAACAGGGTGTACAAGATGATCACTGAGGACGAGACGAAAGCGTCCAGAGGAGAAACCATTAGAGGTGTGTTCTCGCACACCAAGATGCGATACATGGTGGAAGAGCTGGAGAGTTTTTTTGAGGAGCGACAGAAGTCCGACTCCAAGGTGATTGTGTTCACGGAACTTCGAGAGAGCGCGCTGGATCTTGTCAAGTGTCTCGAGTCTGCAAACACGACGCTTCGTCGCAAAAACCCGAACGGGCCAAAAGAACCATTCAGACCGCATATTTTCATTGGACAGGCCAAAGAGAAGGAGAAGTTTGACTCTGACTCGTTTGTGAAGAAGAACGGGCCCAAGAAGCGTGGCCAGAAAAAAGAGCCAGAGCCAAAGAAAGAAACCAAGGTCAAATCAGAGCTGAAATTACGGCCCACAGACAGAGTGGGCAGCTCAGAAGATGCACAACTGCGTGGAATGACACAGAAGGTTCAAAAAGAGCTGATTGCCGAGTTCAAGAAGGGCACGTACAATATTCTGGTTGCAACCTCGATCGGTGAGGAAGGACTGGATATTGGCGAAGTTGATATGATCATTTGCTACGACTCGACCTCCTCTCCGATCAAGAACATTCAGCGGATGGGAAGAACAGGAAGAAAGCGAGACGGAAAGATTGTTCTATTGTTATCGAGCAACGAGCGCGAGAAGTTTGATAAGGCGATGGACAACTACAGCTGGATCCAGAACCATTTGCAAACGGGGAATAACATCCGGTTCCACAAATCTGACCGTATCATTCCCAAGGGCTGTGATCCAAAGCCGGAACGCAAGCTAATTGAGATTCCAAAGGAGAACGAGGAGATTATCCAGGAAACAGACGATAGCGACAAGTTTTTGCGTCTGGCTACGCAGTTGAGTACTCGTGGAAACAAGGCTAAATCCAAGGCGAAAACCAGCAAGAAGTCCACCGACACGCCAGACGAGAAACAGCCCTCGATCAAGACATTCTTCATGCCTGAAGGTGTGGAGACCGGCTTCAGATCCGCTAGTAAGCTTGTTCGCAAGACCACGGCGTCGGATCCAGAACCAGAGGCCAAGAAACGGAAACTTCTGGAGGACTTATCTGATCTGGGCGAGTCCGACGACGAGGAGATCAAGCTACGAGACCTTTTCGGTTCCTCGGAGAACGCGCGTCGTAGCTCGAGCGCAATGGGGTCCACGATTGGGCAGTCGATTCTGCTGGCGAGCGAGGAGCCCGAGGAGCCGCAAAAACCCAATAAGCCGATCGAGCAACCGAAGGAATCGATTCTGATTGATCTGGACGAGTTTTCAGACGACGACTTCAGTTCGATGAAGATCGATACGGGCAAGGCCAGGACGTCGTCCTCGGACCAGTCGCCTCCTCTTGATAGTTTCACCGACGATACAGACCCGGGACTGATGAAACAGGTGGAAGAAGTGGTGGAAGAATCGGACAACGATTTCAAAGAAGGGTGTTCCATCGAGGAGGATATCTCGAAGATGGGGACTCAGATCAAGAACGTGCGGTCGTCACCAGTCAGAGAAACACCCGAGCCTGTTTACCAGCACGTATTATCGTCCGTTTCAAAATTGACTCCGGTGAAACTGGCCTCGTTCAGACAGTCTGCTGCCAAACCAAAAGATCCAGTATACAAGTCGCAGTTCGCAGACGAGGACGGGTACATGACTCCTGAGCAAGAATTGGAGTTCTACACACGGTATTTTGTCAAGATCCAGCCTCCAGATTTCAACCAGCTTGACAATCCGCTTGAAGGTATTTTGAAAGGAGCGGTAGCCGGTAATCTAGGGCACTCTCGATCTGTCTCGTCGCTGGTTGGCGTTGTGAATCTGTTCAACGACAAGTACAAGCTCGACCGACTGGAACGAGAAATGCGCGACTATAGCAGAAGAAACCAGCTTATCGATTTCAACGACGATAGCATTCTGTCGGAGATGATTGTTAACGACTGAGTACGGAGACGCTACCAGAAAAAAAAAGTTGCTCTAACTGGTATAATCTGGGGAAAAAGATTTAAACCATTTAAACATGAGCGGAGCCAAGGCTATAGCTGCTACTTTGAAAGAACTTGGTGTTGAGCATGTTTTCGGGATCGTTGGTATCCCTGTCGTGGAAGTAAGTGGATTGTGATTGCGCCTAACCAAAGGTTGCTGAGTGTTTGGTGGAAGAGGGAATAAGATTTATTCCTTTCCGGAACGAGCAACAGGCGTCCCTTGCAGCGTCTATCTACGGATACCTGACACACAAGCCTGGAGTGCTGCTTGTTGTTGGCGGCCCTGGCATTGTGAACAGTGTTGCTGGAGCGTACAATGCTGCATCCAACAAATGGCCGTTGCTGGTTCTTGCCGGGTCCAGTAGTCTAGCCACGCGCGAGAAAGGAGCGTTCCAGGAACTGGACCAGGTCGCCATGATGGATCGGTGGACCAAACACTCGTACAGAGTGGTGAACCCTGCTCAAACCGTGGATTATCTGGCCCAGGCTTATGTTCTCGCCCAAATAGGAGTCCCCGGCTGCACATATGTCGACCTGCCAGAAGACATCATCCTTGGCAAGACAGAGCTACTTTCAAAGATCAAAAACATCAACAGTTTAACTTTTTCGTTTACAACACCTGAAAAAACAAAAATCAAGAAAACAGGGGTGCTCCTCAAAAACGCAAGATTCCCGCTGCTCGTCGTCGGCAAGGGCGCCGCCCGTGCCTGGAAGAGTCTGCGGCAATTTGTGGACACGCACGAGATCGCGTTCCTGCCCACGCCAATGGCAAAGGGAATCATCCAGGACAAATCAGAATACAACATTTCTTCGGCAAGATCGTATGCTTTAAAACATGCAGACGTGGTTTTGGTGGTTGGTGCCCGGCTCAACTGGATACTGCATTTTGGAGAGGCTCCAAAATTCAACAAAAACGTGAAATTAATCCAGATCGACTCCGACCCGCAAGAGCTAGCTCGCGGTGCAACGCTTCTGACGCAGGCGCTTCACGGCCACGTGGAAACGACAATCAGAGCCCTGGATGACGAATTGAATGCCCACAAGTTCCCAAACCTGCCGGCAGAGCTTAAACAGGTTGTCTCACAAAGAGAGAAGGTGCTGCAGCAACGCGAGAGCGTGCAAAATCCCGACCTGATGCCCAGCCACAGCCAGGCGTTGGCCGCTGTGGAACGCAACGTACCGGCAACGGCGACTATAGTTGCTGAAGGGGCCCGCACAATGGACCTCTCCAGACAGAGTCTGTTGATGAGCGAGCCCAAACAGAGACTGGATGCAGGGACCAACGGCACGATGGGCGTTGGACTGGCGTACGCGGTGACGGCGAGACTGACAGCGGAGAAACACAGGATGGTGGTTGCGGTGCAAGGCGACTCTGCGTTTGGGTTTTCTGCCATGGAGGTCGAAACGTTGGTGAGAGAAAGATTGCCATGTTTGGTTGTGGTGCTCAACAACTCTGGAATCTATAATGGAGTACAGGATCCACTCAAGTACTTCCCCTACACACAAACGCCGCTGCCACCCACTTCGCTGAGCTACGGCGTCCGGTACGACCAGGTGTGCGCGTCATTGGGCGGAGGGGGATATTTTGTGGAGAGATGCAGAGAGCTGGACACCGTGCTGAAAAAAGGGGTGGAGGACGTTCTGGGCGGAAAGGTTGTTGTGGTGAACGTTTTGGTCGGATCGTATGCAAAGTTATAGTGGGATAACAGAACCGGTAGTGTTATTGAGCGAGCGGCTGGCTAATTGCCTCGTCGCGGGGGACTGGTTTGTCCTCCTTTTTGGGGTCCTTTTGATCAGGCTTCTTCTTTTTGATGTACTTGGACTTTTCTCTCTCTTCTAACGGAGGAAGCTTGGGACGCCCCCTTTTGCGCTTCTCTGTGGGAGGGTCAGCAGTGGCCACCGGGAACTTGCGAGGCCGCCCACGTTTGCGTTTTTCCCCGCCGGTCTCTGGCTTCTCGCGTTTGATTTCGGACGGTGCCGTGACCTCTGTTTCCGGGGTCGTTGACACGCCCGAGTCCTGCGACTCCTTCGGCGACGACTCTCGCGTCTCGGGAGACGCCGACAACGTGTACGGAAGCAGGTTCGATGACACGGGCCTCTTGTTCTTTGTCACTGGCGGGGGAAGAATATAATGCGGTTTGCCAGTCAATGCTAACGACGAGATCGGAGACGGAACATCCGGCGGCAAACTTAGCACCGGCAGTTTCACAGACGAGCGACTTGTATCTGAAAGCATCTGATCAGCGGCTCATGCGTTCGCGTGGAATGAGTGCAATAAATAAATCAGAAAAAAATTCCCAAAAATCAATCAATCACACGGGAAAAAAAAAGAATATATTAATTTATTTTTAAGATAACATTAATTCGGGGTGGTCGTGCGCCCACCAGGTTATACAATCTAACAAGTGCACTGATTGGCTGCTCTTGGGAACGGGATGGTGTCTCTGATGTTGTCAGCACCGCTAAGGTACTGCAAAAGACGCTCGAACCCTAGCCCAAACCCGCCGTGGGGAACGCTACCGTTTTTGCGCAGGTTTAAGTACCATGTAAGCGGACCGGCATCCATTTTGCGTGCTGCCATCTCCAGCTCCAGTTTCTGCAAATCGTGTTCTCTCACAGACCCGCCGATCAGCTCGCCGATGTCCGGGATAAGCAGGTCATAGCAGGCCACGGTTTTTCCGTCCGTGTTCTTTTTCATGTAGAACGGCTTTTCTTCCACAGGATAGTCCACCACAAACACCGGGCCCTTGAAATGCTCGCCCGCCAGCCACTTCTCGTGCTCCGACCCGAGCCCAGACCCCCATTGCGGCACCGTGGTGAACAGCTCGCTGTTCCTTTGTACAAGATCAATGGCCTCAGTGTAGGTTATCTGGGTGTACTTGCCGTGGGCCAGCATCTCCCAGCGGGCTTTTGCAATCTCCGGTAACCCAGATTCCCCGTGCTGGAGCAGTCTCTGACCTACGTGTCGCAACATGGCCTCCGAGAACCGCGTCAGTTGGTCCACTGTCTCGACAAACGAGATTTCTGCCTCCAACATCCAGAACTCAGATAAATGCCGGTTCGTGTCGCTTTCCTCGGCACGGAAGCACGGACTGAGCGTCCACACACGGCCCAAAGCAGCACTTAGAACCTCCAGGTGTAGCTGTGTCGAAACTGTCAGATACGCCTCTTTGCCGAAAAACTGCTCTTTGGAGCTCAGCTTCGAGGCAGATTCGACCCGAAACAGCTCACCGGCACCTTCGCAGTCGCTGCTGGTCACCATCGGTGGGTGCGTCTTGTAGAACGAGTTTGTGTCGAAGAAGCTTGTCAGCGCGCTCTCCAGCCGCGACCCCAAACGCAGCGTAGCACCGGCCTCGGGGACCCGCCATCTGTACTCGGGGATTGTCCGCAAGAACTGGCTCGTGTGGTTTCTTTTCTGAAGCGGATATAACTCCTCAACAGAGCCCAACACCTTCACGGCAGACCCAGGGTCCGAGGTCACCTGGATCTCGTGGCTCTGTTTTCCCTTACCCTGGCTCCAAACACCGGCAATCTGCACTCCCGCGCCCGTGCTCACGTCCTTTGGCAGCAAAGACGGTGGCCGAATCACACACTTGACGTCCTGGTCCGTGGTGCCGTCCACCAGATCAACAAACGCAACGTTCTTGGACACCCGCGACGATTTCACCCAGCCGTTGATTTTGATCGATTGGCCTATTGCCGGCGCATCTTGAACAAGGTCCCGCACACAAATGGGCAACTCGGTCGAACCTTCCGGCAGACTGCTGTTGCAGCGTATAAACCGCACAGAAACTTGTCTCGTTAAAGCTCGAGAGAACATTAGTCACTACTCATTATATGAACCAATTTTTCATTAAAATCTACACCTTGCACCGCCTGCAATCAGTAAGATCTACCAAACATGGTGAAGTTGATGGCCGGCTTGTCACACTTGACACACTTCTGGCCCTCCTTGAGCTCTGGCTGGTCGAAAGGAATACACAGCGACTTGGCACCCATCGAAGGAGCCTTCTCGTCGGTCTCGAACTCCTCTCCGCTGTCTTTCTTGGCGGACGAGTCCTTAATATCGTCCTCACAGTCAGCGTCACCACACCATGGGGCCAGGATGACATTCTTCTTGTTGAGCGTTGGCACAAAGTCCTTCCACTCGGTGACGATCTTTCTGTGGGTGTCGAACTTGTCCTTGGCGTTTTGGTAAAGAGATTGTTGGATGGTTTCCAAAAGCTTTGGAATGTCAGTCTTGATAGAGTCCAGCGAAACAGATACCTTTTCACCAGTGTCTCTTCTCACTGCCAGGGCAGAGTTCTTGGCCAAGTCCTTTGGACCAACCTCCAGTCTGATTGGAACACCCTTAAGCTCCCAGTCGGAGAACTTCCAACCCGGAGAGTAGTTTGTTCTGAAATCGGTGATAGTACGCACCTCCGAGGCAGACAGCTGCTCCTTCAACTCGGAACAAGTCTTGTACAGCTTCTCTTCGACCTCCTTGGTGGTCTTGTTGGTAATACCAACAGGAATGATCACGACCTGGTTCTGCGACACTCTTGGAGGAATCACCAGTCCCTTGTTGTCGGAGTGGATCATCACCATGACACCAATGACTCTAGTAGACAGACCCCAAGAAGTCTGGTTAGCAAAAATCTTTGGATGCTCAGGACCAAGAGGGTTTTCCACAGAAATGCCGAACATCTTGGAGAAGTTCTGACCCAAGTGGTGAGAGGTAGCACCCTGAATACCTCTTCCACTGGTTGGAATGTAACCTTCACATGTGGTGGTGTACAATCCTCCAGCAAACTTCTCGTTCTCGGTCTTGACACCCTTTATCACAGGAACAGCAAGTAGTTCCTCGTACACTCCGGCGTAGAGGTCCAAGATTAAACGCACCTGTTTTCCGGCTTCTTCTTCGGTCAAGTGAGCAGTGTGCCCTTCTTGCCACAAGAACTCTCTTGTTCTCAGGAATGGCTGTGGGTGCTTGAACTCCCATCTGACCACAGAATTCCACTGGTTAAGTTTCAAAGGCAGGTCTCTGTGAGAACGGATCCACTTGGCATAGTATGGATACATAACGGTCTCACTTGTTGGTCTAATAGCAATAGGCTCCTCCAGGTCCGAGGATCCGGCCTTGGTCACCCAGGCAACCTCTGGAGCAAAACCTTCAACGTGGTCCTTCTCTTTCTCCAGAACTCTCGAAGAAACAAACATTGGGAAGTAGGCATTGGAAACACCGTCAGCCTTAATCCGGTCGTCGAACCATCTTTGAATCTTCTCCCAGATGGAGTAGGAAGCAGGACGCATGATGTAACAACCGGAAACGTCGTAGTAGTCAAGCATCTCTCCCTTGGTCAAGATCTGTTGGTACCAGCCTGAAAAATCAAGATCTCTATCAACGGTCACACCAATGAGCTTGGCGTCGTCGATCTTGGCGTCAGACTTGACCTCCTGTTTTGGCTCCTCCTTGGCGGCAAAGTCGACCACAGTAGGCTCGAAAGTGGCCAGGAACTCGTGGATCTTTTCTCCAGTCAAAACAACCTTACCAGTGGAGTTGGACAAGTAGTACAAAGTGGAGTCAGATTTGATGCTATGTTCAAGAAGAACACGAACCTTGCCAACATGGTCGTTTCCAAGAGAGGCAATAGTGAACTCCTTAGCAGCAGTGTTGAAAAATTGCTGGGTGAGCTCGTCGGCAGCCAATCTAGGCTCCTTCACAGAACCTGCTTTTGCAATAGCCCCTCCTGGAGTAGGCACAGAAGCAGGCGCAACAACAATAAGAGGAACTGGAGTGGCTGTCTTTGCGGTCTTAGGCTTGAAAACCAACGACTTCAGAGCAATAGCACCTTCTGGTGTCGGCTCGCTAAGCGAGAGCATTGAAAGCATTGAGGAAATCATTGAATTTTTTAAAAAATTTGTTGGAGGAAAATATCCCCAAGATAAGCTGCTATGGAGAAAAATTTGAAGACTCTATTAATTTACCAGCGAGAAAAAAATTATCTATGGCTTACATCTTCCGGTGAAACGAGGATACAAGGAGCATTCTCTAACGGTGAACCGGTTGCACAACCACGCGAGGATTCTCTCGGTACCCAAACCGTAGCCTCCGTGTGGACATGTTCCGTAGATTCTTTGGTCGGTGAACCAGTAGTAGCTGGCAGCATCAATTCCTTCTCTCTTGAATCCATCGAGCAACTCTTGAGTATCCTCAATTCTCATGGATCCTCCAGTGATCTCACCAACAGTAGGCATCAAAACATCAACAGACTCGGTGACTCTTGGGTCGTCAACACATTTCTTCATGTAGAAAGACTTGATTTCCACAGGGAATCTGATAAGCAAGATAGGAAAACCAATGGTGTCCACCATCTTTCTCTCGGCAGCCTCAGCAATGTCGTCTCCGAACTTGAACTTCTCTCCGTCCTCGTTTGGAATGCCGTTTTCGTTCAACCATTCAAGAGCCTCAATGTACTCCATGCGCTTGAACGGAACTTGTGGTGCCACAAACCCAGGATGTAATTGTTTCACCAATGGACCAGCAACAGGATCTTCCAACACATAGGTCACAGTCTTGCTGATGACCTTCTCGATATGTGCCAGGAGATCATCAAACGTCAAGAAAGCCAATTCTGCCTCGATATGGGTATATTCACTCAAATGTCTTCTGGTGTGAGACTTTTCGGCACGGAAAGACTCCTGGATACAATACACGTCTCCCAAAGCTGGAAGACAGGTCTCCAGATAAAGTTGCGAAGACTGAGTCAAAAAGGCTTCCTGACCATAGTAGTCCATCTTGAACAAGGTTGAGCCACCTTCAACCTGAGTTTGCACCATACATGGAGGAGTCACCTCGGTGACTGCCTCTTCCTGATAAACTCTTCTGATGGCAGCCAAAAGAGCGGCACGCACCTTCATCACAGCAGACAAAGTTTCTCCTCTAAGAGCAAGATGTCTTTGGTCCAACAAGATGGAAGGATCGGTACCTTCCTGGATCTTGTTGGTGAAGGAGTCCTTACCAGATGGTGCCAGACCCACGACTTCGTAGTAGTCCACCACTAATTCCACTCCGCCAGGAGCAGACTTTCCTTCAGGCAACTTCTTGATTGTTCCATAGATGGAGAGCGTGGATTCGACGGTCAAACTGAGTGTTTGATAAGCGTTGGCAAGGTCGCCGGACAAGACACATTGGACGTATCCGGTACCGTCTCTCAAAACCACAAACGCCAGACCCTTTTGCGAACGCAAACGGTGGATCCAACCTTGGACTTTGACTCTCTGGTCCACATGTTTGCTGATGGAGCTGATTTTAATTTTCTGTGCTGGAGGAAGAGACTTGTCTTCGGTGACGGTAATCTTCATGGCCGCCAGCAATTTAGCGTTCTCTTCGTCAGATTTGGCAGCGGCCTCTGCGGCCTGCTTGCGGGCCTTTTCTTCCTTCTTCTTCAAGGATTCAACACCTTTCTTAGCCTTTTTTAGCGCGGTTGGAGAAATCTCGACATATTCCTCCCCTTGTTCGGTTTCTTTCGACACAAACACCTTGGCCTCAGGAGACTTCAGCAAAGCGTAAGAAGCAGACTTGAACGGCTTTGCTTCCGAACCATCGGCGACGGTGTCGTCGGTTCCTTTCTTTTCGTGGACAAACACACTCATGAAAATTTTGATGAAAAATAATTTGGCAACAGCTTTTTATATACAAGGGTTATTTCTAATTAGTCATTTTGATTGGTATCGATAAAAAAAAGTTTGGGAAATCGATTTGACTGAAAAAAACAGCAATTCTATTTTTACGACCCAATTTTCGCTCAATGGCCAAACGAATGAGTCTTCAGTCGCTTCCGAAAACTTCTTCGTTCACAAAAAGACTGACCCCGGATCCTCGTGTTCCTACCGTTGCTGTGGCAAAGGACCCTAACACCTCTCCGGAGGTGTTCCATATTGCCAGACGGCTGACGGACGGCGCCTTCACATATTGTAAACCGACTCCGAGGAAAGAGTACCATTTTATTACTGCATCGCCCGCAGCATTGGACACACTCGGCCTTGACCAGTCGGAGGCCTCGTCCAAAGAGTTCCAACAGATCGTTTCCGGGGAAAAAGTTATTACGGATCCGTTCCCGTATGCCCAGGCGTACGCAGGTTATCAATTTGGCCAATTTGCCGGGCAATTGGGCGACGGCCGTGTGGTGAACCTGTTTGAAGTTCAGAGTGCCAAAGATGGCGAGAGATACGAGTTGCAGCTCAAGGGAGCTGGAACCACGCCGTTTTCTCGGTTCGCAGACGGAAAAGCTCTTTTCAGCTCGAGTCTTCGGGAATTCGTCATTAGTGAGTCTCTGAACGCCATTGGCATTCCATCCACCAGAGCGTTGGCTATTAGTGTGCTACCAAGAACCTACGCCATGCGTGCACGTCACGAGAAATGTGCCGTTGTGTGCAGAATGGCTCCAAGTTGGGTCAGAATCGGAACTTTCGACCTGTACAAGTGGAGAGGAGACAGAAAGGGGCTGATAGAGCTCAGCGATTATGTGATTGACGAAGTTTTCAAAAATAAACTTCTGACCGACCAGCAGGTCTGGAAAGAAGTCGAGAAACAGGTGACGAGCAAAAATATTGTTCTTACTCGCTACGACAAAATGTATCTGGAGATTGTTGCTCGAAACGCTAAAACCACAGCATTATGGCACGTCTATGGGTTCCTGAACGGTGTTTTGAACACAGACAACACCTCTGTTTTGGGACTCTCGCTGGACTTTGGTCCATTCGCATTTATGGAGTATTTTTCTCCAGACTATACCTCGAACCACGAAGACAGCTCCAAACGGTACAGTTTTGCAAATACTCCGAGCGCCATCTGGTACAATTTGGTGAAATTGGGCGAAGATGTCGCAGAGCTGATCGGAGCCGACCAGGAATTGCTCGATGCTCCAGATTTTAATGCTGGAATAAAAGAGGAATGGATGGAGCAGATGATGAAACGGGCCAATGTGATTATCGATATTGGTGCCAGTGTCTATGAGAAACTGTTCATGGACGATTACCTAAACATTATGTGCAAGCGAATTGGCATTAGTCCTAGGTCGTCTGATCATTCTGAGGTCCTTGCTCCGATGTTTGAGATGTTGCAGGCTACCAAGATCGACTACAACGGGTTCTTCAAGACTTTACAGTCTGTTCCGTTGACGGGCGAAGTTGACTATGACTCGGTGGCCGAACTGTTTGTTCCTGACGATTTCCAAGAAGATTTGGTTAATGACTACACCAAGGAGAATATTTTAAAAGAGCTCAAGAGTTTTCTGGCCGTGTTCAAAAACAGAGTCGACCAAGAGGGTCTTTCAGACGGCGAACGGTTGGCAAGAGCTTCTAGCGTGAATCCGCTATTTGTGCCTAAAAACTGGATGCTGAACGAAGTCATTGAATACACTGTGGAAAATGACTTGCACCCAGATTACATTGACAAAATGATCAAAATGGCCACAAACCCGTACGATAGCACCAAATGGGGCGACGAGTTGCCAGAAGTCCAGAAGAGATGGTGTTCGGATGTGAGGTTTGGCCTGAAAATGGAGATGCGTTCGTGTGCTAGTTAGATGTTCTGGCTGTTCTGCTTGGGTAATTTTTCTGGTTCTGTGTGAGTACCATGGATGATTTATCATGATATTCTAGCCTGTTTTCGAAAGCAGTTTTGCGATGCTGAAGCGATCCAAGACGTTCACCAAGATCATGGACAATTTCAAATCCAAGCCCAAAATGAAGAGACAATTATCTTTTTGGCGCAAACCGGCTCCAAGGGCTAAACACTCTCACGAGATCATATCTGAGGATAACAGCTTCGTTTTGAATAATACCCCATCCAGTGTTCTATTTTCAGACGGAACAAACGCGACAGAACAGACTACAATTGACCAATTGACTGCGGTCAGCTCGTTCAGCAAAGAAAGCGCTTTCAAAGACCATTCGGAGAAGTTCTATCTGGTTCCAGGAAAAGAAAGACAGTTATCATCAGAGGCACCAACAGAATCCTCTTCTGTGTACTCAGATCACACCGACTTTGATTGGGTGTTTGATCTGCTCAGCTTGTACATGGATCAGGACACGTATGGGACTTCGTTCATGGACCCTGATTACGACTACTACTCAAACTTTTTGTAACGCAACTAACAATTTCATTTACCTAGCCATATAAACGCAAGTTGTAGCTTCTCAGAACTTCTCAATTGCCTTGGCAAATTCGGTTCCCTGGATTTTTGCAATCTCCAGCTCTAATGGAGTAACTTGTCTAGATCCGTCAGCTCCAGCAATAGTACCTGCTCCCCATGGAGAACCGCCGTGAACCTCGTTCAAGTTGGTCAATTGCGGGAATGCGGCTGCGTATCCCAAAGGAACGTAGATCATACCCTGATGGACCCAGGTAGACAAGGAGTTGACTGCGGTAGTTTCGTTACCCCCACCGGTACCTGTAGAAACAAAAACACCAAACGGTTTGTGGTATAAAGTACCTGCAGCCCACAGACCTCCGATAGAATCGATAAATGCCTTAAATTGGGCAGGGTAGTTACCGAATCTGGTTGGGATACCAAACAAGAACCCATCGTACTCCTTCAAGACGTCCGCGGTGATCACAGGGTAATCTTTCTTAGGAGGAGCATGCAATTTCTGCAGAATGGTATCTGGCAACGTCTCAGCAACCTGGTAGATTTCGGCCTTGGTACCTGTTTGTTCCACACCTGCCTTTGCAGACTCGGCCAGAGTTGCAATATGGTGATATAAAGAGTAGATGATAATCTGACGTCAGCAATTGATCCTAGCTCGCCATACTTACTGCAACTTTCTTTGCCATTTTATTCAGTTAAATAGAATAATGTCAAAATGATCTTCCTTGCTCCCTTTTTGTAACCTTTTTTCTCGCCCCACAATTTTTACTCAGCTATTACTCAGATTTCTAAGAATTACAAATTATGGCTGTGCAACCTTCAAACAAAATAATTGTCAATATTTTTTTCCCTTTGGCTTGCACTGCCCAGAGTTTTTTAGCTCCGTTCTTGAAACATTTGTTTACACTTAAAACATAATTTAGAAACAAATGGATAGCTTGTTTGAAACGAATAAATTTACCTATAAATGAGTCGTCAAACAAGTGATCAAGTGTCCCAGGGTGGCTCTACCATCAAGCCCTCGTTCTATTCGTCTTTCAACGAATCCAACCCCATCAGACGCAGCAGTTCTCAGTACATGGACGATCTTGGCCCCGAGACCCATCCCGAACAGGCTACCGAGCAATACTGGCGTTCGTTGCTTCCGAACGCTGTGTATTTCGAGGGCGACGATGTGCTGTTTGGAAAGATGTTGTCCATGGTGTATCAGAATCAGACCACTAAAAAGCTTAGCTCCATGGTTATCAGTGCTCATGGCCAAACCATTGTTGATTCCATGTCCTTGGGCAAAAACTCAAAATACTATCCCGCGATCCAGAATTTGCAAGGTGAGTCCAGAAAGAGCAGTGTCAGGAAAGCCCTTGCGGTCTCGAACCTGCGCACATTCGCTACTCTCAAACCGTCTACATTGGCTCTGATGACCAAAGTAGCTAAACTGGACCCAAATTTTGACTGGGACGAGACCATGGCAGGGAAAGTTGCTTCAGAGATGAAACTCATCGACAACAGAGCCCCCGCAGACGTCGGAGAGATGATCCTCAAGATGGGGTTCGCCCAGCAACGGAAACAACGCAACTCTCATGTCATTGACGTTATTTATTCCAACCTCGGGTCTCCAGAGGAAACCGACAAAAACAACGAGCTGGCGTTTTTCATCGGCGAACAACTGGAACATCTGTTTGATCCACTCACAGAGTACTCGCCAGAACCAACAGAAAAGGCCTACAAGCCTCCTTTCGACGGATTGATAAACGACGACTTTGACGATGTTCTGATAAAAAGTATATGCAACGAGCTGGTCAATGTCCAAACAAACTTTACGGTCTCCTTGGTGCATTTTTTGCAAAAGTTCTTGATCCCATTAAGAGTCGACGTGTTGGAAGGTAAAATCCCAAACTATACCACAGCCAAACTTAATCAGATTTTCCCGCCAACGATTGATGAGGTCACCAGAATCAACTGTATCTATCTGGACGTGCTCAAAGCTGCTTTGCCGTACGGAAGTTTCGAGATGCTCAGAGCTAGTGGTACCACAATCCCGTATTTCTACAAAGCACACATGAGACACGAAGCTGCCACGAAAAATTTCCTCAACCAGTTGGATGCGTTTCTTGTGGATCTCCAGCAAATTGGCTACCAAAAGCTGACGTACGACCAAAAAACAATCCAGTCGATCATGAACGCGTCGCTTAATTTGCCAAAGCTGCAGTTGATCTTGGATAGACTGGTAAGCTCGAAAAAGTGGCCTCATGAATTGCAACCACAGGTGGACGAGTACTACCAATCTTGTACCAACACCATCATCGCTTTCGGAAAAGATAAGCTCGCTCCATACAACCACAGAATCTTCACACCAACAGGGAAGATCCTAACAGAACTGGCCAGCGGATGGCCGTCCGACTTACAGTACGGTTGGCTCACCAGACGGGTGGTTGCAATTTTCGATATCCAAAACGTTCTTAAAAGCTCAGTTAAAAACAATGGTGTTATGATCATCTTCAGCGACCATGTGGTCACATTGGAGATCGTGGACGACTCGTACTACTACGAGCAACTGGAGACCACCCGCACGTTGCACAAACCGTCGATCGCAGATATCCTGATGCACTCGTTGGTGAACGAGGTTCCATTCTCGAGTCTGCCTAAGATGAGGGTTGACAAATGGTGCGAGATTGACAGCGTCGAGGCCCAGTTCTACAATTACAAAGGTGCGGCCTACGTCCAGCTGTTCAACCAGCAGTTTATTGGTGTCTACGAAGTGGCCAAGTACACCGGATCATATGTGATTGAGGTACTCAACAAGGCCAAGATCCTCAACAAGTCGCAACCTTTCCACCTGTTCCGCTCCAACGAGGGTCAACGCTCGCTGTATTACACTGCCCACGAACTGGAGTCGTACAAGATGGAGGAGATGAAGTCGTCGTTTGCAGTGTTTCTCAACATGCCGTTCGACAAGAGTCTTTTGAAGAAGTACTCCATTTTCGGGTTCCTTACTCTCAACTTTGATTCCGACAGAATTCTGATCGAGGGTGCCAGCGTTTGTCACAAACACGTCAAGTTTGATGTTAGTGCTGAGCAATTGTCGTTGCTAGTGTTGGAACAGGTTTACGAGATGTTGGACTACCAGCTATCGTACGAGAACCCAATTGCCAATGAGAACTTGTACAACAGACACAAGGAGCTGATGGTGAAGACGTTGAAGGTAATCAATTCGAGTCAGGAGGCCCGTGCAAAGGAGCTCAAGAACATCAAGAAAGCACACGAACTGCTTACCGAAAAGAAAGAAGAGCTGCCGGAGATGGTGGTCTCGAAACCGCGTTCCGACTCGCTGGACATGCTCAACAACAATAGAGTGAGTTCCACCAAGATCACCAAACCAAAAACTGCCAGTGTTCCGTTCTTCAAGCGGATCTTCCGCAGAAAACGGGCTTCTGTTGTGCCAGTTCCTGTTTCTAAGAAAGCTTCAACTGAGGAGCCTAAGAAGATGAACACAGTTAAGGTTGTTCCTGCTGTTCCTAAAGCAACTTCCGCGATGACATACCAGCTGCCTGCAGCTTATGCGAAACGGAGGAGTTCTGACCGGTCAACCATTCGCCAAGTCTCTGCTGCCGAATCCGACAATCTTGTGGACAGTTTCGGGCTGAACATTGATAAGGTGAGACCGGAGAAAGTCAGGGCTACTGTTCCTGCTGCTCCTGCTGCTGCTGTCGAACCTCCTGTCGATAACGCTCGCGAAATACAGTTGCAGAGATACTTCAGCGAGGCAAGAAGACAAAGGGCGGAGCACGAGAAGAACATCAAGGAACGGGGTATCAGTGCTGTGGTGGAGCAGAGGAACGCTCCACTAAACTCAAGGGGCCTGCTCTTTTCTCCAAGCGTGACTGCCAAACTACAGAAGCTGGGAACCGAAGAGCCAGGCGACAACTGGGCAGTGATGTCCAGCCGCAAGGGCTCTATGTTCGAGGCAGACCGCAGCATTGAGTCGATGGTGCAGAAGGTGAAACGACTGACCACCAAGTCTGTGGGAGAGAAGAACCAGGAGAAACACCACTTTGTGGTTTTACGAGATGCCCGGCCACTGAGCCAGCTGCCGGCGGAGCCCAAGAAGCCTAGTGCTCGGGTGGTGACGCCTGTGCAGGCAGCGCACGAAAAGTTCAAGCAGCCCGAGCCAGAGCCAGAGCCCGTTGACGAGGCCGACATGTTTGGAGACATCGACCTCACCAGCTCGTTCGACGTGTCGCTGCCGGATCTGACCGAGGACGTTGTTGTTTCGGACAACACGCAAAACGACAAGTCGGAGGAGGAGGAGGAGGACAAGTTCTTCACTCCAAGAGAGCCACCAGCAGAGGTGTTTGAGCAGTCAACCACCACTGTGAACGATGTTGACCAAACGTCGTTATGTTCTGCGCTACAGGAAATGAAGGACAACACTGTCGGAGAGGTTCTGGTGGACGTGTGGACCGACAAACGGTTTATGTCAAGCTCCTCGTTGTACACGGGGATTCTCAACGATGAGTCGTACGCTTATCTTGCTCCACTTCTGGCCGGGAACGTGACAGTGGACGGGGCTGCCACCAAGTCCAAAGAAAACCTCGACTACGATACTGTCTTCGCACGCAATCTGAAGGACAGCTCGCTCAAGTACCTGGCCACGCTAATTGATAACTAGACAGTCTAAATTTATAGTGTACAAAATAATTCAAGTGAGAAAAAAAAATTTCAAGAACCATGTCTGAACTACACGAGCTGTGTGCACTGCCACGGCCAATCACACCTGACCATCTGGTGAAACTGAAGGAGTATCTGTCTGCTGGAATCCCAGCAACGTACACTTTGGAAGAGGTGGACCAGTTTGAGCGCGGAGTGGAGGAAGAACTCAGTTCCACCACTACTCCCTTGCATATTATCTGCGAGAACGTTGCGGAGGACTTCACGGACGAGGAGACGCAGATTGTGGAACAGATGATTGACGAGCTTTTCCTGAACGGTGCGGGCTGGTGTCTGGTGAGCTCGAAGAACGAAACACCGGGATGTGTGCTGGATAGACGTGGGTTCCGTGGATCCAAATATTGGGAGCAGATTGTTGCTGCTGGTGTTCGTGCCGAGGTTTTCCTGCGCCATATGGAGTCGAATGTGGAGTTCATTGACGAGGACGAGATTGACGGATTTGAGGAGGAACAGGTTGCCGGTACGGTAGAAGAGGAGAAGAAAGAAGAGTACGATCCTGCTGGTGATAATGCCACCTTTTTGCAGAGCAAGCTGGAATACACCGATGACGCATTACTGACAGACAGAAAGGACGGTGTGATGATGCAGTGGGAGGACAAGCTCATGAAGGCGGGATGCGACAGTCTGTTCAAGAGCGCAGAGGACCCGGACAACGTGGTGGTTCTCAACATTGGATTTGGTATGGGTATAATAGACACCATGATCCAGGAGAAAAAACCAAAGAAACACTACATCTGCGAGGCTCATCCGGACGTGCTCGCAAAGATGGAGAGAGACGGGTGGTTTAAGAAAGAAGGCGTGGTGGTCTTGAAAGGAAGGTGGCAGGAAACGTTGCCACCACTTCTTAGTCAGGGTGTTTTCTTTGACGGGATATATTTCGACACTTTCAGCGAACAATACTCCGACATGCTGGAACTATACGACATAATAGTTGGTCTTCTAAAGCCGGAAGGTGTGTTTTCGTTCTTCAACGGTCTGGGCGCTGATAGACTGGTGTGCTACGAGGTGTACAAACGGGTGGTTGATCTGGACCTGAACAACTACGGACTTGGCGTGGAGTACACGCAGTTGGACGTGCCACAGACGACCAAGCCCGAGGCGGAGGGTTCGGTCTGGAATGGCATCTACAGACCGTACTGGACGTGTCCCGTTTACTACCACCCAGAGGTGCGCTTCATGACGACGGTGTAAGGGTGGGTCTCTGTATATCTTTTTGGTTAGGTAATCGGTTAGAATTTATTCCGACATATAGTGAAATCAAAAGCTCTGGATACACAACACACGAGCATGTTTTCCAAGATCTCTCAGATCGGCAAGAACTTGACCGATGAGTTTTCGCGGATCAACGAGGAGGTGAGCAGCACGCGGAAACAGAGCCCCGGTGCACCGAATGGCGGGATAGACCCGGCCACCGCGACAAAAATCCTGTCCACGCAGACGCCTGACCCTGAAGGGATGACCCAACCGAGGGAAATGAGCTCGTCCGAGCCGAGCAGTGACAACAGTGTGGTCAATTTGAATGTCCCGGGCACAAACATACGGTATTCGGATCTGCCCGCAGAGATCAGGGGCCGTTTGCGTAAGTTCTCCAAATACGACGAAAAGTACCCGATCTTGTTCGAGGCCTATAAGGCCGAGAGGCGCAAGACTGCGGTGATTGGTGCGTTTGAAAAGATGTTGGCGGATGTGAGTCCGTGCACGAGCATTGGCGAGATCGACGCTGTGAGAGACTATTTGAGTGGACTACAGTCGAGCAAGAAGTTATTAGAGACAGAGTTGCGGCAGGCCGAGGCCAAGAACAAGGCCAATTTAGAGGAGATAGAGAAGTTACGGGCTAGTCCATCGGGCGAGGCCAGTTCAGAGGAGGTGGAGAAGCTGAAAGCAGAGCTGGAGACAGTTAAACAGGAGCTTGAGGCTTCGAGGGCCAGTGAGTCTAAGAAAGAGGAAGAAAAGACCGAGTTGGCTACCAAATTAAAAGAGAAGGAGGAGTTGGTTGACAAGGTGCAGAAGTCGTTGGCCGAGTCTGTTGAGGCGAAACAAGTCGTGGAAGGTAAGGTTGCAGAGCTGGAAAAGTCTGTGGAGTCCAATAAAAAACTGACTCAGTTGTTCAAAGACAAGGTTTCATCGCTGAATGAGGAGCTCAAGTCCCATAACGAGCCGGAGCCAACCACGTGCGGGCCGAAGAAGGGGAAGAAGAAGAAGGGTGTCAAGAAGCAGGAGGTTAACGAAACAGAGGTGATTGAGCTGCGACACAAGGTGGAGACTTTGGAGCGCCAAGCTTCTGAGGCTGAGGCGTTGCAAACGAAAGCTACCGAGCTCGGAAAAGAGGTGGCTGCGCAGAAGGAGGAGATAGAGAACCTGCGTGGCATGTTGCGCGATGTTGGCGACTCATTGGTCACCAGCAAAGATGAGCTTAAGAGTCTTCAGGAGACGCACAAGCAAAAGATTTCGGAGCTCGAAGCCGTCAAGTCTGAGCTGGAGTTCTTGCGGATCCAGAACTCGGACGCGTTGAAGGACCACGAGCGTGCACGGTCGTCTTTGGAGAAGAAGATCGCCACGTTGGAGAAAGAGCGGCCTGCAGACTCTGGCGGTGAGAAGGAGATCTTGATACAGAACCTCAAGAAACAGATTGAGGACCTCAAGGCTGGGTTCGACAAGAATTTCCAGACCGTTGGCGAAGAGAACGCACAGTACCAGAAACGCATAAACAGTTTGGTGAAAGAAAAAGCTGGTTTAGAGAAAGATTTGAACGACCTGAGCGGATTAAAAGAGCGCGAGGTGCAGCTGAAGCTGGATCTCTCGAGCGCACAGTCGTCTTTGGCACGCAAGGACAGACTGATCAACGACAAGGAGAGCCGGCTGAAGTACTTGGAGGAGGAAAAGGCACGTCTCAACGACACGGTGGTGGAGCTCAAGGTGCAGGTGAGCGAGCTGAAATCGCAAATGTCGTCCAACACAGAGGCCAAGAACGCGGCCGTGACAAAGACAGAGACTCTGCGACAGGAATACAATGAGCTGATGCTCCGGTTGAACAAGGTGAGCACGGAGAACAACAAGCTGGTGAAGAACTACGAGGAGATCAAGGACCGGTACGAGGACCTCAAGAACTCAAAGGTGAGCTCTTCGGACCAGGTGGACTCGATCAAGCGTCGGTGCGAGGAGCTTTTGATGCGCAACCGGGAGTACGAGAGTCGGACCGACGTTTTGCAGGACGAGCTTTCTGAGGCACGGTCGATGCTCCAGGAGCGTACGCGAGAGGCCGGTACGATCAGACAGCTGCTTGTTGACACGGAAGAGTCACAGAACAACAAGTTGAAGGACCTGAATGCCCGGCTGGATAGAGTGGCCGAGGAGCGGGACATTCTTGAACGGGAGTCGACTTTGACACTGAAGAAGAAACAGCGCGAACTGGACGAGATGAAGGCCAACCTGGAGGACCTGCGGGACCAGCTGGACGGATTGCGTCGTGAGAAGGACGAGGTGGAGGCCCGGGTGGCGGAACAGCAAAAGAGTCTTGCCTCGGCCAAGCCAGCTGCCAACGGACAGTCTGAGGCGTCTTCCGAGCGCGACTACAAGCTCGTGGAGTCTCTGCGCGAGTCGTTGAAGGACAGCGAGACGCGTCTGAGAGACGTGGAGGCGATGAACGGCAAGCTGCGCAAGATCAACGAGGAGTCCTCGCAAAAACTGATCCGGCTCAACAAAAAGTACAAGCTTCTTTCGCAGCAGTACCGCACAACCAGAGAAAGACGCGAGTCCATTGCAAGCGTCGAGTCTGGCCAGACGTCCCCGATCATGAGCCGTGCCGGAAGCATAGTGGAGCCGCCTGCTCCCGAGGCAGTTGCGCCAGACACACAGGAGAAAATGGAGTACGTGAAGAACGTGATTTTAGGATTCCTTGAACATAAAGAACAGCGGGGAATTCTGCTTCCTGTGATCAAGACGTTGTTGTTTTTGACTGACAGCGACGAAAAACGGTTGATGGCATCTGTTCCGTAAATTTATAAATCATGGTATTTAATTCCAAGATCTAATTAAATTATTTACAGTGACAGTCGATAATAGACTTATCGTCCATGTACGGCTGCAAAACGTCTGGGATCGCGATGGTCTGCGTTTTGGGGTCGTAGTTGTTCTCCACGAGAGCCAAAAGAACCCGCGGAACAGCACAGGCTGTACCGTTTAAAGTATGCACAAACTTGAGCTTATTTTTCTCGTCTCTGTACCGGGCGTGCAACCGTCTGGATTGGTAGTCCAGACAGTTCGACGTCGAGCTCACCTCTCCCCAGGACCCTCTTCCAGGCATGTACGCCTCGATATCGATTTTTTTGAACGCAGGGGCCCCGAGGTCGTCCCAGGGCATGATGAGAACCCGTACTGGCAGCCCCAGACTCGAAACAAACTGTTTCTGGAACTCCACGAGTCGGTCGAACTCGGCGTTGCTGGCGTCCACGTCGCCCGCCGTCCAGCAGAACAGCTCCACCTTGGTGAACTCGTGCACGCGGTACAGTCCGCGCGTGTTTCTGCCTGCTGCCCCGGCCTCTGCACGGTAGCTGCGCGAAACTCCAACAAGACGGCGCGGCAGCTCGGCCAGTTTGTACTCGGACTCGATGCTCAGCGCGGCCAGCGGGATCTCCGCCGTTCCTGTCAGACACAGGTTGTCGTGTGTGAGCTCGTAAACTTGCCGCTCGTTGTTTGTGTCTCTGGGCTTGAAGCCACAAGCACTGGTAATTTCTGTTCTCACAATCGACGGAGGGATGGCCATCTGGAAACCGGCCTTGCGCGCCAGTTTCAACGAATACTGCACCAAAGCCTGCTCCAGAAGTGCCATGTCGCCCAGCAGGTAGTACCAGCCGCGTCCCGAGACGTTGGCGGCGCGTGCAAACTCCACGAGCCCGGCTTTCTCCAAGATCGATTTGTGGTCGAACGTCTCCTGGGGCGTGAGGTCGACCTGGCCGTCGGTGTTGATGTACTCCACGAGCTGCTGCTGTTCGCGCGAGTCGTCGGAAATCAGGTTGGGTAGCTGCTCGGCCATTGCGCGGAGCTGCGACAATATGCCCTGTTGCGTCTCATCGACCGATTTCAGCACCGGTTTCAGGGCGGCCAGCTGGGCCAGCACGTATTGCTCGTCAACGACCTCCTTGCCCGCCTTACTGGCCTTCATCTGCCGCTGCAAAACGCCGGCCTCGCGCTTCAACTGCCCCGCCCGCGCACGGGCCGTCCTGAGCTGCTCGTACAAGGCTGTGTAGGTCTCGAGCGGGAACGGGACCTTTCTTCGCGCACAAATATCGCGAAACTGGTCCACCGTCCTGCTATACGCGTCCAGATCAAGATCCGGTCTCCGCAACGACCCCAAATACCTGCGGCCAATTACACACCCAGATCGATAAACCCTCGACATGGCCCGAGATTGTGTTTTCCTATACTAATTTTTCAATTTGCAAATGCGAGTAAAAAAAGCGCGGCTTAAATTGAGCCGCATCTCCACACCAGCCAAAATGCTACCGCTTTCTCCCCGTATATAGCGGGAGGTGCGTCCGGAAAGTTGTGGTCCTCGAACCTACATGGTATCGGTGACACTTCTGCTCCACCAGCCGCCAAATAAGAGCGAAATCTATACCCAACAGAGCCCGAACGTCGATGCCACCGTCAAGCTCCGCTTCCTTACAACCACAGAAGTGGTGGCTGTAAGAGCATACTTTAAAGGACTCATGAATACAAGAATCACGAAAAAAGTGTTTGTCGACTCCTACACAACAAACATGGACGGAACACAAACTTTGCACAGACTGCCCGACTATCAGGACGTGGAGGACTCGCAGGAACTGTTCTGGTACAAGAAAACCTTGGCACCAAAACAGAATCTGCCATCCGTTTATAACCACGGCGACGCTGTTTCGTATCCGGTCTCGTTCCAGTTTCCGGTCGACAGCCAGCTGCTTCCGTCGTCGTGCGACTTCCACGGCCAGGACGGCGTCGGCCACGGCAGCGTGTCCACCGAGTACTTCATAAAGGTGGTGGTGACGCTCGCCAACAGCGACCCTGTCGTTGCCTTCTTCCCCATCAGCTTCCAGTGCGATTCCGATCACGTGACCCCGATCTTGACCTCGAGCAAGCAGAGCATGTGGTTCGAGCAGAGCATGAAGCGCAAGGTGATGTGTGCCGGATCGCTTGTGGCGAACCCGCTCGCCGCAAGCGCAAAGCATGCGTTCAAGCTGGGCCGGTATTTTTCGGGCCCCAAGAAGAGCCAAAGCGTAGCACAGCTAGCTTCGGACATCATGCTGACGGTGAGTCTCAACACCGTGGGCTACTTGAACCTCGACAGCAACATCCAGCAGCTGGGTGACCTGTTGATCGCCACGCCTCAAACACACGAATACGCTGTGGACGGAGTGTCCACCGGACTGGGAGAGTTTGCGATCACCAATGTGCGCCTGAGTATCGTTTCGCAAATGACGCTGAAGATCGGACACGACCGCGTTTGCAACCCGGGAACGCCCGTGGAGCTGCTCAAGCTGGGCTTCAGGCCCGGCACCGAGCCCCGTTTCGACGTGGCAGAGTTCAGCGAGCGCAACGGCATGCTCTACCACGAGATTCCGCTGAGTGCTGTTCTGCCCGCACGGTCACTGATCGACTCTCTGCCGCGGCCATTTGTGCCTAATATCAGCATCGGCAAGTATTTCTGCAACCGGACCCAGATATGTGTGAGTGTGACTCTCAAGAACACCAACGCGTCCAAAAAGGGTATCAACATGTTCAGGTTTGCGCACGACATTGTGATTGGGTCATCCGAGAAGCTGGCGCCAAACTACGACTCGATCGAGCACGCTCCAGCTCCGCCGTACACCTGTGTGCAGCCCATGGTGGCTCCGCCGGTGTACACTGAAAATGTATAGTCCACCTCGCACCAGCATATAAAGATGTAGATAGCTAATAATTATTTAATATTGCTATGTCGCGTAGAAGAGGCAGACAGACGGAGACTGGCGAGGAATTCCAGGTGCAGGGCCCGAGCAGCGCGCTGACGTCGTTTCTGCGGGAGCAGGGGATCAGCGCAGAGGCGATCCGGACGCGGTACGAGGAGGGACTGCGGCGCCAGTTGGAGGAGGAGGCAGGTGGCGAGGAGGTGGAAAATGGCGGTTCTGACGAGTCTGACGAGGAGATTTTGGAGGGCGAGGAAGAGACGGCCGAGATCAAGCGGATCAGAGAGCGGGCGCGCGCGAAAAGACGCCGTGCGCAGCGCGAGGACGGTCTGGACGACGACGAGAAGGCAGACGGCAACAACTTCTGTATCGAGTGCGACCGCGAGTTTGTGATCTCGGTGTACTCGAAGCGGATCGAGAAGTACGGGCGGATCGGGTACCTGTGTCCGGAGTGCACGACGAACGAGATCAAGCGGCAACGGCTGACGAAGCGCAACGAGATCGAGGCTCGCAAACGGCGGAAGAAGGTGGCTGCCGCGCTTCTGGACAAGCAGGAGTTCAAGATCCCGACGCTGCAGGATTGCTGCATCAACGTGATCTCGAAGAACATCGACGCGGTGGACTTGTTGGGCGATATTGGCGTGGTGAACATGAAAAAAATCGGCCGTATCTTATCCAAGAACAGGTCTCTGGATAACCGGACCATGGCGCTGTTTCTGGACCCGGCCATGCGCGAGATCGAGTTCTGGGACTGTTCCAACATCGACAGCGTCGCGCTGAACAAGATCGCCGCTTTTTGTCCCAACGTGGAGCGGCTGGTGCTCAACATGTGCGGCCGGCTCCACAAGGACAATCTCAACTACTACGCACAAAAGTTCACTAATTTGCAGTACATTTATTTGAACGGCGCGTTTCTGATCAACGACCAGACATGGCAGGACTTCTTCGACAGTCCTGTGGGGAAAAACCTCAAGGGAGTCCACATTAAAAATACACACAGGTTCACGCCAGACTCGCTGATCTCGCTGCTCGACAACTGTGGCAACAACCTCGAGGAGCTCACGCTCAGCAGACTCGACGGACTCACGTCCAAGAGCGTGTACGACCTGCTGCCGCATTATCTTCGCAGCCTCAAACACCTGGAGATCTCGTACCCCAATAAGGAGGAATTGATCGACGACGAGCTCATCATCAACCTGATGGGTGTCAACGGCGAGTCTTTGGAAACGCTAATTCTGGACGGATGCAGCGGCCTCACAGACACCTTCTTGGTGTCGGGCGTCAAACCGTTCTGTCCCGCATTGACAAAACTGTCTTTGGTGATGCTCGACCAAATCACGGACTCCGGAGTGTCGTCGCTGTTCAACGACTGGGCCATCAACGGCGGACTCATGGACGTCAACTTGAGCCGGTGCATTGACCTGGGCGACGACGGAGTATATGCGGTCCTGGAGCACTCGTGCCAGACGCTCGTGGAGCTGAACCTGAACTCGGTGAAAAACATCAGCAGAGGCCTGTTCAAGCAGATCGGCCGCAACTTGAGGTTCCCGCTGCTGACTGCGTTGGACCTTGGGTTTGTTCGTTCGTGCGACGACTCGGCTCTGGCCGTGATCTCGCGAATCGCTCCCAAACTCACCATTTTGGAGGTGTACGGAGACAATCGGTGCACCAGCGCAGCAATTGTGAGAGACAATCTGCGCATCATTGGCCGTCAAAGCGACAGCATATAGACAGTGTAAATAGTACAATCAGTTGGTTTCGGTCTCGACGGCGTCCATTTGTAGGTACTTTGGGGCCATGTTGGCGCGCTCCACGTTGGCAAACCGCGGCATCGCAGCAGCCTGTGTCTGTGCAACCAGCGACTCCTCAAAGTCGATCGGGTCCACCAGTCGCGGCCGGTACTCTGTGACTGCGCCGGGGTGACCGTTCTCCTTGACCAGCCGTTTGTTGGTCGCGTCCTCGTCGTGGTTGATATCCAGACGGGCTTTCAGAAAGTGTTTCATGTGAGTGGACGACTCCGGGTCCGTTTCCAATATGTATCTGATCAGCTCTCTTACTGGTTGCAACTGGTCTGGCGTTGAGGTTTTCAGCAAAAAGTCTCTGTACTCGTCGATCATGAGGTTGATGTGTGATGTTGGGATCTGGCCGTGTGTCTTGACGTAGTTGACAATACTGGCCAAACCTTTGGCGTTCTTTTGGACCAGCTCAAACTTGAAAAAGAACGTCCAGTACGAAACGGACGCTCTGGTAAGTTTGCTTTTGAAGTAGATGTTCAGCAAGGAACGGGCTCCTTGAACATCACTGCGTTTGAGCCACCGCAGCTTGGCAAGCTCCACAACCACTTGTGGAGCCGTCCAGATAGTAAGCACCTTGAACAGGTCAGCGAACTCTGAATCGAGCTCTGTATCAGTCTCACCGGTGAGCTTCTCCAACAGCTTCTGCGACTGCTCGTTGACCTTGTCGTAGCCGAGCACGTCGTACAGAAACTGGTAGTATCTGGCCAACGGGAACGGTTTGTCTGGATGCGACACAAGCATGCCAATGTAGATTTGGCGGGCCTTTTCGAGATCGGACAGCTTGAGCTCGTAGTATTTGGCGTACATGTATCTGATTTCCGGCTGGTCTATGCTGACAAACACGTCTGTTGCTTTATTGAACACCGAAACAATGAAGTCGGTGTCTGAAGTGTTTCGGATCAAATATCTCAGATACCTGATCCAGAAGGTCTCGTAGGAACATGTAGGGACTAGTGCGCGTTCATAGAGCGACTTAACCTGTTCCAAATCACCACGTGACTCCTCAAAGTCCAAATAGTTCGTCCATTTGGTCATATCTTGCTCGGAAACCGGTAAGAAGTCAAAGTTCTGTTTCGGCAGCTGGCTCTCGTACTCCCATCTTTCGGTGACCCCCGTGTAGCACTGGGTGAATATCCCGTTGAAATACTCGTCGCTGATTTGTTTGAGCTGGTCTGCGTCTAGGTCCTCGAGGTTGGTATCCTGGAAATGCGTAGCCACCAGCGAGTCCAGCTCCTTGGTAGGGACCAGGTCTGCAAGCGTGAAGTTGGTGATGGTCTCGTACAACGACTCGAAGTACCGCGCGTATTGATGAAGAGGGTATTTGACAACCTGGAGCAGGATTTGGACGTAATCGAGTGACATTGGTCCTGCATGCTTAGACTCCCAGTCCAGATACAAATCCCAGATCGGATGGGCCATGAACTGACGGCCGACGTGCGAAACGGCCTGTTTGAACAGGTCTCTGATCTGCGGTTCCTCTTTAAGGTTGTTGGATATAAGAACGTTCAAATAGTCGACCCAGAGCTCCAACGAACAAGGAAACGAACTAACGGCCTGTTCCAAAACACCAATAGACCGGTCCAAGCCGGCAATCGAGTACTCCAAAGCAACATAACGTTTCCAGAAATCCGCCAGGTACGGGAATCTTGTGAGTAGGTATTGCATATCGGCGTCTAGCAAGTCACAAAGACTGGAGTTTGTTTTGAGGGTATTCAACTGAGAGGAAACAAGCGACTCGAACTGGGCCACCAGGTCGGTCCAAAGTTGCGGATCCTTGTCGTTTTCCACCAACTCGGCGCGTATAGCCGCCCATTGCGGGAAATCGGCGAGTAATTCGTCAATTTCAGGGGATAAATCCATTTTGTTTTTTTAATGTGAAAAATTACAAAGGTTTAATTAAGTGCGCTTTATTTATTTGTGATAATTTTGAATCAAAAAAAAAACACTGTTTTTCTTTGTTGGGTGACCATGCAAGTGATTTTTAAGGACTTCAAGAAGGAGAAGATCCCGCTGGACGTGGAGTTGTCGGACTCTGTGCTGTCTGCAAAGGAGAAGCTCGCTTCTTTGAAAGAGTGCGAGGCTTCGCAGGTCAAGTTTGTGTACTCTGGTAAAGTGTTACAAGACGACAAGACATTCGAGAACTTCAAGATCAAGGAAAACGATCAGGTGATATTCATGATCTCGAAACCGAAAAAGGCCCCTGTGTCAGCAGAACCCGCCAAACCTAAAGAAACTGCAACGGCCACATCTACAGCTCCGGTGGCGGAACAGGCTCCTGTTGCACCAGCAGGCGGTGAGTCTGCCCCAGCACAGTTCGACGCTTCGACTTTTGCTTCCGGTAGTGTGAGAGAGACGGCTATCCAGAATATCATGGCAATGGGTTTCGAAAGAGCCCAGGTTGAACAGGCCCTCACTGCTGCGTTCAACAACCCAGATAGAGCTGTGGAATACTTGCTTTCTGGCATCCCGCAGAGAAGCGAGCCGCAGGCCGACAGCACGTCGAACCAGGAATCTTCTGCTGAGCCTGATGCTGCGGGCGAGGCCTCTGAAGATGCGGCCGCCGCCTCCAACCCTGATAATTTATTCGACGCGGCCGCTGCGGCAGGTACACAGGGAGCAGAGACAGAACAGAGTCAGGAGGGCGACTTTATGACGTCTTTGAGAGAGATCTTGCAACAGCAGCCGGAGATGGCTGAGGCTGTTTTGCAGCAACTGGCTGCTTCCAACCCACAGCTTGCCGAGATCGTGCAGTCGAACCCTGAGGCCTTTATGAGATACATTACAGACGGAGACCAGAGCGCACTTGCCGAGGCCCTGGGTGTGCCTCCGGAGTACATGGAGGGAGCCGAGGGCGAGGGCGAGCTTCCAGAAGGCGTGACCCAGATCCAGATCACTCCTGAAGAAAACGAGGCTATCAACAGACTGTGTGAGCTCGGGTTCGAGAGAGACCTGGTGATCCAGGTGTACTTTGCTTGTGACAAGAACGAGGAAATGACGGCCAATTTGCTCTTCAGCGACCACGCTGAATGATACATGTAATAAGACGTAAAACAAGATGAAGAAGTTGAACAGATGGCGTAGGTACATTGGGTGCGGTAATTATATGGAGAGTTGGTCGAACGAGGTGATTTTCGTGGCTGTGGAGTCGACCGGAGCGTTTCCTGGCCGCACCACCAGGTAGCTTTTCATTCCAGCAGCAATTGCGGCATCCACCTCTTTTGGGTTATCACTGAGAAACACACATGAGGAAGGGTCGGAGCCAATAGCGTGTGCGATTTTCAGGTAGCTGCTGGCCTCGATTTTGGGGCCTGCGTTGTTTGTGTCGAAATAGCCGGAAAGTTGGCTGTTAATGTCCTGAGATTCGACCGGACCTGTGCTGTCAATGGGTTTGACGTACTGGAACAGCAGTTTCTGCGCCTTGACAGATCCAGAAGAGTAGATGTACACATTTTTCGCAGGGTCTTTGGACCACGTGCCGATGGCCTGCAAAGCGTCGTTGTACAACGGGGCCTGGATTTGGCCCTCGTGGTAGCCCTTTTCCCAGACAAAGCCCTGGAGTTCCTTGAGAACCGGGTCCTTGACGTCGTTGTCGACCAGCGACTTGATATGGCTGTGCAATTGGGTCTTGGAAACCAGTGTGGCTTGCGGGAACTTGGCCAGGATGGATTCCAAGGTGTCGGTGGAGTTTTGCGAGATCGGGTAGGTGTATCTATCCAGGATGTCGGGCAATTGTGCCAGAAAGTACGGGAACAACACGTCCTTGACAAACGAGATCGGGCAAATTGTGCCCTCAATGTCCAAAATCACACTCACAGCCATGAAAAGAAATACAAGACAATATAATTTTTTCTCCCTTGTGTTAATTATTCTTCAGGACAGGTTTTCATAACCATTGGTCTGGGGAAGATTTTTGGTAGAGGACGACTTTTTCAGATCGATGGATCCATTGCACGCGGCCGTGGTTGCAGAGGCAGCCGCAAGAGCCATTAAAAACTACCAGGAGGCGGACGATGTCTGGTCGGGCAATACAGGGGCGCCGGACAGCCACAACGTGCCGGAGGCAACGCGGAACCCCAAACACGAGTCGGAGGACAAGTTTGTGCTTGATCCCGCGTTGCAGCTCGAGTTCGAGAAGTACAGCAAGGCCCACGAGGCCGACCACCAGCACGAGCTGCCCAAGAACTCGCCGTTTGTGACCACCACTTGCACGCGGTGCAAGAAGGACTTTGTGCAGCGGCCTGAGAAACAGTTCCGTTTGTGTTTGCACTGTCGCGAGCTGCAGAGACAGCGGTCGCGCCGGTGGCAGATGCGCACAAAGGAGAAACAGGGTGTTTGCAGACGGTGTGGTATCGAGATTCCTCCGGAACAGGCCCAGTTCGTGCTGTGCGAACACTGTCGGATGTCGCTGCGGTCCAGGAAGGCCAGCAGGGCGGCGCTCGGCAAGTGCGTGCACTGTTCCGGACCCAACGACTCTGTCGAGGGCAAATTCAAGGTGTGTTCGCGGTGTCGTCAAAACGACAAAATTCGCCGGTCCAATCTTGAAAAGATCGGCGCGTGCAACAGATGCGCACAGCCCCTCAACGACTCTGACAGAGACCACAAGGTGTGTGAGAGATGCCGCACAAAGAAGAAGCGTGGAGCCGTTTCGCCGGCCGCAGTGGCACAGAGACCTTCGCACGGTGCCAGAGACAAACATAACGGCCACCACACGTCGCCAGAGGCCGTGGCCACCGCCGTTCTCAAGGGACAGCACACACGGCACGACCAGGACATCCTACTCCAAGGAAACTTCCACGGAATGCCGCAGATCCACCACTCCCAGCTCAACCAGCAGCTGAACCAACATTTGCACCAGCAACTGACCCAGCTGCAACACGATCACTCGTCCTCAAACACAGACGAGGAAGTGGACACGGTTTCTGCGCACGACGAGGCGGTTGGTGGTTCGTTGACCATCCCGGACCCTGACAAACTGTGCCTGAAATGCGGAAACCACATTCACATCGACGACCTGAGCTTCAACCCGGCCACAAACATTTGCTCGAAGTGCCTGGATCAGGAGGACGACCCAGAAACCACAGCCAACCTGTTTATGAACCCAGAAGGTGACGACGAGATCGACAAGGAGACATGAGCTGCTGCCGGTGTACGGGTGTGGTGCAAAAAGCGTCTCTTTGCGCGAAAAAAAGGCTACCACGACCTGTTTCGCCTACGAGTTGCCGAAAACTACTATAGAGAACCCAACCGGTTGGATGCCGACGACACGCACCCCAACTGTATGTATAAGTATACAATTATATTCCAGATGACAAAATTTTAGTGTCGATCTTCTGTTGGCCTCAAGTGTGGTGCTATCTGATAATCGCACTTGTAAATCACACGACTGACACATCTGATTGACGTTGCCACTATAGATGGACATGACACATGAAAGTGTTTGGAATTCGTGAATGACCAATCATACTCAACGGAAACTCAATAGCAAGTATTTGTTGGCCGAGAAAGACCGATGGGCGCATGATCCGTACCAACGATACTTTGCAGTGAAAGCGAACGAGCCATTACCTGCTGGATGGCGTATATCGTTGGACAATAAGAACTCTCGTTTCAGCCACGAATATATCCCACTTGCTACCAAAACCGCATCGCACCCAAAAGACGCGGTACCTGAATGCACATCGCATTTTAGTTACACCACGCCTAATGAAACGCCTCATGAATTGCCAAGTAAATCGCCATTGATATTGTGCAAAGGGACTTTGAAATGCAACGACACTTACCCCACATATCCATCGCCAGATGACTCTGAGATCGTCACTGAGCTACTTCCGAAACCCATTCATGTGAGTTCACTGAGTCATACCACCACAAAACCGGATCTTGGCGAAATTAGTCGTTCACATACGAAATATGTTGGCCACTCGGAGCCAAACCTTGCAATTCTCAATCAGGGCAAGCAAAAAAGCACAGCCAAGTTCCCTCGGTTGTTCACAGGCACTTGACTCAATTTTGTGCACGGAACAGGTTGGACGAGTACCGCACGTTTTTCGCAGCCAGGCCTGGGTCAGGCCCCTTTCTCGACTTGGTGCGGACTTTTCTCGTTTTGCTCTTTTTCGGTTTCATCAACTTCTTTGGCCATGTTTTTTCAACCACATCTTCTTCGGCTTCTTCCTCCTCGCTGCTCCATCTGCTGCTGTCGACGCTCAGAAGATCGTCCAGATGTTTGATGGCGTCGTCCCGGTTGCTAAAGCTGTCTTTAGACTTGTCCATGACCTCGGAGTCGTAAATCTGTTTCCAGGTTGCAAACTCCAATTGCAAACTCATTTCCTCTTTGGGAGCAACCGGACTGCTGCTCCGTTCTCCAGAACCGAAAGTTTTGGAAACAATTGAGGAGTCTGGAACCTGTTCTGCCGGAGATGGAGACCCATTCTCCACAAACAGCTTCTTCATCTGGAAGAACTTCTGTCTCAACTTTTCACTTTCTCTATTCAATTCTAACAATGCACGGCTGTCGTCTTTTCTTGCACGTTCTTCGTCTTTGAAGAAATCGCTGGTCAACGCCGAGTCCGATGCCTCTTGGATGTCTTGATCAAGCTCGTTGGAAACGATTTTTGTCTTGTTCAGCCTCTCAACAACCTCCACCTGGCTCCCATTGATAAACACTCCCGAATTGGGCTTGTTTGTGTTCCACAGCCAGTAAGGCCGAGCAGCAGGCGCTGGAGCAGGTCTTGACTTCAAATGGAGATTGAACTGCGGGTTCTCGCTCAGCGAGGGTATGCGCTCAATGCAGGTGCCCAAAAAGTGGTCTCTAGCGGCCAAATAGTTGCCAAACGGACATTTTTCAATCAAACAGCCCAGTATATGGGGCCGCGACTCACACAGACACGAGAAGTCCAGATGGTGCTTGTTGCACGAGAACGCCTGTGCGTTGATACAAGCCAGAACGCACGCCGGCGGCGTAGCCTTCACAAGAACCGCGAATACACAGATCACTAGGAGAAACCGCATGGTAAATAAAGAGGGATATTTCCTCAAGGGATACTTTTTGTAGCGCCCAAGATGTGATTACGTAACGCTCTAATTCGAATATACGGAGGCTGAGATTTGGATGGAGGGCCAATACGACAGGAAAGGCGGGAAGATTACCACAAAGGGTATCAAAGAGAAATACTAGCAAAACCAATACGTACTTAAAACATCCAAAAAGCCCCCGTTTTGCCCCAATCGCTACCTATTTGTGCACACCCCCTCGTCGGACCGAGATCCGCATCTTTGCACCACGAGTAAATAACGAAAACTGAAAAAAACAAGGCACCTATTCTGCTTGAGTATATGGCGACCGCGGACCATGTTGAGCTTGTGGCCCGCCACGGTGGCCATCACTACGACAACATAAAATACGGGTACGTGCTGTTTGCGTTGTCGATTATTTATTTGGTGTTCCGCCAATCAGCTCTTATTTATTACCACAAGGCTTGGATTCGGTCTGGCCGGTCCACCACAAATTTGGGGCTTGTTAACACGCCAATGGTGTACACCGTATCGATCATGAGCGGGATCATTCTGATTCTGGAATTCTTCAACCTCAACATCGAAGAGTACGGCGTCCACCTGAAGCGGTTCGGACGTCTCGCGTACGCCCTTACACCACTGGATCTGGTTCTCGCTGTGAGGCCGAGCCCGTTTCAGTTGGACAATTACCTGGATACATTGACCTTGCATAAATGGGTGTCTCGTATAATTTTAGCGCTCGGTATTTTGCACAGCATGGGGTATCTGGTGAAATGGCTTGCTGAGGACACATTAGAGAAATCGCTCAGACTGCTCAATTTTTACGGGGTGATAATTTTTGTGCTTTTTGACGTGCTATTGTCGGTGAGCTGGCGTAAAGTTCGTTCTATCAACTACACTTGGTTCATTGGATTCCACAACGTGGTTCTGTTTGCGTATGTGGTTTTAATACAATTGCATGCTCGTCCAGGGGTAACTTTGCTGTTTCTGATCAATATGGCTATTTTGGCTTATCAGTACGTGGTGAGGCTTATTTCGACGAAATCTTTCACTACCGAGGCTGTTCTGAAAGCGCCGGATTCCAACCTGGAAATTGTACAGGTGCCCAGACGGCTGCTTCCGGCGCAATTTCTGCCAGGCTGCCACATGCGCATATCGAGATACTCTCTTTTCAATCCGCTCTTTTGGCTGCTCCCCTCACATCCTTACACGGTGGCATCGGTCCAGGAAAACACTGGCGCTTTTGCCAAGCTCGTGGTGAAGGAAACCCGCTTCAAAATCGAGCCTTTCGAAAAGTACTGGGTCCAGCCCTATTTCCGCTCCTCGTTATCGCTGGAGTTTTTCCAGACAGCAGAGAATGTCACAATCGTATGCGGAGGCTCCGGAATTTCTTTTGGCACGCCCATATTCAGCCACTTACTAAGAAAACAACAAGTGGAGAACAAAGATATTAAGTTATCGTGCATCTGGATTACTCCAAACGTGGGTGACTTGTTTGTGCTGAAAGAACTGGAGATTACCGGGATTAAAATCTATGTTACCCGCTCGGCAACAAATCAGGAAGTAATTGAAGACCCTGTCAGCGACGAATTCGAGCTCCAGACTTTGGAAGACGATTTTCAAATACAGGATGAGGAAACTGGAGTTCCGGAACTAGATGCCGAATCTGCTCAGACCACCAATACCGTGCATTACGGCAGACGGCCAGACCTGGGCCGCTTGTTTGTCCAGAACGTGAACCGTACAATCGATTATGCCAACAAGTGGATAGTGTCTTGCGGTCCTCCTTCGTTGAACGAGGAATGCAAACGTCTCGCTGACAGCTACAAATGCCGGTATTTCGGCGAAAACTACGCCATGTAAGTGCCGTTTATTTAATCGCCAGCTCGCAAATAGGAAGCTGCACAAGCGCTCCCGAGAATAGGTTCCTCTCATCGGCGCTGCTAGGTCGCCTCATTTAGCAAATCTTGCCTCTTAAATTTTATTATCGCTCTATTAAATACGGCACATACTGAAATTTACTTTTATGCTGGGACCATGTATAGGCGCTTTTGTGCGGAATTGGCGATATGTACAGTTTAACTTCCGCCGTCCGAAATTAAACGCGGTGACACATCGCTGAGGCATCACGGAAGATGCTGGAATTACGTGGAGGAAGGCAGTTTAGTAAAAGGAGGTATGACATAATTGGATTGTGCGGCCATGTGAGATGCCGACGGTTAAAATCGTGATTTTCCATGCAAAGTTTCTGACCTAACTGAAGTGAGATATTTCTATTGCAGGACGCAAGAATTTGACCATGCGGGGCAAACAAACTTGGTATTTCCCAATTGGGCTCGGTAAAAATTCGAGTTCGGATGAATTTCGAAAAGGGAAAGGCTGTACATGGGTTCTGTGATGTAAGACATGCTAAAATGAGTGGAACAGGGTAAAAACATGTATTTTTTGCAGCTCGGTACTGTAGCCGAGCCACTGAGTGCTTTCTTTTCCAAGTACTGGACCAACTCCAGTCGGAATTAGATACGGAAAATACAGCATCTAATTACAAAAAGCCGATGCCTCACAGCCGCACGGGATATCCTTTCACTGCAGCTGACGGGATAAGGATAGGTCCAGGCGAGTAGCGTATGTATTCCAGAGTAAGCAGTATGTGCAGCCAGTTACTACACAAGCACAACTGGTGATGGAACCCCGCTAGGTTTCGCCGAGGCAGGATGACAAATAAGTCATAACGGTGAATCATGGAAGAACTGCCCTTCGGGCTGTCCCTACACTTATATCACAATCCCACATTGTTATCAGCACGATTGTTGGGCTTTCCGCGACAACTCCGTCAAAAAACCGAGCTTTGACGTTTAGTGTACGAAGTGATATGCTATCTTAGTGCGTGCTGAGCCACTCCGCGTAGTGAAGTCGTATACCAAAAGTGATGTAATGTGGCGTGAAATGAAATTCGCCACGCTTAGCAGAAGCCCATAGAATACCGGCATTTTAATTCTTTCGGCAAAAATGAGCCTTCCAACAGAAGTCGTGCGTCGTGGTTACTCTTCAGAGGTGCATATGCGAGGGGATTTAAATTTGGTCGTGCAAGATGCGTCACGTCAAGCTATCGTATATAAACCCTTTCTCTCCTCTTTATCATTACAGCTATCCAGCAAACTATTCACTATGTACTCTTCAGAACAAAGCAAGTGGGTAGCATTCCAATTCAAGGACCCTTTTGCCGCAGACAAGTTTTTCGTCTGCCACGTGGGCAAGGGAACCTGCTGTCGCCCCAACTGCGACCTGGGATTCTCCAGTTTCAACAAGTCTGACATCAAGTTTGTGGATCAACTAAGCGAGGCGGTGGCCAATGGCTTCCGTCCTTGCAAGCACTGTCTTCCAGACAGAGAGTCCCATCCTGAAGGATTATCAGACAATTTTGTGTCAATCAATTTGGACCTCCTTGTCAAGACGGTTGAGCACGTGAACGAGTCTATTGGGTTCATCAAGCCGCTGATGGACGAGGAGGATGACAAGAACAGCGCTCTGAAGGAGACTCTATGGAAGAGCAACAACAGCGGGCTGAAAAAACGGCTCTCCGGGGGTCCTGTGGACGACTCGGAGGAGGTGCCGTTGACTCGCAACAAGTTTGACCACCTGAAACTGATCGACCTGGCATGCCGCCACATCGCACTAGCTGCTCTCTCTGCAAGCTGTGGGGTTTCCATGGGAGAGGAAGCTGTTTCCAGATCGCCCTCGCCGCCTGAGAGCAGACGAGGCAGCGTTGCCCGTCCAAGCCGCAAGAAGAGGCGGAGAGGCGGAGTGCTGGGATTCAAGGAGTTGGCGTCCAAGTCGAACCTGAGTCCATGGCACTTCCACAGAGTGTTCAAGAGCGTGACCGGCCAAACCCCTAAGGCGTACGGTGACAAGTGCTGGGAGTACATCAGCAGACAGGAGGCCAAGCATCCTGATCTGCACAAGAGAAGAGACTCCATCATTATCAACACGCGCATTGCCAACCCTACTCTTGCCAACGAGGAGGACGAGGTCAGACACTCTGACGACGACAAGGACGAACGGTCCACTATCAGCAGCTCCGAGCCCGAAAAGGAGCCAGAACATATTGTCACCCCACTCTCGGCCCCAGTTGTTCCTGTGGAGCCAGACCAATTATTTAAACAAGACTTCAACCTCGCGGTGATGGACGACTTCACTTCGCCGCTCGAGGCCACTACGCCGCTCACTTACGACCCTTCTGTTGCATTTCCTGGTTCCGCTACAATGTCGCCTAATGTGATGTCCACAGTGCCTTCTTCGGCCACCTCGTTCCAGCTGTTTGACGAGATCGACGACCTCATGGCCACTAAGGCGCCGGAGGCGCCGCTCGACTTCGAGTCGTACCAATACACTCCGTCAATGGCGTACATTTCGAACCAGCAGGCCCAGCTGCAACGCCAGCGCCAGCTCGAGGAGACCGAGATCGGCGATGATTGGCTAGTGGGACTTAAGGACGACCCAACAAACTTTATGATTAAGGACGAACTGGTCAACTATATAGGATAAAGACCCGGAGGTACACTGTTATATCCCCCCGCCGGTAATGAACGTTTATGACGATATGTGAAATTTTTGGTATATGTAGTAAAATTATCTGTATGTGTGGGGTTGTGGCTTTCACAAATCCATTTCCCCCACCATTTCGTCCACGCTGCTGAGGTCGGCATCGCTGGAGTCTTCTGAGTCCTCCTGTTCCTGCTCGCCTCCTCCGTTGCGGATCAGGGCCGGGTCTGCGTAGTTCTTGACGTACATCTTCACCTTCTCCAAATAGAGGTTCTTATCTCTCATGTACAACGAGCTGGCATCACCATTCAATGGATCCGCCGCATTTGGATAGTTCAACAGCTGCGGCAGAAATGACTCAAAAATGTTGTACACCTCGAACATCGGCGACCAGGTCTGGTTGATCACGTCCAGACAAACTGACCCACTGCTCTCGTCAATGTTGGGGTGGAATATCTTGTTCTGGAACCCAATCGACGGCGACTTGTACGGATACTGGTCCGGCAATTCCACGTGGATCCGCCACAACCCGCCCTCGTATGGCGAGTCCTTGGGCCCTTCAAAATTCACGTAAAACTCCTGCATATTGTCATCCACAAGACTCACTTCATAATCACTCATCAGCCTATTCCGGTTAGTCCCCCCACTGCGGAATACTTACAATTTCATCACATCGCTCTCGATCCGGCGCTTAGGCGAACTGCACGTTAGTTTCCATGGACCTAACGGACTTACCTCATAATTGCTCGATAAGAAAAGGGGCGAACTTTTTTTACAACACTTATTTCCCTCTATATCACGCTATTATTGTTACATTTATTTCACACGGTACCAGTACCCCTTATTTCCCGGACCGGCCTCGTCGTTGTCCTCCATCCCGGCATCAAGGTCCTCGTCCTCCTTGATCTCGTACACAACCTTGTTGTATTTCGCGCAGTACTCCTCCAGCAGGGTGTTGTTTTGCTGTCGCAGCTGTTCGTTGGACGGGTTCAGAAATTCCTGTTCCAGCTGCTTGATTTTCGCGTCCAAATCAGCAAGCTCGCTGTCCACCTCGTTGGATGTGGGTATCGTGGCCGGTGATTCCAATCTCTCTTTCCACTTTTGTAAAACCTCCACCGCGTCCTGTCCGTAAACATCCCCAAGACTCACCCCGTCAACTTCGGAAACACCCCCACCAAGAAGCTGCATCAGAAGCTCGTTCTGTACCACATATTTAGCCGCCAGGTCGGCCTTCAAAGTAATGCTTGTCATTTCACGAAAAAAAAAGCTCAACACTTTTATTTTTCCATGCTCCCCATCGACCTCATCGCATTACCCTACCAAATCACTTTGAAGGATAACCGCTCGTTGCAAGGAACGCTTGTCGCCATCGACGACCAGCTCAACCTGCTCATGGCCAACGTTTCCGAACAAACTGGCCCCCACTCGCGCCATCTGGGCCTCGTGTCGGTGCCCAAGAAAACCATCGCCTCAATACTCGTCGACAAGTCGGAATACGCAAAGGCAAACCGCTACAGACAACAAGACTCCTGAACCATAAGCCCGTCACTGTTACTACATAGAAATTAGCAATCATTCATCGTCGCTCTCGCCATCAACGCTCGGTGCAACACTCACTCCACGCAGCGTAACATCCTCCTCCTCATACCCGCTGTTGTTCAAGGTCCAGTTCAGGTAATCTGTGTCGTTGCTCTCCTGCAAGGTGCCCAGGTCCCCGGGAGTCATGGCACCGTTCACATAGTGGTCCCGTGGAGACCCAGGAACACTCAACGGCCGCGAAATCTTGACCCCGGCAGAGTCAAACGGATTACCAGGCTGCTTGAACTGGTCAGGATACGCCCGTCTCAGCGACAGCGCGCGTGCCTTCACATACTCTAATCCCATACGCTTCCAGTCCAAAAGATCGCTCAGTCTCTCCACCCGGTTTCTCTGGTTGATTCTTTGTCTTCTTGATTTCTGCGTAAAGTCAAACATCTGCTGGCACAATTGGTCGATACTCTCATCCACGCCCTTCATTCTACGGTCAACGATGTATATTCCGTAGTCTTCAGAGTTCTCGATCAGGTCCTCCATGTAGCATCCAAATCCTGAAAGGTTGGTTGTGATCGACGGAATACCCATCACCGTACACTCGGCAGGAGTGTATCCCCATGGCTCGTAGTACGAGGGGAAAACTCCCAGGTGACACCCTCTCACAAACTCGTCATAGTCCAAAGGCAGCACAGGGTTACTCGAGTTGAGAAACTCTGGGTGGAAAATGATCTTCACCTTGTCTTGGCTGGTGTTGAACAATTGGCACGAACGGATCTGGTTCAAGATCGGATCGTTGGCATCATCCACCATGTTGTGGGTCACAATTGGCGGCAGAGAGTCTCTCTTCAACGCAAACATCCGTCTTTTCAGGTTGACTCTATCGGCAGGACGAAGAAGGTCATCCAAAGATGGCAGCTCGATCTGAGCAGAGTTCTGGGTATTATTTGGCTTTTGACAGAACTCAAACAGCCGTTTGCCCATGAGACCTTGCACGTCCTTGATGGTGCTTTCGAGCTGCTTGATGACTGCCTGACCACGCAAAGTATCGACAGTGTACGACTTGGTGGCAGCTGGCATAATGATGAAAGCAACCACATTCATGTCCGAGTTGACGGACTTGAGTTTGTGGTTCAGCCGGGCAAGGGCTTCGATGAAAAAGTCAACACCTTTGTTTCTGTACTCATATCTTCCCGCAATGAAAAAATAAAGGGTGTTTTCCAGCTTGAAATTGAGCTGTCCGTAGAAATGGCCACGAACAAACTCGTTGATTTTCTCCTTCTTCTCGGCATGCAGGTTTTGGAACTCGTGAACAGCCTGGAACTTGACCACGTTCAGTCCGTTCGGAAGAACTCCATCTGGCTTCCGTTTCAGCAAGTGCTCACTTTCGTATGCGGTAATGTGGGAAACAGTGGTGAAGACGTCTGCAGAGTGCGCAGCCGCCCTTTCAATGCAGTACCGATGATAGATGCCTCTTTTTCCAGCCTCGTAGTCGACGTCGAACTTATCCAGGTTGTTGTAAAAGTCCACACTTCCCGCACAGAGGTATCTTCCCAGCAAAGTTGCATGGGTCGTGAAGATGGTTGTGCAATCGATTTTCCGCTGTCTACAGAGCGGAATGGCCACGCCAGCAAGCCACTCATGGGCATGCAAGACGATTGCCTTTTGTGTCTCATGGCAACAAAGTTCTCCAAGGAACCAGGCAGTGAGATACCCCAGCATGACTGCATCGTTGGTTTCGATATCTCCTTCAGGAGACGGGATTCCGGCAAGCCCCCACAGGTCGGTTTTCCATTCGTTCAGATACGGAACAGCAGAGCCAATATCAAACAAAATAACTCTGGGTGCCCCCTCAATTAGCCAACGCCCATACAAATACCGAATGCCTCTTGACTGCATGGAGTCCAAAGTTGCTTTCAGTGCTTCATTTTGCACAGGCAGTTCCTCCACCTCCACAGAAGCACTGCGATGGTTCAGAGGCCCAATTAGAGTGTATCTTTCGCGATACTCCGCAACAGTGACCGGGGCTTTTGACTTGAGAACGGAGTAGATTCCCCCAACCCTATTGGCAACTTCCGTCGCCACTTCGAACAGTAAATGGTTTTCAGTTTGTCTGGACATATGCTAACAGTCTAATGCTTAGTAGTACAAGAGAATATCACCTTCTCCAACAAGAGCAATTTCGGTTGACCCAACTTATTAAAACAAACAATATAAAATTATGAGCACCACCTGTTTCCAATGTTTTTCCCTCCTCCCCACTGTGGGGGAAAAACAATAGAAGTCACCAAATTGAGAAGGGAAATATTTATTTATCATGCCATCTTATCAATGGCACACAAGTTGGCCGGCCGTGGGCGCAATGCATCGGATCTTTGCACCGGACGAGGTCGTTTAGAAGCTGCTGTTGTTCCTGGTTGGTCAGACTCTTGCCAAACCGGATTGCCTCTCGACATGCTCTTTGTTTGATTGTTTCCTGGTAAAAATCGGGCATTTGTGCGAGGCTGGTCCACCAGGTGTCCGAATCGGCAACTCCTCGCTTCCTTTTCAGATCCAAATCTTCCAGAAACCGAATTACCCCCTGCTGCACGTACTGGTCCGGTTTCTCGCCAACTAGCTGCGAAATCTGCCGAATGGTTATTCTTTGTTCCTGGATCTCAATTTTTATCCCCCATTGAAACAACTCTGCACCAAACTTTTCAAACAGTGCCAGCTCCAGCCGGTTCACCACAAACACAACATCGCACACACACACACTCATAGACGTGGTCCATTGCTTGTACAGTCGTTCCACAATTACCCGTTCGTCGCACGCATGCTGGTCCAGAGCAACAAGCACAGAATCTACTCTTGCTAGGATAAACTTGTTTTCCACCTGGCAGATCGGCCGACAGCGGATCAGACTCTCCTTTGTCAGAGATATAGAAGACACGTTTGTGAAGAACCGAGACGCACCAATCCATCTTCGCGGCCCTAAACTCTGTCGTTTGCTGCTTTCTCGATTGGTCCATTGCTTGACTAGTCTGCCAATCACGGTTCTGATCTTGTCGAACTGAACAGGCCGGTAGCACCGTTTGCGGGGACTTTGCAACAAATCAGACTCCTCCACAGAAGTCGTGATGAAAAAGATAAAGCTCGCCGACCGGTCTTTGCCAAACTGTTTGTTGACCCAGCTTAAAAGCTCTCTGTTTTCCAAAACTCGACCGTTCATCACAAGAAACTGATACCCCTGAGTGAGTGTCTTGGTAATGACACCCTCGACAACGATATTGTCCATTTCATCCTGGACGGTGAAAAACGGACCAGGGAGTCCTAGCAGCAGTTGCATCAGATCAGCCACTCCTTTAGTCCCCCCAGAGTTACAACCCTTAGAGACCAACTTGCCATTCCGTTTCAAAGTCACCGCCACGTTTGGACGACACGCCAGAACAATAAACGTCATACTGCCCAGCTTCGTGGTCATATCTCTCCATTCGGCTTTGAAATGGCGCTTTCGAACAGGAACTCGACCAAAAACATCCACAACATTGACAATCGTTCCAGAAGAAACATCAAACTGGGTCTCATTCAAATCCCCTCGACTTGTATCACCAACAAAATGCAATTTCCATGCTGTGTGGTTCTGTTTGCTAATAATCTCTGTTCGGGTACAAAGACCCATTATTGAGTGCAAGGACTCGCCCCTGGAGCCAAAACTCGAAGTTTCCACCTGTTTCGAAGACCAGTTCCTTCTTCCAAGCAGACTCAAATCGCCCTTCGACATCCCAGCGCCATCGTCCTCAACTCTCACCGATAAGCAGTCTCCATCATAATCAATGTCGATCTGCACGTTGGCAGCCCCTGAATCAACACTATTCTCCAGAAGTTCCCGAACAACATCCAAAGTGTCCACAATGACCAAGCCAGACCGAATTATGTCAGAGATCGACCCGATTCTGACATGGTTCATAAAAAAATGGCACAAATAATCGATTAATTTTTTTCTCGTACTAAAATTACATGTTTTCCGGGGAAAGCTCTTCCAACAAGGAAGATTTGCGTTCTGGCTCAATCACAGGCCGTGGAATCACAGAAATCATCCGGTACAGTTCCTCAATGGTTCCCATCAAAAGACCTTCTTCTGGACGCAAAGAACCGCACTTTCTGATAGACAGAATTCCAACAGCGTTCTCAATACGGGTGACAATATGCTCAATCAACAAAATCAAGTCGATTTCAGAGTTGGTCAGCTGGTTCATGAAAGATTCCTCTGCAGTCTCGGTCATCATATCAGTGGCTGACGCTTTGGCAGCGTTTCCAGTGCAATAACTGCACACTTTCTCCAGTCTCAGCGAAAGACGTCTCAGTTTCCAGATGCTGTCGGCAGTCAACCCTCCAACCAGCAGAGGGTTTCCGCGGTTCTCTGTTTCTCCATGTGAATTGTTGATCACATGCAACCGTTCCGCAAGATGGCTAGGGAAAATAAGCCATATTTTTTCTGGAGTTTCCAATCCTTTCAACTTTTTGGATCCAATGGACTCTTCAACCCAGCCGATCTGGTCGAGCTGGTTCATCTGGCTCTCAAGAACATTGCCCATGGTCTTGGACCCGTAGACCTCACCAATACCGCCGCTTTTAGTCTGAACTCTTTCGTGCAGGTTCTTGAGTTTGTCAAACTCATAATAAAAGTCTGTGCTCATGGCGATCTGACCACCGTCGGCCACAGAGCTCACACGAGACGCTCTGTTCACCATCGGTCCGAAATAGTCCATTCTTTTGGTCACAATGTCACGCTCACACACAGGTCTACCCCAATGAACTCCCATTCTCACAGAAAGACCTCGGAAAATGATATTATCGTTATCGTCTCTGATCTCGCATCCTTGGTCGCTGACCAAGATCTCAGACGGCCACTCGTCCGTTGTCAGCAACTGCGATTGAACAGTGAAACACCAAAGTAGAGCACTCGAAGGAGTAGGGAACGAAACCATAAACGCATCACCTTCTGTCTTCACCTCGTATCCTCCTATGATTCTGAGCTGTCTTCTCATAATGGCATTGTGAACTTTGATTGCAGAACGCATGGCAATCGGATACGTATCCCATAGCAAGGTGGAGTTCTTGATATCTGTGAAAACCATGGCCAGTTCTCCTGTTGGTGGTTCAATTTCTTCGTCCAGTTTCCGCAAGAGCGAGTCTTCAGGCAAAGAACCCCGCTCATGGTATTTTTGCTTGGTGGAGAACTGTCTTAGCGACAAAACCACAGCCGTGGCTTTGTCTCTGGATCCATAGGAAATGGCAAAGTCTCTCAATTTCTCGGCAGCAATTCCTGGATTGCTCTTCTCCTGACGGATGATATCAGCTGCCAGGTCGTATGGAACCTTTTTCCAGATCTCCGACGTCGCAATCGCAATCATCTGCTCGTTCTGAGTGAGCTTGTATTTGGAAATACTTGGAACAGCGTTGATATGAGGAATCAGTTTGAAATATCCAACTGCACGAGAAACATCACTTACACCGTCAAGAAAACCGTCTGTGGTCACAAATCCTCCAGATTCACGGATTCTTGCGTACTCCTCAGGAGCATACGGTTCGTGCTTGCTTGTCAAAACGGTATATTGACCGTCAGACTTTGTCAGAATACCCATAATGTCTCCAATATTGGCAACATACAGCTCGTCCCCACGAATGTAAATGATGGTGGCACAACACCCGGTCAATCCATCTTTCTCCATGGTCAGTTCGTCAGTTGTTGTTGTACGATGGGCAGCGGCAGAACTAAAGGTGGAAGACTTATCCTTGTTGATGAGAATACTCATTTCCGAGTTCATGGTAAGAAAAGCGGCTCTCAAAGCGTCTTCAACAGGTTTGTCTGATTCGACCGTCTCGAGCTCTTTGGCCAGATGCGATTCGAAAGTCTCTTGAATAATCTTGGAAATTTTATCACCGGTTTCGTCACTGCAGTTTTTTCCGTCATAAATGGTGATGAGCTTCTCGTTGGAGTTTCCACGGAATCTTTCAATGACAACGTCTCTAGTGGTCAAACTTGACTTTTCTCCAAGCGTGTCCGAGATACCATAACCGTATTTGCCTAACTGAGAGACAGTAGAACGTACACGGACATCAACGCTTTGATCTGGAACTAAGTCAGTGGTGATAGTAACATCCATCAGACCCAGCAACTTGATATCCTTGAGCACCAAGAACGAGTCCAAACTGTCCTCCATGCCCTCACGTTTGTGCAATGGCTTGATTTCGAGTCTCTTGTTTCCTGAGAAGTTAAGGTACTTGAGTTTCGGGTTGTAGCTCCAGTTCCAATCGTACGGGATATTTCCAATGTTGTACTTGAGGTTGTTCGATCCAACGTCGAGGGCCGTCATATTAGGAATCTTGGAAAGTTCAGCCGGCAAAGTATGGAATCTGTTGCCGTTGAGATGAAGTGTCTCCATCTGAGTGAAAGCTTCGAAATCTTCCACCGGTAAACTCGAAAGATGGTTACCGCTGAGGTACAGCTTTTTCAGTTTCGTCAAGTTGTTGAGATGGCCAGCAGGAATGTCAATCAGCTCGTTGTATGACATGTTGAGAATCGTTAAATTTTTGAACATTGAAACGGTTGGAATAGCAGAGTCGGTGAACTTGTTATCGTTCAAACTGAGCACTTTCAGAGACTTTTCCAAGCCCAAGCTTTCCCAATTGTTGACCGTCATTGTGGAGATCTCCGAAACACGTCTATTTGGACGGTCAGAAGCCATAGCTGTTGGGTTTCTTGTTCTCTGGGTGTTTGTTCTCGTCAGAGAAGACAGACCATCGAACATTCCAGACTGATCAGGAGGGTCAGGGAAGAACTCCAAAAGATTCGAAGAAATGTTGAAGTATTCCAATGACGATAGATACCATATTTCTGGGGTCAGAAAACTGATGTTGTTCAGATGCAGATCGAGATATTTCAACTTGGTTAACGAGCCAATACCACTTGGAAGCGATGTCAAGTTGTTGCGGAAAACAGAAAGATACGACAGATTCTTCATTTGAGAAATGTCGTCTGGCAAAGACACCAGATGGTTGTAATCTAAAATGAGTCTCTCCACAGCAGGAAGCATGGAGACAAACATACACGAAGTGATTTTATCTTTGGAAAAGTCCACAACCTTCAATTTAGGCATCACCTGGTCGAATTTGACCAGAGTCACCGGGTTTATGTTGAGCTCAACGTTGGTCAGATTGATAGCGTTTGTGCGGAAAACAGAAATGTTGTTACCGGTACCACGAATCACTTCCAAGGAAGGAAGATTCTTGAGCGAGTCAATCGAGTCGAACTTGTTGAACCGGATATCAATGCTGACCAGAGAGTCAAGCTGGCTGAAGAAGTATGGAAGGTCCTTGGAAAGCCGGTTAGCAGCTAGCTGGAGATCTTCCAAGTTTGTCAGATTGGACAACGATTCAGAAATCGTGGAGATGTTATTGTATGACAAGTCCAGACGTTTGAGTCCTTTGATCTTTGTGATTGGTTCTGGTATGTTTTTGATGCGATTTGATGATAAATTTAGACTTTTCAGGCTTTGCAGCTCAGAGAAGTATGAAGGCAGCGTGGAGATCCGATTACAAGCCAAATTCAACGTGGTCAAAGAAGTCATCTGTGAGATCTCTGGCGGAATCAGCTTGATATAGTTGACTTCCAAGTCAAGCTCTTCCAGGCGGGGTGCGTACACCACCGATGTGGGGAACTTGGGATTACCGTTTCTGGTGAAGCTCAGGTTCACCAGGTTGCGACAATCATGCATGAACTCCTTGGTGAACTCGAACGACGGGTTCTGTGACACGTTCAAAGAGACGATTGGCTCTGCGTACAGGAAGTTCGGGATATCTTGCAAGTTCCAGTTGTCCAGGTCAACGTGCTGCGGATCGATCATTTGCCGTCTCTCGTCGCTGATCAGCTCGACTCCACGGTCTTGAACAACAAACTTGAACAGAAAACTCAAGTCGGTACGCTCGATATAGTCCAAGTTGTCCCGTTGGTTGTATCCGTACAAGAACAGCATTGTTCTTTGGATTTTTAATGGCTTCTCGTCCATAGACAGCGTCCGAATAAGACCTCCACACTTGAGCACAATGATATGGTCGTCGTCATTCTTCAAGAACCGTTTTCTGTGAAGCGAATCCAACACGTCTTTACACGTAGTGTCTAGAGTGCATGGTAGCACCGAACTTTTTTCTCCGATGAAAATACGAACTGAAGAACGAGCTGCTCCCTTCAGTTCCTTTGGATGGTAAGCCACGCGAGGATGTTCGTCCGACAACGAGCTCTTGCTGTCCTTCTTATCTCCCGGAGTATATAATTGCAACTCTGACCGCGGACTCGAAGTGGACGGTGGAGTCATTGTGTTCGCCTTTCTTGGACCGTGGTCGATCGACTTGGTGGACGAGATGGTCGACCCGGACGACACAGACTTGGAGCGTTCGTGGAGCTCGACGTGGCGGGCCATTGGGTCGGAGTTTTCGCGCGCGGTCTTGACTTTCCAACTTTCTGGCGGTCTCCATCCCGCGCGCTCGGTGGACGGCTGCGGAAGCATGCTTATTGCGGAGCCCATCCGGGACATCTCTGAGTTGGACGCACGTGTGATGTTTGTCATCTGCTCGTTATCTGTATCAAGGTCGAGTCCGAATGGAGAATGCTTGTACTGGCTCTCCAAGCTGGTGAGCTGCAATGTTTGCGGCAGAGGAATGGACGGCTGGCGCTGGGTGCGAGGAATTGGGCCTTTGAAGCGGGAAGCTAGCGAAACCGACTCCTTGGACTCGGACCTTTTCTCAGGTATGCTCGACGAGGCGCTTTCCCTGGACGACGGGTCTGACTTCCGAGAAAATCGGCTTGAGGTGCTGCCGTGGTGTTTAGCCTTTGCAGGCTCCGACTCGCGTCTGGACGGCAGGAATCTGTGGAGCAATGAGGAGCCTCTTTTGGACTTTTTGGGCTTGATGGGCGCGGCCAGCGGCGGAACAGGCTTGTCACTGACGTTTCGTCGAGCATGGAAGCCCGAGTACGTTGACGGAACACCAAAGCTCAGCAAGGAGTGCCTATCGGAAGAGTCTTGACGAGACTCCGCAGGACTGTCCTCTGGCACGGCAAACGTCTTGGGCACGTTGTTATGGTCAGCATTGAGGGCCGTAGACGACGTGGAGGGAGAAACGGGTTTGGCAAGCACTATACGGGAAGAATGCCTGGAGGAGTTTGGAGAAGCCAAGGGGCTGGACTCTTGCGAATGGTTTTTGCGGAGCGGCTGCGAAGACAAGCGGTCGGTTGTGGGAGAGGACCCAAATCCTTCCACGGTGTACTTGGAGTTGAATTGCGGAATAGCATGGTTTGTAGGGAAATCATCGTCGTGGTTCAAAGCACGGTGTTTATTGGATATCCCTGCCATTTTGTTGGCAAAATTGACATGCAAATGGGGATTCCGCGGCTAAATGTTTGGAAGTAACAGCAAATGTCACAACCAAGATAATTTTCGAGTCTTTCACAATTGATTTTCGTCTGTAAAGTTACCAAGACAGCAATTTCCGCTTTATTTAGAAAAAAATAGTGTAAATTTGGGTTTTTGGAAGGAAAATTAAGAAAAAAGTCGCGTGATTAAAAATCACATGGTCAAGAAATGTTTTCTTCCGTCGCTTATCGGGAAAAATCAATATACAAAATAATTTACTGGCTAGTTACCTTTTGACGATGGATACCCAATGTTAGGTAATCTGTTGAGAAAAAAAGACGCGTTGTCTCAGGACAGCGTTTCGGATCCCCAGATCCCCCCGCCGGTCTATTCCACCGCCAACGATACCCATTACAGCGGGTCCCAGTTGTATGGTCCAGGGAACAATGTCCCCACTGCGAATTTTAGACTGTCGGATAAATCCAGTTTATGTCGGCTAGTTTTGGTGCAGGATTCGGGCATCCGGTCCAAGCAGGTTCTGTTCGACTCTGCGCTGAGCGTTAGACCCGGAGTCGCCGATACAAATCCTCCGATGTTTCTGAACAAGTCATTCCATCATTCTGTTAGCGAGCTTTCTGCGTTGATGTACGGGTATTATGGAATTCTGCTGAACGATACGGTTTCCACCACAAAACTGCACCATCTGCCCCCGTTGTCGGCGATGCCGGGATCCATGCTGATCACAAGACTGTTTTCCCTGGACTCGTCCTTTGAGATGTGTCACAACGACCAGTCAGACCCGGACTGGAGCCCCCTGCCCTGTGTTTATACAGAAGACGTCCCGGTCAAAGACATGACCACCACGAGGCTTGCGTTTGGTCTCGTGATACCCATCGGGAGAAGCTCCAACGCTCACGAAATAATCACCGATCATTGGCCACAGATCTCGGGACATCTCGAAACAGTGCAGAAAATCATCATCTCGCGCTTAAAAGCAATACATTCTCTCCAACAACCACAAGATTCAGTCAAACTCAGTTTCCCCACAGGATGTCTTCAAAAAGAGCCCGATCTCGTGCATTGTCTGCACCAGTTTGTGCGCTCTCTAATTTATTTAATAGAAACCCCAAGACTATACATTCCTTTGAGACACAGCGACTACACGTTATCGAACTGGGCAAACACCGTGGCAACATGGCTAGAACTGAAAGATGGCCGTCATCCAACAGTCACCACTTCTTCATCGCCAACTTCACCTATGCAACCAAACCCTTCCATGGTTGGCTTCAAGTTCCTGGCTACTCTGTTGACATTTGTGCTTCCGTACAGAAAAGAGATTGTCAGCTGGCCTTCTTCAGACAACAAAACGGGTATCAGGGTGGTCCTGGTGACAGGAAACCCTGTGATATCCCAGAAACTGATTCTGATCATTGCTGGTATTCTTGGCTATGACGAGTACTTGGCTCCTCAGAATCTGTCCAAATCTGTTTCCGAGACCAGCGAAGTCCCGCAGCCAGCCACTGCGTCAAAACCTATTCCTATTCGAAATCGAAGCTTCCAGGAAGACTCGAGCTCTGCGTCGACGTCTCCAGAGATCACCAGCTCAGGTTCCACCAAGGGCTGGGAAATCCCAACGAAAGCCACGCCCATCATCTCTGGCTCGCCCAAATTCATGGAAATTGCCCGCCCTGAACGCCCGCCCATGTCGCAAATCCACAGAACCTCGTCGTACGCGTCGCTCCAGAACCTTTCCACGTCGTACGGCTCGCAATCAACCACGGTGTCGTCCTCGTGGAGAAATAGGTTCTACTTCGGTTCGTTCATGGAGCGTTGGCGAGGTGGCTCCGAAAACCCGGAGTTGACACACTCGCCCGCCGCAGAGTACGAGGAGTACCCGTGGAAACCGCTGTCGTCGAGCCACAAGGTTTCAAAACTATCTCGAAGTCTTGCTTCGCTGGACATGGGCAACGAAAAACCGGTTTCAAGAAACACCCGACAGATATACGGCTCCGACGCCCACGTGAAGACGGTCAAGGCGATCATGTCCAGCACCGTGGAAGCAGAGTCTCCAGAGGAGAAAGTACTAGACGTGGCATTGAATCCGCAACAATCGATCAAACCAACACTATTGCCAATGATGACCGGGTTCATCGACCAGTACCGACGCGAATTCTCGTTGCAGTCGTGTCCGACAAACTTCAATCTGGAAGAGCAGATCGCCATGTCGATGAAAGACGACTGCTTGAAAATGGGGCCTGGGTCGTGTTGCAAAACGTTTGTGATCAACTTGAAACAACGTGAAATCAGGCTGGTGGAGACAAAATACCAGCTTAACGAAGACTGCGACCAAGCGCAGTACCCAAGACCGCTGGTCACCAAACTGTTTTCTCCCTACAAGAGAGACTTACCGGAGAAGTTCTCTCAAAAAGTCGAAAGATGCGATACCATTTTGAATAAGATAGCATATCTGGTAAAGGACCGCAACCAGAACGACCAGATCCGCTCTTTGATCAAATCACTCATTAATTGATTGTCTATATACATACTATCAGTCTTTGCGCAAAAACGACTGATAAGCGTCTGTGGAGATGTTGACCTGGCCAACAGACTTGAGAGCTTTCTTACCCTCTTTCTGTCTGACCAGCAGTTTTTTCCGCCGCGTGATGTCTGCAGCATGCAATTTTGCCAGCACGTCCTTTCTACGAGCCTTGATGGTTTCGCGCGCAATGATCTTGTTGTTGGCCTTTGCCTGGATGACCACCTCGAACTGCTGGATTTTGAGAAACTCCTTGAGTCTCACAACCGCTTTTCTAGCGGTCTTTTCGATCTGACTGCGGTGCATCACCGTCGATAGGGCGTCCACGCCGTGGCCGTTCACCAGCAGTTCCAGCTTGTGGATGTCCGAGGGCCTGTATCCGTGGTCCTCGTAGTCCAACGAGGCATATCCTCTGGTTGCACTTTTCAGCTTGCCAAAGAAATCGTCAATCAACTGCGAAGTTGGTAGCAGATACTTGATCAACGTCTGGCCAGACGATAAGTACTGCAGATCCACCTGTTCGCCACGGTGACTGTCGCACAACGACATCACTGTTCCGGTATACTCCCCGGGGAACGTCATCAATGCCTCCACATACGGCTCGCTGAAAAACTTGATCTTTTGCTTCTGCACTCCGTCGGGGAACTCGTCTGGATTGCTCACTATTTTCTCTGTACCGTCCGAATAATGAACTTTGTATGGAACTGTTGGCGACGTGATGATAAGGTTCTTGCCGTGCTCCGACTCGAGCCGGTCTTTAAAGATAGAGGCGTGTAGTGAGCCCAGAAAACCAAGTCTCCAGCCCTGTCCAAGAGCGTTCGAGGTTGCTCGTTGAATAGTCACTGAACGGTCGTTCAAAAACAAATGCTGTAGACTCTCCTCGATCTTCTTGAAGTCCGAACCGTCTGCTGGAAACGCTCCCACGAAAACCATTGGCTTTGGCTCCTCAAACCCTTCCAAGGGCTCCGCTCCCGACCCGGCCAAAATCAACGTATCTCCAACAAATGCCTCGTTGGGGTCCTTGAACCCGGGAATGATGTACGCAACCTGGCCAGCAACAAGCTGTGGCATGGGTGTCCGCTCTGGATACATGATTCCAACCTCCTTCACCTCGTATTTGGTCCGTGTCCGACAACTCTCGATCTTGGTTCCTTTCTTAATGGTGCCGTCCACCATGTTAACCAGCAAAATCACGCCAACGTACGGGTCGTACCAGGAATCGACGATCTGCGCACGCAACGACGCGCTGGAATCGCAGTGCATCGGCGGGTCGATCTTCTCAATGATCGACGGTAGCAGGTACTCCACGTTGAGCCCCGTTTTCGCGCTCACGTGCACGACGTCACGTGCCGGGAGCTCGAACGTGGACTCGATCTGTTCCTCGGCGCGCGGCACGTTCGCGGTGTCCAGATCGATCTTGTTAATCACAGGCAGCAGCTTGAGGTCCATGGAGTAGGCGAGGTAGAAGTTTGCCACCGTTTGTGCCTTAATACCCTCAGAAGCGTCAACTAGCAGTAAAGCGCCCTGACACGAAGCATACGACCGCGAAACTTCCAATCTGAAATCCACGTGGCCTGGAGAGTCAACGAGATGGAACAAATAGTCCTCGCCCTTGTAATGGTACATCATCGAGACTGTCTGTGCTTTGACGGTGATTCCTCGTTCTTTCTCAACGTCGAGTTTGTCTAGCACCTGTTTGTTCTGGCTGTTAGGGTCGACCACGCCGGTGATCTCCAGCAGTCTATCGCTTAAAGTGGACTTGCCATGGTCAACATGGGCCACAATGATGAAGTTTCTATAATTTTTCAGCGGGATTTTGGCCATTCTCTCGGCGAGTTGGTCCTTTGGCACGCGGATCGGGTTGTTCACCTTGTCCAGCTGGTAATCCAGGTACTCGCGCGTGCTACTGAGCGGTCTAATCGGACGCCAGAACCGGGTCTGGCGCGGGACTAGTCGTCGAAACATACTTTATATTGACACTATATTAAATTTTTCAGAGTCCCGAGACCTAGCTGTGCTGACGTCAGCAGAGGTTAGGAATGCTTAAGAATTACAATCACAGAGTCTCCTCGAAGAAACATCTTGGAAACGAAGCGCTCTCTTGTGGTTTTCTTGTTTCTGTCCTCTGGGTTGGACTCTGTCCAGATTTCCTTGACGTTTTCCAGAATCATGTTGCAATGACGGTCAAAGGCCTTAACTTTGGATATGAGCTTGTGGTTGTTTCTAAGCGAGATCAGAACGGTGGCGTTGTTCTGGATGGCGTTCGTGAGCAATCGGAGCGGCCCGTTGTTGAACTCGTAGTCTTCCAGATCCTGGAGATCTTTTTCGGACAGCTCTGCGCGCGGTTTGTTGAGCAGTTCCGACATGTCTTTTTAAAATGTTTTCCTTTAATTATTTATTTCTCTAATCCTTACACCGTGCGTGATGCTAAGGCGACTGATTGCGAGAAGAGGGCTTTGTTTTACCAGGCCCGTGCGCAAGAACTACTTCTTCTACGGCAACACGTTCAACAACAGCAATGAGGACTCGCAGGCCACTGCTGGGCCCAATATTGTCGACATTATTAACGAGATTAACGACGACAAGAACTTCAAGTTTGACCTTCACAAGCCGGAAAAGAACACCGAGTCGGCGGCGCGGTTGGACAAGCAGATATCTATTTTCGACGGAACCGACCTCTCGGAGGCCAAGCCGGTTCCCGAGGAGGACGACCTAAAGGTGGAGACTTTTATGGACACAAATAAGGTCTGGAAACAGCTTCATGCCAGCGGGTTTTCGGAGGAAGAGAGCACCATTCTTCTGGACCTGATCCGAGCGGTATTGAAACAGAAACTCACGTGGTTGAACCAGAAATTTGTGCCCTTGGTCGACATCGAGAACGAGGCTTATTTATTCGAGGCAGCACATAGCGAGCTGCTAGTGGAAACACGCAGCTACCGCGAAACGTCGCTCACAGACCTAACGAGCTCGTCGATTGGTCTCAGGCGAGTATTCAACATGTTGCAGGACGAAACAACCTCAAAATTACAGCTCAACGATAACTCGATTAAAATGATTCTTACTCAATTTAAGCACGAGAACAACCTGCAACAGAAACGTCTCAACATCCGCAACCAGGACCTCAAGAACAAGATCATTTCAGAGCTCATTTCGGGACTCCGTTCCGAGGTCGAAACCATCAGATGGGCGCTTACTCGGTCCGGTATTGCAGCTATCTTAATTATGGCTGTTGCCATCATGGCCAGCTGGAACTTCACCAAGAACCTCAAACTGGGGCCTGAGGAAGTTTTGGTGGACGGGCCTACATTACGCCAAATCGCAGAGCCGGCCGATGAGGAAAGCCACGATTACGAAGCAGACTGGGACGAAAGAGTGAAAGTCCAGTAAATGGCTATAACTTATGTTTGCGTTTGCCGGCGACGATCTCGTCGAACGCCAGCTGCGGCTTGTTGGCCGTCCAGTCTTCGACTCCCGACATGGTTTCCTGAAGAGCGTGTTTTCTGACGAGTTCGTCGAACGGCTTCCGCATGAGCTTTTTATTTTTCAGGATGCTGTCTCTATCGAGTCCTTCGAGCTCTGCGCCGAGTTTTTCCACTAAATGCGTGTTGAACTTGTCGTACGAGTCGAAATCGTATATCTTATTGATGAGTCCCAGTCGATACAGCTCGGATGCTGGCACGGGTTTGGAAAATAGCACGTGTTCCAAGGAAACACTGAGTCCGAGTCTTTTCGGCAAGGAAACGGCAGCGGCACACTCGGTGGTGAGTCCGATGTTTGTGAACGGGAACGACATGCCGACACGGTCATTCTGGGCGTATATGAGATCGCAAAGCGCCACCAACGACGCTGTGAGTCCAACAACCGGGCCGTTCAGACCAACAGCAAGGATTTTGGAATGCGACGTGAAAAGATGCACAAGATATAGGTTTTTGGCACTGACTTCCGACAGTATCTCATTGCTGGACTTGTTTTTAAGTTTGGCGACTGTTTTGATGTTGGCTCCTGCGGAAAACATTGGTCCCTTGGCGACCAGAAGAGTTACCAGGGTGGACGGGTGATTATCTGCCTGGCAGAGCAGGTCTGCCAGTTGTACGAATTGCGGGATGGTGAGGGCGTTTCGTGCCTGAGGATCGTTTAGCGTGATCACAAAGACCTTTCCAATTATTTGGTGTTCGAGAGGCATTTGGGATGATTGCACTGGTTAGCAAGACATTTTAAACCAGACAGAAGCAAAAATGTGGGGTAGAAAAAAACATGTGATTAACAAATTTTACCACGACATGCCCGGTGTTTGGTGGATGACCAGGACAATGTGTCAGAACGCCGTGGTTGTCCAGCCGACCGATTTTGGAGCGATAAGCACCATCAGATGGCGGCAAAGATACGTGTATGGAATTCTCGCCGACACTTTCCGTTAAATATTTTTCGCTAACGATTTCCGTGGAAAGTTATAGTATCTAGGACACTTATATAAAGCTGAGCTGATCCGGCTCGAAACACAGATTTCTATAATCATGCGGTCTTTATTTGTTCTTCAGAGACGAACTGTTGCTCAATTGGCGCATTTCCAGCCTCCGAAGCACGTGAAAAACGAGGCAGTCAAGGCCTTTGGCAAGGCTGACCAGTTGGACTGGGACCTGTTGAAAAGCGAGCTGTTTTCGCTGTCAGACACGGCCACCAAGGTTCCGCTGGTGATTGGCGACAAGGAGTTCTACGACAGAGATCTGGCCAAACAAACGAACCCGGGAAACCACCAGCAGGTGATTGCAGAGTACGCTTTGGCCAACGAGAAAGACGTCAAATCGGCGATCGAGGCTGCTCAGTCTGCCAAGAAGGACTGGATCAACGCATCTTTCGACGACAGAGCGGCCATTTTCTACAAGGCGGCCGATCTGATCTCGACAAAGTACAGATACCGCATTTTGGCAGCCACCATGCTCGGCCAGGGAAAAAACGTTTACCAGGCGGAAATCGATGCTGTTGCAGAATTGGCCGACTTTTTGCGTTTCAACGTCAAATACGCTCACCAATTGTACAACACACAGCCGCCAGAGTCCACCGACGGTGTTTGGAACCGGGTCGAGTATAGACCGTTGGAAGGATTTGTTTATGCTGTGACTCCGTTCAATTTCACAGCCATTGCCGGAAACCTGGTGGGGGCTCCAGCTTTGATGGGTAACACGGTTGTCTGGAAACCATCCCAGTACGCCATCTTGTCCAACTACACGCTTATGCAAATCTTCAAAGAAGCAGGACTCCCTGACGGAGTGATCAACTTCATTCCTGGCGACCCGGTGAAAATCACCTCTGGTGTACTTTCCGACCCAAACTTCAACGCTTTGCATTTCACAGGGTCCACCAAGGTTTTCGGCGATCTGTGGGCCAACATCGCCAACAACACAGCCAGCGGAAAGTACAAGGACTTCCCAAGAATCGTTGGAGAAACAGGCGGAAAGAACTTCCATTTGGTGGACAAGTCTGCCAACATCCAGCACTCTGTTCTGTCCACTATCCGTGGAGCTTTCGAGTACCAGGGCCAGAAATGCTCTGCAACCTCGAGATTGTACGTGGACGCCAAGGTGTGGCCCGAGTTCAAGAAACAGCTTGTTGAAAAGACCAATGACATCGTGCCAACTAATACCTCTGCTACCAACGGTCTGCACCAGTTCATGGGTCCTGTGATCCACGAGAATTCGTATAAGAAATTGAGCACCGCCATTGACCAGATCGAGGTCGATCCAGAGCTCACTTTGCTTGCCGGTGGTCTCCACAACGACTCCGAAGGCTACTTCGTCAAGCCTACTGTTGTCGAGACTAAAAATGCTACCCATCCGTTCATGAGCACCGAATTCTTTGGTCCTCTGTTGACGGTGTACGTTTACGAGGACCTGGACCAGGTTCTGCAACAGATCGACTCCACCACCAAGTACGGACTCACGGGTTCCGTTTTTGCTTCCGACCGCAAAATCATCAGAAAAGTCCAGGAACAACTCAGATACAGTGCTGGAAACTTTTACATCAACGACAAGTCCACCGGCGCAGTTGTTGGACAGCAGCCTTTTGGCGGTAGCAGAATGTCTGGAACCAACGACAAGGCTGGCTCGGCGTCGATTCTGTCGCGGTTCGTGACTCCGCGCGCCATCAAGGAGAACTTCTACGAGATCAGCGATTACAAATATCCAAGTAATTATCAATAAGTATCGTTAATATGAAAAGGTGCATTAAAATCTGAGAAACTTGCGGAATATGCCTTTCTTTTCTGGCTCGTGTGCCAAAGGTGGAGGATGCTCGTTTTTCGTTTCCTGCGGTTGCTCTGGCTGTTTTCGAGCCGGTGGGGGCTGCTTTGCTGGTTGTGTAGGCTTTGGTTCCGGCTGATCGCGCTTTTGGACACTCATACGTCTGTTGTACTGGTCCACGATGCTATTAGACTTTGTGCAGGCGGACGGCGTGGCCATTCCGGTTTCTGGGTTAATTGCAGACAACGACAGTTTGTGAGCAGACCCAACGCTGCCGACCGGACTGACAACCTTCGAAATGGAGCCAAACGGAGAGTGTCCGCTGCTGTTGGACATGATCTTGACAGGCTGGGTGGATGTGTCGTCGCCGAGCAGCGACTTGACTTTTGTGGCCGGAGTCTCTGTGGTTGCAAACCCCTGATCTTCAATGAAGGGCAGATCGTTGAGTTTGTCAAATAATAATGAATGCGACGTCTCGTTTGTCTTTAGTTTCCGGAAACTGTTGAGCGAGTCGACCGATGCATTTGAGGAAGAGCTGGATGAGATTGCCGACGAGGACCGGGCCTCGGGTCTTTTCACGTAGTCGAACGGATCAGCCAATGTCTTTGGTGGGGCTTCCTGCTCATCTGCTTCATCGATGGTAACAAACGGGATGTGTCTCTGTTCAGAAAACGGGTGTTTGAACCTGATCTCCGATGGTGAGTCTATCATGACCGATCTTTGCTCGTCGTAGTCGACGTTGACGTAGATCAACGGAACAAACGTCTTCGAGCTTAAAACAGAGCCAGATCTTCTTTTCGGATAATTCGACCCCACCAAAATGGCAGTTGGATTGTAAAGGTCCAGGATGTCTCTGAGATAGTCCACGTTCCTAAAGAACTCAAAGTTGATCTGAACCTTCAAATCGGCGTCGAACTTGTAGAACTTGGCAAGAATCATATCCATCAGTTCGGGCAAGTACTCGTTCTTATCTTTTTCGTCATTAATAGAGCAACAAATCACCACTGTGTCGCCGTTGCTGGATTTGGTGTCAAGATAGTAATCAACCGCACCAAGCGACGACTCCTTGCTGGAAATCAGAACCAGATAGAACTTGCCGTTGCTGATCTTCTGCGACCATTGTGGGTGCTGGAAGCTGAAACATAGTGAGTTTGCTCTTATCAAAGGTTTTGTGGGGTAATCTGTAGATTGTTTGCGATACGTCCTGCGGGCAAGTTTGGATGAACTGAATGGGTCCACTGCAATAGAGTACTCGTTTTCGAACCGAAAGTCGTCCATATTGATCTTTCTGGTGGCAAACTGAGAGTCCAGTTGTAATATCTCCTCATCTGTCATCTCCACCAAACTTTTTTTCCGATATCTGTCACCACCCCCACCCAATCCGACCTGGTTCTTATTCTTCAGAATCGGTTTGGGCTTGCTTACCGTCTCGTGTGGATCGTTTGCCTCTGCATCTTCATCTATCACTTGCACATCAAAATCATTAAAAGACACTCGTCTTCGATAATATCCTGTACACATGGCAAAATCTTTAAAATTTAGGCTAGTTCAAATATATATATCAACTGGGCACGGCAAGGGCAATCATAATCAAAGAAAAAATGACATGATTGGCCGCAATTTCAATCATGTCACTCTTGGCACTACTATTGAGGGGTGAACATTGAATTCCGCTGTTCCATACTATGCATGTCGGCTTAGCTGAAACCAAAATTATTAGCAGATTTTTCTCTGTACACCCTAATTAATTCGAGCCGCAACCTTAATTAGGACCCTGGCCACAATTGTCTGCATTATAATAACTCTATATTTCTAAGCCTCACCTTTGACAACCTTTTCGCCGCTACGAGCAATGAATTGCAGCTTGCCGTCCTTGGTGATGTTGGCAATCACCTCCACAGAGCTGCCCTTGCCAACTCCTCTGAGTGCCATTTCTGCCAAAAGTTGGCCCGGCACGTAATGCACGGTCTTGACAATTTCTGGCTCCTCTTCCTCGCTGTCCTCGTCGTCAGAGAACTTTTCTGCCTCGATCACGGTTTCCTTCACCTTGCGTTCTCCCTCGTAGAATTCGATAAAAACGTCATCTGCACCAGCTTCCAAAGTGACGCTCTTTCTGATTGGGTAAGCAGTTTCTCTGGAAATTAGAGTCAGGAACTCGCCGTCGCCGGTCTTGATACCAATAGGCTTGGCAATGTGTTGTGTGTTGGTCACCACGGGCTGCGTAGACTCCTCGATCTCCTCGGCGTCGAAACCAGCGTCGATGGAAGCCTGCAATGCAGCACCTCTGCAGATCAACTCGTTAGGGTTGGTCAACTTGGAGTCAACGCTTGGAGCGTTCACCACAGTGGTTTCTGGGAAAACAGCAGCAATGTTGGCAGCAACCTTTGGAATGTTGGAGGTGCCTCCAACAAGCAGAACCTCGTCAATGTCCAAAGTCTCCAAGCCAGCCTTGGCAACCACAGATTCCACGAAACTCGACATTCTGGTGAAAACCGCGCGACCAGACACCTCGAAACGCAATCTGTTGATTGTGGAGTGGAAATCGTATCCCTCGGCAAGAGAGTCGATCGAAATAGTGGATGTTTGAACGTTGGAAAGAGTCTTCTTGGTGATCACACAGGCGCTCTTCAACTTGGCCAGGGATCTGGCGTTCGAGGTTGGGTCCACCTTGTATTTTTTCTGGAACTCCTTGGAGAAGAACTCAACAAGAGCGTCGTCCAGCTTGTCTCCGCCCAAGTCGTAATCGTGAGCAGTAGCAAGAACGGTCAAAATACCTCCTCTGACAGCAATAACGGCGGCATCAGAACGGATTCCTCCGAAATCAGCAACAACAAACAACTTGTCCTCGTTCAAAGTGTTCTTGGCGACAAGATGCGACAAAAGAGCAGCAGTTGGCTCGTTGATCAGTTGCAAAACGTTGATACCGGCTTCAGCAGCAATCTTCTTCAAGTCGGCCTTCTGCGCATCGGTGAAGTTGGTAGGAACGGCGATCACAGCACCCTCAACTTTCTGTCCAATGTAGTCCTCAGCAGCAGCCTTGATTTGCTTCAAGTGTCTAGCGGCGATCTCATCAACAGAGATCGGCTTGTCATTGATGGAGTAGCCAACCTTTCCGTTGACCTCGATCGGATGAGCAGAGTTCTGCGAGTAAGTTGGGTCGATCTTGTCGAAACTCAGACCAATGAAGTCTCTAAAGTTGACCACAGTGGAGTTTGGGTTTCTAACAAGCTGAGCTTGGGCTTGGGCACCGTGGTACTCGTCGTCTCCCACGTACGAAAGAGACGAGGCGATGAACCGGTCACCGTCCGGGTTGGCAATGACGTCAACCTTGCCGTCGTTGGCAATAGCAATCGACGAGGTGGAGTTACCAAATGCAATTCCAATAGAAGCCATAGTGCAATTGTATGAAAATTATGAACAAAACCGGAGGTTTTTTTATGAAAATAAAATTTTATTGAGTCTTGCACGTTCGTGCTAGTAGCTAAAGAAGAAGCAATGAGAACAAACCGGTCGTCTATTGCGTCTACTCAAATAGGAAACAATGAAGCGTAAACACCAGTCCCAACAGACTGACCACGGTCGAGAGACTAGAGTCTGGGAACGAGCCCGCGCCGTTCAAGAACGTGGCATTTCTCGCCAGAGTGAATGTGCTATTCGTGCTCGTCGCGGTAGCAGACTCGTTTCTGCCGGTTGGAGTGGCAGTTGGTCGACTCACAGACACATAGCTTGTGGTTGGCACCGTGAAGCTCAGGTCTCCCGTGTAGTATACCTCTGTTGGCTCCACATAGTCACGTTTTGCCAGTGTAGGAAGAGCAGGAAGAGACGGCAGCGCAGGACAGTCCACTCCCAAACGTCCCAGAACGGAACAGAATCTGGACGTGAACTCGTTCAGGAGCGTCACCGTCGAAGTGACCGTCACACTTCCGGATCCCGTCATGGTGGTCGTAGTAGTAGCCGTGGTGGTTGTGGTGTCTGTTTTCGTGGACGTGGAGAGCTGTGTGGTTGTATCCGTTTTTGTTCTATCTTTGGTGGTCGTGGTGGTGGTTGTTTCTGTGTCCGTCTCTGTATCTGTCTCTGTGTCGTAATCCGTGATCGTCTTCTTGGCAACAGTCTTGGTGGTGGATTTGATGTCCAGCTCCGTCTCCGTCACCGTTTGCACATCCAAACACGTCTTCGTAGTCACGTCGTACTCCGTGTCGGTGACGTACTGGTAGTCCGTGGTGGTGAGCTTTTCCCATTTGTACTTGGTCAGGAACTCGTAGATGGTCGTGGGTCTCAACGTGACTTTGTAAACGGTCGTGGTGTCTGTGTCGGTCTCTGTTGCGTAGTCGGTCTCTGTTCTGGTCTTGAACTTCTTCTTCACCTCGGTGGTGGTCACCTCCACCGTCGTTGGAGACGCACTTGTGGTCTCGTCGTCGCAGTCGTCGTCGTCTCCTTTGAACTTGCCAACTTTGTCTTTAATGGCGTCCAGAATCCCTTGGTCGGTAACATCAGCGTTGGAAGCTGCAACCGACTGGTTCACAGCAGCCGGCTGGATCTTCTTTTCTGGCGCGGAGGTCTTTGCAACCTTGACAGACTTGGTGGTCTCGTCCTTGGCGATCTTCTTTGGTTTGACCGCCGACGACTTGGCGTCGCTGGATGACGTTTTCTTGTTGTCCTTGGTGACTTTCTTCTTTGCCTGTGTTTTCTTAGCGTCTTTTTCGTCAGTGTCAAACTTGAACTTGAACGGATTGCCTCTCTTTGTCAAATGCGAACTCACATCCACATGAGCCTTGTCCAGTAACACCAAAAGGTCTTCGCGAGTGCCCTGGTTCATGATCCGAACCATATGGTCGATCAGTCTCTTTCCAGAAGCCGTGGACTCGAGCTCTTTCGTTTGAACACGGCAGGCGTTCTCAGTAAGCAGCTGGAGAACAAAATGGTACAACGAATCGTTCTCTTTCAAATAGTCGGAACACTGTTGATAAACCGATTGATGGACAGAGCAGCGCGTCTGTGTAGAAACATTGCTAGTGGTGATCACATCCGAGACGCAGTGTGCAAATTGGGGGCCAAAATGCCGTTCGTTATAAACCGCTAAAAATGACTCTTTGACGACCGCGTCTTGACAGTTGCTCGATAAAACAAACAGGCTGAGCGAAAGTGGAAAAGCGGGCTTCATTAGTAGGAATGGAGTTGGGGGCAAGAAAGTTTTTTTGACCCCCTGTTATTATGTTTACCGCCAAATCGAATCTGATCAACCGGAGTTTTTCACCATTTCCTTCTGTTTGGCTTCTCTCAGCTGTCTGCGTTTTTTCTTGGCCTCGAACTCGTGCCATTCGCCCTCGATCTTGTCCACGAATGCAAGTTTCTGTTCCTGGGGCTCTTCCATGAAGTACGGATGGCGCAGCGCGTCGGAAGCACTGATTCTATTTTTCGGGTTTTTCGCCAACAACTTGGTAGCGAGATTGAAACACTGCGGACTCAGCAAAGAGCCGAATTTGTGACGGAACAACGACGGTTTGTGCGAGTTCGGCCGCAACATCTCGAACCACGGCAACGTGTTGCAATCCGGCCATTCTTCAACAGTAATGGTACCCATAATGTCGTAAACTTTCCATAACTGGTCGATTTCGTCTGTGCCTTGGAAAATCGCGTGTCTCGTGAAAAGCTCAATCAAAATACACCCAATCCCCCAAATATCAACCTCGCGGCCGTAGTCGGTCGACCCAAGCAGAATCTCTGGCGGACGGTACCAAAGAGTGATCACTCTGTTGGTGTAATTAGGAGACTCGACGTTGCTGTTGATGTTCTTCATGCGTCTGGCCAGTCCGAAATCGGTGATCTTCAAAACTCCCTTGTCGTCAAGTAAAATGTTGGATCCCTTGATGTCTCTGTGTATAACTTTCTTAGCATGCAAATAGTTGATACCTCTAAGCAACTGTTTGAATATGTTCTTCTTCTCGCCGTCGCTGATTACAATCTCGGCCTGTTGCAAAATTCCTGCCAGATCGTGGTTCATATACGTAAACACCATGTAAACGGCGTTTTTCTCAACCATCATCTCGCTAAGCCCAACAATGTTGGGATGATTAAATGACTGTAAAAGACCGATTTCTCGACTCGCGGTGATCGGGAACCCTTCGCGCTCGGATTCCAACCGAAGACGCTTCAATGCCACTAATTGTCCGGTGATTTTGTTCTTTGCTTTGTAAACTTTTCCGTAAGTTCCTTCTCCAACCTGGTTTATTCGTTCGAAAACGGCTCCTTTCAAATCCACCGGTCTCATGAAAACCATATCGTTACGTGCGAATTCGTCGTCCTCGTCGTCCTCCATCACGTTCTTGTTGCTCACCTTGGCCCTTTTAAAAGCAGGCTGCGTGTTGCCCTTTGGAGCTGTAGGTGCACTTGTTGCTCTTGGCCCCGTTGGTAGTCGCGGCTCCTCGTAATAGTAGCGGTCGTTGTGATAGTAGTCATTGCGATAGTAGTATCGGTCGTCGTAGTACTCGTCGTTGTACTGCGGTCTGTCGTACCTCTGAAACCTTGGACGTCCCGACATGCTGAAAATACACTAAGAAATATGAAAAAAAAAATCTAGTAGGCCCGGTTTTGATTCACATGGTGTCTAAACTACTACGTTGACACACCCACCTAAAATATATTATCGGTATGAACGTAATCAGATTGTAAACGCCCAACGAGGTTTGCCTAAACGACAAATATTCTCTACATTCAGTCTCCTCCCCCATCATTAATACAAATCCACCCACCCTGTTTAAACACTGTATTTATCTCACTAAATCTTTTTTCTTCCTCGCTCATAACCAAACTTTATCATGCCTTTGGTAAGTCGCAAGACCCCCAACCTCTGCTAACGCCAGATCTCGAAAACAATCCATGTCGCCTTCGATCTCACTCTATTAGCTGGGTTTCTGGCTGGAATCAAGAAAAGTTCCGGAATCGAACCAAACTTCAAACTGCTGAACCAACCCGAACTTGAAAAATACGCCACCAAGTACCTCGACTTTGGAGACTGTGTGTACGATTACTCCGTCGGCTACATGGCCAGCTCGTCCTACTTCAAGAGAAAGTGATGCGCATTTCGGTGGCCCGTTATATCTAATACATATCAATACTACTTTTATTCGCAGCGACGCGTTTCAGGATGGGTTGAACGGCATCACGTACCCATCACCGGTGCCGGTGCCCTTGCGCGGAACATTGTAGTACCAGCCGTACTGCTCGGCCTCGGCCTCTTCTTCCTCGTCCTCGTCATCCTCGACACGTGACTCGCTGACCCCGTGCGAGTACTCGGTCACCTCTGTCACGTACTTGTCCTGGTAGTGGAGCGGGTGGTGGCGTGAAACGGGCTTGCTCCCCACGGTGGGGGCCGTCGGCTGCGTGAGCGACCGCATGGACTCCCAGAAGTCCTGGTCCTCCATCTCCTCGTCGTCGCTCGTGTTTGGTGGAGTGCTTTTCGCACCCCCTGTTTGCGTAGCAGCCGGACTGGTCTCGGTGTGCGGCGAGCCTCCCGAGTTCGATGTCAGTTTTGGCACTTCCGTCAACGGTGGAAGGTAATTAAAGTGGGAATATCTGTTGAGAGACGTTGTTGGGTCCAATGCCGACGTCTGAGCACTGTAATGATGATGAATGTGTTGGTGGATGGTGATATTGACGCCGTTATATTTGGCTAGCTCGATGATGCGGTGCACCTGGTCCTGTGACTGAACACTGCCGTTGAAATTTGATATAGGCTCGTTGGTTTTCGGGTCGATCATCTCGAATCTCCATTCGGTTTGAGACTTGCCAGGAATCATCCCATTCGCAGGTCTTGCTAGCGGTTGTCTTTGGAATGTGGTCTGTGGAACAGGCATTGGTGTAACAGAGACCGGTGGCGCTTGTGCAGGTTCCCGTTTGCCAGATTCGTCGTAGCTGCCATCTATCGCTCCAACGGCTACCATGATCGGTCTGGACGCCTGTTTCCGCGCAACGTCGGTCATAATTTTTCTCCAGCGGTTTCTGCACGTCAGACTTGGCCGGCCGTGGATCGCAGCAGCCACCGTTCTCCATCTTGTTCCGTGTTCTTGGACACTTTTAATTAGTTGCAAGTCTTCTTCCAGACTCCAAGGTTTGGTGCGATCTGTGTTATCTGGGTTCAAAACCTCGATGTAACGTTTTGAACATTGATCTTCGGTACGTCCTTCCACGCGCTCGGACACTTTACCCCAAACGGGCCCCAATTCTTGATACGCTTTCAGAAGCTGGTCGTCTTCCTCAGGGGTCCATTTACCACGTCGGAGTCGCGGATCGAGGGCACTCACCCATCGTTTGCGACACCTCATGGCGCTGTAGTTATCGAAATTGGCGGCAATAGCGGTCCAGTCGATGGAATCGGGCTTGATCCGTTGTTTATCATAACTTTCCAGCTTTTCATGCTCTAAAAACTGACTTATAACGGCCTCTCTCAGAATCTTGTCCTTCTCCTCTGTCCATACCGAGCGTGTTTGTTTGCGAAACACCTTGTATCCCAAGGATTCCGTCACCGCCAAATGGTCTATGGCGTTGGTGGTGGCCTTTTTGGTCATTATCCTTAAATGAGTAACTTAAAACAAAAAAAATTCTTTTAGTCACATTTTCTACAGTATATTTTCTATGGACGCTTTATCTTTACAAGATATCAAATCTATAGTTCGATGTCAATACGAATTGGTGGTCCAGCGTAATGAGCGGGTCAAATCTAGAAACCTGTTTAGTAACGGGTCCAATGCGAGCATCAAGTCGGCCGATTTGATCATCTATTGGATAGAGGTGTCTACAAACTATCTAAACAGCATCAAGGCATTGGCCGATTACCAGGACCCCACCGTTGTGTTGCAACTGTACATTTACAATTTCTTTATCCTCAAGTACATTCTGGCGTCTACCGAGGTGAAAAACGATGAGGATCGGGGTTTTATCGGAACACTAGAAAACGTGTCGCAGCAAATCATAAATACCAGTGATCTGAAAACTCAATTGGAATACGCCACCCAAGAGGCTTACGATATTATAAACCAGGACGTTGATACAGACTTGTATCCTATAGAAGACGAGGTGAGTCTCGGATGTGATGAGTTGGCTACCCGGCTGTTTGATCTCCATGAAAAGATTCTACTGGTGGATGTCAGACCGTTTGACCAGTTTTTAAAGTCCCACATCGAACACGAAGATATCATCAATATCCAACCGGATAGTGTGGAAGCCGTGAACGATTTCGAGGACTTGGTATTCTGTCTTCAGGTTGGAAACATCGATTTCTCCGCAAAACTCGCCTCCTTTAATCAATACGCCTACGTTGTTATATTTGGAGATACAAAGGGTGCCCAACATATCCGGAAGCTGGTCACGGGAGCCATTGAAAAACGCAAACGATGGGGCCAAATCAATGTTGAGACTCGAACGCTGGAAGGTGGATACTCCAAATGGCTCGAACTATATGATAAAGACGAATCCAAAACGTTCACCGGAACGATCCGCAGACCGTCGATTCCATCAGCATCGTTCCGCAACTCCACCAACCTGATTCCGTCGGGAATCTCTTTGCCCCTCGTCCGCCTGTACAACTACGGTAGCACGTGCTACATGAATTCGATGATACAATGTTTGTTCAATATTTCATACTTTCGCAATTTGATGATGGACACGTCGAAAATCCAGCCGATTCTCCGCTCCAACGACAACTCGCTGGTTCTTGCATTCTACACCTTGTTCAATGAGTTTTTCTACGCTAACGGACACTCTGTTGTTCGTCCCACCAACTTTGTTAGACTGTGTTCTCTGCTCAAGCCAGATTTAAGAATTCCTCACGAGCAACAAGACACCTCCCAGTTTTTGTACTTTCTACTTGACCGTTTACACAATGAGTTACGCATCGATGATACCCCTGCAAACCGTCAAAATTTCAAGACGCAGAACCCGGAAACGGACCCATTTACAGACTACGGTACAACCAAGGAATATTTGAAATGGAACGCACAATTGTTGAAATCTGAAGGAGTTTCGCCTATCAACAAATTATTCCAGATCCAGCAGGAAACCACTCTTTCGTGTGAGAGATGTGGCTATGTTTCGCTCAACTATGACAACTCCTGTATGATGACATTGAACCTGAACGGAAAGGAGTACTATTTGAACGACTTGATCTTGAAAAATTTGAAGCCTGAAGAATTGAGTGAACGGCTGGGAAACGCCTGGAATTGTCCGAAATGCCAGAAACTCATAGCCGAGCTCAAACAGCTCGAGGATCTGATGTCTTCCCAGGATACAAAGAAACGCGGCTTCTTCAAGTTCAAAAAGGAAGATCATGCTACCATGAACGATTACCAAACAGGACGCTACGCAGAACTGAAAGCTGTTCTTGACCAACCAAACATTTCGCACCGATCCACCAACTTCATCAAATTGCCCCAGGTTCTCACCATCTACCTAGCAAAATTCGACCTGTACCAGAACAAACTCAACATCAACCTCCATTTTCCTAAAAGACTCAACTTTAAAATAAAACGAGGCAGTGCTGAGATTGTATACAGCTACAAACTAAGCGGGTGGATCGATCACCTAGGCCAGTCTGTTTCTTCGGGCCATTACACCAACATCATCAACAGAGGAGGCCAATGGATTCTGTGCGACGACGATCGACTCAGCTCGTGTCGATACGAGGACGAGATCGCAGATCCAAATGCATACTTATTATTTTACTCTTTAGTTAAGTAAGAAAAATATTTCACGCAAAAGTGTTTTACATAGAAACCAATGATTATCAGCATTAGCGCGCCGACGAAGCTGGAATCGAGCGAGAAGACGGTGGGGGCGTCCATCGTGACTCCTGGCGAGCTCATAACAGACGATCCCACGTGGATGAGGGGCCATGGAACGTATTTTTTGAACGACAAAACGTACTCTTCAGTGGCGGGCAGTGTTTTGAAAGTGAATAAGCTTCTAAGCGTGGTGCCGTTTAAAGGTCGGTACTCGCCAGAAACAGGAGACCATCTTGTTGGCCGGATCGTGGAAGTTGGCCAAAAACGGTGGAAAGTGGATATTGGTGGAGAACACGACGCAGTGCTCATGCTCGGGTCGGTTAACCTGCCCGGCGGTATACTTCGACGCAAGTCCGAGAGCGACGAGCTGCAGATGCGCAGTTTTTTGAAAGAAGGCGATCTTCTCAATGCGGAGGTGCAGTCATTATTTTCCGATGGTAGTGCGTCCTTGCATACACGTTCATTGAAATATGGCAAACTCCGAAACGGGGTGTTTGTTCGCGTTCCTGCAAATTTGATTGTGCGAGCTAAAAACCATTCTCATAACCTCCCGGGGAACGTGAGCGTGATTCTCGGAGTGAATGGTTATTGCTGGATCTACAAGTCGTCTTCTGCTGCATCCAGCGCCGATCACTCGGCCTCGACGAATAGGACGGCGGCTGAAATGTCGTCTTCTGCATCGGGAAAATATCAACCGGGACAGGGAAGCGTGTCAATTACCAGACTGGAACAGGAATCGTCGTGGGACATCTACAGTGACAAAAACGACAAGTTGTCAACAAACATCAAGGACACCATCTCCAGATACAAGAACTGCTTGTTGAGCTTGAGTCAGTGCAACATTGGAATTAATGAGGTCAGATTAGTTAGGGCGTACGAAATCAGTCTTGGCTACGGTGACACTAATATACTGGTGAGAGAAGATATACGCAAATCTATTGGCGAGCAGGTGATTTTTCAAGAAAAAATGCGTGGCACTGGATAAACGGGGTAAATAGTTGCGGTTGCATATTAAAAGGTCAATTAATTTTCCTTATTTTTTTTTCTCCGAAATACGTTTGCATATGGCATTCAAACAAGCAAGAAGAATCGGTCAGATTGGCGCTTGTTCAGCGCTAGCGTTGGGCTTAGGTGGCGCGTATTTGCAAACCATCCACAACGATACGTTGGTTGATTTTAAATCCAAGTTTCCGCCAATCGTTACCAATGTGGAGAAACCCCCCGCAAGGGATGATTTTTTAAAAAAACTGGGGGAACCGGTCACAAAATTGGCCGAGGAATTATCCACCAAAGATGCCCAGTCCAAGTTTGATTTAATCATCGTCGGAGGAGGTGCAACAGGTACCGGTGCCGCTCTCGATGCCACTCTTCGTGGTCTGAACGTGTTGTTGCTGGAAAAAAATGACTTTGCGTCCGGCACTTCGTCCAAGTCAACAAAGATGGCACACGGTGGAGTTAGATATTTGGAAAAAGCCATCTTCCAGCTCTCCAAAGCCCAGCTTGACCTTGTCATCGAGGCTCTGAACGAAAGAGCGGCTATTCTCAACAATGCGCCTCATTTGGCCACCTGTTTGCCGATTGCTATTCCTGTTTACAAATACTGGCAACTGCCATATTTTTACGCCGGATGTCTGTTGTACGATTTATTTGCCGGCTCCCAGGCCTTGAGATTTTCCTACATTTTGAGCAGAGGCTCTCTGTTGGACAAGCACCCTCAACTTGACTCCGAGGGGCTTGTTGGAGGTTTGGTTTACCACGATGGTTTGTTTAATGATGCTAGAATGAACGTGTCTTTGGCTTTGACTGCCCAGAAACACGGTGCTACCGTGCTCAACTACATGGAAGTCAAGCAGTTCTTGAAAGACGGCGCCGGAAAGAGTAAGGGTGTTCGTGTTGTTGACGGCGAGACCAAGAAGGAGTACCTTGTTGCTGCCGATGCTATTATTAACGCTACCGGACCTTACTCCGACGCTATGTTGTCTATGGATGAGAGCGCCAACGGATTACCTGATCCAAAGGTTCTGGAACATCCAAAGATGGTGGTTCCTTCTGGTGGTGTCCATGTTGTTCTTCCTGAATGGTACTGTGCTAAAGATATGGGTTTGTTAGATGCTTCTACCTCTGACGGTAGAGTCATGTTCTTCCTTCCATGGCAGGGCAAGGTTCTTGCTGGAACCACCGACGTTCCTTTGGATAGAGTTCCAGAGAACCCTGTTGCTTCGGAGTTTGAGATCAACGACATTCTGAAAGAGTTGCAACACTATGTTAAATTCGAGGTCAAGAGAGAAGACGTCTTGAGTGCCTGGTGTGGTGTCAGACCTTTGGTCAGAGACCCAACCACGGTCACTAGCGAGAACATGAAGTCCACTCAAGGACTTGTTAGAAGCCACTTGATCTTCAAGTCTCCAAACGGCCTGATCACCATCTCCGGAGGTAAATGGACCACTTATAGAGAAATGGCTCAGGAAGTTGTCACCGAGACCATCAACAGCACTCCTGAGTTGCAAGCCAAGAACCCAAAGCCATGTTCCACCAAAGACTTCAAAATCGTTGGTGCAGAGAACTACGAGATCTCTCTGGCTGCCAGATTGGCTCAACACTACAGATTGACCGATAAACTGGCCACCCATCTGGCCCATAACTACGGAGACCGTGCTCCAGTTATCATCGACCTGTTCAAGGACCCAGAAAATGCCAAGCCGCTCGGTTTGGGTGACCACCCAACTTATGCCACTTTTGACCATCCGTTCACCATCGGAGAGCTCAAATATGCCATGAGATACGAGTACGCCAGAAGACCCCTGGACTTCTTGGCCAGACGGTGCAGATTGGCCTTCCTGGACTCCAAAACAGCCCTGGCCTGTGTTGACGAAGTTGCTGACGTTATGAGTAACGAATACGGCTGGAATGCAGACACCAAGAAACAGTACATTGCCGAGGCTGTTTGGTACATCAATCATATGGGTATCGAGCCTAACCAAGACTCGTACGGAACATTTTAATAATGTAATGTGTTAAATGCTAGTATACAAGTTCTTCAAGTCTGTAAACTCGTGCTCCGTCATGCACTCTTTGAACGAACACCCTTTGGTGTTGTTGATGAGACTTTCCTCGAACTTTGTACGTTGTTTAGTTTGCATCTGGCCGTGTTGTGCCAGTGCCCATATTAGGTCTTCTTCTCCCATCAGAGTGTCGTGCTGTTTTTCTCCCGTGTAGACGATCTCTGCAACGTCGTGGAGAATATTCGCCGTAAGTCCCCAACAATTGCGCGTCCGAACACCGAACTCGTGGTCTTCCTGTGTCTCGTCCTCGCTTTCCGAAGACATGTCCTGGATCTCGTCCAGCCATCTCACCTCGTTATCGTTGTGGATCGGAAACACAAACGACCGCAAATTCCACGGAATGCCTCCCCATTTGGTGCGAACATACGACTGTTTCAAACACTCCTTCAACTCGTACCTCCGGGGCTTGGGTTGCAGAAAGTCCTTTAATGGAACACTGAAAATAGACGACGACTCGCCCGGATTCAGCATGATGTTGCTGATGTGCTGGTCCTCGAACCGTCCGAGCTTGGACTCGCTCCAATTTATAAACGCGACACATGGAGCGACTCCCAGAAAAGTCCGTGCCAGATACGTCGGCATCACCTTCAACTCCTCCACCTCGTAACCAAACTTTTCTCTTAAATATGAATTATCACGATGAATACCAATCTCCTCCTCTGCTTCGCGACGTGAACATTGGAACTCCGATTCCAGCGGGAAATCAACCTTTCCTCCAGGAAGAGAAATATGGCCCGAGAAGTTCTTGAGTTTCTTGGATCTCTTGGTTAAAACAACACGCAACTCGCCTTGTTTTCCTAAAAACAGTAGCACCAGCACAGAAGATCGCCGTATGGCAGGAATCCGGTGCCAAACAGAAACAGACGACTGTTTATAGTATTTGGGCTTGTATTTCTGGAGATTGATCAGATATTGAGACTCCATCCGATGATTGTTGACTAACTGGGCAAATCGATGATCCAAATCTGGAGCCACAGTGGGGGGGTTCGGGATCTGATACTTAAAGAACTGAAAGTTGCCGTAAACGCTCTGAAGAACCTTATTTGTCTTAACAACTCCGTTAGCAACCGTACTTGCCGCACTACTCGAACCGGTCGAGTAATTGATAAATGTTGAAGTAAGCAGGTTGTGTGAGGCCTTAAAATTCTGATAGTATATCATTATTAGCGACGGGTCGATCGGCGTGAACTTTCCCCCGGAGTTGGTTGCAAAACTAAAAGAAAAACCACCAATTAGTTTTCAAACACCACCGTTTCCTTTCATGCGTTAACGTGTCTTTTATATACATCGGCGTCTACATAAAACCCCCATGTTCTGAGCCTACAAATCCCCTCCATTTTGCATTAAATGTTGAGTCAAAACAAAATGAGGGGATACCAAAATATAAATAATGGTGCAAGGGTGTCAGTGGTCCGTGCCCAGCCAAGCCAGAGCCAAGCAGCGATTAGTCCACCTTAGCCTCGGCAAGGCTGTGCAGCGTTGAAATGTTGTTGCCGAACTGTTTGCCCTTCTTGGTAAGTTTCTTGAGCTTGTTCTTCACGACCATCACCGGCACCGTGCTTTTGCGCACCAGGTGGTTTGACAACGATCCGAGTAAAACACCTTTAATGGCCGAAGTTCCCCGAGACCCAACAATCACCAGCGTCGGCATGATATGTTTGATAATCTCCACCATGAAGTGGCGCGGGATCGGGTGGTGGCACGACTCGATCACCAGGTGAACTTGCAGTTTGGTCAATTTCAGCAGATCAAGTGCCTCGGTGGTAATTTCTTCCACGTTCTGTGTCCGGAGCTTTTCTCTGGCACTCTTTGATGGCTTCTCGTTCTTTGGCTCGTGCTTGTTCTCGTGGCTCGCTTGTGGGAACCCGTTCAGATGCATCGACGAGTACTCGTCGTCCTCGATCACGTTCAAAATGTACAGCACAGACCCGTCAACAAGAACCGTTCCAATACACCATTCAAGAGCGTATCTGGACTCGTCAGAAAAGTCCATGCACAGAACAAAAACCTGAGGCAGCTCTTTCTTGCTGGCAATCTCAAAGAAGTCACCACGGGTCACTGTGCGGATGGCCATCTGGTTGGCCAGGTCGGACTCCACCTCGGAAATCACAACCTTCTCGTTCAAAGTGCGTGCCAGCTCTGTGTCCGCCTTTTCCTCCACATCGCTCGTGTACGGAATCGAAAACCCGCCGTCTGCCCCAGAAATGTCGGGCGACACCAGCTTCTTCTTATAAACAGCATACTCCTGCAGTTTCTCTTTACGTCCAGCGTTGTCTTGGTAGAACTTTTCAGGATCATAATGGATGGTTGTTCCCGCTTTCTTTGCATCGGCCTCTATCTTTTCCATGTAATCCTCAGGAACGTGTCTTCCGATCGATTTGGCATTGGCCAACGCCCGCTCCGCAGCAAGCAACTCGTCGATCTTCTCGGCTTGCACCGCATCCTTGATAAGCTTTCTGTTGTTGATCTTGGACAGCTCGTCTTTGGCCATCATCTTGCGGCTCGTGCGGACCTTGTCGTCTTCCACCTGGTCGGGAGAATACGACGCATAATTGGGCAGAACCTTCCCGCCGTCGTCCACCTCGAACTCGGAGTCTGTATCGCTTATTTGCTCCTCGTCGCTGCTGGACACCAATTCCGAGCCTTCCAGCTCGTCCTCGCTCTCTCTGACGCGCGAGCCAGAAGGAGATCGCAGCCGCTCGGATGGGTCGTGCGACGTGATGTAGTATTTGTTGTCAAGGTCCGCGGAACTGGACCGACTCATGGACCTGCGGGCACTGGACAGTCCGCGCGAATGCGTACCCTGCGCTCCCGGCGACATGTCGCGACCACGGCCACGTGCTCCCGCACTGGCGGGCGTCTTCTGACGCTCCAAAATCTCCGCAATCAACTTGCGCTCTTCCTCTAAAGCTCCTTCCAATGACATATTTGCGATAAAAAAAGCCAAATATTGTGTCTCATGCTGTTTGCAGGAAAAAATTAATATCCGCGGTCGATCGTCGCGTTACCGACTTTGCCTGTCCATCTTATCGGTTCCCCGATCAGCATCTTACCAGCGTGGTTGTGAAAAAACTTTTATCCCCCAGACAACCCAACCCAAATGAAGTCGTATTTCCGGTTGTATCTTCTGGCGTTTGCATGTTCGTTGCTCGGGTCGCTGTCGCTGGGGATTCTGGCCCTGTTTTCCATCTTCACGCAGCCGTTACAACGCCAGCTACAATACTCGCAGTCTGCAATCAACAAGGTTATCATTGCGCAAACAGTGGGACTAAACGGGTTCACCCCACTCTGTGGACTCATCGCCGACCTGAAGGGAACCTGGATCCTCAGTCTGCTGGCCTTGGCCTGCTACACCATGGGATTCTCGCTAATCTTGCTAGTATACAACAATAGGATCCTGGACCCAACCCCCGTGTATTTCAGTTTTTTCGTGATCGGATGCGCTCACGGCTCACTCTTGTTCAGTTGTCTGCTAAACTGCGCGCGTTCAATGGGCAAACACTACAAGACCCTGGCAATTGGAACTCCAAACCTCATGGTTGCTTTTTCCACGTTTCTCCAGATCCACGTGCTAAAGCTCTATTTTGATGATCCCGATCCCACGATCGCGTTCCAGAAGACGCTCAAGTTCTTCCTCTACTCGCTGTCGGCCAGCTCGGTGTTTTCCATGATCGGTTGCATGATCACCGACAGAACAGAGAAAAAAGAGCTCCAAGTTGACCATTTCAGCAACTTTGACGCATCACCCCTGCTTTCGGGAGCAGGAGTGGTTCTCGCATCTCCCCCCGGATCACCGTTCTCGTTCAGAGCAACGGAGGATCTCGAATACGTCCAATTGGATGACCAGATCTCGGTCTCCAGTAGAACGTACCAGCAAAAAATCGTCACTTTCCTCACAAGTCCGCTAATGTACCCACTTATTATAGCATTCTTCATGTCCATTGGAGCCACAGAATTCTTCCTGACCAACCTGAGCACCATTCTCAGCTCTCTGCATCAAAACACTCTAGACGAAAAGCTCCAGGTCTACTCGATATCGTCCACTGTTGCCCGGTTCGCCATCATGCTGCTCACAGACTATGTTTGTATGACGTTCCGTATCTCCAGACTTAGCATAGTCTCTGCGGTGATCATCCTGTGCGGTCTGGGCCACTTCTACCTGTCCTGTTGGCCGATATCGACTCTGCACTTAAACGTGATTGTGGTTCTGAACTCAATCCTCAACTCCAGTTTATATACCCTGTTTCCGGCCATCCTCGCCTCCATATACGGCCTGGAAATCTTGGGAACAACGTACGGGATCTTCTCGTGCTCCTCCATCATCGGAAACCTGCTGCTCAATCTGGCTTACAGCGCAGACTACACTAAAAATTGCCTGGAATCGTCCCAGGACAACCTGGTCATCTGCACAACGTACACATTCCTGTTCAGCGGCGTTTCGCTCACATTGCTCGGGTTCTTGATCTACTCACTCAAGAACAAATATCTTGCTATTGCACACGAGAGCTTTTAGGCGTAAGGTGTGGCTTTAGCTTTTAAAATCAATACACATATAATTATTTATTTTCCTATTTTTCTTATCGGTGATGTCTGAAAGGGCAAGAGGGGTGCCCGAAGGCGTGCCGATTTGGCAGCCGGATGAGGCCGCGCACGAATGTCCGTTCTGCCACCGGAAGTTTACGTTTTTTAACCGCAAGCACCACTGCCGAAAGTGCGGGCGAGTGGTCTGTGGCGATTGTTCGTCGATCTTCACCTGCTACCTGCCCAACACGTACGTTGTGTCGCCGCAGTCCCAGATGTTCTTGGAGACGCCCCATGTGCCCCACCGGACGTGCGACGAGTGCGCAACGCAGCTGGAACGCTCGGTCAACAAAAGTGGGGGTCAGAACTTGATCAAGACCTCCTCCACCACAGTGAGCACTATGAACGTCCCGAACGACGACAACGACGACAACTTGTGTCCGGTGTGCGGGATCGATCTGTCGCGCGAGACAGATCTGGGCCGTGAAGAGCACATCAACAGCTGTCTATACAATCTGGAGTTCTCTGGGTCTCCAGATTCCAAGAGACACACCAACCGGATGCTTGTGTACACGCTGGAATCCAACACACATGTCAACGAGGACAACGAGTGTGTGATCTGTTTTGAGGAGTTCAACGTGGGGGATAAAGTGGGGAGGTTGGAGTGTCTGTGCTGTTTCCATTACAAATGCATCAAGGATTGGATCAATCGCAAAGGAGCGTGTGAATGCCCCGTCCACGCCGTCGCAACAGAAACATGAGCGCACAAGAGTTACGAGGAACTGGGTTAGTAGGTCGGGATATAATTAATGAGCTAGGTTATAATAATTTTACCGCATTGAGTAATTCATGGGCATTAATTCTACCGTTGATCTACTACGCGTCACTGGCCAGGGCACCGATCATAATGAATGGGCAAAAAGGCAGAGACACAGTTCTATTGTCTTGCTGTTTGTCTGTCAATTGCAATTACCATCCCTTTAGAAATCTTATTATTTATCCTGAATAGGATATTGCCAAATGGAGGAAAAAGCACGCGAACTACAACAGATCATTGTTCAGCTGCCCCTGAGCTAATCATCGCCGCGAAACACTCGTCAACCACAGTTGCAAACACATTCTAGACGCCAAAGCTCAAACATCCCCCACCCTCAGCACTGTTTCAATCTCGTTTCAACACCGTTTGAGAATTGAATCTAAAATTTCGTCCTGTGTCTCGACCAATATTTTAGGCGAGATCAAGTAATAAAAAGTGTTCGGCTATTGCTCGCACCTGCAGCGAACATCCCTATTTTCTACCCCTTTGAAAAAAGGCGCGCCGCGCTAATGACTCTCACACGAATATAAAGCTGTATCTGATCCGTTTTACACTTTCTTCATGTCTCCTTCGCCTAAGTTAGAGTCCTTGTGGCTCGACGAGCCTTCGACAAGGAAAAAAGATAAGGTGCTGCGCTCACTTCAATCCAAACGCGATCTGCTGCTCCAGCTGTTTGAACTCGACGGAGAGTTCCCAAAAAAAGGTAAAAAGTCGACGTTGACCATCTCGACACCATTCGCATTCACCCACACGTCACATCTTAGTGAAAGAGAGTGCTTTGGACTGGAAAAGGCGTTCAGAGAGGAAGACTTGGACTTCATTCCATCTATTCTGAAAACGGAATTGCCAACCTCTGGTAATGCACGTCGGCCTGTTTCCTCCTTTAGAACCTCACCAACTGCTGCAAGCCCTATAATATCGGAATCAAGGCCTGTGTCCAGACATTACAGAGTGAACTCCACCTCCTCCACCTCCCAGCTCTTCAGCAGAGCCAACTCCACCTTCACAAGATCTACGTCTATCTCTACCCTAAGCTCGCTCAACCCATCGATCCAGGAAAGTCCTGTCAGAACTCTCAGACCTCCTGACAGACTCCCTTCCATTCCACAGGAGAATTCAGAACAAGAGGTCGTCAAGTCGCTGGAAAACACACCTGAGAACTGGCTTTCTCTTTCTGTGAACACTGAGCGCAATCACGAACTGTTCGAGCCAGTCTCGGAAGAACCTGAAGACATTCGTCTTCGTAAATTCGAGTTTCCTTCCTTCTTGATGGATACCCCCACCGACACAACCCCAACCGATCCCCCACACATTCGCAAAGTTCCATCGATCGGATCCCCCATCCACTCTCGCGACTCTTCGTTCACCTTTGAACTGTTCCACCCTCTTGATCATGCAGGATCAGGATCTCCTGCTAACAAGCTCGAGCTTCTACCATCCCCTGTGGACTCTCAAGACGTGAACGAGATCTCTGATAACGAAGACACTCTGATCTCGTTGAACGCAGCAAACGTGAGCAGGCTCTCCAGATTGAGCATGGCCACCGATCATGATTTCACCGAAAACTTCTCAAAGACACTCAGCCAACTTCGTTTACCAGACATCCTGGACGAAGAATCTATAGATGAATTATGATTCAATATGAATTAAGTCGGAACACGTCTTTGTAGCTGCCATGGCCTGTGCGATAGATGGTCACCCGCGCTTGGTTGTTCATCTCCTGTTTGGTTTCTTCCATCTTGAATTAAAATTGAACGCATACCCGTCATACGGTCGTACATGGCCTAGTACTGGCGCTAGGTATGCAACTGGTGCATATATGGTCCCTCTGGCTCATGACGTGGGTCTGATAATCCAAAATGGGCGTTACCTCCTATTTTCTCTCTCATCTTGTCTCATCTTCCAAGTTCCAAAAAAGGTAATTTCGTCAATATTGGGGTTTTCGCCAATTTGACCCCACCATTCGATTCTTCAACTCCTCTAGATCACAGCGCCCATGTCAATGACCTTC